ATAAGAAAGTATTAATTTAGTATAGATATAAGGTTATATTCCAATGGCCTTTGACCAGCCACCCAAACCGACGCTGGCCCGCTCCTAAGAATAAGTTACTTCCTAAACCCTACTTTTATTATAGGCTAAGTAGGTTTACAATAGTAATCTCTAATACTATATAAAATTTCTAATGTTTGTTAAGCTATTCAAAATAAAATAGCTACTTGAACTAGATCTAGCGCTTTATAAACTATAATGTCTAGAGTTTCAGGTTTTAAGTATAATAATAGTATATATATATATATATATATTATATTTTAGATTAAAGTATACACTAAAGTATATAAATTAGGGTTATTATAATTAGATCTAGAAGCTAAGGCCAATATATAGATATATAATCCTAGATAGTATATTAAATCTACTCATATAGACTAGTAGTAACATTAGTCTGAATTATTATATTATAGTTTAAAATATAATTTAGTATAGCTAACTAACATATATATATTATATAGTAAATAAGTTATATATTAAATACATTAAAGATTCCATGTTATCTACAAAGATGAATCTATAATCATAACTATAGGAGTTCTTATTATATATAATTAACTTATTTATAAAATAAATAGGTATAGTAATCTAATATAAAATTATCTTTTTCTATAATTCTTATAACTTATCATTCTAAGATAGTCATTATAATACGATTATAATATATATAATACTTTCATAGATACTTAGTTAGGTAAACTCTAGATAAGACCACTATAGACATTATAACTAGGCCTGAAGCTTTTATTAATTTAAATAAGCTAATAATAATTTCTCATCTATATTATAGTATAATTATATATATATCCTAAATGAGTATTTTATTAGATTACTTTAGAATAATAAAGTATATAGTTCGTCCTATGCCTATTTTAAATTAGACTTTGGATTTTAGAAATTTATTAATAATAATAATACGAGAATATATATTAATTATCCTAAAATATAAGGATCTAGATTCTTAAGATGCTCAAAGTAAGAAATGATAGATATCAATCCTTTCCTAGAATTTATTTTAATATTTCTAATTAAAATATAAATAAAATCTTCTATTATCTTTTTAGAAAAAAGGATTAGAGCGTGCATAGGACTTTTTATGATTTAATATAATAATTTCCAACTTTTATCATTTACTAACTAAACAATCTTACAATAATTTGAATTTACTCTAAGAAGATAGATATATAAGCTCATATAAATACTCAGAATCTTGATTTATAGGCTTTCATAAATAGAATTAATACTTTATTTACTATAATATTACTCTCATCTCAGATATATCTAATCTCTTTATCACTAATTCTAGGAGTATAATTATAATAAAGTCATTAGTCTAATTACAATAACCTTTAAGTCTTAAGCCTGTTTTCACTATAGTATAAGCTTATTTCTTTGGATCTTATATTATGATTTATTATCTTATAAGCTAAAATAAGATTCTTAATAATCTAAATCTATAAAATTCGTAGGTATAAATTATCATTTTTATATAAACTTTAGGCTAATAATATTAATCTTACTTACTATTAATACTAAAAGTCTAATATCAGTCTATCATTATAGATATAGTAAAGTATTATAGGATCTTTATCCAATTAAGATATCTTTAATCGTTAAGCATAGATTTTATTATAATCATTTATGATATATATTTTTACTTCATAAACAATTTACATATATATAACAAAGACCTTTATAATAATAAATCTATCTTCTTAGAGAAGACTACATTTACTACAAATTAGGAGTATATTTATTTTTAGAAGCTCTTATTTCAAGTTCTTAGATCTTACTAAGAAAATTACATTTAATAGTAGATGATCTTTATTCTGAAACTTATTTCATTAGAAAATTAATCTAATATGAAGAATAAATCAACAAAAGTCTTAGTTATTTTTGCTTATTAAACATACCCTTTAAAAAATTCTAAGATCATTATTTTCTTTTCTAAATTACAACTAGAGTTAAGATTAAAGATTTAAAGTGTATACATTTTGGGATTGAATAAATAATATTAATATAATAAAGATATAACTTTAATTTAGTTTCTGATATTTACTTCAAATTCAATAATATTCTAAATCAAAATGAAGATACATGTCTTAGAATATACTTGTAATTCATTTAATATCATCCTGGAACTATTTATTTAAGGTCTTCTCCAAGTTATACTCTACTTATTTTATTGTATTAATATAATTTAGTTATCTAGTCTATTAAGAACTTTTATCATTTCTTAATAATATCTAAAAGATGTAATAAACAAATTAAAACTAAAACTAATTAGCTATTTATATTGTTCTTAGCTAGTCTAATAACATTGATCTTACTATCTTTAGTTTTGATACCTTTATTCTTTCAAAGATAAACCAGAAATAGATTTGAGAGACATAAGAATAAAGGAAACTATAAATTATAAGATAAAAAGATGAAGTTGGCAGATAGTAAAGAGAATGTAAATCAAATATAAGATAGTAGTGAATTGATATAGATTCAGAGTCTACAATATCATAGTTGCTTTCTTTAAGGATTCTTATTATGATTAAAATTAAATATCTAATAGAAAGAGATTATCCTTCTTCTGGTATCAGTAGAGGTCTAGAGCTTAGAGAGCTACTCGTAAGCTTTCTTCTTGTATATTACTTATTGTAGACTCAATTTTAATTCATTATTATTTTAGAATATTCTATTATCTCTATCTTCTAAAATCAATAACCCTCTCTTCTCTTATATTAAAATATCAACTTTTTATTATAGGCCCTAGATACTCTTTCTACTTTATATAGTATTTTATAATCTTATACTATAGTACTATTATACTTAAAGCTTTAATAGTGGATTTATGATCTTATTATATTATGTAAAAATTTACTATATAATCATAAAGATAGAAATCTCTTCTATTATAAAAGAATTTTCTTATCTAGATTTCTACACTTTACTTATTTTAATGAATTACTAATGATTTTAGTACTAAAGTTTAATATTATCTAACTTTAAATAAATAACATTTATAATTCAATAAAGTATATATTATCCTTATGGTTATATTTTAATATATATAGTTTAGTTTCCTAGTTATAGATTTAAAGATATTTAGCTTATTATAAGGAATAAAAGGGCCAGGTAAGAAGATAGTAAAAGGGAACTGAAAGGAATATAAAACAATACTAATATAGTATGGATTTGAGGTCCAAGGCAATATAGATCATATTAGTTTCAAAACTAATTCTTAAGGAAGGGAAGAATCAAAAGAGAGAGATTCTTCTTCTTCCTTAATATAGAGGAAGTAAGAGCTAAGTAAGAGCTAGATGAACGGTTCATAATGATCTCACTTTAAATATCTCTTCGTCATAGACTAGCTCTAGACAAGCCTAGAGCTCACTCTTGATCTAGATGCTAAATCAGAAGCGATTCAGTACCGTTTCGGGATATCTAAAGTATCCCATGATTTCTGCCTTAGAAAAATAGGTATCCATCTTTTCTTTCATAACACTTTACTAGTAATATTAAGATTTATCTATTATATTTTATTTATATCTTTATAACCCTCTAAAGTTTCCTCGATTTTATAACTTCTCTATTTTAACTAAGTATATATAGTCATAGTTCTACTAATTAATAATGTATGGCTAAAATGGAAATTATTATTCAAAAATTAATCAAACTATAAACTATCTTTAAAGTAGATTATTTTATCTCGCTAATATAAAATATAATATATATGATAGTTAGAATTATACTGTACTATGGAGCTATAGATAAGGAAAGGCTTGGTAAAATAATATAATTAGTAAATATATTAAATATACCTCTTTAGCTATAGTTATAATTTTCTTTTATATGTCTATATAAGAAGAATATATACAATATCCTATTTAAACAGAATATTGTTTTCCTACTATTAGTGACTTCAAACAGCCTAATTTAATTATATACATAAGAATAGTAATTTAATCAAGTAATACAATCTAAAGATTCAGTACTATCTTACTATCTCTGAAATCCTTTAAGTCTTTAATTTAAGTCTTATAGATTAAACATATATGATAGAGCATATTTACTCCCTATTATAAATATTATATGCCTAATATAGACTTTACTCATTAATTAAGCCTATTACTATAGTATTCTCATTCAAGTTAGACAAAAATAACCTAGGCATAAGGCTATAGTAATTAACCATATAGTGTACGTATAAAGCAAAAGGATACGTAATTTCTAGATTAAATCTCTTAGGTATTATTAATAGAACATGTAGTATCAATAGGAAAGATAATAGAACGAGAGACATGCCCTTAATATCAATGAATTGTGCTAATAGTATAGACTACTTTTGCATTTTTATAATAAAAACCAACAAGAAACAGAAAATAGCTTTACTATCACTACTACTACTACTACTACTACTACTATTATCATTAGAAGTATATTCCTAAGATCATTTTCATAAGGAAAATTAAGTAAGATTCTATTCAGCAAGGGTATATTCAAGGAGCACCCTTTTTGTGACAATTAAGCAATATTCGTAGTGTCCAAGGAATATCTTGATCATTTCTCTTAGCATATTATGAGTTGTTTTCGTGGAAACTTAATCCCCTTGAAAGCGCTCTTGTGTTATGGTGAAATTAGTGAAGGTATCTACGGATTTTTGACATTTTATATACCGCAATAAGAATAAACAAATCAATTGTAATAAAACGAACCAAGTTGGATTTGAGGCAATAAGATCAACTATTAGATAATTCGTAGTTCACTATAACTATCTTACCATGAGAAAGAACATGAGAAACATTTAGTAATAACAGCCAATCACGTTAATTGCCATTCGCCTTACCCGCGCCTCGGCTGACAGATCACTTTTCACCCGCAACTCCGACTCCGCCACCTGCGTTTCCTCTAAACATTCCAATTCTTCTCTCGAGGATTCTGTGGTCACACACAATCCCAACTCAAGAATCATGTCATTCTCCAACCTAGTCTCTGATCTCGCTTTCCGAGATTCCAACGCGGATGAGCGGGGTTCGCAGATTTCGCATGCTCAATCCCGCACCGCTCGTTCATACACGAGCACCACGGCCACGAGTGTCAGCATCTCCGGAGATATTTCCAGCCAGCTCCATGCTGGATACAGCCATCCCTTGACTCGATCATGGCAGGCAGAGAGGCAGTTGACCAAGGTCAGTCCTCAAGCTCCCTCTACCTCGATTATATTCAATCTCATCAAGATGTCTCTAGGAAATGCTTATTTACCCACTGTTCATCACTGACAACCCTGACGAAGAGACCCCAATTCCGTCTCTGCCTAACCAGTACCGTCGGGGCGTCAATCGTCTAATTCCTTTCCTGGCCCCTCTAGTCCGGAAAGGGCTTCGTTCGGTTATGCTCTTTGGTGTCCCCTTACATCCATCAGCCAAGGATGCCCTTGGAACGGCTGCGGACGATCCATCAGGCCCCGTTATCCAGGCCATACGGCTGCTGAGGTCTCGTCTTCCTCAACTTTATATCACAACAGATGTATGTCTCTGTGAATATACATCTCATGGCCACTGTGGAATCCTCCGGGAGGATGGGACACTGGATAACGCGCAATCCGTGGACCGCATCTCTGATGTGGCATTGGCCTACGCTGTCGCGGGCGCCCATTGCGTTGCCCCGTCTGATATGAATGACGGAAGAGTGCGTGGAATTAAACTCAAATTGATTGAAGCTGGCCTGGCCCATCGGGTGCTCTTGATGTCCTATAGTGCCAAGTTCAGCGGCTGTCTATATGGCCCCTTCCGTGACGCTGCCGGGTCATGTCCTTCGTTTGGCGATCGCCGCTGCTACCAACTTCCCCCAGGTGGTCGAGGCCTTGCCCGACGGGCGATCCAGCGTGACATGAACGAGGGCGCGGACATTATCATGGTTAAACCGGCCAGCAGCTACCTGGACATCATCCGTGACGCCAAAGACCTCGCCCAGGACCTTCCAGTGGCGGCATACCAGGTTAGTGGGGAATTTGCCATGATACATGCGGCCGCGAAGGCGGGCGTTTTCGACTTGAAAGCAATGGCCTTTGAGAGCACGGAAGGGATTCTTAGGGCCGGAGCGGGAATTGTGGTCAGCTATTTTGTCCCAGAATTCTTGGACTGGCTTTAAGGAGCTTCTTTCTCGCAAAGGACTTCCATTAAGCTTCAGTTTTCGCCATGTTATGCTCCAGGGCAGTGGAAGACTGGTCATGGCCCGATGTTCTCGGTAGACTTTGTGCACTGCCCGAAATCCTCTCTTCCCTCTCAAAACACAGATAGATACCCATTGCGACTTGTTTTCCTCCTTCTCGGTCCCAATCTTTCAGAAACCATTTGAGGGTGTACATCGTACCTCCTTTGTTTAGCACATCATGAATCTCCACACCAATATCTGATCATAACGTGAACAAGACTTCCATAATATATTCAAGAGCTTGTGGTAAGCTGACAATTCCCCAAAAAACAGAGAAATGCCTCTTTGGAAAAACTTAGGGGATTATATATGTACTGCATAACAATTCGCTTCGCTCCGTTTCCCCGAAATCCCCAGAGCGCCACGGAATCATGTACCTTGAAAAGAAGAAGAAGAAGAAGAAGAAGAAAAACAAAACCAAAAAGGCTAGAAAAGGATATAAAGAAAGGAAAAAGGAAAAAAGTCACAAGAAAGAGATGAAGATGTCCGGGAATCATTGACCATAAGAACCGTGGCTTGTAAACATCCCGACATCTCACATGTAATTTGGCTTGAAACCTTGAAAGCCATAAGGAACCACATCACTTCGAACGACCTCTCCAGGCGCAATATAAGCCCCTCGGCCAAGTGTCACGCCGGGATAGATAGTAGATCCAGCCCCAATGTAGCAGTCTTCCATGATCCGTACTCGGCGACCTTCATATCGACTCTGTGTGCCTTTCCGTTCCTGCATACTGGAATGTGCCATCGTGGTGAGAATGGTGACATTGGGTCCCACCCAGGTGTGGGCACCGACGAAAATAAAGCAGTCATCCACAAAAACACAGTCATGGGAGATCATTACGTCCTCTCCAATACTAAGGTAACCGTAGTGGCAGGTGAAGGGAGACTCCACTATTGCCCCCGGCCCAAGACTAGGGGTTGGACGACGCATGGTTGGGGTGGACATACCCGGAGAGCCCGGGGGCTTCAGGGTACAAGTGGGCTGAGCAGCCATTATCTCCTTAAGGAGGCGATTCTGTTCTTTGGAGCTGAGCCCGCTCAGAGGATTGCAAGCATTGTTGAATCGAGCGAGTGCGCGACGACATCGGTCTCTTTCCTCCACCAGCTGCACATCAAATGGGCGGTAGAGGTCACCTTTCATCATCTTGTCCATTTCAGTGTCGTCGCTGCTTGCCGTGCGACTGGACAACTGGTTTTCAATGCTTAGGGCCATTCGAGCTTGTACCTGGGGGCTATTTGTATCCATCGCCGTGGCGGGTACTGGCGGCGCCACAGCTCCTTGGAACAACAGAGGCATGTTCGCCTTGGGGGGCGGTCCATGCGATATTTCACGAATCGGAGGCACCGCGGGATAATCTGGCTTAGCTAGTGTATCCCGCGGGAGTTCATGAATGGATGGAACCTCTCGATAATCCCCCTTAGCGACGTGCTCGGATGGATACGCAGGCGCCGAGTGACCCGTATTGGGCCAAGGTCGTTTAGACCACGATGGGTGGTGACTGGAGCCCGTTTCGGTGGGGCTAGTGTTATATTGTGGAGCAGCTCGCTCGTCTTCCACCACAATTGGTCGCATCTTCCGTGAATCTACAATGTGCTCTGCCAACTGCCGGTCATGATGTGTTTCCGGTACATATTGGCCATTGATTTCGGGATACCCTTCTTTCGACTGCAAGGGAACCGGCGCCTTCGAGCTCGAGGGTTTCTGCCATGTGCTCCGCGAGGAGTACCCTTCACATAAAAAGCCGCCACGGAGGCAGTTGTTACCTAGTGCCATTGTTAGCATGAGGTTCTCCCAAACCGAGCTACTATGCCTAGCTGTCCTCCACAGGGATAATGTCGTGGGCATCAAGAAAACAAAACGTGAGAATGTTTATAATGAAAAATAAAATAAAAAAATCTCCTTACTACAAGAAGAAGGACGAGGAAAAGAGAAAGAGAGAAGGAGAGGAAGACAGGGAAGGATGACAGGGAATACTTACAAGCTGGATGCTGTTCATCACACTTCTTTTTTCTACGCCGGCATGTCATGCAGCCGGTCTTGGTCCGGTTGCTGAAGACCCGCTTGCGCTTGGGTGCCACCTGGACCGCCGTCGTCGGTCGCTCCGAGGAGTAGGCCGGCGATGAGGAGGATTGCACCGTAGGGGCAGGGGTGGACCGAGAGACGTTCACATTTCGGTGACTAGGGTCCTGTGAATGCGCCTCTCGTTGAAGCGCATCCGCCAGTTGAGCGTCGGAGGCATCCATCTGTTGGGCCCGTTGGGCTTGGCTCACCAACTGACTATCGTATTCAGGCCATGGCCCATTAGACGAGATCTGGGAAGATTCGTGGAGGTCTGATCGGCTGGGCCCATTGGGGCCCGATTCCATGTCCGAGACCGATCCCGGACCTGCGCCGTTGGAATTTGGGGGCGCACTGAATTCAATTGGATGGCCCGTGGAACTTCTGGCCGTCCCCCCTAGTTCTGATGGATGTCGCGACCCATGCTCCCGGGAGGAGGAGGTGGATCTTTTGCGCTTATGGGTTTGAGTCGATGTCTCCGGCGATGATCGTTGCGACCCGTGGTCCTCCGGACTATGTTCTTGCTCCGGGATTTCTGGTCTAGATCTCTCCTGAACACCTGACCCCGAAGGCGCTCTCTCCCTCGGCGGGACGGAGCTTCCCATCTTGGCGGAGATGGATGAGTCCTTCCCATTGACTGCAGTAAAGCGGGATGGACTGTGCTCGGTTCCTGCTTCTACTCCAGAATCGTGGCTGCTCATGACTGGGGCCGTAGCGATGGCCGTCATTTCCCCCCCCTCCTTCTGTTCTAGAGCTTCAACAGAGAGGTAACGTTGCGTTGTCTGTTGTGTTGTGCTTTTTACTTTGCCCTGTCAATGCTATGCGCTGGACCACGGTCTCACCCGCAGACGCGCGCCGGGAAGTTGCCGAGAAGAAACACGGGGGTGTTCTGAATCCCCGCGCTTGTCAATTCTTCTCTTGACTTGCTCTCTCTCTCTCTCTCTCTCTCTCTCTCTCTCTCTCTCTCTATTTCTTGGAGAGTGTTCAGATCTCGGTTTGAGTTCTCTTAATTATTCAGATAGATCGCGGCAACCTCGTCTGGGGTGGGGCGTGGGAGATGTGGGCTGGTTTCCGTGCGGCCCCCAGGACCAGGCGCGCTTTACCGGGGATGGAAGATTCCAAGAGGATCGAGCCCAGCCGTTCTCCAAGAGATTAAAGACGAAAACGAATATTCGTGGAAGAGCAAAGGGGAACTAGATGGAGAAAGAGGGGAAGATAGAAGGGGGGAAGGGAAAAGGAAAAGGAATATATGAGAGAAAGAGAAGAAAGAAAAGGAAGAGGGGCTAAAAATAATAGCAATGGTTTAAAGAGACTACTTTACTACAAGTATAAGAGCGAGAGAGGACTAATAGAACCTTTTTCCCTTTTCCCCTCTCATCTGTCCATTCCCTCTTCCCTTTCCCTTTCTCCCATCCTTTTTCTCTTTATTATTTCTCTCTTCACACATGATCCCCAATGGCCCCCAATCGAATCTCACCCGTAAAAAAAGGACGGGGGAAAAGAGAAATGGAAAGGAAAGGGAAGTTGGCGCGCGATCGGCAAGGACGGCGTCACATACTCTACCAATCGGAAGGCGTAGGCGCCATAGGAAGGTGAGGTGTGCGCGGGTCTGAGACACCATCATTTCCCAAACGACCGGAGCGACAATGGCGCGCGTTCCCAGGCGCCCCGTGTCCTGGTGGGGCGCGCAAGTTTTGGGCGGCTTTGGGTGGTCTGGAGCGGGCGCGATACCACATTCGCCGTTGGCGCCGCGTGGGCGCATTGGGCGGTTATGCATCGCTTATCAGCTGGTCACCACGCGCTGCACTTGGTCTCCGTAGTCACATCTTAGTGTCTTTCCCCTCTTTTTTCTTTTTCTTTTCTTTTTTTCTGTTTCTTTGTTTCCCCCCTTTTCTGTTTCCCTTGAAAAAAGATGGTGCATGAGCTTGATGATTTTTGGTTGGATTATATTATGTCATATTATATGGGATAATATAATTGGTGCCACCAATAACAACATCCCAGGTTATGATAATGTAACTCTTCGTTCTCTCTAGTGGAAACTCTCTTTCCCCCCCGGTCCAACACCCAAGAGGGGGCTATGCCTATGACTTTCCCCCCCCCCCCAAACGTTTCTGTTCTTATTCTCTAAATCTAATCTTACATCAAACTTGGGGTACTTTCACCAACTAAGCTTAAAATCTAGAATTGAGCCTGAAATAAAGAGTAAAATAATTAGTAAGGTAGATGTTTGCCTTCGCTGCTTTTGAAATCATCATAACCTACTGTAAGAAGATTGTAGTTATAGATCTATGCTCTCCATATATTTCCTCTTCTCTCTTTTTATCCCCTACATTCTGTCTTCTCACTATTCCTTAACTTATTCTTCGTTATATTTTTTTTTATTGTCTTCTACTCCAGTTCTCTCTCCCTGTTCATAAACATCGTCATCCAATACAGAACCATGGGAAGCGCCCGGGAGAGCTCGGATGACTAAGATCCCGAGTTCCCCTTCCAAAAGACGAAGAAACGACGCGCTTCACCGCCAGTGTTGATAAGTGTTGTCTTTTCTATCCCACAATAATTTGCCTCAGCTACTGGGAGTCCCCGCCGATCACTTCTGCGAAAGCTTAGGTGATCTCCTTTGTGTATGAGAGAGAGCACAATCTGCTGACTCTCCAAGCCCCTCCAAGAGTTCATCTTTGCTACCCCACCAGTCCTCTCCCCTCTCTCTCTCTCCCCTACTCCCTACCTAATATCTTACCCCCCCCCCCTCTCTTTTTTCCCATCCTTTCCCTCTCTACCCTCAGCGGTGACGTGGGCTTAAAGGTCCCTGTCAATTACTCCTTTGGAGACCTCCGTTGATCCTCCCTTTTTTTTTTCGTTGGGGAGGGATTGCCGTGACGTGACGCCTTCGTGATCCCGGCGACTGCGCCAGTATTTGCGGCGGGATGTCTGTTTCTGTACAAGAGCTGGACAGCACAGTCCGCGCCTTCTTTGAAGGCAAGGGCGATGTGGTAAGTCCCGGGCTTGTTGGAATCGGAAAGATTGAAGACTGACGATGCGCAGCAAAAACAAGCTCAGCAGACCCTCACTGAAGTAAGCATGCCTTATCAACGACGCGATTTCTTGCTCAATTCTTACAAGCCGATCTAGTTCAAGCAAAATCCCGATGCTTGGGTAACTGTTGGCAACATCCTACAAGAAGCTTCCTATCCCCAGACCAAATGTGCGTGTTTTTTCTACTGCAGCTCGGATCGCGATGTACCCTAACCTTATCATCAGATATCGCTCTTCAGGTCCTTGACGATGTGATCATGACGCGATGGAAGGTCCTGCCGAGAGACCAGTGCCAAGGTAAGCATCAGACGCATCCCATTTATTTCCCTCCGAGGTCTTCTCTGTTGTTTTGGGATGGCACTCACTAATGGGTTTCTTGGTTTGCCTTCTCAGGGATTCGGAATTTCATCGTCAATTTCATCATCGAAAACTCTGGCTCTGAGGAGAAGCTTCGGACCGAAAAGGCCTTCGTGAATAAACTAAACCTCGTCCTGGTCTCGATCCTGAAGCAGGAATGGCCTCACAACTGGCCGACCTTCATCAACGAAATCATCTCTTCCTGCCATTCCAGTCTCTCCATCTGCGAAAACAACATGGCCATTCTGCGCCTGTTATCCGAGGAAGTTTTTGATTTCTCACAAGATCAGATGACCTCGGTCAAGGCTCGAAACTTGAAGACCTCCATGACCCAGGAATTTGCCTCCATCTTCCAACTTTGCTCCGAGGTCCTCAACACCGCTAACCAACCGAGTCTGGTCAAGGCGACCCTGGAAACACTCCTGCGCTTCTTGAATTGGATCCCTCTGGGATACATCTTTGAAACCCCCATCATCAACACCCTCCTGACGCGATTTTTGGGAACCCCCGAATTCCGAAATGTCACTCTCAAGTGTCTCACCGAAATCGGCGGCCTGCAAATTGGCGCTCCGTACAACTATGATGAGAGGCTGGTTCATATGTTTACTGAGACTTTGACGACTGTCTCCACCGTGATCCCCCTCTCGATGGATCTAAAGGAGACATACGCGCAAAGCAACGGCAGGGATCAGGAGTTTGTCTCGAATCTGGCACTCTTCCTGTCCAGCTTTTTCAGCGCCCACCTGGACGTATGTAGACCAATTGACCGCCCCGTCCCATTTCCCGCGCCCCCTCTGCAAATCTTGCTCAGTACTAACGCTATTGCCCTTTTTTGATAGCTGATTGAGAAGCTACCCAACCAAGACTATCTCACACACGCCCATTTCTACCTGATTCGCGTCAGCCAGATCGACGACCGGGAGGTGTTCAAGATTTGCTTGGATTACTGGACTCGACTGGTGCAAGAACTTTATGAGGAGATGCAACAACTCCCCATCACCGATATCAATCCGCTCGTGACGATGGGTGTAAGTGGGTTGGCGAACGGCGGAGCGCCTCACCCCAGTACTCTGGCCAACTACCCTCTCCGCAAGCACAAGTACGAAACCGTACTCTCGAACCTTCGCACGGTTATGATCGAGAAGATGGTCCGCCCCGAGGAGGTGCTAATCGTCGAGAATGACGAGGGAGAGATTGTACGTGAATTCGTCAAGGAGAGTGATACAATCCAGCTTTACAAAACCATCCGAGAGTGCTTGGTCTATCTCACACATTTGGATGTGGTGGATACCGAGACCATTATGATTGAGAAACTGGCGAAGCAAGTTGACGGAACTGAATGGTCCTGGGTGAATTGCAATACCTTGTGCTGGGCAATTGGATCAATCTCCGGAGCCATGAACGAGGAAACGGAGAAGCGGTTCCTGGTCACTGTCATCAAAGACCTTTTAGGTCTAACGGAGCAAAAGCGCGGAAAGGACAACAAAGCCGTGGTGGCGAGTAATATTATGTACATTGTGGGCCAATACCCCCGATTCTTGAAAGCCCACTGGAAGTTCCTGAAGACCGTGGTGAACAAGCTTTTTGAGTTCATGCATGAAACACACGAAGGTGTCCAGGACATGGCTTGTGATACATTCATCAAGATCGCCAACAAGTGCCGACGACACTTTGTGGCCCTGCAACCCGGGGAGAATGAGCCTTTCATCGAGGAAATTGTCCGGAACATGAGAAAAATCACCATGGATCTTTCTCCTCAGCAGATCCACACATTCTATGAAGCATGTGGCTATATGATCTCTGCACAAGGCCAGAAGGGCCTTCAGGATCGCTTGACTGAAAATCTGATGGCCTTGCCCAATTCGGCCTGGGACCAGATAATTGCGGAAGCCAACCAAAATGCTGCGATTCTCCAGGATGCCAACACCATCAAAATCATTGGCAACATTATGAAGACCAACGTTGCAGCTTGCTCATCTATTGGAACCTACTTTTATTCCCAGATTGGCCGCATCTTCCACGATATGTTGAACATGTACCGCGCCTCCAGTCAATTGATCAACGATGCGGTGGCCAGTGACGGTTTGTCTTTTCTAACCTTCATCATCGTTCAATTCACCAGTATGCTAACGTTGCCATAGGACAAATCGCTCCCAAAACACCTAAAGTTCGCGGACTTCGCACCATCAAAAAGGAGATTTTGAAGCTCATTGATACCTATGTCGAGAAGTCGGATGATCTCGAAATGGTCAATGCAAGCATGGTGCCGCCCCTTCTTGAGGCAGTTCTAATTGATTATCACCGCAACGTCCCGGATGCACGTGAAGCAGAGGTCTTGAACGTCATGACAACTATTATCCACAAGCTTCATGTACGTGATCATCGTTCCATATTGTTCATGTGCCCCCGTCTTTCCCCAAAGGTCGGGAATTCTTGTTGCATACAGCTAACCTATTCTTGCCACCTAGAACCTGATGGAAGACAAAATTCCCGCCATCATGGACAGCGTGTTTACCTGTACATTGGAAATGATCAACAAGGACTTCCATGAGTATCCTGAACATCGTGTTCAGTTCTTCAAGTTGCTCCAGGCGATCAATCTATATTGCTTCCAGGCATTACTCAAGCTTGATGGCCCTCAGTTCAAGTTTGTCATTGATTCCTGCATGTGGGCATCGAAGCATGATAACAGGGAGGTCGAGAACACGGGTCTCACCATGTGCCTGGAATTGATGAACAATATGGCCGAAACTGACGTACAGACTGCAAGCATTTTCTTCCGTCAATTCTACATACCCATTCTTCAGGATGTTTTCTTCGTTCTGACCGACAGCGACCATAAGGCTGGTACGTATTTTCTCTCTGTGTCGAAAGCTTTATCCCCTCCCTCATTGCGCAATACTAATCTTTGGTCCTCTGCAGGCTTCAAATCCCAAGCTATGCTTTTGTCCCGCATGTTCTACTTTATCGAATCTCAAAAGATCTCTGAGCCCATCTACACTCCTGACCAGGCTCCTGCCGGCACTTCGAACAAGGATTTCCTGCAGCAGTATGTCGCCAATTTGCTGCAGAATGCATTTAAGAATTTGCAAGAGTACGTCCCTCATTCCTCGGATTTGCTTGAAACGGGTAGCAGTCAAGCCATGGATACTAACTGTAAGCAGAGTGCAAATACAGCAATTTGTGATCGGGCTTTTCGCCTACACCGAAGACCTGAACAAGTTCAAGACTCACCTGCGTGACTTCCTCATCTCGTTGAAGGAGTTCTCTGACGATAATGCCGAACTCTATGCTGAAGAACGGGAACAGGCTGTCCGGGATGCACAGACTGCCGAGAGGAGTCGTGCAATGAAGGTAGGAGGCTTGCTGAAGCCATCGGAGATGGATCAAGAAGACGAACTGTGACTGGATCAAGAATTACGGTCGGAGATCCCCCATTACGTGCCAAGTAGCTCCTCTGAAGGGACGGGGAACCCGACGTCGATATCAAGGAATGACGGCCTCGATGGCTGGTCTCTCTACGAGCTCTAGACCATAGCACCAGCCTGTATTTTGCTGGAGTCGGGAAGGAGCATACATCATAGACCTCACCTTGCTTTCTTGAATCATTTTTGCTGCGGTGAGCTCCACCATGCGACGATGAACCCGTTGATCCTCTTTTGCACGCCTTTTGCCAAGGGTGGTCTTGTTTGATATCTGTTAAAGAAGAAGAAGATAGCTTTTCTCTCTGGTTTATTGACAAAAAAAATTAACATCCTCCGTTGAGGAAAAATTTTCAGAATTGAATAAATCATTTTGCTTTGATGTACCAGAAATCAGTGTAGAGTCAAGCTAGCCCAGCTTATCGATCTGACCGTCATATTATACGGGCGGTGAGAGATCTTTATCGGCTACATCACTTATCGAGGTTGACCTCAACCACCAAAAAAAAAAGTTATCTTCCTTCTTCTACACGTATCTCTTTGCTTGGAGTGCATTCGTCTCAGTCATGTCTCAAACCCGTCAGCCAAGAAATTCACGACACCAGACAGCTATCCAAACATCTCAAGACCTGTCCGTTCCGGGGACCCTTCGGTTGCGGGGCGAGGATGCTCCCAGTGTCACCCCCGAGCCATCCTCCTCTAGACGCATCAGATGGAGTGAAGATGTTGTAGACAATGAGGGCATGGGGAAGAAGAGCTCCAAGGGTGAATCTCTCTCTGTTCTTCTTCTTTGTCCATTGCAAGAATAAAATTGACCCTCGCGCAGTATGCTGTATCTACCATAAAGCTCGACCGGTGGGCGAGAGTAGCTCCGAATCCGAGTCTTCCAGCTCGTCCGATTCAGACAGTGAAAGCGAGACCGACTGCCGCGGAACTAGGCCAAACCATCACCACTCGCATCCCCGAGGACGCGGACCAGCAGGGGAGGGTTCATCGAATCAGCCACAAGCCCAGGCTTCAGATGCTTGCACACAACATCAACATCGCCATCGCCAATCCAAACCCAAGAGGAAGCCAAGTCCTAATGCGTATGAGAAGATGCCCAGATCATCGAAGAATTCATCGCGAGGAACATGATCTAGTAACACCCCGGCGAAGTAACCCGATCCTAGGGTCTTTGAAGCGCAGACTTTTTGCGCTTGTGGTCAAAGATAGGAGGTGTGCAACATGTGATATCTTCGAAGCCGATATAAAAATCTGCACTCATCATGACCGCGCAATGATGCGACCTTGAGGAAAAGGGGTTCCACGAGGTCCAAGGTCACATCATATGGTGCGGGTACTATCTACTGATATGCGACCCACCTGCGGGGTGTAATGGAGGCGGGCTCTCTTAGGATCAATAGCTATTGAGGTATGTGTGTAGCTAGTTTTTCTTGTCCAAGACTTTAGGGTCCATCAGCTTAGCACAAAGACAACAAAACCTGTCAATTCAGAAGTTTCAAACGCCACTGGGTATCTGTATCATGACTGCACCAAGCACAGCTGAGAAAAAGAACAAGATTAAATACACGATTAAGAAAAAACCGAATGTCAAGCCATGCATTCCACGACCTTTTACACCATCATACTCTTCCTTCTGGCCGCCACACGAGTCTCTCGGCGGTAGCCGGCATCCATGGCTGAACTCTTCCAGGCAAGGTCATCATGTTCCGACCCATCTGTCGGCGTGAAAGATGAACTTGTACTAGGAGGAGATTTTTTCCACACGGGAGATGGTGACCCCCCAGTCCCGGAGATATTCCTCGGTGGCGATGTGGCACGAGTGGTGGTTTTTGGGTTAGACGAGTGCCTCCGTGATTGCCTCCGTTGGGACACGGTTTCCAATAATTGGTGTGATGTTTCGTCTCTAGTGACCAGATGAGCGGCATTTAGGTTTACCGGAATTCTGTTCAGCTGTGGACATGGGCTGATCGCCGGCTCTTCTGCGTGAGGCATACCACCTGCCTCATCCAAGCTCTGCGGGTCCAGCAGGAAGCTTGAGGATCGGCGAGATCCATTCTGTCCCACAGCATCAATCAGTTCTTTGGTTGGGCGACGCATTTTATCCCGCAGGTTGGGCTCTGCGTAGCTGACCACTGCCCCCCGGCGTCGGGATGATCGGGACGTCGCTGCCACATCCGCACCACTAGCCATGATATCAGACTGGACGATTGGAGAATCCTTGAGCGGTATAAGAGTCGGGTGCTCAGATTGGACTGGGGGTTGAGAATGTCTCTCTTTTTGGTCAGAAGTTGGACGAGGTCGACGTGCCGCCTGACTCAAGCTACGGCCTCTAGGTTTCTCGAGCTGCTTTGGTTTCTGGGGTGACACGGTATTTTCATTACCGACCATCGGCAGCGAAAGCTTCTTATCCGGATGCAACGATGCCCGAGCTTTGTTGGGCGAGCTTAAGCTGGCATTTGCACTCTCTGGTGGTTGGTTGTCAGTACACAGCACATGTTATAAAATTGGTGATATTGGAAGTGGGTTTCTTACTGGGTTCAAGAACTTTTCGTTTCATGGTTCCAGTGGCCGATCCTCGTTTAATGCTCACGGGGGTCTTGGTAGGTGATGTATCCTGGTGCATTAACTGCAAAAAGTCGGTATGCCTGTGAGGACTCTGGCTCGGTCGGCTGAATTGGAACTCGTCGCAGTCTGGAAGTCCCTCTCCATCCGACAGGGCTCCATCCTCGTCGGGGCTAAATTTACGTTTAGATCCTGACTTCGTCGGCCGGGTGGTGTTGATGCCAGGAGCGTTCTGTTCCTGTGGGGTGAAACCTCTCTTTTCGGAGGTCGGCGGTTCTGTCACCTTTTTCTTCTTGCGTGTCTCGAGCGTGGGTGGGAGGTATTGATCGGGCATTGGGGGGTGATCCAGTTGGCCCTCTGGCAGGAATTTGTGGAGCGTTATACTAGGAGATGGACTTTCCACCGTGACGGACTGTTGTGTTAGATCAACCTCCAACACAGGCTGAGCAGGGCTCGAATCCGCCTGCACGAGATTCTGGATTTCTTGTGCTCTACATAGATTAGCGATGACTTAGATATGACCTGAGAGCAAGGGAACATACCCTAAAGTTTTCCGAGGGTAGCATTTATCTTCCAGAATGGCAGGTAGCCTTCCATCCTCCCCGGTATAATCCAGGTCCATAGCTTGCGGTCGCGACTCGGCCGCTTTCGGGCGATTTGGGCCCGATTTTTCCAGCTTGCTAGACTTGCGAGGAAGCATGCCCAGGTCAGATGCAAGGTCATTCAGTTCTGCTATTTTGGCGTCTAGTCGGGACTTGATCTCATAAACCCCAGCATGGAGCATTTTCGCCGCCTCCAACCTTTCGGTCTCTTGAGTAACGTTAATCACCTGCTGTCGTAGAGAGACGTTTTCTGCAAGTAAATGGGCAACTTCCGACTCCAGACTTCGAATCCGAAGGGATTGCATTGAGTTGACCCGCGCGATCTCCTTATTTTGTCGCACAAATCTTCGCTTGACTAGGGAGGATCACCGCGTTAGCAAGGAGCATGAATTAATGTCTCTTTCTACTTACGAGCTTCGATCGACTCGGGGGGAGCCGTGTAATCATTGAGCCGAGCCATGGTGGTCTATGGCCACCAGGGTTGGGAGAGGAGGGGGTGAAACAATGATGATGAAACTTGGTGATTTGCCCCAAGTAAACATGATTGTTGACGTTTGTCTGTATTGGGACTAGCGCATGCCTACCCACGGGTGGATCCCGTGATTTCCTGTTTGTCTTATTTGACTTTGGGTGATCCAGTTTGTATGATCATCAAACATCAATTGTGAGCGCGTCACATTCCAATGGCCTATTCGTCGCGACCACCTTCCATGCTTCCTGGGGGGCTTCGTCAGCCCCAGCCCTCCTCGGCTCTATCCACCCGCATTGCCGCCAAAAAGGCTGAGCTGGAGAACCTGCGGCAGCTCCGTGATCTGAGTGGGACCCTCGCCATGCAAATGCAGGCGCTTGAGAGCAAGATTGCCACGTTGAAGGATGGCACTGAAGGTTGTTTGTCCTAATCTGCCCGGCTGAGTGTCGCCCGACTAATCTGTTTCCCAGCTGTTGCATGCGTTCTTGCCAATTGGGATAATGTTCTCCGCGCCATTAGTCTCGCCTCCAGTAAGCTTGCGCGATAGGGCTTATCAGCGATTACATTCCACTAACACCGATGCAGAGAAAGCTGGTGGGCTTCACCCGGATCAAACCGAGGACCTAAATGATTCTACTTTACCAGCCACCTTGGTTCGCATCCCCGCTCAGAGTGAATGAAACTTCCGCCATTACGATACACACGGCAGTTACGAATCATTCTTTTACACGCGCGTCTTGAAAGTTTCCTCCCCCTCCTCCGATCTCATAAGGGTTCATGGTGAAAAGGGCAAGATAAGCGGCCATTTAAAGCGAAAGCCCCTTTTGCATGGGGAGATCTTCTACCAGGATTATCTCATAGGGTCATTCTCTCGCACGCTCCTCTTTGTCTTCTCCATTTCCCTCATACATTTCCCTTTATCTTCCCCGCATTTTTGGGAGGGGAAATGAATTCTCGCGTGACCCCTGTCAAACCAGCTGCAGCTAAGTTTATCATGGTGCATGGAACTAGTTTTAAGTAGATTCTAGGAGGGATCAGCCAGTAATCGAGAAAGGAAAGGTCTGATTCGTTCATGTCCCTACCAGTGATCAGGCACACGAAATGAACGCTCAGACCTCAAAGGTGCAGATGACGGGCTTGAGACCATTGGACTGGACCAATGATGCCCGGATTGAAGTGGAGACCGTCGATGGTTGCCCCTTCCAGGTTCCTGCAGCTCGCATAATTCCCTCTTAAAACGTTGTTGGCGAGTTTTCTTTTCGTCCTAAGCGCCCGAGCCACGACATAATGGCCCCCGCAATGCATCATCTTGATAGGTCCTTGTGGCATGTTATGCGAGCTGATGCTGTTATATTTCATCTTCAACCTCTCTTCCTTTAATATCCACATATCCTCTCTTTCACTCTCACTCTCATACACACATCATGTCCACGGAATGGTCTCTAGATTTCTGTCTGGCCTGTGATCGGCAGACTCTCGGAGGCCCTTATTGTTCTCAATCATGTCGTCTAGCTGAGTTGGATCGTCCGACTCCCGACGATGACTCGCAGTCTTTCCACAAATCCTCCCACTCACGGTCCTCTACTCTCGACTCTGAGCCTGAAACTCGATCGGCTCGCAGTCTATCCTCGTCTTCCTCTCAAACATCTCTCTCGTCACTACGGAGCCATGCTTCCAGTACCACCTCCGATCACCTACAAGACGAGCTACGAGATTATGCTAGCTCCTTCGATCCAGTGCGAGACCTCAAGCGACGGTTGACAACCTCCTAATACCGACTTTAACCTTTATCATCTGCACATGGTAATCGATCATCTACTTCAGCGACTCATTGCATCATTCGAGGGGAAAAACCAACCAGGCGTCAATGCTTCCCAAAATTAAAAAAAAACCCAATTTGGAAAATGGGATATTATCGGATCTATTCTCGCTCTTCACGAACCCCCTATACCCTTGTCTCCTTTGACTCTTTTTATATAATACTCACTTTGTGATTCTGTGATACTGTGATATATTGGCGTTGGATTTAGTGGCATCATACACCGGGACTGTTCCATGAGAACTTGGGAAATTGGCATCTCTGGATTTTTGTGATTTTAACTCCCCTGCAAATACAGAATGTAGAATTATCATGAAGAATGGGACAATCATGCGTCACTGTAGCGCTTGTATACAAGTGGGGATGCCAAAATTCATGCTCCACTGATCATCCCATCCTTTCTCACGTCGCCACGTCTCGTCAGTGGCTCTTATCAGTGCGCCACCGCTTTGCCCAAGGCAGTCACGTTTTTGGGCACGAACCGCACCTTGTACCGTTGGGGGATGGCCACCAGACTGGTGGGGTCCGAGTTCCCACGGACCGGATGCCAGTCAGTGTCATCGTGCGGTTCAATCCGGAAACTGTTCAGGGTCCGCATGAAGACCAGATAGAGTTCTCGGTTGGCCAACAAGGAGCCGGCGCACATGCGGTAGCCCATGCCGTAGGTAAACATTGGCGCGTCGGGCTGCTCCAACCACCGCTCCGGTCGGAACTCTTCCGGGTCTGTCCACACATCGGGATCTGCAGATTCCAACGTTAGCGTGCTGACGACGGATCATGGTGCATTCAACATTACCCATGTTGCAGGCCCAGGCATTCAGAAAGAATACGGTGCCCTTGGGGATCACTATTCCCTGATAGGTGATCTCCCGGATTGACGTTCGGGGCAGCGCCAGGCGAAGAACTGTGAAGTATCTACAAGAAAATCACAGAATTGGTCAGACTTGAGACGTGGAATCTTTCTCATTCTCCATGAACAGACTCACCGGAGACACTCCCGAACTAACGCAGCAACGTAGGTACACTTCTGATCATCATCGGCCGAACACATGGGCTCATCCTGGCCATACATCTCCTGGATCGCTTTGGCGGCCTTGTCCTGCACATCGGGGCGTGTGGAGAGCAGACCAATACTCCATGCGACGAGGGTGGTGACGGTATCCAGACCCCCGGAGAGCATGGTGAGACTGATTGAGGTGAGTTCTTCCGTGTTCAACTTGGCTTCTTTGTCCAGGATCACATTGGCCTGGATGCAGGGCGTGTGGGTACCCTTTTCCATCCGATCATCCAGGTCTCGGTTGAGGGAGCCCAGGTACTTGTCTCGACGAATGCGCATCTCTGCTGCCTTCTTCGAATTTCTGCTAAAGGGGTCCAACCGGAGGAGAGGGATATAGTCCTGCAAATTTCCCGTGGTACTTCGGAATCTACTGATTTCTTCTTCCACATGGGTGATCTCATCAAACAGTTCAGACTCTTGCGACGCCACCCGTACTCCCCAGTTGAGCGTCAAGGCTAGACTCAGACTCAGGCGCTGAATCATGGGCATGGGGTCGACCGGCGTCGCACCACCCTTTCCATACCGGAACAATTCTTCGACAAAGGCCTTTGATTCGACCTCCAGATGGGAGACATATGAATCAACCGAAGGTCGATTCAGGGCGGAGGCGGCACCCTTACGGCGGCGCTTCAGAGAGTCACTGTAGGGTGAAGTTCCGATGGTGGTACCGGCAGTATTTGAGACAATCTATTAGGCGCAACGGGGCACGCACCAATAGGCACCCCCTCAGCGGTTAGTGCATGAGGATGATGAGAGAGGTTTCTGATCAAGACTCACCTTGTGGAAAGTATAGAACTCTGGCCGCGAGCTTAGTGCCTGGGCATTTTGGCCAAAGATCACCTTGGCAGACGCAGCCGAGTTCACCACGACCACTGGAACGTTCCCCAGCTGAATCTGATAAACGGCACCAAATTTCTTGGACCAAATTCGATACTGCTCGGCCGCATTAACTCGAATCTGAGCCAGATTCCCAATCAGCGGCAAACCCCGGGGGCCTTTCATGCCCTTGACACGGGCCGATGCCCGAATAAACTCGTTGAGGATCACATAGAGGAAGGGTAAGAAGAAAGCCGTGATCGCCAAGGACTGCCCTGGGTTGTGGATCACTAGCTTCTGCAGGGCCAACAGGGTCGATACGATGGCCATGGTGTGCAGGTGTTTGATGTATTGGCTAAGACGGTCATGGCCTCCTATATAACTTTTCTCCCCGCATATATGGTCGGCTGTTTACAGTGGAACATTTCCGTACTCAGACTTCATTGTTATGCTAGAGCATCTAGGTCATAGCTGGTCGCATAACTGAAAGTTTTGGTTGGTCAACCCCACACTTTCCCCAGCTCGCAACTGTTCAAGCCGAGTTACCGCACGGAATTCCTCCGCGTTTTCGGAAATAGTGCGCGGTCCTTTAGTCCACTTAAATGAGTGAAGGTATGAGTTTTCTTCCAGAATAACTTTATTTTTCTCTAATGACTTTCAATGTCGGGCTTGTGTCGTCGCGGTATGTTCTAGTACTCTGTCCATCTAGTACTGTTGTATATATATCGCCTATTGATAACAACATCCATGGATATGATCAAGTGGTTTCTACTTCTTGGTCATGACTCTGTATGTCCCCCCTGCAGAGCAAAGAAGTTGCAGAATTGTCTGTGCGCGCTAGATGCATGCGATATCGATGCCAATTTAATAGTACATAGAGTCCAAAAAATAGTAAGATATATACAAAAAGGGGGACAATTCATGTGGAGCCACTGATCCGCCTGGAGTCCACTGTCTCCTATTCAGGGTCTTCAGATGAAAGACGCCTCTGGCTTTGACTTGCGTCAAAGTGGACGTCCCTAAGGGGCACAGGAAAAAGAAAAAGAAAGTATTAGTGTAATGGAGCTAGTGGATCAGCGTCTGCTCCACACGTCGAGCTTTCTTGTGGCCCGTGGGCCTGTACTACACTTGTTCTCCACTTAATGAATCATGGAATGTCCCTGGCATTCCACAGGGGGGGGAAACGTGGGACACCAGAACGGGAACCTGATATTTGCGATGACTCCCAGGGTGAACCGGGCAGGGCAAAAGGGGAAACTTGGAGAAACCGAGCACTGAGCTCATGAGTGGAGCCAAGGGTGATGGGGCCGCGATCAAGTGGATCGGAGCCGCAAGTCAGCTGCTCATGCAGAGATTTGCATTTTTAAATATAGCCTGGTGACATGGTGATATGTTGATATATTGATATAGTGAAGTGCGAGGATAGGTAATCCGGTCGAATATAGAGGTATCATGCATCGTAAAAAAAACCTGTTGGTCACATGTAGCGGAGTGGAAATCCGAATGTCACTGTTCAGGCTTTTGATTGGTGGGAATTCACCACTCCTGCTCTGCTCCACCGAAATGACGCAGGATTGCCATTGAATGTGAACCGGTTTGCGGAAGGTATAGCGACGTGGTCTCGATCTGTACGCAGATCCTGCCTGGAATTCAAAGCCAAACTTATCTCGTATATCTTGCCCCAAGCCTCCTTTTTTTCCCTTCCCATTCTCACTTCCCCCCTTTCCTCGACTCTCTCCCCTTCCCACCCCATTGACATCAGTCCAATTGGGACAGAAGCTTAATCTCCCGTTAATATCCATTCGAATCATACCCGCGGATAATGGCCGCTCGTCACTCGCGCAGGTTTCTGCGACCGCTGCTGTATACCTCGGCCGCCGCTGCCGCCGGAGCCGGCGTTCTCTACATCTCTTACCGTCCACGCAACATCCCCGGTCTCGAGGCCCCTGCGGTACCCCCGCCCGGTTACCATGAGGGCAAATTGGTGCCCCCGAATTTCCCCACGATCAAATCGCGTATCGAGCAGATTAAAGACTTGAAGCGCAGCCAGGCGGAGGAGGAGTCCTACGACCTGCTGGTCATTGGTGCGGGTGCAACCGGTGCTGGCATTGCTCTGGATGCAGCCACCCGAGGATTAAAGGTCGCTGTGGTGGAGCGAGATGATTTCAGTGCCGGTACCAGTAGTAAGAGCACTAAGCTCGTACACGGTGGTGTGCGATATTTGGAGAAGGCGGTTTGGGAATTGGATTACAACCAGTCAGTTGGCCCCTGAGAGTCCAACAAAACAAGGTGGAGGTGTGGTTCGCTGACAAGCTGCATTGCATCAAACAGATACAAGCTAGTGAAGGAGGCGCTCCGAGAGCGCAAGTATTTCTTGAACACAGCCCCCCATCTCTCACAATGGCTACCTATCATGGTACCGCTCCAGAAATGGTGGCAGGCTCCTTATTTCTGGGCGGGTTGCAAGGCTTATGATTTCTTGGCTGGTTCCGAGGGTATTGAAAGCTCATACTTCTTGACCAAGAGTAAGGCGATCGATTCCTTCCCCATGCTCAAGCGCGACAATGTCGTTGGAGCAATGGTCTACTATGGTGAGATGAACCCCCTGATCCCTCTCCGCAGAACGTCGCGATGGAGAGACTGACTGGATCTGCAGATGGTGCGCACAACGATTCCCGAATGAATGTATCACTCGCCATGACTGCTGCCCTCTACGGCAGCACGGTTGTGAACCACATGGAAGTCACCGGGCTGACCAAAGATGCCTCCGGCAAGCTCAATGGAGCTCGCTTGAAGGATGTGATCCCGGGCAAGGATGGTGAAGAGGCTCAGGAATTCACAATTCGCGCCAAGGGTATTATTAATGCAACCGGTCCCTTCACGGACTCAATCCGCAAGATGGACGAGCCCGAGACCAAGGAGATTGTGGCCCCCAGCTCCGGTGTGCACATCATTCTCCCTGGATACTACAGTCCGTCCAACATGGGTCTGATTGACCCATCTACCTCCGACGGTCGTGTCATCTTCTTCTTGCCCTGGCAGGGCAACACCATTGCCGGTACCACCGATGCCCCTACCGAGATCACTCCTCACCCCGAACCCTCTGAGAAGGACATCAACTGGATCTTGTCGGAGATCCGTGGCTACCTCGCTCCCGACATTAACGTTGATCGAAGCGATGTCTTGGCTGCGTGGTCTGGTATCCGCCCCTTAGTCCGCGACCCCAACAAGACCAGCTCTCAGGCGCTGGTTCGCAACCACCTGATCTCTGTTTCCCCCTCCGGATTGTTGACCTGTGCCGGTGGTAAGTGGACCACTTACCGCCAAATGGCGGAGGAGGCGGTGGATGAGGCCATCGATGTGTTCAAGTTGAAGCCCGGTGAGCCGGTCGCGGTTCCGGACATCAGCGGTGTCGGTGGCAGTGGCTTGGTCGCGGATGGTGCTACCCTGGACGGCAGCTGCCAAACACACCAGGTCCGCCTGATTGGTGCCCACGGTTTCTCCAAGACCCTCTTCATCAACCTCATTCAGCACTATGGCCTAGAGACCGACGTTGCCAAGCACCTGACGGAATCGTACGGTGACCGTGCCTGGCAGGTCGCGGCTCTCTCTTCGCCTACCAATGCTCGCTTCCCCGTGCGCGGTCAGCGCATTTCGGCCCTGTACCCCTTCGTGGATGGTGAGGTCCGTTACGCCATCCGTCACGAGTACGCCCAAACTGCAGTCGATGTTATTGCCCGCCGTACCCGTCTGGCTTTCTTGAACGCCGAGGCCGCTCTGGAAGCCTTGCCGACCGTCATTGACCTGATGGCCGAGGAATTGAGCTGGAGCAACCAGCGTAAGGAGTCGGAATGGAAGGACTCCATGTCTTATCTCCGTTCGATGGGACTTCCTAAGAACTTCCAGAGCTTGTCTCGCGAGGATGTTCAGAATGGCCGTGTCCAGGTTCTTGATGAGATTGAGCACAAGGCCGTGATCCGAACTGGTAAGCTTGAACCCTCATAGTCTCTGCGTGTCGTTCATTATATTGACAACCTCTTAGAACCACCAGCGGATATTCTGAAGAGTGATGCTGTCACTTACCCGATCGTCCCCAGCCCCGAAGCTGCATCCCTCAACAAATAGACGTGAAATAATAGAACCGGCTTTGTACAAATAGAAATGTCACTTTATTTTCGCAGCGGTCCTCCTGACGCCAGTGGTATATGAATTATACGATAATGATGCAAGGCCCTCAGTGCCTGTGTAGTAAACTCCCTCCTTTGTCTCTGTGCGGCTTTCATCTTGCTGATAGCAAAGATTATCTTGCAATCAGAAACCCAGCTTGTGATACTGGGGTGAAAGACGATGATAAGTCTCACCTTCCCTGACCGGGGAATGGTGCTAACGCATATGCTTTGCAAGTGTCTGTGCCATGGGTCCCGTTCGCTATCTGAGATAATGGTCGATGCAAATCCACAGCATGGCAGATGCTGAAGATCTTCTGATAGGCATGATATATTTTTCTCATGAAAGTTCTCGCGGCGCATGCGAATTGTACCATTCTGTATGCATCTATTGGGGCGCTTGTGGCATTCGTCCTAACTCCCTGCCTAGCACTTCCATCCTACCTATCGGGCAGGTTTATGAGCATCACTATGACTGTGTTAGTGGTCATGACCGGATTTCATCTTGGTTTGGCTTTCCCTCACCTGCAGCTCCATCAGTTCCTATAATAATCTATATCTGCCATGATATTGCCAACATTACCGTCGCATTTGCCGATTATGTTGCCCTCTCCACTCTCTTCTCCGAATTTAGAGTAGTCAAAGGTCTCCCCAAAGCCCTGGCATATCTGCAGACTTGTGAAGTGATCCTATATAAGGTCTCAGCAATCGCCCTCTATTTCTCTGTGGGCAATGACATCGTCGACCCCTGTCCACGGCTCCGTGGGAAAAGTGTTTCGTAAGGTCTCCACCACTCACCAAGTTGCAATGCCAACGGTAACGGGTCTAGAAGCTAGAGTCCCTAGCAGATCATTAACTAGATCATTCTCGGCTTTTGTTGGGGGGTGGGTATCTGCCCATATTACAGTCAAGGTCATCTACGTTCTTGCGTTTTGTGGTACTAAATCCATGCATCCCAAATCTTCTACAGCTCGAGACACATAGTGATCTATCTCTTTTCGTGTTCTCATTGTTCATGGCTGGGGGCACCAGAACCCCCGTTTTCAAGAATGTGCTCAGCCTGGTGTGTTCTGCCTGCTTCGGCCCATGGTCCTTCAACTAATGATCTCTATAGGGCTCACGATCTGTCATTGGGGTTTCATTCAATCTTCCACGCATGTTCTGGCTTGACGCAAATCGGAATTATGTTTGATGCGGAGACAGATGATAACATTCTTCGGCAACCTATACTTATTCTGACATTGATCATTGTGAGTACCAACGGGCCCCAGTAATTCTGATATTGACAGCAGTCAGTGCATCATCGGTCTTTTTTGCTCCCTTTGACCCATTTACCAGAATTTACGTAAAGCAATGGGTGGCACTTGCTATGCAACCCATCTCCTTTCGTGAGCATCTGTCATTCAAGCTTTCAACAGGAGGAATATCCAATTAAACTCAAAGATCAAAAGTTTAAATCCTTCCGTTCAATCCAATATCGGGGCTTAACCCAGGATTCTCGGTGTGGCCTATTTGTCCCTTGGTATACCACAAAGCATGTAATCATGACTACCTACTTGACGCACCGTTCAACTCCTATACCAAATCTCCAAGTAACTCCTTGACATCTATAGAAACAAATACATTAATATACAGGTCAAACCGAGCAATCTTCAGAATCAGGCCACTAGGTCCCAGGTCAAAAGTACCATAGTACGATTTTCCCCATTTTTCCCAGAACCAGTCGGAGAATTGCTAAGGGGTCCATGCAGCGTCACACGCTCTCCACCCAATCCTGCCAAATTAATGATTCCGGTCTTTTTCGACTTTCCCCCCATCCATGTCCCAGGAAGATACTTCAAATTAGTCCCATGCGAAGATACCCGGGAATGCATGTGGTCCCAACTGGGAGGATTGTATCATGCATATATACCCCAAATCCCGCTGGAAGCGCAACGGCCTGCATGCTTTCCCAACCAAACCCCTCCTTTATAGGCGAGCTGGGACGGGGGCGATCCACCCGGGGGAAACATATCCTTGCTCCACCTAGAGTCTCCCATTCATAGCCAGCGGAGGACCCCTGCACTGGCTTGGGGAGAAACTGTCGGTGTAGTAACAGTGACATGGAGAAATGCATTTAACAAAGCCGGACAAACATCGCTTGATTTGTCTGGGTACTGACAGAGGGCCAAGCAGTCAACGTCACTGCAACCCTCTCGACTGGATTGCGCAGATGTACCCATCTAGGACCCAATGCAATGTCACGGAGCTGCCCTGGCCTATTCAGCTGGTATATTCAGCTTGCCCGGTTATTTCTTGGCGCCTTTGGAGTCATGGAAACTGTTCCAATATCGATTCACGACTCGCTGAGTGATCGACTCGTGGTCGACCCGATAGCGGCCTAGAAAATAATTGAACAAGGCGAATTCATCTGGAGTCAAGATAATGGTGTCTTGTTCCGCTTGGATCCGGGTCCATAGCTCGGCGATGGCGGCCTCCAGAATTCTAGAGGTTGAAGCATCCACAGGCGCTTCAGCTGTGCGGGCGCGATCCAAGGCTGTTCGGATGCTCTGATCTTGGGACTCGGGCATGGCGAAAGATGGCTTTCCTCCAATGCTGGGAAGAGCCGGGATTTTTAGGATACACCCAGGGCGAAAGTAAAGACAGAGGTAAAATCCAACATGCGACCAAGCAGGAAAACCCGAGTCTTTTCAATCATGAAATGGAAACAAAGTGGAGCCCCGAGAGGAGGGGGGGGGAAAGAGAGAAAGGGGGGGTGTGTGAGGGACCCGGCTCAGTAAACCCGAGATTATCACTGTGTCAAGGTTCGGAGGACCTATGAGTTTAGTACTTATACTCGCACAACGGCCTTCATGCCGACGAGAACGGGAAAAATAAATTGTAGAAAATAAATAGGGCCGTTAAATCCAGAATGAAGCTGAAGTGGGGTCCATAGAACGGGTTCGGCCGTAGAAGAGCGTTTACACTGGCGTAACGGTTTCGCGAAATGACATGCTTAGGATCGAACTAAGCCGGGGGGGATCGAGACGAGTCCACGTAGTCTGGTCTCTGATTCGTTCATTTGGGAGGGTTCAAGGGTAAGGCATATCGCTTAAGCCCATTAGATTGGAGACGCGACCAATCCAACTCGCAGGAATGGTGCAAAGTCCGGTGCATCAGTTGAGTGGAGAATACTCCACTGCTCTTTGAGGCTCCTAGATTCGGCTATTCCGTGACATTAGATTCTCCTTTCCCATCAGGCCATGGTGACCTCGGCAACTATCATCTCGAGTCAGCTCAAGGTGAAGTCAACTCGGAGATTGCTCCATTGTGTCGGATCTGGTCATCGTCCTCTTCGGGGGCTTTCTCCCTCTCTCCACTATGGATGGGCACCCTGCTCCATCTCGGATGCGCAATCCTAGACCGTTTCAGAATGTCTCGCGTTCCGATCGATGGAGCTTTAAGGTTGGAGCTGGCGAACTGCTTGATCTCCTGAAAACAAGGAAGTTCCGGGAAATGAGGAAATGAGCAGTTGAAAAGTCTATGGCCCCTCACCGGAAGCAAGAGCCCAGACAGGCTATTGCGCCGGAATTGAAGTCCAGTTGCTTGCTCCACAACAAATGCACTGTTTCTTCTGTGGATGAGGAAGAATTCAGGAAGGAGGTTGTGAGAAAGACTCCACATACAACTCTAATACGTGGCTGAACCGGTCCGCTCCCCAAACAAGGAAAAATCGACGGAAATGCTGAGTTGATTCGGTCCACTTCCGATTATCTTCATCTCTTGAAACTGGAGAAGTTTTGTTGCTACTGTCCAAGGATCGCTTCTATAGGGCCTTGGTAGGGTCAATCTGTGATATCTATGCCTATGCAATCATATTGCGTTCCAAGGTTATCATCTATACTTGATATCGAAGTGACTTGAACCACGGGATTGTTCAGGTACAATATATGCAAATAGAGCACCTCAGTAGATCAAATCTCCAATACATTCTAGTACATGCTATCTCATCATTTGTACCGTGCAGCCTTTATCAATCATGATTCCATAGATATTATTCGTATATATCATTGACGTTGGTGGATTAATCATCGGGGCGGAAAGGGCAGATGTTGACAGCTTCCCTTCAATCCCGCTCTCCCTCACCACAACCACCCAGCATGCCTACTCCCTCCACTCAAGGTGCGCGCTCGAATCTCTCCAATCTTGGATCCCCCACTCATACCCTTTCAGGCGCGAAAGCCAAGAAGAACAAGAAGAAGGCCGCGCAAGCCAAGGTGAATGCCGATGCCGATGCCGACGCCGAGTCGGCAGGCGCTCCTGAACAACTCGAGGACGCCACCCAGGTGCGTCATAGATACTCTCCTCTTCCCTTGTAACTCCGTGCTGAGGATTCTAAGGACGATCCTGATGGACCGGACGAGGGAAAAAACCCCTCTACCGATGCCCCTCCACCCGATGGTTGCGCGCTCGATCAGTCTGCCAATGACAACGTATCCGGCGATGTATCTCGAAAGACTGAAGACATCCACCCGGCGGTGACCGAGACCGAGACGGAGCCTGAGCCCAATGACCGTTTCGATGCGCTGGTTCGAGACCGAGACTGCCTACGGGCCGAAGTCACCGACATGCGGAAATCACTGGAGGAGATCCAGACCAAACACCGTCTGGAAATGGAGGCCCTACAGCAGAAACTGGACGATACAGAGTCCAAGAAGGAACAGGCAGAAACCCAGTTCCAGAAGCTGTTGGAGCGGGTGAATATTATCAAATCTCAATTGGGAGAGCGACTCAAGGAGGATGAGGTGCGTGCATCAACTCAATCATTGCTCACTGACTTGCGCACTTGCTCATACCGCCCTTGTAGGAGGAATTGACCCAAGCGCGATCCCAGATCGAGGAACTCGAGGATGAGAATGCAAGCTTAAAGTCACAGCTCGAATCCAAATCAACGGAATTTGCGAACCTCTCCAACGAATCAGCACAGCAAGTTAAAGAGATCGCTACAATTCGAGACCGGACAACCCTCTCCCAGCAGAATTGGCTGAAGGAGCGACAAGAATTGATCGAGCAGGAGTCCTATCTGCAATCCGAGTTTGAACAGGCCAAGGAAGCCATGCACAACTGGGAAGTACTTGCAATGGAGGAACGGTCAATCCGGGAGAATCTGGGCGAGAAGGTCGTTGATCTCGAGGAGCAGCTTGGCAACCTCCGCGATGCCTACGAAAAGGCTACAAATGAACGCGATACCCAGCAATCTACCGTCGACGGTCTGCAACGGGCACTGCAGGAGATCCAATCAGCACGGAAACAGGAGCTCCGTGAGCTGGTAGAAAGCTCAGATACACAGCTGGAGGAGTTAAGAGGATCGCTCCGAGAGGCACAGCAACAAGCCACCGATGCGGACAAGAATATTAAGGCCGCACAAGAAGAATTGGATCGAGTGCGCCCATTCGAGAAGGAGGTGAAAGAGAAGAATCTTCTCATCGGAAAGCTGCGTCATGAAGCAGTCACGCTGAACGACCACCTTACCAAGGCCTTGCGATTCCTCAAGAAGGGGAAGCCGGAAGATAATGTGGACCGGTGAGTCCCCAAGAGCTTGCAAACTCCACACTTTTTCTTCTATGCTGATGTCCCTAGCCATATTGTTACCAATCATTTACTGCATTTTCTTGCGTTGGACCGATCGGACCCCAAGAAGTTCCAAATCCTGCAACTCATAGCAGCCCTCTTGGGCTGGGATGATGGTGAGTTCTTATCCAGTGCTACTCTATCCAACAGTCACTTACGAATGTGTTCAGAACAACGAGAGCAAGCTGGGCTCGCTCGACCAGGTACGTCAAGTATGCCTGGTAAGCTTCGGGTGCCCGGAACTCCCCTACGGACTCCTAGTACACCCAACCTGGCCGAATTCATGGACAATGGAGTCTCTAGCAAGGAAACGCTAGCGGAGCTATGGTCCAATTTTTTGGAGCAGGAAGCAGAGGTGGGCAACCTGAACGCGATGAGACGAGGAAGTCACCCAGGACCTGCTAAATCATAATGTTCTTGGGTCTTGAGTTGTATAGAAACGAACGCTCCAAAATACTTGGTATAGCATTCCGCATAACCATGTCATGTCGTTGCAGGCATTGTTCTCTTATTTTCATGTTTTCCCTGGCTTTCTTTTCTGTGAATCAGATCTCCGTATACATCTGGTAAACAACAACCTCTGGTGATCTATCTTTTCCAAGTTGCGGCAGTACCCTGGACATCAAGAGGTATATGGCCGTCTCGGCATCAGTGCCTGGCTCTCTGCCCAGTTCCAGTTTGCAAAGCGCAGATGTCAACCCCGTTGCCTTTTGGACCAGCTTTACCTGGGGATGACTTGAAAGATCTCTAAACAGCAATGAAAAACAAGGCGGACCAATAAGAGTTTCTTCGGGATAATTAAGGAAACTAAGTACATGGAGGAAACCAGATAGCACAAGCGCTGGATACCAAAAAGACTTTCCCCCGCAACAGAAATGGTAATAAGAAAAAGCCCGAAGTCATGTCAAACGGGAATGAAGACGAAAACAGACGCAAAGGAAAAATGGGATATCTGCAAAGGCCGTCGAAAGGGACAGGTTAATTTTTCAGAATGATGTCCATGACCATTACACATCACTCGCCATCAGGGAATTAATATCCGTTCATGGCCGCACGTTGCGAGTTGCGGCTGAGTTCCCGATCCGCCGAGGGGCTGATGGGACGGCTGCCACCGGTGTGGCCACCAGCAGCGCTGCTCTCCTTCAGAGCCAGCAGCTGCTTGGCACGGAAGGTCTCATAGTGGATTTGGCTGGTGGTTTCCACCAGATCCTGAAGGTGGGTACGGGTCAGGAAGTTGCGCAGGTAGACAAACTCGCAGTGGTTCTCGTCCTCGACGTTGATGACTCCCCAGCGGTTCTGGCGGCCGCGAACCTGCTTGCCGTTGACCACAATGGTCTTCTCACTGCCGACAACCGAGAAGGGAATGATGTCCTGCAAATTGATGGTCAATACCTATGCCCACAGATCATATTTCAAGTCCCCAGTATCCCTGTCTTACCTTAATCTGAGCATTGATAGCCCGCTCCTCATCGTCCAGCTCGCCGTTGTCGTAGGGGTACATCTTCAGGTTGTGGAAGGCGAACTCCTCCTTGATGCGCTCCTTGAAAGCTTGGCGCTCCTCGAGGGTCAGAGAATCGGCCTTGGCGATGACGGGGACGACATTGACAACGTCGGAGAGCTTCTTCAGAACCACAATATCGATGGGCTTGAGGCTGAATGAACCACCATGGATTAGCCGGGGCGTTTTAAATTGGAAGATCGAAGCTTCTGCCCAATTCCAGGAGAGACTCACGCGTGACCAGAGGGCTGGATGAAGAACAAGCAGCAGTGGATACGGGTATCTTGGATATAACGCTCACGCTGAGCTGTGAGCTCCTTGCGAAGGTATGCCGAGTGCTGATCCTTGATGTACTTGACAATGGGGTCCCAGCTGGTGCCATGTTAGCGCGGGAGAATATAGAAAATGTGGGTGGGAGGCTCCGTACCAACGGTCGTTGTTAACCTGATCTCCGTAACCGGGGGTGTCGACGATGTTCAGGCGGAGACGCACGCCGTTTTCCTCGATGACTAGTGAACGTGTGAGCCATTGCGATCTTGCGTCAAAGAAGTTCCTCGTCAGATTGACAGCATACTATGCGAGACCGTCTGGATTTCGGTGGTGGAGCGCACGGGCTCATTGGGGGTAAGACGGCCCTTGGAGTCGATCAGGTGGGACGCGAAGATGGTGTTGACCAGTGTGGACTTGCCCAGACCAGTTTGTCCTATATAAAAGGTTTAGCAATGTTTAAGATAAACCATGTGAGAATGGATCCGCGCGTACCAACACACATCACATTGAACTGGAAACCACGCTTCAACAGCTTCCGCTCAATCTGGGAGGTGATGCTATCGAAACCGACATGGCTGTGGGGGAAGACGGTGGGCTGTTGACCCGTGGCAGAGGTGGTAGCGGCAGCCATTATGGGGGGAGAAGTCAAGTGTCAAAAAGGAATTGCAAGAGAACAAATTAAGATAAACCCCAGAAAGCAAAGCAAGAACCTCAAGAGCAATCAAGGTGAAGCCCCTTAAGTTGTTCTTTCACTATCGACAACTCAGGGGTGGACGCTATTCCTGATTCGGACTAGCGTGGAGACTGCGCAAACCGCGATTTGGTTTCTTTTTGGCTTTGGAACCTCTTAACCACGACGTTCAACAACTCCACCATGGCGTCCCTCTCGCTCTCTCGGGCTCTACCTCAGCTGCCTCGCTTTGGCCTCCTCTCTGCCGCAATCGCCTTACCTTCCATCTCCATCACTGTTCCGCCGCTACTGTCCGATCTCTGGGATTCTGTCCTCCGCGCCGTCCCGAAGAAGAAGACCTCGCACATGAAAAAGCGTCATCGCCAAATGGCTGGAAAAGCTCTGAAGGATGTTCAAAGTCTCAACAAGTGTCCAGGTTGTGGCCAGGTGAAGCGAGCTCATCTGTTGTGTCCCAATTGCGTGAAAGGTACGTGTGTGCGTGTGGAGGGATGTTGGTCGCCATGCCGCCAAGCTCTAGCGATGCATATTGGATTCTCTGTCTCAGAGACAAGAAGGCAAGAAGGGTAAAGCAAGCTGGAATTGGGAAGCTAATGCCGAGAATAGATATCCAGCAATCATGGAAGTCGGCCCAAACCGCATGAATTAGCAATGGTCCCGGATTCTGTGTGGTCGAGTACCAGAGTACCATTGACGCGAACAATGGAAAGATAAAAGAAGAATTGTGTATTTCTAGAGTTGATTTCTCTTATATGTTTTTTTTTGGGATCTGCAGATATAATCTATCTGCTGCATGGCACCTGGCGTCTGGTTACGTGGGGGACAAAGAAAGCTTGTATTATTCCAAAGGTCCGAATGGCCTCCAATCAATTGCGATAATTGCCAATTGACCAACTCTCAGTTCCAGAGTATAATTAAGGAAGATGACCTAGAGTAGATTGTGAAACAATTCTTGTAATCGTGAAGTGCAGACGCATGTCAACTGGGGTCGAAAAGGCGGAATGCGGGCAAAGTCAACCAACGTCATTCCGTAACCGCGGCGATAATCTCGAATCAACCAACTCGAGCATTTTGTTCCAAACAATGGTAATATTCATGAATCTGCTATCTATTCCTAGCTAAAATTCGACAGTCGCGACAATACCTCGCGTGGGGCTCCGCAGACAATGGTGAGTGATGGGATCATCGAATGGTTATCAGGCTGCACAAAAATAAGCTAACCCCTCACCCAGCGCACCCCGTGGATATCTTCTCTCTGGCAGTAACGGACAAGCAGGTCCTGTCTGCCTCGGGTTCCCCGTCTCTCAAGGTGCATTCCACCACTGAGGCAGACTTCCCGTTAGTCCAATCGATCGAAGGAGCTCACACTTTGGGCTGCCACCATGTGGTCACCGATGCCAAAGGCTCCCGCGCCATCAGTGCAGGTTTTGCAGGCGACATCAAAGTCTGGTCTTGCCAGGATGGCCACTGGTCTGCTGATGAGACTTCTTCAGGTACCATTTTCACTTTGAATGAGAGATCTATACTGACCTATTACTAGCCAACCTAGCCAACGTGAGAGTGTGGGCAGTGGCATTGGCCGAGGACGGTCAGTACTTGGCCGGTGTCTCCCAAGATGGCCGAGTTGGAGTATGGGATCTAGGTGCGAACGGGGCTCAAATCCGAGACCACGAGACCAAGGGCAGCTTCGGTACTTGTATCGACCTGGTATGTCCTTGAAGAATGCCCCATCATATCCTCTGCTAACACTTCTAGTCACCCGATGGCCGGTTCATTGCCAGTGGACATGAAAATGGTGCCGTTTACATCTTCAGTACTGAAACAGGCCGCATGCCATTCTCTCTGTCCGGTACGTGGTGCAATATGCTCGGAGACTTCTACAAGACCTAACAAGATATGCAGGCTTGGTGAAGCCAGTTCGATCAGTGGCTTTCTCACCCGGAGGGAAGATCCTGGCAGCAGCTGGAGACTCCAAGGTGATCGTGCTGTATGACACATCCTCCGGGGAACAAATTGCAAACCTTGCAGGCCATGCTGCGTGGGTATTGTCTCTTTCCTGGAGCTCCACAGGGGAGTATCTTCTCAGCAGGTAATATCCATAGGATCCTTTGACCATACGAAGAAGTCTATTACTAACCCGTTTCCGCAGTTCATTTGATGGGAAAGCCAAGGTCTGGTCCATGGATACCAAGATGTGCGTCGCCACCCAATCTGAGACAGAAAAGGCCGTCTGGAGCGTGAATTGGCTGCCCAAGAGCAGCCGGTCCGAGGCCTTTGTGACTGCTGGCGCAAACAGGAGCCTTGCTTTTTACCGCGAGGCTACCGGGGGGTAAAAAAATCGCGTTGCCTTTGCCAGTGGCCTACGAAGGCTTGATGATTTCGGCGAAACGTGGTAATGCTCCATCTTTAAAGCTCATAAATTTCATACCACAGATATCCATACACTCTGAAAATCTATCTTCAGTTCATCGTTTCCACAAATAATTTGCGCATTCGCTTGAGAAATGCGCCAAAGTCTCGGTCCTCATTGACAAGGTCAACCTCGCGCTCCAGAGCTTCACGATTCACCTTTGGTCGGGTGTGAAACACCTCATAATCACGACTGGCGGTTCCTAGTTCAAACCATGCCTCCGCTTCCCAGTCCTTCTCGACTATATGACTGTAGACAAATTTCAACCGGTCCTCTCGGCCTGCTCCCTCAATCCGTAGACAGAGGTAATCCTGCCAGAACTCTAACTCCGGATTGTTGAGCCGAGACTGCGCGTCTAGATGTTTTGCGTGGTTTTTCTGTGCCTCCAATCGTTGGTTGATTGCCTTTCGGGTCTCCGCAATTTGTTGTTTGAGACGGTCTCGCTTGGTGAGTCGAGAGTCGCGCTCCATGGTGATTGAGGAAATGGCCGTGTGCATTTCAGCCGCCTCCGCCGCCTCTTTCTGAAGAGTTTGTTCATGAGTTTGGGATTTGAGGTTCAGAATTTCAATGTCACGTTGTCGCATCCGTTCGTCCTCTATGTTTATCAGTCAGGGAGGGGTCAAAAAGTGGGGTATCACTCAACGCACCTTGTAATTCAGCAAGGTTGATATGGAACTGATTTCGCTCCTCGAGAACTTGTTTGCGCCCTCGTTCAATGAACGCGTCGAATTTCACAGTAAACTGTGCCATGCGATTGCGCAGATCCTCAAATCCAAAGTTGATGCTAGGTAGGGAGTCTGCCATGGATGGCGCATCTGCCGAGGCGAGAGGAGGGCGCATGCCACTCGTTGAGAGCGATGGATCAAATGAAGTCATGTTGGTGTTGATGCGAAGATTATATTGAAGATCGCGTGGAGAGGGAGAGAGTGATCAATGTTTGGGTTGCGGCGCAACGGGAGTCTTATCGTATCGATAAGCACGATAAGGAAAAAAGATTCACCTTCAAGCTTCATCTATAATTCAGACGTCGTTCTTCCCTGCCGACATGATCTGGCCAAGTCTTGCGCACGCAAGCACAGCAAGATCCGATGAAAGACCCGATGGATCTCGAATTTCAGACTACCCTCGGGCCCATCCACTACGTGAAGAAGACCGAATCCTGGAGCTTCCCACGACCGTCAAAAGCCCCATCATTCTCGTATACCGGAGTGACGAAGACGGTGATTCCATCGCCTCCACGGACCTCCAGTCCCGAGCCACTTAATACATCTGATCGACCACAAGGTATCAAACGGATTCTTAAGAAATACCCGGACCTACGTTTAATGCGCTTCCCTTGGAGTCAGCACTACCCTTGGAGTAAGCGCTTCCCTGGGCACTTTCGCGAACTTCCCGAATTGTTGCCAGCGAGCAATGAAAATTACACGTCCCACGTATCTTCACTACTGGACCTAGGGTATGCCGCAATTTTCCCTCCTCGGGATTCCAGTCACATCTCGATCGCAGCGACGGTGACCGGAGAAGGTAGAAATATTATCTCACTGCGCGTCATAGTTGAGGATACTTGGGAGCTGTCGCGTGATAGATCTGCAGTATGTGTGCCAGCCATCAGCGATGAAGAAACGACAGAATGGTCAAGACCAGGAGCTCTGATCCAACAAGTTTGTTTTGCACGGCCGCCCGAGGGCGAGAAACAAGGAACTTTGATGGCTGCTCGCCTTCTTGACTCGACCATGCTATTTCGGCCTCTATATAGGAATGCTCCAGTAGCACCTGCCAACCTCTACCATAGCATTAATCCCAGTTTGCTACGAACGTCTCGTCTTGATGCGAATCCCCTTGTCGAGATACCGATCACATGGACCGGGGGTTACCCGCATGCTGATATGGCATTTAACCCTCATCAAGATAGATTGGCCATCATCGACGTTCAGGGCAACTGGAGTATTTGGGAAATTGAGACCGAACACAAAGAAGGCAAAGCCAATGCATTTGTCGTTGCTGGCCCTAGAGGCTCGATGTCATCACTCGATCCAATAGGGACCGATAATAATAAGCATCGTTGCAGGGGATCCATTCAGTGGGTCAATGCCTCGACAGTTTTGGTTGCTGATCGTCGAACTGCTGTTCTTTTTCATCTGGAAGGAAATGAATCCCGCGCTCTCGAATTGAAATTGAAGAGTCAGCTTGGAATGGAGAGCCTGTTCGAAATGGAGAGCGACAGCGAACTGGAGACCGACGCTGAAATTGAAAGCGATGCTGACATGGAGAGCCAGCTTGAATTGATCCTGGATGTGAAGAAGAGCACCCACCGCACATCACTGTTCTTTATTCTCACATCGACCCGACTTCTGCTCTTCGACATGAGAAATGCAAGGGATGAAGAGGGTAGACCCTTGCCTCTAGAAGCATCCCTGATCTGGCGTTTTGATGGATATGTCTGTGACAGGACTTCAAGGCTCAGTGATTTACTGATCGGAGACTGTACGTATGTCGTTTGTGCACATGAATGCAATGCTGACTGAAACAGATCTGTATCTCGTCTTGTACTCCCGCCGTCGTGAGATGGTTCGAGTATTTCCATACACTGAAACGAAGGGATTTGTCCGTCCAGATTCTTTCTTGTTGAAATTCCAACCACCACTAGACCCGTCTTCTATAGAATCTATAGAAGGCGAGCATTTTGATAACCCGCCCCGTTATTCCACATTCGTGTTTAAAGAAGTCGCTTATTCCCCTGTTGGAATCGCACCCCATCCTGAAATGACTCTTATCAAGCTTTTTTGGGTGGATAAATCTCTCGCCGTGCATGAAACGCTTTTCAAGGGCCCAGCTCAGATGCGAAAGCGCAATGAAGAGAAGGTCAACGGCAATATCCTTCGTGCGAGTAAAAGCCCCTTTGCGAGAGTCTTGAGCCGCATTTACGACGATTTCGTGGTTGACGACTGGAACGAGGATGTAAGGCCTCCCCAGACTAGGGCACGAAAAGCCCGACTGATTAAACCCAAAACTCTTTACGAAGATTTGCGCTGGACTCTGAACTTTACTCCCCTTTATAAACATGCCTTGAAGGGGATTGCTGGCTGTGTTGCTCAGGTCAAGCTTGAACGGTCTCGGCCTAGCTTTGACCGAATTCTTCGTAATTTGGCTAAAACAGCGAATGCAAAACGGCAATGTCAATCTATGTAAGTTCTATTCAAGAGTCAAACCCGATATCCATGACTCACTGATTCCAGATTCCAGATTAGCGGTCGACCAATGTCAAATGATATCGAGCAAAGTATTGATGACACGAAACGGCTCATGTCAATCCTTCTCCCTGAGCACCCCAATCTTACACCCCATCAACCATACATGATTTTAAGGCTTCCATCTTCCGATGTGATTTCAGGCATGCCAGTGGCTTCCCAGGCCAAGCAGTCAAGCCTGGATTTCTTGGAGATTTATGACAAACTCATTGACCAGTGGCTCACCAGTCTCCCACCTACAATACCCTACCGGACGCGTCGGATGAAAGAGAGAATAATTCGTGGCATCGCCCTCGATATGTTCTTGGCAAGAATTATTCAAACTCCCAAGGAGGCCAAGGTTGCGAAATCCTCCAAGGACATGGTTCAGGCCGGACCAGCATCCTCACAGCTTCCTTCAAGCCAAAATACAGAATTGGAGTACAGGAGCTCTCAGCAAGGGCCGGAAAATGAGAAGGCTCCTGCAGACTTCCGTAGTCTTTCTGGATTTATTGTCTTCAAAAAGCCCCGCCCCTTGCGCCAAAAAGTTGTCAACGTGCTGTCCCATTGGCAGGTAGGGGCTGATCCCTCCACTTACAATTGGAGACAAGTCACACAGGCACAGGAGGGTGGACCACCTCAACATCGTGTGCGCAAGAAGCGATCACGGCAATCCCAGTTATCGCAGACGCCGGTCGCCCCGCCATCCCTGCGCATACCCAGTACTCCCCAGATTCGGACCTGGGGTAGTCAGCCTGACCAACGGTTCCCGGCCAGCAGTCAGCCTTCGATTAGTGACAAATTCATGACTCAGACCGAGCGAGGACAATTTGGCGCACGGAAACTGAAGAGTACTAAGAAGAGGAAGCGGGCCGAAGGGTTCTAGCCGATATAATCAAAGATACAAAATTAAAACAGTGTAGTTCTATAATATCATCATTATACCCGTATGTGTATATAGTACGGCGGTTATTTGCAAACCCACTTGAAGCGGGAAAACCAATCGCAGAAATCGCTCAAGGGATGAATCACGATTATAAATCCACCATCTGCTCTTCTTTTTCATCTTTCCTTCCTTTCCAAGCTTGAACGGAACCAACTCCACTTTCTCCATCACCCTCTTTGTGTGTGTTTTTTTTTCTGCCATTTCCTTTTCCCCCGCACTCCCCGCTATCTCTCCAAATCATGTCCGATCACCAATACAAATTCAATGTGTCCATGAGCTGTGGCGGCTGCTCAGGCGCTGTCGAGCGCGTCCTGAAGAAACTCGAAGGTAAAATCACCTCGCTCTGGATCGCGACAAAACTGATCATCTGGTAATAGGTGTCAAGTCTTTCGACGTCAACCTTGAGTCCCAGACAGCGAACATTTCCACCGAGCCTACTGTTTCCTATGATACCGTGCTGGCCGCGATTAAGAAGACTGGAAAGACCGTGAACAGCGGTGAGGCAGATGGCCAGACCATGAGTGTTTGAGAATGATAACACTCCGGGACCATCGGGCAACTACTGGCTTCTAGCCCGCGTCTATGATGTTGATGGATTGGCTACAAGGTTCCTTTTGTTATAAGCGCAATATACCGTTTGCACCCCTTCGGGTTATCATTAACTCTGATATCGATGCTAGTAGATAATCTCGCAAGCCTCTTTCCAAGACCATAGACATTGTGAAGGATTGCATTGTAAAGTCCCACGAACGCAGGCGTTCTAAAAATATGCAGATGGGTATCATGAAATATTGGATGAAGACAAAGGAAGATGCGCCGAAATTCCATGATTCATAGGAAAATATAAAAAAACCCCCCCCCTTTCAGTCCATGACGAGCACAGGCCTTCCATCAGACATAGGATGTTGAGGTGGCTGTGATTCAACTCGTTGCACATAGATAGGGCGGCTTTGTTCCGCCATTTGAAATGTTCGGGGGTCATGCACACGTCTGCGGAGCCAGTTAGTTATAGCGGAACAGGATCGAGAAGGATATGTGCGGCTGGTTGGTTTTCGATTTCAAATAGAAGGCTTACCGCATGGTGCTTAGCCCGCTGCCAGGCCGTCTCTCCCGGGGGGTGGGCACACGTCCGTGAGACTGGCGGCTCCCGGGAATAGTCTCTAGATGGTTGAATGTCTGGTGGTGAGAACTATGCGTCACCCGAGGACTTGGGAGACGTTGCTCGGAAGACGCCCGAGGCTGGTTAAGATCATTGGCAAGCAATGGGTCGGGGTTCCTGGGCCGGCTTGGCTGGAGAAGAATTTCCCCTCGAGTAGATTGAGGTCGTGGGCGTTCAACGAAATAGTCAGCCGGACGAGCCTCGCGAGCATCAACGGAACGAACAAAGCCATCGGCGTACTGTTTCCCAAGGGGAGCATTATGAGCCAGAGGACGGTCACCATTAATACGGGGGTTCCAGGGGGAAGGACGCGATTCCTCAAGGGTGGAGGGACGGCTCTGGTCCATGTGGGGGCTACGATCACCATAGTACGAGCGTACTTCCGGGCGAGGGACATCCGGGGCCGCTCTGAATATTCGATCACCAGCTGTCACCGTGCCACTGGTTCCAGGAGAGGGCTGGAAGGGGTGCATGGGCACATGTCCCAATTGGTCGACGGGACGTACGCGATCCAAGTCCCGTCTAGAATCCAGACTGGTGACATGTGGAGCAAAGAGGCCCGCTTGTCTTTCCCGCAGGTGTCCTACACGCAAAGGCTGCTCCCCTGAAAGGAGATGGTCTCGACGGAGATATTGCACATCCTGTTGACGATGCTCGGGTCCGAGTTCATCGCGGCGATATTGGACCTTTGGCCCTTGTTCTTCAGAGACGGGATTTCCAATGGATCTTGCATTCCACGTATCGGGACGAGAATCAGGCTGGAGACCAGCGTAGTAAGCCAATCTTCTCCTCTTGCAGTTTTGATCATCCGGGCTATTTGGGCCAGATCCACTGCCATGGTCATCTCCTTGTGGGTGAACTGGTGTTACAGAACGGAGCGACATCCTTTTAGTCAAGTGCTCTAAACGGAACTCCGGGCGCCGTTTTTCCAAGGGCCAAGGAGCTTCAATGGAAGGGAGAACATGATCCTGGGCAATTACCGCTGGTCGGACCTGGGAAGGGATCGGAGCTTCAGGCCTAGGACCAAATTTGCTTTCATTGCTCTGTTGCTGTTGCAATTCCGAAGGCCCGCTCACAAACATGGGCACATTGGCACGGTCATTGGGTGGCATGTGACTCCTTTCAAGTCGCGTTGAGTCAACAATCGACTGGGTTTTACCTTGAGGGTGAGTGTTATGAACGTTCCAGCGAGGAGTGGTTTCCCTAAGACGTAACTCATGCGGCTTCTGTGTGATTAGTGCTTGGGGCCTTCCCGTGGGCCCAAACTGGGATAATAGGCGTTCGCCTTCTAGTGGAACACGCCTTTCCAGAGTACCTACGTGACTCCTGCCTGCGAGCAATCGCTGAACCGGTGGTTCCCCGTAGATAGGGCCTGGTATGACTCTGGGAGTGGATTCCATGGGCTTAGGGATTTCCCGGCGCCTGATAGGCTCCGAGCTCTCCTGGGTGACAGCAGGTCGCTTCGCATATAGGGGACTTTGCTGTTCCGGGGAGACGTCACCAAGCCGGGGCTGCTCGGTGCGTTGAACTTCAGCTCGGTATCTATGCAAAGCGCGGTTCCAGGCTTGGTATCTGCTAAATCCTCGTCGATCGATGGTCTTCTGAGCGGGCATTTCGGAGATAATGCGGAAACTAGGCCCCGCTTCCTCGGAGAGATCGCGGTTAGGATCTTGGCTGGTCAAAAGGTCCGCACTTATAGGTTGAGTCTGAATCTCATGGGTCCTGGCTGGGTTCGACAGAAATTCCACGCTGTAGTCCCGTGTGTCGGTAGTGGTCGATTCTTCTTCGATTTCACTGTCCTCATCATCTGATATGACAATGACCTCCCGGAAAACATCTTCCAGGACGGTTTCGCCATTCTCATCATCACCACGCCATGCAACAACCTTGGCCAGGGTGGGTTGCTCTACCGCAGATCTGGCCTCTTGGAATGACCCCTGTTTAAGAAGTCGGTCATAGTCAGTGTAGAGGTGGCGGACATGGGCCACCACTGCTAACTGTGCTCGGCGAGCTAAAGGTAGTTCTGATGCTGTACCGACTTTGCGTTGACCCTGACATCCACGATGTCAGGCCTCCCCGATCTGACCACTTGCGATTGGAGACTTTCAATGAACATACCTTTTGAAATGAAGTTTTGATAATCTGAAATAGATCCTTGTCTGGGACGTTGGGAAACAGATCCTTGATCGCATCTCTGGCCTCTGTATTGATCACTTCTTGGGAAACCTCGGAGTCCGGCGGGCGACGATCACCCACAGTACCAAGTGTATGGAAGGAGACCGCCTTTCCTGTACTGGTCAGATATAGTCCGAGCTCCGAGCATACTGCTGCGACCACCGTGCTGGGGAAATGATAGCCTATGCGGTGGACATGTTGTGAGAGATTGTGAGTGTGCATATGAGGGGTTGTCTAAAATCAATGAGCTGCGTCCTGGAAGCTGGATCCAAGTAAGAAGAGAGGGTGCATCTTACTGAGACTGCATGAATCTGGGAACCTTCTTGCCGACATCGCTCCTTGCAAGCTGTAGTTAAGAGTGGGTTTCCTGCGGGAATGAAAGTATAACCCGTGGGTGCTTTCGCCTCGAAACAGATCTATATGAATTGTTAGGCTTGCTTCCCCCATAACAACATATATTCAGAAAGCCACGCACAACGCTCCGCAGCTTTTTCTTCTCCTGAGTCACCGACTCCATGATAACCTTGTGCTTTCGAGCTCTCCTCTGGATGGCCCGGCTGGGGGCGCGCCAGGCCGCAGCCGAAGCAGCTCTCCTCACAACTCGGGCCATTCTTTTTGATTTCCCACGGTTGGCACTTGATACCACACCACCTGGGAAGTTTCAACACATGGTTCTAGGCCGGAGGGATCGACGCGGAGGGAAGGTCGGAGGGAAGATTGGAGAGCAGGGCGGTCAGGTCATATAAAAACCACCACTTTTTGGTGGTGACCAAGTACAGAGAATCAGATTGAAATGCTGATATAAGATGATTGGAGCCAGCTCATACAAATGAACCGGGGCTTGTCGAAATATTGGGATTTTAAATCTTTCCCTTTTTTTCTCACAGGAGAATGAATGGAAGAGGGAGAGAAGGCATGAAGTGTTGCGGCCCAAAGTCACCTGTTCCTGTTTCTTTTGGGGTAAGTGGGGCCTGAGGCTGCAGCTAGAGATTGGTTAGTGTATCAGAAAACTGTCTTCGGTATTCTGATACTATGCATACTTCCATTTTAGTGCTTGTCTCTTGCTGCTTTTATGTCGCAAGATCGAAAGTTTGGCGTGGAACGGAGAGAGGAAACTTGCAAGAGGCTTGTCTCTGTCCCAGTTCCAGCTAAACGGTGCTTGATGGATGCCCGATGCCCGTATCATAGTATCAGAACCCCATGAATAGCTCTTAACTGCTCTGGAATCGTCATGACCCATATGCTTAAACAGCAATAACCAAACACTCGACTCAATGCTATGTCAACCAAATGCTATGTCAACCACCTAACACCATGAGTCTGCGGGGCTACTTTCAAGTAAAGCAATATTCACGTGACCCAAGCTTGGGCGCATCAAAGCGGCAGTTGTAAGGAAACCTTGGAAACACGGCATGTATAGCTGCATGCGTATTACTTCTCTTCTCGTTCAAGTCCTTTTCTCCCCCACAATTATGACCGTTCCTTCCCATCAACCTATCATTCATGCCTATCGAAGCCTTTACCGACAGGCCCTCAAAGCCATCCGATATTCTACTCCCGCCCGGCATGTCTTACGATCCACCATGCGGAGTGCCTTTCGCTCAAATCACACCGAGTTGGATCCCTCTAAGATTGCCAACACTTTACTCTTTTTGGAACGAGCCACCGACGTCCGCGGTCTAGAACACAAGATTATGAAGAACTTGATGTTAGCGAGATATTGGGAACAGCCCCATATTGCCAGAGAGTCACGCGTGTAGGTGGCCCCATTATAGCGTCAGAGAACGGAATGTGTTTAATTTTGACTTGGTCGCAGATTAAAAGTTCTAGGTCTCGGCAAAGCAGAAGATAGATTACGCAAGAATGCTTATGAGCATTATAATTTGACTCTTGAACGCCTGAACGAGAGCCTGGGGACATGCCTGAAGTGAGGAGATAGATCCACTGCCTCTCCGATTCGCTGCACCACAGATCCTCCGTCAGGCGCCCGTACGTCGACTTTGGGCATAAATGCCAAATGAGGCGCCAAAGCAGCTCTCCCAAAACGGGAATATGGGTGCTTTCCCTGACCTCTGCTTTTCTCGACCTGGAAGAGGGCTCTTCCCACTCAACTTCGCATCTGAACTTGTGTGGATGAGGTAATCCACGCCTCGAAGGTCCATTGTCCTGAACCACTCGACGAGGACAAACAGGCTTTCCATCGGGCTTTTCCATATATGGGAAATTGCAATGCATGACCAGATTCACGAGATGGAATACATCGTGCTGCATGCCTGGTGGCCTAAATGGACCAAAAAACCACATATTGATATTTGATTTGTCCTCAGAATTGACGATATTCTAATATATTTACCTTGCTCCAATATTTTTGATCCTCACGCTTTAATCTGTAACTCCATAAACTCATAGTCCTGGCTTCCATTGTATAGTTTACATTGGCAGTACACCATCCTTGTCCACAGCGATGATTCAGCATAATCACATGCCAGCACTTGAGTATGATTATCCAACCACACACGATCTTCAATCTTTGATCTTTCGAGATTTTTATATGAATTTATGCTTTTACTCCTAGAAACGTTGTTTGATAATTCTAAATGTGATCCCAGCCCTTCATGAGCAGCTTCATCTCTTCGCTGCTGACTGACCTCGGACTTCTTACCCGCACACCTCCCCGCCACCCTCAACCCGAGTCGGAGTTCCCTCAAAGCGGACAAACAAAGTCATCCTCGAGTGAACCCAGCCAACCCACCGTGAGCGACCAAAAATCCGATCGTGGAGCCTCAGAGTCTATTGCCGGAGATGCGGGGTCCTTGCCCAGCCCTCCTTTCTTTCAAACCTTACCGAAAGACATGGATGGCCGCACCGCAGACCTGTCGGTCACTCGACCTCTGACCGGCGAATTCATGGCCGGGGATCGAACCGACAATGTAAGCAATTCAAATACAGACCACAACCCTATGACTCATCAGGATTTGTCTACTCAACACGACGATTCGGCGAGACCAACGAACGGGCCAACCAGTACCGACCCGAGCCTGGGACATGAAACAAGGCACGGCACTCAACAAAGTCCGCGTCAGACTTTTGACATTGATGAGCTGGGGAAAACCTCTTTACCGGCGGATGATGGCATGAAGTTACTCAGGAATAAAATCCACGCCATACGGGACTTGAATCTCAATAACGATGAAAAGGCACGAAGGGTTCACTACCTCATGACAGAAAGCTATAACTCTACTCGACCATTACCGCCTAACTCCCCAACTCTTACTTCTTCTTGCTTGGATGCACCCGCAAGCCCATTATCCCCTCAAGTGAACCCAGTGAATTCGAAGCCAACGAGCCCCACATTGACCGCGTCCAATACCCAATATGAAAGCTTGTTCAATCTCACAGCCGAAGATTTACAACCTTCATATGTGCCGAGAGTCGAACCCGAATCACCTATAGTCGAGACAGGCGAGGAGGATCCAGATACCGAAGAGTTGAACGGGGTGCTACTAGGCTGCCAGCACTACATGCGAAATGTCAAGCTTCAGTGCTTCACCTGTAAAAAATGGTATGCGTGCCGTTTCTGCCATGATGAGTTTGAAGATCACCATTTGATTCGCCGAGACACGGAAAATATGCTATGTATGCTATGTGGCCATCCCCAGCCTGCGGATCAGCACTGTAGGCAGTGTGGTGAACAGAGTGCGCAATATTATTGTGATATCTGCAAGCTCTGGGATAACGATGGCGAAAAAAGCATCTATCATTGTAATGATTGTGGCATATGCCGGATTGGCCAGGGGCTTGGAAAAGATTTCTTCCACTGCAAGGTGAGTTAGCAGCTCCTCTCAATATGGCGGAAATGCTTATTCTTCCATAGACTTGCTGCGTCTGTCTGCCTATCTCGATCGAAGACACGCATCGGTGTATTGAAAGATCCACCCAGTGCGATTGCCCCATCTGTGGTGACTACATGTTCACTTCTCCAGAAACAGTGGTCGTGATGCGATGTGGTCATAGCATGCATCGTAAATGTCTAGAAGAATATTCAAAGAGCTCGTTCCGTTGTCCAGTCTGCAACAAGACTATCGCCAACATGGAATCGACGTTCAGAAACCTGGATCGCACAATCGAGAGCCAGCCCATGCCTGTCGAATTCAAAGACACGAAAGGTCTCATTTATTGTAACGACTGCGGCGCCAAATCAGTCGTCAAGTACCACTGGCTTGGCTTAAAATGTGATTTGTGGGTCTCGAAAACAAGTTTGATAGGCTGGATGTAAGCTAATCAACGCAGGTGCGAATCTTACAATACAGCTCAAATCCGACTATTGCAAGGAGATGTTTCTGCTGTGCTTGCGGAGGAGGGCGTCGGTGGCTTCCCATCGCGGACCCGATCATCATCTTTGAATGCCAGTGAGGAGACGACAACCTCACTGAGAGCACTCCACCTAAATACGAACCCAACACCCGAGTCACGCCTCAGTGTTCCATCACCTGCTGGACCAGACCAGCGCTCTGTGCCATACAATATGGCCCACGGCCGTGCAATTTCCCCGGTCGTCAGTAATTATTTCGGCCTCCCTCCGGAGCGAGAACCTGAAAAGCCCTCGTCTTTACCTTTCTTCGGCGGCCCACCGCGAGCGGATAATGAAACAGATTATGGAGCTTTGAATTTCTTAAGCAAGAAACTTCGAGATCGCTATGGATTCCTTGCCGGTGATACGGCAGCCGAGGGCCCGTCAGAAGTCGATGAAGAAGACGAGGCAGAGTCCACGGACGGTTCGGCATCAGAAGAGGAGGATGACGATGACGAAGAAGAGGATGAGTACATGGACATTTTTGGTCACCGATGATCTCAATAAGCTTTGATAAAATGGTCAAGCAACACCACACACATGATGGATATCCCCAAACCCGGATTTTTGGCATCGAGGGTTAGGCAAATTCTTTCTCATTGGAGACTTGGTCCAGGTACATTTGGCGCCGAACTTGGGCCAACGACGTGACAGCCAGGATGGCGACATGAGTTCTTGGGTTAATCTAACGATTTAAAAGCCGGTTTGCATTGGCATGGCATACGCATAACTTTCAACTTAGCATTCGTACTGGCATCACAAATAGAGAGCAAGCATGAGGAATTTCACACTATCATTTTACTCATGTTTTCCAGGGCATTAAACTCAATGTTACTATAGTTTAGGCCATTAAAACTTTCCGTTACAGTGACCCCGACAGGAGTGCTCTTTTAGTGACTGATGGAGACCTTCTGTTTAACATCATTGGTGACCAAAGCACGATGTTCACACTTCTCTAAGCCTCCTTCACACTTCTCTAAGCCTCCTTCACACTCGCCTGTCATCCTCAGGGGAAAAACTTCTCCACGATGCCCGTACTGACCTGAGGACGAGAAGTTTTATCAGTTTGGAAACGCAGCACAATCCCCTGCATTTTTTAGCAGATGATCCGTCCAGCTGGTATATACACGGACGTGCAACCCCGGAGCTTCGGGATCCTACATGGCCTGGGGTGCGAGATCGCCAGGAACTCACAGCTTAAGCGGTTTTGAAATGTGGGGTCGAAGGAGTTAGTCAAGCGGATAAGCTTCCATACCCTTGTCCCCTTGTGTGTTGGGTTAACTCCCCCACCGGAACCCCACCGGAGTCTTTCCTGCCGAATATGAACATCCCGGAGTACACATTTGATACCGGAAAGAACACGACTTTGATACCAACCGAACTCGCTCAAACTCCGATTTCCCTTCCGGCGAGGGGGTTCCCCGATCCGAGGTACGTATAAGGACGGTTCATTGAAAGCTTTCTTCTTTAATCTCTGATCCAACGTAATCGTTTAGGATATCATGGATTATCCACAAGAGAGCTTTGTTGCGACGACATTCGCCCCAAATTCATTTTGGGCTCGTCGCCGTGAAGTGGTACGGATTCAAACGTTGCAACATCAGCTTCACATGCTTAAAGAGACTGGCCGGTATGAGGCATTCAATTTAAAGTGGCATCCTAGCTACTCGGTCCCTCCAACGGTCTATCCCATCCCTAATCACCAATTCTGGGATTCCGATGTGGCTAAGTGGATTGAAGGCGCTTGCTACTTGCTTATGGACCAATTCGACTTGGAAATCGATGCGGCGGTGAAAGAGCTAGTGCAGATGATCCGAGGGGCTCAGAAGGCAGATGGTTATCTTAACATCCACTACTCGGTGGTGGAACCCGGCAAACGCTTCACCAATTTGCGAGACATGCATGAGCTGTAAGATCTCTGGAGGCCCCTCTTATATACTTTGGCAACTCACGAAGAATATTCACTATGCAGGTATAATGCAGGTCACCTTATTGAAGCAGCCCTCGCCCATCATCTTCTCTATAAGAATGATGAACTGCTGTCACCGATTCTTAAGTACGTGGATCTTCTAGCTGCTACTTTTGGTGCTCAAGAAGGCCAAATTCCTGGCTATCCTGGCCATCCAGAGGTCGAACTGGCCCTCCTGCGCCTATATAAGGTATCACGAAACCCAGCGCATCTACAGCTGGCTCAGTTCTTCATAGAAGAAAGAGGGAACCCGAAGGGTGGGAAAGGAGAATGTCATTACTTTGATGCAGAAGCAAAGGCCCGCGGCGAGAGCGAGCATGACCTACCCATGTACTTCCCTGCTGCAAGAAGTTATTGGTATCAACAAGCCCATGTTCCGATTGTCGATCAAGAGACAATTGAAGGACACTCTGTCCGCGCTATGTATCTCCTCACGGCAGTGGCAGATCTGGTTCGAATTTGCCAACCCAACAGTAAAACTGGGATAAAGTTCCTTCCAGCTGTACATCGATTATGGTCCAATATGGTGGAAAAGAAGTCTTACGTGACGGGGGGTATCGGAGCCATGAAGAAGTGGGAAGGGTTTGGAATTGATTACTTCCTACCTCAAGGTACTGATGAAGGAGGCTGTTATGCCGAAACCTGCGCCGCGATAGGAGTGATGATGCTTGCCGAAAGACTATTACAGGTATGCCTTGCCCGTTTCAGCTACGATGGTCACTAATCAAACGATTAAAGATTGAACTAGACAGCCACTACGCAGACATCATGGAGCTATGTCTCTATAATGCAGTTCTGACGGGTATGAGCTTGGATGGAAAAGCGTTCACCTATGTAAATCAACTCGCGTCTTCCGATCAGGATATCTCAGAGCGCCATGAATGGTTTGAGTGCGCTTGTTGTCCACCCAATGTCACCCGAACATTGGGTTTTCTTGGTGGATACCTTTGGAGCCACACTATGAAGGATCAGAGTGCCGTTGTCAATGTGCATCTGTATTCATCGGCGACGCTGAGTCTCAAAGTCTCCTCATCCACAATGAACATCACGCAGAGAACAGACTGGCCATGGAATGGTGATGTGGATTTTGATATTCACACTGATGGGCCGCCTGTTGGTCTGGAGTTACGATTGAGAATTCCGGGATGGGCGACATCTTGGAAGGTAAAATCAGTCCCAATGATAAGATAATTTGAGAGCTAATCGTCATAGCAGGTCACTCCCTCTCCGGAGAAGCTTCATGTTCGAAATGGATATATGTTCTTGAGCTCTGAGTGGCTACAAGAGAATTCGCATTTCCGCCTTTCTTGTCCTATGCAACCGCAAGTGGTGCGACCAAACCCTCTGACCCTACAGCCCGTGGCATATGTCAGACGGGGACCAATTGTTTATTGCGTTGAGGACGTTGACCACCCTTGGGAATCGAATCATTTCAAGGTAATGCAGCCCATTTTCATGCAGAGATAAGCACTGATGTGAGAAACGCAGAAAATTCTATTTGATCCTAGTGTGACCTTGCTGGAGGAGCCACGGTCTGAACCAGATTCCTACATTGCTATTGTCGCCGTGGACGGGGTTGCAGGTGAGCTAGATACCTCGGACTGGAGTAGGCAAATTGCAGTTGAGCCTCATACGGAGACTGTCAAAGAACGAAGGAACTTGTGTTTCATTCCATATTACCTACGAGCCAATCGAGGTGGCAAGGGGCAAATGAGGGTCGGATTGAGAGCTGTCTAGTTGTCATATCTGTACATGAATGTTGAATCTATGGTGTACCTATGGGCGAGTTAGTATGAATGGATGGGAGCGATAGAGTGCCCTCAATGTATCAAATATATCATGGCAGTTCACACAACGTTTCAAAACCTCCGTATTGAATGTTTCACATTACATTTATGCAGAAAAACGATGACATTGTTTCAGATGAAGGGAATTGTGCGACCAATCTGTCTGTTATCAGGGTGTATAGCACTGGGAAGGCCTGGAGTCTGGGCAGAGTCTGGGCAGAGTCTGGGCGTACTCTCGACAAGCCAGATTCTGCCCCATTGATGACGATAGTGAACTATATAGTACGATCAAGTTGGCCTTGATGTCTTGACGATAGCGTCACGTGCACAGTCCCTTTATCACCGTTCCTTCCAAAAGCGGCTAGCGTTTATCGGGCGTCGCAGCTTCTCCGCCGAGCTTCGTCACATCCACTTGTGCCGCTGTTGCGGATGGGTAATCCCTGTGAAATCTTTGAATTTGTTGATTTCCAATTGCATATTCTAAAGCCCTGCTGGCACTTGCAAGCATCTATCTCAACTTGACTCTCCAAACCCCGTTCCTACATCCGTCCCCACGTGTCTGATCCCACGGCCCTGTCGCAGACCCGTAGCCATGGCGACTCAGGCTGCGTTGATTGCCGATACGATCATCGGGATGAAGAGAGCTTTGCGCCGAGAGCGTGATGGTATGTGATTTATTTCTCTGCAATCGTGTCAAATCGTGTCACTGACGTCCTGTCCCTCGCAGACTCTGGACCCGATGATCCTATCATGCAGCCCACGAACCGTGGGAATAAAATGAAAGCGAACGCGAAGTATGTTCGGGAAGGGGCAATGGGCTTCATTCATGCAGAGGAGTTTTACAGAGAGGTATGTTATTCGTTTGGAACCGCCCCTCCGCGGGCACAAATGTGGCGACTGGAAAGACTCGAAGACTGACCTATAACTTTTGTTCGGGTCAATAGAAGATCGAACATGCAGGCTACGCCCGCCATATTCTACAGCGAAACCCTATTCGTTATGATTCAGAGGGGGATGAACTCGACGAGGAGGATGAAGACTCTGAGGCAGACACCGCCGCGGCCGAAGAGAACCCGTTCTCGGGGATTGCACTAGAAAGTGGGTGATCTCTTCCATGCCTTCAACTTATCTCCTTTTATATATTGACTGATGTGGTGTGAACAGCACTTTTATGTCCCTTGAAACACCCCTCCGAACTCCCCACCCACCCTTCGCTGTCTCAAGCGTACACCTCGCAAGCCCTAGAACAGATGGCAGGTGCTGTCGAAGAGAAGCTGCGCCAAGAGAAAGCTCTCCTATGGCGTGCCAGGAACCTTCATCGTCAGTTTCTGGGGGACGCGGGATGGATGCCCTGTGGCGCTGTCGAAGCGCCTGAGGACCGGTACATTTTTGAGCCTAGAACTGAAGATGAGAACCCCCATGGATCTTCGGGGCAACAAAAACCAAGTAGGCTTGCAGCAACTTCAACAGCCAATGGAGATATCAACGGGGGCCCTGAGATACCCTCTATGGCATCCAGGGAAGCGCATCACACCCCCAATGGAATGGAGGGCGAGTTCCAGACCACAGAGAATGACGTGGAGATGGCTGAATACCCAGCTGGCTCTGGGGAAACAACAGCAAACCTTGAGACTAGGGAACCCAATAAGGCGCTCAAATCAGAAGAAGCTGATGCGACGGTGAACGACCTTCCACCCCACCCCACGGGTGCAGATGAGCCCCAAAGGAATGGGAACAATCTCAGCCGAGGTGGATATGTTGCCAATGACAAACCAGATGAAATGGACATTTCTCAAGATGGAGAGAAGGTCTATGCTAAGCGTACAATTGGGGATTCGAACGAAACACACGACGAAACTGAGCAAGACGCTGAGATGCACGACGGCTTATCACCTGAGCCACCCCGACGTATGACGACCCGGGCCCGGGCTAATGCAGCCAATCCTCAAGATGAAAACCAATCTCCATCTTCGGAGACTGCTAGCAGCTTTCTCACCCCGCACCCACTCTTTCTTATCCCGGACAACGTCCGCCCAGATGCGAACTTTGGTCTCCCTGCCACCGAGGCAGAGGAAACTCGTCGTCTTCTCTGGTCCTACATTCAAAAACAAGAAGAGACGGTGCGGGGGTTCGAGAATATGCTCAACTCCTTGTTCCGGGCGTGCCACATGAAGGCCAATGTACTTGAATGGTGCAAGGCGGAGGGCCACGTGGGTGAGATGAGCGATGGTGAGGATTGGTATGATCGTGAGAAATGGGGTCTGGCCGAAGGTGAGGACCTCAAAAAAGGAACCGACGAAGACGAAGTGGAAACAGTGGATGACAGTCGGACGACGGCCAAACGAGGTCGCGGACGGCGGGCATAACGCCATCACTCTGATTTTTGCCACGCCTAATTTGTTCTTTGTTTTCGGTCCCTTTTCAGTCTCATAGCGTGGTGTTGGTGGTATTCGGTCCATGCAGAATGACTCGTGCATTGGGCCATGGTCGGTGTCAATATACCCCTTGGACAATGGAGAATAAAATCTTGTCTCGTACTGCTTTTCTTATTTCATTTGAGTTTCTATCTTTTCAAGTGGTTGAAATCGTGTTTTTCTGCGTATATAGATGTTGATATACTTTGTAGAAGCCGTCTACAGGAGAATGACCTCAACGCCATTCTCACACCGGGAGTCAATTGCGATATCTTGACACATATCAAATATGTCACCTGAAACGGATATCCGAGTGCCCCTCTGTTGACTTAATGCCGCAATTCCGTAGATCGACACTCGGCTCTGATCAAGCGCGAGCTCCAAAATGGGTCATGTATATGAAGTTCGAGTTTCGTGTCTCAACACATGGAGACCCATTCCACGTCGATATCTTTCACTTCACAGGACTATATATCCTATATCTCCCACAATGTATAAGATTGACTTTCATCACCACTTCTATCCTCCGAATTTCACCAAAGGTAAGGCTCTTTTGTTCACCTAATTACAACAGATCAAGAAGCAGCTAACAGAATGCTTAGCTCTTAAAAAATCAGGCGGTGATCCATCAGGCTGGTATATTCCCGAATGGTCTCTTGAAGCAGACCAGAAACTCGGCAACGCAATTGGCAATGGCACCACCATCCTCTTCATGACTGCCCCAGGTGCATGCATCGAGAAAGATGTAGTAGCGGCAGCCCATCTCGCCCGTGCTTCCAACGAGTACGCTGCAGCAATCCGAGACGCACACCCAAAATACTATGGCTTCTTCGTCTTGTTGCCCTCCCTCTTGGACACCAAGGCATCTCTTGATGAAATTGCGTACAGCCTAGATATTCTCGGGACTGACAGGGTGCTTCTCTTCACCCGCTACGGCATAGACAACCATTACCTCGGACACCCGGATCTCAAGCCCACATGGGAAGAGCTGAACCGGCGACAGGTAGTAGTGTTTGTGCACCTAACCCACGCCTTCGATACAAACCCTGTGAACTCGCATCTACCACAGTCAATGTTCAATTACCCACAAGAGACCGGCCGTACAGCCATGGTTATGATCACCCAATGGCATACTGCGTGCCTACCCCGAGATGAAGATTATTCTCTCCCATGCTGACGGGACTCTGCCCTAGTTGATTAACCGTTCTGCCGCCCTGCTTCCCCACACACCAATGGATATTGGACTTTCTACTGAAGAGATCCTGGGCGAGGCACGTAAGTTCTACTTTGATATTGCATTGTCAGCTTCCCATGACATGCTGGATTTGTTGTATAAGATCGCGGACCCCAGGCATGTGCTTTTCGGTTGTGACTATCCGAATGTGCCTGTGCCCAGTATTCAGCTAATCAAAGAACAGTTTAAATCTTATCAGCATCTGGAAGGAGCCAATGCACAGGTCACAAGAGAAAATGCACTGCGGATTCTTCCCCTGCTGAAGCAGCGGTTGTCCCAATTAACTACGTGACTCGAGGTCGATTGAACTCATTAAGGAATGCGAATATGTTTGGTGAAATTTGTAAAGGGTATTGACTTCTCATCAAATGGACCTAATGCCACAAGATATCTACTACCTGGAAATGTACTGTGCTAAGACGGGAGATGGATCGAAGGTTTGGCGCAATGGGTGGATATCTTTGAGGTCGCGTGAGGGAGAAAGCTAAAGGGCAGTTGACAGCCCTAGTCGCCGGTATGCTTAAGCCATGGGGCAAAGCAAATGTCTATCGTCTACTTTTTTGTCCCAGCATCGTTGAAGATTCGGATGTATCCGTGTGCTAGATCACTGCCACCCCCCCCCCCCCCCCCCCCCCCCCGGAATGTAGCTTTTCGGGTTTAAGGGGTTCGGGCTGTTATATCTCGTTCTGGCCGAGAAGTTGTCATGTGCGGATCGTGGATGTTGAAAGTCCCAGCCAACCCTATTATACATGCACTGCATTTACTGCTTCTTGCCTCCCTGCTTCTTGGCACGCTCACGCTCACGCTTGGCATAGATCTCAGCAGTAAAGGGGCTGAATAGGCATGCATTAGTAAATTCTTCCAAGGAATGAGGTATAATAATCAAAACTTACTCCTCCCACTGCAGAGCGAACCAGTACAGCACAAAGACCTGGGCCGTCAACAATAGACCGGCCACACGACCCTTGTACAGAGCGACTCCCAAGAAGTTCATGGTACTTCCCCAGTACATCGGCGAACCAGTCACGTTGAACGGGAAGCCAGTGACGGGGGCATCCATCAAAATGCCGAAGTAGTCACCCAGGTAAGTTCCGGTCACGCCAAGGGCCCACATGCTAGACAGGACCAACACGGAGCCCACCACAAATAGAATGCCACCGATAATGGGCTGGTGTACGGGAGCGTAGAAAGGCTGCTCATCCAGAGCGACTTGGTACAAATGATCACGCAAGATACCTAGGGAGAAGATGGCGAAAGCAAGAGCATAGCACCCCCTGTAGGCTCCACCGAAGATGCGAGTCAGGACATGGTTGTTGTATTCTGGCGTTGTTAGCTGTGTGCAAATAGATGAAGCGTGTCATCGACTAACCTGCACGGGCAACAATGCTGCAAAAAGGTCAGTCCACGTGCATAGCATCATTCCAGGGGAGATTATGGACTCACTTCCAGAAAATGGGATTGAAGGCAATGCTGGCCGCGGACACTGCAAGGGTCAGCTCCCGCATCACATGCAAAATGCGGAGAAAGCAATAACAGTTCATTACATACACAATAGTGAGGTGGACGACAAATCGACAATGTCGGTGAGAGTAGCCATGATGGAGGTGCGTGAGGGAAGACAGACGGGAGGAAACCGAGGTGCGTGAAAAAGAGGGGGAAACTGGGTTGAGGAAAGAGAAGAAGCGGAAGATCGCAAGCTTAAGTAAACAAAAGTGACGTTTTCTCCGCAGTCACGGGATTCCATCTGGCGATCATTTCATCTTTGCCCTTTTGGTCATTTTGTCTTCGATTCGACATATCAGTATCACTGTTCTCTCCTTGTTCTACCCTACGCCCTATTGTTCAATGTCCAGTCAAGCTCCCCCCTCTTGATTTGCGGCGACTTGCCGTCATGAGAGGTAGAGCTCTGGTGCGTCTTTGGGGAGAATGGCCCTTCACCGTCGAGATCTGCTCTTAGCCAGTATTGGTGGATTTATTGCCTGGGGTCTGGTAGTGCGCTGGCTACCAATCCTCCGTTATCTGGGATATGCACTAGCTCTAGGGGTTGCACTGTCATCCGCCAGTCTCCTGGCTCTGGTGCTCTTGACGACGCGAAATCAAACCGAAACCCGCAGCGCAAAAGAAGTCTCGGTCGCGTTTATCAAACCTAATAACTGGCGCAAAGAGCTTTTCAATGCGCGGAAGACTACCCGATACCGACCGCGACCCCTCTATCCAGAGTCCTTTGTGGTGTCCGAAGGAATTGACGAACTGCTGTCTCTTGTGACTCGGGATTTTGTCTCGTCCTGGTACCAAAATATTAGCCCAAGCCCTATATTTGCAAATGAAATCGATAAAATCATTCGCATTGCCCTGGAGAATTTTCGAGATAGACTCCTTGCGGAAGACCTGATCTCACTGATCGTGTCCCGTATATTTCCAATCTTAACTTCCCACCTCAAAGAATTCGACATTGCCGAGCGTTCTGTTCGTGGACGCAACCTGAGTCGAAATGTGACCGAATCGGAGGAGCTGGACTTAGCGATTGCCAACAAGTTCCGCGAGGGCCGCCTTCATCCGGCAGTCGGTCTCTCCTCGGTCGACCAGAAATCGCTCCAACAAGAGTACCTCAGAAAGATTACTGTGGGATTCCTTCCCCAGCTGTTTCCAGAGAGTGCGCTCAAAAGTAGGGCCGTTTCTGTTCTGATACGTGAGATTATATCATGTGCAGTCCTCCTGCCAGCCGTGACGGCGTTGTCTGATCCCGACACTTGGAATCAGCTGATGGAGGCTTATGGCCGCTCGGCTTTGCAAGATAGGAAAACTGTGCGCAAATTACGGGCTGCACTCGATGAGCATGCCTCCCCCGCCCCCAAATCCAAACGGGGGCAACCCTTCCCAAAACTTTCGGCAAATGACTCCGAAAGAGCCTTTGAGCGCTTTGTTCGAGCTATAAGACGTTGCAATAATCTATCTGATGCCCGTCGGTTTCGAGCACTAGTTTCTAGCCAATTGAAGAGAGAGAGTATGGTGGATGGGCAAGATCAGGTCTACCTCAGACGCCTGGAAACAGGTAAAAGGGTTTTGGATCAAAAGGTCGCCAAGCTTGCTGTGCCAGGGGAGTCTTCTCATATGCCTCCTGTGACAGCGAGGCATGTGCGGCATGGTAGCTCGTCTACAGCCCACGAGTCTTCCTTGGTAGATGTACTGCACAATGCAGCTGGTTTATCTTATTTCATGGAGTTCATGGACCGTCAACGATTAATGCCCCTGGTTCAGTTTTGGATAGTGGTTGATGGTTTTCGAAATCCGCTGGAAGATGACTTTGGAGACGAGACGGCGGCCTCAGTGACATGGACGACGGCCGATAGGAATGATTTGGCGCTTCTGAGTGAAACTTATCTCACCAAGCCAGAACTTAATGTCTCCGATGAGTCGCGTCGGATAGTCAAGACGTTCCTAAGCGCAGGGAAGCGAGCAACTCCAGAGCAATACCGCAAGGCTCGGACTGTGGTCTTGACCACCCAATCAGCTGTGTTGGAACATATGAAGAGTGCTTACTATCCTAAGTTCAAGGAATCAGACTTGTACTGGAAATATATTGCGTCGGATGAGGCCTCGGGCTCTCATCGGCCGGTGGCCCCTCCTTCTCCACCAGCAGCCACTCTTGAGCCCCGCGAAAGGCGGCCTCTTCCTCCTATAACAGCTCGCACAGCCTCACAGCCGGCCAGCAAGCCGGCTATGGACCTTCGTAGGGCCGCCGTTTCATCGAGCGATGTGCGAGGTATGGGCAAGCTTTTTGAGGATGAAGATTCACCACGACGATCTATAGATTCGGAGCGATCGGCACCTCTGTTTGACGAAGATTATGATACGGATCAGCTTGCCATGTCCACCAACAGCCTAGGAAAGGATTCCCAAAATGGCGATAACGATGCAAGTCAGAGTCATGTGCTTGAAACCATAGAAGCCGCTCTCAATGATATCATTATCAATGAGCCCAAGAATCCAAGAGTGGAGGACCTCAAGGGCAGTGATATCTCCTCTTCTTCTCTCTTTGGAAACCATTCGGAAGCCTCCACCCGGGGCTCACCCGAGACCCCGCGAGTTGATGGGCGCATCAATGAAAAGGCGAAGAAAAGCATCGCATCACTGGGTCTCGTGGACCATGCATCACGACTTGGTGTATTTGACGACGATCTTTTCCCGGACCAGCAGAAATTCATCGAGGATGAATATGAAGAACCAGTTGGCGGGGAATACAAGGACCCAGCAGACGAGGTACATGAAGCTGCACCTGGCGATCTTGGACTTACTGAAGCGATTGAGGTTCTAACTACCGAAATCGACAAATTGACCGCGCAAGATTCCGTGGTCGAGGCGTTGACCCGAAAGGCCGAACTGACGAACAACACGGCCGAATTGAGAATATTGCGCAAGTCCAAAGCCAGCATTGAACGTGAAGTCCATCGCAAAGAGATGCAGCGGCAGCAGTATATCATTCAAGAAAGTGACAACAGTCTCTACGGCCGGTCTACAGTCCGCATCAAATCTATCATGGTCGGCAAGGAGGAGGATGGCCGGGAATTTGCAATGTGTAAGTGGTTTCTTAGGTCTTTCTTTGCTTCGTGAGCTAACCTTTCCTTTCAGACGTTATCGAAGTTCAACGAAATGCTGGTGAACAGATGCCTGCCGCATCCTGGGCGGTTCCTCGCCGCTACAGTGAATTCCACGAACTTCATCAGAAGCTGCGTATGAACTATCCTTCTGTTCGACACCTGGAATTTCCTCGGCGGCGTGTGGTCATGAAGCTCCAAAAGGAATTCCTTCAGAAACGGCGGCAAGCTCTAGAGGGATATCTTCAGAAGTTGCTTCACCTACCCGAGGTATGCCGCAGTCGTGACTTGCGAGCCTTTCTCTCTCAAAGGGCAATACTGCCTAGAGAAGACTCACGCAGTAGCGAGGGTGATACCAAGGACCTGGTCACGCGGATTTATAATTCCGTCGCCGATGGAATGGATGATTTTCTCGGCAACTTTGGTGTCCTCGATCAATTATCCACGGCCGGCCAGAATCTCATTTCAGCCGCGACGAACCAGGTGAACATCAACGCCAGCACCGCCCATGATCCCGCCCTCGCCACTGAAGATGCTGTCACCACTGCCGAGGCTGAAGCGGAGTTGAACGCATTTGAAGACCGTGAGCTCGAGCCCTTTATCAAACCCATATGCGATCTCTTCCTAGAAGCCTTTGAGCTGAACCGTGGGAACAACTGGCTGCGCGGTCGCGCCGTCGTTGTTGTTCTGCACCAGCTTCTCGGTGGTACTATTGAACGCAAGGTCCGGGATAGTGCCCGTTCCTTGTTCCAGGACGACTCTATGATGCGATACCTTGCTATTGCTCGTGATTCCCTCTGGCCCGGTGGTGTCTTGCGCAAATTCCTACCGAGGTCTATGGCGGATCGTCACAAAAGCCGCACTGAGGCCACCGTCGTCCTGGCTACTCTGATCCCAGATCTGGCAGCCAATGTTGTCGGTCGCGCCAATGCCCAAGCTGCTTCGCGCCGACTCTTCGCTACCTTGAATAATAAACCTCTCAATACCCACCTGGCCTTTACTCTTCTCGATGAGATCGTTCTGGCCCTTTTTGGCAGTCGGGAGCCCGGTCGCCCCCGTTAGTTTCTGCCTGCATTCAAGAATCACTCATGACATTTTGATCTAGCGAACGTTTTGTTTCTCCCCATCCACATAAGCCCTGTTTATTTTCCATTTCCTTTGAACTTTCCTGTACATACCAATATTCATCGCACCTGGTGCCTGGTACATAATGACACCCAATATTAAGGTCTTTTAAAATTATGCCAATAACATAGTATTTTAGCCTGCGTGAAAGCCGCTCAGAGGAGCAATTTAAAAAAGGGTGCTAAGGCGCGGGTTGTGGGCCCCTAGTGGATCCACCATGCTTAGCGCAATGCTCACTCCCGACGTCATACTACACAACATTTGAATCATTGGAAATTAGTTGGATTATCTGAGTGAGATAAAAATGAAAGAACAGATGCAGGAGACTTCTCCGATCATCGGGTCTCACCCAGGTCATGGAACATTCGGAGCCGAATGATTCCGGAGTGGAACAAGAAAACGCAAACAAAGAAAAATACATAGGACCCGAATGAAAGAAGATTGATAAAATAAGATGAAAACCAGCACAGCTTCAGCCCGCGTCCTCTTAATTCTTGCTTCTACATCCCAGAACCAGGAGAAACACACGATTGCAGAAGTCGGGATCCTGTGGGATAAGGTCAAAAGAAAGGCTAACCGTTAGATCATAAGGGCAATAGAAAGATATAGCCGAGGAGTGGGTTGAACTTTGTCGTTGCAGATAAGAAAAGAAGCATCAAATAATAGAGATAAGACGGGGTGCCATTGGCCCCTGAGGATCGAGTTGGATCGATCTACTCTTCGTCCTTCTTCTTCTTCTTGGATTTCTTGCTATTCTCGTTTTGGTGTGGTGCGGTGTTCTTGTCGGTTTGGTGCACGATGAACCGTGTCCAGCACTCTTCTTTGTCCCACTCGAAGCCAGCGAGGTAGGGTTTTTCCAACTCATCGTCGGCCTGGGTAAGGTTCTAGTCAGTGGCTTATATGGAGATGCGGAGGGTGAAAAACGTACCTTCTTCTTGAACTGTTTGTGGATTGCTTCTAGCGCGTCCTTGATTGTGACACCCTTCAGATTCCGGGCGGTGACTTCCAGGCCCAAGGGGAAGTGCAGGTCAATCTTCTTCACGGGCGGATTTGTGAGTTTAAGCTTGAGGATGTCCTTGTCTTCGACTGTGTTTGGTGATGTGTTGAGTCTCCTTGAAGGGGATATTAGTGAATATAATAGTTGTGACAATAGCAGACCACTGACCATCCAGTCTTCTGGGTCTCGATGGGTAGGGTGATTTCAATCTTTTGCTCCTCTATAATCTTGCATTAGTGAAGATGTCAGACGATGATTCATTACCAAATTTACCTAGGTCCTTGATGTTCCAGACATCTTCGGCTTGAGATGAGAGTCGCCTGGACTTCTTCTCCTTCTTGACTTCCGTTTCTGTTGGGGCAAGTGGCTTTTCATCTTGTATGGACAAGCCAGCGATAGCAGAATCGACCTTGGTAAGTGGAACAGACATGATTGATGGTTGAGAGATCAGTGAGGATGATGGAAAGGAGAAGTATTGAAAAGGAAAGAGAAAGGAGAAGAGGGGAAAGAGCAGGTGATCAGAAGAGCGGGGGTTTACAAGTCAAGGATGTCATTCCGTATATACTGTACTTTGTACTTCTACAACCAGCTTCCCTTCTCCATCAGCTTTATCTTCTCATCTCAATCTCAATCTCAATCTCAATGTCTATATCCCTGTCCAACTCGTGGATTTCAACAGAACGATTTCATTTCCCCAGACCCAAATCAACAATCCCAAAGGAAACGTTTCGTATTGCTTGTACACGGCATCCCCGGATCACACGAGCAACTGACATCAGGGGGGCGGGAGTGGGCCAATCTGGGTGCTGCACCCCGCATTCTACTCCACCCGGCTTTATTTCTGCGTCCATTCCACTCAGAACCTCGAAAATGAGAATGAGAATGGATGCAAAGTGAAATTCAGAGCAAGAGAAGAGAGAATGGTTATTCTCATGCGCTCAATTCCTCGTCAACCCTTGGATTCCACCTGATGCACGAAACCCCTCAAGGCCTGGTCGATCACCTGACATCATCAGCCCATCTTTGAGAAGCTCACAACATGCCATTCTGAGTTTCCAGGTCCCCTTTATTGGAAAGAGCAATGACTTCAGATGGTTCCTACACTTCCGAGCTCATTCCACCGAGCTGCTGATCATCTGATGGGCCCGGGTCGCGGGTGGATCCTCCGTTCCCCACATCGGGCCCAAGCCACATAACTACCGCGCATATAGCCATTGTTCTTCTAATGGGCCTTCAGCAATTGCAAAGAACACCGACCTTCTGACTTTGACTCATTGCGAACCATCCTGGAGTGGAAATATCTATACATCTATATCTATAACAAGCACAATCTATCAAAGGAGCCTAGCTTTACTGACGACACAGTAGTGAATTATAAAAACCAATCAGGATACAGGGATAATTATTACTCACTTGATAGCAATGACAGAATGACAGGGAATGTGCTACATACCGCATCTAGATATAAGCATTTGAGTTGCCTTGGTCATTGCTGTAGTACTGAGTCCCGTGGTGACCGGTTGTAGAGGGATTGAGGATCCTAGGTGCCTGTTGACCGAAATATCAACAGTTCCTACTCCAGACGTTCTGCACCTTCATTAGTGGGATGATAATTCCAATAGTATTTAAATGATACATGTTACTTAGTTATATGGAATATCTGATCGCACATGTGGCTACCAATAGTTCCCTTACCTGGGTTGGTATTCTCAATTACCCATATAACGTGGGCCTGGGCACTAAGATCCTGTTTTGATCAGTCAATTGAAGATCAAATCCGTGCTCCGGGCTGTAAAAAGTCAATAGCTGTACTATTAGACACGACGAGGTGCTCTCTCGAGTCTACGGATATATATATATATATTCATATTCAACTACCGCATGAGCCGCAATTTATGAGTTCAATATGTTGCAAATATACAGTTTCCTATTCTTTTTCAGTCTTGGATCAATCTTGAAAATTGCTACATAATCATGTAAAACCCCGGGCAGTTCATCTAATCAGCACTACCCAAGTAAAATTCAAGATCTGATATGCGGCAGATGATATAGTAACGACATCGTGGTACAGCTGCTCTCACCATAAAGCATTGAAATTCACTGAGTGTCCCGGGGTCCCAGAAAAATCTGATACGCACTCTTTAATCCATTCAATTATACTTAAGTCTATAATCGTTCAATCTGATTCCATTATCGAATTTCTCTACTGTAGGTCTTTAAGGCGGTCAGGTGTATTTTTCTGCCGCTGCATTCACGCATCTCGATCAACTTCCAGATCCGCGCAGTCACTTTTTCCAGCTTTCTCCACGCTGCTCACAGCACCCTTTCTATCTCTTCCTACGCCGCCTCCTTTCATCTGGAGCTCAGTGGCTGTAAAAGAACCCAAATTTCTCAATTTTATCCTCCTCATCTCCGAACTCTCTCACCATCACCCATAGGAGCTCTCTCTTTCGCGTGCCCTTCTCAATGTCTCTCTTTGGTGCTCCCGCTGCGGCGGCGACAACAGCCGGACAAACCAATACCACTGGTGACATTTCCAAAGATGTCACACTCAACCAGCCCCCGGAGGATAGTATCTCGGATATGCGATTCTCGCCCACCAGTGAACATCTTGCTGTCGCGTCCTGGGACAACAAGGTCCGAATCTATGAGATCAGCCCCACTGGCCAAAGTGAAGGAAAGGCGATATTGAACGCAGATGCGCCTGTTTTGAATTGTTGCTGGTCTCCGGTAGGTCTTTTTTGGTCATGGTCTTTTGTTCCAGTCTTGTCATACAGCAAGCTAACATTGCAATTGTTCTCTAGGATGGATCCAAAGTGGTCGGTGCAGGTGCAGACAACATGGCCAAACTCCTCGATCTCGGTTCCGGTACCACTACTCCCGTTGCGAAACACGATGGTCCAATTCGCGCCTGTCATATGTTCCCCAACCCACAAGGCGGGTCACCGCTCCTGGTGACAGGCTCATGGGACAAAACTGTCAAATATTGGGATTTGCGGCAACAAACCCCCATCGCCAATATTGATTGCCAGGAGCGCGTGTACACAATGGATGTTAAGAACAAGCTGCTGGTCATCGGCACTGCTGATCGCTACATCAACATCGTCAACCTCGACCAGCCAACCAAATTCTACAAGACCATGCAATCCCCCCTCAAGTGGCAGACGCGGGTAGTCAGCTGCTTTGCTGATGCTTCCGGATTTGCCGTTGGCAGTATTGAGGGCCGTTGTGCCATCCAGTATGTCGAGGAGAAAGATTCCGCCTCCAACTTTTCCTTCAAGTGCCACCGTGAAACCCCAGCCAACAACCGCGACATTTGCAACATCTACTCCGTCAACTCCATCTGCTTCCACCCCGTCCACGGAACCTTCAGCACTGCCGGTAGTGACGGCACCTTCCACTTCTGGGATAAGGATGCCAAGCATCGTCTCAAGGGTTACCCGGCCGTTGGCGGTCCTATCTCAAGCACCGCCTTTAGCCGTGATGGAAATATCTTCGCTTACGCTGTCAGCTACGACTGGAGCAAGGGCTACTCGGCCAATACCCAGCAGACTCCTAACAAGGTTATGCTGCACCCCGTGGGGCCGGAGGAAACTAAGCCTCGACCAAACCCTCGGAAGCGGTGATCGAGGTTGCAAGCGAAGGGAAAGGGGCTAGATTTGCTTCCCGCGTCGTGGAGCGATTGGCGCTATGAGCATTTAATGAAACTTTATCATATCGGCGTGTATTTTTTTAAGACAATTGCGAATGGGGATATTTGAAACCTGATTGAGTATCTACGTAGTTCTGCTGTAGTTCAGTATTAAAGTCTTCTTAGCTTTGGATAGCGATACAAATGGAATTGCATAGAACTAGTAGAATCAAATCTGCATACTAGGACTTTGTCCCTTTAGTAAGACCTATTGGGTTTATTCTATGCTGTAGACTACGAGTGGGTTTTGCTATGCACAAGGGGGTATAAACACTAGCCAGATAATCACATGCCAAGGATATACTTCTCCAAAAAAACACCTATTCTCGTAGATTCATGCGTTTATGATCGACATGCCAGTCGTACATCAAGTATATCAAGACCAAGCCCACTTCAACCCAACCGTGACCATGACCCGAACCCTCCATGTCGTGCGCCGCAGTTGGAAACTCACTCGTTATCGCTAGTCGCTATCTCAGCCGCTTCAGCCTCCGTACAAAACAAAAGACTTTATATCATGCAATTCTTTCACGAGGAGGGAAGGGTAACCTGTGCGACACCGTCGGTGACCTTCTGCACAGCCTCATCTTGAGAACTGGAAGCTGTCACGCTAACGCCCTCTGCACCACCCTTGGCAGTAGCCTCCACACCAGTAGCAGCCTTGCTCTGCTCCTTCTTCGCCAGCTTCTTCGCCTTTGCAGCAGCCTTCTTGGCAGCGGCCTTAGCAGCCTCCTCGGCCTTCTTGGCTCGGTCAGCTTGGGAGCCACCGAAAGCCTCGCGCCACTCATCGGCCTTCTTGGGATCAATACGAGAGAACAGGTACTGAGCCTTGCCAATCTTGTGGCCAGCCTTGATGCTGCTGGGCTTCCATCCATCCTTGAGCTCCTCGATGGTAGGGATCAACAGGACCGGGGAGTTCAGCTGCTCCAGGATCGACTTGGAGGTAGCGGGCATGTACGGGGAGAAGACCGCGGAGAGCAGGTGGATCAAGTTCAAGACAGCTCCGACAACGGCCGCGGCACGCTCGGGCTCGTTGGCAATCAGGGCGTTATCAAGACGATTGGCCTGGATCAGACCGTTACCAGCCTCAGCGATGCGCATAGCAGTGGTCACACCGGCACGGAGGTGAACACTCTCCATGTCCTCAATGTACTGGCGCAGGTGAGTAGTAACCTCCTCCTGGAAAGGAGCGAAGTCCTCGGGGATGGTGAACTCAGGGACAACGGATCCGTAAGAGGCCGCAACGAGTTTGATGACTCGGTTAACGAGGTTACCAAGCTTGGCCAGCAGCTCGCTGTTGTTGGCATCAACAAATGACCGCCACTCGAAGAAAGTGTCTCCGGTTTCAGGGCGGTTCTTAAGCAAGTAGTAACGCCACACATCTGCGGGCACACCGGTCTCTCTGGCGTTGGTTCCGAAAACACCGACTCCTCGAGACTTGCTGAACTTACCGCCCTCGTATTGCAGGTACTCAGTGGCGCTCAAGTGGTGGTTCATAGTCCAGGTGTCCCGAGTACCGATCTGAGTAGCAGGGAAGATGACACTGTGGAAAGGCACGTTGTCCTTACCCAGGAACTGGTACAGCTGCACATCCTCCGGGTTGCGCCACCAAAGCTCCCAGTCCTTGGTGTAGTTGGCAGTGATAGAGGGGTATCCAATGCAAGCCTCGAACCAAACGTACAGCACCTTGTTCTCGAATCCCTCTAGCGGGACGGGGACACCCCACTTCAGGTCGCGAGTGATACCGCGGTCCTTCAAGCCCTCCTTCAACCACGACTCGGTGATGATCCGTGAGTTCTTAGGCCACTGACCCTTTTCAATTGACTCGTTCGCCCACTTCTCAACCTCCGGCTGGAGCTTGTCAAGCAGCAGGTGGATATGTTTTGTCTCGCGGCGCACCGGGGTGGCTCCATCAAGCTTACACCGAGGCTTGATAAGGTCAAAAGGATCGAGGAGGTGACCGCACTTATCACACTGATCTCCACGCGCATCATCATAGTGGCACCGGGGGCACTCGCCCTCGACATATCGATCCGCCAGGAACGAGCCGTGTTGCTCACAGAATGGCTGTTCGGCAGTCCGCTCAGCCAAGAAACCGTTCTCCTCAAGTCGCTTAAAAATCGCCTGGGAGATCTCGGTGTGCTGCTGGGTCGGGGTGCGGCCGAAGTGGTCGAATCCAATGTTGAACCATTCGTACACTTCCTGATGAATCTTATTGTACTTGGCGCACAGCTCCTCGGGAGTCACCTTCTCTTCCAGCGCCTTGGTCTCTGTTGCTGTACCATACTCGTCCGTTCCGCAGATGTAAAGTGTTTGACGACCGCAAGCCTTGTGGTATCTTGTGATTTTCAAATGTCAGCTTTCTTTGATCATAGTGGGGTTCGTGCGTTGAGTCATACCTCGAAAAAGCATCAGCACTCAACACAGAGCCGACAACGTTGCCCAGATGAGGCACATTGTTAACGTATGGCAATGCGCTAGTAATGAGGATATTGCGCTCGCCCTTCTTGGGCAAAATTGGGTTTGAAGCCGCCATTGTGGTTTGTAGATGAGAAAGATGGAGGGGAAGCCGGAAAATCGAGAAAAGTGGGCTTTATCAGCTCGTGACATCCGCCCCGCATAACTGTATCAGCCAAAGAAAAAAAATATCCCTTTTCATACTCACCCCCTTGCTTTTATGACATCTCCAATTTCATACAGATAATCATGGAGTCGAATCTATTAGACAGTCTTCTTGATCTGGAGGAGCAATTCTACAACGAAGGCTACGAGTTGGGTGTCGCCGACGGCGCCGAAGCCGGCTACACGGAAGGTAGCGTTTTCGCCGTCGAGAAGGGCTTTGAGAAATTTGTGGAAATGGGGCGATTGTATGGAAAGGCTCTCGTCTGGGCCCAGCGATTGGCTGATGCCAAACCGAACGAGCTATGCGAGCAGTCGACGCCACAAGTCGACCAGTCAGACGTCTTATCTCTCGATCCTTCATCCATTTGCAAAGAAATGCCAAAGATACCAGCGCACAGTGCCCGCCTGGCAAGGAACCTAGCCACTTTGCTGGAGCTAGTGGATCCAGCTTCCCTGGATATGAGCAATACGGAAGAAGCTGTGAACGACGTTGACGAGCGCTTGAAAGGTGCCGCGGTCAAAGCCAAGCTCATCCAACGAGCCATGGGCGAAGGTGAAGATTCGCTTGGCGCTCAATCTTACGCCAAGGACGTTACAAAGCCTGGAGATGGTACTGGCAGCATCGAAGATATCAGCTCGTTGAATGTCCGCCATTGATCTCACTCAAAGATCCATAGTCTTTGCTGTGCCGCTTACCTTCGCCTCTTATGGCATACAAACCGGCTCAAATAAGCCGGGAAATGCTTATCAACAGAACATCGAACAGCAATTATCACTCCATTGCATTGCTCCCCGGCCCTGGCGCAATTCCAAGCCCAGGTGTCCTCAAACTGGTCAGATCATAAAGCCACAGAGGATTCCCAAAACACGACATTTCCCAGAATGGGCTTTCTTCCAATGAAATCCATTGGCTAGCCCTTTCGTTGCATCGGGGATCCCAGGTTTGCCACAGATATCTTATATTGAGGCACGTGAGTTTCTTTTTTGGGAATCTATAGCTTGTTGGTTCATACTTCAGGTTGTTGCCCGGCTGACTGCATCTTGTTCCAATGTTGACCAGACGCAGCATGACCGGGGCCAGCGAATAGAATAAGTGTGGACAAAATTCAGAAAGATACAAGATTGAACAATGTTTTCATAGAGAATTACATGAGAAGCCACGGCAGTCAAATTCCTTGATTGATATGTCTGTGTTATAAACCCCAGACAAAATTATGCTTTTAATATCATAATAAGAACCATTTCACATCACGACAGATAACCATGATGAACTTTTTTGATATTCGTAACCCCTTCCGAAGTTGTATTTCATTATTACTCCAGGCTGCGGATAGCCATGGCCAGAGCACCCTCCTTGGTCTTGTGGCCACCAATGAACCCACTGGCATGCACAAAGATAGCACCTGCGGGGAGCTTCTCCTGGCCGGCCTGCTCAGCCTGAGAGGCCATCAATCCATCAAGATCCTGGTCGCGAACGCCGCGCCAGGCCTCGGGGAGAGGTTTCCGGGACACAAAGCTGCCCTCAGACTCGGAAACGCACTGCACGCGCCACTTGGAGTCCGAGGCAGCGCTTTCGGGATACAGTACATAGTAGACTTGCGCGGCAGGATCGATACCCTCGCCGCTGGAGGCATCCTTCTCGAAGTTGTAGAGGTGCTCCTTCCAGGGAACACCGCCCTCGGGGAAAACAACGATACGACCAGAGGAGTGAACCTCGTGACGTGATTGGTATGCAGAACCGACAGTGGTGCGAGCAGGAAGCCATGAATGGCAAGCGTGGTGCAACTTGCGAGCGAAAACATTGCCGATGAGTTTGCTGGCGCGACCGAACAGGCTATCCTCGTCTTGGGCCTCACCAGGTGGGCTGGTAGGGTCTGGGTTGTTCATGTCGCCGACAATGGAGGCAAGAGTGACACCACCATCCTTGAACCGCTTCTCCAGGTTGGCAGCAGCTACCGCAGCAGGGTCGTATGCGGAGATGCCGTTGTCATTGGCATCAATGGCTTCGATAAAGTCAGTGTACAGCTTCTCGTACAGCAGGTCCACATCCTGGTGATCCTGGGGCAGAGACAGCTTCTGGGCAATAATGGCACGACCAAAGTGCATGTAAACCAGACCAGCTGATGAGAGCTTGGTGCCGTGCTGAGGGAAGGTGGTGTCGAAGGTGCGCTGGTGGTGATCGTAGCGGTTGATCTCAGCATCATACACACCACCGACATCGACCACGGTGTGGCAGGTCTCCAGCAGAGCCGGATCACGAGTGCGGATTAGCGGAGAGGAAGCATAGGTGGGCAAAAGCTGGAGCAAGTAGACCGCCAGGGCCTCATCGGCATGGAAGTGACCACTGGAAGCTATTAGTTGCAGACTCTTCAAGGCATGGTAAGTCTCAATTGGAGGGAAACACACTTATGGGTTCCAATGACGGGAGCAGTCTTGAGCTTCTTTGCAACAGTTTCAGCCATTTTGGATAAGGTACGAAAACGTAGCATGTATGAAAAGACGATTATGATTTGCTTTGATCTGGATGGTCAAGCTTATCTGCGGGACAGCTGTATCGGGAAACCAGGGCTTAGTAATAGGGTTGAGTTGACTCAGGTGATGATTGCCATATTCCTCAGGTTGAATTAATGCATGAAATGATTGACAAGTGAATGTGAACAGTCAAGACTGGAGATGCAACTGCTTATCACTGATACTTTTGGTTGGTATCCGGTTCCGCCTCTTGGGGAAGATAAACACCAAGTACTGGATACTTCCTGGTAATTGTATGCACCCGCCTATCACCAAGTATCTAGTACAAGACAACATTTAATGGCGTTATCAACTTGAAATCACATTATCACAAGACGATCATAGATTCTTTTAAACATAGCAATATATACATAGCTTCCATGTCCATATGATATATACGTAGCTAATTTATACAATCCATATACTAATTAAGTCTCTACTCCATGTCATGAATCAGGCGCTCTGACCGCCAGTCCAGACTCTAGGCTTTGCTGCCCTAGCACGACACCACACTCAGAGTTGCCATGCACATTATTCTAAAAGCGTCTGGAATTAGTCAAAGTATTCAGGTTCCTCTACGAAATCTCCTAATTTTGTGGAACAATTTCTCATTTCTTTGTTCTGATGCTGCACCCCCTCCCACGTGAAATCCAGAGATAAGCTTGAGGAAAAAGGAAAATAAGAAAAAAAAGAACCGATCGTGTGCCTTTCCCCCCTCTCTTCCCCATTCTCTTCATCAACACCAAAAACGCGACTTGCTCTACGCGCCCTTGCGCGTTTCCTCCCCGAATGTGGCTCTTTCGAGTCTTCTCGTCGGCCGTCTTCCTCGCCGTCACGGTCTCTTCCATCCCTCTGGCCTTTGACGTGGGCGGGAAGACATGTGGTCTGGCCTTCTCCCTATCGCTCGCAACCTTCTACTTCCTCTTCTCGCTGTTGCGCCTCGCCACCCCTGAGCGCTCATGGTTTCGCTCATCGCTTGTCGCCGTCATCCGCTCTACGCAATGGATTATAATTCCGATCTTGTTGATTTGGTCCCTGAATCGGTTCTCGGTCGACCCGGAGAATAGCAGTGGGTGGGTGGAGCGCACCTTCAGCGGGAACCGAGCCCAGGATAGCTCCATTCAGGAATGGCTCTTCGGTCGGGATGGCTTGGTCGAAACAGTCACTCTGGGTAACTGGGACCGACTTCTGCGATGGTCCACACCTGTGTTCCAGCTAGCGGAGGGGTTCTGCAGTCTTTTGGTGATCCAGGCCGCCGGCCAAATCACCCGCTGGCTCGTGAACCGAGGCGGGCGCAGTGATAGCTGGATGGTATATTCTCTCTCCCCGTCTTCCCCTTTGCGCTTTAACAGGAACACTGACTTTTACAGATCGGTCTGCTCGTTCTATCGGCTACTGTGATCTCTAGTTCCGTCTACTTCCTTTGGCGCGTTCTTCAGTTCCCCGAGATTTCCAATGTCGATGCAGCTCTGATCGGCGTCTCCATTACTTGCGCGGTCATTCTGTGCGCCTGGGGGATAGGTAGTGGACGTGGAAACCCAGTGGAGAGCTCCTTGCTCTTCGCCTACATCGTCCTCTGTATCTACCAGATCTTTACAGATTACCAACCGTCATACCCGGTCGAGCAAATTCCGTCTCCTGCGCAAGCAGGCGACTTCCCCCGCTTCCGCCCATTTTCATGGCATCATACACCACTCTTATGCACGCTTTGTCTCTACTACCCTCGATCATCCACGCCGCTTTCAACGTCATCACGGCTGTCTTTAGCGCGGTCACTCCGTCAGTCTTGATCTCTCTCGCATACCGTCTCCTTGTGCTGTATGCATCAACACGTATCATTCCGGCGGTGCGTGAATCCGGAGCCCGTGCGCTCTCCCAGGAGGCTTCTCTCGAAGACTCCGATGCCGCTGGTCAAGTCCTGGCATTCCTGAGCTACTTTTCGCCGTCGATCCTCATTGCTGTTTACACCAGTCTTCTGATGCAGCATTTCTCGTCCACCTCACAAGCAATGGGAGGTGTTGGCGAATGGTGGAGCACTCAAGGCGCAGGTGGAAGCAACCTCTGGCGCTGGATCAACCTGGCCTGCACTACGGCATTATATGCAGTTGAGCTTTGGCTTGGGGAACATAACGATCTTGACAATGGGCTGACTGGCCATTGGAAGACCGATTGAAATCCCATCTGTCTGGAAAGTCATTGGAGCGCGCAAACTGCTGTCTTATACTGGGTCATGTCCCCAAGAATTACAGCAGTGATCTCCGATGCTTTCTGTAGTTCCAGGTCGACGTACCCAACTTCCAACCAAGCGACCCCTTGAGCAAATATGGCTGTCATCAAATGCCATACCGTGTACGCTTCTTCAACTCAGACCGTCGAGCACCCCCACCATAGGGACTGAAGAACCGGCCTCCTTCTGGGACCTTTCCGGGAAAGTCAATTGCCATGTGCCAGTCTCAATTCAGATGGAGGTCATTTGCTTACCCTTTCCACTCCATGGCGACCTGAATACTTCCCCCTTTCCCTGGTGCTATACACGGGCGTCTTGGAACATCCCCTTTACTTTCCCCCTCAGCCTTTGGCTATGTGGCTGCTCCAAGGTTGAAGGAGCACTACCTCTGAAAGAGATCGATCCATTGGGCTTGATTTTAGGCCCTACCTCACCTCGGCATTTCCATCTATTCTCTACCCGGGAAATTAGGTTTTCTCCACTTGTTGTTGTCATGACCCCATGATACCAGTTGCAATTTTCTCGCTGTCGCATTGTCATCCTATCTTAGCCCGATTCCTATACCCTTTGCCATTCATCTGGTCTGACTTTATCTGACATGTTTCTCTATGCTCCGGCTAATTGAACCTTGGAGTATTTCGCCGTAATGTTTGACCGTTGCTTGTCGCTGTACATAGAATACCTGGAAGCTTCTCGTGCTACCTCCTGTCCTTGCGGCATGATCAAATTAGAGACCGATTATATCAATAGGAAATGATATCGATCCAAAACGATTATCGTCATTGAAGTTCATAAGCCGGATTGAATGTCAGTACGTATTTCGAATGGATCAAACTATGGTAAGACATGGAAGGAAGCTTGAAGTATAAGACAAGCAAATAAGAAGAGAACGAGTACGGAAAGAATGGAATGCAAGTGCAGGTAAACGCGAAGTTGCACGCAGACGAAGATTGTAACTAAATGATATGAACAAGCCAAAGGATAACAAAGGATGCGCTGATGTTCTATGTAGGTGTATCAAGACTCAACTTCATGTCGAAGTCAAGTATCGAGTCCCCCCAAGTTGCAGTGTTTTCCCTTTTGCTTATTTTTTTTTTCTGTCTTTGTATAGGTCACACCTTCTCTGTTCTTTCTGGGGCCTGTCCCGCAGTGCACATCCCCAGAGAAGATCCCATAGCGCCAGGCTTTTGAACAATAGAGGTGGAGAAAGAAAAAGAAAACGAAATCCAAGCAAATCCCTCCCGGAGAATGAAAAGTAAAACCCATGAGATATCCATGCAATGCATCAAGAGAACGTGTCAATCACCGGCGAATGGGCACCCCCTCCCGGGCAGGTGGTGGGCTCACACTCGGCTCCTTATCCTGGACATCCGGTTCCAGGGAGCCCTCACTCATGCTAGTACCACGGTGAAGGAAGCTACCCTCCTTGATGGGGCTACGGCTCTGGAAGCCGATCGAGCTAGGGTGGCCGCTACTGCTGCCAGGAATCTGCTGACCCTGAGAACTGATGCTGCCGCCATTCCCGGTCCCAGTGGGGTTGTTAGCACCCGGGGAGGTGGCTGTCAGGTGTGGAATGTTCTCCGGCACTGGGTGGCGGGAGCCGATGTTGGTGACGCCGACGTCCGAAGCTTTGCCGGCCTTGCTCAGAGCATAATCACCCGAGTCAAAGTATTTGCGCTCCTAATGAAAAGATGAAAATAATCAGATCATGGTTGTTCTTCATGTAAGAAGGTGGTGGAATTGAAGACCCAAAAGTCGAGGGGTAGAGGGGTGAAAGGGTTCGAGGGGATTCGCATGGGAGAAGTCGACAACTTACCTTGAGCTTGTTCTGCAGTACGTCCTTCTTGTTGGGCCTTTTACCGTACAAGGCATACAGACGCTGCTCATCGGGGCTCAATTTCTAGAAAGTAGACGGGGTTAGGTATGGAACTCTAAAACCAAAGAGGGGTCAACGACTCACGCTCACGTCGACATCATTCTGCTTAAGAGGATTCATGATGAATGGGAGTCTGGGGGAGATAGAAAGCAGCGAAGTTGCAAAGCCCAAGATTTGCAGTCAAAGCGATGGAAGAAGAAGAAGTGAAAGGTCGGGGATTGATTACTCTATCGATAACGCTTTATCCGCGCCCAATCTGTGAGCAAATGGGGGTTTCGGTTACTTCATCCCTTTGTATATCACTGGTCAACTTTATAATGCACAGTCATCTGATCTTCATCTGTTTCTCTGATTCCATGGATAAGGAGAATGCTACTTTGCTTTATTTGCTATCTGGGAGGTTGTGTGCGGCGACGTCATCACCATGACGAGCTTCATCTTCCGCAGAAAGGAAAGGCATGGAGATCAGTATGAAGAAGCGAGTTCCAGAGATAGATTCATGCCCAATGTCCCCAGTAAAAGTCGTAAAGTCCTAAAGTCGTATCGCCGCATCCATAAGTTCCCATAATCCAATTGTCAATCCCGAGTGGGACCAAACTCTACAATTTTTCCCTCTTTTCCTTAACCTTCATCCCACCCCCGCCATGGCTGATCAGAAGACCCGAGCCTTTGTGGTTGAACACCTGGATCCTGAACTGGGTCCATGGTCTGCACTGGAATATGCTGCTATCGCTCGCGAATCGCACGACCTCGGAGCTCGATTCCTGCTGAGCTCCGTGCCCGCCGAGCTGCAGATGCCCGCCGACCTGGCCGCCACCCGTGGCCTGGAGGTGGAGCAGCGCAGTGTCGAGGAGATCTTTGCTGACCGCAAGGACAGGGTCTGTCTATTGGATCCGTCGGCCCAGGTGGAATTGAGTCCGGAAGATGGAGAGACCTTTGACGTATTCTTGTTCGGTGGTATTCTCGGTATGGATCATTCTTTTCCGTTCACGCTAAAAGTCCCCCGCGATTGGAAAAAAAAAAACCAAAAACCTGGATTCTCTAAGGAAAAGGCTAACTTAAATTGTAACTTTGTTAGGCGATGATCCACCACGAGGTATGTTTCTTCTTTCTACGAAGCATTGTTATACTAATAGCAAGTAGACCGCACTTCTGAGCTGCGCAAAAAGGGCTACGTCGGTCGACGTCTGGGACCCAAGCAGATGACCACTGATACTGCAGTACGAGTGACTCGCATGGTGGTGCATGAAAAGAGTAAGTGCTTGTTCCTATTGACTCTAACTTCTGTTCGGTTAACCTCTTTGCAATAGTCCCACTGGAGGAGATCCCCTATGTCGACTACCCTGAAATTCTGATCAATGAACATGAGCGGACTGAAATGCCGTTCCGCTACGTGAAAGATGCTAGCGGCGAGCCGATCATGCCCGATGTAAGCAAAATCCCAAAAGTAGAGAAGGACCCTGGCTAATACCAATTCAGGGGATGGTGGATCTGATTAAAAATGATGCCGACAAGGGTGTCGGTGATCTCTTCTGAAAGGCCAAATGCCAAAAGAAAAAAAAAAGTGACGTCAAATATATGATAATACCATGAACCATGATTCATTCCAAGCTTAATACAGATCGTAAGAGGGTCTAGAGTAGAATGATGAACCTTAACCTTTAAAATAAATGCTTCAATACAAAGAATCCGCTCTTATAGAGTCCCTTATCGGGCAACGCGGCTGTGTGGTATCATACATGTATGACATGACTAATCTATCTAAAACACCACTTTAAAAGCTGTTTTTTACATACATTACATGTACCAGAGATAATACCTGACCGGGTCCAGGCCACGCCAGCAATTCCGCTCCGTTGCTCCTCTTCTGCTCTCTTTCCACTTTCTATTGATCTTTATACATTCAGGGGATCCGAAGTGGAGTCAACGGATACTCCTCTCTTCTTTTTCTTCTCAACTCTTTTGCGCATTTCCGTCCCATCCCTTTACCTGTACCCATATTCCGATGAACACTTGATCCCGTCATTATTAGTCCGTCGCGGACCTCCAACAACTGCGCGCTTCCTTCGCTGGACCATACACAAACTTAAACATCATCAAGTAGGGTGCAAGCTCTGGAGACTATGTTCTCGATGCCCTTGCGCCCTCGCTCGAGCGGGGCTCTGGCCATTCTGTCATGGACTCTCTCCTTAGTTCTAGGTCCGACACTGGCGGCCGCGGCCTCAGCAGCGGATTATTATGTGCACGATCTACCGGGGGCTCCGGAAGGACCCCTATTGAAGATGCACGCCGGGTAAGTTCCGAAAGCAAAATTCTGCGAAAGAGTGGATTGGCGGGCTAATTACGGAGACATTTAGACACATTGAAGTCGACCCGGAGACCAACGGCAACCTATTCTTCTGGCATTACGAGAATCGGCATATCGCGAACCGACAGCGCACGGTTATCTGGCTGAATGGTGGACCAGGATGCAGTTCCATGGACGGTGCCTTGATGGAGGTTGGTCCATACCGACTCAAGGACGATCACACGTTGGAATATAACAAGGGCTCGTGGGATGAGTTCGCCAACCTGCTCTTTGTTGATCAGCCCGTCGGTACCGGCTTCAGCTACGCCAATACGAACAGCTATCTTCATGAGCTGGATGAAATGGCGGCCCATTTTATGATCTTCTTGAACCGCTTTTTTGAATTGTTTCCGGAGTATGAAAGAGACGACGTATGTGTTTCCCGCATTTTCTGTTCTTTCTGGGGATTTAGGAAACTCATGCTAATTGACCTCAATAGATCTATATTGCTGGCGAATCTTACGCAGGCCAACATATCCCCTACATCGCCAAAGCCATCAAAGATCGCAACAAGGTGGCCGAGGAAAATGGACAAAGGAAGTGGCCACTCAAGGGCCTGCTGATCGGAAACGGCTGGATCTCACCAGAACAGTATCCCTCGTACTTTGAATTTGCCGAGCGTGAAGGTTTGATCCAGAAGGGAACATCATTCTACCAACAAATCGAAGCCGTGAACGCTGTCTGCTTGTCCAAGCTGGAAACGCCAGGGATTATGAATCATGTTAACGTTCCTGAGTGCGAACAGGTGCTGCAAAGCATGCTCGCAATCGGCCAATTCGATGGCGAGTGCATGAACGTGTACGATGTCCGTTTGAAAGACAGCTGGCCTGCGTGTGGCATGAACTGGCCCCCAGACCTGACTTTCATTTCACCGTACCTGCAGCGCCAAGACGTGATGAAGGCCTTGAATATCAACCCTGCGAAGATGACTGGCTGGCAGGAGTGCTCCGGTGGCGTGAGCAAAGCCTTCCATGCCTCCAACTCCCAGGCAGCTGGCAAGCTGATTCCTGGTCTGATTGAATCCGGAGTCAACGTGCTTCTATTCAGTGGTGACAAGGACATGATCTGTAACCATATTGGAACGGAGACTTACATCCATGGCCTGAAGTGGAAGGGTGCCACTGGCTTCGAGACCGCGCCAGGCGAGTGGGCTCCGCGCCATGACTGGACTTTCGAAGGTGAACCGGCTGGCATCTATCAACATGCCCGCAACCTGACATACGTCCTCTTCTACAATGCCAGCCATATGGTTCCCTTCGACGCACCTCGCCAGACTCGCGATATGCTGGACCGCTTCATGAATGTGGACATTGCTAGTATCGGTGGGCGGCCGGCTGATTCGCGTATTGACGGCGAGAAACTGCCCCAGACTTCGGTTGGTGGTCACCCTAACAGCACTGCTGCCGAACAGGAAGAAAAGCAAAAGATCAAGGATACCGAAATGCACGCCTACACCAAGTCCGGTGAGGCTATCTTGGTGGTGGTCATCATCGGTGTCACCGTCTGGGGCTTCTTTATCTGGCGCAGTCGCCGAACTAGCCGGGGTTACCGTGGGGTCCATTCTCAAGATATGGATATGCGGGCTGGATCTGTCCTAGACCGATTCCAGAACAAGCGTACGAACGATATCGAGGCCGGTGACTTTGACGAGGCAGAGCTAGATGAACTGCATCTACCTGGTCTCGATCGGGATCAATACGCGGTCGGAGATATCAGCGATGAAGAGGACCATGTCAGTCCCCACGGTGGCTCTCAGCAGCCTACCGTGGAAAACGATCATCGTGAACCCTTATGATAAGAAGTAGCACGTACATTGGTGTTGGTGTTGGTGTATTGAATTTTGATGTTCTTGCTACGTTATCCCCGAACCGATTTCCATTCTATGTGGATTGGCTGCATCTGTACAAAGGCGTATACTTCTGGATCTCTCATAGACTACAAGGCAAATGACAATATTGATATGATCTTGTCTTGAATGGGACATGTAGTATTTTTGATTCTAGCTGCATTTCTGCCAATTACTAGACCACAGGCCTTTTCCTCATCTATATGTGAAGCCACTTGACTTCTGCCCGAGTGGCTATGATGAAGTATGTACTCCACGGGTTATGGATATGTAGATTACTGCTGTAGCGTCCATACCTTGACGCTGCCATCATCTGCAGTTGTCACCAGAACTTCTTCCTCTTCCACAGCCCCACGATCGGCCCGTTTTGCCCAAGCAGCGTGGTTGATCTCGTAGATACCATGGGCACCGTTCACCACTGCGAGTTGTGTCCACTCCGTCTGCAGGGACGCCTTGCTCTCCACTGGCTCAGTCTCCATGGCATCCACATCAGCGGAGGGAGAAACAATACGTTCTTGGTAGATGATGATTCGTCCATCGGCACCGACAGACGCAATAAGACCAGTCCGTCGACTCCAAGCAACCGCATAGATCGCCAATTCGTGTGCATGTGGTAGCAAAGCATCCTCCTCCCATGTCTCATCTGTGCCGGTTGGTCGGATAATACTCGGGATCCCAGTAGCAGCCGAAGACATCGCACCCAGCTGCGCGCTCTCCTTAGGCAGACGGCGCCAGACCCGGACGGTACGATCATCTGAGCAAGAAACCAGTCTCGGACCAGAGAGTGCACGCTGTTCACGCCATTGGCTCTGTAACGCCGCGGCATCAGCTCCGTCCGCAACAGTTGGAGTTGTCTCGGTGCCCTCCCAGTCCAAGAACCAAACCGTTCCTTCGTGCTTCTTAATACAAGCCACCTGACCCCAGTCATCCAGATCTTCGCGCCACAGTCGAATTGTATCGTCGTATCCAGCACTCGCGAGACATTCTTCAACAGGATGCCACGAAACACACTTGACATCCCCAGCATGCTCCTGCATAACGGCCACAGTCTCAAAGTTGTTATCCCCATCATCCAGATCCTCCCAGATCCAGATCGACTTATCACGCGCACAGGTCGCTAACAACATGCCGGACGGCGACCACGAAACGGACTTCACTTCGCTATCATGTCCATCCAGTAGCACAGCAAAGCGCCACTCTTCCTCCTCATCCGCACCATCAACGTCTTCTTCTCCGTCCACGTTGGCATTGTCCTTCCCGGCACCATCTTCGGCGCGCCCGTAGCTATCCCATCGTCGCCAGACACCAACCGTAGCATCAAAGCTACCGGTAGCTAGGACGCTTTCGCCTTGCACGTGCGGCTTCCAGGCCGCTGTTCGGACACTGCGCTTATGTCCACCTGTGATGGTTGAGAGGAGTTTGAAGTTCGTTAGCGAGTATACCCGCACTGTCTTGTCGGAGCTGCAGGTCGCGACGATGGGGAGGGTGGGGTGTGGTGCGGTAAGCCACGTGCGCTCTAGGGATGGGGGTGTCAAGTCCGACAGTAGGGAGAGTTTTGATTCTGTCATATTGGTTGTAGGACGGAAACAGGAATTGGGATTGCAGGTGGTGGAGGGGAAATTTTAGGATTGCGGTCGATACTAGGTACGTGGGGTGCTGATTAGATAGTGAGCTATCGCCATATCCCCTCTGAGTACAGTATATGCCCAGCTTCGCATTCTAAAGTTATACAAAGTTGGTAATTAACTAGAGTAATAGCTAATATATAGTTTATTAAAAGGGAATCTATCTAAGTTAACTATTGGAAAAGAGTTTAATATCGACAGAACGTTAGGTGTCTGCTCAAGTCAAGTAACCAAGCTAAATGAATCCACTGCCATTGCGTTATGAGACTCATGGTTTATAGACGAGAAAGAAAAGCCGAGAGTAAGTCAAAATGCTCCTATGGGGTAGTGGTCATCCCGACAGATTTTGATATCATGTCTTCTGTAAACCCCTGTTCGAACCAGGGTAGGAGCTTTCTATGTAATCATTTTTTGCAGGATCACACTGGTTTACTGGATTTTCGAGGTTTTTCATACCGGTAATTTTTCTAAGGACAATATATACTAGGGTAGTCTATCGAAGACACCTGCAAGGATAAGCAGTTGAAGGCTGTTGTTGGTGTAATAGTAGAATCAGCATAGAGAAGAACCTTTTCGAGGTAGGCTCAATGTCATTCAAACTGCCTATTCAATTACTACTCATATAGTCCATAATGCCCACCTGGGCAGCCCTGCCAATCTGCCTATGTCCACAGAAGTTGATCCAAAAACCAGAAATGAAAACACCACACATGATTAATAGAACTATGCCTTCCAATAATGCCACTACTGTGAGGCCCCTTCTTCATATAAACGCTCATAAACTGATCCGTGGCAGAGCCAGTCAATCTCGCGTACTTTCTCTAGCTCCTCTACTAGCTGCCCAACTTCGCCTACAAACTCGGGCATACCTGCTCCAGCCAGGCTCTGGCTGGCCGTTGTTGTGGCACGCACTCGCTCCGAAGCACTTGAAGCGCTCAATCGAGAGAGTACATGACTCCGGAGGCGGGAGAGAATCAACCGAGCAACCGGGTCCGTGAAGCTGGGTGCGGGGGATCCATTGCCGGAGGGCTCCGGGACCGGGCCAGAAGAGGTATCGTATTGAACATGAACAGCAGCCTGAGGTGCAGCTGCAGTGCTTGCGGTCGCGACGGGCGCCAGCACTCGTCTAATTGTGGCGGCAAGCTGAGCACTTGCAGCGGGTGGCATGGGATGTGTTGATTCAAGAATAGACTGTACGCGGTCGGCCCGGATTTCATTGAAGTCCAAAGAGAGAATGCGATCGGCCTCGGGCTTCCATTGGGACCGCGCATCACGCTTCAGTAGATTCTTAGCCGTCAGGAGGATGGATGCTGTAGCCACGATCTGGAAGGCCTTGGCGTGTAGACGCTCCAGTCGTTGATGGTCCAGCGCCAAGGTCTCGGGAATCAGATCCTCCGATACGGTAGCATTGCTAAACACCAGGTCTGTGAGGCCATGGGCATAGACTCGTGTGGCTGGTGGAAGGGGCTCTCCATGGATGTTCTCAGGGTCTCGCTTCTTCATTTCATCGACAATAATCTTGCGATGCGTTCGCCAGAACCGCCGGACTTTACCCAACGTAATCGAGCCATCGGTGACTCCCCGTTCAAAAGTACGTTGCTCATACCCGGGAGCATCTTGGATCAATTGGGGCGCAGCCACCTGAATCATGAAATTCGTGTGGTCTAGGGAGAGCAGATCAATGATGCTCATCAGCCTTGCTAATCGATCAATAGCGTCTCCTGAAGTGTCTTCTGCAAATGCCTTAACCGCGGGGTCGCGGTAAGGAGCGCAAAGACGGGGTAGGATGTTGTTCATAAAATCGAAGAAATTCTCATAAGAGAACGATCCAGCTTTGCACTGACTCTCAACAAGCTTTGGATCCAGAACTTCGCTGATTAGCACATACAGAGAATTGCCCGGTCGAAGGGAGCGTAGGAGACGATCTTGAATTACGGTGGCCATGGAGACTGTCCAAGCTATTCCTTGTCCAGCCTCAACATCTCGTCTCATCTGCTCACACATGTGCCCCATAATTCGTCTTCGAGGGTCGGCATACGTAGATTCTTCGATCTTGTATTCCTTATTGAGGAGAAGCTCATGCACCAAGACCCGGTTCTCTGGGAGTGCTGTGAGGATCTTGGTAAATTGTTCATGCGGAGAGGACCGTTGCTTCTCTAGCTCCTGGAGAACTGCGGCTTCAACATTGTTGAAAGATTCGCTGATAGGGGACGTGACACTCTCGGTCAAGACATCCCCCGACGATGGTGCTACTTCAGCCGATCGAGGAATGGCCTGCTTCGAGGCAGATCTTTTCCTCTCACGCTTGGCCTTCTTAAGTGAATCCCGAACCATCTGCATAGCGCGGTCAGATCCTGCAAGGCGCTTAAGACGGGCCAGAAGAAGAATCTGGTTCTGACGAATACCTTCTCGGTAGTCTTCAGCAACGCCGCCAGCTGTATCACCTTTGACCGTCTGCCAGATCATTTCCAGTTCGACAAATTGGGCAAGCATGATCTCAATCAGTACAGTAGAGTCATGAGACTTCCACGCATGGAAGGCTGAGAAGAACACATTGTGGGATTCGCACAAAATCTGCAGGTCCGCAGTAATCACGGTGGGTGAGCAGCAGCCAGAAGAGAGCAATCCCGCAACCTGATCAAAGGCCACGAGTAGATCACGAGCCTTCGAGATTAGATCTTGCTCCTGCTCGCCATCTCCGCTTAAGACCTCATCGGGATGGGTGACGATGAGATAGCTGCTGAGGAATGTGCGCACAGCGCCTCGTTCCCCCATCGCCCCGCCTTCCATGTCATTCAAACAGCAGAGTTTCAGCACTTTGGTCATGGTATCGAGCACCTCCCGATTTGAGACGAAACGCCCAACGTCCTCGAAGGTCATTTCACGAATCCGATCCACAGACAAATTCAGAGTACGGAACTCTTGCATGACCTGCTTCGCATGGTGAGTTCTCCATACTCGTTGGATCTTTCGAGCAGCCGCATCCCGAGTGAGCGACTTCGTGACCGCTCGGGCCATCTTCTTCTCTTCAGCAGCTGGCAGGCTGCTAGTGCGTTGGCGCCGATGCGTTTGCTGATAAAGGGCTCGCCGCTTTTCAGCTTCTGCGAACTTCTCAGCCATCTCCAGCCTCTGGCGTGCGTAATCGGCGGCTTTCTTCTCCCGCTGATCCTCGGCTTTCTTCTTGGCCCGCTTGACTTGATCCTCGCACTTGGCCGTAATGTCTGCTAACAGGCGCTCTCGAGCCTGCTGAGCAGCCAAAGCTCGCTCTTCAATCTGCAAATTCCTTGTCGCAGCTTTTGCCAGGGCAGCGCGCAGCCTAACCTTGTCAGCGTGCAGCGCCCGGTCAGCCAGTCGCGCTTTACGGGTTTCAAGGATAGATGTGCGCCGGAGGTGTTGAGCTATGTGGTCCGCGCTTGGCGCGCCAGTGGAGGATGCGTTAGAGTGATGTGAATGAAGAGATGATATAGAGCTTCGTCGCGAGGAAGCGGTCGAGGAGCGCCGCACTTTGCTGCTTCGGCGGTAGAATCGCGCGGCGATGTGTGCTGGGAGGGTCAGCGGAGGCACCGGCTCCTCGGACAGCATTTCCACGTCGGTCTCGGGTAAGGAGTCGGGGGAGAGCGGCGTTGGGCCTGAATCAGGAAGCTGGATCTCGATGTCGGAGTTACGGCGCATCATCGTCGACCCGAGGGACGCGGTGTACACGGTGCAGGGGGTACAGTTGAAAGGCGGCGGGGCAGGCTACTGATAAGCGATTAGACGGGCCTGTGGGCGCTGTTCTTGAGATAATTTCATACGAACACAGTAACTGTAGTATCCTCGGACGAGCTTGAGCTTCGGTAGAGGATATAAGCAGTATGAAGGCCTTAAGAGGAACCCCGGGGAGTGTGCTTGTGCCAGGGCAGCCGGGGTTGGGGTTTGCGGAGAGATCCGTGCTTTGTTTCAGAGATTAGGAAAGAAGGATTAATTCATTCTGGAGACGGAAAAGGAGTGTAGAAAAGTCAATCAAGGTGAAAACAATTTGATCTCTACACGAAACTGGAAATGCTATTGCTAATGGAATCCCATGGCCGCAAGCAGAAAGACGTCAACGTAGATTAGATAAGCGACCTCGTGGACGCGCTTGGATTCTTTTCCCCTTCTTATGGCGATGACTTCAGAGCTTCACTGTTTCCGGTCAGCTATTCATATTTTGTGTTCGAGATCAAAGTCATTCATCATGCAGAGCCGAGTATATCTATGCATGTGGAATTTATTGTCTCAGACATTCGGAAGCATATGAGGGCCGGCTCGAATACGAGGAAGCCCTAACTTTATGTTTATACCCTTCGGATGTATAAGTTGCTCTTGAGAGTCAACCACCTTAGTCTTTCTGTGGATATACAAAATCCTTGATTTTGCAGAGACCGAATCCAGGGGGGCATAATATACTTCTAAAGTTAGCTGGACCATGCGTCTTGAGATCCACACGTCTGATTATTAACGTGACTGCAGTAAATTAGGGACATACTTTGTACCACCTACCTATATGGAGCTAAATACCTGAACCCACTAGGCATGCATACCTACAAGCCATCTCCTAACGTACACCTCAATTTTCAAAATTATATTGGTGCATATACATGGATGTACCAAGTTAGTTCCAGAGTCCAGCACTCTTATACTACAGGAGTTGTCGAATTAATTGATGTATGAAAAAGTGCATACCAAGTTTCGAAACCTGAGAACTAGGAATTGGATATGTAAATTCATAGCTAACAGACAAGCTGCACCCCCGGGCACCCAGATCGCTATGCAGTTTATTGACTGTACAATACTGGCGACCATATCATCGTAAGGACCTTTTCCAGACAACTACCACGAACCATAATCAGTCTTCACGGCCGAAATCACAGACTGGCACAATGCCCGCAAAAATAGAAGTGGGAGGGAGCTATCGGGCAAGCCTAGTGCGTCTTCGGGATGGAGTTGCCTCCGGAGACCACGAAAGGGCCGTTTTTGGCCCCGACTATTCCGCTAGGGTAGGATGGGGATGTGGACATGACGGTGGGCCCGGCTCGATGCTTCAAATCGAACTCAGAGGGGACCTCAGATGGTGGAGGTTTAGGGGGAAGGTGAGAAGGGGTACCCCATTTTGCGATCGAATCGCGGGAGATGGTGGAGGGACGGCCTTGGTTGCCGTGGTCAATATTGCGGTTGAAGGCGGGATCAGGGTATCCATTCCACTGGCCTTGGGCTCCGGGGCCCATGTTAGGATATGGTGGCATTGGATGACGGGGTACCGGTGCACCTCCGGGGACAAACGAACGCGTCTGAGGATTGAAGTGAGATCTTGGCATATTTCCCGGCATCGAAGAACCATTGGGGTTCTGCATAGAAGAATTCAGATGCTGCCCAGGATATTGGGCATAAGGATAGGATGCCATATTGGGGGTCATCGACTGAGTAGGGGGGTAGTTGGGCCAGTGAACAGGAGCTTGGGTCCGCTGATGGGGAGCTTGTTGGTGGGGAACTTGCTGGTAATTCCCTTGATAAGACTGGCCATTCCAGACTGGGGGTTGTTGGTATGGAGCAGACTGAGGGACGGCAAAGCTACCCATGGCCGGCGACGATTTGGTGGATGATTGTTGGCTCATTATGCCAGACTGATTCATCGATGCGTATCCAGGGTATGGAGATTGCTGCGGCATGTTTGCTCCCTGCCACGAGCCATTAGAAGCCATTTGCGGTGAAATCCCCACTGGATACTGTGGCACATTGTTCCCACCCATGTTCCCACCCATGGTTCCAGTGCCCATATTTCCAGGATACACCGTGCCATTCCCACCAGAAGGCACAAAGCCATTAGTTGGTGGCTGCACACCCGGTCCCACCAGGTAAGGTACCTGGTTATTGTAAGATGCATCGTTGATACTTCCACCGCCGTATTGGGCCGAGCCATTGCTGTAGGGTACACCTGGATAGTAGGCATTGAATTGAGAACGGGCCTCGAATCCGTCATCGTGAGGCGTCCGCTGTCTGCTGTTCTTTTTACGTCCAGTTGTTGAGCTAGAGCGAGACATGTTGGGGTTTGAATCGCCACTAGCCGGGTCCGATTTGGCACTGTCAGGGAAATCCCGGAAAATTCGCTCACGAGCCTGATTATATTTGGCTTCGCGTTCCTCTCTTGTCAGCGCGAGGCGATCCTTGGCCGGGGATCCTCCGGAGGATCCTGAATCTTGCCCATCGCCAGCTTCAGATGGGGCTTTTGACGGGGCAGATGAACTGGCTGCTACACTGCCCTCAACAGAAGGCCGTTCTAAGTCTGCTCGACGCATGATTTTCATAGCCGGAAGGGTTGGAGGGGGTGTAGCATTGTTGGCAGCATGTATCTCAGATAAAGGCGTGGGGCTACTGGAAGTTAGCTTCTGGCATAATCCCATTTTTTGACAAATCCGGGTTTGCTTACAGTCGGCAAAAAGGTGTCCGATGAAGCCGGACTGATGTCACATTGTTATCCACAAAGTGCGTAAGATGGTAATAATCCCCCAGCTTATGTGCAAGAAGCCGTCCAAATGCATTAGATGGTGGCAGTTCTAGTGATTGCTCACTGGAGAGAAGATTAGTCAAGGGTGTCATTCATATCCAGGGCCCGGTGGTGATCAAAATACCTATCGTCTTGGATAAAACACCTTATCCTGTCCTCCAACTGAAGAATCAGGAGACGATCCTTAGGGGATTTCATCGCTTCTAACAGCTTCTCATCGGGCTCGAGAGGAAATCCATGTAAGGCTTGGTCATCCGGCAAACAGCCAGGGTTGGCAGGGACCACGAAATTGTTGGATACGGAGTCTGAAGGAATGGTACCAACAGCCCGCTGAATCCCACCATTGTAAAGGTTAGGCACAGTGAGAATGCCACGGGCTCGTTGGCCACTGCCATCTCGGAACTGATCACGGTATCCGCGGCCACCAGCCTCAGAGCCTGTGACTGAGTTTGGTGCCCCTGATGCAAGTCCTGACAGAGATTCCTCCTCATCAATAGCCTGGACGCTGGCACTGTCATCAGGTCGAACAGAGTCTTTTTCATCCATTGCAAACGTGGTCACTGAGGCTAGGCTCTTGGAGTCGAAGTTGTTCATTTTGGTAGAGGAAGTAGAGAGATGGGTGCGATCATCGTCGAAAAAGTTGTCTCGTTTAGGAAGGCCGCTTTCTTGGTCTTCTACTGAGGATGATGACCCTTCCTGGTCTTTTCGCAGGTTAATATCAATGTCCTGCACAGCCCTCTGTAGGCCATGGACAACATGGTCCACTGGGGAGCTCTCCGAGTTAATTTTAATGAATTGTTGCGAGCTGGGTAGTGAGGAACCAGCATCAAGTGGTTCCGGGTAATTCGATGTGTGTTCCGGCTGAGCATTGTCACTGACGTCGGATATCGAGGATGGTTGGGGTTCAGTGGGTGCAGGCATGGCAGCGATCTGATGGCGGGAAATTAGCCTTGAAGCCTAAGATATATTCAGGGGATGGCAAACCTTTGCGAAGGAGAAATGGCTGTCCCCCTGCGATGTACTTGTTGATGCCATATTCAGAATGCAGCCCGCGGGATGGGTATTGAGACGGGGTTTTGTCTTCTTCAAAGATTTTCAAGGAAAAATCAAGCCAATGCAAAGCTTTAATTAACAGGCTTTGGTATTTTGACCCGTAGAAACTGGCGATTGAATCGAAATGAGGTGACTGGATAATCCCGTTTCACACAAGCCCAAAATGAAAGACATATCTCAGGTACAGGGCCTTCGCCATATGGAAAAGCTGCGAGAAGAACCTATGTTAAAATTTATTCAAGGGCTATTTCATGCCTGCAGAGAATGTGTCCAGCAGGAAGTTGACATGATAAGCGGGTCTTACACGATGTCAGATCTGGATCATGGTCAGGACGATAGACCTCGAATTGAGACGGGAGAAGCGTTCTCGCCAGGGGTGGAGATGACTAACAACACTCAAATACCGGAATGCACTACACCAAGTGCAATACTCGATAAGACTCCGAGTGAGGGAGAATAAGAGAAGGAACGTTGGGAGATTGAAATTCCGAATCTTCGACGCCCGAAGAGTTTCAGTGGGCGATTTAATTGCCGCGCCCGACCGCTTCTACCGCGCGCCTACATTTTCCTTCAACAGCCGCGGTGACTGTGGATGCGCTGTGGACCAAAGACACTTGGGCTTGAAATTCTTTGATATTGATCGAACTTCACTCTTTCACCTCGTTTGCCATCTTGCTTTGTGCGACCTTCAAACTCCATGAATCGTTACCGGAATGCTCCCAGCCTGCGAGGCCCCAGTAAAGCTTCGGCCAATACCTTATGCCAAAAATGTCTAAAACGAGATATGTTCCCCGTGACGTCTACCCTCGAATGGTTAAATACTGACTCTGGCGCACGACACTATAGCTATGAATGCAAGGCGACGGCGCAAGAGCGCCCATATACTGCACGACCATCGCGGACTCAACAACTGCAAAACCCACGATTAATGCCCAAACTCTCAACGGAGAATCCGAATGTCCTACTTCAAACGTGAGTAGTCTGATTACAATTCCCGGGGCCCATTTGGGCTTTTGGGACTGATATTCAAATCGAGGTCGAGAGGCTTACAGAGTATTAGTAATGGCATCGCGGACGAAATACTGGCCAAGCGAGAGGAGGAGCGTGGCCGCAAACGAGACATTGATATTGAGAATACAGACCGTCATCCACACTCACCGAAGCGAGCACGGTCGCTTTCATCTCATTCTACAAATTCGGTCTCAACGATTTCCACAACCCGTTCCGCTTCAGCGTCGCCTGATCGCCGAAATAAGCCAAGGCCACCTGCGAAGGACCGCGCAACCCAATCAGTATCACCACATGCCGACAAGTCGCGCAAGAGAAGACTAAGCGACTCTGGCGAGAGCTATTCTGGATCATCCTACTCGGGAATGCGACCCAGATCTAGATCTCGAGACTGGGCTGAAGATAGAAATATCCGGCGACGACGCCGCGAAAGCAGCCCCAACGAACGTGGAAGACACAGAGATCTCCGACTGCAAGACCACCGTCGCAGCCCAAGTGTAGACCATGCTCAAGTCGCAAAGGAGAGACGGTCCATGACTCCCAGAACTGGCCACGATCGCTCTGGACAACGGTCGTACCGAGATCGAGAAAATCCTCAAGCGCATCCTCAACCAGGACGATCAAGACAGGAACCCCGGGCCAAACCAGGGCCACCCCGAGAACGCAGTATGAGTCCATACAGCAAACGCCTTGCTTTGACCAAGGCCATGAATTAAAAGGAATTACCAAGGAAGCGTCTTAGTTTTGTTATTCGTTGTTTGGACAAATTTGGAGGGTTTTTTTCATTGATGCAACTTGCGGTTCTTGATGAACACACATTGCCGACTTTCGCGTTCCAAATGGAACAACTTTGTATTATTACCATATCCATTCATCCCAATGTGCAGACCCTTTCCAACGCCCCCATACTGAGTCTGTCAGGTGTTCTTGGCCCTGGTTAGACGCCCCACAAGAAACAATGAAATCAAGCCCACATGCAGATAGACATAAAAGAAAAGGGAAAAAAGAGATAAAACAAGTACAAGAAGAGCAGGGTAAATGCGAGTCCATGCGCGTAATTGAGCAGTATAGGGTATCAATTGAAATCAATCCTCGTCCTCCTCTTCCTCCCGTTCACGGACATGGATCCCCTCCACCAGCATCTGGCCCTCGATGCCCACTTCCTCCCCTTGGTCATCTCCATTGGAAACAGCCCCTCGCTCCTTTGCAGCCCGCTGTGCAGTCTCTATCCGCTGTCGAACGAGGCGAGCAATTGCGTTCTCCGTTCTCACATTGAGAGTCTTGAGCTTCTCATCCAAATCCCGTCGCAAGTCCCAGTTGGGTTTTTTCGGTTGCAGCTTGAATAGATCAACGGGTTGGTCGCCATCTTCCTCCTTCTGGGATTCTTCCTTGATAGCCTCTGCGATCTGGGCTGCCTGCGTTTCCACGGTCACTTGGCCCTCTTGGGGGCCTTGCTCAAAGCCTAGTTTTGGCCCGCGGGTCTCGGCGTCATAGTTGCGACCGGAGAGGAATTTGGTTGTCACTTCTGAGATAGTTTCACTTGGTTCGTCATTGCCTGTGCCGGACTCCTGAGTATCGGGCTCGGGTTGTTTGCGCTTCAGCGCCGCGAGCTTGGCGAGGCGGGCTTTGCGGTCGCTGGATGCTGCATCCAGAGAGGCGTGGTTTGACGACATTGTGTGGCAGCGAAGCGCAATAAATGAGAAAAAGATGGAGACTGTTGGAATTATCGTATTGAGAGAGGAACCGAAAAAGCGACGTCAAATGAAGCCCTAGAGTCCTCCACTGCTTGAAAAAGTTGAGTAGCGATTGATGATGTTGCGATAACGATTAACGATGCGCCACACACTAGCCACAGCAAAATCGGGCGGTCTCTCAGTCTTTTGGATCGCGCGCTTCTCAACTTCAACTTTATCCGCCATTCTACACCACATTTACGCCCTCGCTCTCCTCATTTCATGCCTAATACCCTAATGTCGCCGATCGCAAACCCCTGAATGTCATTGCGTCCGCACTCAACCGGTCTTGCTCGGCTCAACGGGCTGTTGTCGGCATCATGTAGAACTCCCGGCGTATATCGGAGGTCAAAGACACCGATTGTTGCACGTGGAGCTCGCTATGTGTCGACTGATACCCCGTTGATGAGAGAAGAAGTCGCTGAAGGACTAAATGTTCCAGTCTCGGACGCCTCACAACCAAATGCCAGCCATGTATCGCCTGAAACTTCACACTCGAAGACCAGCCAAGCTTTGACGGGGAAGTCAGGACAGACAGAGCCCCAGGAACAGTTGAACAACCCACCGGAAAATACACAAAGCCTCGCAAATGAAGAAATGAAACAGCTCCACCGCCGGGGCCTCGTCACGCGTCCACTGTCCAAGACGAAAATCCGCTCTGTGCTTCAAGCTCATAACCTGAGTCCCAGCCTTAGTGATCGCGTATCTCGCTGGTTGAACGCCGAAATCGAAAACAAGGGTCAGGATAGATTTATTGATCAGAAGACGTTGCGGCTAGCGGTGGTGCTTCGTGGCAACTCTCTCTATTCTCGACACCTGGGTTTCCAGCAATGGAAGGACGGATACTCAGAGATCTACAAAGCCAAGCACTACGGGCGCGAAGTACAGAACAAAAGCTCTATACTAGCACTGAAGGAAGAAGGGATGGCACTGCTGGCCAAGGTCCAGACTGATTGCCTGGGAAGCTTTCGAGAAGAATGGCAAGCCATGGACCAGAATGCTAAAGCACAAGCTTGGCAACGCCTTGCCTTTTGGCTCTTGCAGAATGATCCCAAACTGCTTTTGGAATTTCTCATTGTGACAACAGAAGGTCAGGTGAAGCCGGACTTTAGCATGGTTGCTGATTGTCTGATGTACTTGGATACTTTCTATTATGAAGACTGGTTGAAGGATTGGCGGAGTGGTATCTGCACCTATCAATCCGTGATTGAATCATGCCTACATCCAACCCGATGGCCTATACTTTCATTACCGCAGAAGGGTTCTCGGCTATATGTACGACGCGCAGGGCACAAGGCTGTTTCTTTGGCTCTGAAAATTGCCCAAGAAAGATCTCTCTTTCTTAGAGGTGAAACAGCATTGTGCTTTGTGTGGCGTTTTACCGAATTCAAGGATGTGGACCGAGCACTGGAGGCTCTCGCAATGATCCCGAAACTCAAGGATGATGATTTCTCTATGGACTCTCAGGGTGTTCACCGGCATTGCTGCAAGCTTTTGACCTTGGACACTGTTGAAGAAGAAACAGGCGAGCGCAATTTTAAGATCCTTCCGCAGCTTTTGGAGATGGGCATTACACCAGACCGAGATATGCTCAACGTTGTGCTTGCCAATGCCTTTAAGACCAATGGCGAGCTGGGATCTGATATCCTGCAGTTCATGCAGAACCACGGCCATGACCTTGACTCCTACAGTTATCTGACTTTGCTCAAAGATGCAGTCGCCCGTGGAGACCGCGGTAAAGTCGACTCTCTCATCCGCGAGGTTGAGGCGCAGGAAGAGCTGCGCAAGAATCCATGGATCGCCAGCAAAATCTTCCACTCTCATTACATCTTCACTGTCAAACATATGGATGCAGATGCTGACCCCTCGGGCATCTTCTACTCAATGCTTGACATGTACAACCACATTTATGACATCACACCCCTCAAAGAACTCTCCATCATCCCCCCTCGCTACATCCCTCGAAGTGACGGTGCTAATGCGCCTCCTTCTCCAATCCCCCTATACATCATGTTGGCAACCTATTTCCGCTGTCAAAATCGTCTCGCGAACGTCCAACGGATCTACGGTCGATTCCGTGAGCTCGTCGCTCAGGGACATCCTTCTATCGCTCCCATGGTGGAGACCGATCATACCTACAATGAATTTCTAATCGCTTTCCGTAACAGTCCGCGTGGCTTGCGATCTTGTGTTCAGCTTGTTGAGGACATGCTCCATCCAGCAAGCCCGCAACTTGATCAAATTGACAAAACCATTGTCCCAGTGAAGCCCTCTGTGCGCACTTGGACCCTGCTACTTGGCTCCTTCATTTTCCACAGGCAGATCCACGCCTCGGAAAAGATCCGGGAGATGATGGACAAGCACAATGTTCAATACAGCGACGTGACATGGAATATCATCATCAATGGCTATGCCAACGCGCAGAACATCCCCGAGACGGCTGCTGCTATCAAGTCGATGGAGCAGCAAGGTTTCTCCATTGATTCCTACACGATGAAAAGCTTGCGCTATCTCCGTGATCCAGAGCGGCTTTGGGTCGCTATTGATGAGCTGGACCGCAAAGCTACCGAGACGAGCCTGGCGCTTGATACCCCGGAGCCCGAGTCTACAGGTAGAAAGCAAGAGGAGCGCGACCAGCTGATTGACAGCGGATTAGAAAAGCTGGGATCTAAGATGAAGCCCCAGCTGTGAGACTGCCTTTCGTTCTCTCAACTTCTTGTATCATACCCTTTTGTATCACATGCATCGCATATGGAGGCCTTGGCTCGACCCCCCAATGGCAAGCGTTGATTTCGTGAAAATAATGTCAATTCGGCTCATGTACTATACATAGAATCATTATGGCAATTTGCCATGCGCTTGAAATATTTCATAGACAGACTAGAAGATGCGCCAGTAAACCTTGTCTCTTTGTTTCATCTTCCTTGACCATTCATTTTCTCTGATTGTTGATACCTCACCCGAGTAAAAGCGACCAGGAACATGTTCAACCCCCGACAAAGATCGAGACCTGTAAGTGAATCACCAGTGAGCATTGGATTCTACAAGAGGGGCCAGAGAGTCTTACCGCCATCATAAAACAGCATATGCTGACATAGGGGCTGAGGCGCTCTCCTATGCGTGCACATTTCCAGAAGATACCGAAAATCCTGTAACAACCAAATAATCAGTTCTTGTCACTTTCTTTATCTCCCCGCCAGGCCAAGTCTCGAGGGTCCTTACCCGTTCTGGTTGCGATCCATGATCCCTGGCATGATCGAGTGGGCATAGGTGCTCGTGCAGATCAACAAGAGAATCACCAAGACCAGTGATTGAAGGTTGAAAAGGGCCGTCTAAGTGGATGTTCGTGGTGAGTAATGATGTCGGTTATACAAAGTGTACACAGTATGCTGATATGCGTCATAGCTCGACAGCTCGACACTCGACCTTCAGCACCTCGAGCAAGATAAAATCCCAAACCAGACTTACCATCTTGAAAAAGCGATGCCCCACGTCCCTTCAAGGAACAATACAAAAGATCGAAGTGAGACGCAGAGAAGGAAGAAGGTTCACCAATCGTTCACGACATTCTGCCCACCATGTCCGCTCAACGCACGGGCCAACGGGGAAGTCTGAAGCTCCGATTGAGGATGCCGACTCCCAATCCCAACTCGGCTCCTGTCCCAACCCCGTCTGCAGTTTGTCGCCCATTGTCAACGACACCTGCTGCACAATCTCGATCTTTATCGGCCTACGTACCCGGCGACTTCTCTCCACCTTGGCCACATAGCCCCCAGGACACCAATCTCATCCGCGCGGGCTACAAACCCGGCTGGAATCCTATAGACACTCCCACTATATCCACTTCTAAACCATCAACCTCAAAAACCAGACAATTGCCCCCTCCATCGAGGATGGCAGAACCCCGTGCTCGTGCCGCCCGGCACAAGGGCCAGATGAATTTTTCGTCTGAGCGTGAGTTTTCCTCCGAATCTGGTTTACAGTTGTATCCAATTCTCAAACGCGGAACCCTAACATCGATATCCAGTACGACTACTACTTCTCGCCTACGGTGACCCAAGTCCCCATCCCTCATTCTCATCCGAGCCCCTTCCCGAAACCGTGCGCGTCCTCGACGAAATTGTCACGGATTTCATCCTCGAACTCTGCCACGGTGCCGCGCAGGTCGCACACCACGCGCGCCGACAAAAGATCAAGGTTGACGATTTCCGCTTCGCGCTGCGCCGAGACCCGAATAAGCTGGGTCGTGTGCAAGAGCTGTTGCGCATGGAGCGTGAACTCAAGGAGGCGCGGAAGGCCTTTGATCAGAACGATGATCAGGTTGCTAAAGATGCTGGGAAGAAGGGGGCAGCCCCAGCCAATGATGCGGATGCTGGGAATGATCTATTGCCTGCTCCGACTGGAAAGAAGGCCAAGGGTAAAGGCAAGAGAGCTGCAACCCGGAGAGGATCAGATGCTACTGAGGAGTCGGTCTCGAAGAAGAGGAAAACCATCGGATGATTTCATTATCAGATTTTCCACTTTTGGACATTCGTTATCGGCGCTGGATTTGCTTTTATGGATATGGCGTACGGAACATGACAAGGAACAAAAATACCCATGGATATAGTCGAATCAAATTTTACCATTGTTTCTTTGATCTAAACGTGTAGAAGTCGATGCGAGATTTGATTTCCAGTCTAAGCGAATCAGCCAGTCAGATCAATACAATCTATGGAAAGGGCATTGAATAATTATTTAAACGCTAACCTGTAGTGTCCTTAGTACGAATACGCGCTAGAAGGGGCAAGGGTCTGTACCTGGCCCTGACCCTGACCCTGAATACGAGCCTAGTACGACATAAGTATAGTTCGTTCTATTGTAGATCCGCCTGGGTCGAGATCTCCATGTATATACACAAGATTATACATAAATCACATCTTCGCCTATCATGATAAAACTTAGCTAAGCATCACGTAGGCAACTGCCAAGAACAAGAATGATGTCAGGAGTTAGCATTGCCTTTCCTGGCGAGAGATCGGCTAAACCAAAAATAGAAGAACAATTCAATTGGTGAGATCATTAGAGAAGGTTGGGATTGGTCCATTCCATCGCCCCCTTTTACCCTAAAACCAATCAGTGCGAGAGGGACTTTTGATTGGGTTCCAAGTTTATGTATCATACTAGGGATCAATATAGGCTGTGTGAAACATCCGTGAGAGATTGGGAATCGAGAACTTCGTACAGTATGAAATTTATTAAACGGGATATAGGCTACAATATACCATACGTGTATCCTATATTCCTCCTGACGATCTCCCAGTTATTGAACGCTTTGTGCGAAGGGCGAAAATCACCCAATTTCCCACATCCCATGGTGAAAAGTGGGTCGCAACAGACCCTTCTGTACCGAAATTAAACCAGTGAAAACAATGACTGGAAAGCGACTCCACTTTGTCAGGGTCTATCCTAATTTCCAGGGCCCAAGGCCCTGTTATGTGAGGCTCGCGGGGCAAACTGGGGCTTACCTGATTGCTGTCTTTTCCCTTTCCCATCGCATTGACTTTAATGCTTGATTTCCAAGCCCAAGACCACGCTATCCATTTCCTTATCCATTTATATACGCCCGTTACCTCTCGGCACTCTCCGCCCCATCGCTCTAGCGATCTCGATTCCGATTTCGCTTCTGGTCTCGCTTCCTACGCCTGTCATGCAGATTAACGGCACAAGGTCAATATGTGCAGTTATTCTGTATGTGCTGGCGCTTGGCCGACAAGCCCTAGCGCTTGAACTCGTCGCCACCAGTCAAGGTATGAGAAGATAAATGGTCTTGGATCGGGTCAATACCGCTGACACGTCCACAGACTCTATTAAAAATGCCGCCAGCACCGCGACATACGGAATGATGACCTATTATACCGGTAATGAGACCGGTGGGATCCCCGGTGCATTCCCTAGCAAGTGGTGGGAAGGTTCAGCCCTGCTGTTGGCGCTGCTCAACTACTGGCACTTTACGGGGGATGATTACTACAACGAGGAGCTCAGTGTTGCCTTGCAATGGCAGAGTGGTACGAACGGAGATTACATGCCGACGAACTACAGTAGTTTCCTGGTAAGAACTGATAGCAACCCGCGACGGACGATGGCTAGGATCGCGCTCGAGATGCTGATACATTTGCTCCCAGGGTAACGACGATCAAATGTTTTGGGGTCTCTCCGCCATGACAGCCGTTGAATACAAGCTCCCCGATCGCCCGACCGGATTCTCTTGGCTTTCGCTCGCCCAGGGTGTCTTCAACACACAGAAGGCCCGATGGGACACGACCATGTGCGGTGGTGGACTGCGCTGGCAAATCTACATCTACGAGGGCAGTGGATACTATATGAAGAACGCGGTTTCCAATGGTGGTTTCTTCCAGTTGGCCGCTCGCCTTTATCGTTACACCGGCAATGAAGAATATTACACCTGGGCGAAGAAAACCTGGGAGTGGTCCTGTTCCGTACCACTGGTCGATAACAGCACGTGGACCGTTGACGATTCGACCAACGGCGAGCAACAATGTGCCAACGGTGACCAGGTCCGATGGACCTACAATTACGGTGTTTACTTTGGCGGTTGCGCCTACTTATACGCCGCGGTAAGTCTTTCTTTTATACTTTACTCGTAACCATGATTGGAACATCCACTAACAGAAGAATAGACGAACGACGAGTATTGGCTCAACTGTACCACAGGACTCCTAAACACGCTTTGGTCAACATTTTTTACTGAGAAGAACAACTACATCATCTCAGACTGGGAGTGCGAAACCCGCGAAATTTGCAACAACAACGAAGTCCTTTTCAAGGGTCTCGTAGCCAGCTGGCTGGCCCAAACCGCCCTCCTCATCCCATCACTATACGACGAGATCCTCTCAAAACTCCAAGCCACCGGCCAAGGCGCGGCGAATTCCTGCACGGGCAACAGCAACAGCACTTGCGGTGTCCGATGGACAACAGGTACCTGGGATGGACTACAAGGAATGGAACAGCAAATCAGTGCCAGCAATGCCTTCAGCGTACAGATGCTACCGTGGATTAACGGCACCGAATACGGACCGCCTGTGACGTCGAAAACGGGTGGCAATAGTAGCAGTAACGTCAATGCTGGTGAGAACGAAGATGCGGGCAGCGGCCAGACAACGAAACCGGTTACCACCGGTGATAAAGCTGGAGCTGGAATTTTGACTATTATTTTTGTTGGAGGGTTGGTGGGCATGGCCACCTTCATGTTTCTCGGTGCATGATTTTGGCGTTTAGTATATGGCATTGTTTTATAAATTTTCTGATATCCTTGCACATGCTTGCACATATTGTACCATATTGGAACACAATTTTCATTTTGATTGATCTTGAGAACTGGTATATCCAGCCCTGGAGGCGGCTATAGCCAGCACAAAGTAACCAGATATGTAAATACTCGTGGAAATTGATATCCCACCAAAGGATAAGTATCCAATGTTCACAAGCTTACATCGAATATCCAAGCCTCAGGTAGTTAGAACCTGTGGACCCAGTCGACGTTCCACAGTCCAATGACACCCTTGCCCTGACATAGCTCCTAGCCCTTGGCTTCCAGTTCAACACAAACTTTTCGTTTATAAGGACGACCTGGATAGGGGTTCGAACTTTTCGGGGCATAATCTTGAAGCTATGAGAGAGCATGGAGAGAGTCAAGGGAGAATGGCCAAGGGAGGATATAATCGAGTCTTCGTATAGCTGGCAAACATGAGCAGAATGGAGGTTTCCGGCTAATCTAAACACGTATGTAACGTAAATATATCCAAGGATGATATTCACCTTGTGATTACTGTCATATAGATCGTGACTAGGCCACTAAAACTGTAGAGGAAGTATACCTATACATACTGCTACCACATTACTTGCTACTTGCACAAGATGTAACATTTTTATGTCCATTTCATCATAACTAAACGCCGCGCCCAAGTAAGATGCGACTTCGTGAAACCGGGAGTAACAAAGCCCGGGTTGTCCTCTAGACATGGTCTTCTGCAGACTCTCTTCCAAGTCTCTCTGCTTACTCGCAGTACCTCCATCACATACCCCAGCTCTATCTGAACAAAGCCAGATCGACTCCGATGCGCCACTTTGCTTTTTTTTGGTCTGATCGGGCTGTCTGGGCGAGAACGGCCAAAGCAGACGGAGAGATGTGTCTCCAAGAAATGCCTGTCTCATAAAGAAAATGGAGGTCCAAAAGGAGAAATAAAAAAAAACGTAGATAGAAACAAACAAACACGAATCCATTGATGTTGGAACAAGGAATCGAGACATAACATCAAAGGGAAGGGGATTGGAGCTCCACTGAAATCACATGCATCGTTTCTCCGTCATAATCTATGCGCGAGCCTCCTCAGCGGGGCGGTCCTGGCGTTGGTTACGGCCACCCTTACCACCACGCTGGTTGCGGCCCTCAGCGTTGGCACCCTCACCGCTACCCAGGGTCAGCTGGGCAGTTGCTAGCCGGTTGGACAGCTCCATCTGTGTGCGGATGGTGTTGGCCAGGTAAGAAACAACCAGGACGTCCTGGATGTGGTTGTTGCTGTTGCGCCGTTAGTAAAAGAGAAGGAAAAGAAAGAGAATGAGACCAAAAGAGGGAGGAACATACAAGTCGCGCTCAATGTCAGCCGGCTCGACCTTGGGGGCCAGAGCAAGAGCGTTCAGCAAGAACTGACCCATGGCAGTTGAAGCAGGGGCCTCCTCATCAATGACCGACTCGACATATCGTGACACACGGTCGATCATGGAAATAACCTCCTCAATGGCACGCTCCAGAGCCTCAACGTCGGAGGTGATGGAAGCGGAGCGCTCCTCGGAATCCTTGGCGTTGGCAATGGCCTCGAGACCGCTCTTGTCGGCCTCACCGTATCGGAGCTCGTAGGGGACGGGAATGAAAGCGGCGCTGTCGGCGGCCCGCTCAGCGGTGACACCAACGGGGGCGGAGATGTAGGCACGGGTCTCGAGATCCTTGCCGGGCTCGGTCGAGACAGTCAGGTGAACGGCAGGGTGAGGCCATGTACCATCACCCTGACCGCTGTAGAAGTTCTGGATCAAGGCGGAGAAAGTGTTGAGCTCAGAGGCGGTGGCATACCAGCCGACCAGAACCTCGCGCGGGTTGGCCTTCAAGTGCAAAGCCAGCATCTGCTTGTGGTACTCCATGTCGACCTCAACCTGGTCCTCAGCCTCGGAGTGACCCACGGCGAACGCGGAGCGCACTTCGACCTCGCCTCCATCCTCCGATCGTGTTCCAAGCAGCGTTCCGATGACCCGTTCCTGATCGGCATTACGGCGAAGCGAGTGGTCGAGAATGGAGAAGATGGCCTGGAAAAGAGATAAATTAGAGACCTGGATATGATTTGATGTTGGGTTTCATCTGCGTACCTGCGGCTGGATCACCACGTTCAGAGGGGCAGTGGTGGGAGCGGTCCCCACAGAGACAGGGCCCAGGGGGCGGGCGAGGTGCAGGAAGGAGTCTTCGGCCATGGTGGGATTGAAGGGTGGATGTGGGTGAGGAGGTTTTTCGACACTCTCTCACGATTTGGAGACTTCGGAGGGACAATTTTTCCTTGGAGCAAGTGGAGTGCGCCGTGACTTGGTTGTTCCGATTCTTTGTGTGTGGGAATTTTCGCGCTAAGATAAGATAAGCCGGACCACCTCTTTTTCGCAAAGAAAAAACCTCATTTACAACCACCTTTAAATCCAACAATTCAATATGCCTGCTCCCAGAGGTGGAAGAGGTGGAATGTCCTTCAGAGGTCGCGGTGGCTCTGGCTCTCGCGGCCGTGGTCGCGGCCGTGGTGGTCGTGGTGGCCGTGGTGGTGCAGGTCGCAGAGGATTCACATCGTCACGATTGGACGAGATTGAGTAAGTCCCGGAATCGCAAGCTCATACAATATCAGTAGCTAACTAAATTTAGATCGGAAGCATCCTCCGGGGACGAAGCTAACAATGATCAATTGGAGGAGGTTGAAGACGATACCATGATGGATGAGGTATCATCTGGCAGCGACGACGACGAAGAACAACCCACAGCACGCCCATATAACGAATTGCTCGAACTCCTCCAAGCCAACACAGACTCGAAGCCACCAGCTGCGAAGCGAAGAAAGCTCGCTGAATCGAAAACAGAAGATGTGCTAGAAGAGGACGAGGGGGAGTCTGGAGGTGCCAACGACTTGGAAGCTCAAGCACCCTCGGACGATGAGGAAGAGGAGCAAGAAGCCGAAGCCGAAGCCGAAGCCGAAGACGATGAAGATGCGGTTGGACCGTTCGAGAAACACTTTGATATTGGAGAGGGATTCCAAATTACCAAGAAGATTGCGCAAATCGAAGCCAACAAATGGTCCTCGACTAAGAAGGAAGTGGATGGGCTGCGACTGGTGCGCACCGTGCCCGATCTGGGTGATGGCACTACATCTCTGCTTCCAGCAATGAAAGCTACGGCTAATCTTAAGGTAGGGTATATGTGTTGTAGACATACGAGCATTGTAGCTAATGTTTTTCCAGGTCAAGCAAAAGCTGAAGCCTCGCGTCACAGAGTCTTTGCCCACCCTGCAGGGGGACGTTCAGCAGATTGCCCCATATGTGTTTGACTACCAGGATGTTCTCTACGGCGCTCGATCTACCGATACCGCAGATGCTTTGCGAGATGTTATGGCCCTCCACGCCGTCAACCACCTGATGAAGACCCGAGACCAGGTGCTGAAGAACAATGCTCGTCTGGCCAAGGACCCTGACACCGATGTTGAGTGTCGTGACCAGGGATTTACTCGACCTAAGATTCTTTACCTTCTACCGACTCGACAGGCTTGCGTCCGGGTCGTCAACTCAATCACCAAGTTCTACCAGGTCGACCAGCAGGAGAACAAAAAGCGTTTCCTCGATACCTTCTCCTCATCCAGTGAGGGATGGGATCATAAGACAGAGGATGCTCGGGAATTGTTCGGCGGCAACAACGACGATATGTTCCGATTGGGACTAAAGTTCACCCGCAAGACGGTGAAGTACTTTTCGCAATTCTACAGTTCCGACATCATTCTGGCTAGTCCACTGGGCATGCGGACAATCATGGACCAAGCAGAGTAAGTGCCGTTTTATGCATAAGCTTGTACAAACCATGCTAATCCTTGCATAGTGCCAAGAAGCGAGACCATGACTTCCTGTCCTCTATCGAAGTCGTAATTGTGGACCACGCCGATGCCTTGCTCATGCAGAACTGGGACCATGTGTCGTATATCTTCCAGCACCTCAATATGCAACCCAAGGAGGCCCATGGCTGTGACTTCAGTCGTGTCCGCAACTGGTACCTTGACGACCAGGCCCGACACGTGCGACAGACCATCATGCTTGCATCCTTCATCACACCCGAGATTAATTCACTCTTCTCCACCCAAATGCAAAATGCCTCCGGTCGCCTCAAAGCCACACCCACCCACGCCGGCGCGATCACCGAGCTCCCCCTCCCAGTCTCGGTCAAACAAACTTTCTCCCGGATCGACAGTCTTTCCCCGGCCAAGGACCCCGACGCACGATTCAAGCACTTCACCTCGACCGTGCTCTCGACGCTAGTGAAGAACATCACGGGACGTGGCAAGGGTAGCTCGGGCACACTGATCTTCGTTCCTTCGTACCTGGATTTTGTGCGCGTGCGCAACCACTTTGCCACCTCGGCTCAAACGACGCACGTCTCCTTCGGCGCGATCTCCGAGTACAGTGAGACCAGCGAGATGTCGCGGGCCCGCAGTCATTTCATGAGTGGTCGTCATTCCGTGCTTCTGTACACCGAACGTGCCCACCATTTCCGTCGCTACCATATCCGTGGAGTGAAGCGCATTATTATGTATGGTCTGCCGGAGAACCCTGTTTTCTACCAGGAGATTGTTGGCTTCCTGGGACTTGATCCGGCCGAGCTGGCTGAGGCCGCAGAGGGTGGCGTGCGGGTGCTGTTCTCCAAGTGGGATGCACTGAAGCTGGAGCGAGTGGTTGGAACCCAGCGGATTGGTAATATGATGCGTGAAAAGGGCGGTGATACATTTACTTTTGTATAGATAGATGAGACGAGATGAATGTAATGTAGATCGTTACCCTTCCTGTTGTATACTCGATACCTGTACTCAAATACCCTCTCATTACATGCAGTTACAACGCACGTCAAGATTGACTAGAAAAAAAGCAAAAAAATCGAGAAAATCGCTCAACCCATGATATTCTGTACTCTACGATCAACTGGGTTGACCCTGATAGTGGATCCACTTGTCATGCGCGCTATTCAGCTTTTCATTTCTTCACTTCGACAACTTTCTTCACCTCTGTTATCTGATCTTTCCTTTGTTCCACCTCATTATTTCCCTAAAATAGAGTTCTATTTAAATAGAGAAACGAATGAAACGACCGTCACGACGTCACGAAACAAGCATGGCACCCCAGCCTGAATCCTCCAATAACGCCGCCGATCAAGATCACCCCGATGCACCCCTGCCGATCGAGCAATACAGTGATGATGAACCCCGGTCCTTAGTAGCATATGAACCATATCCGATCGAAGACGATGAATCCGAAATTGCCGCAGCCGATTCGCGGCCTCGCCACGCAGCGCATGCGAAGTTGCGCATATTCTGGTTGAAGAATAAGGGCATGTTCCTAGTGCTATTAGCGCAGATGTTTGGCGCCTCAATGAATGTTATGACCCAATTATTGGAGATCAATAGCTCTATGCATCCATTCCAGGTAAGTGCGATATCAATCCATTGACAACGATCAAGTTATGATCACCTCACATCTTGATCTATATCTCCCAAGAAAATTCTCTATAACATACCATACTGACACATACATAGATTCTATTCGCCCGCATGTCCATAACAGCAGTAGCAAGTTACCTCTACATGTGGTACGCTCGCGTGCCCGCTCCGTTCGGCACACGGCCCATCCTAGTCCTACTCATTACGCGCGCCACATTTGGCTTCCTAGGCGTGTACGGAATCTACTACTCAGTTCAGTACCTCCCCCTAGCCGAAGCAACGGTGATCACCTTCTTGGCGCCTATCATGACCTGTTATGCTTGCTCGCTCCTTATTCCCGGGGAGACATTCTCAACCCGGCAACAGCTCGCCGCACTTGTCTCACTCGGAGGCGTGATCCTGATTGCGCAGCCATTTCGCAAGCGCGAAGGCGGCAACGGTGACAGTCCCGGCTCGGCAGACTCGTATCACCACGTCCTAGCGACGATCGTGGCGTTTGTGGGTGTGATCGGAGCCGCGGGCGCATACACGTCCATCCGCATGATCGGGCGACGTGCGCACCCTCTCGTCTCGGTGACGTACTTTTCCAGTGTGACGACGATCATCTCGCTTGTCGCGATGGCTGCGGTGCCAGGGGTTCCATTCCGGTTGCCTAGTAACACACTCGAGTGGTCCTTTATGGTCGGGTTGGGTGTTTGTGGGTTCCTATTGCAGTTCCTTTTGACAGCGGGTCTGTCGTACGTGCCACCGGCAGAGGTGTCGGTTAGTAAAGGCGGACAAGGATCGCGGGCGACGAGCATGGTATACACGCAGGTTGTGTTTGCACTCTTCTACGATAAGATGATCTGGGGAACGACACTGTCCCTCGTGAGTGCGGCGGGGTCGGTGCTCATCCTTGCGTGTGCAATTTATGTAGCAGTTATGCAGGAAGGACGATCGGAGCCGAAACCAGCTGAGGAGGTTGTTGATCAGCCGCGTTACAAGGATGTGGACGAGGAGGCTTGATAGGTAACCGAGGGATTGAGTTTCAGCAAGAGTTAAATGGCGCACATCTTTGTGTTCGGATTGATTACGCCACTGCGCATATCTGAACCGGAGCACTCTGCTCCTCATAAACCCGCATCAGTGCATTCGACGTCATAAGGTTGCAGCGGCCAACGCCAAATCCGAGTTCGCCCGAGACTGATTATTGGATCGAATCTGAAAGTAGTTTTGGGTACAGATATGGCTTCATCTGGTCAAAGATAGTGGAGACTATTAAAGAGTCCACTTTGCCCCGGTTTAGTGGATTCATCCCCGGATTTACCTGTCAGATCAATTCTTTTATAGAAACCATTGCATATTGCATATCATTCTTCCATGCCTATATCTACTACATGTCCCTATACTAGGTCAATCATTTAGACATGCGCCACTTCGACACCTGGGTCATTCGAGACCCCTATTCAATCTGGCATTACTATTCCACCGGTCAACGATGGCAAGACACCGTCCAATCCCTAATTCAGGAACGCAAGATCTGCTCACCAACCATGACCAATGAGCCCCCGATCAATCCCAAACAACCCATGAACTCTCAAATCACCAGCTCTCTCCATCGCCTCCCACCAGAAGTTCGTCAAATGATATGGACCTACGTCTTCGGCTCAAACACAATCCACCTCGTAACAATCAAAAACAAACTCCGACATGTCCGCTGTCCCGAAGAGAATCCCTCTCTCCCTCAACACCGCCACTGCTGTCCTTTAACACCAGCCCGGTGGCGTATCTACGACGGCCGAGTGCCAGGCCACTCAGATCGACTACTATACCCACACACCCACGATCTTCTGCCAGAAAACCTAAGCAACAGCCACTCAGCCCTACTCCGTAGCTGCCAAGCCATCTACGCCGAAGCATCAGATCTACTCTACCGAAACGCCACGTTCGACGTGGACGATCTACATACATTCATTGCTTTCACACAAAGCATCGGAAAAAGGCATCTAGCTTCCATCAGACGTCTGACTGTGCAATGGATGCCAGTGTGGCAACCACTTTCCGGCCAAGATCACAAAGGCTCCATTTACGCGCATACCCACAGCGATGCACTGTGGATCCAATTCTGGGATATAGTAGCGCAATTGCCGAACCTGTCCGAACTCAAATTAAGTATTGATTTGGGCCGGTTCACGGGTATGGTCTCGGGGGGTGGGGTGGTGGTTGTTGCGGGTGGACAGCAGCGAATTCCGCTCATTCTTACTGAGCCGTGGTTATTGCCATTGTTGAAGGTTCGGGGGTTGCAGGGGTTTGAGATGGCAGTTACGGCGCGGTGTGATCCTGCGGCGAAGGGGGTCCTGGAAGGGGATCTGGTCAGGGATGCGGCGTTGCTGAGGGATCAGTTGAGGTGTGTGATGTGTTCACCTGTTGGTATGCCATTGGAAGAGATTGAGGGATTGGGATTGAAAGATTTTGCGGGGGCTTTGGAGGCATTGAGAGAGGTTCCGATCAGGAAGAGGCAGCTAGCTATTACTGCTTGATTTTGGTTCTGTTCCTTATATACCTCTGTTTCTGTTCGTGTCTTGTCTCATTGGTGATACCCATTTTGATACTCTGCATAAGAGTCTGTGATAGAGAGATACAGTTGAAAGAGTCAGCGTTGCATATGTTATAAATTGATATACTCAGTGCTCTACTTGTCTATATCTATAACTTTAACACAATCGACAATCCCTGCTAATATTCGAATTATTACCGAGATACCAAACCCAGATACCCGGGGATACCCAGGGCAATCTATACAAATCCCATTCCATTAGTCTTTCAGCCAACCCAAGCTTTTCTTGGACCAACATGGTCTCACGCTACTCGATTTCGAGCAAACAAATGAAGCAAAACGATGCATAACGAATTGAGCCAATCCATATAGCCACAGCTACAGCCGACAAACAGAAATTGGTTCAATTTCGGAGTATTAGGGAGGACAAAGCAAGGGACGCCACAACACCCGACAAAGGAGATCGCAATTTGGGGAAGCACAAGAAAAGTATAAGACAAGAACCGAATGCAAATGTTGGATGCAAGAGGAATCGAATCCATTTCCCTACTGGGCCGAGACGTCCTTGCCGACGCGGCCACGAAGTTCATCATCGTAGCCGTTGGTCTGCTCGGATCCAGGCTCTTCCTCTTCTGTGGGGGAGTGCATTTGACTGGGAGTTTCCTGGAGAGAAAGACGGCTACGCATCATCTAGAAGGACAGTTAATGATCGCTCATGTAGAAGGACAGAAAGGGAGGATTTACCCATGCTCGTACACCTCCAATCAATCCCAGGCTGTAACCAGTGGCAAAGTCCTCGTTCCGGGCACCACCCATCGGACTGTCGGGGCGGTTCAAGGCCTCCACACGAGACAAGTGCGACTTGCTACCACCAGTAGGGCTGGCCAGGGGACCACGAGCACTGCCGTAATCCACACTGTTGCGGGTACTAGGCGCCGGGCTACTGGGCCGGCTGTTCTGCCAGATCTGTCGCAGTTCCCGACCCAGCTCTTGACCGGTCATAGTCCAGTTGTTCTTGATATTGTCCCGGAGCTCCACCACGTGTCGCTTGATCTCCAATTCATTCTTCTTCAACCAAGAGACATTGAGTTCCTGGCGGGAGGCACCGCGCTTGAACTGACGGGAGATGTATTGATCGTAGTCTCGGACAATGCTAAAAAGACCTCTCGTTAATAAGTGAAAATGGAACGAATCTGAAATACCGGTCACCACCTACCGAGTAATAAGACCTGTGGTACTGACGCCCTCTGTACGCTGAGTAACCAGGAACTTGCCCTGGGCCTTGATGGGCGCGTAAATATCATCGCCTTCCGCAGCCTCGTAGGGCAGGTCATCGTGAGCAACGTAGTCAATCTGATGCTCCGACAAAAACTCCGGAGTCACCACCCATGGGCAGTTGGGGATGACCTCATCCACCCACTTGCAATGCCGCACCGTCTCAGCTCGCTCGGCACCACTGAGCACAGTAAGACCCTTGCGGAGGTGAGTCTCCTCATCACCAGTGACGCCGACAATCAGGTAGGTATCGGGGCAAGCGTGCTTGGCTTGCTCAAGCTGTCTCATATGCCTGCCACGAGATTAGCATATGTCCAGACAGACCTCTATTTCCCCCATAATTCAATGTGCGATCGAGTTCGGATCAAAGCATCGACTGTGGTTGGAACATACCCAAGGTGGAACAAATCAAAGACTCCATCCGCGTAGACTCGCACTGGCCGTCCCGTCGGCGGCGGGTTGGTCTTGTAACCCACCGGATCTTGCAACACACCACGTTGTGGCGGGGGCATAGAATCCTGGTCCTTGGGCAAGTCAATGTGAAGACCAGGTCGGTTTCGAGGAGGGTTCTCGATGTCGGAAGAAGCCACTGTGGTCTCGGAAGGCTCCCCAGGATCCTCCTTGTGTATCGGGATGTCGGCACCGTTGGCGGTCGCAGATGCTGCGCCGGAGCTCTTGCGGGCCCTTTTGTGAGAGGAAGTGGTGGAGTCCTGTGTCTTGGATTTGGGTGGCGCATTGGTAGGCCCGGTCGAGTCCTCGCCGCCCTCTTCGCCGGACGCGTCGCGCGAAGAAGGTTGGAGCTCAGTTGTGGATTGAGGAACGGGAAGGTGGGAAGCGCTGCGCTTGCGCTTACCAGCGGGAGAAGTGGAAGACATGACGGAGACAAGGGGAGTGTGTTCTCTAGTTCTCTCGAGGAAAGAGAGATGGAAAGAGAGATGTCAACGTGTAAGCGGCTTGATCCGGTTTTAGGGGTAATTTTCTTTTTTGGGGCACAAGTGGGGGCTGCCGATGACGGCACTTGTTATGAAACTGAAAACTAACAGACCCTGTAGATCGATCTATCACTCCTTTTATTTCGAGGGTTTACGAAAGATCATTAGAAGAAAGGTCTTATTTGTACCGAGATGTGACAGCTCCCCGGAACTCCAATAAACAGTCAAATGTCTACCAGGGTATCCACTCAAGCATATACCAGATAAACAGAGTGGAAATCAAAATCCCCTTCTCTTTTGTGTTCACTCCCATGTAGTCCCCCCCGATCCAGTTACCTAGGATCTGGTCTAGGAACTAGGTCTTGAAAAAAAAAAGCAGATAAAGTATAAAATGTAGAACGGCACGGCGTGGATAAAGTGTAATGGTTCGTCAATAGCGAGGCATTTTCTGCGGTATCTCGTGGTGTGAAGGCATAAAAAAAGGGACAAGACGTGTTCATGAAGGCCCATGGCTCCCGGCGAAGGGCCTCCCTCATACCTATGATCAACCCTGTCTTCCTCCTCCCAAACCCTGTCTCTCTTTCCAACTCACGCTGACATGAATCCCACGGCGAGAGTGCACCGAACGGACTCAATTGGCCCAACAAATGACTAAGAAACAAAGACAAAACAGAGAAAGGGCACAGAAAGCGGAAGCATGGTTCGTAAGGGGTGGCAGGAAATCGTTAAGACAAACAAAAACGGGCGGGAAGGTTAAAAAAAAGGAATGCCAAACAAGGACAGGAGGTTTGATAGAAAAAGGAGATAGATCGGCCCATGGGTCCTCCTAGGATCCGAACCTAGGCGGTCGACTTGTCGTCCGTAGAGGCTGGAGATTCGGATATTTGAGAGGTATCATGTTTCCCTTGAGGTCCAGGGGTGGCCTCGCGGTCATTCCGGATGGAATCGGTCGGATGCACCTGGTTAACCAGATCATGGTCTTCCGTCTGATCAAATAGCTCCTCCTCGTTCTGATCAGGGATGACCTCGGTGCCATCGCCAAGCAGAATGATCCGGCCCCCGGCCGAGCGAACACTAAAAGCCCGCGAGCGCTCCATCTCCAAGTCATAGTCATCTGGCTGATCCTCGAACTGGTTCCGGATTCCAGGGCCTCGGAATTCGGCTGTGCGCAACTCTGACCGTCAGCACGAAGAGGTACTTCCTTCGGATTCCTCGTGAGACTTGCCGTACTCGGGCGGAGCACAAGGACCGTCTCCGCTCGCAACCCGCTCTGCAATCTGGTTGTACCATTCCTCCTTGGTTTTGCCGTTGAGCAATCCGATGACGGTCATGGTCATGTTATCGCATCCAACTCCACCAGTCTCGCTGTTGGAAGCCAGGCAGTTATCCATCATGTTCTCACAGATCCGGTACAGGTCCTGCTTGGCAGCGATACCCCTCCGAACAAATTCAACCACAGCTTGGGAGGACTGGCAATCCCAGATACCTGAAATCATATATAAGTATGGGATCTCCCTTAGATTCAAGACGATTGAACGTACCATCACAAGCAATGACAAGGAACTCATCATCTTGGGTCACTTCGTGCACAGTCACATCGGGGTATGCGGTGACAATCTGCTGCTCGGGCGACAGCTCAGGGCTCTTCTTGAATTCGAAATCACCGATGGCACGGGACAGAGCCAGGTTTCCATTGACACGGCCAAAGTCAACGAAGCCACCCGCAGCACTAATGCGAGCTTTCTCGCCTATGTGAGGTGTGAGCAGAGGGGCTTGGGTCCGGAAACGAATCAACACTAACCTTCATTCTGGGGCTTGTGATCAAATGAAAGGGGCTTTGCGCGGCCCTTGACACCCAGCACAGACCGGGAGTCACCGGCGTTTGCCTGTTACCCATGTTAGTCATTCTCCGATCCTTTCGTAGCCCTTATCATGCATCACGTACCACCCAGATCTTATTCTTCGAGATAATGCTAGTTGAAGCAGTGCAGCCGGACACTTCCTCCTCATATTTAGGGTCTGCACCGGGAAAACAATCATGGTTAGAAACGAAGTCCGAGGGTAAAGCAGGAAAATAGAATAGAAGGGGCTCAATCCATCTACTCTCTGGAGTCAAAACCTCCACGAACCTTCCAAAATTGCCCGGTCAGTAGCCAGGAAACCATCCTTCATCGCCTGCTCAATATCTCCCTTGGAGAATGCGTCCTGCTTGGCAACGATCTTGTGGAGGTTCTCCCCAGTAAATAGTGCCACTTTGTCTCCACCGTGGCCATCATATACACCGAAAAAGGCTAGACGCTGGTCCGGAGGGGTCGGTTTATTGTCCTCGTTGATGTACTTCGCTTGGAGATCGAGCACAGCAGCGTGGGCATCCTCCATGCTAATTCTCCAGCCTTGCATGGCAGACACGCCGTAGATGCAGCAATCATCTCCGCCCTCGGCCGATGTCTAGATCAAGAACAAACAAGAATAGGTCAGTCAAGCTATCAAGCAGTTTTATGGCGGTAGTGGAAAGAAGCCATAATAGGAGTGCAGGGGCCTATATGTGATCGAAGCGATCTCAGCCCCTCCGAGTCAGCAGGACCCCGCATGGCCGATCCTCAAAAAGTGGAATTCTGGCCATGAGCGACGGGACTGCGACCCTGTAGATCGCAGTGGCCCATCAAAAAAGTCACCGAAACAGATATACGACCGTGCATCAGGGTGTTGCGGGCCCGAGGTGGTGGTGATGTGCCTCGGGCGAAGAAAAAGGCCGGGATATCCCATTTGACAGTGTGGGGAGGGGCAGGGGCAATGGAAAATTGCAACTCACCTTCTCGACCACCGGCTCCGACAAGGTCTGACCCATAATGGCACGGATTGAAATATGAAAGCGGGGAGAGGTGGAGGGGAATCGGAGGGAAGCTCCAGATGAATGGGTGGAAGAGGAGAAAGGAAGTCAGGTGAAAGAGGGACGCAAGGCCTTTCAGCGCGTTTCTGGGTCCCGCGATAAGTCGCCTGCCGAGTGGGGAACAATGACGATCTAGGGCTTTCTTAGGTGATTGAATAAAGGGAAGAAGAGAAACAATGAAGAAAAAAAGAAAGAAAATTCAACGACAAGAACTCTGGCAAGATTTTCGAAATTGAAAGGGGCTGAAGAAATTTCTTGGGTGAGATTGGATTCTTGTGTAGAGAACAGAGATTTCCCCGTAAATTACATGACGAGAAATGAGTCTCGTGGGCTTTGATAACAATCAGGTGACTTTATAGTATGATTCAAGGCTCCTTGGGCACTAGTTTTTACTTGATTTTGAGGCTATAGAAGAGATATTACACACGAGAATATTCTTGCATACTTAAGTCGTTGATCATTCATCTCAGAGCTTCTTTATGTATCCGCATCACGCCATGAGCGGGACGCTGTATGGTTCATACCAAGGGGAAACATCTCCCCGGTCCGAAGCATGTCATTAGGCCCCTTTCATGCCTGATAATCTATGATAGCATTTTATAGTTCTTTAGACAATGATCCTATTGAATATAATGCACGTGCCAAGGTGGATCGATGACTCGGCACTCATTGCAGCTATGAGCTCGAGTCATCTGTTTTTCGTCCATTGAATACATACGGACCCTGACCAGAAACTGTAGCAGATTGACAGTGTTCTCGTGCGATATCACCTAGTCGAGACTGAGATCATTGTGTATCTTACCGTTCCTATTGCATTGAATTAGTCAATCATGACCTTACGTGTAACTATGACTAGTTGACGCAATATGTTTTAGCGGTTTGCCGCACATCTTACATGCAATTATACCAATCCCAGCATACAAAACCTTGGAGATGGTCTGGTCAGATTCCCTTCACTTCCGATCAGATGCTTCAACCTGAATACCTGTTCCTGCTCTTGGAGTTGCCTTCATCTGAGCGTCATCCTTACATAAGCTTCACGTGATCCAACCCGCATATGGGTCGTCAACTTTTTCTATCTTTGAACCCCACCCGATAACCTTAGTTATGGGCAGTCATGAAGTCGTTTTCGAGTTCTGCTATCAGTACGTGTCCAAACATCCCCCTCAAGTACTACAAGCCACCTTGCTAACAGTATTCGTTCCAGATAAGTCGGGCAAGAAATTTGCGCCGAAGGCGCCTGTTCGTCGCGCGCCTGCCGCGCCGGCGCGGCGACCCAGTGCCGCTCAACAAGCCCAAGCCCAAGCTGCCCAAGCTTCACAGGCAATTGAACAGGAGAAAGAAAGTCCGGAGGCGACTATCGTTGAACCGCCCGTTCCCCCACCATCCGCCTCGCAAGCCGTACCCGAGAAATCAACCGTTATCGAAGAAACAACCGTCGCCGCACCCCAGCCTCTAAAGACAGTGCAAACAGTGCCGAAGCCGGTCACATCTATTCCAACCCCTCAACCCAAAATCAAAGTTCCCGTCTCGGTACCAAGTCCTGTGCCAAATCCTTCAGTCACCTATACAGCAACCCCGCCCTCCACCGTCGATGAACCAACATCTCCCCGCACTCTCACTACGGAACCAACTATCGTGCAGTCTATTGAACATGACGTTGAACAGACTGCCACGAATCAGCCCGCCTTGGAAGCGGCACATCTCACAGATACCGTCACCATCGATGCACCCCCTGCTCAAGACTCGGGTGCTGAGTCCCAGGCAACACCTCCTATCTCATTGAAGGGGGCAAAGAAAAGCTCTGAAATCACCAAGACGAAGATTCAGCCACGCCCCAGGGGACCTATCGCAACTCCTCCGTCTACCCGGCGTACCAGTGACACCCCAGCGCATTCCGTGGCGGCTTCTTCCGTAGCACTCTCAACCCCAGAGCCAAGTCGGGCATCGGCAAAGGGAAAGCGCAAGGCTTCAAAAGCAGGAACGTCTGACGTCGATGGCGCCGAAAAGCCGAAAAAGATTCGCCGACGAAAGCGTGAAACTACGCCTGAAGGTGCAGACACGGTGGAAATTCTACCGAACGTTATCAAGATGTCAGAACTATGCAAGGATTTGAAGACAGGCAAAAAGTCGAACCGTGAGATTGCATTACGAAAACTAGAGCTGGAAGAGCAAGAGCGGAAGCAGAAGGAAAAGGATGGAACACCTGCAACGCCTCAGACCTCCAAAGCAGAGGCTAGCAAAGAGCCGGAGAGACCTGAGAAGGCAACTGGCCCTGTCATGCGTATTGTCAACGGTGAAATTGTGCTTGATGCAGCCTCACTTCAGGTAGATCGACATGCGGATGCAGCTCGGGACGCCGGAGATATGGACGTCGTGGAGGAAAACCAACTCACCCGGAAAATTAATCAGGCCACTTATGGCAAGCGATCAAAGACGGAAACTTGGGATGAGGAGATGACAGATCTGTTCTACCGTGGCCTCCGCATGTTCGGCACCGATTTCATGGTCATTAGCAAGCTTTTCCCTGGGCGATCCCGCCGGCAAATCAAGCTTAAGTACAACAACGAAGAGAGAAAGGATGCTCAGCGGATCAATGACGCTTTGTTTGGCCCCCGTGAGATCATCGATATTGAAGCATACTCGCTGTTGACCAATGAAACATATGATGATCCCAAGGTCATCCAACAAGAGCTGGATGACGAGAAGGCGAAGATTGAAGAGCAGCACGAGAAAGAGAAAAAACTACAAGAAGAGATGATTCGCAATCCTACCAACGCCGAAGGGGAGGCTGATGATAAAGCCAACGCTGCACCCATCAAGGGCAAGCGCAACAGCAAGAAGCAGATCAAGAGTGCAGGTGGTGGGACAGAGGAGGTGCTGGGGTCCATCGATGATTAGTCTTATATTTCTTTTCTTCTTCTTTAATTTTCAGCGGGCGTTTAAGATTTGATCGGGTGGCTAGCACTGGAATGTGCTTTGAGGGTTTACCGGCGTTCTTTGCATTCAGCGAATGATACACAGGGAGGTATGCCAATGGAGTTTCACAGCTATATAGTCTGTTTGCATAGAGAAGAATACTAGGAAGTTTTTCGCAAATCATATGTTATGTATAATTCACAACGCTGACTTCCATGATTCCAAGGCCTGGATCCGGCTTCAAAAGCTACATTTCGTATTGAATATTGTTGGCACCGTCATCTGTGCAGTTTGTCCAGATACCCGTCATCCACTATCTGCGTTTTGTTGAGCCAAATCCAGTACTGCTGGATGAATTCGAGAACTGGGGTGGTGAGCGACTTCTCGAACTGCCTTCGCCTGCATTGACACCACCGAATCGCCCAGTCGGCCCTCGCGGAGACGATCCACCACCTGAACGTCGTCGCCCCATTCCATATCCAGCAGCAGCACCTCCAAGAGCACCAGTCCAGAACCCAGGAGTCCAACCTTGAGAAGATCGTCCTCCATTTGTAGGCTTGTCCCCATTCCACCAGCTACCGTAGGCAGGGGGTGGTCCTGAGTAAGGATCATGGCCGCCGCCTCCACCTCCTCCACCACCGGGACCGCCACCACCCCAAGATCCCCCTCTTGTCCGACGTGGACCCCTGGGCGTTCGAGTTGAGGCAGGGCCACAGCACAACTGCCAAATGATCACCCCGAAGACTCCAAAGGTGAAGGTGAAAAACAAAAGGCTCATCCACCATTCCCACACCGGCTGATCAGAGGCCATCATTTTGTTGGCAGATCTTCCGAAGCGGTCTTCACCATGCTCCGTCAATAGCATCCGGTATTCGACACCACAGCTTCCTTTTAGAACCCATTTGTCGTTGGCATTTCGATACCCCTCACACATAACATCTGTCGCACCAAGCTTGAATTCGGACGGAAGTGATGCTTCACATGTCCACTGTACATCTTCTTCATCGTAGTCATAGCCTTGGTTCGTACATCGCATTACCTCTGGCTGGTAGAGGTCACATATCTTTTTTGATGGGCCAACACAGGTAAGTTGTGGGATTGGCGAGACTCGACGAGAGTTTGTCATGCGGTTTGCACGTAGTGTCAGAGTGTTGACATTGGAGAGTAGAATGGCATCTTTGCTTGGTGGGTTCTGTGTCGCGCATAGTGCTGATGAGGTGAGCAGCAGCGCGGTGATGGCAGATGTAAGCCCGCGCATTTTATGTTTAGGATCAACCAGTATGTATTAGCACGCGTGTAGACTGGTACAGTTGATTGTAGGTACGTGAAGATGGTTGGTCTTTATAAATGATAGCTATAATAGCTGTTGCACGTACGTCAGTGGGGTGGAGTACCTTCCAAGTCAGCGTGTCCTGAGGAGAGCGATAAGCGATAAGCGATAATCGATAAGCGGTTCGGGCCAAGAAAAAGATCCACTCGCCGAGAGTTAGGAACCTCCAACTGACAGTGGGGATGGGTGCACCACAAGTAGGCATTGCCCACCGCTGATGATGGCGCTCCAACAACGTGCGTGTGAAGAACCTTGAAACCTGAATGCTTTGTGCTGATGATTCTCTAGCCGACCCAGCGCTTTTGGCGCCTCAATCATCGTATGCCCGACTTATGACGATATGAATGAGATCTAGATCGCTAACCCCTCGATCAGCTTGTCCTTCACCCAGGGCTTTCTCCTAGGACAGCTCTCTGTAGTATTATTGATCGGCGCATTCATCAAGTTCTTCATCTTCGGTGAAGCCCCACCGCCTCCTTCCCGAGGCTTATCCAACCGCACATCCCACCGCCGCTACAGCTCAGTTTACAACCCTCCGCAAGATCAAAAGACACTTCGAGAAAAACCCTCAAACTCAAATGTTCTTCGTCCGGTGCCTGCCTCCTCTACCAATACACGCTCTATTCTCCGAAAGACCTACTACAGCGCCATTCCTACTAATCCGTCCAAACATGGCCGACATCGAATGCACCACTCGTCCCACCAACCGGAGTCACTGGACTGGTTCAATGTCTTGATTGCGCAGACCATTGCACAGTACAGGCAAACTGCCTACGTTCTGAAGGACTCGCCCACAGCCTCGATCTTGAGCTCCCTGAATGCCGCTATGAATAACCCGGAAAAGAAGCCATCCTTCATTGACAAGATTACGGTCACCGATATCTCATTGGGAGAGGAATTCCCCATTTTCAGCAATTGTCGCATTATCGCGGTGGACGATCCCAATTCCGACGGTGGCAGGCTACAAGCCCTATTGGATGTGGACCTTAGCGACGACAACCTCTCAATTGCTGTAGAAACTTCTATGGTACTCAATTATCCCAAGCCTCGCTCTGCCATTTTACCGGTTGCTTTGTCGGTCTCCGTTGTTCGATTTTCAGGAACTCTGTGTATTTCGTTGATTCCGGCATCAACAGAGGACCCCCTTGATACGCCCGCAAAGACACCCGAGCCTACAGTGGAACCAGGTTCCAATACAGCCACCGGGTCTGCCCAGGATCAGAACCCACCCAAAAGCAGTCCCAAGAGCAATGTCGCGTTCTCATTCCTTCCAGATTACCGACTTGATCTTTCTGTGCGTTCTCTCATTGGTTCGCGCAGCCGTCTCCAAGATGTGCCCAAAATTGCCCAGCTGGTTGAGGCCCGAGTTCACGCGTGGTTTGAAGAACGTGTGGTTGAGCCCCGTGTGCAAGTTGTGGGACTCCCAGATCTATGGCCCCGTATGGGTAGGACTGGCGTAAGGCCTGGCGAAGAATCCGATGCCGGGTCTACTGCACCTCCACGCAGCGCTGGCTCTGCCGAGGCAGGAGCGAGCCCGTATCAATTTTCCGACGGCCGTGAACCGGAGGGGCTACGGTTCCGTGGACCTTTGCCTTTGGATCCTCGTTTAGGACTCGGTGCAGGCTCGCGCAGTAGCAGCTTCAATGCTGATATGGGGAGCTTGCGGAGCCCGAGTATGACCCGGCAGGACAGTGCTGGTGGTGCAAGCGACCAGTTCTCCATGCCGGGTGGTATGCCCGGTGGAGTAACTGCAGGCAGAGATTTATGATCACCATTCAATGTTTATGTTTGCCAGGTCTTACTACTGCGTCATCGTGCTTGTCTCAATATTGTATAGTAACGAAGTAGTCTGCCCGTCAATACATGATGGTAGAATCATATTCTACAGCCTTGTAAAGTCCAATAAAACACTAAATATACGTGTAAGATCACCTTATTCAAGGCGAATATATGTATTGAATGAACTAAATCCATTCTCTTCCATTAAGTCAATTCGGTCATTAAGCATCAAGTGTCCATTCGACCATGTCATTTCATGCGGAAGCCGACTGCAGGAAGGTTCCTGTGTATTGCTGGCGGTAGGGATTCACATCCACCTCAGCACCACGGTTAAGCGGCGTCCACTTAGGCTCCTCCTGGAAGAGACGCATAGCCTTGACGTACTGTAGAACAAGTAAGTTATACATTCATAGAATCTTCTGAAGAAGTCAAAGATGTTCCTTTACATACGTTCTTCTCGTCGGTCGTGAAACGATGGTAGATACCAGCAGGTAGGATAATCATATCATCCTTGACCAGGTCGATACGAATCCACTCATCTTCCTGACCGCGGACATCAAAGTATCCCTCGCCGTCAAGAATATAGCGAATCTCCTCATCCTCATGCAGGTGCTCCGCAAAGAATGTCTTCACCTTCTCCTCGTACACATCACCCATTGTCTGCGGCGAGACGCAAATTTGGTCACGGTTCTTGTAGCCACGCTCAGACGCAATGCTGTCAACGTCCTCGATCGTTGGGCAGTGCTTATACAGGACACCAAGCTTGGCAAGGACATCCTCAGACACGGCGCGACCAGAGTCGTGGGGCTCACGCTGGTCGCCCTACATTTTGCGTAAAATTATTTAGTTATCCACAGTTGATCCATTTGCGTCATCGGTGATATATTTGAAGGTTTCGGGTCAGTTTTTATGGGAAATGAGGCGGTGAAGCTTACCGACTTGTTGTCGTACCAGTACGCCTTCATGGTGAATTATATGCTGAAGGAAAATGAAACAATTGTGGTCAAGACGAAGGAAAAGAGAAGAATGTAAGGGTTCGCTGAACATCAGCAGCCCCGCAATTGGCCGATGGCGCAAGATGATTATGTGAGAGTCTTATCGTTGCACGTGACCACGGTAACTTTTTTTATGTCTTATCGCGATAACAAATGTTGCAAACTCTCGTTTCGTTCGTGTTTTGCTATTTTGGAACTCACGAATTCAGTATGGCGTTTCGAGCTCGGCCTGTGACTCTGTTGCGCCCGCGCATCGGGGTCCGTTTACCCATTTGCAGATTCCGTGGGCTGGCAACTGTGGCCGAGGGCTCCCGGTAAGTTGATCTCTCCTGATCAGATTCAACCATCGCTAACATGAATCCTATTCTGGAATAGACCCTACGATGTCGTTGTAATTGGCGGCGGTCATGCTGGCTCGGAGGCATGTGCTGCTGCTGCTCGTTCTGGCGCACGCACTGCGCTCGTGACCCCCTCGTTATCGAACATTGGCGTGTGTTCGTGCAACCCCAGCTTCGGTGGAATAGGAAAGGGCACAATGATCCGAGAGGTGGATGCAATGGATGGTGTCGCAGGCCGAATCATTGACAAAGCGGGCATCATGTTTCGGATGTTGAATCGCTCCAAGGGTCCCGCCGTGTGGGGGCCGCGCGCGCAGATCGACCGTGACTTGTATAGGAAGTACATGACAGAGGAATTGGTCAGCACCGAGAACCTGAACATCGTGGAGGGCAAGGTGGCGGACATTGTGGTTTCCAAAGAGGGGGGAGAAAATACTCCGGGTGCACAGGGCAAGATTGTCGGTGTTCGACTGGAGTCTGGCGAGGTCATCCCTACTGGCCGTGTGGTTATCACCACTGGGACTTTCTTGGGTGGTGAGATCCACATTGGCCTCGAGGCGTACCCCTCTGGCCGGATGGGAGAGGCCCCAACTTATGGGCTGAGCAAGTCTCTCCGTGATGCGGGTTTCTCGCTGGGACGATTGAAGACCGGCACACCACCACGTTTGGATATGAAGAGCATTGATTTCTCAGGGCTAGAGGTTCAGCGTGGTGACTCTCCTCCACAGCCGTTCTCATACTTGAATAAAACGGTCGAGGTCGGAGATGAGGGACAACTCACCTGCTGGATGACCCATACCAACGAAAAGGCCCATGATATCATCCGTGCAAACCTGGACAAGTCTATCCATATCAGAGAGACTGTACGGGGGCCTCGTTACTGTCCATCTTTGGAATCGAAAATCATGCGATTCAAGGATAAGACACGGCATCAAATCTGGCTTGAGCCCGAAGGATTTGCCCCGAACGATGTGATATATCCGAACGGCATTTCTATGACCGTTCCAGCAGATGCGCAGTATGCCATGCTGCGTACTGTACAGGGTCTTGAGAACGTCAAGATGCTGCAACCGGGCTATGGTGTTGAATACGACTACATTGACCCACGCAACCTGCGATCCACTTTGGAAACCAAGCTCATCAGCGGTCTCTACCTTGCGGGTCAAATCAACGGCACAACTGGCTACGAAGAGGCAGCCGGACAGGGTATCATTGCAGGCATGAACGCCGGTCTGGAATCACAGGATCGAGAGCCTCTCAGTCTAACTCGATCGGACGGATTCATCGGTATCATGATCGACGACCTCATCACCAAGGGTGTGTCTGAGCCATATCGCATGTTCACCACTCGAAGTGAATACCGCATCTCCACCCGATCTGATAATGCTGATCTTCGCCTGACACGCATGGCTCGCGATGCTGGTGTCGTTTCGGACAAGCGTTGGCGCCACTTCACAGAGGCAGAAGCGCAAATTGAAGAACTCCAAGCTCTACTTGCCAACACAAAGTTCTCGTCCTCTGCCTGGTCTCGAAAGGGATTCAAGGTGCGCGCCGACACCTCGATCCGCTCAGCACTAGAAATTCTGTGTCTCGACGGTGTGGACATTAACGCCTTGATCCCACACATTGAGTCTGCGCCTGGAGTTGCCTATGTCCCTGATTCCTTTGATCCAGTTATCCGGGCCCGCGTGGCCATTGAAGGTCGGTATGCGCCGTACCTCAAGCGCCAGGAGAAGATGGCCAAGCGGTTCTTGCAAGATGAGAATCTCCTATTGCCGGCTGATCTTGATTACGGCATGATCCATGGGATCAGCAACGAAGAGAAACAAGCGCTTGAACGTGTGCGGCCTGTCAGTGTTGGTATGGCAAGGCGGATTGAAGGTGTCACCCCTGCCGGTGCACTGCGTCTGCTAATGCACGTCCGCAAAGGCACTGGCTTTACCAAAGAGGCTGGTGACGAGGATCCTGCTGTGGCGGAAGTTTTGCAGTCGTCACCTTGAAAGCAGTCAATTTCTTACATGTTTTGATATATAGCATATGCTGGCATTAGCGAAGCAACATACGGCGCTTGGGTAAAGTGTATAATAGGGTTGGTTTGAACATTTCTCGACATTTGGATATGTATTCTATTGGATTACTCCGTGTAGTATTGCGGTACATAGCGGATAATTTACTGGCAACAATGCCCTGTACAACAGAAGCGTATTACAAGTGTGAACTTTCTATTTCTCTGCTTCATGTCTTCTTATACACACCTGAGATCCACATCGTTCAAGATCTCTATATCCATGCTTTGACTCTATGTGTGTCTCAATGGGAAAAGCTTTGAATAATACGTTGGCCTCAATAAAGTTTCACATTAGCCTGGGGAAGAAGTACTGATGAATAAGGATGGTCAAATTGAAAAAGAAACTTGATCCTTAACCAAGATGCTTGTTCTTATTGATGACAGCGTGTGCGTTGAGACGGTTTGGGGGTATACGATACTGGGATTTACGGCTTCAAGGATGCGTAACTAGTTACTTCACCCACTTTACATAATCCATAACAATAGAGAACAAATATACAGAATAAAGCCCAAATCGACTAATCCAAAGCTTGACCTGGGGGACAAGGGAACCCCTGGGAAGAAGCAAAAAACAACCGTCGCCGTTTAGAAAGGCAAAAGCAAGCCCCATGCATCTCACATTCCACATTCCACGCTCTTCCCCAGAGTCCAAGCACGCGAAACGAACCCAACCGTGCGAACAAATACCGCCAGACTGGAATTCTACGCAAGGGGAGCCCGATCATGACCAGGATAGGGATACTTGGAAGTCAGCACAGACATGATTCGTAGATCACACTTCTTCCATTCCCTTCTGGGTTGTTTATGCTTTGTGGCTTTATCACTTGCAGTTTCGACATCTACTCACATATGACACTGTTCATTCGATAAGCCCCATGAGGTGAAGATAGGGGGGGGGCTGAGATAGGGATACGCTGATATCCCAGATCTACATGGAGAAAAATATGATAGATCATGCGCATACCGAACATCGATCTCTGCACAAGAGAATGTGGACAGAAACGAGCAAATTAGCGAGGTAACTGGGGAATCAATTCCGCTAGCCTGCGATAAGCCCATGACCATCGTGCTTTACCAACTCAACTTGGGAAGGCGTGACAAAGCAACGAGAAGAGACAAAACAAGGTTTACAGGGATCACATCCCTGCGGCTATCCTCGCCTTCTCCCCCTTCCTTCCCAAGACCCTTGACCCAACGAACACGACCACTAGTTCTTAGTTGATCTCGCATACGAGCACTCTGACCTTGACCAAAGTGACTAGCCCGCAGGGGCTTTTCGGCAGGTGACCCGATCGGCGTGATGGTTCAATCACAAGCCGCCACTTCACCCACAGTCGCAAGTTAGCCGCCCATGCGGAGTCAAGGGATAAGACTCACGGCGTTTCCCGGAAGACAAAGACATCGAGATTAACAAGAAGGATGCAGAGTTTGGGTGTGATGTACCTATTACACTAGCAGGTGCGTGTACAGATGCAGCGCAGCGCAGTGCATGCATTGAGCATACTGCACATGGGCCCGAGAATTGGGAATGATATGAGATAGTGGTACCGAATGTGAGAGATGCAGGTTTCCTCAAGAGCAGTTACCTATACTAGACATATTAGTAGATATCTAAATCCAGGCAAGCTACAGTTGCCTACTATAGCATGACCAATCCGTCTAAACTAGGGCATTCGAGAAACATCACTTTAACTCAAGTCTAGACCCGGGAACCCGGACATGCGAAACTGAGGTTGGAACACGCCATGTCTCGGAGGGAACATCCTTGCGTCAACGAGAAACGTCAACAATGTGGCAACCAAACAGGTTGAGGCCCGATGACAGCATCGTACGACACGAAACTGGGCGTCGGTACGTGCGCAGGATGGCACGTCGCACTTGAAGTTAAGCGGCCACATGGACGTGGGGACGCATAACCGAGAATTGAGCGTTATGATATATGTTTTTTTTTTTTTTTTTTTTATAACTAAGCAGTCAACACGAAGCTAAGAATAACATTCGCATGGCTATAATAACCTAAGTCAGGGTAGTCACGCACCCGAGCCAGTGGTTCACGCTCGGGTTTTGTCGCTAGGTTTAACATAGAGTTCATCCATTAGATCTTTACGGTACGTAAATAATCGTCAATCGTCAAGATGAAAAGTCAATGATTGATGGTCGATCTATGTCAATCCTATTTTCCCCAGCTCTAGGGATCCACCCCGTTGACCGTGGAAAGAGATGGGTTTATTGCAGTGACATAACTAGTGGACTCCATAATTCTTAGGGATTAAATGGGTCCTCTCCTCCGTACGATTCCAGCTAACACCCAAGACGGAATAAATAGACGATCGTGTTGATCCGTGTTCTTTGACCTCCCCCGATCTCCTATTTGCGGGACAATCGCTCGGGATGTTTCCATAGAAGGTCAGTGCCGGTGACAGTGTGATCTACCTATCCGAGAGAAATCTGGAATCTGGAATCTGGGAATCCTGGAGAATAGGGGGCATCCGAGAACACCGAACTTGTTGGGGGTCGCATCACACTTCCCCTGTTCACTTGGCGTTTTCCTATTCACATGCGCCAGGCACCTGCATACACCGTCCCACCACAGTGAACCACCTGGAGAATGGTTTCGAGATTCTAGAGCTCAACAACGGGATAAGGATTCCCACTTAACGAAACTAGTACAAACTACTAGGACCAGAACCAAACACCAGAATCAATCATTGATAGCGCCGGACCAAGAAACCGGATCTTCTACGAAAAGTGAAATTAAATACATAAATAAAAATAAAATAGCTCGGCCGATTCAGTAAACAGTTAGGTCGAGGATGATCATCCTAGACCCTGTGCTTGGCCTTTTGCGGGATTTCTTAGTTACGCGCTAGGCTGCAAAGACCGAACGCAACGCCACCCAGCACAGGGCCTTGCGGTGCGTTAGTGTGAGGGTTTTTTTATTATTATTTTATTTTCTATTCTGAACCGTTCGAGGTACGTGCATCTGGCCTTGCGTGGCCCCGCTGCATTTTATTTGATTTATTGTTTTGGGATTATTTGGTTGCGTGTTGTTCCGGTCTGATCTCAATAACCTCGGGTTATGGCTTGGGCCTTGGCCTAGTCTCGGGCTCTAGTGGCGTAAATACGAAGATCGACCGTGACCCAGTGTAGTTGACCATAGATAAGCATGGAAAGTTGTTTCCCCCCCCCCCTATGAGCCCACGATGATCTAATACTATACAGAGTAGACTAGATCCCTATACTAGAATTAAATTGAGTCTAGGAGAACAAGGATTAGAAATAAGTACGGGGGGCGCAGACCTGCACGACTCCCCACCTGTCTCATGTGGCACGGATGCCTGGCCCGAGTGTCTGGTACAGGTGGTGCGCCGTCCGTGGCTATGGATTTCTTAGTGCGAAAGTAGAAAGGAATTAATAATTCCAATAATTCGATAAATAATTTAGTTAATCGGAAATCGGGAAATCGAGGAAAGATAGGCGCTGGGAACCAAGAAGTAAGCTAAGCCATCCCAAGTACTCCCAGAATTGGGTCATCGCTGGTTGGTGGTTGGATCGTGTGGGGAAACGAGATTGGCGCGTCCAGTTTTCGAGACTTCGTAACCGGGCGGAGCATAGTCGTGTACTCCGTCTCCGCCTCGCGCTTATGAGTCTACGGAGTACGCCGTCTATTTACGAGGTGTATAGGTACTTTTGCTAGTGGACCTCGGTCGTGTTTGTACTCCGTATATCCCATAACATGGTCATCATTTCGCTTGGGTCCAGAACATCATTGGGCTTGATCGACCCGTGCAATCTAAGAATCTGGGTCGGGTTAATCTACCTAATTGCACGGGAATGGGCGGCAGCTAATCATGTCAAATTTACAATACCTGCCCTGTACCCGACACAAGGCTATGATACATATGTACTAGCCCTAGGCTAACTCGATTTCGTGTATCCTTGCGAGTGATGAGAGACCAAGTACGTAGAAACCCCCCTCTACTCCTTTTTGAGAATATGTCGGTGTGATAAGACTCATCACAGGTGACATCTGTCATGGGCGTCAATTGAGTTTCTACAAGCGTGCGCCAACCTAATTTATCTCCTGTTCACCCACGTCTCTGGGACTTTTGCCGATAAACCTGAAACGACGCTCTCCGTCTTAAATCTCCCATGTGTGGAAGAAGCACAGAAGCAGTCACGAGAATTGAAACCCAAAAAGAAAGTTTCAAGTGGGGAATGTCGATCTGCAATTCGGACTTTGGCCAAGGTCGGGATCTGATTTGCTCTGCAAAAAATAAAATAAAAAACCAAAATCACAAAGCCCGGTAAGTACAGGGGGGGGTTAGGCTAGAACAGAAAGAAAGGTGGCAGTGTGAGCCTGGATCCGCTGAGGATCTCCCGCGAAAGTTTTCAACCAGGATCCAATGAGCCCCAGTGCATCAGGTACGGGACCCTCTTGCCCCTCAGAAACCCAGAAGAGGGAAAGGTTTCTGAGGACTAAAGTTACCGGGAAACAAGTGCTCAAACCTTGCGACGCGTGGTGGACGGTTCTGCACATCCGTCAGTGCTGATTGGAAACGCCTGAACGGAGATGAGCCGGGGAAACCAATTTACGCTCAGTCCTCGTAGAAAGTGGAATCTTCTCCATCCCTTTGGGACTCGCTGACGACATCCTTTTTTTTCCCTAGATGAGTGTATCTTTTCTTTCTCGGGGAGCATTTCTGTTAGGGGGAGCCCGAGAACCATTTACCTCGGAAGAGCTTCAAAGCCAGTCATGATGAGCATCACTTCACCACTTTAGGTCATTCCCCGATCTCTCTGACGTGCCGTTGGGTGATCATGTCCCGCCCCATGGTGTGTGGAGGTTCCATTTTTCAATAGTTCCGGTGCACTGGCCAGTGTCCACTCGGGCGCTCCCCACTTGGGGATTTCCCCTCTCTCTCTTTTCGTGTCTTTTTTCTGTATTTTCTTTTTTTTTTTCTTCCACTGGGCCGTTAGGGAGAAGTGGAAGGACAATGATTGGATAAGACGAGAGTCTCGATCGGACCCTGCTGACACCGAATGCTGTGAGTGGAAAGGACTGAACCATGGAGTGAAAGAAGGAAGTGGAGTAGAGATAATTCGGGGCCCGACCAATCAACGAAGATCATGAGTTTGGTCTCGAAATCCCCCTGCTGTAACACATTAACATTTTAACGTTAACGTTAAGAGATTAAAGGTTAAGAGCGAACATCCTACAATCCTCAAGTACTGTTTACACCGCCACCAAGGATGACCGATGCTTAAATAAGAAGGTGGTTAGGTGGCTGAGTCAGACGTGGTGAGGGGGCTCCACTTGGATCGTCCATGGCACGTCGATGATGATTGCATTTCTGATCTTCTAGATAGACGAAAAACCCATGACGGAATAAAGAATAAACTCGGTACCTGCTTGGTCATTCTTACTATTTGACTTTGCATTTCTCTCATTTCTTTTTTTTTCTTTTTATCTTCGTTTCCTTCCGAATGAAATCACCGCCGTATTTCTCCGCTCCCTGTGGACTCAAAATTCGGTACTTAGATATGATACAGAGTTCTGTCAGATAAATCTTGACTAGCCAGTTCGCCCCGCAATTTGAACCCTCCGATATTTCTGAACATTTAGCTCCGTAACTGATTACCATACCGTCCGTCGATCCTTTCTGCAGTTCTTGGCCCCCTGATTTCCCCCTTTGCTATATTAATTTTAAATTTTTTTTTTACATGTTTCCCTCGATTACTACCCCAGGTCTTATACGTAACTTGTTCTCCTAAGCTTGGAATTACCGCAGGATCCGTGGAACCGAGTTCGAGTAGATCCCCATATCCAGATCGGTGCAACCTACGCAGGCTGACTTGGGTCCGTGCTTTCCCTGGGCGATCCCTGGACTCCAAGAGGAGGGGTTAACTCAACTCAAAACCACTCCCTCCGCTCCCACTTCTCCATACCCTGGTCGATCTCCTTAGCTTATTTTTTCCCTATCCCTATCCCACCACTACACACATCTCCGCCTTCCCATCATGGTGAACGGGACTGCGGCGGTGCTAGAGCCCACATTCACAGGCTATGTGGCGACGACTCAAGATGCGCTGATTCTATTCGAGGCCTGTCTGACAGGTGTGCTGCATCATGTCCCTCGTCGACCACACGACCGGGAGCGAAGTCATTTAGTGCGCAGTGGGAGCGTCTTTATCTACGAGGAGAACTCATCGGGAATTAAACGATGGACTGACGGTGTGACTTGGAGCCCCAGTCGCATTCTGGGCAATTTCTTGGTGTATCGGGAGTTGGACAAACCATTCCCGCCCGGTGAGAAGAAACGCGCCATGAAGAAGGCCAATCGACGGCCGGTGCCACCCACTCGACCTGGAGAGCCATATCCGCGACATGACAGCAACGGTCAGAGTTATTCCCCGACATCACCTCCAGCGGCCTTTGGAGAACGAACACATCAGTCAGAGGTGGAACGGGCATTGGTGGGGTCGCTGGTAGATTCGTACGGCTTCAAGGACTCGGGGTTGGTCAAGAAGACCATGAGTGTGACCGTGATGGGGATTACCCACCACCTGGTCTCCTATTACAGCGTGGACGATGTGATGCGCGGGGTGCTAAACCCACCTTCGATGGTCGAGTCGTTGCGCTACATTCGACCGCGCATCGACCTGACCCAGAAACAGAGTTTCCGCGCCCCCATCGACGATCTGGAGTCAAATGCGTTGGAGAGTGCTCCTCATGATCCGTCTCATGCAGCCCTCTACGGATACCGCCCCCAGATGATGGCACCCCCTGCCTATGGAATGCCGAACCCATCAGCCGATTTTTACATGCACGCCAACCACTATGCCGCCAGCCACGCTCCGCAACCAGGCCCCATAGCCGGATACTCCATGGGTGGCAACATGCCCGGTCAACCAGCACCTAACCCATACCTTCCATCGCCCGCTGTGGCAGCCACGATGGCCCCGAAGCAAGACGACTACCACGCATTCCGGGCTGGACCATACGGAGGAAGCATGGATTCCATGAGTGCTCACAGCGCTTTGTCCTCATCCATTCCGGGGGGATGAACAGCATGTCCGGTTCTCTTAGCGAGCGCAATCGCTCAACCTCAGACCATAGCCCTTCTGCATACCGCAACTCATCCATCTCTTCTCGAAGCGTCGCAACCGACGCGACGTCTCCCATGGATCCCTCGACCCCGGGCACGTATTCACGAGGCAGCTTCGGCTTACCTAGCCATATGGACAACACTCATCTTGATTCTCGCGGCATCGGCCCTCTCGACCCGAATGTACCACGTCGCGAATCCAACCCCGTTCACCCCTCCTACTATGCCCCTCCCGATCGTTCGCAATACTACGTCGGTGCGGCAGCCCCTGTCAACCACCCCCACTACGCGGCCTGGACAACCACCGCTCCGGCCCAGCCCCAAATCTAATTTTACCAAATCCAACGTACTGTTTGGCGTTGGCCTGGGGCTTTTTACGACCTTGTGTTTTGTTTTTGAAGGTGCAAGGGACTTTTCTTTATATTTATCTTTTATTGTTCTCCCACGATGGTCATTTCCAAGTTTCAAGGATATTTGGGAGCGTGGGGAGTCTTCTAGGGCGGTTTTGTGCTTTCGATTACCCCTGTTTTGGTTCTAGCTTTTAGGGACGGGTTTCGTGGATTTTGTTTTGCTCGGCGAATAGACCTATGGCTTTTGGGACGCGGTTTGGAATCAGTTTGAGCCCCTGAAGCCCCTGGTTCTCCCGTTCCGTGCAGTGTACTCATGTCTGTCTATATGGCCCTTTTTGTCAAGTTTTTTTTTCTTCTTCTCTTTTCTGTGGTGGGACTCTGATTTTCGATTTACCTTGTGACGCTTTCTTTCTGTTCTGATTCCACGTTTCGATATCGGGGGTAACAACCCCATATGGGCGGCGTTTTGTGTGATTCCCTGACGATGTGATGCAACCGACAAAACTTGTTCTTTCTCTATATCCTCATTCGATTCCGAATGTTCTTCTCCTACCGAAATCTCTTTTTTTTTCCTTTTTGCTGGCTTGGCTTGGCTTGGCTTTGCCTTTATGCAGCTCCGCTAGTTATGGGGGTTGGGTCCTGTGCAATATCCTGAAGGTTTGATGGATTCTCCACTCTTAACTTTAATGATATAATGCAGGGTCGAATATCCATGACTAACTAGGTTTGGGTGGATGCCCCTTCTGTACCGTACCGTGAGCTTGACTGGATCTGTTGGGATAGCTTTGTTGATTTGGCTGTTCATTTATGGGGGGGTTCTTTGAATCATATAGTTGAGCTGGGAAATGAAAATGATGCCTTCTTGCCCTAATGTTTTAATGATACCTAGGGAAACATCTCTGGGTATCATCAGCTATCCATCACCATAATGACTGTCATCTTTGACCCTAGAAACCTTATCAGTCTTGCGGCCCCGTCAAACTCTCCAATTCCCGGGGGTATACATATATCCATGATATCGTCACCACAGGTATTGAGTATCCACCTGGGCACCCATCATAACCCATCTGCCGGGATATTCCGGCTGTCTGTACCAAACTCCACCTAAGAAGACCAATATGGTTGCTGAAATACTGCACCCTCCAATTACTCATGATATAAGATAGGAGGGTGAGATAAACATTCGAACCGTTCATAACTCTCGAAGGTCGTTCACACTGAATAGGATCCACATCCATAAAAAAAAAAAACCTTTTAACTTTCATTTCCATAACCAGGTTGAGAACCCCCAGTAAATTCCCTTTCAATGAACACCAAACTATAGAATTTTTCCAGTAGCAACTCATGAATGATCGGCTTATCAGAATAATACGTCCAAAAGCACTTGAGCCACATAGCCGCGCGGCGGGTACATGATCTTGAATGTACATGTATGGCCAATCAGAGCATCAAGTCAGGCAAGGCCCCCCGCTATTCAGAAACAGTTTGAAATCTGGTGAGTAGATGTGCTGAGCCATAATCCACCATGAGATTCCACCTCATTCCGATGTTCACCTGTTCGTGTGGCTGATGGCCATTCCGGGTCTCGCTGATTCTTGCCCTTTTTTTGTCATGTATATGCCCAAGGTGGGTGATTCGTGGTTTTGAATACGTCCTTTAGTCGTAGCGACTGTCTTGGGAAATCTCTTTTGCGAGGTCATTGGCATTGTTCCCTTCAATCACCCTTAAATATAGGAGCAGCGGGGACCGACGTTTGGCACGTCTACCTTGACCCTCGACCACGAACTGCACATTGTCATTACCCTCCAAACGCGATGTCGGATTCCCTTGATACTTCTTGAAACATATGTCGGTCTGCATGTCAATATTCTCAGTTTCCATTCTTTCTCTCGGTAAATTGTGTTTGTTGCGTTTTTCAGATCGGATTGGGAAGGCACAATTCATTTCTTTTAGGAAGGCGCGATGCAGCCGACTATAAACCCCCTTCCTTCGTTTTCCAGCCTTTCTCTTCTCTTTAATCTCGTCTTTGGTTCTTCTCCTCATTGCCATACTTGCAAGTCGCGTTATCACAGATTTCAAGTAAAGAGTAAAGCAACATTGGTCTGCGGCTCTATCTAGATATCGAATTTTGTGACATGACCCACAGGGGCCAATCAGAGTATCTAGAGTGAAAGGGCCTCCCATTTTCTGGTTTCAAAACAGCTATGGCACACCCAGAGCCTCAGTATCAAGAATAAGAATGGGTGATTGGTCAAACCCCCTAAGCGGTAGCACATGCAGCTGAGCCATGAAGTGGATCTGATCTAAACCGAATACGGATGTCTCCACCTGATTCTATGCAGTTTTCCCCCGCATACGAACACGAGAATTCCTCCCTTTCACAGCACAACCATGGCTGATTTACCAACCTTCGTCTTTGTTCCTGGTGCCTGGCATAAACCTGTTTGCTACCGCGAGATCATCAAACTCCTGCAGCCCAAATTCAAGTGTGTCTCAATCACCCTCCCTTCCACGGCAGGAAACCCCGATGCATCCTTCAAAGATGATCTTGATACCGCCCGCGAAGCCATCTCCAGTGAGGTAACCAGCGGGCGCAATGTCGTGGTCGTTGCGCACTCTTACGGCGGGATGGTTGCCAACAGCGCGATCAAGGGATTCATGCGAGACAAGACAAGCCAAACGCAGTCACCGACGACAGGGTTCGTGATCGGGCTCATCTTGGTCGCCTCAGGGTTTACGTTCACAGGAATGGCATTTATGGACCCATTCTTTGGTATCCCGCCGCCTACCTGGCGCGCCAATTGGGAGACCGGTTTCGCCGAGCTAGTCACTCCCCCCCGCGAGATGTTCTACCACGACTTACCGCAGGAAGAGGCAGAATACTGGGTCTCTCAGCTTACACCACAGAGCCTGAAATCATTGTATGAGGGTGGTGAATACAGTTATGCTGGCTGGAGAGATGTACCCGTTTGGTATATTGGCACCGTCGAAGATCGGGGGTTACCAGTGTTGGTGCAACGGACGCAAATCGGCATGGCGAGGGAAATGGGCTGTACTGTGGAGCATCGGGAGCTGCAGACGAGCCATTCACCGTTTTTGAGTCAACCTGAGGCGACAGTACAGATCATGCTGGAGGCTGTCGATGCGTTCACAGGCCATCGGGGGACTCGCGAGGCTAGTGAGCGTGTCAAGGCGCTGATTACGGTGGCCGGACCGAGACTCTGGAAGCCTTTCACATGGTTGAAATTTGGCCTTCCGCTTATCTTTGGGCACATGTTTGGACGTGGGATCCTTGGCTTTGAGTTTGGAAGGAGGCTATGGAGGTCTGCCTTTCATTAGCACTTGATTGTTCGTTCGAAAGTGAGCGTGCTGTACATTATTCTCTCTCCGCTCATCTAGCTTCAATATGATTATGAATCTACTCTTCTCTTCACCAATCCAACGTGATCATGGAAATATGTTTACAGTATAGACCTTTTCGTACTAAATACTTTGATGCCACATCTGAACAGTGAAGTCCTTTTCCAAAATTCAAAATATTGATAAAGTCAAAATAAATTTTCAATGGCTCAGCTGGGTGCAGGAAAAACAAGGCTGAGTGAAGATGAAACCAAATACGGGGAGACGAAATCTTCCTCGCTAGTCTATTGGTCAACTCAACTCTATACCCGTATAAACCGAACTTCAGTCTACATTTATGATTTGGAAGGAGGTATAACACACATTTTATATTCAGTTTCCATTATTAAATCAAACAAGAGTATTAATTAATTCTCTTGCTGCTGTTGAGCAATCATTTGAAGACAGGCCTGACCTTTCTGGGACTGGAAATGCGTATTCAACACATCTGACCGCGAAAACGCTTGCTGACACCCACCACAAACCCAATCCCTAGTTCCCAAATGAATTTTTCTGTGTCTAGTACAATCATTCTTTCTGGTAAAAGTCTTCGGACAAAATTCACACGAGAAAGGCCGAATTGTCTGATGGACACGCATATGTGAACGGAGGTTATATAGTTTTGTGAACTCGCGGGAACAAGTTGGACACTTGAGATCTTCGGGCTGTAGTTCGACCCGTGGGAGAGGCCGAATTTCTGGTGGCTCTGAGTCTGAAGATGAGGATTCTTCTGGCCCTGAAATGGCTGCCGTGTCCCCTTGAAGGGTTGGATCTGGCGGGCGGGTACTGCTTGAAGCTGGGGCAGGCTGTGTTCTGGCCTGCTTATTTTGTATTACTCCCTGCTTGCTTTGCTGGATCTCCTTATCTGTTGGAAATTGTTCGTGTTGTGGAAATGTGGATTGGTGATAGATCCTCATGTGCCTTTTATATTGAGTCTGGTTGGCAAAGCCAATGTCAAAACCGGTAATGCAGTTTTTGTCGTTGCATCTGAATGGGAGATCGTGCCATTCAACGTGATGATCTCGCTCGTCGGTAGTGGCAAAGCCGGATGTAAATGACCGACAGCTTAGCCGCGGGCATTTGAACAGATTCTCGCCGTATTTTTCAACAACTGAATCCTTTGACGACTTGTCCATGGCACTGGTGAAGGCCTTTTCAATCTCATCCCGGACCTCACGCACGATGTCAGCGATATCTGTGGAGATTTCGTCCTTTTTCAGAGCGCCAAAGGAGTGAAGTTGTTTCCTCGTGAAGACATATATCTGTTCCAAGTTTTCGTAAAAATCTCTGTCTTCGAAGACTTGCAGTTTCTTCTTGTTCCGCGAAGAAACCTCTAGTGAAATCTTGGGCTCGACCCAATGTTCGTCAACAAAGACACCCAGAGCCTCAGCAAAGGGAGATATGGCCTGTGGATAATTATCCTCTTGCAAAGTTGGGTAAATAATAGACCTATCTTGCTCTTGCGAGATGGCTTGAGCGCGATGACTGTCCTGCAGCTTAGCTCTTGTCATTCGTCGACTAGCCTCTCCAATGACGCCATCAAGGTGTTTGATCCAGTAGATGACCGCATAATCCATAAGACCATAATCGCCTTGGGAAGCAGCATTGCTGGTGATGGAATCCATGAACACAGGCAGATTCAGGTAGCTGAGGCATAGAGATCCCATTTCTATATCATCGTACAATGGGTCGACAATCCGCTCGTCAACGAGGAAGCTGAACAAAATGTCAGCCAAACCACTCAAACCAAGTGCAAAGGAATCGTGCCATACTGCTTGGCTGTCAGATGAATTAACTCCACCGTTCCATCCTCCCGAACGTCGACCAGAGATCCGCATATATCTTTTGCAGAGGTCACCCGGAACATCTGACGTTCAAAGTCAACACGCCGCGCATGAAGGTTGATTGACTTCAGCACCTGAATTTCGCGCCACTTCAGCGGTCTTCTAGCCAAAACGAGCCACCGCAGTAGTTTCATGTATCCTGGGGAGCTTTTCATATTGTCAATAATACGGCGATATCTGCTCCATGGTTAGAAATTGACATGATAAATGAGTCGGATATACATACGCATCGTAAATATCGACCGGGAGCCTGGTCGGATCCAACTGCTCCTCCAAGCTCTCGATGGATGTGGCTTCCAGCAACGAGTCCCAGATCAACCTTGCGAGGAGGAACATTGCTATCACTTGACTTAGTACCTTGAATGCGGGAGTTAAAGCAAACAGCTTACCTCCAGCTCTCTTGAAAACAGTTTCGGAAATCTCCTGTGTCCTGTCTAGTGACAACCACAGTTTTGTCTTCAACTTTTCAGCTTGAAAATGACAATAGTGCTGCAAGTCTTCCCGCATATCTTCTTGTCGAATACTCAAAGAGAACATGCCGTCGAAATCCTTGCGGCCAGGACCATCATCTCGGCTGGTGAAGAGACATCGTATTCTGGATGACTCGTTGACCGGAAGTTTCTCGACAAGTCTGATAAACCACTGTACAATCTCTTTGCGATCATCGCGCTTGCACTCATCCAGTCCATCAAGGATAATGTATGTATTCTTGCATCTTTGGAATGCAAGGGCCAAAAGTCTCCGAACTTGATCCGGAACCGAAAGGACCGCCTCTTTACTCTTGCTGCGCTCTTCATAGAAATAAGTCAGCAGGTCTTTGTCTTGGTGCAGGATTTGAGCCAAGATTCCGCGTGCAAGCGACAGGAAGTTGTCATGCTCAGGATCGTCATGTTTACAATAGAAGAAGAGAACCGTGGGCTTCGTAGAAAGCCTTTGGGCTTGTTCTACGATAGAAGAAGCCAGAATGGTTTTACCTAAACACTCCATCAGCATGTCTCTCGCTAAAGATCACTCTGCAACGTACCTGATCCTGGAATCCCACTAATCCAAAGAAGAGGGGGAATTTTAGGAAAACTAGGATCAAACCATTCTTGGAACGACTGGTTATCGAGTAGCCATTTGCCAGAATCAGGGTAATCCAACCGGACTTTGGTAAAATTATACTGATCAACATCCGTATGCGGAGATTTCAGCCATTGGGAAACCACAACCGCTCGTGTCATGTCTTCGTTCTGCATCATTATATCAAACCGGTCATTTGCCAGACGCTGTGATTCCTGAGAGTCCTCGATTTGAGAGAGTGTGGCATGTCGTTCGATTAACGTCCGATGTCTAGCCAGGTTTTCGATAACGGATGCAAAACGGGACCTATGACTGGGCCAAGTTGCATCGAAGAGTTGTTTCCATACTATTCAAGTTAAATCAAATAATAACTCGCAAGAGGAAGAACACGTACGACGTTGTTGGAAATATTTCATGGCAAGTCGATGAAAACTGAGGATATCTTCGTACATGAGCGACAGCACTCTGGTCATGTGAGGCTTGGTGCGAAAGAGTTCCTGGTATTGAAGTAGAAGAGGAATACTATCCCCAAGAGACTCATAGGTGTTGACAAGCTCCTGGAATGCTTTCTGGTACGAACTTGCGACCTGGTATTTCTTAGTGGACGATATGATATAGGCCATGAGACTAAAGGGTTATACCAGCAATAGGAACTTAATAGGCCCCTAGGAACACTTAGCTTGAGCCTCGGAGTACTTGATTGAGCAAGCTATCTCACCAGAATAAACGCTACAATCTCATTGCTGTTACAGAATGGTTCCACGACCTTGGTGTATTGCTCAATAGCCTCTAGAAAGACGCCCAACCGACTTAGGTCTTGAATCCGACGTGTCGATTGATGTGTTTTCTGAAGATCATCGATGCTTTTTTGAAGGTCTTGAAAGGTTGCTATTTTGAAATTCTCTTTGTCCCGCTTGGTCAGGTCTTTCTTGAAGATGTTGAGCGCGCGGTCAAATGGCGACTGTGGTACATTCTGAGGTACATTCTGGGCCATTTTGGGCCATGGACGTGTCAACTGGAAAAGAACATCCAAGTCAATTACGGGAGAATAGGAGTTTTGTTATTAACGCCTTCTAAAAGTGCACGAATCTGCCTTGTCGGGGCTGACAACTCAGCCACAATCGTATATGCACGCCGGCCTGATAAGAGCCTCATCCCAGCCACGTTTCACTTCGCGCCCGAGAACGAGAACATATGCCTTGTCCACGACAATAGCATTACACCCAGATAGTAGAGAAATAATTCCCTCTGAATACCTCCCAAGGTTATACCACAGTGCGCCGATCCTGAATAGCTAATCTACACGTCTACAACACCATATACCCAGCAGCCCAGCCCAATGTATCAATTTCACCCATACCAAGACCAGTACCAAGACCAATATCAAGACCAGTACCAAGACGACTTTAATTTCCCAGAGGATCTAGATCAGACGCTAAAACGAAAATGGCCCTTTGAAGAGGATGGTTCCCACAGCTCTCCAACACCCTCTCCATCAGAGGGAGCCTCGGAAGGTGTATCAGAGGAGGTCTCTGAGGGCAAGGTGTGTTTTGGAAGCGTAAGTGCCTAGCTTGACTACAGATTCTGAGCTTTGATCTAACATACAGCAGCTTGTGAGAGTAAAAACTCAACTTCAAGGCTCTGGCTTGCTCGATGGATTTTCACTGGATTCCAGGTCCTCGCAATCGTTCACAGTGCGTCAAGAAGGCAGATATTTCTTACTTCAACACAAGAAAGAGAGCTTTGCACGCCTAAACAAATTGATCAGTAAAGATCTGAGTGAGCTACTCCAAGATTTCCCTACTGTGCGGTTGAAGGCCTACCTATCTCGAAAAGACCTCGTGATAGGCTCTGAATCATGGCGTTCCGGAAACGCGATAAACGTTGAAATCAACATATACGGACCTGAAGGCGAATCTGCAAAAGTTGGAAAGAGATTGAGCAAATCGGGCAACTTCCTCCAACAGCCTCGCTTTGGAGCTGGGGGAATGAAATATGTCAATCCCCATATTCTTCGGATGCCGGGCTTTTCAATCGATCATGAAATTTTAGATCTGGATTCTGAAAGTGGAGAAGATCAGACTTCGGAATCCCCTGGCGGAGAAGACAATTCTCGCGATGACCCGATTGATGTAGAACAAATACTTGACTCGCAATTGCAACACATTCTAACAACAAACATTTCCATCGATCGTCGAGTCAAGAGCAGCCTTTTACAGTAGGTCTTTATATGCATAACGTTGAGGAGATTGTTAACAAATTGCTAGGCACCAAAAAGAAGCGATTGATTTTATCTCTCAGCATGAGAAAGGCGGAGCAGATTTGGAAGGACTTTGGAAATACAATGATACAGATGAGGATGAGCCATTGTATGTGAACAAACTGCAGATAGGGGGGCTTGGAAGTCAACTAATCGATTGATAAGTTATCAGCATGCTCTCAACGGCGAAAGACGTCGAGAACCAGATCATGCCAAAGGTGGAATTGTGGCTGATGAGATGGGCCTTGGGAAGTCTTTGGTGATTCTATCGGTGATTGCTGGATCCTTAGATGAGGCCCGACGGTTTGGCGCACAAAAGACTCAACAACAAATCCGGACTCCATCCAAAGCGACGCTTATAATTGTGCCATCAACTTGTAAGTCCACTCAGAACTGGAGAATCTCATATCCACTTAGATCGTCAAGTCAGCCATAGCTAACATGCCCAGTTTTGATCGATAATTGGATAAAGGAGATACAACGGTAAGTCGTTCATCAAATTTGGGCTCTTATAGCTGGACTGATATTTCTCCCCAGGCATATTTTCTCGGCAACATTGTTCTCTCATCAGCACATTGGGTGGGAGCGTCACGCCGAGAAAGAGTTGTTGAAGGAGAAGGATATAGTGTTTACGACATATGCAACTCTAGCAGCCGAGGCTCACCGAAAGGATAGAGAGAGCATATTGTCAACCATCGAATGGTTCAGAATCGTTCTAGACGAGGGTATGCTAGCATGAGACTTGGCCCCATGGACAATTTTTTCTGATGAGCTAGAAAAACAGCGCACTATGTTAGAAATCGTTCCACGAAGCAATTTCAAGCCGTGATGAGTCTTTCCGCCCAGTACTACTGGTGCCTTACCGGAACACCAATCCAGAACGATATTGAAGATCTCGGAGCATTGGTCGCATTTGTCAGGGTGCCGATCCTTCAACGCCCGGCATCATTCAGGAAGCTGATATCATCGCCGATATCCTTGAATGTCAAGGATCGATTCAATAACCTTCAAACCCTTCTTCGCTCCATCTGTATCCGGAGAACAAGGGAGCTGTTGAATATTCCCGAGCCGATTGAGACCCGAAAAACCCTGGTCATGGCTCCATCGGAGCTTGAACAATATCGAGAGCTATTTCAAAAATGCAAAATGCGCATCGAGATGGTTGTCTCTGGACACCGAAAGGGAAGGTTCAACTCGACAATATTGGAGCTATTTCTAGCCCTTCGCCTCTTTTGCAATAATGGCAAAGCGGAAGAGGGAGCACCAACTGATATGGATGAAGCTCTGTCCCTGCTTCAACAGCTCGATCAGGACCACTGTGTCTACTGTGGTAGCACGATCCTCCACCTTAGTGAAACTCCTGAAACTGATGGAGGGACCATGATTCTCTCCTGCCCACATATTGTGTGCCACGGCTGCATGCCACAGCACTTGATGGACAACAAGCAGTGCCCAACTTGTGGCCCTAGTAACATACAGTCCCAACCAACTCACGCAGCCAGAAATCAAATGGCAAGACGTCCGGGTGAGCCCACAAGTCGTCCATTTTCACAATATTCGACCAAGTTACGCGCTCTCTTGTCGGACATAATGCAAAGTCCTTCTCAAAAATGGTACGACAGCCATTTATCATTGATTAATCTCCCACACACTGATTCTCCGAGTATAGCATTGTTTTCTCGAGCTGGAAGAAAAGTCTCACTCTTGTCGCCGAGATGCTCATCAGCCAGGGCATCGCATATAGCATGATTGATGGATCATTGCCGTTATCCCGGCGAATAGCTGAGCTGAAGACTTACGAGGGGCCAGATACGAACGTGCTCCTCATGACCCTGGGCACGGGTGCTGTTGGGTGAGTAGATCCATCCATCTACTTTATGGTACGATCTTGCTGACCCGGAATATTAGACTGAATATCACATCTTCATCTTGCATTTACCTTCTTGAGCCTCAGTGGAACCCTTCCATTGAAGACCAAGCAACCGGTAGAGCGCTTCGATTGGGGCAGCTTTCCCGCGTGACAATCGTTCGATATATAATGAAAGGCACGGTGGAAGAGGTTCGTTGACCCACCAACAACCTGCTTAGGATAATATCTAACCTGGATAGACGCATGTTGTTCCACGTCAACGCAAGAAAATACAAATTGCGGGCGGCGGGTTCCAAAAGGAGAACAACAGGAATGCTGATAGGCTTCAGTCTTTGCGGGTAATGCAGTCCCACTATCGGAAGACGCAAGCAGCCACTAACTTGAGCAGGATCTATTTGAAGTCGATTCGATGACGCAGGATCCGACAACTCTGCATTAAAAATGCCAGTGGGATAGAGAAGCAACTGTGTACAAGATACCGGGGGATTTGGGTCTGCGACTGGAAGTGGAGGGCTGATTTACGATTGACAATATTTCACTACTGATGGCTCCGCCGTAAATCTGTGTTGCGTAGACGTGCAGAATCCAAAACCAAGATATTTGTGAGCTGTTGATATCGCTGTGATTGGCCGCTAGCAGATAAACCCACCTGCGCTACCGCTTAGAGCCTCATGGTTATAGGTATGGAGATGGCGATATCACTATGGCTGCTCATTAGCTTAGCAATTACTATCTACAAGTCAGCGTGGAGACCGAGTTAGTCATTTTGGACTCGAGATACAGTCTCATACACTCATTGGTAAGCACTGTTGGTACCCAGTAAGCCCCATGACCCGGCAGCAGAACACTTTCAAACCGACTGGGAATTCAATTCGAATTCAGGATATTGATAAAAATTCTTTGGCATAACCTTGATTGGTAAGTGCCCAAAAGGCCCCATGGCTCAGCTGCATCAGCACTGCCCAACCCACCTTTTTGCTTGAAACTAAGATCTGGGGGTGAGCTAGATAGGACCAGAGTCATTGGTCAGTACATACAGACCCCATGGCTCAGCTACATCAGCACTGCCCAACTGGTCCTTTTTGCTTGAAACTAAAATCTGGGGGTGAGATAGATAGTCCCCCATTCATTGGTCAATACATACAGACCCCACGGCTTAGCTCTATTGTCGCCGCTTCTCCAATTTTTCCTTCTTTGAGAGTCAGATATGAATGCAAGCGTATAACCACTCTCATTGGTCAATATCCAGTAAAGCCCGCTTTCCTGCACCTCGACAGAACAGTGTATTCCAGAGACCTTTAGGGCCTCGCCGCAAGATTCTAGCATGATACCAAAGCCAGGATTTGTACCCAGGATCGATTACGGGGTATCAATTAGTTTGATTGAGCATCAATCCTACCATTTAATAATGGATAGCTCAGTTTGGCTGAAGATAAAGTCTCACGCACACGCTCTCTCTCTCTCTAGACGGTGGTAACAAAATGAATTCCTGCTCTGCAAATGCTTTCATAGTAGATCAACTTGTACCGACTATCTTGAAACTGACCGTCGCGAGCTGCATGGTCAGCAGTAATCAATTTGGCTACACGAATCATTGCTCAATTAGCCTGAAGCAAGAGAATTGCCTGAAACGGCCACCACTTCTACTTGATGATACTTATCGGTCAAAAATACCCTTGTGTATGACCTCCAAGCATTATTCGTTGGAGATCATCCCGTCCGTTAAAGCATGAAAGCGGGTCTAAGCACAACAGTTTGGTACGAGACATGAATGGAATGGCTAACAATCTATGGAAATGGCCGCTAAAATAATCCAAGTTGAAGCTTGCTGTACTATGTGGGTGTATGCAATAACATGACACTATCTTAGTGACACCTGTGAATCTCAAACAAACGAAAAAGGATACCATGGCCAGTAGATGCCTAAATTGACTTCCCGCTAGGTACTATACCAGCTATTATTGAAGTATCCATTACTACCCTTAAGGAATCATGGCTTAGGTAGTTACTGAGAATAAAATCACACTGACGAGGGGGAGACGTTTGACCCCCAAATGGTAAATTATGGCTCAACCAAGATTGGTTGTTGAAAATCCAAACTAAATATGGCCGGGGGAAGCCAGCAGTGGCCTTTGATTGGATGTGGCACTAGCATTGCCGAAGTTAGGCAGCCACTATCCAGCAAATCACGAGTGAGCCCGTATCCACGTCCGACCTCAAGGATTCGCCGAGATTAAAGGTATCTCTGTAGTCCATTGGGGAGGCCTACAATCGCATTTGACTGGATACGACTCCGCATCCTTGAAGGCTAAACGGGCAGTGCAAACGCCACTGTAGGTCTGGATTCATGGCTCAGCAGGCCGCTGATTCCTTTAAAGGCACCAACCTCCCATTAAATCGAAACTAAAAAATGGGGGGAGCATTTCGAGATGATCGGTTATAGGTCAGAATACTGGTCGTCTTTTGATGTGCCTTGGTCTCACGTGTTCCTTTGGCTATGCATGACAACTAAAACTGCCCGTGCCTGTGATTAGAAATTCTGGTTGGCTGGATACTTCCAATCCGGCTTGAGTATCTATCTGCTGTCAAGTTTTAAGCTTTGCTCGTAGTGACTCATATACTGTACCTCGTAAAAGACCTGCAGTATAGTAGTTAGGCAGAGATGAGAGAGATATATATTTGGTAGTCGGCAAATGCTGCTAAGGAACGCATAAAACTGAGTATTGACTATACCCGAGGCCGTAAAAAAATGGACTGCTGGAATCGGCAAGAACATAAAACTTGTGGACATAAACTAGTGGAGGCAGTCAAGGATGCACCTGGGCAGGAGATGGTAGACGAGTAACAGTTGGAAGTGATGGTGAAAAACAAAGATTGGAAGCGGCAAGGGGTTATTGCCCAGTCACCTTGGTGCCTTGTAATTGAAGCATGATGACGGCAAGCTTACTTTGAATGTGAGATACTATTGAGATAAGGTAAAGTAGATTAATACTCTTAATTTTGGACCGAAAAGTAAATCGCTAAAGATATAAAGATATTTCTACATGGGAATAAGCGGAGACGAGACTGAGATATCAGGATATCAGCCGAAGAGGCGATATTCCACAGATAATTGAAGACCTCAACGACCGGGCAGGTTTCTGGCCAGGGCCAAAAGCAAGTTCTCGGTGAGTGGCACGTTGGCCAGCATCATGACACTTCCTGATGCCTCCGACGTCGAGGCAGAACGAAGCCGACGCGGTCGGGGGCGACGCACCTCCTCCTCGTAGACCTTTCCTCCGATCACGCGCGCGCGACTTTCATCGTTGGCATGCAGGTGGGTGATCCGGCCTGCGGTCTCTTCGATGGTGTCCCCCCGAGCCACAGCGGTATTTTCATCGCTGTCAGTGCCGACAGTTACTCCGATGGGATTGTTCATTTCTGTGTAAAGGTTTCTTAGACGAGAGGACGGGGCAGTGGGGAACATCGCGCCATAGCGATCCACGGACAGTCGCGCGTTGAAAGCGCTTGTGGCGGCCATGGAGCTTGGCAAAGCTGAAGTCCCACCGTTGCTCGTAGTGGACTCACTTTGACCCCCAGTCTGCAGCTGGTGCAACTGGGACTGGAGAAGTCCACCCGTATAGTTGTCGCGGAACGAAAAGCCCTCATTTTCCAGCGCCTGCACCGGGTTCACAGTACTGTATTGGCCAGTGGTATACTGGCCAATGCCCCCGTAGCGACCAACATATTGTCCATTGCTGTATTGTGGGTAACTCTGCCCGAAGTTGTTTCCAGGGAAGCCGTTGTTTGCAGACAAGCCGTTGTTCTGGGATGCTGAATTCTCGGGGGGAATCTCGATCTGTCATAGGGGTCAGCACGTTTCTCTTATACCTCTCATTTCAATCCTTGAGGGGACGTACTGATCGCGTGAATTTTCTTCCTGGCATTGCGATATAGTGGTCAAAGGAACTTTCCAGAGCCGCAAAATTGAAACCCCGTTGCGCTTCTGCAGGCTCAAACCTCTGGCCCACCTCTTGACGAAAATTGACAGGCCGACGCGCCTGGGGCTGGTAGGCTGGCAGCGAAAGCATGATGCTGGGATAACTACCATACCACGTCTTAAGAACAGGCTCGATGTCGAGAGTCAGGTTGATTGTGGTATCCGCGGTCGGCTTTTGAATGAGCATGATGAAAGTAAACTCGCGAGGCAGACCGGAGCGCTGCAGGTTGTTCTCCTCAAGCGACCAAACTATTTCACCTGCTTCAACATCGAACTCGGGGCCCAGTGTGCTCTTCAGCGTACGGGCAGAACCTTGAATGCGCATCATTTCATAGCGGCGGAATGACTTGCTCATACTTCCAGATGGAATTAAGCTGGCGCTGACTGGGGTTTCGGAGATTCCAAGGGAACCGGCCAGGCTAAAGGTCCATTGCATGGTCTCGGGGGACACGGTGCCGAAGATAAGATGAGGGGCGTGCATCAGAAAGTGGGGGTTGCCCAGCGAATATCCCCGAGGATAGGTGGTAGAGGTGAATGGCTCATGGCTTCCACGAATGGCAGCCCGAATAGTAGCAGACTTGAAGCGGTGGGTCAGAGTATGGGGAGAGTGGAAAACAAAGCTAATAGCAAGAAAGTCAACATGCTCCGCATCCATGTCTGAGACTGAAGCACTGGCATAGAAGCCATGCTGGAGTCGTTGGACATGCGCCGTTATGTACGCATCACCGGGAAGTCGGCGCTCGTAGACACAAGGCCGGTTAACAAAAAGACGAGGATCCGACATATTGGGGTCGCGAGGCTTTTTGGCTGGTTGATCAGTACCAGAATTGACTGGACCAGCGACAGGAGGAGGTTGGGAGCCATCTTTGGTTGGGAGTGAAGTAGCCATCGTGAGTCGGTGCCACCCGTAAGACAACCCGCGATATCCCCTGCTAAAGGCTGCCGTTTGCTCTCCATCTGGAATTTTTTTTTTTTGACACAGTAGATAGCTTGGACTTTACAGCCGCATAGCCTTGTCAAAGTATTTGTATCTGAAATGTGAGTTAGTGCGTGAGTTAGTGCAGAAAAGGATAAGCCATTTCCCAAGGTCTAGTATGATGCCTGCCATCAGGCGGTTCGTCATGTGTAGATCAGCTATCAGGTGAGTGAGGCAGTGTGGACAGTCACAATGACTTGAAAGGTCCTTGGCATATCTCATTGTGAAGAAAATGCTTTGGTCTGTTATAGTTCTGAATAAGTCATTAGATGCAAGGAAAAGTATAAAACTGGGATGATGGTCAAAGATAGTTGTTGTGAGTCGCGACCCTGTGGTGGATCCCCAGAGAGCTGGGGTCGGGACCCGGAGGAACAGTTCATCCGGGTGGAAATCCGCGTCACTTTTCCTAAGGATCCGGGGACCTCGGTTCTATCAAGACGTACACAACTCACAATTCTAGTCTTGCTTGGTGGGATCATTGGCTCAGTTTGGCTTGCTGAACAGTATTTATTGGGCCTCTTTATTCAACCCACTGGGCTGTATTATAACATCCGAAGTTGATTTTTGATCGTGTGACCGTGTGATCGCCATTGCCATTTCCAGTGGTCATTTTCCTTTGTATAAGGCACCGATATCAGGACATTAGCTTTCAAGTTGGGTTTTTTGATTCAAAGCCAGTGACAAGGAGGGTATGGGCTATTTGCTGGATTGATTCTTGCCGAGTTCATTCATTTACACTCCACTTTTCCACCGGGCATTTCACAGGAGATCGGGTGTTTCATTGCAGGCTATTTTCTTTTCTATCAACATGTTTTCTATCACTGCATCGCAAATGTTGCGGCCTTTTCCGGCATTTCGGGCTTCTCGGCCCCTTTGCGGCCCTTTCCGACTTCATATGCAGACTCGACGGGATGCGTTGCGCCCTCAATGCATATCTACGTTGAGAAATACCTCGCCAGCCCAGTCATCAACCAGCTCAACCAGGTATGATGATTTGCTTGTCCTCAAGTGTCCGAGCTGACTGTTGCCAAGGCCCTTGCAACCCCGGGGATGCCTAATTTCGGTTCCAAGGATATCGCTGTTGGGCAGTCGTAGATGGACATCATCGAAGCCATCTGGCGAGCCCCAAGAGCCTCAATCAGAAGAGTATGTTGGAAATGTCAACATCGGTATGGTGGGTGTGCTAACTGACCAAATTAGCTCTAAACCCACAACTGCAGCAAAGCGCCTGTTGTCCAAGCTGCCCATGGGGAAGAGCCATGAGAACATCTACACCGTTCCCAATATTCTCACTTTCACTCGATTAGTGGCGGCACCCGTGGTGGGGTATCTGCTTGTCCACGACTACCATGCAGCCGCTTTGTCCCTGTTTGCGTATGCAGGCATTACCGATCTGGTTGATGGGTGGATTGCCCGAAAGTATCACCTGCAGACCGTTGTGGGAACCATCATTGACCCCATGGCTGATAAGCTGCTGATGACAATCGGAGTGGCGTGTCTGGCGGTGAATGGGTCTCTTCCTAGTATGTATGTCTTCCTGTCGTGTCTTGCATTCAATCTGACCCTTGTTGCAGTTTGGTTGGCCGTGATTATTCTTGGTCGTGACATTGGACTGGCCATTTCGGCTATTTATTACCGATGGATTTCTCTTCCTGCCCCAAAGACTATGGCTCGGTACTGGGATTTCTCGCTTCCATCCGCCGAGGTCAAGCCCACAGAAATCTCCAAGATCAATACTGCCCTGCAGTTGGTGTTGGTGGGCACTGCAATTGGACTCCCTGTGGTTCCCGAGGCTTTCATTAGTGCTTGGCATTTGCAGGAGGCCATGACTGGATTCCAGTAAGTGATACCCCTTGAATCATATCCCAAATCTTTTTGATTTATGCACACTTGCCTGGACCTGTGGGGTGGGCCTGTGCCTCCCTTAAGGCAATTCTATGAAACACCAAGTACATACGACCATAGGGTGTGGAGAACAGGGCTTCCCGTCCGCTCAGCCGTACTTAAGCCACACGCCGGTCAGTTAGTAGTATGGTGGGTGACCACATGCGAATCCTGACTGTTGTATGTTTTTTGGTTTTTTTTCCCCCGAATTCCTTTCCCTACAGATTTTTGCCTTTCTTTCAATGGTGGCTTGACGTGTCTTTTCGCCTGGATGCATGCGCTTTTTCATTTTCATGATTGGTTGAAATGGCTTACTAACCACGATTACAGGTACCTTGTGGCGGGAACAACCATCTGGTCGGGCCTGAGCTATGTTTTGTCCAACAATGCGGTGAAGATCCTTACCAATGAGGAGATCCAGAAACGGATCGCTGCAGCGGCTACGAAGAGAAAGCCGTGAAAAAAAAATCCGATCTTATTCGATCTATGTACAGTAGCATTGGGCGATTTTTCCTTGTACCAGCATCACATTTCCATTTTAGGCAGAGTCTCGATCCAACTATTTCGGGGACCATGCCCGTTGAATATGCATGCATGTCTGTCACGAAGGGCGTAAACAAACCCAATCTTCCAGGGTGATCCCAGTGTCGGGATAACCCCCTATGTGTGGAATCCACAATGGTCGGCAAATGGAAGTTTCACCTTCGTCAGGGCTAACCGAAGTGGGTAAATAGTCGTCAAATTTTGTATGTGGATACCATCTTAAGAATCTTGGGATTGATAAGCAAATTTCAGCTAAATCATCCACAGGCTGGTTCCTAGAGTTTGGATTTGTCAAAAAGTACCGGTGGGGATAAGCCTAAAGCCGAAATGGAAAGGTGCATTGAAAAGTCGCCGAAGGCGTGGACTTGATTCAAGGGAGCTATAGGCACAAAGGTAAAACAGGACGCATTACTCATGCGGAATATAAGTTCCCAGCGCAAACATGATACGCTAGACTGGAAGCGGATCCCGCTAGGAATTCGATATTCCGAGAGTTTGTTCGGTCTGTCCAATCAGAGTGCATGTGATCTCACGCTGACTGGGTTCAGTCATCGGCTAAACGCCGGTACTATCTCCGACCATTTACCAGGTCGAATGAGAAATTCGAAATTCGAAAAAAAAAAACCTTCTTTCTTCTTCTCTTGCGGTTGATGCCGCCCAGACCATGAATCATCTTTACTCATGGATCCACACCCTAGTTCCTCGGTCGCATTCAAACTTGACGAATCTTAGGGTCTTACAAATCCAAAATGGATCCCGGACTTAAGCCAGTTTTCATGATTGCATTTCTTTTATATTGACTTTTTCGTCATTCACCCCTCATTCGTTTGCTTTTCTTTCACGGTGGATTTTGTATATATACACACCTGATTCCCTCTAATATACCTAATACCTGCAATTGAGGCTTCTGAGTAGACCCAACTACTTTGACTCCGGCGAGATGGATTCCGACCATCAACCGCTGGAGGCGCAACACCATTCGGAGCAATCGACTCACCAAACCACGAGCTCCCACATGTCTGAGCCCAATGGTCAAACTACTGAGCAATCCAGTTCTAGCAATATGGTGGAATCCAGCAATGGATTCAATCATGAAGAAGCCAATCAACACGAGGTCGCCGAGCCCATTATCTCGAGCGCATCGTCTTCTGTATCTTCTCATGCAACCGCCGATGGTGGTTGGGGAGAACAAAAGGTCGGCGAGTCTGTCTCCCGGCGAGGCGCAATGGAAGATCTGGAGGAGATGCGCCGCGAATTGACCCGTCTCAGTCTGCAGCGCACCCGCTCAGCGACCTCCAAGAGTGCGCACCGCCTCAAATCTCGTGCCAGCCGCCATGATGAAGAAAAGGCCCTTGAAGAGGAAACCGAGTCGGAGGACCATGGCTTTGATTTGAATGAATTCCTTATCGGCGGACACCTGGAGCGCCGCACTACTGCTGGCGAACCCGCCAAGAGGGTCGGTGTTGTCTTCAAAAACCTCACTGTCATGGGTGTGCAGACTGGCGCATCTTTCGTGCGTACACTACCCCATGCGGTGGTGGGCACATTTGGCCCTGATTTGTACAACGTTATCTGTCGCTTCGTGCCGCAGCTGCGGGTCGGCAAGAAGCCGCCGGTTCGGGAGCTGATCAGCGATTTCAGTGGCTCCGTGCGCGAAGGTGAGATGATGCTTGTTCTTGGACGTCCTGGTGCGGGATGTACCACTTTCCTCAAAGCGATTGCCAATGATCGTCAGGCTTTTGCTGGAGTCAATGGCGAGGTCAGCTATGGTGGTCTCTCCGCCGAGGATCAGAACCGTCATTTCCGTGGCGAAGTCAACTATAACCCCGAGGATGACCAGCATTTCCCCTCGCTTACGGTCTGGCAGACTTTGAAGTTCTCCCTTACCAACAAGACTCGCAAGCATGATCGTGATAGCATTCCGGTTATCATTGATGCGCTGCTTAAGATGTTTGGTATCAGTCATACTAAGAACACTCTGGTTGGTAACGAGTATGTTCGTGGTGTCTCTGGTGGTGAGAGGAAGCGTGTTAGTATCGCAGAGACCTTGGCTACCAAGTCAACTGTGGTCTGCTGGGATAACTCTACCCGTGGTCTTGATGCCAGCACGGCCCTGGACTACGCCAAGTCGCTCCGTATCATGACCGATGTCAGCAAGCGCACCACCCTGGTCACCCTCTACCAGGCGGGAGAAAGCATCTATGAGCTCATGGACAAGGTGCTGGTCATCGATGAGGGCCGCATGCTCTACCAGGGCCCCGCAAACCAAGCGCGCCAGTACTTCTTGGACCTTGGATTCTACTGCTCCGACCAAGTGACAACTGCCGACTTCCTAACCTCCGTCTGTGATGTCAATGCTCGCGAATTCCAGCCCGGTCGCGAGGCATCCACTCCCAAGACCGCCGAGGAACTTGAACGGGTGTTTAAGAGCAGCGACACCTACAAGCACATTCTAAATAATGTCAGCGCCTACGAGAAGCAGCTCGAGGAGACCCAGCAAGAGGACACCCGCCGCTTTGAGAACAGTGTTGCCCAGTCCAAGAGTAAGACTGTCTCCAAGAAGTCTCCTTACACTGTGTCTCTTGTCCGCCAGGTCGCTGCCTGTGTTAAGCGCGAGTTCTGGCTTCTGTTGGGTGACAAGACCTCGCTCTACACTAAATACTTCATCATTGTCTCCAACGGTCTTATCGTTTCATCTCTGTTCTACGGTGAAGCAATGGACACCAGCGGTGCCTTTTCCCGCGGTGGTGCTCTCTTCTTCTCCATCCTGTTTTTGGGTTGGTTGCAACTCACCGAACTCATGCCCGCTGTCTCTGGCAGAGGTATCGTCGCCCGTCACAAGGATTACGCTTTCTACCGTCCTTCTGCTGTCTCGATCGCCCGTGTGGTGATGGATTTCCCTGCTATTTTCTGCATGGTAGTTCCATTCTGTATCATCGTCTATTTCATGGCCGGTTTGGATGTGACTGCTTCCCAGTTCTTCATCTACTTCCTGTTCGTTTACACCACCACTTTCTGTATCACCTCGATGTACCGCATGTTTGCAGCCCTTTCGCCGACCATCGATGACGCTGTTCGTTTTGCCGGTATTGCGCTGAACCTGCTGATTCTATTCGTTGGTTACGTGATTCCAAAGCAAACACTAATCGGCAGTTCGATCTGGTTCGGATGGCTGTTCTATGTGAACCCGATCTCCTACAGTTACGAGGCTGTCCTTACTAATGAGTTCGCTGATCGGACCATGGACTGTGCTGCCTCTCAGCTTGTGCCCTCCGGACCTGGTGCCGTTGCAGGGCATCAGGGGTGTTCCTTGACTGGCTCGTCTGTTAACCAGATCTCTGTTCCGGGTGCCCAGTACTTGACAGCAAACTTTCAGTTCACCCGTTCCCACCTCTGGCGCAACTTTGGTGTTGTTATTGCTTTCGCGGTTCTCTACATTCTGGTCACAATTTGGGCTGCTGAGTTCCTCTCCTTTGTGGGTGGCGGTGGTGGTGCTCTGGTCTTCAAGAAGTCCAAGCGCTCCAAGCAGATCGCTGCCCAGACCAACTCCGGGAATGACGAGGAGAAGGTGGGTAAGTCGAGTGACGATGCTGCCGTGACCCGCGGTGAAGCCTCTTCGGGCTCCAATGACGCGAGTTTCAATCGCTTGTTCTCCAGCGAGCGCTGCTTCACCTGGTCGAATGTCGAATACACAGTCCCATATGGAAATGGAACCCGTAGGCTTCTGAACAACGTTAACGGATACGCCAAGCCTGGTGTCATGATTGCTCTGATGGGTGCCTCTGGTGCTGGAAAGACTACTTTGCTCAACACTCTGGCTCAGCGCCAGAAGATGGGTATCGTCAAGGGCGATATGCTTGTTGATGGCCACCCACTTGGCACTGACTTCCAACGTGGTACTGGATTCTGTGAGCAGATGGATCTGCACGACAACACCTCCACCATTCGCGAAGCCTTCGAGTTCTCAGCTATTCTTCGTCAAGATCGACACATTCCCCGCGAGGAGAAGATTGACTACGTTAACCGGATTATTGACCTTTTGGAATTGGAAGACATTCAGGATGCGATCATCGGTTCCCTTAACGTTGAACAGAAGAAGCGTGTCACTATTGGTGTTGAGCTTGCTGCGAAGCCCAGTCTTCTCCTGTTCCTGGACGAGCCCACCTCTGGCCTTGACAGCCAGGCTGCGTACTCTATTGTTCGTTTCCTGAAAAAACTATCTCAGGCCGGCCAGGCCATTGTCTGCACAATCCATCAGCCTTCATCGATGTTGATCCAACAATTCGACATGATTCTTGCCCTCAACCCCGGTGGCAACACCTTCTACTTTGGACCCGTTGGAAAAGAGGGCGCGTCAGTGATCAAGTACTTTGCCGCCCGTGGATTCGTCTGCCCACCATCAAAGAACGTCGCCGAGTTCATCCTTGAAACCGCCGCCAAGGCCACCGAGCGAAACGGCAAGCAAATCGACTGGAACGAGGAATGGCTCAACTCCGAAGAAAACCGCGAGATCCTTACCGAGATCGACCGCATCAGAACCGAACGCAGCAAGATCCCTGTCGACGAGTCTGGCAGTACACACTACGAATTTGCCGCGCCAACAATGGTTCAAACCGTACTCCTCACCAAGCGATTGTTCATCAACTACTGGCGCGACCCATCATACTACTATGGTAAAATCTTCGTCAGTGTGATCATCGGTATCTTCAACGGCTTCACTTTCTGGATGCTCCCTAACACCGTGGCAAGCATGCAAGACCGCATGTTCTCCTGCTTCGTGATCATTCTTATCCCTCCAATCATCATGAACTCCATCGTCCCGAAATTCTACATTAACCGTGCCCTCTGGGAAGCTCGTGAATACCCCTCCCGCATCTACGGTTGGGTAGCATTCTGCACAGCCAACGTCGTCTGCGAAATCCCCGCCGCAATCATCACTGGCCTCATCTATTGGCTCTTATGGTACTACCCCGTCGGTCTTCCAACCGACTCCTCAAGCGCAGGCTATGTTTTCCTGATGTCGATGCTATTCTTCCTCTTCCAAGCATCATGGGGACAATGGATCTGCGCCTTCGCTCCCTCTTTCACAGTCATCTCCAACGTCCTCCCCTTCTTCTTCGTCATGGTCAACCTGTTCAACGGTATCGTTCGTCCTTACGCCGATTACCCCGTCTTCTGGAAATACTGGATGTACTACGTCAACCCGGTAACCTGGTGGCTACGCGGTGTTCTCTCCGCCATTCTTCCATCCGTGCAAGTCACTTGCGCAGAAGGCGAGACGACAAAATTCACCCCGCCATCCGGTCAGACATGTGGCCAGTACGCGGGCGACTATGTCCAGAACATCGCCGGACAGGGGTACCTGGTTGATACCTCCTCCACCACCGAATGCCAGTACTGTGCTTACAGTAACGGATCAGAGTACATGCAACAGCTGAACGTGCACGAAGGAGATAAGTGGCGGTGCTTCGGTATCTTCTTGGCCTTCGTCATTATCAACTGGGCGCTTGTATACTTCTTCATCTACACTGTTCGTGTCCGCCGCTGGAGTTTCGGACTCGGACACGTGTTTGGTCTGGGCGGAATGCTGGTTGGGGGTGTTAAGCGGCTGTTTGGGTCGAAGAAGAAGGATAATCAGCAGTAATTTGGATGCTTCTGTTTTCTTCATTCCTTCTACCTTCCCACATTTGGTCCATGGTTTCGATATTCATTTGGGAATACCTGAATCCTACTTTGCATTTACATGGAGCGTGTGCAGCATGTCCGAGGACATGATGCCATTTTGGCGCGCATATCCTTTGCTTTCCTACTTTAGATTTCCTTTTTTTTCTTAGACATCGGTGTGAAAATGGTTTAAAGTGTCAAGGTCATACTGGCGACTGACAAAAGTACATAATTAGAATGAGAACAAGTTTTTAATTTTTGATAGATTTGTCCCTTATTGCTATCGATACTTCCTAATAGATCCATGTAAATTCATAAAACCTTCCGAACGCCCTAGATCCGCCGCCATGAAACCAGCATAAGGCAAAAAAACAAGGCCTCGAAAATGCACCACCGCAACAATTTCCCACAGTGTCAATGAAAGTGTCAGCAAATTTTTCTGAAGATCTGGCTTGAACACAGCCTGATTTACTTGTCGCCCATGAAAAACCACGGCTTGTTCTCCTCTGTCAGCGGGGGCGCAGGAACCATCATGGGGATGGGAATGGTATCCTCAAAGACCTCAGCAGGGAGGTGTTCGTACTCAGATTTCCAGTTGAGACCCTGTGAATTTTGCCGAATAGGCGTTTCAACGGGAACAAGCACACCACACTCCCAATTACGGCAGTTCAGCTTCGCTTTGTTTGTCTGACGATCTTTGACAAGGCGGCCCCTTGAAAATCATATTAGCTATTGTGGGTGACCAAGGCCGCGATTCTCCAAAGGAGACTGGTTACCAAGACTCACCATGCACTTTCAGACATGTTGGCACTTCCGACATAGGCCCAGCCCTTGCATTCGCGATTATTCGGGAGTGCGATTGGCTCGGAAGGCCAAACGTAGAGGAGCTGGTGATCTGTCAGTACACGAACTTTCGATGTGGACTTAGAGGGTTGCTCGTACCTTGTTATGCATCAAAACAGACTTTTTGCTAATGCAGTCTCGCAATACTTGCTTGGGAAACTTTGCACCCCGCCACCACTTCGACTGGAAACAGACAGTGCCTCCAGTATCTTCTGGCACGTCATGTGCAGAGTGGACAGTATCATCTGAGGGGAAGTACACCAGGAAGCGGTCTTGCCATTCCTCGCCAGCCTTCATCATGACTTGATCAGGGTTTGTAGAATGAGAGGCGGACTTTGCGTATCGGATTGTGTAGTCAGCTAGGCCATCATCTCCTGTTATCTCCAATTAGTTGATGACCGACCGTCTAAGTAGTTCAAACAGTGAGACAAACCCTTGCAAGCGAGGTAGATGGCACGAAGAAACTCATCGTTGAGTGACCCAATAGAGGACGCCTGTGACGAATTAACCTTGAGCCACACTCGTTCCTTGGGACAACTTACCACGTAATCAATATTGATGGGCGAAGTGGTTCGTAAGCCCAACTGTTTCACAGCGCGACCTAAACCGCAGTATCCTGTACGTCTCCACGTCTCGTTAGTGGACCCACTGGACCCGCCACTGAAGAGATTCGTTAGATTAAAAGTTCTTGCTTTAAATCAAATCAAGGGGTGGGTATTGAACTGACATTGTGTGCACAAATGCATAACGAGCTGTCTCGCTGAAATCGAAGCCCTCAAGCTTAGCAATAATGTTCTCATTCACCGTGCTGGCTTTCAAGAAGTGGGCCAGCTCTTCATAGAAGAATGTCTTTGGGCAATCGAAGTCGTTCGACTTCTTTGGTAGGTCGATGAGAAAAACAGTCTAGATACCATTAGCAACCGAAGGTACCACTGCGGATATTGAACTTGCATTTTCCATCAAGCGGTTCTCTCCCCAGTCGGTCATTGTCATGTTAGCCGTCGGGACAGCAATGCGTACGTATTCCGGGTGGAAGAGTATCATTAATTTTGAATGCATGGTGCTGATCTGGCCATCCATGGGTGGGAAGCACAGTCGGAGGTTCTTCATATCCTTGGTATCATTAACCATTGTATCACGCTGCATTACCCGACTGTGTCATTTCTTGCTTATCATGGTCATGAAGAGATTCAATCTCACCATTTCTTGTTCCTTGGCATGCATGATGAGAAGGAATCTCGTCCTCCACGTGTCACACTTTGTAAAGAACCATTCCATGTCCCAGAGGAATGAGCTAAAGACGCCAAGTTCAAGGTCTCCTCGCTGAATAACCTCTTCAATGGTGATTTCATTGTCACCACGGATGGTGTTGGCCACGTGCGTCTTTTTGACAATTCCCTGCGGCCATTGAAGAGCCGGTCGTGCAGTGGGTCTAACAGTGGCTGTCGAGTCGCTTGATGACTGTGGTAAAGAGGAAGGCTTAGAAAGAGAGACAGAAACAGAAGAAGTACCAGTTGTCACTGGCTGGGTCTTGTAAAGTTTGGCTCGGGGCTGTCCTGGTGGAGACACGGATTCCCGGGCCTTGCGCTTTTGAATACGGGCGAGACGTTCTTGCTCCATTCGCTTTCGATTGAGGCCCAAGAGACCCTGTGGGGGAGAATTAGATGTTCTCAGAACAGGCTCCACTGGCTCAGCGTCTGACTGCAAGTCCTGCAGCGACATGGCGATTGCTCGCCTCAGCTCAGCCTCATCGTCGTGCTTTCCTTGCTCGACTTCATCGTCACTATCGGAGTCCACCACAGAAGTAGACTTTGTAAAGACTTCTTTGACATCTGATTGATCATCAGAATCGCAGGTCAGGTCGACTACTTCCTTTGGCGGCTCCGAGGGAAAAGATGGGCCAGGATTGCCATTTTCCTCTCTGAGGGACGCTTCAATCGCTGCCTTCAGCAAAGGATCCTGTTTGTCGTCGAGATCCATGGCTTAAGATGGTTGTAGAGAACGGTCTAGAGGTAAGAGAGAGCCGAATGGGAAGGTGGCTGATGGTTGAGGGATGTATGATGTTGACTGAATCAACAGAAGCACGTGGTCTTCCCTTTTGACCCTCAGCGTGGATTGATAATCAAACAAACAAAATGTGGTGAGTGCAAAATCTAAAGTGAAGTTCGACTTGCGTTGTTCTTGACTCTCCATCGTTCTCCCAATCCTTTGTTGATTGGATAACGCGTCCCGATCAATCAGGTGGGTTGTCACGTGATGATGATACACACGCAGTAAATCGTATTGAACAGTCCACCCGATTTGACGGTTCAATTTCTAGTCTATCCTTGCACTTGATATTTAACACTTCCAAGCTCGTTTCTGGCGGGGTCCCGGGCTGCAGGCCCACGAGATTGGTTGCAAGTATAGTGGCTAGGCTCTCAGTGTGGAGTAGCCCGTCCACAGAACCAAGTATGAAGTGCATCCTGGATGGCATCAGAGATAGTCTAGATCTCTCAGCCTTGTCGGGCCGCGTGTTTAGGTAACTACATGAGATGGGTCCACAGAAGAGAGTCTCAACATTTGAGAACTCTACAGTGCCCCCATGTATAATACTTCAATCCATCAGCATTTCAATTCTTGGATTATTCAAAATTTCATTAGTTTTCTTATGTTCGAAGCACCATCAAGATGCGTTTCCTTGCCGTCACCCTGCAATTCACCTCATAGTTTCCTCCGCTGCTGCCCCGATGACTTGAGCGCTGAGTTTTCACATCTCGAAAAGCTTGTCCAGCAGCCCACAACCCGGATTTCTTTGCCGACAACGTGAAAATGGCTTGCGAGATCCTTAGTAGCTCAGTCAAGGCTCATGGTGTCCAGACTTATGGCCTTTAAAGCCAATGGCATGGCAGAATAGGCTCCAGCGAGGGGTTGCACGGGAAGTGAGCACACTCTCACTGGTAGCGCATGCAACGACTGCCAGAATATTTTCTGTATCGGCACTACCAAGAACATAAACTAATTTGAAGTAAGCTTGATTGGATACTCAAGAATTAATACAATCTAAAATAACTCGCTTAAGGATTTAGAAGCATGAGTCACGAGTCAAAAGGCTTTTCCATCTGAACGGGTCAAAGGGTTGTTCTATCTGACAGGAAATGGAACGACTTCTCTCGGCGCATCGAGTGGACTCATTGAAGAGGATCGTCGCCAGAGAAAGGAAAAGGAAACCAAGGCCAATCAATCGAGATTATGGCTGTGTGAAAGCATGTTGATGGGATGTGAACAGACGAAATGGAAGGAAAGTGAATGCTGCTGGCTATCTACACATAGGGGTGATTTATATCAAATAATGTCGAATACGTTCTGACAATCTTCAAATTATCATCAATCAAGCCAGAGTTGGGACAAAAACACAAGCCTTCCCCATCGCGATCCATTCAGCGCCTTGTATGTACACACTTGTTATGAACACGATGGATATGTTCTTCCAAATTATCCTTACGGTTGAAGGTCTTTCTACACGATCTATCCGAGCATTTGTATGAGCGCGGAGCCACGTGTTGAGTGTCGATATGCCGCATCAGACTTCCCTTTGAGTAGAATGGCCCGCTCCTTTCGCAGTTCTTCCATTCGCATATGAAAGAGCTGATTCCCTCACTAAAATCCCCAAAGTTAGACATAAATGCAAGCATACATAGACTGTCTGCCTTGAGACAGGGGTAAGTCACTGGAGTCTTACTCAAGCTTCTTGGGACGGTCATTCATGACTGACAGCTCACTTGCCGCAGAGGTGGCCAGTGTTCGACTGGTGTCGGATACTAAGTGTGGAAAGGCAAGCGGGGCTGATATCATATTGGTCTGGCTAAGAAAATCAGCCATGGAAGGCTCGTGATATATGTTGGTTGAAGGTGAAAAGAAGTCCATGGGAGAATTTCGAGTGCGGATATTGGATAGACCGGAGTCAGGCAAGGCATAGGAGGGTTGAAAAGAGAGACCATTTGAGGAAGGCTTTTCCAGAAAGTACGCGGATAGGGTATTTGGGCAGATAGGCCGCTGGGGTTCGATCCTTTTTGAATCATTGAGGCTGTGGGAGTGGCTGTTCGATTCAAAAACATGACTCCAATAGTCTGGTAGGTTGTTGTGTGAACGCCGATCCATCTTAGTAAGATAATGTATTCTTCGTATAAGGATTCAACAATATGCTGTAGCTACCTAGGAGTACACAAGGAAGTACAAGGGCTGAGAAGAGAGAGATTGAGCCAAAGATTCGCCATTGTTTTCTAGTTTTAAGGAAGCGATGTGGATGTTGCCAGACTTTTCAGGTTGAAATCCCAGGCATCCCCTTCAGGACTATATATACGCCCAGGCTGAGCGGTACCACGGGATTTACCCCCACTGTGGCTGCCTTTGCAACCCATCTCGTAGTATCTTTCTAATCCCATCAGGCGTTAAATCCCAATATCTATGCCTCCTAAATTCCAACGCCGGCATGGCTATCAATGAATAAGAGAAGACCGACTATACATGGATGTGACGCCCCTCACTTCCCCAAAGTAGTCTGGTAAATTACAAGGCTAGAGGTTAGACTCATGATTACTCACGTACCAGCAAATGTGAGCTCAGGACGTGAAGAGTTGTTTTACCATGCGTTTCACATCCCAAGAGAACAAAATTACTCGGATATTAACGCGTACGGCGCAAAGACAAGCGTCCTGATGCTCTGTAGCCACGCCAATATGGCTTTACAGTCATCTACCGTCATCCGTGATCGGTTCTCACCAGTCCACGCGAGCCCATAGAAGTTTCTCACCCTTGAACCTTTGATTTGTGTAATTGTTGGGCTGAATGATCATTATGTGACAGTCTGTCTGCGCGGCAGATCGATGGAATAACATGCTCTGATAAATCCTTATAATTTATGGTCAGTAGCGAGTAATCAAATAGCAATAATTGCCCCACTCGAATGTTCCATGATTACTTGGGGGAGTGTGTATAGCTTGCAGATGTAGACGTTGATACCTTAGTCACCGCTGCGGGGTGAAGTTGAAGTTCAGCCTCATTTTCCTTGTTGCTGTCTCTCTCACCCACACCATCCAGTGAGTTACCAAAATGACGACCAATATATCGATGACGGGCGCGAATAGTGGGATGCAGGTGGCTCTCAACTCTGGCCAGATGAATCAGTATTTTTCTCCTCCAGGTAAAGTCTCTTATGGTTTTGTGGACTCGCGATGGAGTTAATGGCTACGACCCACAGAACGCGCACACACACCACCTGAACCTCTTTCCACGGTGCCATTTTCTCGAAATCCGGACTTTGTTGACCGTGAGTCACTGTTGGCGGGTAGAACACTGTTGTCAGATATATATGAGAAATGTTCAGCCCCAGATGCGAGGCTGGCTCTGGTCGGGATGGGTGGAGTCGGGTAAGTTGGGCTGACTGTTGATGGGATATCATTGCTAACGTTCAAAAGGAAGTCGCAATTGGTAATCGAATACTGCTACCGCACTCGTGTGACGTCGCCTGAAACATGGGTTTTTTGGGTTCACGCCAGCAACGCCGCCCGATTCGAGCAGGATTATCGCAAGATAGCTGAACAAGCCAAGATTACCAGGTGCCAGGAATCGAATGTGAATTTGATGAGATCTGTCGCGAATTGGCTTCGGGATCCAAAGAGTAGGGAACCTAGTCCTTGATAACCTCGATGACAATCGATTTCTATACGAGCCTCAATACTTGGAGGGCGGGCAAGGAGGTGCAAAGATGCCGCCCATAGAATACCTGCCGCACAGTGCCAATGGGTGTATAATGATCACAACCCGTGATCGTCGTGTGGCTCTTGACTTTGTGACTGACAGTTGTATTGTTCAAATTGATCCGATGACTCAACCTGATGCAGTATCTCTGCTTGAGATAATGCTTGGAGAACAAGGCAAAGAGCCTAACAGGACGGATGTCTTAAAACTAGCTGAAACGCTTGAATACATGCCTCTCGCTATTGAGCAAGCTGCAGCATACATCAGGCGGCAGTTTCCGCTTTACTCGATCCAGCAGTATCTCAGAGACTTCGGAAGGAATGATGGTGAGAGACTAAAGCTTCTTGCACATGAAGCCGGTCGCCATTACCGTGACTGGGAAGCCAAAAATTCCATCTTAGTAACCTGGCAATTATCCTTTGACCAAATCCGAGCCGAGAACCCCTCAGCGGCGGATTTACTTTCCCTCATGAGCTTCTTTGACAGACAGGCAATTCCAGAGTCATTACTTCACATCCAGTCGACTGAACATGATAAATTTAGCATGGACGACAGCCCGATCTCGACTTCAAATAAAGACGAGACCTGCTTTGAAGTTCGAACGCCCATTAGAGGTCGAGTCCGGCAAGCTTTGCATGATCATTTCAACTGGCTGCGACCGTCATTCTGGACAGCTGGGGCCCGTTCTCAGGACCACCAAAATCCAGAGCCCGCTGAAGTAGGAACACTTCTTGAAGACACTATCCTGGAGCATACCATCAAGTCTAGGGAGAACACGCTAAGAGATGACATTTTGATATTGAGAGATTATTCACTTCTGTCTATCACCCCAGACCACACCCTCTTTGAGATGCACAGGATAGTGCAGCTGGCAACACGAAAATGGCTAGAGGCTCACGGACAAACCGAGAAGTGGTTGAAAACATTCATCCGCCGTCTTGCAAATGCCATTCCAAAGGAAGTGGATGAGCAGAGTCGGGTAGTATGCCTGTCTCTTTTCCCCCATATTGAATCGGCACTAATGCATCGGACCTCATCAAATGAGGTCATGATTGATAGAGGATCCCTCCTTTTTGAAACAACGGTGCATTTGACTGCGGTAGTATCTCCAAGAGCGATGCTGGCGATATCCCTTGCTTCGATGGAGGCATTCGAGCAATGCTTAGGCACAGAGAACTACATGACCATATATAGTGCCATGTACACCGGGATTGCCTATCTGCAGCTTGCCAGATATCCGGATGCAGAAGCGATATTCGAAAAAGTAATTGAAGTCGAGGAAAGGCTCGGCCGGATAGATGATTATTGTTCACACACCGCTATGAACAATCTTATCTGCGTGTATTAAGAGCAAGGACGACTGCAGGAAGCCGAGTCGCATGCATTAAAAGCGATTGAAATACGGAAGAAAGTGATTGGCCCCGACTCTTCTCTCACCCTGATGAGCATGGGGAACCTAGCGTTGATATACCAACTCCAAGGGCGATGGGAGGATGCAGCGACACTGGGACTGGAAATCCTTGAATTGAGAAAGCGACTGCAAGCTCTAGAGTCCCCTGCAAATTTCACAACCATTCTCTCAACACGAAATCTGGTGTTGACCTACCAATCCCTGGGTCGTTTGTCTGAGGCTGAAGAGCTGTGTCAAGAGGTGCTGCAGGGCATTCAACAAATACTTGATCGGGAGCACCCTCATGTCATAAGTACTATGAGATATCTCGCTGTGATAAATCGTCTGCAAAATCGGCTAACTGAAATTGCGTTTCATATATTCCTTCCATAAAGGTATCCAGTCCTGTGTTTGTGAGCTCTTGGCCAGAACCTTTGCTTGGGCGGCTGTTTATAAGAACCGGTTGCAGCCTCATATTTTGCACAAACGCAATTAGAGCTTTCGCTATTTCGCCTATAAACCTTTCAATACATTGTGCCTACTCAGACTTGCCAGTGAGCTGAATAATCGTTTGAGCAGCGGCCTCGAAATCGGGTTCCACCGTGAGATTCCCCGTGTTGGAGTTTTCAATCTTGGGTATTTCAGCAATGCAGGTATAGGAATCCCGGGCAGCACTCACCAAGTTGAGACCCTTATCAGAATTAGTGCCTTGTAAGCGCACGACGACCGGCACCTTGAATCCACCCCTTTCCTCCGCCGCGGCAATTATAGACTCGGCAATCATGTCGCATCGGACGATGCCTGGTAATTTTTCAGTCATCATGATAGGTCCACCGATAAAACTCACTTACCACCATATATGTTAACCAAGATTCCCTTTATCCTTGAGTCATTGTTCAAAATCTCAAAAGCCTTTGACAGAGTCTCCTTTGTGGCTCCCCCACCGACATCGAGGAAATTAGCACACTTGCCACCACACAAATCAATCAAATCATTAGTCGCCATAGCGAGCCCAGCACCATTAACAATGTTACCAATGTAACCATCGAGCCTAACGTACGAAAGGCCCAGTTGTGAAGCCTCAAACTCCAAGTCCTCCTCCGGGGACCGTTCCTCCAAGCCAAAAAGACCATGTTGTCGGAATCGCGCCGAGTTGTCAAAAGTAAACTTCGCATCGAGACAAACAAAATCACCCTCAGGTGTTCGCACAAGGGGATTTAGCTCCAACAGCGTGGCATCCTTTTCCTCGAAAAGCTCAACCATCTGATGGATAATATGCGACATGGTGGCCATTTCGGAATCCGAGAATCCCAGCTGCGCTTGGATATAGGCGATTATCTCTGGGCCGATACCGTGTGGCATGTGGAACCAGAATTTCTGGAGATTGCCGACATTGGACTCGATGTTGACTCCGCCCTCATCGGATATGAGGAGTACAGGCATGCCGCGATCGCGATCGAATGTCAACGCGACGTACAGTTCTTGAGCGACGTCCACTGCTTTGTAGATGTAGAGCTTTTTCACTAGAAGGCCCTCTGGTGGAGTTTGCTTTGTCGTCAGGTAATATCCGAGCATTTTACTGGCACTATCATATGCCTCGCTGGGTCTGTGGAAAACTTAGAGAGTATCAGCTTCAAGAGGAATGAGTATATACGTATTGACTATGCGCACTCCTCCTTTGCCATCGCTGTTGTACTTTCCTTTCCCTCGGCCGCCTGCTAGAACCTGGGCTTTGATTACCGACGGTGCATCTTTATAACGGTTAGTATAGATTACTGGTAGACAATGGAAACCTACGAATGGTAGACACCACCGTCTGGGCTTCTTCTGGATTCGTGACCACATGCCCATTCGGCACTGGAATGTCGAACTTGGCTACAGGTCAACAGGATTCATGTTGTGGATACTGGGATATATCCTACATGTCTCAAAAGCTTGTGGGAATTGAATTCCAATAGTCCCAGCCCTCTTCTCTGGGACCTAAAAGGGATTCGAGCCTGTTCGACATTCAGCCTCGGCCTCCCAGTAGTCGCGAGGTAATACTCACAAATGGAATCAGACGCGAAGTTGGACGCCAGGGGATCATTGCAAGTTTTGGACCTAGTCGATGTAGTTTATTTGGAACAAGATTAGAATACGAGATCCTAATGTAAATATATCCCTTGTTCGAATGTGGGGTTCACCTTGATGACATCAACACTGTATGTCACCATACGGTCACGCGAAGTGGATTGACTTTAAAGAAAGCTTAAGCGGTCCGACTGTATGGCTCTACCCCGGATCTACATTGATGATCCCCACATTAATAATGGTCTTTCATGAAACATTGTTCATTGTAGAATTAAATCAGAAATTCTATGTGACATCACTACGCGAGGGTAAGTAAAGCGTAATCGATGGTCTCCATTTGATTGACAGATATGCCATGACTGCGCCTGCTCGGCATTTAGACTTCATGGGAACCACTAGATCCCATCTAATACGATCAATTAATAATTGATAACACGAGGTGAGCTTTGAAATCCAGTAAGCAGCTGAATAGCAATCTAGCCTTGCCCACATGCCTGCTTTTGGCCCCCATGAATCAGCTAAGGCTAGACACGCTTTGGCCCCGTTCTCCTCGAATTAAAAGCATGCGATGAAATTACGCTGATCGCCAGTGGGGTTATTCAAAACATGTGACCAGCCGCACATGGACCTGTGTAAACAAGGCTGGCTGCACCCAGGATACTTATACCAAATGAATCCCAAGACTGACATTATTCAGTGCTCCTTGAACAACTTCTAGGATATCTTCATGTCTGCCAACGAAACTTACGACTATGTCATCATCGGAGGCGGGCTTGCTGGCTCGGCTCTAGCCGGGCGCCTGGCCGAACATCACCCCTCAAGATCAATTTTAGTCCTGGAAGCCGGCTCTAACGTTGTCGGACACCCATTAACTAGCTCCCCACTCGCCTGTTTTGGGGCTCATTTATCACCGATTGATTGGGCATATACCACTGTACCGCAGATTCACCTCAACGGTCGTCGATGCTACGCAGCTGCCGGCAAGGCGCTTGGTGGTGGCACCGCCACTAACTATGGCACATGGACACGAGGAAATGCCGCCGATTATGATCTCTGGGCGGAGATGGTGAAGGATGATTCTTGGAACTACAAGGCCCTACTGCCGTATTTCAAGCGTACTGAGACACACTGGGATCCCAATGCCGATACGTCGGCTCATGGCCGCTCAGGCCCCATTCACAATGCGACAGTTGCTTCCAGCAGTGCGGATCGGAAATATCCACTGCGCGATACGTTGAAAGAAGCATGGGGTAGATTGGGAGTCCCGACCATATCGGATGGAAATAGTGGCTCTCCATTGGGCCTTGCAGAGCTCACTGAGAACTGGCGCGACGGCCAACGCCAACTCGCGAGTGAAGCATACGGAATAGCCAACAAGCCAAACATCACTATCAAGACCGAGACACAAGTGAAATGCGTGCTACTTTCAGAGGGAACAGGAAAGAAGGTCGCAGCTGGGGTCGAGCTTCTAGACGGAACGAAATTCCACGCATCTCGCGAAGTCGTGGTCTCCGCAGGAGCCTACCGTACCCCACAAATACTAATGCTCTCAGGCATCGGGCCTCGTGACGAGCTTGCAAAACACAACATCCCTGTCCAAGTAGACGCATCAGAAGTAGGTCGCAACTTCCACGATCACTTCTCCTTCAACCAGTGGTGGAAGCTCCGCAACCCAGAAAAAGGCTTGTCGGTCGGAACGCCTCTCTGGAGCAGTCCAGCATATGGCCTCGGACTTCCTAGTAGCTGGGTTGCTACTGTACAGACACCACGCGAGGAATTAAAGAGTGCCTTGCAAGCAGACGGTGTGAAAGAGACATCCAGCCATCCGTACCTAGCTCCAGAATTCGCCCATGTCGAAACTCTGGTTGTATATGCCCCTGCCGGTGCATCTGTAGCCGGAGTGGAAGTCCCTATGGACGGAACTCATATTGCTTCTGCCGTGTTGGGTATTGTTCCTACTTCTCGAGGAAGCATCACGCTTGCGTCGGCGGACCCGACTGTCGCGCCATTGATAGATCCCAACTACTATGCGACAGAGGTCGATCGAGCGGCACTGCGGGCCGGTGTGAGACAGGTCACGAAGTTGCTCATGGATACACCCGAGGGTCGGGATACTGTGGCGGAGGAAGTTCCTCGTCCTGGGCTTGGACCTTTGAGTGGTTCGTCGACAGATGCGGAGGTTGATGAGGCGATCAAACTTGGGGGTGCGACGTTCTATCATCCAGCTGGGTCAGCGGCTATGGGTAAGGTAGTCGATACTCAGCTGCGGGTATATGGAGTCGAGGGCCTGCGAGTTGTTGATGCGAGTGTGCTTCCGTTGTCTTTGGCAGCTCATTACCAGGCTGCCATTTATGCGATCGCTGAGAAGGCTGCGGATCTCATGTCTGCGTAGGGCTCGGTAAAGAGTCTTTTTACCGCAAGATGTGATAGATTTGGCCAGATAATTTGCCTCAGATATTTTCGATCTGCTTAGGGGTCCTCGTCTCGCATAACGCATCACAAAGTAATCGATTTGTCGCTCTGTACGTTCCCAAGTACGTTCAATATCACGGAAGAATGTGACAACGTGTATGAAGATACAATATACTTATACAAGGGGAGATGGGTCAAACTCAATTGAGACTTTTTTCAAGTTAGGCTATGGGCATGTGCATTAGGTCCGACTACACATAAAAATATCAACAAAAATGCCACGAGCCTGTACGCTCACGTCGAGGTACAAAAAGAATAAAGCAAAAGGTCATGGGCCTTGGCGAACAAGTAAGTCGAGACCGACATAGTAATAACGGCACATCAAGGTGCAAGTCAGAGGGAAACCTCTGAAGAAAGACCCTCTTATCCACGGCGAGTAGGTGGGGCCAGGTCAAGCTCGTCGAGTTGGTACAAAACTCGACCAACCTCACCTTGGACCTCGTAACACTCCCCAACCTCACTGCTCTCCCACATCCAAGGAGTCAAGTGGCCGGCAAACCAGTCGCTGGTGATGCCGAGAAGCGTCAATTCGGTGAACTCAAACCGAGTTGAGCGAATTTCATTCCCGTGGTGGTCGAGGTAGAGCAACATCGGGCGCCCGGTGACGAAGGCTTGCTGGTCAACGACGATGATGAACATCGCAGCCATGGCATACTGGAGGCCAGCGGCGCATCTCTCAATAACCCGGAATGGGTTTTCGTTCCACTCACGTGGCTTGGACTCCTTCTCAAACAGGATTTGCTGCTTGAACAGATCGCGCCGATACTTGTGCCATGGAGGAAGATCACTCCAGCGAATCGTGTCACAGTCGGGAAGGAAAACAGCTGCTGGGCCCGCAATCTCAGGGAGCAGAGAGAAAATCCGACGCCAGTCAGGAAACTCATGAGGAATCCGCTCGGGGATCCCGAAAAAGCTGGGGTGGTTGATCACGTTCCAGCAGCGATTATGACCCGTGTCGTATTTTTCACCGAGTGCGATCCACTGCTGCATCATCAACTCATGGTGGGGCTGGGTTGGATCATAGTGAGTTCTCATGAGGACAGGCCACTCGTGAGCTCCTTGCCAAAGGAACCAAGCAAGCAGGCGAACGTTTTCACCTCGCCATCCTCGGAAAATCAGGTCGATTTGAGCCTCAGTAGGTCGGATGATTCTCTCTGGGTGGTACCAGGATCGTGGAATTCGAGGCTGTCTCAAGAATTCAGCAATAAGGTGCATGCGTTGCACGCTGGCGGGTTGAGGGCAACCATAATCCCAGTTTCGCTGCCCTTGTTAGCATATACTTCGTATTCGCATTCGTACCTGGACCTGCGCATCAGCACTTACCAGCATAAATTGCTCAATAGGCAGGTCACCTGGAAATGGCCAGAACCCATAAGGGTCCATTTCTTCATTCTGAATTAGTGACAGGCCATACTAAGTTATAATGAAGCTCACCGTTGTCGTTACGTGTCACAATTGATGGGTTGGTGAAGATGTAAACAAAGGCGGTGGGGGAGGCGGTGAAGGAAGAAATTCTGGGAGAAAACATCCGACCAAAATATTTGAGCCGCGTGATTTGTGTACGTGGACTATTGCAAACCGCGAACACATGGACACTTAAAGGTTTTATTGGACGAAAACACGGAGACCGTTTGCATAGCATTAATTAATGGTTAAACAGGTTAGGTACATGATAGATTGACACTCATGTCGATTCTTACAATAAAACAAATTCCTCGCTTGTGAATTAGTAGCCTTGAACTTGCTCTTCGGACCATTCCCAATATTTCTTGGTCAATTCTGGATCATAAAGGTCCTTTCGGATAGGAATTACTCTCCCCCATGGAGCAACTAATGGAGAATTAGCTAGATAAGGGTGGTAGTCATGAGGGTTCTTACCAAAGGAAGCATTGTTATCTTCTGTGATTTCAGCACTTAACCCTGCATAGAGCTCTGTGTAAGCGCCATAAATTGGAGGGTACAGGATCAGGTTCTATCAATCAGAATCAGCAAGTAGAATCAACCAAATTTATACAAATAACATACAGCCATCACAGTCTGCATTTTAGACATATGTCTCTGCAGTCCACTTTTCAAATTGCCTGGGTTCAATGACTATTGACATCGCGCGAGTTAGCAGGTTATAACACACCGCAGGGAAAACCGGTCTTCTTTGTACGCCTGCATTTCCGCAACAGAGAAACAATGACTCACCAGGCTAAGTACCCCATCTCCAGCAGTCCTGTTGGCGTACTCAGCGCAGTGAATGACATTCCCAGCTTTACTGCGAGAGTACTTCTTCATTGCGCTTTCATCTTTATGGTAGTCCATATTATCGAAGTCAATCGGTGGACTCGGCGCCATCAAGATAGCGGAAGAAGAAACCCATATAACTCGAACACTACCCTTGGGTGCTGTGACTGCCGTCTTTTTCAGGATATCATGGAGATACTTGACAAACAAAAAGTGTCCGAGGTTATTGGTACCGAGCTGGAGTTCGTATCCTTGCTTGGTCTTGCTACCCTGGGGTGGCATCATGACCTAATAGAAAGGTTAGATATAATTTAAACTTGGCACATGACACAACTTACTCCAGCATTAAGCCACAACACATCAAGACGGGACTCCGCCGCGAGGTATGCATCAGCAGAATATTTGATTGTGGTCAAATCGGAAAGATCCAAGTGTAGAAACATGAGTCGGCCGGTAGATTCGGGATGTGCGGCCTTGATTTCCTCAATGGCATCCAAGGCCTTCTCCTTAGATCTGGCAGCAACGTATACAGTAGCATTTTTGCCATATAGGATTTTGGCAAGCTCAGCGCCAACGCCTGAGTTGGCCCCAGTCACCAGGAAAATCTAGTATCAATAAAAGGTGTCAGATTGTGTTTCGGAAATATTAAATGGGAGATGGTCCTACCTTGCCAGATTGATCAGGAGCATTCTCCTCTGTAAAGGTCGGTGCCGGAGGGCACACTGTTCGAAAGTACTCCATTTTGAGCAACGAAAGGTTAAGTGAAATGGATGGTGGAGGTCAAGTACGGGACTATCGGTATTTAAGTTGGCAGCGAGGATATCAGCTGCGAAAAATCCATGGTTATCAAGTTCTAGTGCCTTCGTTTATAATTCAAAAATTCATGTGTCATGGCAAAGATCTCGTTGGTTTCACGGTAGACATTATACAATCATGATGCAATTGTTGAATAAAGTTCCCGTTAAGGTTAGTCCGTTGTCATCAGTCTCCCAAGAACGGTTAGATTGAGTCATCATCCGCGGAAGACCCACATTGAATACCAAGTCGAGTCTAGAGCCAATCTGACTGTGCAACAGCTGCGGTAAAGCCGGTGTTTCCAGAGGATCAATTGCCTTTATGTGAAGCTGCCATTAGACCAATTCAAAATAGATTAAGGTTTATGTGGCTTCAGTCAGACTGCGCGGCCACGTGGGAGCCCTGAATGACCGGCAGAAAAGGAAATGCGGCAATTGCCATGTTCTGAAAATAGAGGAACACCTGAATTTTTGCTTGGTCCATAAGAACACAATGTCACGAAAAATCACCATATGGAGAAGAATGCATCTTTGACTAAGTTCTGGCCAGTCTTGATCAAAGGTATGGTGACTACAGCTGACCATCGCATGGCATTTCTAATATATTTGCGACGGTTTGCACCAGTCAAGTCAAACGAGCTATCGGTGACAGTACAGTATATAATGCAGCTAGATAAAACGCAGGTACGGAGTGCAATGCACCTAGCCACCCAGCCGCAGGAGGGCGTGTAGGGGGCTGATGAGGCGCAGCCGCATCCCTGTCAGTTGTACCACACTAATTCTCTGACGTGGACCTGCAAGGCAAGAGCTTGTCTTCATTCTCGCATATGCACAGCAAAGATTGACCACATACGCAAACCACCTTGCAGGCCCGTCGCATTGAATTATTACTGTACTAATGCCTCCAAAGGGCATTCGTAGAACTCACACTGGGTGTGTGACCTGCAAGTCAGTCCCCGCCACGCACTGCCCCTGACTCCAACTTATTGATCTTTCAGAGCCCGCCGGGTCAAATGCGATGAAACTCACCCACATTGCATGAGATGTCAATCATCTGACCGGGAGTGTCAGGGCTACAAGGAATGGATCCCAAAAGCATATCGGCAAATCCAGCCCTCCGCTTTCCCGGGCGCAAAGGCTCCCGACCTTCGAAGCTTGGACTTTTATCGCCGAATGGTGGCCCCGGTACTAGCCGGACCCATGCCGCGCTCATTCTGGACCCATACAATTGTTCAAATGAGCCACAACCAACCTGCAATCCGATACGCAGCTGTGTCGATCAGCTCCCTATTTGAAGATTTCCAGAATATCAGCGCAAATGACCAATCAGCAAACAGACTCGCCATTTCTCGTTACAACATTGCTATTCGACACATTGCAACATCTAATGATGGATGTCTTGACACCGCGATCATAGCTTCCATTCTGTTTATGAGTATTGAGCTTCTACGGGGTTGTCCAACGGAAGCGATGATTCACTATAAACACGGTAGGAGAATCTTGGCCTCGTATAATGCCTCTCCCGTGCTATTGAATATCTTCCATCATTTAAATGTCTTTGCGCTCTATTTGTCCGATTCATTACGCCTACCACTGTTGAGCCTGGCTGACCTTTCACCCCCTCCTCCATTCGTCACTCTGATCCAAGCCCAAGAGACACTTGATTGGCTTACATATCGGTCCATGAAAGTTGCGTTTGCGCTAGATCAGAGCGCCGCAGATCCATTAGATCAGGAAGCATTTCTTCAGGCTCAGTTGATGAAATCTGCATTGGATACGGACTTGGATGCCTGGTCGCACGATGCAGGTTTATTGACATCCTCTGACTCTGTCCAAGGAACAACCACATACCAAATGCTGCAGGTTCGATGGTTGGTCTGCAAAATCTGGACAGATGCTGACCTTTACGAAAACGCGACCGATATAACCGACGAAATGTTCCGATTCTCATCGAACATTACTTTCGGGGTGCCTGGGGTCAATACTTCGAAGCTTGGAGAATTCCTTTCCAGTACAGAAATTTCTCCGATTCTGTATTATATGCTCATGAAATGCAACAAGCTCCAGATCCGACTGGCAGCATTGGCACTGTTTCGAAAAAAGTGCCGTTCGAGGGACATTTCGTGGGATTACAAAATGCTATACCTTGAAGCTAAACGGGCAATCGAGAAGGATCACGGGGTTCTGATAGACTTGGAATGGAAAGAGGCCGAGGAACTAGAAAATCTGATCGGTGTCAGGGATCCCAACTCGCCGATTTGCCGGGGGTTCCAGTTTATGTGCCCTTGGCCTATTGTGCTAATGGATGTTTGTGAGAGAGTACACCAATCTTCTCAATAGGAAAGTAGTAGCATAGTTTTGCATGATATATTATTATGTGAACATCCTGATCCTAGATGGTATTGTGTCGGGGGGTAAGATCTAATTATTAATACAAATGGCATCTGTGAAGTAATCTTGGAAGGGAAAAGAGCCTTCAGCTACGGACATCATTGGACTTGATAGTATGTAGTACTAATCAAGCAAAATGTGAACACTCCGAAGGCCTCCGAATCCAGCGATCGAATTTGGTAAATGGTGACCGAAAAGACGAAAATCGGCATATCGATCAATGTCCCTTACTCAGTCTTCTTGACTGGATGCAGGAGCATAGGGGGCAGGCAAAGGCGGCGATGATCCTTCTCCCACTAGTAACCGTTAGCATTGTCATCGTTTCACGCATGTTGGGGGGAAAGCCTACCTCGACAGCATCATCAAGTCCCAACCAAGCTCTATAAAGCTTCCCAGCAAAGTCCGACGAAAACATATAAGACAACTTCAACATAATGTCATCATGCATCTGCCAGCTCCAGATACTCTTCTTGCCCGCATTAATACCACCCGGCTTCCCAGGGTTAGCCCTGCGATTCAGCTCGACAGGGTCCCACTTCAATTCATGATAAATCGGCATCGGAACCTGAACAGACTTCAGTCCATAAAACAAAGCCCAAGAAACCGGCGACATCTCCGACGCAAGACCAAAGCCGCCTCGCGTTTTATCTTTATGCATAAGTCTAAGCAGCCTTGCCGAGACACGCGACATAGCAACAGGGGATGCGCGAACAGGCGTGCGAGTACCCTGCAAGAAATTGAAGATCCGGTCGCGAAAGGGCCATTCAGTATTCTTGGGATTGAACTGGGGCATCCAGGTAATCACGTCGGCTTCTTCACCGATTCCCCATTCCCACAGGTTATCCTGGTCGCCGGAGGTAGGCACCATTGGAGCTTCCCCTTCGACATTGATGCCGAAAGCAGGTTTAGGGCCCCAGATGCCTTCCTGTGTGCCCATGCTTTGATCGACATTATCCATGAACTGTTCCCAGTCGCCGTGGATGGCGGGAATATAGAAGTAGGAGTTGCGCTCCCACATGTACTTGCGGGGTTGCTTTTTGGCAAAGGCGGCTGCTTGTTCGAGGAAATGATATAGATGTCCCGTGTACCGTGCGTCCAACTCGAATTGCCAGATGTACTCGTACTGTGGATTCAGTCGAGAGAAGATTTGGATTGGTTGGAAGTACTGTAAGATCGCCCTGGGCTTTGTCAGCGTAATGCGAGAAAGACCATGTAGGGCCACTTACTTATGGACATCGATCTTCGGGTACCAGTCAGCCAGGATTTTCTCGTTGAAGAAGACTGCGATGTCTTGAAGCTCCTCTGGGAGATGCTCTTTCTTGAACTGATCCATGCCCTCTTGGTCTGTCGGGCTGGGTAGTTCAGAGCCGGTCGAGTCTACAAGAAGGATAACTTCATATTCGGCGCCGGAGAGTAGCGACAATTCCATCACCATGGACCGAATAAAGTGGATGTCATTTGCTGTGTAAACTTTGTTGATCCATGAGCGTAGAATGACTGCCGTGCGAGGGTGGTAATCTGGCCCAAAGCTGTCATCAAGCGTCGAAGGATCGTCTTCGTTTTCATGCACATCGTGGATCTTGTCGAGGGTCAATGCTTTCTCCTTGGGATTGTGACGTTGATATCTCTCGGCATTCAGCTCTAAACAGTCTTTTTGCAGGTTTCCCAAGTTCACGCTCGCCCATACTTCATTATTTTCATCGCCGTAGCCATACGCGCCATATTGGGAGTAGCGATCAGTACAAAGACTGTTGTCGAGATTCCATGCCTCGTATGAACCAAATGCGGGTTCGGGAAAGCCTGTCGCAATTAGCGGAAACGCCACAGAACGAATTAGATACTTTGACAATCGTACTTGAGGCATTCCATTTATATCCTTTCATAAAGAAGCCTTTGTTATCTCTGTCCAAGATTGTCCCGCTCGGACCAACACACTGCTGATACGAGCCTTTCCATTTCGCTTTCCAGGTGGCGCTATTATAGTCCGGATATGGATCATAGACGATTGCATCCGATTCCTGTTCGGTTTCTATAATATGTACCACCGTATCGTTGCCACCTGTGGAACTATCGATCACATAGAAGCTCGCCTCGGGGATGGGACTGGGAGATGTTAGTGGGTCTCAAATTGAAACTTGCTGTGGAGCAAACCTCTCAGAAGTACCTACGCTGGTTGATCAACCTCCACTGGCTCCTGGACGGGGCTAACAGGACTAACAGGGCTAACGGGAATAATATGCTCCTTTACCCCTGGAAAAAGCAAAATTATAGCAAATACAGCGCAGACACAAATAATGGCCAGGCTGCGCCTTAGCTGGTTGGCATGGTATCGCTGGCAGACCTGCACGACATAATCTGTCATAGATCTCATATCTCGATCGTGGTGTCGCGAGGACGTCTATAAGATCTGTAGGACATCATGTCTACCGCAGAACTCCTGAGGAACGATGACTTTTTGAGTGGTGACAGGCAAAAACCCACTAAGGAAAATCGTAAGCCATTATTACGCGTCCTTCTGGGTTCTGAGCACTCAAGATCACTAGATTCCCCACTTGGATAAATTTATGCTAGCTTCGTCAGTCCTAGCTGTTATTGGATGGCTTGGGTGGGTTTCGGATAGCGGAGGCTTCCGTGGATCAATCGGCTGTCAGTAGGTGGGTCCAGGTGGCTAAAAGGCTTATCGAGTGATTGTTTGTTGGGACTGCTAGGTGGGTGCATCACAAGGGTTGTGGGTAAGGGTTTAAAAGGGACAACAATGTATGTGTCTTGTGTTCTGGCAACTCTAATAGCTTCGGAATATGTTCCAATACGTTGAGGTTTCATATGCTAGCAGACAAAGAACCCCTCGATCCATATCCGCGAGATCCGTTCAAATCAGACAGCTTTCACTTCGGCAATGACCACGATACTGCCATAGGAAATCAAAATAGACAGCTGCCATTCAGTCAAAAGTTGGGATTATCTGTGGCCATGCACTGTTCAAGGTTCGACTTCATACCCGCAGTATCTTGCATCTCCATGTGGCGCTCTGATGTCAGATAAGCTTTCCACCCGCTGATTCTAATTATTCAGTACCGAGTGTTGAATTTATACCAATACTCTTGCACAAAATATTGATAAAATGAACCAACTGATACTCCTGGCTCGTTTGTATTACCGGAATCCAAAATATAGTTCGCCATCAAGTGTTATTTCAAACTTCATCTTCATGAAGCCTGTAACAGAGATATTCTTCAAATGTCGTTACATTCTCTAAACATAGATCGAATTCCATCTCCCATATGTACTCTACGCAAGATCAAACTGTGATATGATGAGCACCAATACACATGTCCACCCTTTCATGATATTTCCCAGTCAGCATAAGGAATCAAATGTAATACAGTGTGTGCTTCAAGTGTTTCAATGCATTCATTGATGACTATTGACATGACATATTTGTATAGCTACCTGCCTTTTTACTTGAAAACTAATGTGCCTAATACAAGTTTACCTGCCACCTGGGCAGAGAAACGGATTGTCGGTTGGAACTAGTTGACGCTATCTCCAGAGAGTTCATCTACCCACAAGATAAGCCTCCCACCCGCATCAATAGCATTACCATTTACAGCATCCAAAGCTCGATGCCAACAATCACATGCCAACAAATTCAATTCTTTAGTAAAATTCTGAAAATGCGGCTTAATTCCACGGCACGTCAACTCCTAAATTTGGTCGCGTGTGGAAGAGCTCCACTATTGGATCCACAACCCATCGCGCTAGCTGCTAGGTCGGCCAAATACGGTCACATGTCCAGGGCTCACGGGCTAGAGCGGCGATAACACCGGCTTTGCCGGGCGTGGCGACCCGTAGGAGAACATGTGTTCGTGCGTTGTACTCCCCGGGTCAAATATAATCTGCAGATACCCATATCAAACGGTATGACTAGATCGCCATGAGGCAATACAAGATTCGGCTATATTGACTGCTATCGAAGAAAAGTGTCTTCCCTGTGATAATGAGTAGCAAGGTTGTTATTGTCTTACGGGACGGCAATAATACTATGTAGCACCCAGATACCGCTGTAAATCCAAGTGTATAGCAACAGATGGTCCAATTATCAACAGAGACTTGTGGCAATTCTGAGCCTCGGCTCAAATGGGTCACACAGTGGTAAAGTGCCTTGGACTTCCTAACCTGGTCAATCCCCGGGAGCAAGGCCCTCAATCGGTCTCTGTCTATAGATCATTTACCCCAAACTCTAATTTGCGAATGACATGCAGGTACCACATGGGGGCTTGTTACGTGCAGATCGGAACTAGAGCTATATCCTAACTTGATCTTTGGATCTGCCTCAGTTTGGAAACTTACATACGGAAACATTCAAAACAGGTTCTCTTGGCTCTATCTCACATCCACATGCTTCAATTGATCACTATATGGTTGCTAGATACTATATGATATATGTAAAACTAAATGCTCAACTATGAAAATGCAAAACCTCCAGGGCTGTACTGAGTGCACTGCGGCGCTCTCTGGTTATACTCCAGTGATAATGTTGAATATCAGGACCAGCCAAGTGACTCTCAAATCACCTCCAAAGGCTTAAACCTGACATACTTACTTGGGAATAGCATAAACGGCGTCACTGACGGCGTCATGTCCATCATACGGAATACCAAACCTGTGCAGTAGGTTAGACGCAGCGGTTTCACCCGTCTTATACGCACCATGCACACAGCCATTTGCCACCATGGTACAATGTTCACCTGCAAACTGCAAGGTGCTGTCCTTGTGGTTTTCAAATGCTTCAATTAGAGATTCCGGGTCATCGCCGACCTTGTCGGCAGAGTAAGTCCCGTACCCGGCCAGCGGGTCCTGGGTCCAGTGTGTAGTTTCAACACCGACCAGGCGGGGAAGGGCTTTGTAAGGCTCCGTGCGGAGCAGTTTAAAGAGGGGTTCGAAGAAGCGATAGATCTCCTTCTTGTCGGTCATCGCTTCGATGCGCTGAGTGAGGGGTTCAGCGATCTGCACGCAGAGTTCCTTGCCACCGGTCATGATCCACAGGTTGATAGTGACGGTGGCGTAGTTGAGGATGTTATCCTTTTCCGGAATGGAGCTCATGCTGCTGGATGACTCGACGGAGGACCCGGACATAGTATCCAGATCTTCCTCTGAGGGGGAGGGGTAGAAGATAAACTGGTCGTTGTCTTTGCCCCAGAATACATCGGCGAATTCGAAGAAGACCTTGCCAAGTGCGCCGTAGCTGAACTTGGACATGCCCTTTTGGATATCACTCGGCAAGGGCGGGTTGAAATTAATCAGGTTGTGATGATAGACGCCCAATGGGCAGGTCATCACCACGGCGTCTCCTTCAATCGTCCTAGCGGATCCGGTCGCATCTCTGTATTGGATGCGCGCGGGCGCTGTACCTTCTTCGTTCCATTCGACGCTCTCGACGTGATGGTTGAGTCGGATAGTGTTGGGGACTTCGTTGAGGGGTTGGGCGGTCCAGTTTACAATGCGATCGTACCCGCCTTTCATGTACAGGTTCCGCTCCGTGATAAAATAAGACAAATGTTTCGAAGAGGCCAAGCTCGTACTGGTTCCGAGCCACAATTCCACCTCTCGGATCGCCTGGGGGGCCCAGATGCGATCATTATCAGTGATCAGCTGGTGTTCGAGGACGAACTCCCGGACGAACTCGTCGACGGGACGATCCTCGGCGTCGGGGTGGGTTTCGTAATACCACTCGCAGTAATCCGCAAATTCATCGGCGACTTTCTTCGCCTTGAATTGCGAGCCGGCACGACCCTCTCGGGTAAAATAAAGCGGGGCGCCGTCGTCATAGTAATAGGGGATGTTTAACCTTGGGATGAGTTTCACCAGGCCATTCTGGGACGTTTCGTGCATCCAGGCAGCACCTGAATGATCGTCAGCACACCTTTTTTTCCATTGTCGCCACGTTAAACGAAACCTGGAAGGTCAGGGTCACCACCGGTTTTCATCGTAACCTCGGAACCCTACCAATATCTCGAACATGATCTCCATTCCGGCTGGTCAGGATTCGGCCACCGATGCGATCGCGAGCTTCCAGCACGACGACCTCGCAGCCATGACGCTGCAGGACCGCAGCGGCCCGAAGACCTGAAATTCCAGCACCCACCACAATCACCTTCTTGGGCTCCGACCTTGCTGTGCGTGGTGCCTCATCGGGCGCAGACTCCACCAGAGTCGCGGCGTTGAGGCGCGCAGCCAGGTCGGAGCCACAATTACTTGGTTTTAAGGGACCATTGCCGGGCAGGGAAGAAGAGACGTGAAATGCTTGAGCCATTCTGAGTTGACAAGTTGACATTCGGTTGCAAAACTGCAAGTTGGAGAAGTTGATGATTGGGAGGAAAGAGAAGGTGGCGGGATCGAAGTACTAATAAATTTTAGCCCTGGGGGAGTCATCCACGGAACCGATGTGTACGGGTATGGATACAGTATCCACGCCACATTTATTTCCGATTTTTTTAAATTCATTTCAAGCTTCGTTACGGGTGTGAGTTGCTCCACTTGCTCTAATTTGTTTCGTCATTTTTTCACTAAAAAACGACGCGAAGCCACTAAAATGTAGCATTAGACCAAAAAGTCCCGCACTAACTACCAGGGAAAGAAAACAAGAAAAAAAAAAGATAACGCGCCTTATCTATCGCCCCTCTTTTTTTCCTTTTCCTTTTGTTTTCCCTACAGAGTTTTTAATCTTTCAACCTCTCACACCCGCATGAGCACGTCCCGTGCTAGTCATATTTAAGCAAGTCCTTGCGGATTGACAGAAGCGTTAAGCTTCTGTTATCTCTCCTCCTTCCCGGGCCCCAGTGATCCTTTGGGACGTGTAAATCCGATGAACGTTGACTTAAATGCACCAACATGGGCATCGACGGAGCCTGCTCCAGTCGATACTCCAGCCGACATGGAGCAAGAAGAAGCACCTTTGAATGGTACGGAACGCTTGGCAGATGCACACGGAGACGTCACGTTGATTCCCACCCCGACGAACTCTCCCGATGATCCACTGAACTGGAGCACGTGGCGCCGTTATTGGCACGCGTTCCTGATCTTATTCATCGTCGCGTTCACCGCCGCAACCTCCAACGATGCTGGCACCGCTGGAAATGGTATGAATGCGCAGCTGGGAATCAGCTGGGATGATATCAATATTGCGGCCGGTGTTTTGTTCATCGGTATCGGGTACTGCACCTTGCTTCTGAGTCCGGCCCCCTTCCTCTACGGGCGCCGCATCTCCTACTTGCTATGCTTGATGTTCTCGATCATCGGTTCCATTTGGTTTGCGCGCGTTGAGACCGTGCAGGACAACATTTGGAACCAATTGTTCGTCGGCGCGTCGGAGTCATGTGCCGAAGCGATGGCCCAGTTATCCCTGTCGGATATCTTTTACCAACATAATCGTGGTCTGGTCCTGGGTTTCTACATTCTTGCGACTAGTATCGGGACGTTCATGGGACCACTGGTCGCCGGGTTTATCACCGATAGCCCGGTGATGGGGTGGAGATGGGCAGGATGGCTCGCGGTCATCATTTCGGGATTTTTGGTCATCCTTTTCTACTTCGGGCTGGAAGAGACTTTCTTTGATCGCAAGGCTGTCCTTCAGGGTTTGGACGTGCGCCCGGAGGGTACGACCACAAGCCGACCACCCTCGGACGAAAAGGCCGACCGTCCCCCGAATGTCGAGCCAATTCTGGTCAACAACGCGACAGACGAGGAAAGTGGCCAGAAGAAGGGGAAGACCTACTGGCAACGCATCGCGTTGATCACACCTTCTCCGACTTTGATCGGGACTGGCTTCAAGCAGTACTACCGTCGCATCTGGCACACCCTGCGCATCTTCACTTTCCCCGCAGTGATCTACTCCGGATTGCAATGGGGTGCCCAGGATGCGTGGCTGACCTTTTATCTTACCATTGAAGAGGATAATTGGTATGAGGCTCCCTGGTACTACACTGATGCCGCAGTGGGCATTATGAACGTGCCCACTCTGATCGGTGCCTGCATTGGCTGTATCTACGGTGGTTGGTTCTCCGATTTCTTCGTCACCTGGATGGCTCGTCGAAACGGCGGTATCTTCGAAGCGGAGCAGCGCCTGTGGCTCCTCTTCCCCGTTGCGTTCATCGGACCGGCAGGTCTCATGTTGTTCGGTATTGGCTCCGACAAAGGCTGGAACTGGCCATGGCCCTACGTGGGACTGGGCTTCATTGGGTTCGGCTGGGGTTGTGCAGGCGATCTCAGCATGGCCTACCTCCAGGACGCATACCCGGACATGGTTCTTGAGGGCATGGTGGGTGTGTCCGTGATCAATAATACGATCGGATGCATTTTCACCTTCGCCGCCCAATACTGGATCGACGCACAGACTTTATCTCAGGTCTTCATCGCCCTTGGTATTCTGAGCTGGGGTTTCCTCATGACTACAGCACCCATGATCTACTGGGGAAAGAAATGCCGTCGACTCACTCAGAAGCGATACGAGAACTTCCTCCGTATCCGCGATGGTCATCTTTAAAGATGTGACATCTGCTTGGGATAATTCTGCTTGGTATATACTGCATTCTTGCAGCTTTTTAGCGACTTGATCGCATCTTATTGGTTCTGGCATTATGTATACATAATTCTTGTCTACGTTTCTGCGTGCTTTTTCTGTCGATTTGCCTTCTTTTCTTGTCATTCCTTTACTGCATTCTGCATTTATTTAGATTGGACAGCGCGGGCGTTAAGTCGCCCGAATACCCATTTACTTCTTTGCATTGAAACATCATCCTGAAGATCCGTGATAAGCTCGGCCATCATATCCCATTTAGGGTCTTGGTCCGGTGGAGAAGCGTTCTAGATAAGACGACGCTAAGCCTCTTCCCGAAACGCTTAAGCCTTATCTCAGATTCCCCGCATCAGCTCGCTTCGAGATAAGAGCTGAGTCTCATGACCCCCCTTGTCCTGGCTTGCCCCTATCATCAAAAACGATAGAGATTGAATCTGCACATCATTCAGCTTACCGCTGTACCCTGAAAATAGTTCTAGATAAGATCAAGATCAAGCATAAGATTACTACAGTCAATGCCGAACTAATTATCGACCCCGGCCAACCCATCGCATGAACCTAGTCTAGATACGCCTCCCAGCCCCATGACCACATTCTCCGTGACCCAGTCCGAAATCCCCGCTTCATCTTCCACATGGAGACAGATCTGCCGTACACGAGTCCTCTAAGTGGGACTCATCTCTAAACGGGCAGTCCAACCTTGTTATCCACCCCTGAAACGATCAATACATCCATGAATACCGGTACTGACGATCGATCGGAGATGAATACACGAAAGATAAATGCAATCTGGATGGACCTACCATCTCTGGAAAGCAAAGGAACTTGCGGCTGAGATATCCCCGCAAGGAAGATGGGAGATTGGAGATTGGAGATTAGGCTAAGGGGCCTTATCTCGGCAGATTGGGCACATGGTCTACCCTACGGTGTTTGACGCGGCATTTGGATTGTACTTTCCAAACTTGGGAATCAAAATTGTGTTGGGTCGTGGTTGGCTTTTGTGTTGATATGGGGATCACGCATCCGCCTTGTACGCGTGGAAGAGTTGATGTTCACCCCCCCGAAGATGAAATTAGGTCAATAGCCTGGAACGGAATTATGAACATTAGAGGCGTGCTCTATACATCCTCGTGCCGCTGAAAATGAAACACCGAGCGACCATCACCTGTCGCTGAAGAACGCAAATTCCATCCACGCTGGATCTGGAATGTCCTAATGCTTTCAGAATGATCCGTGGTGTACTTCTGGACCGCATTCCACGGCGCGGAATTGTACTTCTGGCTCGTCTCGGGATTCTCGGTAACAATTGTTATAGAGCACCTGGCCAGCTGGAAGCATCGTGCCAGAACGAAATCCACTTCCTCCATGGGAAGGAACTCCAATGCTGAGCCGCAGAATATGTGATCGACGCTTTCTGTTCGCGTGGCGAGGAAAGATTCCATGCGTTTGTGAATCAAATCACAGTATCCACCTTCTCGGTGACAGATATCCAGCCTCTTATTAGAGATATCGACTCCAACGAGGTGGGTGATTTGATTCTGCGGATTGGATTTCAAAGCGCGGCCCAACCTTCCTGTTCCGCACCCGAGATCGATTGCACTACCTTTTAATGGTGACAGTGCAATGCTGTCTTTATCCTTGCCCAGAGCGCTACCTGTCACAGGCATCCCATCAAAAAGGGATGCCAGCTCGGCGACGCGGGCTCCTCGTGCACCCGTATTCTTGAGGAAGTAATTCGTGATATAAGTGTTGATAACAGCCCTATAAGCTCCAGGAAATCCGTGCTTGACATCCGTGTCCTCAAGCTGCGACCCAGTGGGATAGAAAAACACAGGAAGAGGATCGACTTCAATCACATAAGCTCTCCCATCCTGACCGATTCGCATATCCACATCGCATCCCATGCCGTTCGTGTACATCTTCTTAGTGGTGAATGCTTCCACGGCTGTTTCTTGGAGATGTTTCCACAACGCCGGATCCTCATCTTCGGACATGAGCTCATACCCAGACTCCGCATCAAATTTCAGTTCCAGTGTCAAGATTCGCGCGCTATCGCCAAATTTTTTATATTTTGCGCGCTGAGGGATCAGCGGAACGGGACTTTCCCCCATTGCGATCACCACGACTGAGTACTCCTCTCCAGCGATAAACTCCTGAACAACGATATCCGTGCTATCTCGTCCTGCCGCTTCGCAGCCGTTGGCGTATTGCTCCGCGTCTCGATGTCCTAGCGCCAGCGCTCGTTGAATTCGTACAGGGCGCATCAGTGTGTTCAAACGCTGGATGCAGCTCTCCAACTCGGCTTCATCGCGACACAGAGAATGCTCATCGATAAACATACTTCCATAGCTGGAAGCAGGCTTCACGAACAACGGGAAGCGCTCTATGCCAGGCACGAGCGGGCTCCCTGCTCGCTTGGCTTCGGCGAAAAAGTCCCATTTGGACTGCTCTCTTTCTGAGCTTTGTACACCGGCGTGTGGCAGATTGAGGGATTCAAAATATTGACTTGCATCAATACCTGCCAGGGAGTCGTCATGTGTCCCCCAAAGGAAGTTCATATAGAAGTCATAGCCCTCGGCTACTGCCTCATCGATTTGCTGCTTAGCTGTCTTCTTGTGGATGGTCTTGTGGGATACATGGTGTTGTGTCGTAAACACCCCGGGGTTCATGCATAGTTGTTGTGACTCCGATTCACCGACTGAAGCTTGGAGCTCCTCGAAGCAGGATTGAAATACACAGATTCTCATTGAGGAATATGCGGGTTGGACGGGGATGTGTTGGACAGAATGTTAGACACGCGATCAGCTATGGCGTTCTGGAAAACCCCACGAGATCTGCATGAACCCCTCCGAATCCATGATCTTCAAGATTCTGCACGATTGGTCAGTAGTAGCGCCTGTCTTAGTTTCGCTACCAGCTGAATGGGACAGATCTGGCGTTCTTGAGCGAATGTTTACACCGCTCTGGTCTGAAAGGGTAAATGATCGGACTGTGGTGGATACATCCCGTGTTGTCGGGATCTTCAGCTGAGCACACAAATCTTGCGTCGTATCCACTTATAGCTATCCTGATGGCTTGAAGCGGAATATTCCAAAGCTCGAAATGTGCAAATCTTCTTAAGAAAACCTCTCAAACTGCAGAAAACTATATTGAAACACTATGTTCATGTGAAGAAACACTCAAACAGAACCTGGGAAAACCGCCGTAGCCGTAGCTAAAGCCACAATACCCTCTTCGCGTCCCACAAATCCATTCCTCTCATTTGTCCCCGCTTTAACAGAAATACGACTCCGATCCAGCCCGACAATGCGCGCCACAGAGTCCCTCATTGCATCACGATGGGGACTAATGCGTGGCAGTTCGCACACAAAGCTCAAATCACAATGTGTGATAGTACCACCAGCCTCGGCGACAAGCTTGGCAGCATGCTGCAGAAATTTATCAGAGGAAGCACCCCTCCACCGAGGATCCTTATCTGAGAAATGAAATCCAATGTCAGCCGCTGCAATCGTACCGAGGAATGCATTGGTCAGAGCATGTAGTCCGACGTCCGCATCGGAGTGGCCGAGTAGTGTTGCCTTGTGCGGAATTTTGATGCCACACAGGGTGATCTCTTCACCGGGTACAAGCCGATGTGTGTCGTAGCCATGACCGACTCGGACATCTGGTAAAGGCGTTTTTGTAGAAGGGCGTTTCGTTTGCAGAAATCGCTCTGCCTCGTCAAAATCCAAGCTGTAGGTCAATTTGATGTTTTCCGATTCCCCAGGGACAATCCGCACGGGGAATCCCAATTCTTCGAATAAGGCGGCATCGTCGGTGTAATTCATTCCAGCGGCGGCGGCCTTTTCATGCGCTTCGAGAATCAACTTCAGCTCGAAGCCTTGCGGTGTCTGGGCACGGAAGAGACCATCTCGAGGGACGGTTGCTGTGATGAGGCCATTTGAGTCGGCCTTTTTGAGAGTGTCGGCAACAGCAAGGCCGGGAATCACCCCAACGGAAGGTTCCTGTTGGATAGATTTTGATACACTGTCTAGCAGTTGGTGCGAGGCGAATGGTCGTGCTGCGTCGTGAATGAAGACATGTGATGGGGCGTCTTGCAATGTAGAAAGGAAGCGAAGGCCCTTCAGAACTGATTCCCCTCGCTCAGCGCCTCCAGTCGTAGTGTAGATGCTGCTGTCGCGGTCGATAGAAGCCTCGAGTAAGGCAGTGTCATCAGCATGATGAACAATCACGATTGGACAATTCGCGTTCCATGAGCGAAATAGCTTGACAGTACGGTTGATCACAGTATCTCCCGAAATCCGACGGTAGGCTTTTTGACAGCCCTGACCTGCTCGTGTCCCTCTACCAGCAGCCGGGATAACGATACCAAATGACACTTTTGATTGTTGGTGGTGCATTGCGATTAAGTGGAGAGTGTAAACAAAGGAGAATCAGTGTGGGAAATGATGTAACACGATCTGCCCCTCCACAATCTGATCGGCAGGGCCCGTCACACGAACCATTCATTTAATTGATCCTTGGATCCTTACATACTCGCAAGTCGCGTGCTTTGTTTCCTTTTCCATTCTTCCACCGCTTCCTTATTTCCTTGCATCCGACTGCAACTCTGATTGGCGTACGTGACTGCAGGCAGATAGCACAATGACTTCGACTCCATCAAAAATTACCCTGCAAGTTCCTGCCAAAATCAATCCTCAGATTCGCGTGGGGCCCCTGCGAGAGGATGGATACCACGATATCACCTTGGCCTATCAGGCCATATCGCTTTTTGACACCTTGACTATTTCTCAAAATTTGGAGGGCCCCAGCATGAATGTGACCGGCATGGATAGTGACCGCGTCCCAGCAGATAATCGTAATCTGGTGATCAAAGCAGCTTCTCTCCTCGGAAAACAATTTGGTTTTGAACCAAGTTTTCATTTCGAGCTTGCGAAGTGCATTCCCTCTGAAGCAGGTCTTGGAGGTGGAAGTGCTGATGCCGCAGCTGCTTTCGTGGGATGCAATATCTTGTGGGGATCCAAGGTCAATGATGACGTTCTTATGGAACTAGGTGCACAGATCGGGGAAGATGTGCCGTTCTTTATCAAGGGCATGATGGCGATTGGCTTGGGCCATAAACAGCCACTCGTCAGCCTGGAGGTGGCAGACCATAAATGGATCTGGGTGTTGGCGGTCCCGTTCCGTGGTTTGTCGACAAAAGCTGTCTTCCAGGAACATGATAAAGTTTTGACTGGTTCTTTATCCGAAGAGGAGGAGAAATACCTTCGCAGACGGCAAGGGTGTATTGATGTTGCTTGGGGTACCACTTCACCGACGGAATTGCTGCCCTTCCTTGTCAATGATCTCGAATTACCCTCGACAAGACTGTTGCCGGATATAGGCATTGCATTAGAGGCTGGGAGGTCGCATGGCGCAGTTGCAAGTTTGATGAGTGGTTCTGGGTCAACATGCGCCTTCCTGGCGAAGGATGAGGCCCATGCAATGCACCTGAAAACAGAGATGCAGAAAAAGACTATCTTCAGGGAAATTGTGATCGCCTCAGGTCCTGTTGAAGGTGTTCGAGTCACCCAGACGTAGTGAATAGGCCTATGCATGAAGAAGTGCTAGTTGCTGTGGTGGAATGCGGGGCCGAAACTATGTATAATACAGATCTATATCCACGGATCCCAATCATACCTACCTGGCATAGAATCAAATGTGAAATGAACTCGCACACTATTGTATTTTTCAGCACACAAGGCTTGATGGAAGCTTGAGTAACATAAAATGCATTGTATGGACGTTATGGTATCAGACTATCGTAATACTTTCAAATTTGCCGCTGATGCCCATCCCTCAACCCTGCTCCTCAAAATATGCTCAATCAAGCGAGAAACGCACCGAGCTTAGCCTTATCTAAGATCTCGCCTTCAATCAATTTCCCTGTAGCCAAGACCTCTCCATCAACGCGCTCAAATCGTACGAGCGCAGGAACATTGTGAACATTCCAATTTGTGCGATAGACATTCTTGGGATCCCTCCATCTAAGAAGAAAGTCAGTCTTGATTTCCATGACACATTTTTCGAAGAAGTTTATCCAAATATAAACAAACTTCAAAAAGCCACATATTCAATAAACGTACTCTGGTTTCTGTCCAACGGGGACAATAGCTACAGTAGGTGCATCGGCAGGCGCAAAGGCGGTGTTGATATGGGGCAACGCCGCCCGGACATCGGGGCACCAAGGCTGCGACGTGATAGGGTCATCTGAGGACACGAAAGCAATGAAGAATTTGGGGCTGCTCTCGGGTAATTCCAGAAGCCGGGCGTTGGCTGGTGGGGAGAAAGCTCTTGTGATAGGCATGATGAGCTGATCGATTCTGGAGGGCGATGAATAAAAAGTGAATCACTCGGGAGGCAGTGATAATGATTGAAGCCAAATGTGTCTCGTGTAGTCTTTCAGGCTGTGGTGGATGATACCATAACCGCCTTTTTTTGTTTGATCGGGGTAAATGCGCAATTTTGCTTTGCGGCCCCACTTTGCAACGCTGTCGAATCAGCGATGATGTACGGTTATCTATCAATCACATTGGATACACCAAATGCATGATTCTCATCGCCCTTGCGTTTTGGTCTAGCCGATAGCGATGACTTGGACGAATGGTAGATTTGCGATTTCGCATTATTCAGTTTCTGTGGCGAACAGGCTGTCTTAAAACATGAGTAATTGTAGATATTCATGAGATTGATTCTGATACAGTATAGAGCTGACAGTTTAGAGCAGACAGTATAATCTCCAATGCCGTTTGAATTTTAAACTTCACAAAATATCTTCGTATGTACCTGGTATTATGACACTCTTTTGGGCGAGGATAATGCTGACTATGATAAAACATTCTTGCTACTTGAGACCAAAAGTTCGAAGTTGAGATGATTCATTTCATTCAGTCACAAGGCAACTCTGCATCTTCTTCGAATTATCCTTTTTATTCAATGTATGATTCAAACTCCAAGATGGAAGTGGCCACCGGTGACGTGGCCTAGGTAAAAACCATAGACGTAGAGTAGGAATGGCTCAAAACTCGAAAGATGATCAGAAGAACTACAATGATGAAGGAGTCTTTCTTTCTGGACACCACAGCCATCTTGAATGGATCGACTGCATTCTGCAACGCGGGTATTTTCAATGCCAGATACCTGATTCTGTTCGCCGATGAGGACAGCTTGGAGGAACTTCTGATACAATTCTAATTTCGGTGCCTTGTATCTCTTGCTCTGGACAGAGTCAAAACAGTCTCTTGGACTTACGCCCTTCTATCATTACGGAGTCTATGCATTCTAGTTATTTTTGGTCTCGCTAGGATAGTTCCATTTTCCAATTCTGCTATCCTCTCAGTAGTCAGTTTCCTATCATCATGTCCTTGAAAATCTGTGTCCACGTGTTCAATACATACTACGACCTTGATTGGCTTAGTAATTGTAAATTAGACACAATGCTTGCAATCTCTTCGTTCACTCAAAGGAAAGGGCTGGTCATACAACGTTGCTCGGTCTAAAAAGACCAAGCGACAAAAACAGAGATCTAGAACTCAATGGTGTTAATTTTTTCTGGTTCGTTGGGACGCACGTTGAGATGGACTGTTCTACGGGTGGTTCCCTCTGCGTCATTGTGCATGTTAGGCGAGCAAGACTGCCTTCGAATCAGCCTGCCCGCTCAGCTGACCTAAAGGATTTTAGGCTGTCATGATAATGCCCCGGTCGCCAATTCCCCGTGTGGCCATATCCTCTATGACCCGAGGAGACTGCAAAGAACTGATCATTTCGTTTGGAGAAACAACAATATTTAACCATACAGATAATTGCTACGATTACGCAGGATTGAGTTATCGAGGTACTTGCCCGGGCGTATGTGCCGAACACCTGGGTGCGGGGGTGGCTGAAATGATCAGCTGAACAGTCCCCGGGTGATGCCTCGCTGTACACCTCTCACCCAGGTGAAATCTTGATTTATGGGGCATTGAGAAAGTATGGCAGAGTCTCAGCTTAAGCCTTCACATCTTCCGCATGAGGCGCAGTCAGGGTATCACTTGCACTGACCTCAAGCTCCGGCGCCTCACTTTCTGTGGCTGTGTCTCGGGGATTATGTGCGGGCTTTAGTTACCCCTGCGCCTTGCAGTGTCTAGACCTGAAACATGGGAAGTCTCTACCGCATGCATGATCAAACCAGATACGGTAATCAGCTCGTACCTTCAGGCAACCAGATATTAGATTTCGCAGTAACGCGAAAGTTGCCTTGACAAAGTAGATTTGCTATGGAAAAAACGGACATGCACCCATGTAAGATCAAATTTTCCCAGTAAACAACGCCATGATGTAGAACCGAAATGGACAGAGACAAGTTGATTATATACTGCCAGGAGAATAGGCCGATTCCACTGGTGATGTTGAACCCTTGGAATAATGATGCATATTATGAACCGATCGGATATGCGAGACCAAATTGTCTTTGCGATTGAAAGGCTTGCATTTTGCACTGACGGGACAAAGATACTGCCTCGGAGATAAATGCATCAGCCGAATATGGCGGAGCAGCGTAGATTGTCGGGCAAAGTGCCCCGCATAAGTACAGCCCGCCCATCTGCACTCCAGCGGAGAATCTTGTGACTCCCTGCGACCGGGTTAGCTAAAGCAGAAAATCAATTCAGGGGTTGTCCTACCGGTGATGTGGCATCTCGTTGATCTGTCTCATCGCTGATGACTCATGTGGAGAGATCGCACCGGGGTGCTCGACTGGGGTGATTGACCCTGACGCCGGAGGCGTTCGGTAGATAAGGTTCTCTTGTGGATGCCAATAGGTTTGCTCGGGAATCGCGTTCGATTTAGGTTCTGGGCCATAATACTCTTGGGGCGAGATGTCGGGTGAAAGCTCCGGAACTGACGTGTAATAGCGAGTGTCGATGAAGAGGGGGTTGGCGTTACCATAACCGGGAGCTTCAGCGACGACTGGATTACCAAACGCATTTCGGTAAAATGACATAATGAAGGTGCAAGTAGATAGAGAGAATGATGGATTTAATGGAACTGGAGATTGGGATCGATAAAGGTGGGAATTGTTTTGACTGGAGGGGATCTTTGGTGTTGTTATGGCAAGTCATAACTAAGAACTAAGAAGGCATCCATCTTAAATATAATTGCGCTATTTGACAGGATCTGCGCATTTGACCAGATTTCACGCATCTGGCAAGAGGGTTGCCAATTGTCAAGGCCCTTGACAAGGTGATTGACGGTGCCTAGGCAAAAGCCAAGCGGTCGACGCCCTGCGCCCTCATTGGGCGAGCTCGGGTGGAGGCTTGACAGCTGCGCAGTTGTCGAGGATGAGGCGGCTGATTAGTTCTCTACGTCAGGGAATTAGATACATAAGCACTTGGGAACTAATAGCCAGAGGAATATGATTTCAACTTTTTTCCCCTTCCATCTGAGGTTTCTTGCTCATCTTGACTACAATGGACAAGACTGGCACAATCGTGGCTCACGCCCCCCATAATAGAAGAGATTCCACGGTAAACAACTCTTTCCGCCTTCCAATCCACGGAACGGCTTTATGCTTATCTCGTATTTCCCGACTCTAGCTCTCTACGACAAAAATTGCAACCAAAATTGCAAAGAAGGACTTCATCAAAAAATGGCTTCACACCACTCCCCGCAAAACGATCAGCGTCCCCGCAAACCCAGAGTTCACCTTGGAGAAGCCAGATTTCACCCCGGGAGACTTCATGAAGCACATTTGTGTGGATTTCACCGCCATGATCCAAGAAGCGATCAAAAACAGTCCGTCCAACAAACAATCTACAAGAGGCATCTGCAAGGAAATCATGCGAACCAACGCTTGGTATCGCACCCACCAAAACTCGGGCTGGCAAGAAATTGTCGCTGAAGAGCTTGCGAAAAATCCCATCTTCCGACCTCTGATTGAATGCCACAATGGGAAAATCAGCAGGACGAGGAGTGTGAAATGGTTGCTGAGCTTCGCCGCGCCCACCAGTACCGCGCATGCCAGTACCGCAGAAAGCACATCGTCAGACACGAACACAGAGTCTGGATGGAATGTTCCGGAGTTATCGGACACTAGTACTGCGGTGGATTCCAGTACGGAAAGTGCACACGGACCGCCGCAGCGAAGTTCTACAGAGGTGTCATGCACCAGCACTAGCACTGACATCAGCAGCATCAGCACTGGCAACAGCATGAGCAGGAGTACAGAATATGAAATACAATTCCCTCCCGAGGATCTCGCAGAACTACCCGCATCATGCATGGATGCTGAATTACCGGAAAGTTGTGTCGCGAAGCCAAAGTGTGGGTCTTGGGAGAATACATACTCCGTATCCCCCATAACCACTTTTGAGACCCACGAAGGCGAGAGGTACACGGAAAGACCCTTCTCTATGTCGGAACTGACACTGGTCTCTCCTATATCTCCACAGTCGCCCAACCGATTCTCACCCACCTCATTTGCTGCGTTTTCTCTACATTTGCCAAATGAATCCTCATATTATGATAATCACACCAGTACTCCTCCCCCAAAATACGTGGATATCCCACGCAAGCGTGATGAATCTTTCCACATGGAGCTGGAACCTGATCCGACTCACATTGGTGGAAGGATGTCTTTCGATATGTCATCAATTGCTCCTCAGTCACCGAGGCGTATGACTGCGAGTCCAATCTCGAGCATTACCCAAGTACAGGAGAATTCGAACTCGCGTCTGGCCGAGACTCGAGTTTCATCATCGGCTCTTTCCTCGACTACCTCAGAGTGGCCCATTCACAGTCCGAAACCGGGTCCCGCCAGCAATAATTGTTCACTCAAGCGCGGGAATTATGTGAGGAAGTCAAAGAAGCCCGTCAATATGCAGCAGAGGGAAGAAATCGGACGTTGGATTGAGGAGATACCCTCTCAAACTCAGCCGACACCGCCAGACACTTCTGGGTCGCATTTGATACGATACCAACTTTACGATACCCCGATGGAGGACGAGGAGATGGACAACAATGACTCATCAGCTGCCAATAACGGGGGAAGGATTCCCTCGGGTTTTGGAGACACCAATGATTCTGGGGAAAAATCGCCCCCCAAAAAGGGCGGTCGCCCTCCACCGCAAGATAACAGAGGTACGGGACGCGATGACGACGGCAACCAAGATCGAAAGAGGAAGCGCCTACATTCCCCAGACAGAGACGAAAGACGCAGATTCGCGTGTGTGTATCACAAGTTTGACCCGAACACGTATGGCGTCAATAACCGGAAGTATCTGGTGTGTGCGGGAGCCGGATTCAAATTTACATCTGAGCTTGTGTAAGTACCCATGATCCACCAAATTGTTTACTTGTCTCTAACATTCTCCAGCCGCCATCTCGCTCGGAACCACGATGAGTTCATTTGCGGCAATTGCCTTGAACAGTTTGCAGACGACGAGCAACGTCATAACCATTACGAGCATTGTACCGTTCGGCTCCGGTGCTCCCAAGAAGAACGTTGGCAAATTCTCTACCGTGCCCGGTTCCCGGGTGCTCCAGTCCCAGAAGATCCATGTATGTCTAATCGCACGCCTCATGAAAAACAGAATGAATGTACTAATGGCTTTTCAAATTTAGACCAGTCGACTCGACTAAGAACCCCCCCTCCAAGAATAAACACTAGCCTCGGGCCGGCACCAACCAACACAGAACCTAGCTCAAACGCATCTGGTTTAGCCCCCTCATTACCTTCTACCAGTTCCAGTGAAACATCCCCAAAGTTAATGGAGTGTATGGTCCGCATAGAAGGCCTTGAGAAGCGTTTACCCGACTTCGAAGACAGGATCATCCGGCTAGTAATGAAGCTAGATCCCACATCGTCGAACCCAGTATCCAGAACACACAGCCACATATCGCAAAAGTGCCCAACGGTCTCTCCGTCCTTAAAATCTGCCGCAGATGAGCCCTTCTTTTCATCTCAGGGTGGTACTGATACAACTACTTCGAGCTCAAAACCATCCCCTTCGTCAGATGTACCCTTTAACTGGTCAGCCTTTCAACCATCAACAGGCGATATCTTGATTCAACCTTCACAGACTACTGATGTAAACATGGATGATAGCGGGCTCTGGAGGGAGTTTCCAGATGGAACTAATGCATCTGTCACTGCGCTTAATCACTTTTCGAGTGTGTGGAGTAGCAGTGATGGGGAAAGGAATTCGTTTGGGAAAGAGATGGGTCAGCAGTCGGACCCACCCCCAACGAATTTGGCAGACTTTGCGTGGGGGGATGTCATGTTCCCGGCTCATGATTTCGGGTCATAATTTAAATCGAGTTTTTCGGATTTTAGCGGGAATGGTCGGGGCCTCTTTTCCTTTTTTATTTTGTTCTATACCATTTGCTTTGCTGAAATTGGCTTGGGGGTTCATCATCAGGAGTATCAAGGATTATATATGTGCCTGCCAGGGTTAGGTCTATGCGCACTTTGGAAAATTGAGATACCACTACAGTACAGAACATTTACGAAAGATCCAGTCTTTGATGATTCATATAGCATGATTGCATTCCACATGGAAAAGAACATGCACGTCGTAGACATACGATAGCATTTGTAAACACCTTCGATTGGTGAAGGGTACATGTGACATAGAACGAGGAAATAATCAAACAAGATACCTGAAACCCTTGCGCACCCGCAAAGACTCATCGGCACTCTCAATAAAGTCCGAACCACTGGTCTGGGCATCAGGATGCCCAGCATTATACTCAGCCTCACTCTGCTCAAGCTTCTTGTTGAGGTTGACAAGGATCATTCTGAATCCCCAGAAGCCAACAATAGTAATACCGAACATAGCAGTCACGATTCCGTAACTCTTGCGGTATCCGTTATCGGAGAGATCCCACACGTACGAGCCGGCGACGTTACCAAGCTGACTGAATGCGTTGATCAGGGCGAGAGCAACGGCTCGCTTGGCGGGAGGTCGGGGGAATGAGGAACTGATCCAGGAGTAGAAAACGATGAAGCCGGCGTAGGAGCCTGCTTGGAGGAAGAGGGCGACATAACGGGCTGCAACGTTGAGCGTTGACATGCTGATGACGAAACCGACGATTCCCATGAATAGAGGGCCGTAGATGTGCCAGATCTGGGGTTTGGTTAGTTGAGAGTTAGATGTGGATTTGTTGGAGGGGTGTAGCTAACCTTTTCTTGGGTTCTGTCTGCGTGCCAGGCGTTCAGGACGGAGAAGATACAGGAGAAGACCCATGGGGGAGCACTCATGAGCAGGGTAGGGACGTATGAGAAACCAAGAGTGCCGGTGAGAGTGGGCTGTGAGAAAAGAAATTAGTGGTAGTCACGACTGGGCACAAAAGCTGAACTTACGAAGAAGGCGTTGAAGGACAGTCCGACGACATAGGCAGTGAAAGACAACATCATAACGTAGATCTTGAAATCCTTCAGGGCCATAATGAGTCCAGAGTAGGGGCTCTGTTCGTTGGAATCGGTATCAGCCTCACCAACATCCTCCATGATACGAAGCTGCGCAACAAGAAGCTCTTCCTCGGTGAATCCGCGAGCATTGGTAGGCAGATCAGGCAAGATGAAGGCAGAGGAGAGGGCAATAGTCATGGTAATAGCACCCTCGATCCAGAAGAGCCAGCGCCAGGCGGCGTGGCCCAGGACACCTTGCATGTTGGACAAGACACCAGCAGCGACGAGCGAGGAGAAGGCATTGGAAATCAGGTTACCACAGAACAGAATAGCGTTTCGGGTAGTCAACTCCCTGCGGGTATACCACTTCGAGAGGATAAGGAGAGCACCAGGGAGGAAGGCAGCCTCAACGAAACCCAGCAGGAATCGAATAGCGACCATGTGGCTGAAGTTCTTTGCCAATCCGGAGCATGTAGAGATCAGACCCCACAGGGTCATGGAGCAGGCGATATAGATTGATGGGCGCGAGATGCGGTTGATAAACATGTTCGAGGGCACCTGCATCAAGATGTATCCAACATATAGAATACTCAGACAGGTCGAGTACTGTGTGTCGGTGAGGTTCAAATCAGTCTGCAGACCCTTCAATCGGGCCGCAGAGATGTTGTTGCGGTCGAGATAGTTCATGATGTAGATGAGAACAAACAAGCTGCACCGGGCATCAAGTTTGCGCTTCAGGCTCTTCTCAACGACAATCCTGCGAGCAGGATCAATGTGAGGAACGACATTTTGAATCTCAGTCACATGCTCCAAGTTCTCAGTCCCCTCCTTCTCGACCTCAGTCTCAATCCGGTCGTTGTTTCGTGAGGTATCGTCTGCCATGATGTGTGTTCTTCCCAGTTGCACAAAAGGAAGTGAAAACAAGGAGCAGAAATCCCCTCTTATGACCAACAGTCACACAAAAACCTTTTTCCCCCACCCCACGCTAATCTGCTTGAGTACAAACCCCGGTGACCCCCACGCTGAAATTATCGTAATTTTGCGGGGGCCCCAGTGGAGATAAACGCTTGGCGTCGGGATGGACGCACCACGGCAGGTTTTTTCGGGTGCAGGGTCTCCGAGAACCGGAAAACTGACTTTGGTGGTTCCCGGTTCTGCGCGGGTGATTGGTTGATCGGGCCGGTCAGTGCGTGGAAAATCGGGTCGAGATGAGAAACAGACCTTGGCTGTCTCCGGGGTTATGGTGAACTTTCTCAATCCCACAAAGCTTCGTCACTTTCAAATGCACTGTAATGCGGAGAGATGCTCACCGGTGAGTTCACCCCCCACCTTTTGTCCGGGGACTTTGTTTTGAACGCTTTGCCTGCACGTCACTTCATGGGGTTGCAGCCAGTTGTAACGTTCCACGTCATTTTTGATTTTGTGGCTTTCTTTCCAGACCCAGTCCGATTATTCACCCCTGGAGAAGGACCGGGGAAGAATGCCAAGACACGGCAGGTTTAGCCGAGGGGAATGTGAACGGGCAAGTTCCATACGAGTTTTGTTCTGTCGTATGACTTTCCTGAGACTTCAAGAATGCGGAGAACACCGTGCGGTCAGGAACCCCCTTGGCAAAGAGAAGATTTTTTTCGTCCCCCTCGATTGCTTCAATTTCCTCTTAAAATCATACATATAATAATAAGCGTGCTTTTTCCTCTGTTTACTCACGAGCTAAGACTCATTCCACTACCCCCAACATACATGAATCTAAATGATACTAGCCAAACATGTTCATGCCAATGTTAGTCCCCAATTTCACCAGCAGCTGCGTAAGACATCCTCAAAACATCAATCCCATTCTTGAACAGATAATATCAATATACCGCGTTGCTCTTTCACGGGATAAAAGCCCTTGTCCATTCTCAGTGCGGGAAAAACTTGAGCCCACCCGCACCGGGCCCAACACCCTTCAAAACAGGAAATCAAGTCTCCTCACCGTTACACTCATCCCCAATATACACGAAGCCACGGAGCAGCCGCGGTTAAAGGCTCAGCCTGGTTTGTCATCCAATTGTCCGGCCTTAGGCAACATACACCAATCACGATACATGCCAAACTCTCCCCCAGCAATATATTTCTAGAGGGGGAGCTCAGTCTTAAAGTTTAATTAGGTTAGCGCTTGTACCTAGATAGCTAATAGCTGCATTATCCAAAAAACCGCGCATTGAATTGGTGAAGCTTTGTACAGACAGATGAACTGCCCAATCAGATTGGAGCAACCTAACTTTGACACGTGGGAAACTCGGCATTTAGAGCCCGTATGGCTTGATCGCTATTGATATGTGACCAATCAGGTGAAAGAGAGATATTAGGTACAGATGTACATGAAAATCTTAATCTCAGATAAATAAAAGTATTGTCAAAAGTAAGATGCACAACCTTGGAAGTGGAGACACCTTGCTTGTTGCTGATTGGTTCATCGGAAATTGCTGCTGCGGACCCTTTCTTGACACAATTGACAGCGCCATTGGCACATCATGTTAAGAGGGAATGGATTGATGCATTTCAGTGGTAAAAATCGGATTTCGGGTTTCAAATTTTGAATCCTCAGGATAGTAGCTTGTCTTGGTACGGTGTTCGCCAACAAGTAACATTGATAAAAACCTTTATCCGTACAATAGAATATCCGACGGAAAATAGTTGTTCTATGTATATAGCCAAAGAGCCACAGCTCCCAGAAAATAGCTCAGAGCTGCCCCAAGACTTCATTTCGTTATTTCTTTCGTCAGAAAATTCCCAGATAGCACAGACATCGCCCTTTTTTCGAAATGTCGAACCCCGGACAATTTCTCGCGGGAAAACGCATTATTGTCGCTGGTGGGAGTTTTGCAGCATTGTCCTTCGTGATCGCCCTAGATCAGCTGTGGAACCCCTCACTAGAGCATCCCGAAGTCACGTTGTACGAGCGAGACGATCGGAACAAGTCAATCAATAAAGACCCCTACGTGCTGAACATCAACGGAGCGAGCCGCGATGACGGACTGGTCGCCATTCAACAGCTCGGATTACTAGATGGAATTCGCAGCCATGCGACTCTGAATGGGGGTGACATTAAAGTGTGGTCCGACAACTGGAAATGGCTCTCGTCTATCAACCCAAGTGCCTACGGCAGCCTCCCCGCTGCCACGATGCGCATCACACGCGCCGACCTAAAGCGCATTCTCATAGAAAAGGCAGAGGGAACTAAGACAACATTGAACTGGGGATCAGCCTGCGAATCAGCCGAAAGGCTCCCCGGAGGTGAGATACGAGTCACGCTTTCGAACGGCACAACCCAAGACTGCGACCTGCTTGTCGCCGCAGATGGCGCAAACAGTAACATGCGAGCTTGCTTCCGACCCAACGACACGGAGACTAGTTATGCCGGCGCATCCCAGATTGGTGGCATATCCCATCTCCCAGCAGGAGTTCCCAAGCCGATCCATGAGAACTACGGCTTACAAATGTCCTCGGGCGAAGGAGTCTGCTGTATCTACAACCCTTTTGACAACGAACGAGTAGCCTGGGCAGTGAGCACGGTCGGACCTGAACGAAAACCCAAGACCGACTTCACGGCTCAGGAATATTTGGCACTGAAGCAGGAGGCACTCAAGACAGCATCCATGTTTCAAGAACCTTTTAAAACAGTCGTCGAGGCCACTATTCCTGGCACCGCATTTATCCGTCCCGCCAAGGAGAAGTCCGCCTTCCAACACGATGCTCAGCTGAAAGGTGTCATTTTCATCGGTGACGCAAATCATATCCTCAGCGCTTTTGAGTATGTAGGCGCTAACCTGGCGCTGAAGGACGGGTGGGATTTGGCAGAGCAGATTTGTCGGAATACGTCCATGGATGCGGCGGTTTCTTCTTATGACCGATTAAGCATTGCTCGGTTCGAGCCTGTTTTCAATTTTTCGCATGAGCGCATTGGGTTTGGGCATTGTACTGGGAAGAAGTGGACGTTTTATAAATATGGGATGGCTGCTCAAAGGGCGTTTAAGCAGGTTCATTAAATGTGTTTAGGTGTCGGGATGCGGGTACCTATCTGTTAAACTTTACGATTATGAGTTGCTTTTTCCTCTTCCAAGAGGAATAATAGAGTCATGCGATCACAGGCCGTAAAACTATGGTGACCGAACGTAGTGAATATTAATCAATATATATTAGGTACCTAAGAAAACGTAGCTATATTTATCCTATCTGGGAACGACTCCCCAGATTACTATCCCTGAAAGAACTAAGGCAGATTGACGACTCCTTTTAACAGTAGGTAGCGTTTGAAGAAGCCTTGGTGATAACACCGGCATCAATAAGACGCTCATATGACCAGTAATCCTTCTGGGTACCCTGTCCATCAACAGCAACACTGCTGTTATGCTTGATGTTCCAGAAAGATCCACCCTGAACATACAAGCTCCAAGCATACCGCTGAGTATCAAAGAGATCCTTACGGTTGGCATATGTGTTGCTGTAAAGAGTCTGCAAAGCCCATTCACCAACAAAGACAGGGAATTTGCCATCACCACCGAGGACAGAAGCCTGACCACAAATGGCACCATCAGCCCACTGGGAGTAAACACCCGAGGCAGCGAAGTAGTAGACATGCATGTCGATGACAATGTTGGTACCGGTGGGGAAGTAAGGAGACCAGTGTTCCTCGCCGACGAAGCAGTCCTGGAGCATGAGAGGGATGCGCTTGTCAACCTTGGCGATGCGCTTCAGAACACCCTGGGTGTACTTGACGATCCAGGCTGTGCCGTTGGTGGTCAAAGTGTTGGCCGAGGCGAAAGCAGTCGGGTTATCGGAGGCCTCGTTGATGGGGGCAATAGTGAAAGCCCAGGGGTATCCGGTTTCAACGAAGAAGGCAAGGATCTGGTCAACGGCCTGGTAGGAGTATTCCAGGTTCGTAGAGTTGAAGAACCAGGCGTCGTGGCCAGCAGCCTCACCGATGTCCAGGTTGTTGACACCACCGGGGAGGGAGTGCAGGCCGACGATGACGCGCATGTTGTACTTCTCGATGGCGTAGACGGAGATCTTCTTCAGGTAGTCCTGCTGGTTTCCGTGGTACAGAGCCGATCCGGGGACCTTGATCCAAGCGGCGTAGGTGGTGGGAATACGGAGAGTGTTGACGCCTAAATTGTTTGTTAGGATTTGCTGTGATCCAAGGAGGGCGGATATAGACATGACTTACCGACAGCGGCCATCTTGTCGATATCAGCGGTGGTGACAAAGGTGGCATAGCGTTCCTCGAGTACAGGGCCACACTGGGAGCCGAGGGTCTCGCAGAAGGTCCACTCATCATCGGCCTCGGGGGCGTGCTGGTCCCACCAGTACTGGTTGAAGACCTGCTCCTGCTCGAGCCAGCCGCCGAGGTTGACACCGTTGGCCTTGTAGGTGGTCCAATTGGTGTACTGACCCGCTGCAATGGTAGCAGTAGTGGAAGCGACAGTGGAGGTATAGGTCTTAGTGGTGGTAGTTCCGTGGTGAGTGGCGGTCCGGACGATAGTGCGAACAGCGGTCTGAGAAGCGGGCTTAGTGTTCAGGTCAGTGTTGAAACCCGACCCGACGGCAGAGCCGCCAGCAACTGGGGCAAGGTTCTTGGTGTGGGTAGTGGGTTTACTAGAAAATATCCGTTAGAGCTATGCGTTTCGAGCTGTGTATCAAGATCAACATACGTGTTAGAGGTCTTGGTCTTGGTAGCGATCTTGGTGATCACAGTACGGCCATTCTCATTGGAAGCAGCAGCCTGAGTCGCAGTGGCTTCAGCAGTGACAGTGGCGGTAGAAATAGTCTTGGTGACGGTGGTGGTCTCGAAAGCATAGACAGTCGTGTGCAGGTGGGTGGGGGCATTGGTACATTCAATAAGAATAGTATTATCAATGGTGATGACGGCATCCTCTTCCAGCTCAACATCAACAATGACGGGGTACTCAACGATGTTGACAGACAGGTGCAAGACTTCACCAGTGTTGATAACATTAGCACAGGTGTCTTCGTTGGACTTGGCCTGGATCACTCCGGCGGCGGCAACCCCAAGAGAGGCTGCTCCTGCTACAAGGCTAAGGAGACGCATGACGGCCGATTATGATAAGGAATGACTAGTGTAAGATTGAAACAGAAACGAGAGAGAGGAGCAGTGCCAAAAGAGTGTATGCAATCCGCTGAATATTACTTGCAGGGCCACTCGACGATCTTATACTCCTCCCCATGCCGGTAATCCCTATCTCTCCCGCTAGAGTTTGCTAAAGAATCATTTCCCGGAAACCAATGCCGACCGAAATATTGAACCTCATAGGTGGGACTCTCTAAATTTACCTACTCGGCAAAGGTTCTACCGAACAGGATGCATGTTGTTCGGGCCGAATGGAGTTTTTGTGCTTGGCGTGTCCAAATCGAAGCTTTGGAAGCCGAATGGCCCCGAAAAGACCGGAGTCGAGACACGAATACGGTATAAACTCTATAGATTAGAACAGTGGGTCGGTAGTTTTGGACCGGGTTCACTTCCCTGGCAGATTGATGATTTGAACCAATGGCAAGGACATCTTGACAAATTACTTCCAGGCTACAGCCACACTATAATTTCAATGGCGGCTCACTGGGCTGTTTGGCACTAGTAAAACCCCTGACAAAGCCTTGTTTTACGTAATTTTCGTCAGGACGGATAGTCCAGGGTTCGATGCTATACGATCACCAGGTAGGAAAGATTGCCTCGATTGTGAATGATGATCTCATGCTGCGAAGCGCTATCATCCTCGTGCGGCTAGACTTGAACAATCTGCGTGTAAATAAATTCTTTGTGACTTGGAAAACGGGGTGTGGTCAGGGTCTTGTACCTGAACAGACCCACTCGAGCCCACTCGTTCTCGATCTCGGCTGTCTGCCGTGCTTACTTGGCACCAACTGCCGGCGATACTTCGCTGAATCTTGTTAGTGGCGTCCGGGATATCCGAACAGCTTGAATCCAGAGGAAGGTGCCGAGGGAACAGGTAAGCGCACTTTCGCGTAGCTACTATGCTCAGAGAAGCTTAAATGTAGCTTGAAACCTAAGCTTTATGATTGGTTCTTGTGGGTCGACATGGAAACCAAGGGCAATACCAAGTTTCACTGAAGAGTCAAGCTGTTTTCTTCTAGCAAAATTTTCTTATTATCTTTCAGATCCCATCAATTTTGAGGGTGACTAGGTCATTTATAGAGTCGTGGGAGGTGACAAAGGGAAAAAATATTATAGTTCGACGGAGCTGCAACCAACCTTGGGTTGTATCCATTCTGCCGCAACTCACCGAGTAATCAAAAGTTGTGTGGGAATAGCTTCAACTGCACCGAAGATGAGCCGTGACTGTTGTTCTTTATGATACTGAAACTCTGAATTAATTGAATGCGAGTACATCTGGGGTCTAGAACATCCAAATATAGTCAGTCAGGTCTCCGAGAACAGCAAGGATCATACCTTAAGGGGGCACCAAGGGGGGGGGGGGCTGCTCCAAGGGAATCTGCCACTGGGCAAACTTCCCATATCATTGACATCGTATACCGTAGGTCCCGTCTGGCTAATCTACAATACATCGTTACATGGCAAGCGGCAGGTCTAGGCCAATTCGGGTTAATCGATATGATGCACATTCGTGCTGAATAATGAGCAGATTGGAAGCTTTCTTAGGCATTTCTAAAGCTTGCAATTTACTCTGTATTGATACAAACTTCTATGATTTCTCTTCCTTGAACCTTGTAGAATGGTAAGTGCGAAATGATAGTTGAGGTTCCAAGGGCACGGACTAGAGATATATACTTCCACGCATAAGTAATGGAAAAGTCTGGGGATGCTATGCATGGTCGAAACATTTGGCTGTCAAAGCGCCAATCTGAATTATTTCAATAGCTGGTCCAAAATTAGAAGGCTAAAAGTTTGTACGGAGACATGGATATGAGCATGAGCTCCTCATACCAAGGAAAATCTAAATCGTATAGGAGTCCATGGAAGTTCTCGGGCTGACCGAAGAAAATTCAAACAGTTACCTCAGATATGTATGAGTACGGAGAGCAAACTCACACTGTCAACTGTTATGCGCTATTTACGTGAATAACCAGTAGAATTGTAGACAGGGTGATAAATATAGTTCCACGGAGTCCTGGCAATTAAGATCTACCAAGCAACACCATACTTGTTGAGCAAAGGATCGCTCAACAGTCTGTCCAAGCAGTTTGACTCCACTCCAACGAGAACCTCCATACCACCATTAGGCAGCTGTGGGAGAACAAGTTGAGCGCCATTAATGACACCAACATGGGGAAGTCGCACCGCCTCGATTTTATTGCCCAAGATAGGCCCCCACTCAATACCATACAGCTCAAAGCCCAGCCATGAACTCTGGCAGCAGTTGTTACCCGGAACATCGAGGAAAGCAGTAGCGACAAAACGATCGACATCGTTAATAGAGTCCACCAAGGTTACTAGATCATCAGTGAATTGATCATCGACGCGATTAAGGGTCTTGCGAATTAACACAGCCAAATCAGCGATGTTGAGCGAGTCGAGCATTTCACGAATAGATACCGAAGGCGCAAACCACTCTAGAAAGCAGCCTAGGGTACTGGGGTGAATGCGAGGACTAGTACGCAGGCGACCGTCCAAGGCAATGTTGAAAACAGAGACAGGTTCACCTTGCAATTCCTCGATGGGATGCTGCACTGCCATGACGGTACGCCAGAGTAAAGCCGAGAGAGCGTCGTTGGTCGAAATCCACTTCTGATCGGTTGGCTGAGTAGCATTGGCCGGAGAAGCATCAGCTTTTAGTGCAGCGAGAGACTCTGGAGAGAAGTAGTAGATCTGGCCACGATGGTTGGTAGAAGTCATTTTAGGCGGCATTCCAGGGGGCGTGAAAGGCAGAAGTGTAAATTCAGGATGATTCTCAAGTCTGCCTTGGTTGCGGCCAGAGGGCTTCATGACCTGCTCACGGCCTGTCCAGATGGCCTCTGGAAGATTAAGAGGGCTTGTGTAGTCCCCTTGTGCGCGTCGGCAACCCTCTGCCCAGATCTTTGTCCAGACACAGAAGGATGTGCCATCGCCTGCCAAATGCAGGATGCTCCAATTGAGAATAAGACCACCGCGAATAAAATTGGCCTGGACCTGTGCAATTGGCAGCCGGTCACCAGGTTGAGGCCAGATGTCGCGACAACAAAAGATGTCAGCATCAAAGGAAGCGACGGGAAAATGCCTTTCTTTCAACTCTGCGTATGTTGGTACGTATGAACCACGGAGATCCTTGCTGATGAATGCCTTTTCGCCATCATATCGCTTAACGTATTTCAAAACTCCAGCTTGCTTGGATTCAGTATCGGGAACGGCTTCGCATGCGACCTCGGGCAATCTTGCACAGAGAGCATCATATCCAGCTTGGAGGACGCGAGTAACTTCAGTCATGTCATAGTTCTCTTTTAGCTGGAAAGGGAATATGTATCTTAAATATCCTTTGGGCCCAATACGCTCAAGAGCTGTGAGCTGAGGGAGTCCCTGGTCGATAGCAATGGAGCCCATAATGACTGAGTTGATCTGCTAAGCTGCAGATATTGTGGGGTAATGAGGTAACAAATAAGTTCAAGATAATTAGAGACGTGAAGAGGGAGATTATCTGCCTAAAGTGCGAAATTCATTCTCGGAAACATTCTCTTTATGGCCTTTGGCCTAGTGACAACCTAGACTTGCGCGGTCCAACTTGGGAAAGAGTCCAGGACTATCATTGCGCCAGGACAGGGGCCATTTAGTGCTACAGGGATTAGCCATTATTACCCGAAGGAACGAAGCGCACAGATCAATCTGGCTCGAGTAACAAAAGGACTCTAGCCAAAGTACCATCCGTTGTCTGTCGAGGATCTAATGGCCTTTCCTTTCATTCGATTGACAATACGGCATAGACCCAAGTACATATTTGGCCGACGGAAATAGAGTACCTGGAGAGAAGTATGCGAATTGCCCAGGCGGAGGTAATTGCATTAAGGCGGAAGCCACCACAAAAGGAGCTGTCAAAAGGCGGGAAGGGAAGCCTGGGAATGGAATCTCCTCCCCGAGTCTCTCAACCTTTAAACCCCTGATTATGAATTCCACCGATGATCTCGCCATATGCAAGTTGCTAAATTTGGTAACTAGCGTAACGATTTTAGAAAGCACATGCCTTCGGTCCACGCCCACTCAAATGAGCTAAGAAAGTTAGCCCCTCTGTCTCCGCGGGATAAGGTGGGTCACTGACCAACATAGTCGAATAGGAACAGCTTCCTGTTCCACTTGCAAATCCTCCAACTTTAAGTGCACTTTTCCGTGTTACGCGGCCCACTAGTGAAACGTTCGAAAGCCGTTGCGATGGATATATTCTGGACAAATTGGCATTGATATGAAGACCAGCGAATTCACTGTATTTAGACTGCTACCCCCACCTTGCTTAGGGGAGTATTGATGATCTTGGCTCATCCTTCTGCTTTAGCGGACGTTTGGCTCGTTGCGAAATATCAGGGGCGGCAGATCTTATCAGATTTTGTATTGGTGTCGAATTAGGAGCTGCGAAGGGGCGGTTCATCCCGCGCACAGTTTTCATTGAGAATATGGAATTCGCTGTTATACAACCAGATTTCCCATTTGTGCTGCCAGATCGTTGGCCAGTTTCCCTCTGCCCAAGTTGCCGGAAACGAATGTTTGCAATGACAGTGGACCCTGCCATTAAGGCGCTCTTTGGTTCGCCGCCTTCGAATATTAATCTCGATGAGACCTCCGTAGGCAAGAATAACAGAGGGGTCATTGCTATGTTATGTCTGGCTGCCCTTGCTGTGATCACTCGCTTCATTACTCGCATAACATTTCGAACCCCGATTCTGGCTGATGATTATATCATCATTGTCGCTCTTGTAAGTCTTCGACTCGTGTCTTGTGTTGCAAAGGCTGATTACGCATCTTTCAGCTTTGTATAGGTACCACAGCGGGAATCAGTGTTGCAGGTAAGACAAACCACGCTGAATGCCGAGAACTCCACAATATTGAAACTCGTCACAGGGGGTAACTATGGCGCTGGCCACCATGTCTGGTCAATCTCCTTGTCAGCTCTGGAGGAGACCTACTACGTGAGTGTGAATAAATCTGTGGAAACTGTGATGGTACTAACCTAATCATGATTTACAGCTCCTCTACATTTATCCTTACATCTACGCCGGAGCATGCACCGCAACCAGAATCTCGATCCTCATCTTCTACCACCGCATATTTTCGCCATTCGATTCTTGGATGAAGTGGTCTGTCGTGTTTGGCTGGTTTCAGACAATAACCTATCCAATCTACCTCTGGATCTGCATGGGTTGCTTGTGTACCCCGCGGAAGTATTTCTGGCTTCAATTTGGTGGTACTGTGACTGGGACTTGCCTCGATGTTGCCAAGTTCTTCATTGCGGCAGGGATACTGAACATGTTAAATGACTTTATCCTCCTGATGATCCCGTTTCCTCGAATTGCCAAGCTCCAAATGTCGACTAAGAAAAAATTTGCTATCGGTGGTATTATGGCAGTCGGGTTCTTGTAAGATTGTTAAGTCCCTGATGACTGTGAGAAATGTGGACGGACGTGAATAGAAGCTGACCACTTAAACACAGCGCCTGCATCGCGAGTATCATCCGAATTTGGGTTCTCTGGAAATACACCATAACTACCGATGTGACTTGGGCTATGGGACCCCTTTTCATTTGGTCGACCGTCGAGCCGGGCGTCGCCATTATCACCGCCTGTTTGCCTCACCTTGCACCGCTTTTCAAGCTGGCAACTCGGAAAATGACATCCTACAATTCAGAGAATACCGGAGCCGGGCGAGCGTCTGGAAAAGCACAGAGGCTGGGTAGCGGCTCTGGAAGGCAGAAAAGATCTGGCGATCGTGAACCCAATTTTGATTACGGCCTGACCAGCCTGGGGACACAAGCTTATGACGACGAAGTTGGGTTGACTAACTACGTTGGTTCTCCTTCAAATGAAGGGATGAATTCTTCAATTGCTTCGGAAGTGGACGATTACAAACGTTGTCACTCAATTTCCGTCAAGTCTACTTTTGTACAGACTAGTACTACGAGACCTCCTTCGTAGGATTCTCTTCAAAATTTCAGATGATATTCGGATACAAACGGGAAGCAAAGAAATCGATGCCGCACGAACACGTAAATATGCCTCAAGGCCGGGAACGAGACACCCCCGAACAGGTACCTATACTTGAACATGCTCAGATATGTTTGTCAATTCAAGTGAAACTTCATCTCCAAGTCCCCCCATGTCCCTGCTTGAAGATTGTGCTTCGCGTTGGCTTTCCTTTTACATCAATGCCGTTCCACTAAAGCCCGTCCATTCAACAGCTGATTAGCCTTACACCACGACGTTTTGACGTATCCGCGAATGTTGTTCAGCAGCGAGTGATCTCTCGCGAGCGTGTCTGTCTATGCATACTTGCGGTATCTTATTGACTATCAACCCTTATCTATCTCAATCGCGTCATCCATCATTACACGTCGTCTTTTATTCTTGTTCCATCCAGTCGCAAGGACCCACAAACTTCCGCATTCACGCTCCACCCTTACAACCTTATCTCTTCTCCACCCACAATCATGCCCAATCAGGAGGAGCTCAGCAGCCTTCTCGGTGAGCTCTCGATAGATGACGATCAAAACGAATTACACACCTTCGAGCTCCCTGGAGACAACGATGACTTCGACCGAAGATTCTCAAGAATTTCAAGACTTACGGTCCGGCCATCCTCGCAGATGAGATCCATCATCCAATGTACGAAGAGATGAATCTGCGTGATCTGCGCGACTTGCATGACGAAATCACGCAGTATTACAAACTTAATTCCATGAAGCTGTCCGACTATCCAAATGCGACAAGGTTTCTTGACGAGTACATCTCAATGTACACCACAATGGCCGAGCCCAGGCTTGCCCAGTCCCCATGCGCAGCATTTATGTACCTGATGGGTCAACTCATGTCCTATGAGGAACTTCGTGATTAATTCTGGAAGCAGTGCAAGTGCATGGTACTTTAACTGATCCTTTTATCGACGATGACTTTTGTGGAACGATTGAAACCCTTTGAACAAGCCTCCAGGGCCCAGAAACACATTCCACTGACTACGTAACAGTCATTGAACAGCTAAAAGAGAAAGAATTGACACTTTTACGACTTCAACTTCGACTTCAACTTCGACTTTGACTTCGACAGATTTAGTGAAAGTCATAATTGCATTGCGAGCGCTATGTATGCACTATACGATTCGGCGATGATTAGCCCCAGTACGATGTCAGTGTCTGAAGCAGACTTGGTGTTGAAGTTTGACGATGGGGAAATGTACAAAGATCTCGAAGATCTCTATCAACTAAGCGACCCTGGACGACAGTTCCGGTTTACCTCTCCAGGAGACGCCTTCTCTCTTCGAAGAATCTCCATTCAAACCGGGTGCATACAATAGCCGTATCCGCACGAAAGATTCCATCCGGTTACTAGAAGGTTGGCGATAAAAAACTTTGGTGACTAGCGAGAGTATAGGAAGAACCTGTAGGACCCTAAGAGATGGGGAAGCAGGCAACAAAAGGCGATTAGCAAGACCAGGGTTTGATTGGGCTGTTGCTCGCTGGTAATTTACGGTGTACAATACCATCGCTGAATTGATTATCGCTCTTGGCATGGTAATTTTGTAGTATGAAACTCTACGATGCTTACGTTAGATTACGGTGTCCGATAGTCGCCTCGAGGTCGGATGTAGTTATTGGCCTGATTCTGGCCTGATTATTGCCTGATTTAGCTAGATCTGGCTTAGCTCCAAGGTTGAGCTTGACCGCTTTATCCACCGCATTTACGTGATACTGTATGGCAGGCTGTAATCTTAAGACTATTTGATTGGTCTGTACAATAACACAACAACCTCCACCACACCCCCCTACTTCACCTTGCCGTATCTTGACCATCATGCATGGTATGACAATTCCGAGCGATTTTTTTGAATCCTCAGGCTTTCTTGATCATTTTGATAGTAGTCTCGTGATCAACCGGCCTATATTCGAATTGTTTTGAATTAATCAAACCCGTCCTTGATTCTTGTAAGTTTACCCGTTTTCTTCTATGTTTACCTACTAAAATGCCGCCCAGGATTGATCTTTTCGCCTATAAAGAGCTCATTAACGAGCTTATTTAGTAAGAACGCATATATAATAATATCCGCGCTATCCTACGTGATAGATTTTAGCTTTATATAGGTTATACTATCTTTAAATTATATATATAGGAATAGGGTCTTTAAGGACTGGGTAGTATAGTAAGTAAGGCCCGTAAATCAGCTACTATTTAAGAGCGTGTAGACTAGTTACTTCTACGCTTTAAATCTAAGTATATCTATATAATTCTTAAAGCTAAGGGCCTCTTAATGTTAGATCGAACGCTTTAATGGACCTATAAGCGACTAGGTGTGAGCCTTTAAGTAAATAACCAGGAAGAGCGGATTTAGTAAACGTTAACGACTATTTACGCTATCTTAGAAGAATATACTATAGGAGAAATCGAGAGGTTTAGTGATAGAATAACCTATCTCTACCTTTAACGTATAAGGTTATTCCCTCGTTATAACGATATCTTTATAGCGACCTAGGAAATCTAGCTAGACGCTATTATAAGGCGACGACCTAGATCTACCCGCGAGAGGGGCATATACGTCTTATCTAGTCTAAATAATATCTAGTATATAGATAGGTATATAAAGCTTAAACCTTTTAGTATCGAGATATATACCACTATTAATAGATACTCTTAGTATATAATATAGGTCTACGTAGGCGTTAGCGTATATATAGTGGTAAGCGTTATGCGCTAGTATATTAATACTATTACCTATATAGGTTATTAACTAAAGATTATCTACTCTAACTAGGGAATAAAGACCTAACTTCTTACTAATATATACTATAAGATACATCGCTTTAAGGATCCTATAGTTGACGAGCCTCATAAGTACTACTAGTTTGGTTATAGTGTGGATAACTAGCGAATTAAGTTATAGTGGGGATACCTCTTAAAGGCTTATATAGGCCTATTTTATATATATTTTCACAAATTCTATTTATCTCTAGTTAGTTAACTCCTATAAAGCTCGTGCGGGCGAGTCTCGCTAACTCTACCTAACTTAAGTAGAAGTCACTAACTATATATAGGAGTACTTCTATAATCTTATACGCGAGGGTCTCTTTATATCTAAGGACTCTATATCTAACTAAGTTATACTTCTTACGCTATATATACCTCTAGTCTAACGACGAATCTACTCCTAGATTAAGCTCTAGAATATATATATAATTTATAAGTAAAAGGCCTAGCTAGATATAGTAACTAGCGTGCTATATATAAACTATTTCTACCCTTAGGTAGAGCACCTACGCTAGTGGTATATATAAGACCAAAAGTATATATTAAACCCTAAATTAGAGCTTATATAGAGGCTATAGTAAGATGTAGTAGAATAGGACCCTAATAAGTATCTTCTACTACCTATACTAGTATAGTACTAGGTATAACTATAGAATATTAGACTTAAGCTTATAGGCACCCCCTTTAACCCTAAAGAGCCCTATCTCTAGCTCCTTAGTAACCTAAAGTAACTATACTAAGCGGTATATAAGAAGCTTTATATATAAGTATATAACTACTAGAAAAGCGGTAATAACCTAATATTAGATATATATATAAAGCTGACTAGGGTATCTAATTAGTCACCTAGATAGTAAGAGGTATAAGATATAGTAAGATATATATAAGATATCTTAGATACTATAGGTAGTTAGTTAAGACTTTAATTATTATTATTTAAATAAATCATATAGTTCTAAATAATATAGAGACTCTAGTATATAAGGAATCTTTTATATTTTTACTTATAAATTATATATAAATAACTATTAAAATATTGATTCTAGCGCTCTCGCTAAGTGAGATATCTACGCTAGAGGGAATTCTCGCTAAAATCAGGCTAACTTTATTATCTATACCTATACCTATACCTATACCTATACCTCTACCTCTATCTCTACCTCTATCTCTACCTCTATCTCCACCTCTAGTAGTAATAACTCTACTAGTACCTATAGCTACCCAGATTACTATAGCTACCTCTAAAGGGCGGTTTAGGGCTCTATAAGCTAGGATAGCTAGTGCGATAAGATTAGGTATAGTAGTATATATAAACTCAAATTTAACTAAAATCTCTAAGTCTCTACGCCTATAAGCTAAAGAGATATAAATTTTAGTATCTTTTTACCTCTAGGATAGTCTTAAGCTAATTAAAATACTTTCTAAAGGTCTAGGCTTTATATATAGGAATAAGAGATAAAGAAAATATATACTAATCGCTTTCTACTCTAAATAGCTATCTTCCTAGTGATACTTTACCTAGCTAATCGAATCCTTAATATTAAAGAGTTTATAATATAGAAAATCCTTCTAATCATACTAGTAGACGATTTAGGTTTTACGCTAAGATATATAGATAAGCTTAAGCTCGCTAGTATAATTAAGAAGCTATCTAGAGGAAAGAAGCTAATACCTTATATTATAATAGGTCTTAATAGGTATATATACTACTCTATTAAGGACCTTATTAATAAGGCTAAGACGAAGGTATTTACTATGCTCTTAGTGCGTTGGTAGATACTATAAATCGATGTTATTAAGGATAACTAAGTCTTTAATACTAGGCTTAACGAGCTTATTATAGTAGAGGATGTAGAGACCGTAGATATAGAGCGTAAGGAAAGAGGGATAGCACGGGACGGTAGGGAATATAGGCTAATATCCTCCTTGGTTATTTCGTCACCCTCTCTATAAGAGGTATCAACGTCCTCGCTAATGACAACGCTAATCAAGGGCCTAAAGGCGCTAGCGAGGGGCTAGAGAGCAGTAAGTGCGAGGGGTCAGAGAGCAGCGCTAGCGAGGGGTTAGTAAGTAGCGCTAGCGAGGGGTTAGCGAGCAACGCTAGCGAGGTCCTCTTAGAAGCGAGCACTTACTACCTCACCCGCTCGCCGTAGTCTATGGAGACGGGTTATAGATCACCTACAGTCAAGCGAGGCCTAACCTCCTGAGTTACTCGAGATTACACGTTTTGTATGGGGTTTAATTACTTCATTTTTGATAGTCCGAATTGCATGTGCGATCTATGTTACTAAGCGGGGGCAATTGTAAAATTGTAGGTTAAACTGCAGGTAGAACTGTAGGAAAAATCGCACATTTGAGCCTCCACAACCTTTGATTTAACCTGCAATTTTACTATGGCAATCAGAATGGGGGTTTCTTGCTTATATAAGCGTTGGACTTGGTGATTTTGACTGATCTTTCTCTATGTATTGGTAATTCCAGTATTCTAACCTTTCTGCCAGCATAAAAATCAGGCCAAAATGCAAAATTAGTCATCCGACCTCGAGGCGACTATCGGACACCGTAGTTAGATTAACTGTAAACACATTACGCAGCAAAGTCTAGTCCAGATCAGCCCTTCTGTCCCCTCATTTCTCTAGCTGTCACATACTCGAGAACTTCATTTCTCCACCCTCCTAGCTGCATCTTTCCAGAATCTCATTTTAGTCGTGAATAACTCCGAGAACTTCTAAGTACTTGCAGAGGAGCCCAGGACCCTGGGTCGAAATCAAAATGGCCACAGTCGATCAGGAGATCGCCATATCAGTGACAGCTCCAGAACTGGTTGTACAGTTTCTTCATGCCGGCATTCATCTTGTCGGCCAACTTTATGGAATCCATAGTCTTTCAATTGATGAAGATCCTGTCGAGGGATGGGATACATGCAACCTGCACGCCCAGTTGACCATTCTGAGCGACAGCATAGCGCATGATTGTCCAAGGAATATTGGACCGCTATCGGAACAACACCAGGCACTGGATGACCTCCGCACCACCTGTCAACTCACTCTCCTGATTATTTTATCTCGCCTGGGGCTGATACAGGACCTCGGGCCCGATGCACCCCTACATGTCGGGGAACTGCAGAAGTTTTGGCCTCGAGAAGACGTGGAAGCATTGGAAGACCGCATAATTTTACTGAAGTTGAGATTGGAGGAGGCGACTCTGTCAGCGCAAAAGTACGTTTCTAGATCATTTCTTATCGCGGAATAGACCTTTGGATGACTAACCGCATTGAACAAACAGCCCAATCATTGATAGTGACGCACTCCTCTACTTGGACATTAGTCGAGGCAGAAAAACGCCTATAAACCTTCATACACAAGACAAAAGACCAAAGATAAACGAAAGGTCCTCCAAACCTAGCATTGTGACAATTATCGGCAAAGATGCTGCGAGTGGTCAGAACGCAGTGGAATTTGAGGTTGATAAGGTCTACTCAGAGGACACGGTATTTACAGACCACGAGACTACTATCCAAGATGTTTTGATGGAAGCTATAAGATTTTCATCGATGACTGATCGAGAGGAAAGTGTCGCTGTCGCACATAGCAAGACATTTGACTGGATATTCGACTCCGATAAACAGAACCCCCTCTTGCAAGAGTTGCAGTCAAGGAATTCTCTCAGTGGCTGGTTACAAGATGGTGAGCACCAAGAGGGTATCTACTGGATTAGCGGCAAAGCAGGATCCGGAAAGTCTACCTTAATGCGTTTTGTGATGCACCATGCCAGAACCATGAGCTTACTTCGCTCATGGGCACGGAATGAGCGACTCATCACCGCCGGCTTTTATTTCTGGATTAGCGGTACCTTGGAGCAGAGGTCTCAGACTGGCTTGCTACGCCATCTTTTAGCCCAATTACTGGACCAGCAAAGATATCTCATCCCAATAGTCTTTCCGGTGAGATGGGAACACCTTCTATCTTTGAGTACACGGGAACGCGTGAAGGCCTCGATCTCATGGGACCTTCTTGAGCTTACAGCTGCATTAAAATCATTTTTGGATTACGCAGGCCGGGGAGGCAAAGTTTGTTTGTTCATTGATGGGTTAGATGAATTCGCAGGCGACCATCAGCAAATCGTGGAATTTTTCAAGGATTGCGTTGCTTCGTACCCTCACGTCAAAATTTGTCTATCTAGTCGACCCCTTCCCACTTTTCGTGCGGCTTTTGGAACGAATCCCGGCCTTGAGCTCCACGAATTGACCCGTAAAGATATGCTTCACTTTGCCCAGGATCATCTACATGGTGACCCCTTGATCAGCCAAGTCCTCTCCAAAGATGAAGAAGCGGCATCAAAGCTTATCAAGAGCGTTGTTACGGGGGCGGAAGGTGTTTTTCTCTGGGTTGTGCTTGTGGTTCAATCCCTACTGCGCCGTGGAAACTATCGAGATGTTTGGCAAATGCATGAATTTCTGGGACAACATCCCACCGACTTGGATGACCTATTCACATACTTCGTGTTTGATTCTGCATCGAAACATCAAACTTCGATGGCTTCACGCCTGTTTCAGCTCATTCAGGCTAGACAAGAGGCTTGTTATGCTACTCGACAAGAAGATACAGCATCAACGAACCTCTGGGAATTTGCTCTTGCCGACCAATTCGAGGAAATTGTGGATCATATTCCAAAAGATGTGCAACAGGCAAGCGATCAAGATATCACCCGGATAGTTGAAGTAACCGAAAGTCGACTGTCTAGGGAATGTGCAGGGTTGATAGTGACTCACACCTCAGGCTTGTCAACAAGCATACTTCAGCGCAATATGCCATCGCTGGCACAGCAACTAGGCTATAAAAAGGTATCCTACGTCCATAGGACCGTGAAGGATTTCCTCTCACTACCTCCTATTCGATCCCGCCTCTTGGAGCCCATGATAGGATCCAGTTTTGAGCCCCATACGTCGCTTCTCTCCTCTATTATCTTCCAGTTCAAATGGCCCTTAGATGAATTCCATCCCAATCGACAGATAGACGACCGATGGCCCAACATAATCCTTGCTTTTACTCATGCACGATTGTCCCCAAATACTTGGCAGTCGCAGCTGGTACTTATTCCCGAGTTGGACAGAGTCCTGTGTCAGCATTGGGTGTCTCGCAGTTCGATTGAACATGATCATTGGGCACGAAGCCTTTTTTCATCTTACGAGAAACGAAAGAATATGAGCTTTCCTAATGCATTTTTCTCACTATCTGCTAAGTTCGGCCTAGCAACCCTGATACGTGAACGCATTTGGGAAGATGATAGCATATCGCAAGGCAGTGATAGCGGGATACCCCTTCTCAGTCATTCCATCGAGCTTCTCGCCAGTAGGCGACAAAGCGTGTACCCTTTATCCAGTCCAGAAATAGTCGGTGAAATTCTCACGAGTGGTGCCAATCCGAACCAGTCTTACCAAGGTCTGAATGGAAAATCCCAGACGCCATGGCTGGTTGTCCTGGATTATCTCAGAGAGGCAGATCGTCGCCAGTGGATTGGGTACTATGACACCAGTGAAGATGGCGCCTCTCGTCTGTCGGCGATCATTTCACTATTCATTCAGCACGGTGCCGACCCGAATGGGTTGCTTGTTGAGACCAAATTTGATCCGTCAGCTTCTGCCCTGGAAATCCTGACTGCCATATACCGGAAATATGCTGCTCCAGAATTTGGCCGACTACGCAAGGTATTGATTGAAAAAGGAGCCAAGGAGCGAGCAGGAAATGACATTATGTATCAAGTGTATGGTAGTTAGTGTGGCAAGGCGCAGACACCACACAAAGGGCACATCCTTCTCTTCTTAAAAGCAATGTCTTTGTTGTTGAAAGGATTTCTAGGGCGCCTCAATCCCATGACATACCTCACTCTTTCCGAAATATACTATTGTTACTGCTCATCGATCAATGGTCGCGTGTTCCTCTATTACACCATGGCCTTTTCCGCCCCGAGATAGAATGGTAGAATATGACTATATCTCTGCTTTTAAGTGATTGCATTGAATAACTTTCTCGAGCAAATATATATAGCCTCCAGAGCTTACACGATGAGAACATTATTGTCTCTTCACGCCCGTTTTCGTGGCCACCTAACTGAAGATTATGGATGCACCTTGTAACTTCCAAGGTTGCTCAGCCCACTGAATATGATCATTTCGTTACTGCACGTCCCATCTTCTTGCCATCTTCCTTCAACCAGTCCGGTAAACCTTTCATTTCCTGGCCTCCCTTGGATTTATACGGGTATCCGAGGAACAACGAACAATTCACCTGGGCACTAGCCCAGCCTGGTCGTAGCAGTTGACTCGCTGTGGCTTTCGTGGATCCGACGACTCTTTAGAACCGTTCTTCAACGCCATCGAGATCAAACTTTAAGTCGCTCATGAAGCTTGCTTTGTCTCTCTGCCGACACTGATAGTGGTAGAAAGGAAAGCGCCCAATAGAAGTCGAAGGCTCTAAAGCAAAGGTCGATGAATGACATCTACGCACTACCCCGGCGGTCCAATCCTCAATCTCTTTGATCTTCTTTCCAATTGTTAAAAGAAGAAAGAGCTTCGGTATTTCTGGGGGATACCGACATTCCGTGTAATCCGCGACCATCGATTGGCGGTTCTTCCAAGAACCTACAAGATGCCCTTCGAGAGAAAGCCAGCCGCAACAAGAGGGCCAGGGTCAATAAGACGACTGTAATATATGCGTCAGTCATAATCATGTACGAGAATCTAGAAGCTTTCGAGACCAGCCTAATACGATTGGAAAGATATTTCAAGCTTTTTCCATCTGTATTAGAATACTGCCGAGAACAGGAAGCCAGGGCAGCGTGACAATAATGAGTATAACTCGTTGAGCAAGAAATTTCGCGAAAGAATCTCTGAGTAACCGAATTCGATCCATCCTGTGAATAGAACTCGAAAATACTATAGAAGCTGACGTCCCTCACCCACCTGTTCGACCAGAAATGTCTCGTTACGATCGCCAGTCACACTATAAATTTACCTATCCTTATTTGACATTACTCGCGAGGGAGGATGTCATCTTTCGCCAACGGGGTGAATCGCAAGTACGGTTTGACCGCTGTCATATCCGGGTACTTGGTCTTGGCATCTTCATCACTAACACTAACAGGGACGACCACATTGTCACCGGGCTGCCAGTTAACGGGCGTGTTGATGCAATATTTGTCGGTAGCGAGTAAAGAGTCAATAACGCGGAGCAGTTCGGGCGTGTTACGCCCCGTAGAGGCGGGATAGGCCTGGATCAGGCGGATGACCTTGTTTGGGTCGATAATGAAGACGGACCGGATGGTGTAGGCGATTCCTCTGGAGTCCACATTGGTGGTATCTTGGTGATCCAACCTAATTGAGTGTGTAAGTGTTAAGAGTACCTAGCTGCGAACGCGAAAGAGAAAAAAAAAAGAAGCCACTAACATATCATAGGCAAAAGCGATCTGGCGATCCTTATCGCCGATAACGGGAAAGGTCAAGGGACATCCCGCAATCTCAGAAATGTCGTTGATCCAGCCATCGTGCGACTCAATGGAGTTGGCCGAGAGTCCAATGAGTTTAACGTGGCGCTTGGTGAATTCAGGCTCGTGCTTTGCCAACGCAGCTAATTCGGTTGTACAGACGGGGGTGTAATCCTCCGGGTGAGAGAACAGGATCACCCAGTCGGTGCCCGCCCACTCGTGAAAGTCGATGGGCCCGATAGTGGTTTCCGCTTGAAAGTTGGGGGCAATTGACCCCAAACGGAGACTAGTAGACGGCGCAGGAGGTTAGAATTCAGGTATCACTTGATGATGTTGGCAAGAAATACCGAATTATGACAGGACAGCAAGGGTAAGGAAGAGGCTAGGGAACCATTTGTCTTGGTGGGGGAAGGGGTGTAACGGCAGAAAACAAATGCCGGAGGGGATAAGTAGAAGTTTCACACTTACGGGGCGGCTCTCGTCTCTCCTGACATTGCGGGGGTGGCGACGACTGTGAGCTAGAAGACAAGGGAGGAAGAAGAGGCTAAGATCAAGATCTAATTAAGGTGACCAATACAAGAAGGATAATCGTGGACGGAGAATGGACACTTTCAGATTCAGATGGAAGATCAGGAAACTGCCGGTTCTAGATTCGATCTTTGTCATTCGCTTCCCCACTCAAGATCGCAAGTAGTCGGCAAAGGTGGATATTGGCAATTCGAGGACCTGTCAGATTGCTTTTCTTATTCATGTCTCTTCGTGAGTGTAGAGACCAGAGCGGGTGCAAGGCTTGGGAGACTCAACCACGCGATCCAACATTCAACGGTTATCGTTTCGCGGGGAAAAACCACCTCGGTGGCATTGGGTGGCGTTTAAAAAAAACGGACAAAGAAAAACAAAACCGGTTTTCCGAATCGTTCTGCCGCTCCGCTATTCTGCCTGTCACTTTCCGTCTTCGCTTCAAAGGCAAATATGCCAAATAATCGAACGGACTATTTCGCTTCCACCGTCAATCACACTGGTCTGCTTGCTTTTCTGTGTTAATAGCGGGAGAACCTGGTCTCACGCGAAAACCACGACGACCATGACACCGTCCGCAAATTGATCCTTCCACCCGTTTATCAGCCCTCCGTTTGCCCTTGCGGCACAAACAGGCTCAAAGCCTCCCACTAGACCGATGGAAAAATTGAATGCCCTGGTGGCTTATACCTGGGATGAGTCGAGGCAATATCGCTCAAGCTATGGCGTATGGTGCGTGAACCAAATCCCAGTTTCCAGACGAAAAGAAAGTTTTTGCTGAAGCGTCTCTTAGGCACGTATTTGGTACCAAGCACCTCGATACCCTTCGTTCGGATGATACTCATCCCGGTCGCCTCCGAAATGTGTCCTCTCCCGGCGATCTGAGCAGTACATCTGCCCCATATGGTCTAGGAAGGGATGGCGACGTCGAGGACCAGCGCAGAGGAGCAGGAAAAACGATCGAAGTGGTGGCGCGCATTGGTGAGAATCGGGTCCAGGAAGAAAGAATGCAAGAGGAGTATCAGATGCTGGCATCTGTTGCCGCTCCTCACCGCGAATATTTTCTGCGGCCCGTAGAGATGCAGCGCATACCCAATCTCGATGATGACCACATGTCATCGCTCCTGATCTGCATTTACGAAGATCCCGGTCCCAATGATCTTCTGCGCTACGTCGATTGCGGCGCGACCTGGTATCAGTTGCGCCCTGAAGAAGCGAGTCACAACGAGACCCATGACACGGACTCGCGTCGATCCGATCAGGACGAGCTTATGCCCTTGTCAACATTTGTGGAATTTGCCATAGGTGCGGCAGAGTGTACACAAATACTGCATAGCCAGGAGATTGTCCATGGGCAGATTCGGGGAGAGGCATTTCATTTCAACCAGGAGACCGGTCGCGTGCGCTTGATCCATCTCGGAGCGAGTCTCCAGTCCTACGGTACTAGACGGGTGAGTGCCGACTGGTCAGCCTTGGAGAACCAGAACGATGCCACGGTGCATATGTCCTATTTGAGTCCCGAGCAAACTGGCCGGACGCTGATCCAAGCTGACAGTCGCGCCGATATCTACTCCGTTGGTATCGTCCTCTGGAACGCTCTCGTCCGCCAGACTCCGTTCGGGAGCAAGTCTCCCATGGCAATCATCAAGGAGGTGCTTGGACAGGAGCTACCATCAGTACTAACCTTCCGATCCGACGTGCCAGAGGTCTTTGCACGAATCATCGCCAAGGCGACGGCAAAGAGTGTCTCGGAACGATACAACTCTGCCCGTGGTCTGCGACACGACCTTGTGGAGGTACGGGAATTGCTAGCAGCGGGAGATGCGGCAGTCCTGAAGAGCTGGGAAGTCGCCGGCAAGGATGTTTCCCCGTTTTTCGGACTCCCACGCACGATGGTGGGTCGGGCAGTCGAGCGGGATGCAATTGTCGAGGTCCTGGATCGTACTCTGAGATTGTATCAGAGAGGCAGAGATCTTCACTTGTCGTCACTGCCGGAGGACCAATTTGCAACGTTTACCGTCCCTCCGTCACCCGGAAATACTCCCGGGGAAGGGGTAGCCAATGATTTGGCCGATGAACTTCCCAGCTTCCCCAGTTCCATGAGCGAGACATCCGCTGCGGTCACCCAATCATATCTAGCTAATACGAGCCGCATGCGCTCCCCCAGTGATTCGGTCTGCACCTCAAGCGATGGTAGTGAGTCCGATCCTGCCCTCCTAGAGAGGAAGGGACTAGAGAAGCGATTGTCAACCTCCTCAATCGACAGCTCCAGTGGCGAAGGTAGCACCCGATCAAGTGACAATGCAGGAAGGGCAAGTTCTCATGGCATAGCGGGGCCGAAAGGTTTATGCGAGATCATCAGCATTGAGGGAGGGGCTGGTTTGGGCAAGTCTCGGCTGATCGCGTCGGTTCAGAGTGAAGCCCGGCGAAAAGGCTTCTTTGCCAGCGCTCGATTCGATGTCTCAGACAAAGAGCGGATGCGTCCTGTTTTAGACTTGTTTTCCAGTCTGTTCCAACAGGCATTCTCGGAAAATATGAATGAGCCTAGTTTCCTGCCAATGTTGCGAAATCACATTGGATCTACATGGAACACTCTGCATGAGATCTTAGGCCTGCCCAGATTTCTTCTCGGTTCGGGCTCCAACTTGCCAGAACAGGTGCCGAACAAGTATGCTCATACGAATCTCGTATTACCCACCCGCCGTTCATCACCCGAGAATGCTGGTACGAAGAGTTCTCGGGAATTTCTCCGGACTGGATCCTCTACCAAGTCTTTACCACTTGCACGGACATTACTGAACATTCTGCGGGTTTTCACGCGTTATAAGTTGGTTTGTCTCTGCCTGGATGACGTTCACCTAGCGGATGAAGAATCGTTGGAATTCATCACCCAGATGATGTCTGCTCGAATCAGAATGGTGGTGATACTGGCGTCTCGACCCGAAACTGCTTCCTCGGATCTGATGAAGCGGATATCTCATAACAGTGAAGGTAAATCACCCACATTCTTTCTTCAACTTGATTATTATACCACTTGCTGTCTGTCTTATTATGATTTATCATGCTTACCAGTATAGCAGTTCTGACTGGAAGGGATGTAGCCATTACTACCATCCCACTCAATTCGCTCAGTGAAGACTACGTGATGCAATATGTAGCAGATACTTTGTCTTTGTCTGTCCCTGTTATCTGGCCCCTGGGGGCATTCATTCAATCAAGGACTAATGGGAACCCCTTTTACGTCCGTGAGATTTTGACTGATTGTCACAAACATGGATTCATCTGCTATGATTTCCATGAAGGGCTCTGGATATTTGATCTTAGGCGTATCTCGGAGCATTTCAAGGCGGACAGCTACGACGACGCCGCGTTCGATGATTTCTTAGGCAGGCGCTTAAGTAGTCTTTCGCCTATCTGCAAGTCCATCTTGGCCTGGGCATCCGTTTTAGGCATGACCTTCTCGTTCCAATTGGTCCAAAGGCTTCTCGCAACCGATCGGTCGACTTCCGATTCTGGCTTGCCTGAGCGAGAAGTGTATCAAGGTCTGCAGACGATCATTCAAGCCCACGTGATTGTGCCCACAAAGGAACATGACGTATTTGCCTTCACCTATAGCCATTACATGCATTTCGCAGCGTCATTCCACACGAGAGACAAAGATCATGTGAATTTCATAATAGCACAAGTGCTGTTTCAATATCATATTCATGACGACAAATATCGCAGCATGTTGGCATCGGCGGTTATCGAATCAGCACCGATCATCAAAGGCTACGTTGCAACAAGAAAGCCCTTCAGGAACTTCCTGATCGAGTACGCAAACGCTGCAAGTAAGACTGGACTACGCTCGACTGCTATAAACTCGTACGCGAGCTGCATCGTACTGCTCCAAGACGACATATGGAAAGACGACATTGTGGATGTGAGCTACGGTGAGACTTTGCAATTATTCACGTCTGCTGCTGAATGCTACCTGTTTCAAGGACAGCATGACGAAGCTAGCCACTTATTGCATGCTATACTCTCCAATGCTCGGAATCCAGTGGACAAGGCTCCCGCCTGGATTTTGCAATCTCGAATGCTTGCACAATTGGGTGACTCTACTGGTGCTTTCAATTCCTTGAGGGAATGCCTCATGGCTCTAGACATCACGATTGATGAAGATCCGACGTTTCCTAAATGTGACAAAGAACTTCGACGGCTATGCGAGGCCGTTTCCGCTGTTCAACCTGAAGCCGTTTTCGAGACGGACCTTCTTGAGCATCCCGCCTTGGCTGCTGCTGGGGCGGTTCTCCTGGAGGCTACTAGCGCGGCTTTCTGGTCAGACACGCTGACCTTCTACCATATGACACTTGTCATGGTTGACGCCTACCTCTCGCGTGGTCCTTTTCCCCAGGCAGGCTTGGGACTTATGCAGTTGGCTATGCTAGCAATCACTCGAGACAACGCGTTCGGATTCGCAAAACACTGTGGGGAACTGGCCCTGGCACTGATTGAACAGTCCAAAGACCCACATACTGTAGGACGTGGCATTGGTCTATACTCCACTTTTGTCGGCCATATTCAACATCATGTCCAGTCTTCAATATTGCAACTAGAAGGGGCAGTGGATTCCTCTATCCGTGCTGGTGACCGAATTGCCACCATCTTGAACTCCGGATTCTTGGCTACGATGAAGTTCTTTGCCTCCGAAAACCTGGCCGAGCTGGAGACCTTTTGCGTCGACAGCTGTCTGGATATCCCCTCCTGGCAGACAGATACTGCCGGCGGTACGATCCTGATCACAATTTGCCAGCTCAGTCGTGCTTTGCAAGGGAAAACATATACACATGACCCGTTCAGGGTCATGAGTGACAAAGAACACAATTCGGCTGCATATAAGTCTTGGCTAGTGACAACCATCAACAATAGCGATCGGCCGCTAATGCTCTATGAGAGCATGGAGATCGCACCGTTATATCTGTACGGCCACTATGAGCGAGCAGTAGCACTGGGGAATTCTTGTCTCAAAAAGATCAACGCCATTTGGTCCGCACGAACAACACGATTTCTCATGTTCTTCCATTCCCTTGCCCTAGCCGGATGTGTTTGGACCCGGAAGCAGCAACAACTCAATCCCGCATACCGTGCATGCTCCCCCCAGCTTGCGTCCGACGTCCATGGGCGATCTTTCGAGACGTTTTTCGAGGAAGAGATGACAGGCCTAGCAAGGATGTTGCGATATTTTAAGCGCAAGATTGAACAGTGGCAGGTCATCACAGACGTGAACTATCTGGCATGGACTAAACTTCTGGGCGCTCAAATCGCCGAGATGGAGGGTGACCAAAGCGCTGCTCTTCGTTACTATCAAGAGGCAATAGACCACGCTTCAAAGCATGGATTTGGTTTCGAAGAAGCCCTTGGCCATCATTTGTTAGCTGGACATCTGATGCGTGAAGGCTCTTCACTATTAGGCACATTGACTCTGAAGGAGGCAGCTGGCCTCTACCGACGAATCGGGGCTACGGGAGTGGCTGATTATATCCTGAATTCCCATGATCTGGAGCAGCAGAAGAAAATGATGACACGAGAAGCCGCTACTCAAACTGAATCAAACGACAATATTACACGGAGTGGCCCTCAGGTGTCCGACCCTCGGATTGACGAAACACCGAACACGGGAGGGTTCATGGTAGAGCCTGACCTCCATATTCTTGATCTCACCTCCATCCTCGAAGGATCGCAAGTGATATCTAGCGTTTTAAGGGTTGATGAGCTGCTCCGGACAATGTGCAAAATCATCATGCAGAGTTGCCATGGTGTTGCTACTATGGCGGCCATTATTACCAAGGAGGACTTGACAAATGGGTGGGCCGTGGCAGCCAGTGGCGACGCTGCTGGCACCATAAAAGTACATGATCCCCCGACACCGGTTGAACAATCCCATCTTGTCGCGAACAGCATTGTGAATTACTGCGTTCGCTTTCGCGAGTCTGCGTATTTACCGGATGTATTGCAGGATCCACGATTCAGCAACGTTGGTGAAGCGTGGGCAGCTCACAATCCCGTTAATAAATCCGTCGTGGCATTGCCCATCTCTTACGGTGGCGAAGAGAATGAGCCCATCGCTGTTCTGTATCTGGAAGGACCGCCCAACGCCTTCTCGTATCGCAATCGCGTCGTTTTACAGTTGCTCGTCGTCCAACTCGGAATCAGCTATTCCAATGCACTGACCCTCAGGGAAGTCGAACGGGTATCCACCATCAACCAATCCATGGTAGAAGTTCAGAAGGAGGCATTGGCGGAAGCGATGAAGGCCGAGCAAAAGGCGAACATTGCTACCGCGGAGGCTCTGCGTCATGCTCAGCTAGCCGAAGAGGCCGCCAAGGCCAAAAGCATATTTCTCGCCAATATATCCCATGAGCTACGAACGCCACTCAATGGTGTTATTGGCAACTCGGAGCTTCTGCTTGGCAGTCCACTATCGGAGCAGCAACTGGAAATAGCAGATTCGATTCGAATTTCAGGGAATCTTCTGCTTACCGTGATCAATGACATCCTCGACTTCTCCAGAATTGAAACGAACAAAATGCAGTTGCATATCGTCTCCTTTGATGTCGAAAAACTGGTCAGGGAGGTCGTTCGATCAATGCCGGCTGTCGGTAGGAGTAAACAAGGCCCCAACGGTGTCCGCATTGTACAGGATGTCAAGCCACCCCAAACCCACGTGTATGGGGATCCCTTGCGAATACAGCAGATTCTGTGCAACTTACTCGGCAACAGCCTGAAGTTCACCGATACAGGGTCCATCACGATAGGATGCAGGGCAGACAATGAAACCGAGGATTCTGTTTGTCTTTCTTTTTGGGTGACAGACACGGGCATTGGCATCCCAGCGCGACTCGTACAGCACTTGTTCAAGCCGTTCACCCAAGCTGATGCCAGCACCGCACGCCGCTTCGGAGGCAGTGGTTTGGGCCTCAGTATTTGCAAATCTCTTGTAGATCTGATGGGAGGCAATATCGAACTCAAGAGCGTCGACAAAGTCGGCACGAATGTGTCTTTCTCGATCATCGTGCAGAAGGTTAATCCCGGCTGCTCAGGGACTAGTACTCCAAAAACGCTCGTGCTCCCTGACAACTCAATAAGCTCGCTCAACAAAGCAGCTCCGGATTGCAATGGCCTTTCCCAAATCCCCATCTCCAACCTTCGCGTCTGCATCGCGGAAGACAATTTCATCAACCAGAAAATCACGTTGCAGTTCCTCAAAAAGCTAGGATTTACCCTAGTAGATGCCTATAATAACGGCCTTGAAGCGGTGGAGGGCATCCAAAAAAAGGCTAGTGAGGAGCAACCGTATCACATGATCCTGATGGATGTCCAGATGCCTGTCATGGACGGTTATGTTGCCACACGTCGTCTGCGCAGTGATACGGTGGATGCTGTGAGGCGTATCTTGATTATTGCCCTTACAGCCTCGGCGATCCAGGGCGACCGGGAGAAATGTCTGGATTCAGGAATGAACGATTACCTGTCGAAACCGGTTCTTTTGGCTGCTCTGAAGGCAAAGTTGGATCAATACTTCCAGATCAACTGATCTGGTCTGACCGTATACATTATGGGACGACCGATCTATGCATTCGCTCGCGGGCCGCTACACTTGGGCAATCCTCTACCCTGGCCCTCACCAAGTTGATTAACCTCTAAGGCAGAATTCGAATCCGCTCTCAGTCTAGTGTATGGTTGTTTATAATCACCTGCTGACGTTGAACGCCAAATGCCCCTCTCAACCAACAACTTCGTCGCCGCCTACAGGGATCCTCAAGAAGGCTTGTTTGTCTCGTTAGGACCCGTCGAAAGGTTGCCCGATAGGAACACCCACTTCCGTCTCATGGTCACGGAACGGGCCACTCGCTGTATGGCTTAATGGATGAGGATAAAAGGACAAGGAGGTGGTGACACGAATCCTAATCAACAAATGTCAAGGGATGTGTGTTCATTATATAGTGAGCTGGTTCTTCCATCCCTACCAGCGCTATCCGGCCAGATTCCACTGTTTAAGAGAATAAGTCGATTAAACTATATATAATATTAGACTGGAAAGTACTAGCTTCCAGCAAGGTACGGGCAATCGTTTGCTGATAAGCGAACTGGTGCTCCTAAGCCAAATTCAAGCACAGGACGCTAATATACGTCTTGTTTGTTAGTGATTGGCCTTACATCATAGCAGTAATAGTAGTAATAGCTTTCATTTGCCCAGTGTAGCTTGCCTCTAGCAATGGCTAATATGTGCGGTGCTGCTAAGCCTGCCAGCAGCGAGGTAATGGTGCGCAGCACCCGGGTATGCATGGCATGGAGTTGAATTTAGGGTTTGCCCACTCGCCTCAGCTGCCCACGAGTAAAGAAATTAATAAAATAACAGCAAAACAAAGGAAAGAGCATCAAAGTAAGTTGATCTCCGCCGCAGCAACACAGCCACCAGCTTCCAGTCTTTCTGCGAGGCCTGCTGTGTCTGCCAAACTCCTTTCGAGGTTGTTGCACCTGCTGCGCCCGCAACTTCGCCGCACCTCCCACACCCTTCGCACCACTACGTCCTCGTTTGGGCCTCATATCATACTACGAATAGGAAGTACGTAAAGCTTCGTTTATACACATGGATCTAGCAGTTCTGGAGTTATAAAGGTGCCATATGTGGTAGGCAGCATTGAGTAGAAGCTTCGATCTGCAAGTCATCCACTACACAGAGCGACGCGCGGCTCTGGTAATCTTTTGCCTCCCTCAAAAATGCGGTATGGCATTGTATATATGAGCTAGAAGAATCTGGAGTGTCAAGATTTAAAATATAATAATATGGAAGCGGAAGACAGAGCCAAGGAGAAAAGGGTGTATGAAGCTACTCCTAATATCTAATCATTCTAGGTATATATCTATCTATTTGCCGAAGACCTTCAGGCGGGTCTCAAGAGGCTGGAAAGTCTTCTCGCCGGCCTCGGAAGTGGGAGTACCGAAAACGAGCTGGGCATCCAGCTTCCAAGAGGCGGGCAAATCCCAGGTCTTGGTAATCTCGGCATCAATCAGAGGGCTGTAGTGCTGGAGGTTGGCACCGAAGCCTTCAGACTCAAGGGCAAGCCAGACTAATGGGTGTTAGAATCATAATGACTTGTCACGGTCACCTAAATCAATAGGCGACAGTAGTTCATGAAAGCTTACCGAGGTACTGAGACATGGCGTTGGACTCCAGGGCAAAGGGGTCGAACTTGTCGGCATAAATGGCGAACTGCTCCTTAATGGTGGCGAGAGACTCGTAATCGACAAAGAACAGAACCTTTTTTCATGTTAGCGATCTGAAAGATCATATAGGCTGGGCCAATTGGTCCAGTAGAGCATGATGAGAAAATACATACAGTTCCGTAGGCAGCACGGAAAGCATTGAGCTTGGGCTTAGTGGAAGCCTCATAGGCCTCCTGGGTAAGAACACCGGCAGCAACGAGGCCCTCCATGGCGCTAATAGCAATATCCCACACCTTCTTGTGCTCCTCCTTCAAGAGAAGAACGACACGGGAGGTCTGTGTGTTAAATGAGCTGGGGACATGGAGAACTGAGTCCTCAACAATGCGCTCAATGGCATCATCGGAGATGGGGCTCTCGGCCTTAAGACCATAGTAAGTGCGGCGGCTCTTGACCAACTCAAGAAGAGTGGTAGTGGCCGGGTTCTTGAATTCAGCAGCGGTGGAGCCCATTGTGAAGTCGATTTGGGTGTTTTATTGATGGTGGAAATGTTTTAGATGGGAAAAAAGAGATCGTAACGGGTTGTGGGCCGTATCTATACTACGTGGCACTGAAGAATTGTGCTCTACTAACAGATGCGTATGCACTGCTTGAATTACATTATCCCACATGTCAATGTGGGATTTTTCTTTCCCCTGGTTCCTAATCCAGTCCGGTCAAAGACTAAGCCAATAAAGCTTGTCAAGTGCTCGCAATATCTCCACCGGATCATAACATGCGGCGCAAATCGTCCAATCAGAAGATTGCGGCTGTCGGGAGTTTTGTAAGCGAATCGGATGTTGGCTGCATCCCGGCCGAATATGTCAGCGTTACAAAGCACCAGAAATGGCAACATCTTCACTGCTAAGCCAACCGCGGAAAATGGTTCATGTGCGGAATAACGTTTCAAAGTTGCAAATTGATGGATAGCTGGGCAGAACCATATTTTACCGAGCGATTATTTGAGACTTTATCCGATAGCTAACTCAATATATATTACAGCACGTCCCGAAGCTAGTGCAACTGCCCACACTCTTCGAGTAATTCTGTAGCCCCGCATATTAGAGATAGCCCCGGAATAATCAAAATTCTCATACCGATCTCGATACCGTGATTCATTTGTATCTAAATACGGTGCCTCGTCTCGTGACTGGACTGGCGGATCAAGAGAGCTAATGATTTCCATAGAAATGCAAACAAGTCAAACACCAAACCTAGGAGCCTCGGGAATCTGGCGATCTGCCACAAGTTAGCCGCAGTCCTCTCTTCTTGACGCACTGTAACACACTTGGTGGAAGCCAACACACAATGATGTTAATAGGTTCCTCAGTGGCCTCTTCTTCCTTGGGGATGCTTTACACTCCTTTCACGATGATAACAGTTTGAGTATCTAAGGAGCTTCTATGGCCGGGTTCAAGTTTCCATCATGCGGTAGCTGAGTGCTGGATTTTCTGAAGCAATCCAAAACTAGCTAGAGTGTGCAATACTCATAAGAGATTTAGCTCTGGATTTAAAACCACGAGGTGCCTGGTATGAAGATTCCTCGCAGCTCTATCATCCAGCACAGATACAGACAAATAAAACATAATTTCCGCGGGACCTTTCCAAGGCAGAGATACGGATGCCTAGACTGATGCCTTGACTAGTGCATCCACGGGGCGCAACCCCAGATAAATTGAAACCCGCGACCCTGATTTGCAAGAAATTATCCTACATTGCCAACATGGAAGTCCTGTCCCTCCCTCTCGAGATACAGGTTATGATTATTGCCCGTGTATCATCGATTGGTGATCTGGCCGCTCTATCGCAGTCATGTCGGTCAATACATCGCCTGTGCGACATGAAAACACGCGAACGGTTCTACCAGATCCGTGTCGGGCAGAAAGACTCCAGCATCAACAAGACTTTTGACCTCGTGATGGAGATCCTCAAGAACCCTAAGCTGGGGAACTATGTACGGGAGATCGTGCAGACTAGACAGCCCAGTATGGAGCACCACTACGTCCAGACGGCAGAGCAGTGCGACCTCAGTGTAGGCGATAGGGATCTCCTCCACGTGGCTGTGCGAAAGGCGGGGTTTGCCGGCTCCCAAGAAAGCGCGGTACTCAACATGCTTATGCAAAACACCAAGAAGCCTCCAGGTGAAACCAGCGAGCCTTTCAGGTTCCCAAATACCGCTTATGGATTCGAGTAAGAATTTCACCTCCTAGCAAGTTGCTTAGCTGAGCGCTCACAAGATGAACAGCCATGGTCAGATTCATGGAATCTTCATTGCACAGGCTTTGGCCGCGATTCTCATCTCGGTATCACCCAATCTGGAGTCCCTAGTGATGACACAACCTTTCAGTGTATTCTCTGGATTCTACAGGGGTCGCGAGAGGCCACAAGAGGATGTTGTTCAGTTTCCCCTCGATCGACTTCTCCGTCGGGCCAATGCGAAACCGGCTAGTACTCCGTATCTTCACAATCTTCGCAAGGTGTACATGATAGTCGACGATGAAAACATGGATGACCGTTTCTACATGCCCATGGACTTCTTGGAATGCGCAACACTTTTCGACTGCCTCCCGTCTATTGAATCCATTAGCACCGATGCCCTCTGTGACGATGAAGAAGGCGAGGCGCGCGTAGTGCTAGAGCCCAGATCGTCCAATATTAGCAGATTCCAGATCCACCACTCTGCCCTCCCATCAAATTTCCTTGTCTCTCTCATTCAGTCCTGCAAGGTACTGCGAGAATTCCAGTACTCCATGGGTGGCCGGTGCGTGTTAGGAGGTTGGTTTGCTCCGTTCGATGCCAAGACCTTCATCAAATCGATTTGCCCGCACAAAGACACACTGGAAATCCTGGATATCGACGCCGAGTGCAACATGCACTATTTCAACCCATCTTGTTTCGAGGAGGATCGGGTTGACCAGGAAATTGATAAACAGCAAAGAGCGCACGAAAGTGATATTGAAGATGATGAACGCCAAATGCTCCAGTCACTCTCGAGTAACAGCGGGTCACTGAAGGAGTTTCGGGCCTTGAAGCGATTGAGTGTGGGCATCGGGTTTTTGGTATATTTTGCCATGGGTGTCAGAGAGAATAACGAGCCAACACAACCATTCCTGCTGCCGGAGGCTCTCCCCGAGAGTCTGGAATATCTTTGCATTCGGGGGTACGAGAAAGGAAAGTGCAAGAAGTGGGATGCACATATTGATGCCTTGGTCGCGTCATTTGTCTCGGGCTCATCGGGGATCAAGGAGATTACAGGAATTGAGGTGACCATTCCCAATTCCGAGGATGTGGATGATCCAGACGATGACAAAGACTTGTTGTGGATTCCGACGTATAGTATTGACGACTAGGTCAAAGTCCATTTTGACTCGGAGAATCCTCTTTAGTTGAGCACCTCAACTAATCGAATTTAAAGTAGCGCAGTATTCAAGATCCAGGGAGTCATATTATTGAGTACATACCCAGGTACCTACTTGCCTACGCAACTCTATAGACTACGCTGGAACGTGCAGGTGATTAAAGAGTGATGCCACTGAGCCACCTTTTCTTACCTATATCATGGCTCCAATGAAGCGTTATTTCGTATATTGATGTGAACTAAGCGAGGTGACTTTGAATGTGATTACGTAAGGCGTTCAACAATTTTGTGTTCAATTATCGCGCTCCGGGTACGAAGCTAAGTTATGGTATCTCAACATCCCTCGCTCTGAGAGGCTGGCGCTCTCGCTAGGTCATATTGATAGGCAATTTGGCACCCTTTCAAACGCGGAAAGTCAAAAAAACCAATAAAGAAAACGAAAAACGTCATGTAACTCGCACGTAAGCAATGCAACAGAGGTCGAAGAACGATTGTAAGGCAGAAAAAGTCAATAACTGAAGTCGCAAGCCATAAACATGACGTCGAAGAACATTTGAAGAGATTGTAAAGAGATGAAAATGATGCACGATTCGTAAAGACAATGTAAAAAACGAGATTCAGAAAGACGATTTCAGTGTGTAAAGACAGTGGGGGTTTGTAATGATAGTATGAGACAGTGTACCTAGGGTCGTTGGACCAACTCCTCGGTAGAGAAGCCTATTAAGTCTGCCGTTAAAGCACTGCAAGATTTGGACATGGCATCTTTGATGCCTGAAGACTGGGACGAATCGTTTATCAAGCCACCCATGACCTGCAGTTCACTGCTGAGGCTTAGGGCACGTAATAACTCTTCTGGGTCCCCCTCTCTGATATTTGAGATGAGAAAGTTGACTCTTGGCTCTGGCAGCGAGACGCGATAACGGATCAATTCTATGACCTTGGCAGAAAATTTCTGGTTCACGATCCACCATCCTAGTCTCGTCAGGGGTTTGTCTTCTGTCGTAGTTTTATCATGCTGAGAGGTCGCAGGGCGTGGAGACTTGGAACGTGGAGACCTGCAACCAGGAGACTTGGGAGGAGGAGACTTAGGGGGAAGACCCGGGCCTTTTATAAATTCCGCGAGCTCCTCGCTACCCATAGAATCGTCAGACCCCTCCTCTGTTCCGTCACCCTGGGAGCCCTGAGGATCGGGAGTGCCGATTTGTGTCGCGACATTAACGAAGGTATTTCCCGCTGTATTTGCGAAACCCTGAGAGACAAAATCCTGGTCCGAGAAAGTCGGAGTCTCGCCTGCGGCGACTGAAGGCTGGAAAGCTTGAATTGAGAGCAGTGGTACGAATGTCGCCCTTGGATTTAGAGCCAATTGCTATCATAGGCAAATCTGTACGCACATGCACGACGAGTCGACCTGTCAGGGCTCCGACATCGACAATGCCCTTTGTGATGTCAGGGTCGTATAAAATGGACGAATATTTCCTCAACTCAAGCATCGTGCTTGAGAACGCCTTTGATGCTTCCACTGCGGCGGGGGGAGCCAGGACATATCCAAGGGACATGGTGTCTGAAACATTGTCCTTTTTTGCATTCCTTGGGGTCCGTGTCTGAAGTAGATACCCAGCCGCTTTGCACCAAGAGCCGCCCAAGATGTAGACATCTTTGAAAACTGGGAACCAGGGAAGGCCGTGAGCCCAGATGATCATGGGAGGGTTTCCCTTAGGGACTCGAGAACCACGTGGGCACCGTGAGAATCGAATCGAAAGAGAACCTGTTCTTCCGTTCCTCGTATGAAATTGTCGCGAGGGAAGTGGTATAAATGTTGCCTTAGTCCTGGAGGCAATTGCAATCACTGGTAAATCTGTGCGAATGTGCACGATGAGTCGACCTGTCAGGGCTCCGACATCGATGATGCCCTTTGTCGTGTCAGGATCATGTACCCAGTCGCGGTACACCAAGAGCCGACTAACAGGTAAACGTCTTTGAAAACCGGAAACCAGGGAAGGCCGTGGGCCCAGATGATCATTGGGGGGTCCTTAGGGACTCGCGAGCCACGTGGTTCACCGTGAGAATCGAAATCGAACGAGAACCTGTTCTTCCATTCCTTGTATGGCATTGTCGCGAGAGAAGTGGTATCAATGTTGCCTTGGTCCTGGAGGCAATTGCTATCACTGGTAAATCTGTGCGAATGTGCACGATGATAGAAGAGGGTGGAAATTCGAGGAAGCTGTATCAAAGAATATGATATGAATATATGTTGGAAAGTGGCATATAGCAAATTTAACTTTTCAGTTTGCTCTCAGATGTCACTTCAATTTCGTATCACTTTCATATCACAAAATGTTTTCGTGCTTAATAAGGCACTCAATAAGGCAATCAAACTCCAGAGTAATCTGCAGTAGATGATGTAGCTGGAGTTGAAGCTTTTGCTGATCCAGATGAGCCGATTGTGATCTCCTCATATCGAGGTTTAACTGCTGCGTTGTGCGATTTTTGTATTTCTCCCGAAAAGGTATGCGAATAAGTGGAGACTAGAATGTTAGGGGATGCAGCTGATTTCAGCCTCGTTATTGAATGGGCAGCGAAATTTTAGGACCCCACAAGTGCTGAGAGTGAGCTGAAAGAAGACTGGGCGGAAGATGAATTTCGTTCAAGGTGAAAGCTCTGAAAGATTGAAGCTTGAAAGATTGAAGCTTGAAAGATTGAAGCTTGAAAGATTGAAGCTTGCAAGATTGAAGCTTGAAAGATTGAAGCTTGGAAGGTTGAAGCTTGAAAGATTGAAGCTTGAAAGATTGAAGCTTGGAAGGTTGAAGCTTGAAAGGTTGAAGCTCTGAAAGGTTGAAGCTCGAAAGGTTGAAGCTTGAAAGATTGAAGCTTGGAAGGTTGAAGCTTGAAAGATTGAAGCTTGAAAGCTCTCTAATAATGATCGTGCTGAGCATAATTTGACAGCAAAGAAGCGGGTAACTCGGGCATATTTCGATTCAGTACCATTTTAAAGTTGATTCACTAATATTTCACTTAGAGTTCCAAAGCTAAGTATTCGGAATATCTTTCTCAGCGTAGACAAGACGCTGCTTCATATTATCCTGCAATACCTGGCTGTATTATCAACGCTTGCTTCGGCTTCAGGAAGGTGGCTGGATATTATCACTAGTTGGTAGCGAAATATGCGTTTTTAGAAGAGGATGAATATTCAGTTTTCCACAACAACAAAATCTCACAGGATCCTCTTCAGCACGATTCCCATCATCATCCTCACCCCAGACGGTGAAAATTGTATATGCAATCTCTTTTAAAAACGCATGTTCTTAGCGATTTCTGCAATCTCATTTGAGGATTCCAGCACAGCAGTGGCACCAGCATTTATCAATACGTTGCAAATAGTTGGCATCGTTTTGAGCCCGCAAGACGATGACAGTTTTAATATCACGGATGCATATTAGAGAACGATGAATTAGTCCTGATTGGCGGGATTTAACCCTCCAACCCTTTTCCATTCGAACCTAAACCATCTTTTTTCAGGTTTACTAGACATCGAAACTTCTGCTTGACGAACCAAGCAGTGTTGGTTTCCCAGGGCTGCTCAGATTGCTCCAGCTGGATGTGGAAATTCCTTAAAATACAAGGAATAACCTTTGACATTTCCAAAAGACTGATGTTCTTCCCAATGCAAGTTCGAGCCCCGGCGCCAAACTAATTTTTATTTAGCGTTGGACTAGTCATCCGCGGTGTAATCATTGAAAATAGGAAACTTACAGAGAGAAAGTTTGTTTCCATGATTGAAACCTTGTCTTTGTCTTCTAACCATCTTTCGGGTCGGAAAGACCCAGGATATGGTCCATATATCCTTTCATTCTGTTGCGAGACCCAAGGGTTTGCCCCGACCAATGTCTAAAGCAAGGGTTAATATTCGCTCTTGATTAAAACTGTTGGGAATAATATAGGTCATCTTACGCCTTGGGGGAAGAACCTGCCAGCCAGAGTAGCTCCTCCCTGCGGAACCACACGTAGGAGAGGGTAGCCTGTCGCAGGGTGAAGGCGTAGTGCCTCCTTTATACAAGCCTGAAGATAAGCCATCTGCTGGGACTCACGGTAGGTAACAGGTTCACCCCTAGATCTTCCAAGTCCCAGCATTACCGTGTCAACCTCTTCTTCAAGTCTCAGGAGCTTTTCTGGATTTTTAAGAAGGTAATAAAATATTGCACTCAATGAGATGGCCGTGGTATCGGAGCCAGCAGCAATGTTCGCCCCAATCGAATTGAAAAGATCCGTATAGTTTATTTTATCGGCATCAAATCGAATGAGGAGCTGGGAAAGAAAGTCCGTGCCCGGCTTGTCCGATGTACCATCAGAGTTTGACCTTGCTTTGATTTGCCCTATAATATAGTTGGATATTAGATCAAACGGGATAGGGATTCTGAGACATCGGGCAATTTTCGAGAGAATCCAATGGAATTCAGCAAATATTCCCATCCGACTGCCGTAAACCATGCTATCATGGATAGCACCCAGGATGCCGTTCCAGTCTGATCCGGCTTGGAGGAAGCCGAAAGATTCACCAACCTGAGCATGATATTAGTCAAATTGAAGAGCCAAAAAATGTTGATATGGCGGTGTCGCTGACTGTGATTTTTCCGATGACATCGAAAGCATAGAATTGCATCCACGTCGGGAATTGAAACGGTGTCCCTGTAGTGGCAAAGGAGTTCATCTTCTCACATAGCTCACTGTTGATTTCATCAATGGTGGCTTCGTAGTTTACTAGCGAGCTCATTGAGTACAACGATGCCAACTTTCTCCGCTTGGTTGCATGCCGCCCATTGTCCAATTCGGAGAACAAGTCTGCATGGATTTTGTCTGGGTTTCCAAAAGCGTAGTAGAATGGAGCTTTCGTGAAGGCTGATCCAGCACCATAAATTTGACGAATGGCCTCTGGATCATCGATACTGTAGGTATCCGGGGAAAGCCGGACAATGGAGCCTGTATTTCTATTATTCATGATAGTCCAAGGTATGATTATGGGAAGCTGGAAGTGTACCATAGCGCTTATGCAGTTCAATATTCGTCTTCTCGAATTTACCCTGGCATACCTTGAGAAGCTCCCACAGTCGAGTCCACCGAGCAAAAAAGGGACCCGGGACAGTGCGAAGAGGGCTAGATAGAATCCGGTAAATCTTTGATATCACTAGATGAACTACCAAGGCAGTGGCAAGATAAAGAAGAATGAACATCATTGATCAGCTCATAACCTCTAAGACTGTTTTTGACATTTCACTAAAGACATATATATGGGCCACTGCATGGACCACAAATAATAGAATTCAACCTCCAGAAGCTTGCTTTTCCGGCTCAATGCCTCAGTTCCCCACCCCCCTGCGCTACTTGGATACTGGCTAAAGGTCTCCAAAGCGCCTAGGTGATCGACATCGGCTCTCCGCAATCGGTCCCCCTCCGCCCCGCCTCTCGCCACCCCAGTGGTCACCGACACGGTTTTGTACCGGGAGATTGCAACAAAAATAACATGAGGAAATTCATGTCCCGTCCACAGTTGAACTATATACACGGCATTCTTCAACTAGAGAACAATTCATATGGCAAGCCATGAGGGAGGTCCACCACCTTGGACTCGGTTTCTTTCTCCACTAATTCTGTCGCAGCTCTCGTATCAACCTCATAGGGTTTAATGAGACTATGCGCCAATGATCAGTAAGATAGGAGCTTCACATCAATAAGAAGAACTCACCACTCGTCATGCAAGCACCAAATGACTTTCTCCGGCATCCCCATCCATTTGACCAGGTTCGTCGCAAACGTCGCCGCGGATCCATCCCAAGGCCTACCGTTGAGATTGGCGCGGCCTGCGATTCCAAGCACCGCGACATCTGGCTTGGGGTCAATGCACTTAACGATTCCCTCATATGCGCCCAGATGCGCATTGAACAAAATGTTCATACTTTCTCCACCCTTCTCTCCGAGGAGGATGTTGAACATCAGTTGCCCCCCATCGCAAGCGGACATGACATTCGTTTTTTTGTCTTCGATCCATCTCGTAAAGGATGCAGTCTTATCATCCATATTGCTCTTTCCTATGAGTTCCTTCATGCGAAATATCCCGTATTCCATTCCTCGGGTAATATCCAAGGTACTGTCAAATGGCGTATTACCGCCTATGTATTCAGCCCCGGAGTCGAAAATGTCCGGCAACGTGGAGTGATCGCCAGGGATGAGACAGTGAAGGCTTGGCCAGATATGGAGCTCGGCAGTAGCAAGTGTATGATGAGGTTCTTGGGGTGCACCTGGAGGACCTCCGCGTAGAGCTACTTCTCCTGCCTTGGCTGCAGCGCGTACAGCTTTAGTAAACAGAGGGACCCGTTCACCTCCAGCGACAGGGACAAGTTGCTCCTCTGGAACGCCGGCATCGCGAAGGCGATTGATGGCTTCGCAGTTTGCGATGATGATAGCTCCTGTCTGCTTGGCAATTCTGTCGGCTCCAGGCAGACTTTCAAGAAAAACGAAATCAGTTATCTTGTCCCATATAACTTCTGTTTGATTGCACGTACTGGTCAAAGTGTGCGTGAGAGATGAGTATGTAATCCGCGTCAGTCACATCGTTTATGTTAAGGTACTTGGGCATCAATGAAGGCCGATCCAACCACGTGTCGTGGAATATTGTTAGCCCTGATGCGCGAAGGCGAAAGGTTGTGGCGCCTAAAGTGATAGGATTAGACCGTATCAGGACACACAGTTTGAAGAGAAATTACCAAAGTATTCTAGAGTTGCTTTGTTTTCCATTGTCGCAATGCACATCTCGTCCAAAATGAATAGTATGTGATCAATGGACAAGGAAAATGTACCTTTGAATACGCATCAAGAGCGTCGACAGACTGGCTAAGCGGAGTCCCGAGGCGTCCCTTTGCCCCACAAAGAAATCCATAAGCAAGTTCTCAATGAGTGGAGGGACCGGCAATTACCCTGGGGATGTGGCAGACTCCATTCAACTAGTTGATCATGGGGCATCGGCTCCCCGCAATCGTCATAGCAAGGAGCTCACTTGCCTCCGCCAAGCGCGGGCCCGCTTATCACCCTTAAACGCGGATATTCGATAGTCATCAGAAAACAAAATTAAATACAGTGATCAGCTTTCTATGATACAGCTGTTGCTTCCACAATATCTTTTTTTTTTTTTTTTTCATGCCTATAGGCGACTCGAGCCCAGATGTCAGAGTCAAGCTCATTCGAAGTTATCATTATTGGCGCTGGCCTGGCAGGCGCTTTGCTTGCCAATGGACTTCTTAACAACAATGTCTCCTTCAAGATCTATGAACGCGAGGTAGAGAATTCCAAGCGAGAAGGCTACCAAATTCGCTTGGGAGACTCGGCTGTGACCGGATTCAAAGCTTGTCTACGCGACGAGGATTTTGACGCAATTATTCAAAAGTTTGGACAGTCTGCCACTTCAGGAGCGGCGGCTCCCTGTCTCTATACGAGCCATTTTCAACCCATTCTGGACCTTACCAGCTTACCTACGTATTCGAAATCCTTTGCGATTAATCGGGTAGTCTGTCGCAACTTGCTCCTCAACCCTGTGAGACCAAGTGGAAATATCTGCTACGAAAAGGCCTTTTCTTCTTATGAGATCATTCACGACCCGTCCAATAGCAGTGAGAAAGTAAGGGTGCTCTTTACGGACGGTACATCCGACGAGTGTGATGTTCTAATTGGAGCCGATGGCAGCGGCTCACGGGTTAACAAAGCACTTGGTCTCAACAATCTGGTTAATATTGACACACATTGGTCCTTTTTGGCCAAAGGAAGCCTTCCTAAAGACCGACTGAGCAAGCTACCTGTCGAGCTTCAAAAGGGGCCCATTATAGTGTTCGCAAAAGGAATCTCCTTTTTCTATGCCTGTAAGATATATCCTTCATTTCCAGATCTTAGAGCTAACAAGGATCCTGAAGTATATATGCCCGCGAAGCGCGACACAGACAAGTCTGCAAGTGATAGTATCGAGTACGACGAGACAGAGGCCTCATTCTATTGGGGATTAAATGTTCCTAAAAGTCTATCAACTGAATATCAAGACTATGCAGATATTCCAAACCGCCTGGAGTTCTGCCTTGACATCATTCGCGACTGGGCACCAGAATTGTAAGAGCATATCCATGCATCTGACAAGCATTCATTTTGTTGATTAACTGATTCTGTTTTCCTTCAATAGCAAGACTCTGATCATGACAGGCCAAGATGACACACCATCCTCTGATATCTACATCACCCCCTTACGAGCCAGTACAAAGCCTGTGGCAGACTGGAGAGCACGCCTCCAAGAGGAGGGCCAGGAAGGGAAACAGGAAGGGCACTCTCGTGTCTGGCTTTTGGGTGACGCGGTGCACGCGATGCAGCCAAATAGGTACGAGTTCCATTCTCACAAAGATTCGAGACCCAATGCAGTCTAGGTACTTGAAATAAAGGAGGGTTACTGACACTTCGCGTCAACAGAGGGATGGGTGGAAATCAAGCAATGCATGACTGTGCGGATATCCTCCCCAATCTGCTAGAGCTGAACGGTATTGCCGCTACCGGAAGGTCCCCTACGGGCGAAGAGATCTCGTCGGCATGTGCAAAGTATGAATCGGCAATGATTGAGCGAGCCTTTACCTGGGTTTCGAAAAGCGGAGGAGCTTCGATGCCGGTGCGTAAAAGATCTAACTCCCCCAAGAGTATTCTAGCTAACTCTCCGTGCGATTGCTTGTTAGAATTTGGATTTTGATGGATACTTGGGCAAGTTTATCTCCATCTCTGGGAAAGTCCTTGTGCCCGTCGTCTCTGCCTTTCTTCGGGTGCCACTATTCAAACCGTCGGAAAAGAAGGAGTCTGACTGGTGACCTTTGGCTGTTGGTTATCTTAGGTTTGATTGAAGGCGTTAATTTCAATTGCTCGCCAACAACCTTTGCTTTCTGCTTCTGAAACACACGATTGTATGTTGTTGTATTTTAGATCCCAATTCATGAATATATATATGTATTTCACCACTTTTGAAAATCAATTATGGATAGATATAGATCGCTGAAACGCCTTCATACAGATGAATAATCCATCAGACTCCAAATAATTGACTATTGACTTCAATTGATGACCAAAACTTTCACAGGTTGCTCGTATTAATGATAGTGGTCCACTGTATCGTTGGAATCAACGTGACCGAGAAAATGCGGGGAAGTAATTGCTAGCGGCTGAAGTGGGGCATTCCACCGCCTTATGTTCACGGTAAAAAAAGTCTTTTTATTTCCCTATACCACCACATGTGAAAGCCACGTCGCCCCTCACTTTCTGTAATACAATTGCTGAAGCTTGTCTTACCTTTCATTTGATAACTGTTGTTTCCAAGTCTGTATGTACGCCCGATGTTGGTAAATGGGCCGGCAAGGATCAATTAAAGGGGTCGCTCACTCAAAAGAACGACTTCAACATCTCTTTTCGACGAGATGGAATGTCGCTACTGTCATGAAAAGTTCAACCGCCGTGAGCACCTTGATCGCCATCTTCGTCGCCATTCTGGGGCCCGGCCATACCCCTGTCCAATATGTTCACGGGCTTTCTCAAGGCAGTGAGGCTTCCGGTTATGAATAATCGTGTCAGTCAAACAAAACTCACTCATTTAATCTTAGAGACACGCTGAACAGACATCTGGTGACGCACGGTGCAGATGCTGAGGGTTTTATTACCCGCACAAGAGGTATCAACGCCTGTCAAAGCTGCTCCCAAGACAAAGTGAAGTGCAGTGGAATGCCATGTGCCCGCTGTCTCAATAAAGGTCGCCGATGCCTTCAACGGGGTCGGAATAAGTCATCGAGCAGTTTATCTTGCTCCGATAATTTGATGATCCAAAATTTTGACTCCAGCCCTGATTCTCCCGCTGTTGTCACCTCGCCGAGCAACATCGATACCGTTCATGGGCCCTTGTCGGTACCGGAGTTGACATCTGACTCGACCAGCTTAGGTCTCAACACGAATGGCCTAGAAGGCCCCCTGAGCAACCAAGCGGCTTTCTCCGATGTCCAGGATTTTTCGACGGTCGCCCTGGACATGAGCGCCGATTTCCCTTGGACGCTCGAATACACCGACTTTTTTGCTGAGAGTCATCTGATTTTCCAGTATCCCCAGCTTGAAACAATAGCCCAGTTGGAATCTCCACTACTTCCATTTGCCTCTAATACGGAAAGCAATCCAAACGGTGGTCCCAATAGAACACCTTCACGGGGTCCTTCTCGAGCGCGAGATCTTCAGAGCGACGGTGAAAGGTCCTGTCCAACAATCAGAATACAAGATCTGCGTCAGCTGGGGTCATCAACTCCCGTCCAGACTCTCGCAATGCAAGCTACGGACGACGATATTATAATGGCGGAAAATTTCTGTCATGTGAATGTGCCATTGAATACTGTCTACCAATCTGTTTTCGCCTTTTACGAGCAACAGCACGATGCTCGCTTTCGGGAAGCTCCTTTCCCCAACATTTCTCTTTTCAACTCGTTCATCCAGCTCTACTATGAGCATTTTGATGACCAATTGCCCTTCATTCATCCGTCATTATTAGAGCAAGCAGATACACCTTGGATGCTTGCCCTGGCTGTGGCGTCTGTTGGATGTCAATATACCAACGTCGCTAAACGGGACACATATGTATCTATGCTTACCGATCTTCTAACACTATCTCTTCCTCTAGATGTATGTGGTGACTAGTCAATTTGCGTGTATATCTTACTGATTAGCCTGCAGGCTCTGCAATCCCGGGGTTGCGATACAATGCTACTAGCACAGTGTTTCTTGCTAAATGTAGTCAACCTCATGTTCAGTGGTTTCAAAGACCATGTGCTCCGTCTGCAAGTTCAACGAGCCTGGCTTGCTACACTAATGCGGCCATTTCTTACTTCTGCTGAATTTCGAGACTCATTACTATCCACAGAGCCAAGCAGCGTTCAACCCGATGGACAATGGCATTTGTGGATTCGTCGTGAATCAAAGAGGAGGCTTGTCTACTGTTTTGCGGGTGAGTAAAAAGAATATCTGGTTGATTACTGGGGCACAATGCCCATATATTTGCTGTTGTTTCTTCCGTTCAGCTGACATGGTCTCCTTTTGTAGTGCTGGATTGCTTTTTCTTCATCTTTCTGGGGATGCAACCGACATTTTCGGCAAAAGATTACGAGCAAATTCTTCCTTCAGCCGATACATTGTGGAAAATGCGCAATGAAGACGAGTGGAGTTCTCATTTGAGGGAAGGCAATGGTTAATACTCACCCACGTCTTTCCTTGAGTCATTCATAAGCTTATATCAGCCAGATACCCCACAGCCGCTCAGTCTCAGGGAGCTTTTCTCCTTGAGATGGACTGCGAACAATGCTTTTGTCTACTCGTCCGACTTCAGTAAACTGGTACTGCATCTTGTGTTGTTTGTGGAAGAACGACGAGCTATAGATGCATCCAACTCTTGTGCACTTCTCGACTTCAGTCGCGAGGATCGAATCTTGGACACAAACATGCGACCACCAACATCATACCGAACATTGGACTGGAAGTACGAGATGCTTGCAACCACAGGTGAATCCCTGACATCCGCAAGCACGAGCATTCTAGATGCAAGGGACACATTTTTCCATTTACTTGGGATCCTCAGACATATCCCACTGAAGCAATTATATGCCTATTCCGGATGGTATGCCTCAGAGGAGGATATCGCGGCATCAGGGACCTATTTAGCCGGTTGGATGCGAGATAATCCCGTTCTTGCTCGGAACTGTGTCGCACATGCGGGGGCCATACTCCGGCAAATCCGATCAACTCCCACCACTGCCTGCTATCACTACTTCTGTATACTCATAGCTTTCCTATACCTATGGACGTTTGAGCGATTGAAGCCTGACGCTTCTACGGCACATGAACAACACTGCCAACTCGATACAATCGGCACACTCCTCAAGATTGACCAGCGGCACGACCCAAGTGTAAGAGAGTGCTGGATCCAGGGTAATCCTGGTATATTGGTTCATATCACGGGTGTTGGGATGTTATCAGCTTCCGGGACTGCGCAACGCTTAGTAAAGGAACTTTTACGGGTGCTTGGATCTCGGACAGGATGGCCTACTTTTCGTAAAGGTTTGATTATTTGCGTTGGTCAACTTGTTAATGAGGCCTCGCCTACAGAAGTCCCTAGATAGCCACACTGAGCTCTATCTTCAATATTATTGATATTTACTCCAAAATTGGCTATTGCAACTTTGAGGTCAACCGAACGGTCAGATGCACCAGGTGAAACTCGCAGCAACAAACGAAGTTAGACTACATTGCAAATGGATTGGCGGGCAATCGCATATTGACCCCTTGGCAGTGTACCCTCTTTCTGCTGTATGAAAGTATACCAGGATGCGGGGGGGCCGATGCGGAGAGCCGACAAACTTCTGAGATTCCCCACATCTCCACCTTCCTATCTCGTCACGACGACTTTGAACCCGCGCTAAAGCTACTTTGCGATCTCTTATACACAAAAGTACTACAATAATGTCGAAGCTTGATTTAGCGATGGCAAACTGCCGATTCTGGACTCTAAGACAAATTCAAAATCCGTGCCAGTGTCACCCGACCCGACCGACATCTATATGGCACAAGACGAGACCGTCGTTTGTACATACATATACACACCACCTATTACAATAGATGGCCTTGATAATCCCCTCCAAATTGTATGAAAATCTTCAGCTGAATTGATTCCTCAGGTGTTGCCTCTGGAAAATTGAAAAGTGAAAAGTGAGAAAAAAAAAAAAAAAAAAAAAAAAGAAAAGTGGTTCTAGGCTAGCAAACGATGAGGGATTGGATGTCATTGAATTGAAGCTAAATGAACAAAATTGGGATATCAAACTTCGCTCGCCGTATGGCAATCCAACGGAAATTCCGCTGAGGTTTTGCCCCTTGCATAATTGAATTGCCGATCAGAGACAAGGTGGAGTACAACTCCAAACACGAAACGGCGGCTTAAACCGGGGCTCCAATCATCAAAGACATCTGATGATGGACGGTTTATGTGAAACAAATAGGGTATCATGAAGATGAAATATGTACAATATGGAACGTGATTAAAAGATCGTATGTTGGAAATCAGCGTGTATGTTGGAATCCAGCGTATATGTAGTCCGTAAAAAAAGAAAGTCGGGGGCATTGAAAATATCCTAATAAGCGGGCTCGTGGGTCACAGTAATCGTCGTGTGCTGGAACACATGGTCAACGGTGGTGAGTTCAACTTCTTCCTGGTTGACAATGGCTTCAGTCGAGCTGCCACCCTGTGCAGCACAAACGGTAGTGAATGGACCCTTCTCCTCCGTGTTCTGGGAATAGATGTTGCCGTAGCCTTGCTTCGTCTTATCGCGCGAAGCTTCCTTCGATCGGGTCTCCGACTCCAGCACAATACTCTTGCGAGTCAGGGTGTACTGTGCGACGTCACAGGCTCCGGATAGGGTCATCAAAGCACCTGCCACACAGAAGTATGTGACGCTTGGCGATTTTCCGCTGACGGATGCCATGCGACCGGCAGATAATGGCAGTGTCAGGGTGATGTAGACGATCGGGTAGAGGACCATGTATGAGACGACTCGATTGAGGCGTTTGAGACTCTCGGTGTAGCTGGATCCCAGAATCTTGGATTGGGAGATCTTGCGTCGGAGCTGGACGAACATGATGGCGTATAAGAGGAGGTTCATGAATTGGGCTGCGAAGATCCAAAAGTAGTGGGTGAAGAGACGAAGAACCGGGTGTTGAGTGGTCATCCAACACTATTGAACGAGAAGGCGTCAGTAATCAAGGACATTCAGAGATTGACAAGAGCGTAATAGAAAATGCTTACCCATGCGACAGAAGGCATCCAGACATGGCTGCCATAAATGCCAATTGGAATAACGACAAGGATGACCCCAAAGATCCAGAGACCGACCACAAGTGATACAAATACCTTGTGACTGATCTGGCGACCCAGACTAACATGCATGAAGGTGTGCAGAGCGATGGCCAACACGAACATTCCACTCATCGGGTCACCAATCTGAAGCCAGATGCCTTGTAAGAAGCAGCCTGGGTCTTCTGCATGAATAGAATTTTGGTCGATCCATCGCAGACTAACAATAAATCCAAGACCCTGAATGAAATCTGCCAAGGCCAAATTGTACATCAACACGACATACTGATTGTATCCAATGTAGCGCTTGTAGTACTTCTTCCAGAAAATGAACCGATAGGTAAAGAAACAAAGCAAAGAAAATGTCGAAGTGAGAGAAATCAGGGACAATGCTGCAATGGCAATCAAACCACGCCGCTGAAGCGCTGGAAGCGGATCAATAATCCATGATCCAGCAGCCGAATTGGCAGAGTTTGCCGCCACGGATTTAATCGAGTCGAATTCGCGGGGTTTGAGGCCATGGATGTCCTGAGAGGTGTTATCATTCAGCACCCACTGTGCCAACAAACTCGACATCAAGCTCGACATGGCGGCTGTATGTGTGTGGTTCAAGCGATTGACCCAGTGGGAAAACCTTGTGGAAACAGGCAGCAGGGCATCTTTAAGAAGATTCGCTGTTCTCAGATTGGACCAAAAACCCCTGAGGATTGGTTATCAACCCGCAGCCCCACGCTGATTCTGAGTAGCAAGAACATTCGAGACCACAGTTGATTGACGCGGGAAGATTTACGGGGTTTCCTGCCCTATCGATCACTAACATCCAAAAGACCAAAGTTTTGTCCACTTCGCCTTCTCCATGACCCCCCCCCTATGGTGGGTTTCTTCAGCCACTAGTCTCAGCCACTAGTCTGATTAAAAGCTTAACGAGTTTATGTTCAGCATGGAAGCCGGAGCGAAAGTAATTTCGGTGAGCGTAAATCTCCGGAGGCGCAATTAAAAGTGGTCCCTGTGCAGCGCGCAAATCCCAGCAGATCATCATGATCCTGCAGGATCAGTGACATATCAGGCTTAAAACAACAGTGCATAGGATTCCGCTACTGTAGTCCTACACGTACTTGAGACCCAGACCAGATAGGCCAACTTTGGAAAACAAAGTGTGCTCGAATGTCATGCAGCCAAGAAGCTGCCTCGTGGTCTTTGAGACTGAATTTTGAGCCACGCATTGTGGGCGATCGACACCATCTAGCCAATGGTCAAGAAATCCTTGAAAGTGGAGTGGATTGAAGGTTCACAATATCCCTGTTTAAGCTTGCCAAGCTAGCTGCGTATTGTCAGGGCTATCATAGGCGGATATTTCCGATTGGCCCCGCTGCTGCTCCATTGCAAGACTAGTTTTGTGGGTCTCGGCATGGCTGCCGACTCAGCGTACCGGAGGCAAGTCTGATACGCAATGCGAAATGAGTCAAGACGGTAACCGCACAGTTGCCTTGTTATTCTCTAATGACTAGTTCGTCTGAAAATCAGGCCCGGGGATGATAAGCTTGCTAGTCTTGCGAATGTCCTAGCTATTGGTGATATTGTCTCGTTGCTAGATTTTGAGGCGTTAATTAACCTTTGCATGATAGCTCTTCAGTGTGGTTTTAACCTTTCATTCTTCAAAAAAATCGGTCATTATTGCCGATCCAAGCGCCGTGTCTCACCATGTGGTGGCGAACCCGGGGAACGAAGCATGAATAAGGAGGTCTGCGGGCTTAGGCGTTAAGGGCTTTACTCAGAGATTTTTTGTGGAGAAAGTTTCAGTGAAGGTCGCGTCTCATTCTGATCACATGACAAGTAAACAGGGCGTCCAACCCCTTGACGAGCCTCGGGCCAATTTCATGCAGGTAATGACCCTCTATCATTTACCCAGGTTGACCATTGACAAATCTTTTCCCAAACAAATCAAGCCGAAAAGTGATCATTACGCACATAGCGATCTACATATTGGTTCCATGGTTGAGAATCCAGGTGTTCGATTTCACGGTGTCGATGTACCCCGTGCACCAACAGACCCATTAGTAGGGCCATCACCTAGTCCATGAAAGACACCAAAATTTATTTCCATGGTCTGCAAGTAAGCTATTTACCTACTGGAACCACTTCGGAGTCCACACCTGGTCCGTTCATGGTTACTGCTTCCACATCCCTGAGCTTCTCACACCATGACTGGCGAGCCAAAGATTCAGCCCATTTTCATACCCACTGCATGGACTGATGTATTCTCCACGGTGAATTCCAGAAGCTTGACGGCGGGACTGGTACCGAGGCGGTCCTGTACCTTTCCGATCGCACGGTTCCTGGTTCCTTTGTCTCCACATCCCGCAAATGCGTTCCAAGGTCCAACCAATTTCCTCAATGGGTATGTTTTCCGATCTTTCTGATATTCATACCTATGTGTTGTGATTGCGAATGGAGGTTATATCTCCCTTTTTGCTAGTATATTTAGACCCACGAAAACCTTGCAAAAAGGACGATCGCCGCTCGATTCATTTATTCGATCGATGTATTCTAGTATAGGGCCTGTGAGGTTATCAGAACGAGCCCCACTTGCAGAGAATTCAAGACTAGACTAAGAATCGCTTCGGCTTGCTCCAAAAAAAAGCCACCCATCTGCCACTAGCGAATCAACCACCGTGGCAAGATATCTGATGGATAGGATTTTGCTAGTCTGTTCGGTGAGATATCAGCCATCGGTATATTTGTCCTAGCCTAGAACCATGACGGTGATCATTTTCCTTGGCGGGACAATGCACTACGTATGCTATTACCCTATGTTCTCGGAAAAAGTCCGCCGACCAAATCAGAGGTGCAAAATATTAGCTCGATTTGGTTTGAATGGGTTCTGTGGAAGATCAAGCTGACTACGCAGGTCTTGGAGATTGATAGGTTTGTATGCTGGCGTAGCTGCCGGTGGGCCTTCGCGGGAAGCAAAGAAGTATCGCTGAGAGTCCCATCAGCAGCCTCTGGCTAGGCCATCGGGACTGACAGTGAGCAGATCTAACAAACCCATCAGCAAGGGTCTTAAAATGGTCTTCATGGGCCTAGTTCTCATGTCAGGGGGTGAACAGTGTGGTGCAATGGACCGTGTTGAGGAAGCTTTGATGCGCGTTCCTTACCAGTGCGCGCTGATCTCCCCACTTTCTACTGGAGTCATCAAATTAGGGACTCAAGCAACTATAGTGATAAGACATGGCGATCCTTATTGAATTTCGGGCCTGGGAAAGGATAACACATGACGTAAGACAAATTCCAAGCATGATCAACATGACCGCGCTGCAAATGAGAGCAAATAGGAAATGACTTCAAAGTCGGTGCTCCCCTCTGACCACCTTGGACACTTTGCCAACGTGGAACTATGACAAATAAACTACATATTCCAAAGGCCACAGAGTTTCAGCAATCTACATATCAGTGTCCTGGCGGTAATGCCAAAGTAGGAATAGCGAACTGAGTGTCTTCTTCTGTCACATGCTCTGGCTGGTAGGTCTGATCTAATTGCCACTATATCAGTGTCATGAGGTAACCGACTTGCTCCTTTAATCAATGAAAAATTTCCAGGCTGATGGTGTACACGGTTACGCATTCGACGCCGGATAAGCAGTCCGATGAAGAGTCTTACAAAGGCAGTGAATAGTCAGTATTCCATTTTGTTTTTGTATGTAGAACATATCTCTCTATCTTCAGAGCCCGTGCTCCTAGGTAATGGCCTTTTGCAACTGATATCTCCTGGTTTTTTGTGTATCGCCGATTATCGTCTATTATGAATTCTGGGCGGGTAAAGCACCTATTCGCAGGCTATCAATAAGCAGCTCCCTTATTAGCGGCACCTCTTATATATTGCGCTTGTATGTCTTGCGCCTAGACTTAAAGTGCTGCGACATGTTAGGATCCCTCCTTCTCGTGGGCCGTTTCGGGTATTTGAATTGTGGATTTATAGGCGTGATATATAACGTAGGCAACGGAAGATGTCATGAGCAGTGAGATGGGAGCCCGTGGAATCACAATTGACGTGTACGTTGAACAGAGATGGGTGCAATTTCGCCTCGCTGGAAAGACACTTAAGTTGATATTCGGATCATCTTCCACCATCTCGCTAGAGCTCCCTTTCCTCGTGTGCTAGAAAGACCCGCTAATAATATTGTTAGTGCTCTGGGAGACTTGATTCACACGTGTAATACGGACATTATTTGAGCCTTAGTCTCGCTCTGATAAATCGCACTCTGGTAAGCGAGTTGTTCGGTCGCGGCCTGTGGATCTGCCTTGAGGTTTTTTGAAGTTCGACTTCTAAACTCAAGAAGAAGCCTGCCCAGAAGCCTTGTGTCGGTCATTGCCAGCAGTATTTGGAGTCACGGCACCATCACTGGGGAGGCTTCGAGCTAGGCTGATCCTGCTTGGGGTAGCCTGTGTCGGGATGGCTTCACCACGAAACTGGCCCTCGGCGGCCGACCAAGAATAGCCTGTATCTTTCAGGAGGTCCTCAAAGTTTCAGTCATGCTCGTCATCTTGGAAAGGTTAGTCTACATGATCAGCATGGATAGGAATGGACCATACCTATTTGTTTCTGGCGCTTCTTCTCTGGTATTCTTGCTTTAAGTCATGAAAGTCTTGCCAAAGTATCCTCCACGACAATTGAATCTTACATCAGCCATGGAGACATTGTAGGTCTGGGGAGCCAGGCTGGTTGATCGGCCAGGGATGACAGGCCCATCGGCGTTAGTTGCGGTCTCGGGGGCGGAGCTGCGAAAAGTTGAGTATCCGCGCAAGGGACTGGCCATATTCAGTCGAAGTCGCTTTAAGGCCCCAGTACCACTGGCTCCTTGAGTTTCGGGAGAAGGCGCCACCTGGATCCGGTAGATCATGAAACCTCTCGGTGATCAGGCAGCGTTTTCTCGTAGACAGTTTCTAGCAGCTGAGAGCCACAGCACCGTCACACCATTGACTACACTTTTCCAAGTATCAGAATCCATGCGGTTTTTTTCCAGTATCTCGGGCCACGCTGACTCGGGGGAGGCATGACTGGCCATTGCTGAAGATCTGACAGTATTTAGCAGATGAGACCTTCTTGAGGAACGAGATTCTGTCGAAGGTAGGAAGACAACTGTAGGAAAACGTCGTCTCTTTTTAGAGCTTTTGACTTACCTTGCAGTTACAAGGATCTGTGTTTGATGAATCTGAGTCCTGGAGGATGAGGGGGCAGACAGCCACGACCATGCTGTTCAGTACTCAAATGGAGGTACCTAGGGTAGGATATATCATATATATGGTGGTTGCAGGGGATCAAGTGATTGGGCAATAAAGGAGTGTTCGATCAATATAAAACATCAATATAAAGTTTGACTGCGATCCAGGGCTGCTTCATGTGAAGACTAGTATCACGACGTTGGTCAGGGGAATAGGTGCCCAGGACACCTAGCAATATAATGTCTGAAGATTGGTACACGGGGAAATGAATATATTTTGAGAAAGGGAAAAGCAAAAGGAAAGGACACGAACAACATTTGAAAGAACACCTGTGTCGATTGACAAGGTGACGGCGTGGGGTTTGATGCCTCAGGGTAGTACTTGCCTGACATAATTTTGAGCCTCAAGTACTCGGCATCAAAAAGCCAAACATCAAATTTCTCAAGGCATCATTGTTTCACAAGAAGACTGAGAATTGATTAAGACAAATTCACGCATCAGGCAACACCGGCTGATCTGAGACACTAGGAAATAATAAAACAATGCCTTCTTCCCATTAGACTACTTCCATCATTCACTACTTCTGAGCAGACTATGAATACCCCCAATATCTCTTTCTTCTTCTTTTGTCCCCTTTCCTTTCCACCTTTCTTTCCCTGCATGTCGCCACTCTCGAATTTCTTTTTCCCTTTCTTGATTACCTCCTTCCGCCCCCCTCGAGACCTTCCCTCCGGACGAGACCGGTATCGGCCGGTACCGGTCCGAGATAAAATATGTTGGCTTCTGTTCCGTTGGCTCTTGTGTTCTGTTCGCTCCTGTGTTCCGTTGGCTTGTTCTGTTGGCACAACATGATGACGTTTCGATCACTGTCTTGGGCAACGGCCTTTTGGTCTGTATACCCAGGCACATATCACTCAGTCTGATTCTGTCGTATAACCACACATTTCTATTTCCCTGTTATCACTCCACCCCAATTTACTTATTCGCATGTATACACATCATTCAATACCATGTTCATAGATGTATCTTCGCTTGAATTGTTCCATTGTTATGTCATTATATGTGCTCGAATAGCACGGACTGTATCCTGAAAAACTTATTGATAGACCTTCATGCTGTCTACCTAATAGTTGAGGTTGATCATAATGGTCTTCGGCTCAGTATAATGCTCAAGTGCATTTCGACCACACTCGCGACCAAGACCACTCTGCTTACTACCGCCAAAGGGCGTGTTCATGAAAGTGATGCTGATGCAGTTAATCCCTACCATTCCTGATTCAAATTCAGCGGCCACCCGCATAGCCTTGTTGATATCCTGTGTGAATACACCTGCCATTAGGCCATACTCGGTTGCATTCGCCTTTTGCAAGGCTTCCTCCTCTGTCGTGAAGGAATTCAGGATCGAGACAGGGCCAAAGATCTCTTGTTGGTAGATCTCAGCATCCGGCTTCACGTTAGTGAAGACGGTTGGCTGGACGAAAAAACCTTTGTCTCGGACAAGATTGCCACCCGTCAACAGAGTACCTTGTTGAGAGCCACGCTCAATGAATCCAGTAACGCGATGGAATTGGGCTTCATCAACCAGCGGGCCGACCAGCGTCGAATCATTGTCTGGGTCACCGACGGCCCTGGCACGCTCTTCCAGAGCAGCCTTGTACTTCTCTGTGAATCGATCCAGGATTCCATCTTGCACATACAATCTGGATGCAGCATAGCACAATTGACCAGTGTTTGTGGCGATTGCATTGACACACCATTCCACTGCATTATCCAAATTGCAGTCGTCGAACACAACAGCTGGGGACTTACCTCCCAATTCCAAGGTCACACGCTTGAGATTAGACTCGGCAGCCATTTTCTGGATGAGCTTCCCGGTTGGAATCGACCCTGTGAAGCTGATCTTCCGGACACGCATGTGACGTGCCAAAAGAGCGCCCGTGTTTCCAGCTCCTGAAAGCACCTGAAATACACCGGGCGGAAATCCTGCTTCTCGGATTAACTGACCCAATGCCAAGGCAGCAAATGGGGTTTTCTCCGACGGCTTCAGAATGAAGCAATTACCAGTCGCTAGCGCTGGTGCAGCTTTGAGTCCGACAACTCCAAGCGGACCATTCCAGGGAACAATACCCGCGGTCACGCCCAAGGGTTCGTTTCGTGTAATGCGCATGAATCCGTCTTGCTGTGGGTATGACTCCCCTGCAAACTTGTCGATCCAGGCAGCGTAGTACCGAAATGTCTCGGCACACATCCCTGCTTCAAACTTGCCCATTGTCTCAAATGGAGCCCCGAGAGTTATTCGGGTGAGCTCTGCCAAGCCCCGGATATGTTTCTCGATCAGTGAGGCGAAGGTCAAGAGGATTTCGCGTCGTTGTAGTGCGGAGACTGCCTTCCAGGCGGGAAATGCAGCTTCGGCTGCTGCGACGGCTGTGTCAACATCCTCTGAGTCGGCAATGGATACCTTGTCTGACACTAGGGAACCATCCTTCGGGTTGTGGACAGATAGGGTATCTGAACTCTTGCTGTCGACGAACTCATTATTGATGAAGAGTTGGGTGGGTAGATTAGAGGTAGAAAAAACTAGTTCTGGCTGCTCCTTAATTGAATTCATGATGGTATACCGTAGACACTTCCAAAAAGCAGTGATATTTTCAATGCCGCACAACATCTGTTTGGAGACAACAGGGAAGGCTTTATACACATAAGAATAGTCCTGCACAGCATCCACTGATTTATCACCATGGACCAGTCACAATGAAAGTGGGGACAAGTGGCGAGAAAAGTGTGAGAAAGCACAGTCCCGTCCATCGGATCAACGGATCAGGGTATCCGATCCAGCCAGACCTAATAGATCAATGCTGATAAACCTCAGTATCCCACATTGTGGATTCGTAATCTCTTGTAGTGCGAGTTTGTGTACACAAATACAAAGCGAAGCGGGGAGGGGCGTCTGTCAGAATCGGGGTTTGGCGAATCAACGACAACCGGTATGCATAATGTATGTGATGGCGCAGCCACAACTCTAAAGCGGAGAGAGGATTCGACATGATTCAAACTAGACAATGCATAATACAGCCGGATCAGCGTCTGACTTGCAGACCTAGGGCCGGAGCTCCATATCGCGGGTGCGGGGTATATTGTCTCCCGTCGGAGGAAGTGGGGACAGTAGTCCTGCAAATGCAGCGCGGATTTCTGTTTTGTTCATCTTGTAAAACCTAAAGGAATGGAAGCTCGTGTTTTGGTGTTCATCGACCCACTTATGTGATCAGCGGACGGCAGTCGGACTTGACGGTGCTGCTATTGACCGACGAAAGGCCTGGGGTGCAGACCGAGAGCCTTGCATTAGATGTGGCGGAGTCGAAGCCCAAGCCACCCGGACAGCGAATATGCATGCCTGTATTAGGCCTCCAGCCAAGAATAAGGGAGCATGTGCGTGGTTAAACATGTGAGAGCCGATGTGCTCAGCGTTCCGAGGAATGGCTTGGGCGATCAAAACAATGATCAGCGAAAATGCGCAGGCGGGTTTGATAGGTGTGCGTGGAGGAATTATGTGCCTTGTTGAGGTCTAATAACACAATCCAAGTTACTGCAAATTCAGAAGATATACCAAATGGAAGCCACACTGTGCGGAGAATGACTGAAGTCGCACGACAGATATACTCTCTAACTACAGGTTGTCACAATAACTTGCTTAAAGTCTTTTCCAAATTGATTCCTCACAGCCTTGGCTTCTACATCTATATTAATTAAAGGGGCATAAAAAAGATTTTCTCTACATGAACTATAGTTCGAGTATGCATATGCTTCCCGAGATTAGGTATATTTGATGAATTTGGGACTACAGATGGAAATGCAAAATATAAAGACTGTTGATCTACGGCCAGCCACCAATACGGCCAGCCACCAAAGGTAGCTCGTAGGAGGGTGAAAGACTTGAAAAGAGGCAGAGAGTTGGTTCGGTATCAATGGCAGAATGTGATTCTGTCACTCCTCAACCAAATTGTTACGGTCGCTGGTGCATGGTTAGTCGTAGACATGGCCACAAGGACAAAGGTACTCACGGGAGCTTGTGATTTGGCATGAACCAGACCAGGACAAGCGCTGGCACGGAGGCTGCCAGTGCAGTGTATGTCATATATCTCAACACATCGGAGAACTATGACCACACTCGTTAGCCGTCTTCTTATGAAGGATTTCAGATGTTGCAGACTTACAGCCAGATTGACGGCAATGCGCTCTGGTGAGCCCCAAGTTGGGGCGACTCCAGTAATGGAGTTAGACAGAGTCTGTATCAGCGCAGCGGTTGCCTTATTGCCAAGCCGGTTCTTCAAGGCCTCTCCAATAGTATTGGTGTATATACCGCCAGCAATGCAAGCACCCACGCTCGAGCCCAAGAATGAAAAGCAGACCACCAATGCTGTTATCTGTGGCATTTGACCGTGAGGTACGGATATCTGTGCCGGCACTAACAAGTTAGTCTGCATGATACCCGATCCAATGCCCTGTATTATTTGCACAAAAAAGAGCTCGAACGTGGAGTTCGATGCTCCCCTAAGTCGGATCATGACGCCGTAACCAATTAGACGGACCACTGCACCAACCACAATCAACCACTTGTATCGCCGTGTCCACAGCATCAATGCACCCGCAATAATACCTGAAAGGCACTGCATGACGCCATTGGTCGAGTTGTAGAATGTCGCGTTGCGGGCCGAGAAGTTGCGGGCCACTGTGGCCCATGTGTATAAATACGTGTGAGTGCATGCGAAGCCAATCGAGTCCGTTGCGATAAGGAACAAGCAAAGGCTGATGGTCGGGTTTTTGAAGTATGAGGGCGGCATGAACGGGTAGCGGGATACCAGACTCTCGTAGAATGGAAAGACAATAAGCATGACAGCCCCCACAGCGATCAGCGCATCAAGATATGGCGTCTTCCATTGACTGGTCGTTGTTGCGGCCAGTGTCAGTGGCACCAAGATCAATGCAAAGCCACCACTAAAGAGGATGACGCCGCCCAAGTCAATCTGCGAGCAGAAATCATAAACTGTCATTCTCTGACGGAGGACCAGACCCATTTTCTTGGCACGAATCTGGTAGTATAGGAGTGTTGAGATGATGAAGCTGGCGCCGAATGGCATGAGGATGGCAAACATGCCGATTCCCCACCGCCAGCCGATCCCGTCCACGACACTGTCAACAATGAAGCCAGACACCCAAGGCGTGACAAGGAAGGGGGTAAAAGAAATGCCAATAGCAAAACCACGCCAGCGCGCGTTGCTTATATCCGAAATGACGATGTCGTTCATGATGTTAGTTCCTGACTGCCCCATAACGTATAGAACGTATCCCGCAGCATATGTGTTGAGTGTCTTGGCCGATGCCATCAGGATGTAAGATAGCACATATAGACTGATTGTCATCATATAAGTTTCACCACGGCCCATGACGTTGGATACTTTTGCTATTGGTGGTTTTATCACAGCAAAAAGGACAGCGCCAGCCGTGCTTAGTGTTGCTAGCTTTGAAAGTGCATCGAATGATGATGTGGAGTAGTTGTTGTAGACATATACAGTGGAGTTATCCAGCTCGCTAGCGAATGAAATCAGTAACATATTGGCATGCTGATAATTACTTAAAATGATCGCCTACTAAATCACCATAATCATCGCCAATCTGAAGATAGAGTTAGTGAAATTTCATGAAAGGTCCACGGTTCATCAAAACAAAGCATACCCGACTATGACAAGCCATCTTCCTTTCTTTCCCCATACAGCAGTGGCCGCCTCGATACCGGAGACACCAGCTTCCGCCTCGACTACCTGTCCCACGGCACCCTTTTCAATCTCGGTGCCAGGAAATTGGGTCTCGCTTGGCTCAAATGGTGCTGGCCGAAGATGCCTTTTGATGGCATTGATGGTTATCTCCATCACGATGTCTGATTCATACGCGAATGTGTCGGTGTGAGATAGTTACAAACTGAATCTTGTTGGCTAATGGAAGAACTGGATGTGTGGACTGAAATTTTCATGCGTCCGCTACCCCTCACCCAACCACGCGATATTTATCATTTCATCAGAAACAGCATGCTTGTTGCCGACACAGAAGTTCCTTATCATGGATTTTGAAATCAAAATGTAGGGCGTCCGTTGCCCCCGCCGCGACCTATCAAATGGTGTCCATCATTTTGTCTGGATCGTGAATTGGCAATGTAGTAATCTCGTCTTGTCATGGGGTGAGCGACTTCTCCGGGGCTGGGAGGGGGTGGCTGGCTCCAGGATGCTATCTTGACCCTTGATCCGATTGCAGCCTTTCCGATTCGATGAATTTCATTCTCTAGTCCCGATACAGAAAGCCGGAATATCATTGCTTTGCATGCTATCTCGGCATCCAATCATGATCGCGTGGTAGATACGTAAACTCAAATTCGAAGTCCAATGGGAACCTTAGTTTGTCAGCGATGGCACGTGATGTGGCCCAAATATTAAGTGCTACCTACCATTAAATGACCTGTCTCAAAACACTGATAACCTAATTAAGGCGTCCCTTCACGACCACACGACAACGACCACCCAACGACAACAAAACAAACCACCAGCCATAGAAAGCCCGACCCATGCCACACTTGAACAGTGGTATATTGTTTACAAGCAGAGATCCACATATTTACCAAATCCGATGAGAAGGAAGTTGACGACATGGAGTTGAAGTAGCTTCCACCTACCATATACTTGCTACGTGAGGCTATGCCATATGTAACCTGGGCACAGACTCGAAGGATGCCCCTGATGACTCGGCATATTGAAATCCATACTTTATAAGAATTACCCACCTTTGGATAAAGTCTCGCAGGGAGCTCAAACTATCATCAAAGACTTGATCCACGTTTAGAACATCCGACGTAGCATAAAGAATACGAGGGAATGGTGCTCGCATTAGCCTGGTATTGTCTCCTAGAGCTACAAACGTACACAAATACGTGACTGTCCTGGAATCCGGGGTTCATCAAAACCGCCTTATTGGACATGGCGTACACCAGCCTGGTGCTCATGTCTAGGATAGCGCACCTCCTTGATTAATCTGGCGCTGTTGTATCGATGGCTCTGACTCGTTCAGTTGGCAACAGGAGTCTCTAAGTCTGACCAGTTTTAGGATACTGTTTTCCCCCCATCATTAACATAATCCGATATGTCGCCTATTCATTAGCGCTCAATCATGAAGTTATTTCTCTAAAATAAGTCGATGACGACCGCTTGCATTATGTGGCGGCCCTGTACCCACCTTGACCTCTACGTAGTCAATTTGACCTGCGTTTTGGATGAAGAAGTTCAACTGCCTTCTGAGCATAGTGTACGCAGTGGTGTGGGTAATGAGCAAGTAGGTAGCGGGGTAATTACTCGCCAGATATCTAGTACTGCACTATTTTGAATGCGGTTAGTGAGGTTGTTCAAGTCACTTCATGGTGTTCGGTTATTGATGCGCATGAAAGTTTTGGAGCAGCGAATTGGAAGAGGGACAAAACGCGTTAAAAAGACAAATAGAATGAAAAATATCAAAAGAAAGACTTCTTCATGAAGATAAAAGTCGAGGGAGAAAAAGACCCCGACAAGAAGAAACCAACGCGCATGCGCGAAGCAAGATTCAGCCTAGTAAATAGTAGGCAAGTAAGCCTACGATCTTAGTCCATCCAGAAGAAAGTTTCCTTCAGTCAGGCGATACTTACCAGCTCTTGAGGAGCGCCATTTGCCCCATGTCCATTTGTGCATTCCAGTCATGCCGTCCCTTGTGAAACTCTCGCCTACGACATTTAGATTGCTCCAATCTCCATTTTGCCGCGCGAAGTAGATGTGACCTTTAAGCCAACCTCCCTGAAGAGACACACTTACGTGTTCGCCATCCGGACGGGTTCGCCGGGTCCGAGTACTCGTTGTGAACGAGTGAACGGAACCTCTAAGGGTGTATTTAGTGTACTGGGGGAAATATCCAAAACCAAAAAAGACTCACCGAATCAAGACTTCCTTTTCGTCATGCCTGTTGGCAGAGTACCAGGCAAGGTTCTCTGCGACTGCCTTCAAAGTATTCACGTCAAGCCTAAGACGGATTGCATCATTCTGCAAGTTCTCGCGGGCTTTGGGGGACCATTTGATGAACAAGCCATCACAGTCCTTCTCCCATTCGTCAGGTCCAAGGTACGGGATAGTCCAATCCTCCATGGCTGCGGTTCTGGGCTAATAAAAGGCAGGTTAGACATGTAATAAGGTCCGATGAGCATCAAGTATAATCAACGCCCACGACCACAGGGCACAGGGGAAAATACCTACTGAGCTATTCGTGACGATTAACTGAATATCGGGTGGCTGCACAAGGTGAAGATTTCTGAGAGAATTGAAGGTTAGACTTGAAGATGTTTCAAAGAGTCTTAGAGGCGAGAAGCAGCCTGTCTGTGGAATACTTACCGCGAACATGGTCGTAGGTATCAGATATGGATCTGGCAAGAGGTTGAGGAAGGTGAGAAGTAAAAAGGTTGAGGCTAGAGGAGAAAAAACTCAATGATTTAAGAAGAGTGTGAAGCAAGTGAATATAAAAAAACATTCACTTTAGTGGTTAGGAAGTGAATATCCAAATCCATTCACTTTGGTAGTTTCCTCGATAGGAAGTACCCTCCCCGGGGTCTAGTGGAGATCTTCACTTTGTCCATGAATATCAAAGCCATTCCCGACAGACTTTTCCTCTTACCATCATCTTACCTGACACACCCCTACCTAACGTCCCTTTGCCATCCCGTGGTTATTAAACTTGGTATCACAAATCGGATTTTCACTTTCGCCCTCGTTTCGGATGAATACACTATCTCCCGAAATGGATGACATTACCACAGTCCCCGGCGAGCCGGAGCTCGGGGAGTTTGCCAACGGCTGGCTTGAGGAGGCAGAAATTGAGGATATGGCCGAGCCCTGGGAGAAGTATCAACCAAATGACAACTCCCGTGTCCTCTACCCCATTTGTCTGGGTGAGGTCCTCAATGGGAGATATGTTGTTGAGCACAAACTCGGCTTTGGGGGTGGGTCTACCGTTTGGATGGCCCATGATATCCATGAATTCAAGGATGTGGCTCTCAAGGTTCTATCTTTGGGGGGCTGGGGGGAGAACGAACTTCGCATGCAACACGAAATCCTTCAAAATGTGAAAGATACGACTCACATTGCGACATTTTTGACGACCTTCCTCCTGCCCACGGATGTGAGATCTATCCAGCACAGGGTTCTGGTCTTCCCCCTTCTGGGCCCATATTGTGACTTCGGAAAGCATCGGGACATTCCTATGGCCAGTCGAATGTCCGCTGCTCGGCAATTACTGGAGGCTCTGGAGAATTTACATGAAGCCGGAATCATTCACCGCGGTAAGCATCATCTAATATTCACAACCAGTCCCAACTTCGCTTTTTAGTCGTTACTAAAGCTCCTTCTAGATGTGAACGACAGGAATTGCATGTGGGGAATGGCTCCTCTTAATCATCTCGATAGGAGTGCCAAATACGAGGCACTCGGTCGCCCTTTAAAACAAAGAATACCCGGCCCCGACTTATGGAAGAAAGGAGAGCTTGTCACTCCTGTGAAGATTCCCGAAGCCTTCCGCACAGAGGACTTTTATCTCAGTGACTTTGGCATAGCAAAGAAGGTTGGCGACCCAACAACTCAGCTTGGCTATCCCCCGGAAGACTTTTGCTCCCCAGAACGCATCCATGGGAAAGACCCAAGTTTTGCTTGCGACATGTGGAGTTACATGGTTGTCTTCTCCGTACTCTACCTCGGTATCCCCCCTTTCTACAATGCATTCGAGGATGGAGTAATGGGTGATATTGTCCGACAGTTGGGCCCCTTGCCTGAGGAGTGGAGGGGACTTTTCCTTGACTTTGAAGATGGAGAAGGTTTTCCTGAATCCTGGTATGATCAATCTCAAAAACCAGATACGGACTGGAATATTCCTGCCAAAATTGCACTCCTTCGCCCCGATGCCGATCAAATTGAGCAAGGCCATGTGCATTCTGTCATGTCCAGGGTCTTCTCCTACCGACCAGAGGAGCGCCCGACCGCAGCAGACCTCCTCAAGGACCCTTCCTTCCGGGCCATCATGGACAATTATGGCTGTTGATGATCTTTGATTATTCTGTCATTTTTAACGGGGTTTTTCCATTTTCATTGCATCTTTACGCTTTATTCAGAGAGCAGATTCATGAACACTGCTTTTGAGTATATTGATATTCTTATTTCCTCTTAGTTTGTCAGTTCTAATCATCAATCCAAAATACTCTTGCAGTCAGCTAGAGAAATTCAAGCTTTTGGTGCATCATTGTAGAGGAAGCTTCATGTTAATAGGTCCTCTAGAGCCAGGTCATCCCATTTGTGTGCAGTTTTACTTCTGAATCTACTTCTGCATCCACGTTAAACCATTTGAAATCTGCGAAGGCAAAAGCTTAAATCAGCGTATTGATCTGTAATACCTGTTAAAGAGACTGGCCCTTGATGCCATCTACTCTTATATCGTGGTCTAGCATCTCAAATCAAGGTTTGGGGATGTAGTCATTTACATTCGAATAGCAGGATTCAAAATCTTTAAGCCTGTCGTATCGAACTCTCCACCGTATTATAACTCCCACTAGCCAACATTCGGGGCCAAAGTCAAAGTTTCATGATGATAACCTCCCGAGTATCTTGAAATTCGTCAATCGATCTCACAGAAATGAAATTCACACAACGACTCTTCCGACAGACACATCCATTGGAGACGGAAAGTTCGAAAACAACCTCCCTGAAAGGTAGACACGCAAGAAAGATTTTTGCGAGTGATAGACCAGAGCTCAGAGCCTCACACGGGTGCTCTGGGTTCAGCTTGTCGACGCGTTCCAGTGCCAATAGTCATTGTGTCTTTCAAAGTCCCTCACTTTCAGCATAGGTGATGAAATGCTCGCAACTTCTCTGTGTACTGCCTGGCGGCAAAAGCGATTTCGAAGACCAGGCTTATTGCTCGGTATCGATATGCGGTAAAACCTCTTGTTGGTATTCGGGCTAAGCGGGATGACCAGTCTTTGGCTTGGGTGTCGGAAAAAGAAGTAAGCTTCCGCAGGCGCCATATAACACGAACTCCATTGCATCTCTGATGTCGACCTCGAGATCTGTGTCCAGGCCTACTATCAAATGGTGTTGTCGGTCAGCTGTGTGCGTGCTTGTCGGTAGGTATGTAGGAGATATCTTACCCACAGCCAGCCATCTTATCGCCCTTGCTTTCAATCCCCAAAGCGCTTTGAGTATTCGGCACGAGCCATGTCAACATCGAATACCAGTATTGGATGCTGCTTTCGCCCTTGCTGAGCCATACTAGATTCCGACCAGGGGCTCCAGTGTTGATCTCAGGCTTTTCAGTGTTTTGTCCGCGTATTGGGCTTTTTGCAACTCCCTTAGCAAACCTCCCTAGCCGCAAATCCGTTGATCCCCTTGGTTCAGCTTTGGCCCTTCGCAAGAAGTGTGTCACTGGGAGTGGCGAGCTGACAGGGGGATCGTCGAGTTCGTCGTTTTCGTTCTGTGGAAATTGGATCGCTAGATTGTGGGTGTTCGATGCGTATAAGAGTTGTGTCACAAGGCTTCCGTTGTCCGGGGATCTTTCGACAGCCAGGAAGCGTATTCCCAAATTTTCGGAGGGAAGCGTGCTCACTGACTTGCAGATTTTGGTGACTCATCGGCCCGGAATTGAATATGGCATCGTGGACACGTACAGGTACGGTGTATGGATTTTCTGTGTTCACGGTCCAGTTATGATAGAAGACGTGACGCGAGAAAATCTTTAGTGAAGGCACTGCAGGCAGTCTTCTTTTCAAAAGGAGAGTAGCGAAGGCTAAAAAACACTGGGAACACCGAGCGACATGTATCTTCGAACGAGATTCTGATCTCCAACCATCACATTCGTCAGTGTGACTCCAAGGTTCCAACCTTTGACAATCTCTATCACGAACTGTCAAGAATGTCCCCGAAAAATGGTTGCTCGAAACAACAAGATCAACGCAGTCAGTATCGTGACTTTGCACCAGGGAAGTGGAGACGTTCGATCTCGGTGGAGAAGAGTGGAGACTTAACCCCAGCCCAATCACGACTTGAACCCTATCGCTCACCAAGAAATATAGGTTTTTGATTGCCGCCCTTTCGCCCTTTAACACCGATGATCCCAACGGTTGTAACGCCCGATTCCACCCATTTCAAAGCGGCACATGGGGCACTGAGAAATCGATTTGAACCTCGATTCTGCACCAGGTTTTGGGGAAGAGAGGGGCGATGTACATTCACACGAAGGCAGGTCTGATATCTGACGGAAGATGCGAACGAGCCAAACCTGGCCATGGCAGAGCTTAGCGAAATTTGTTGCAGGTGGATCGCGTGGGTGGGCATATAGGGGGAGCTTGACAACGGGAGCTGGTGGGAAGTTATGAATTTTGTTGGGCATCAACCCACAACGTCTTACTTTTTGTGTCCATGCAATCTAACTGTAGGCAGCACGCAGCTCGCTTACTACCAGTTATGGCCGCTCATGACTATATGGCGGTACTCCTATTTCTAGCAACGCGCTCTGACACAACTTAGCAGAAATTGCCTGATCCAGCAAGCTGCTTCACATAAACCAGTAGAAACGGCAAAGTTCAGTAGAACAAGTAGAAACAGCAACCTCATCCAAATCCTGCGCCCCAGAACGACTATAAAAATGGGTTATATCAATTTTAGCTACGCCTAAGATGCATTTTGAAATACTTACTATGATAGATATGACTGGACGAGCTCTGCTCAACTCTCGCGCGTCTGATCACGAGTTTGGTTTTAGCTTTCTTGGAAACATCCACGGCATAGGAAATCTCCGACGGGAAGCGGTTCATTAGTCAGTGACTCCCCATATAATGGCAGTCCTTAGCTCCCTTGTCCTTCTACACTTGCCATGTCTATATATTCTCCAATTTTTAATATTTATCACACCCTATATATTCATCTGCTCTTCTAAACAGCTTGAATAGCTTACCAGTCTCTATATACCTACCTCCTTGGTGATCACTACTCATACCTCAACCAAAGGCCATGGATCATGATTCATAAACCACAACATTATGGCATGATCACGAATCTGGCACTAGAAGCTGCTGTGCTTCAAGCATAGAGCCAGGTCAAGACCATGTATGTGTTACATTGTTACGAAACTCTCCCGAGCGTTAATACTGACATTTGTCGTTTCATGCGTAATAGCACAACCCCGAGAACTATTCTTGGGCGGCCGACCAGATCACAGCCACACAATCGTGTGTCCCAGAGGCGCGAAAATACACATGCTCATGGATGTGGAAGAGGCTGGTGCTGGTAACTTGGAGGTCACAGGACGTAGTGTCCTGCAGCCTAGCGCCGAGGAATTGAATAAAGCGTTGTCTTATAGAAACACTCCGCCAACGAGGCGGCGCCGATAGGACTCATCAGAACCTGCCTCAACTTTTGTTTTGTTGTTGGCGTATGAGACTGGTAAGCCGCTGAAAGCTACACCTCCTCCCCGGACATGAAAATCCGCGGTACTCTAACTATATCTTCAGAGACTTCATACATGGCAGGACAAACGGCGCGAAAAACATCACGGTCATTGTGTGTCATACCGAGTAAGTGACTCAAAATTTGCCAGGAGCACCTGTCGGAATGGACCTGGGCACCGAACACCCTGGGTGTGAGGAACGGGAGGGAGCCATCGGTAGAATCGGAAACAGCTGGGAGGACCCGGCTTGAAGATATCTATGGAGAACCCGGCCAATAATGGGGTTGATGTGAAGGTATTGATGACCAAGACTGAGTTTCTGGCGCTGGAATGCTGCAAAGGGAAGAATTGGACGAGCGTGTCTATCAGGTACGTCCTTTTTTAGATTGGAATTTGGCCTCCAGTACACTAATTATGTCCTCAGAGGCTCGGTCCACGCCACAACAGCATAAAGAAAAGGTCAGGGAGTGACACAGACGCCATAAAAGTTAGCGTGGCGCTCCGTCCAAATGATCTTCAAGGATATATTCACGTTGAGGTGCGAGCCAGGGATGTGCGCACTTTGAAAGTAGTCGGCGATGGTTTCACGGCGATGATTGCGTGGCCGTGGGGGGAACATCGCCACATCCAAGAGCTGGTAAGTCAACAGCCGGACAGGATATGATATGGCCAAGTGAGCCGAGTATGTACAATGACATCAAAAACCTACCTAAGGATATATTGTGAATCACATGAGGGTCTTGATACTTACTTGGCCTATCTATGACCTCGTGTTTCAATGTATCGTCTTGCCGACCTTTCAAGGTCTTGGTGCTCCAACGTCTACAGCGCTGAAGAAACATGGAGCTTCACTCAGCTTGGAATAAACCGCAGAAGTGCCTTCGGTACACGATTATGACATCCATGAAAATTTTATTTGTGAATTGTTATAGATGTCCTCAATTTCAATTAGATACAATCCCACAGAATGAACGAAGATACATTCCCAAGTCTGGTAAATTGTACCTTTAATTGGATATGTCTTCAATCATAGACACCGGAGCCTCTTTCACGTCCACCGGGTGCTCATGCCTCGGACTGCTGGGCCGACGAAACCGCCCAGCAACAATAGCGGGCCCTTCAAAAACATCCGCTATCTCTTCCAAAGTGTAGCCCTTCGTCTCTGCATAGAACAGATAAACGACGATCGTAATGAAGAACAGAAGGACAATGTAAACGATATAGTACTTCCAAGCAATCGCTTCCAAGGCGATTGGGTTGACGAATGAGTTGAACATGAGAGCTAGACCATTGCAAAGATTACATACGGCCATTCCCTTTTGCCGAGCATGAAAGGGAAGAATCTCAGCGGGGTAGGCTATTAAATACTGGATTAGCTCGACTTGAAGATGAAGATAGTATGTCAAGGTATGACTTACCAAACGTGAGGGGCGTAACAGCAATATCGTAGCAGAAATAGTACAGGAAAATAAATACAATTACCACCATAGCAACTGTGTGGTTCTCAGTCTCCGCAAACACTGCTGAGCATGCCGTGAAAATGCTATAGGTCACCAGCATGCCAATCGCGGAGAAGATCCAGAGACGTCGACGACCTACGCGGTCTACCAGAAGGGCTCCACAGATGGCGACGATGTAGTTGAAGATTTGGAGGATTCCGTTGATCAGAGTCTTTGTGAAAGAGTCCTTGATGCCAACCGAATCGAGAACGAGGGACAAATAGTAGGTGATGATACCATTGCCAGCCCACTGGGAGATGAATGCTGTGAACGCGGTAATAGCCAATCGCTTTCGATCCGCAGTAGTTTGCCAGAGCTTGAATCATTAGCTAAATATGCCTGGAAATTAATGTGATAGGGTTCTTACCGACGACCATCCCATTCCAGCCGCGGCCTGCTCAGCCTCAATGCGCGATGATATCTCTTGGTATTCATGATCGACGATGGGGTTGCTTTCATCACCCCCGGCATAATACTTGAGCAAAAATGCACGGGCCTCCTCGTGTCTACCCTTGCCAATTAACCAACGAGGAGACTCGGGCACAAACCACAGGCCCATAAACTGGACAACTGGGAAAAACGCCTGCAGGGCAGATGGAATGCGCCAGCTCCAGGTCGAATTCGTCATGTTGAAAGTACCAAATGTGCACCAGCTAGATGCAATGGCTCCAAGGAAGAAGCAGGTTTGGAATAAGCTGGTTGCTTTCCCTCGGTGGGTAGGGTATGCGATTTCGGTAATCAGGACGGGGGCTGGGACGCAGGATAGCTCGATTCCTGCGCCGACGAAGAACCTCGCTACAATGAATGTTGCGATGTTATGGGAAGCTGCTTGCATCGCAGCTGCCGCGACGAGAACGACAATACCACACATCATTGTGTAACGCCGACCAATGGCGTCGGACATCCAACCAGCTGGAATAGACAAGACAATCTGGAATTGTGAGAATGTTGACACGCAGCGTCACGGGACGTTAAACTTACGACTCCAAGGGGCATAACAGCATTCATCAAACCAAGCCATGTGGCATCTGGGGACCCGAAATAGGTGAACCAGGTGTCAAGACTTTGCAGTCCGTTCATCATTGATCCGTCGAACCCCATCGTGGTAGACGAGATCAAAACAATTCCAACACAGATGTTCAGCTGCAACAGATGGGGTGTTCGGAACCATGACTTGGTGGTTGTAGGAATGGCATATTCTAGGTTCGTTTCCGTCAAATGGGCCTTGGTATCCATCGGGGAATCATCAGAGGAAGTCATGGTGGCAGAAGATGATAGAAGGCAGTCGGGCGCAATCAACCTTCCCCTGGATGATCATTGAGCACCGTGAGATATCGACAAAATATATATTGTTCGCATGATATTCGAGATCGTCACCATTCGTGAAACTGAGACCCTCTACCCCGGATATCGCTAGCTGGGGCTTGCTAAAGGTTGAGCAAGCGACTTGATTGTGGGTTAACTTACCGATATCTCGCGCGAGCTCGCGCGAGGTTGCGCCAGTCCAGACCAACGCTAAGCATACCTACTATAGTTGACAATGTGAGGACTCTGATTGGCTGAAAAAAAGTTAGTTTTGGCTCAACGAGGAAGTGTGGGGAAGCTCCGAGAACCTAAAATATGCGGGGAAAGACATGGGGGCGACATGGTGGGGAAGCCGGGATTGATTTCGGACCTCAACATTCTCTCACCCTTTTGGCCGCAATGGCTGATCCACGCACTAGTCAGCGCATACCGCAGCGATGCACGGAATGCGCGAGGAGACGCGTCCGCTGCAACAAGAAAGTTCCTTGTGGAGAATGCATTATCAAGAATCGAGCCCATTTATGCACGCGAGAGGTTGTGCGTGTCCGGGGAAAGCTCACTGTGTATGTCCCCTGTTTCCTCCCCCCTTATCTCTGATTGGGCGATTGTCTTTCACGTGGATCCCCACTGATAACATTGGTCTGTCTAAACAGGGCCACGCCCGTGGAAGCAAACAATGGAGATATCATTCAAGAGAATTCCAAGCTGAGGGAACGGGTTGCTGAGCTGGAACTAGCTCTTGTGATGAGCCTGCAAGATCGGGCTGGTCTTCAAGCGCGTCCAACGTCTGGATTGCCATCTTCAACCTTTAGCTCTGAGAATATTACCGCATTCGAAGAAGTTGGAGCGATTCTAGATGACTGGAATCTAGGCATTGTACAGCGCAGTCGACGTTCAGATGACAGTTTCAACACTGGGGCGTCGCAGCCATTGGATACCCTACGATCGTTACCAAATCGGGTGGACAGCAATGTGATCTTGCAATTTTCCTTGAAAATGCTTGGATGGATTCATTGTGCCGTCCGTGCAGACCAATTCATTACAGACCACGATATCTTACAAGATGCCATAGCAGAAGGTGATCTACAAGGTCTTCACGATCATGGGTGGATGGCAATCTACTTCAGTTTACTCACGGTGAGTTTGTTCATTCTTCCTATCATGTTTCTCTGATACTTATGGTAACAGGTGGGTCTATTTTTTATGGACGACGAAGAATTTTCGTCTCTCGGCTTTCATGATGCACAAGATCAACCATTAGATCGTTTGCAGATCTGCCACACATGGTATGACTCGGCAATCAGGCAATTAGAACTGTCGAATGCCATGGCCAGGCCTCAGCTATACCTCGTCCAAGTTGCTGCCATCCTCACCCTCTGCAACTCCCACTTTGGCGAAAATTTTAGAGAAAGTAATCTTACCAGTCAGGCGATAAATACTGCAAGAGAGCTGAATATGCACCGTCTCGGAACCGAATCATCATTTCCCTCTCGTCTTAGGCGAATGCCTGAGTGGGATAGCCGAGCGAAAAGAGAACTGGGAAGGCGCTTATGGTGGACCCTGGTTATCTGTGACTGGTAAGATACGCTGTTCATTCATTTGGACGCATCTTTCACGATGTTAATCTACGGTCGATAGGCTTGCTGCCCTACGAGGGATGAACCCCAACATTCCCTCCGATAGTTTTGACTGCACCGTATCGATTGGGCAGTTTGACAACAACGTCATCTTGAATGGAATCTCATCTTCGGATGGAGACTCTATGTTTTCTCCACTATCACATCACATCGAGCTGGCAAAGGTGTCACAGCAAGTTTACGAATACCTCCAAATTCGCAAAAAGTCACCAACTGTGCTATGCGAGTTCTTGAGAAAGCTTAAAAAGTTGGAATCGGATTTTGTGCGAAAATTCGAAAGTGTTTCGAATAGCTTCGCTGCTGGGAGTAACAACTCAATACGAGAGCCACTTTGGGTCTCTGGCCAGAGATCCCATTATTTATGCACCCTGAACTACCTCCGCCTCAGTCTATCCCGGATATTATTGCAACCCAGTATCTCAGATCTACCAGTGTGGTCAGAGATTCGCTCTCAAGCTATCAGTGCAGCTTTGAAAACTGTCCAAATGAGCGAGATCCCACACGTGTACCGATTAATGTGGTATGCATGACCACTTGAAATCCGTGAGACTGTAAAGCTAAAAACCCGTCCTAGGATATTTGGCTCGGCTACCATCGCTGCCGGCGTGTTCCTTTGTCTAGACATCCTTGTCTCCGATCAACGCCAAGATCCAGCCCTGGTCCAAGAGCGCAGACAGGCTGTTGAGCTATGTATTTCCACTCTGCTTCCTTATGCACACAAGACAAATATTTGCAAGGAAGGTCCAAGAGCACTCCGATGGCTGCTCGAACTGGAAGCTGCTCAACATGATGGACATGTAAGAAGGCAGGACATTATGCAAACAATCATTTCTTCTGCTCAAGCTTCAGAAAGCCATGTGGTAGAGACTACTATAAGCCACCATCAGTCTTTGTTTTGGCCAGTGCTGGGTAATGGAGATAGCTATCACCCACATGGTCAAAACTTACTTTCCCCAGGAATGTCAGAGATGTTACCAGGGGCACTCCAAGGGTATGAACAATCGGACTTTGACTGGATTATGGATACTATTATGTTCCCTACAGGCCCGGAATAGATAATTTAATGGATTGACTGTACCTTGCCAAGGTACCAGGGAATTCAAATTTGGCACAAAAGTAGCCGTAGGTGATGGTACTGAGGATCTGGATGTTCTGAGCTCTTAATATTCGTCATATTCATGATTCAAGAGAGATGAAGGTGTAAAATTGGAACAACACATTCAATACAGATGGTATACAGACAAGAAGGTTATAACAGGTACAATTGTGAGCAACGAAAGAATATTCAGACCTCCTGGTAAGATTTGACACCGGCAAGACGCAGAATCTGGTCCGTGACAATCGGCTTTTCCAGTGGCTCATCCCTTTCCATAGGATCAATCTCCCCATTAATCTTTGCCTTCCCATGTCCCCAAATATTGCAATGGGGCCAGTGAGTCGTGGCTTCGTATCGCTTGAATAGCTCGGCCTTGTAAGCAATATCCTCCGGTGCTGCCAGTGCCGCCGGTGTAAAGCAAATATAAAGAACACTGCGGATGACGTCGGATTCGATTTTTGCAACATGATGGATGGTACGAGAATCCCAAAGAATCATGTCACCTGGGTCTGCGTTCACCTTGATCTGGTGGCATCCCTTGGACTTGAACCATGCAATGTCCTCTGGTTGGAACATGTAGAAATCGTAGTGCTTTGCCTCGACGGCCGTGCGATCGCGGGCTTTGAATGTGGCAAAATATTCCTCGAAAAGAGCAGATGAGCCGGGCATGAGAAGGAGTCCGCCATCCTTCGGTCCGGCTGGGGCCAAGTTCAGGAGGCCTTGAACACAAGCAAGGCCTTTGCGCTCTGGGGCCTGGTCGACGTGCGGCCATGGGCGAAAGTCATCGTCTTTCCGATCGGGAAGTGTCACGTTGAAGGTGTCGAAGGAAACCGTAAGTTCGTTGGTGCCCCAGAGCTCTTCGAATGGTTTGATAACGTTCGGCTCTCTATTCTCAATCAATTAGCCTGGCTGTAACACGATGCTTGTGAAACGTAGAAAAGTATGAGCCTTACGTTCTAGCATCCCACATGAACTTCTCGTGGGCGGCACAGTATCCAAGATACATGTTCTTGAAGCTCTGAGGAAGGTTGTCCTTGGTCCATGTCTCGGGATTCTTGAGGTCGAAGTCATTGTCAAAAGACTCCAGCCAGCTCAGCGCCTTCTCGTAGTAGTAGTTTGTGGCTTTGTCGGCAGAGACGGCATTCTTAAAGACGTAGTAGCCCTGCTTGAAGAAGTCGTCCCGCCAATCGCCATATTGAATTCGAGAGTTCGATTCAAGCGATGGCTTCAGGGTTGTGGATCTCGTCTCAGTAATTGTAGCAGACATAATTGCAGTTTAATCTATAAGCTCTGTAGTGTGAATTGTAGTGTAGGCTTTGAAAGTTGTGATGGTCTTGACTCTTAAGGCTCGCGATTTCGATTAAATCTCTCCCGCGCCCCTCGATCCTCGCACGAGCTCGCGCCAGCGTAAAACAGCCGCAGATTCCCGAATTGAGAATACTGTGAGGACATCTCGCGCGAGTTCGCGCGAGTGGGAGAGCGCTAGCATCAAGTTGGCGGTTTGGGTCTGTTCGGCTCCCCACAAAACCCCCACCAATCTCTATGGATCCAACGAAGTATTGGATTCGCGCATACTCGCGCGATAGCTCATGCCCCTCGTACACGCGGGGAAGCTATAGCTTGTGGGGGGTAATTGAAAAATTGTTGATGTAGAAATTCTTTAAGAAAGTCGAACGGTCTTTAAGAACCGACTGAAAACAATAATCTCGCGTTCTTGCTCCAATTGTCTCACTCTCCTCTTCCTATCCCTATTCCACTCCTTCCCTCTACACTATGCCTCCCCCCGTTCAGCTAGGCGTGGTCCCAATCAGCAAGCCCACCGAAGGCAAGAACAATTACCAGGGTTTCAACCCTCGTACTGAAGTCCTTCCTGCCGGGTGGAATGGCTACAACTCACGGCCACTCCCTTGCGACATTATCGCGCAGCATGATTTCGGCATCAAAGTTCGCGACGGATGCACTCTGTATTGCGACATCTATCGTCCGGCCAACGTTGGCCCCAACGAAAAAGTCCCCGCTATTATCGCCTGGAGTCCGTTCGGTAAAAAGTTCAACGGCCTTTCAATGTTGAAGATGCTCCCTTGGGGCGTGGGTATTCCGGATGGAACAATGAGTGGACTGGAGCGCTTTGAAGGTCCAGACCCTGCGGAGTACTGCCCCCAGGGCTTTGCTATTGTCAATGTCGATGCTCGTGGATCGGGGAATTCCGATGGCTCTGTTGTCATTATGGGTACACAAGAAGCTGAGGATGGATACGATGTGATCGAAGAAATTGCAAAGCTGGATTGGTGCTCAGACAATGTTGGACTGGCGGGTAATTCCCATCTTGGAATTGTCCAATGGTTCATTGCTTCTCTGAGACCTCCTTCCCTCAAGGCCATTGCCCCTTGGGAGGCTGCAGGCGACCTTTACCGAGAGCAGTTTGTTCGAGGAGGTGTCTGGGACAGTGGACTCTTCGACTTCATCACACAACACATCATCCAAGGCAGCAATGGTCTCGAGAGTTTCGCCGAGATGTATCGACGGAGCGACTTACAAAACGACTACTGGAAAGATAAGCGAGCGAATATCAAGAACATCAACATCCCGACCTACGTTGTCGCTTCATACTCGACTTTCGTTCATACGATGGGCTCGATCCGAGGATGGTTGGATGTTGACACAAAGGACAAGTGGTTGCGATGGGATCCCTACCAGGAGTGGTTTGATCTTTGGACCGTGAAGGAGTCCCGCGATGAACTTGCTGCATTTTTTGGAAAGTTCCTGCGGGGAGATGACAATGGCTTTGAGAAGGTACCTCGGATGCGAATGACCATTCTTCAATTCGGAGATAAGGACCCTATCTATCCTATTGTTGAAGAAGATTATCCTATTCCGCGGACAAAGTACACCGATTTCTTTATTCAGCAGGAAGGTTCCCTGTCTTTGACACCTCCCACCGGTTCTGGGACAATTTCCTACAACTCTGAACTCAAAGGTCAAACCTTTGACATCGCCAAGTTCAAGCACACATTCACGGAGAAGACAACACTTGCCGGCATGCCCAAGGCCGTGCTCTACATGAGTACTGAAGACTCAGACGACATGGACATCTACGTTCTCCTTCGCAAGTTGGACAAGAACGGCAAACCCCTTCTCAACCTGAACATCCCATGGGAGAACGCCCCCATCAACTCCTTTGACGAGCTGGATCCTAAGGATCACCACAATCTGCTTTTCTACTTTGGACCATTCGGTGTTCTGAAGGCCTCCCACCGCCACATTGACGAAAGCCAAAGTATGCACTCCCAATATCCCTTCCATACTCATGACCGGGTGGAAAAAGTACAGAAGGGTGAAGTTGTGGAGCTCCAAATTGGCCTTTGGGCCATGGGAATTGCGTATGAGGAGGGAGAGAGCATTAGCTTGGAGGTTTCAGGACAATATCCTCTGTTCAAAGATTACACTGAGGAGGTGAAGCCAAACCCTCGAGGATATAAGGGCAACGTTGGCACTCACACAATCCATTATGGTGGAGAGTACAGGAGCCGCATTATTTTGCCCGTTGTTTAGATACAGTCTATATATACACTTTAGCCAACGTCTCGTCTTCAATTGTTTTTACATAGGTGCTGAAATATACTTTTTCTAATGTTGCCTGTTGTTTATGTGTATGTGACTAAGCATTTCTCATGCCCACGGTAATGAGACTTTAATAGTGCACTAGTGGACTCCCAGTCGGGGCCATCCAAATTCGAACTAACCCGGCCAGTTATAAGTTCAAAATTGCAAGTCTTTAAAACTGCCATTTTACTGGTCTCAAAACTTGGCCTGCAAACTTGGCATTCATCAGCTTGCATGTAATCTATGCCGCCTGGTGGATATCGGGACTTTCAAGGGTGGTCCACAATGTACGTATATTAACCCCGAACCTTGGAAGTATCCTTCAATTTTGCCCAGCAAATTCTTCACAGACTTGCTTATTCCAGTGTTCCATTCGCTCATGATAACCTTGGAATTCCGTTCTCGTAAATACGAGGACGTTTCCTATGGGCGCAAAAATGTGTTGGTGCCCGAATATATATTCTGATGGTCCTGCAGAGAAAATATGTACCATTTATCCAGACAGGTTTGTACATAGTCACATAATGCGGGTAGCTACTTCAAACCAACAGTAGTATCTACCATCAGAATGTCAATCTTTTAGGTGATACAGTATATAAGTTTCGGACGGAAGAAGGGGTGGGGGCGGACTGACGCGGTTTCGACTCTTTGGCCTGATAATTGGGGCATCCAGTGACGGGGACAAAGTACTAATGGCCGCGGCATTCCCCACATTCTCGGGATGCCCACTTTGTGGTCGGCCGCTTCACGATCGAGCAAGGGACACCTATGTGACCAACCGGGGCTTCCGCGCCGATGTGAATTAAATAGAGTCTCTATGTTTCTTTTCTCGCTCGCGAATATTATAATTTCCCGATACTTCCTCCAATAATTGATTCGCAAAATGGCTAAAGAGCAACTTCCCGTTCTTGTGGTGGGAGCTGGTCCTGTAGGATGTTTCATCGCCTATCGGCTTGGGAAGGCAGGGATCCCAGTCCAGATCTTTGAGAAAGAGTCCGCCCTCCCGTATACACCAAGAGCTGTTGGCTACTATGGCGCAACACAGGTCGTGTTCCAAGAAACTGGACTGTACGATCTCGTTCGGGCGGAAGGATTCATGACTGCTGGATTATGCTGGCGCACACTTCCTATCGATGACGGCAAGGGAGGCAAGCGCTTGGGCGATCTACTCGCTGCGCAACCACTTAGCGACCCCAGTGATCCTGTTAAAGCCTGCCCGTCTGGCCTGCTCAACCTTCGCCAATCTGAGCTGACAAAGCTGGTTCTGGAGGAGGCGCTGAAGACCGGCAACGTGAAGATTCAATTCAACAGCGAGCTATCCAGCATCCAACAAGGAGACGACAAAGTCACCATCGATTTCGAAAACAAAGATCTCCCGGCTGTCACGGGTTCCTACATTGTTGGCGCCGACGGTGGCAGATCGAAAACTCGCAAACTCATCGGAACGCCTTGCCTCGGACACACCTGGCCTGAGAGACTCATTTCCACAGATGTTATCCTCGGAAACTATGTTGATCCAGTTTGGCACACTTGCTACATTATTGGCACGAAAAACTATACCATCATGACTCCTCTGACCGACCCAATTGTTGGCGAAAAGAGCCTGTGGAGGTGTACCGTTGCTGTTCCCCCAGAGGATGAAAGATCCGATGAGGAGTTGCTCCAAGAGGAGGTCATTCAGGGTTTCTACGAAAAAGTGGTCTCTGGTCCACGACCACTTCCAGCTGAGATCAAGGCAAAGGCAGTCTATCGCATTCACCAACGCTTGGTCCCGACTATGCGCAAAGGTCGATGTGTACTGGCCGGAGACGCGGCGCACATGAACAACGTGAGTAGATCCTTTCCCCTGCGCGTAACAAATAATTGATCCTAATATCTTGCAGCCATATGGCGCCATGGGTTTGAACACTGGTCTTTTGGATGGCGATGCTCTCGCAGAGGCCCTGATCATGATTCTTAACGAAGGCCGATCAGACAAGATTCTCACAAGCTACTCGGACGCCCGCAGGAAGGTCTTCCGATACTTCGTTGACCCTACTACGACAGCCAATAAACTCCGTCTTCACCTAGCAAGCGAAACTGCGGCAGAGGATGATGACTATTTGAGAGCTTTGCAGAACCCGACCGCAGAGGAGATGGAAAAGGGAGCTAAGCCATACTTTGAGACTTGGAGGACCAACATGAGAGCCGTAGCCAAGGATGCTGGTCTATGATTTGAAGCGATTCAAGCTAGGAATCGAGAGTGGAGATCCCGAATGATCGGTCCTCCCCACATCCCACACTTAAATACTTAACTCAAGCATACCCATATGTAGCAAGTAGTTCTGGATTTCAATCTTCAACTTTATTACGATGGCTACGATTCAACACCCTCTTCTAGGCCACATTGAAGGCAACAAGAAAAATGGCCTGGTGGAATTTCTAGGCATTCAGTACGCGACTCTCGCACACCAATTCGCTCCGCCCGTTCCCGTCGACCGGAAAGACTCCGATGAATCAATCAACGCTACATCATATGGGTAAGTCATGTTATTGTTGTTTCAAACTGCAGTAGTCCAATCATCTATGGTAATTTCAACGTTCTCTAACATTTCTCTCTAGGCCAAGTGTGGGAGGTGTCGATGGATGCGACTCGGAGTTCGGCCTGATCCAACACAAACTTCCCCGCACGCACTTCGCCAAGTCTGCCACGCAGGGATTGAATCTCAATATCACGCTGCCCAGTGTAGATGACTCTTCCAAGAGCCTGCCAGTTCTAGTCTTCCTCCATGGTGGCGGCTTCGGCGCTGGATCATCCTCATGGCCGCAGAATCAGCTTGCCAATCTGGTATCCATTTCCAGTGAATTGGGGCTTCCTGTGGTTGGAGTTAGTATCAAGTAAGTCGCAGTCAGCTGCCAATTTGATCAATGATACCGACCGTTGAAAACTAATGAATGCAGCTATCGGATTGGCCCAGCGGGGTTTTTGACATCCCAAGAGCTGCGCGACGCTGGGTTTACCCCCAACAACGGTCTTCGTGACCAGCGTGTCGCGCTGCAGTGGATCAAAGCTCACATCAAGGGTTTTGGCGGTGACTCGGAAAACATCACACTTGTTGGACACAGCGCAGGAGGTGGTAAGTATCTTTGAACTTCCCCAGAGCGACAGAATTATGCTAACAGTCGAAGTCTCTGCCTCTTTGCATCTTGCCAGTGAAGAGCCACTGTTCAAACGTGTAGCCTGTCTAAGTGGTCAATTCCTGGCTGTGAAGCCTCTCCCAGATCCGGTTCATGAACATTTCTATGCCGAGTCTGTTCGAATTCTCGGCTTAGATAACCTATCACCTAGTGAACGGGTGTCTCGTATACAAGGATTGAATGCAGATGAGGTGGCAAAAATCTCAGCGTTCCCATCTCGTCCGATTGTTGACGGGGATATATGCCTTGAGATGCCTTCAGTGAAGGCTGTCGCCGGTGGAATCCCAACCACGCTAAATCAAGGGTGGTGTCAGGACTTGTTTATCGGGGACTGTCAATTCGATGTGAGTACATACCTTGCTTAGCCTCCGACAAGCCACTGACAATTGAATTAGGGATCTATTATGGCAGGTGCCTTGGACCACCGAAAATCAGGCATCGGCAAAGCATTCGGCGAGCACTTGGAGAAGGAAGTCAAGGACATTCCTGGCTTGGCGGGTAAAATCCTCTCGGCTTACACCATCAACAGCGGGAATAATGATGACCATTCGTTGCACGGGGTTCTTCGTCTGTTGAATGATGTATTTTTCTATATCCCAACTGTCTACCTGGCCCAATCATGGAAGGATGGAGCCGCCTATGTCTATCGATTCAATTCACGGAACCCATGGGAAGGACGTTGGCAAGGCGAGGCTTCGCATATAACCGACCTGACTATGCTTTTGCACAATTTTGATGAGTTCTTGACTGAAGAACAAAAAGAAGCCGGCCGTGATTATACCCGAGACTTGCTGACATTTGTTTCCGGCAAGAAACCTTGGCAGGCGTTCGATAGACATGAAGCATTCGAAAGAGAGTATGGTACTCTTTCGGGCGGTCGCAGGAAGTTCATTTGGGATATCGTGGAGGAGATTGAGCCCGACCGGCTCGCGTTTGTGCTGGAACAGTTCATTGCAAGAGGATGATCATGCTTGGGCCATCTAAAGTTCTCATTTGCCGCTAATATATTACAATGATATATTGCAAAGACATATCGATGAAGTGGAAGCAATGAAGACAAGGCAGTATCGACCGAGCGAGTTTGGGTGACTTGATACAAGGTTATAGAAGGAGAGAACCAATAGAACGAACCATTTGTTATACATAACATGATTAGCCCGGTACATTTCCAACCAGTGACTGCAGGGTAGGAATAAACTTTTTCGCGATTTGCACCGGCGATGCCGAAAGAACATCGATAGCTATATTCAACGAGGCGGCCGCACCGTTCTCGGATATTTGGGATCTCGGATCTTCAAAATCGGGAGATAAAGAATGCCATTCTGCATACCATAGGGTTAAGGCTGAGAAGTAAACACAGTAGCTGAAATGAGGACCTTCTGCAACCGATATAGAATTGGAAATGTCCTGCCTTAAGCTGACAGCCAATTCGATGATTTGTTTTGCGTGCCATAGCGCATTCAGTTGATCAATTTTGGATGGAAAGATATCGGTTGATGACAGCGTGCCAGAACCCATCGATGAGGTGGTCGCAGGCGAAGGCTTCGGCTCACCGCAATATCGGCGTGCTAAATTTTGGATCTTACTCACACTCACATGAAGGTTGAGAGACACCATATGGAATAGCATCAAAGTTGGTATAGGCGTTTGGCCTCTGGTGATAGTGAACCATTTGTGAAGAGCCGACTCGAGGACCTCTCTGCGGCGAGAGTAGTCAAAGGTTGGTTGGTCATTTTGAACTGTAGTCTTTATCGCAGCCCAAGGTAAAAGTAGCGATAAACAGCATAAGCTCCACATATCATATATCTCGGCGGGGTTAAAAATATCTTCAGGTGGTGGCATTGTCGGGTTGGTTGACATTATCCACCGCAGTTGCGCCATAAGACCTCCATCACTTGGGCCCGCTTGTCCATTCGCCGATATAGAGATACTAGACCCTGCAGAGACACCCGGAGGCGGCACACCGAAGGTGGCAGAACCATGGAGAATGGTCACTCGATAGCATTCCAGAATACATATACCTTCGATCGTCCTGTCAAGCAACAACATTTGTGAGCTTCCTTAGGGTCTAGACATTGACAACAGACAGCCTTACGTTTTGCGCTCTGCTTCCCGCTCGGAATTTGAAGGTGACCATAACTTGAAAGTACTGATAATCTGCCAGAAGGGTTAATGTCTTAAGCTTGGTGAAATAGAGGGATAAATTTGGATGCAAACCTGGACCATTTCCCAGTGATAAACCTCAGCAATTTCGTGGAACCTATCGTCGCCACTCAAATATCCGAACAACTCGAGGAGCATGTACTGAAGTCCAATCAATCAGCAAGTCTCCAATACTATCTACATGCGATGATTGTTCTAGCTTACCGTCTGTAGAGTTCCCAGCTGGTCATCATTAGGCGAAGTAATTCTGTGGTGTACCTGGGAAGAGAATCAGCTTGAGGTCCTTGAGTAATGGGAACAGATGGTGTTCATACTTTTGAAAGGAGTAAAATACGTGCGTGGTTATAAAGCGACTTTGCAATCTTTATAGAACCTGGCGTCGTACAATATAATGCCCCGACGGATGCCATTGACGTCCAGAGTTCTACGGGGGTAGAGTCGGTAACTGCGAAGCCATCAAAGCACCGGAAAGTTGTGGCCATATAGACTCGGAAGAGGTTGAGAAATACGTTTATCACCAGTGGATCGTACTGCACTTTCTGCTTCCTGCCTAAGCGATGCAACCAGCTTTCATGATCTGCCCTGGCTGCTGGAGAAGCAGGTCGCGAGAGGTCTGTTGGAGATGCATAAGCCTGAAGGCGAGCATATGCACCCTTTACACGGGACGACTGTGGCTCCGGTGGCCTTTCGGATACAGGAGGGGTGGGTAAAAGGTCCAGCGAGGGAAATGGCGGTATTTGATCCAGGATATTGAAGTCAAAATATGATGCAGTTTGCGTAAAGTCAAAGTCCAGTAATCCTGGAGTAAAATCTTCCGCAAAGCCGACATCTTGGAACGGCAAGTTGACGGATGGGGTTGAAAGCAGAGCCCCTTGTGAGCTACCGCCACTGTCTTGATGCCAAGCCGGATTGCTTGAAGGTCCTTGGAGATCAAGAAAATTCGCATGAGGGATTGAATCTTGAACAGAGTTTATTTGGGATGAGGCATGGGTAGTTTGGTTACCCAAAGTGCGTAGAAACGTGCAATTGATACCCTCCTGAAGACAGCGCTCGCAGGAATGCTCGGCCGGGTTGCATTTCACTTTGCGGCTATGGCAGCTGTCGCAAGCGCCTTGTCCTTTCCTCTTGTCAATCGCCAGGAGAGAAGTTTGTTCAGGATGCTGGGACCTTAAATGACGTTGATAGACATCCCGTCTGCCATACTTTCTTTTGCACACCTCGCAGGTGAATGGTTTTGTCTTGGTGTCTGACTAGGTTAGCGCCAGCCCATCAACCTAGCGACCGGGTGATCACTTACGCGAATGAATATGCCGCTCTCTATGCTCCTGCCGCATAAATGTGCGATCGCAATAGGGACATCCTAGCTGTGATGGTCCAGACTCGCGCCTGGGTTTCATCGGTGCGAATGGTTGCAGGTAGTGGTTGAGTGTGCGTGGTTTTTCGTGTGGGGTTCCCCGCAATTTCAACGATTTGTGGCGCACCGCACAGGGAACTCCCAACACGCGTGAAACTTCACTCATGCTAGCTGAGGCATAATGACCACTGAAGGTGGGCAGAAACTCATTCTATTAAGTTTCTAATCTTCTCACATTTCATAGACGGGTATCATCCGCGTTTCTCCGACTCAGCTCGCGCAGGGGCGGCGCTGCCGGATGACTTCCTTAGGACATTCAAGCAATCTCTGCTCGCGGATTACAAAGGGTTTGTTGGATCCGTGGACTTTGTCTCTTTCGCGCTTCCAGCCTCAAGTCGTTCAGCAACGAATACACCAGCCCTGCACGTACAGGCTTCCAGGCAACTACCGGGTGTCAATCATGACGTGGACAGTGATAATGAACTTCACTGTGAACCCATCAACACCTCAAAAACAGTTCCTGGAATTGGTTCAATGGGCGTTAGTGATTTAAACTATCCGCTTTCTCTATTTGATGGCCTTCCGGAACTTCCCCTCGCGGGCATCATCGAGGACCTCACTCGCACGTTCGAGATTGGCTTCCTGAAGAAAGCGCCCTTTTTATCGAGTCTATCGAATCTAGACAGCCCTATCCTTGCTGGACTGACGGGAAGAGCTCCAGTCCCTCCATATCTTGCCTTTAGCAGAGCTTTGATTGGGACGTTGGTCTCCGAGCGCCTTGACTATCGTATTTGGGCCGATAATCTCTACGAAACAGCCTTGAAGCTCTTTGTAGGCTCAGTTGAGCTTGATAATAGGACATCGAGGAATATGCACTGGTATGAAGCGGTAAGTATGACATTTCACGAAGTCTGACCTGAAAAAAAGAAAAGATAAGACAAATACTAACGATGAGACGAAAGGGAATACTGTTAGTGATATACGGGACGCTACACTCAGATGTTGCACTTTGGGAGACGACTACGATGGTGAATGGATATTTCTTGGCGGTATGGTCACAATCCTTTTGTTGAATACCCCCTACTCGCTGTTCTGACAATATTAGCCATACAAACGCCGCGGTTTTCTGAAGATCATCGACTCACATGCAACCTTCGACTATCAAGATATGAGTCTGTAGGTTCAACACACTCGAGGGAGAGGGCTGAATCGTGATCTTGCTAATGAAGCAGAATAACCTCGTTTTATTTTCTGGTGGATATTTTACGGGCGATCCATTTAAATACGCCTCCATCCTTCAACCAGACAGACTTATCGTTCCCCCTCACAACACCCTCGGCTGGTAGGTTTGAGGATCTTTATAGACAAATTATTGTCAACCGCCAGAGCCTCCCTCGAGGTTTATCTCCAGATGAATATCTATTGGCACTGTTGTGTATTCTGTCGGAAACAGTTCAACTTCTCCGATTCCTCGGGCCATTCGCCGACGAGACAATCCAAAGTAATCGGACGGGAGATATCCCAACTATGCATCTGTAAGTGGGTCGGAAAATGACGTGCACATGAGGCTAAATGAGCTACATTTAGCATAAAAGGACCCTATCTTCCGTCTTCCGCGACCCGCGAGTATCTACAGCAATCAGAGGCTTTGATACAATCACTTGACGTATGGCACAGCTCGGTTATCAATAACAATCCCGCCGATCTCAGCGAAGGTGAACACTTCGAAGCTATTTCCGAAGGCGATTTCAACTCCAATACTCTCAGGGTGCACAAAAGTGTCCTGCCATTGGCATATTTTTGTCGCATCTTACTGGAAATTGGCCCGCGAGCATTGGAACTGCCAAATATTGCTGGCTACGATGGACTGCCATCCAGAGGACAAAGCCCCCATTCTCCTCCCGATGAGCAGCCCCATCGTCTTGGTATCCATATCAGCGATACTGCCGTTGAATGCGCCTGGAAGGTCCTAGACGCATTGGATGATGATGAGCGTGGCTCAATCTACACAGAGACCACAAACAACGACTCTTTGATTGCCCTCTGGCTTCCACTGGTTGTATTCTACGCGGGCCTTGCAGTATGGGCTCGCATGCAAGAGGATCAAGACCGAGGAGTACTCAAGGGAGCTCAAAATTCAGTACCGGCTCGTCGTCGACTTTTGCGATCGTTTCAAAACGAACTAAGGAGGATGGAAAAGCAGTATAAGAGTGCCTCACGAATGGCGGACGTCATCAAAAACTTGAGTCCTTGATATCCGACAGATATTGTTTTCATATATACATGTGCTAGTGAGAATTCGAGCAGTAACATCACTGGCCATATGTGGCCGCGTACCATCCATTGGCATCTTGACCTTCAACCACGATCTCCCGAACTTCAATCAACCACTTTCCGTCTTCAGTTCTTCGGAAGACATCCTGCCACTGGCCCCAATGATCAATTGTCGATGTACCAGTCATAGCGAAGAAAAGCGATTTTGTCTTTGCCTCCGTCTCACTTGAAAATTCGATATCCACACTGGTGAGATGGTGGCGGATAAAGGTTGGTGGTTTGCCTTGGACGACGGTACCCATTTCTGACGGGGGAACCTCGGCTCCATTCGGGAGACGAAAAATGCCATTGGAGTGAAATAGGTTTGCCATTTCAGAAAAGGGGGCATTTTCGCGTGCCATTATGCAGTATTTGTTAAGAATTCGTTCGATCTCGGTAATAGCGATGACTCGCTCGATGGAGCCTGGCTTGTTCAGGTCAACCATGGTGAAATGCGTTGGATGGAACTGGTTCAGATTGGAGGGTAATGGTAACGCGAACGTTTGGAGGCCTGGCTGGAGTTGCTAGATATTAATATGGCTTGCCTGATACCACTACGCAACCCACGAGGTTCTAATGTGGGGAGCCGAGAAACAAATAGCGGGGTACATTATTGAGAAATAGTGACTCTGGTCGTGTAGGTCAAGTCAAAAATACATAATTTGATTCGTTTGTCTCACCTTCAGTCATGAACACCCAGTATTTATTAGCGTTGATCAAATACTATCGCCCGTAAAATCCCTCGGGGGATTGGAAAGCAGGTATCATATCAGAACAGTGTGACTCAGTTTATGACGGCTTTCAAAAAATCATGACAATTGATTCATAGTGGATCAGGGCGATGGTCTATATTCAAAGTCGCATTTTGGTGGCGCTCAAACAGAGCATAAATTCAACTCTAAACCCATAGTAGATGCGAACAAAGCCGACAGACGGAGGATCGTCATTCGGTCGTCCCACGCCGGCCGAAGAAATCAAGTGGGGAACCGGTTCAGTATTCGGGTGCCACAGACACATTTCGCATGGATCGGGAATTGACTCGGGACTGGGGAACTTCAATACACCAATTGTAACATTGGAAAGGCATGGAAGCGCCACGTAAGGTGGCGTAGGCTAGATAAAATCATTATAGCAGCCGCGATTACATCGTGGGGATTTCTCCATGAGGGGGCGATGCGCGTGTTTTCTCTTAGACAAACTGTCGTCCCTTTGCAATAGTGAATGCAGATAAGACAAGCGATTATAGTTCAACGTCGCGATACCGAACTCAGCTTTCCCCATCATATAACACCATCGGTCTCGCTACTAGTCATCACGATATGAGAAAAGACAGTCATTCTATTTCGTTCGAAGGTCTGGAGTTTGTCACCTTAATTTCTGTGTGCATTTCTGATCAAGGATTTCCACGTAGTAGACCATCTTCAACTATCGAAATGTGTCTTCGACTGGGCAGACAGTTATGATCAAAAGGTGTGTTTCTTGGGCTCTATTGAAGCATGACTAACCTCCCCACCAGGACTGGAATCGTTTGCGCGGCATTTCGGCTGCCCAACTGAAGGTATGCTTTAATTGCCCTCTGTTCCGGTCTAAATGGCGCTTCAATGCTCACTATCTTTCCAGGTTGACTATCGAGAGGTCCTAGGGCCCGACGACTACTGGCCCGAAATGTCGCTCGATGATTTCGTTGCGAAGATGTCGGATCCTAAGCTTCTAGGGAATCCTTCTATACGGACTCAACACCTTATCGGTGCAACGTGGTGGGAGAGAATATCCGAGACTGAGGTCATTGGACACCACCAGATTCGTGCAGCCCATCTTCGTTACAAGGATGAATCCTTGACCGAGGAAGTCAGGCGCGGTCACTCCCATGCCACCAATGAGCTCTACTACCGGAAAATAGAAGGGACGTGGAAATTCGCAGGCCTTGCTCCATCTGTGCTTTTCAACGAGTTTGACTTCAAAGATATATTTCAAAGCCATACATAATAGCAGTGGCCTTTGTTGTATAGCATGTTAAGATCAACCATATGCAATGATGGGATATACATATTCTTTCCTAAACCGATTGATCCTGTTCCGGACACTCAATCAATATATTGGTGTCCAAAATAAAATTGATAAGCCGTTACTTTCCATTCAAGTGATTATACACTATCTGCATTAATGAAGCGATCAAGGTACGATGAAAGCTTGGCATCATGTTCTTCGCCACGCCACGCGACTATTCCATCTGGGCGAACCAGGACAGCTCCCTTTTTCTCTACGCCGCATAGTTCCCGCCAAGTTCTATCACGGTCAGTCCACCCTTTGTTGCCATCGATGATCTCGATCTTGACAAGGCAGGATTGCTGTGCAACCCAATCCCACTTGTCGGTGGTCTCAGTAAGCAAGACAAATTCATGATGCTGGAGGAGATCTCTGGTGGATGAAATTGTGCTCCCACGTTGAAGCCAGGCATGAGGAAGGTGGTGTCCAGGAATAGTGGAAGGTTGGTAAACAAGATCATTGAGAGTTTCATCTGCTTTGATTTGTTTATCATAACCTGTTCGTCCTCCTTCGGAATCAATATCTGCCGAAGGATAAAACCACCCCATCTCTGTGCCATGTGCACTGAATTCGCTGTCCAGCACCCGTTGAGCGTTTTCGATCTCCGCCCTGACTCGGGGATAATCCGCATGAGTGGGATCGAGGCAGACATCAATGGCCTTTTGGTTTTCCTCGCAAGTCTTGTCTATAGAGAGACCGACAGCCCGGTCCATAACCCCACCATGACTTTTCAAATTGTGGAGACTAGATTTCGCCACGCGTTGGGCAATGGGGCGACGCTCTTGGTCATATGTGCTGAGCAGAGTATCGGGTGACTTTATATGGCCTCTCAGCACGAAAGCTAATTTCCATATTAGATTAAAGGCTTCTTGAATGCCTGTATTGAGACCAAGTGCTCCCCATGGTGGGATGCGGTGGGCGGCGTCACCAACTAGAAAGACATTCCCAGCCTTTGTTCTAAATCGCTCCGCGACAATGCTAGTCACAAACCAATGACTGACACTCTGCAGATCGATGTCAAGGTCATCAATGTTTAGCGTTCGGCGAATTCTTTCCACCGTCAACTGGGTATCGAATCGTTCGGGATCCTCTGGAAGCATCGCACATCCAAAGCACCACTCCTCAGTTTCTGGATTCGAAGGATAAGGCCCCAGATGATATAAATAACCAGATTTGATACTACCTCCCGTTGCCGGATTTATGAACCAGCTGATGAAAACCCTAGGGTCTGGATGGTGCTTCAAAATAGGTGCCCGGAAATGTGCTGAAACCATGTCAAATATCTCCCTCTCGCCTTCCCATTGGATTCCAAGCCAATCTGTCACCATTCTTCCTCCATCCGCACCTAGGACATATCTCGTTTCAACATCATATGCAACCCCATCCGCACCCCGAACATTCAAGACAACGTGATCATCTTTTTCGTCCAAACTTAGGACTTCACTGCCATACTTCACACCATTCGGATTGAGTTCCAGTGCGCGGCGCTGCAAGATCGGCTCTAGACGGATTTGCGGAAGTATAACATACGGCGAAGAACTGGCAGCAGCATAGGCAGCTTCATATTCGCCCTCACCCCACGCATCTCGTGAGTGAATTTCCCTCCCATCCGGTCCCAAACTGGTATACCATGCAGTGCGACTGTAAGTTTCCCTTGGAGCAGCCTGTTTCAAAACGTCTGGCTCGATACCGATGTGTCGGAAGATTTCAATGGTGCGTTGGTTCAAGCCACAAGCCTTAGGATGGATCGAAGTGGACGGGTGGCGTTCAAAAAGAAGGTGGGGTATATTTTGGAGAGATAACAAAATTGAAGAAACCAGCCCGACAGGGCCTCCTCCGATAATCACAACGCGTTGCATAACGCCTCGGTGAAATTAGAAAGTTGAGCGATAGGAAAGGAAGCTCTACCGACTATACGACGGATAAAACAATTGAAGATTCATATAATGCGACTAATGCATGAATGGAATAGAATTCTGACTGAGCCTTTACCCCCAGGTACCCCGCTTGGCCAAGTGTTATCTGTACGGTCTGTGGGGCTAATCAAGCATGTACCAGATTGTAGGGTCTTTTCCTGTCTTGCAACAAACATTCAGAACGCATTGGCCGAGTCTATTGCTTTGATGTTGGACTACGCCAGCTGAGTTCCATTGGCCACTACTATCTAAATTCGCGGTAAATCTCCAATGTTCGAGGGACACAATGAGGCCCACATTGAGCATATTCTTCATATGTTGGTATTTAATTAGGCCGCTTTCAGCAGAGTCTACGAGTGAAAAGAAATTGGCAATTGTTGCTCAATGCAGAGGGGTATATGGTGAGCATGATAGTATTTTCTTGCGATAAAAGTATATTATCAGTACCGAATCAACCTACTCTGAATGGAGGAGTTCAATTCGAAAGGCATTTTTAATATATGGACCAAGCATTGTTCCACAACTGCGCGTTGTGGTAGTGACTTTTGAACATAACGTCCTCGATACATTGCAATGAATGTATGATAATCCAAGTCGTCTTCAATGGCCTCCATACGACGGGCCATATGAGTGGATAAATTGAGAGCGTCACCGGGTAGAAATTCGTTAGCGGTTGGAGCCATCACCCCCACAAGGCGAGGAACGAATGCCTGCATCATGACGCCGAGATATTCTCTATCGCTTGCGGTGCAAGAGCGAAGATCACTTCTCCCGAGAACGAGAATGGAACTACAGAGAGCGTTTAGTTATGACAGCAGAAGAACGAACACGATAAGTTGCGTACATGTAAAGAAACGGATCCCGTGCATCAAAATCCATTCCGATTTGATCACTGTTCGTCAGCGACCAGCGCAAAACATATAGAGGGGGTAATCACTTAGGTATCTCGGCTGCGACAAGGGATGGCACAGACACATTCTTTAAAAGTCTTTCCACCAATGCTTTTGCAGGAAGGCGGCCTTCGCTTTTGCCATGTACGTCATTGTATACCCCATCGCGAAACTCGTAACGTGACGAGGCATCCCGAGAGTTTCGACCGTAGAGTCTAGCTTTGTCAGACACAAAGTGGAAAAAGAGGGGCGAAGACGTACATTCGACCTTGCGCCGTGAAAACCACGATGTTGGCTTCAACAGTCATTTGCTCGGGAACTGGAGCATCCCCATGGTTCCCATGGCAAAAGAAATAGCGCAGGGAGCCTTGTCCGTATGTTTCTCCCATTGTTCTAGGCTCAAATCCACAGGGTTGTCGTTAACACCAAATTTCTTTGGGTTCGGCCGCGGGAGCGGGCCATTTCTGCAGGTTCCGCCGACTCGGATTTACCGGGTCAATTGTAAACACGCGCTGTTTACGACACTAACGTGACTGATAGGTACTCCACAGGCAATGATGTTTATGTTAGAAGTCTTCTGACCGCCAAGGGACATTTTCAGTGTGTGAGCTATATTTTTGGAAATGCCATTACTTTGTTGTTGAGATCTAATCCCGATCATGATCGGGTCCCACCACGCGGGACCGGAAGAATCGGATTTACGGCCGAACTGGCTAGTCAGAATCAGGATTAACGGGAATATGTGCGCAGATCGCGATCCTAACGAGGGAATGTATTAGGGAGATCTCCATACCCCACGTCGCCGTCCACGAGTGACGTGATGTATGTCTACGGGTAGCTCGGATGACTTGTATCAAAAATGACAGGAATGTATGCCATTTATCATCTATGTCGGTACCACCCCGATATAAAAGCTGTTCATTAAATGAAGTTCCATAGGAGAATTTGCAGATAGGAAGGTGTTTTGAAACGCAAAAGTGTTGCTGGTGGAGTTGAGAATATTCGCACCTGTGGGGAGCCGACCTTTTGAGGCAACTTCATCATGCTGGCGGGACCACGGAAATATGTTGTGCTGAGATCGCCCCGCATTCCATCAGTATTTCCACCCTTTCTTTCGACGCCCCCCTTTGATCCTCACCAGAAATCAAATTTCAGCTATGTCGCTAAAAGTAGGCTCCATTGAAGTCTTGCAGTGTCCAGTTAAGGACCCCGAATCTTCAGATCCCCGATATGACGGCCCAGAGCCAAGTCTCACAATCCTAGAAAAGGGATTCAGGAAGGATCCGGATGCAGCAGCCTTCCAAGCTGCCACTATTTTTGAGAAAGATGTCAAACTCAGTCTACGGGACGGTGTAAAAATCCGAGCGGACATCTTCCGTCCTAACGATGATGTCAAGGTTCCTGCACTGATCGCCTGGAGTCCATACGGTAAAACAGGTCGAGGTATGTCAATGGCTCCGCGAACGGCAAGCCTTGAGCTAAGAATCCTACGCAGGTCACTTCAATCTTGATGTTGTTCCCGGTCGCGTTGGTGTTTCAAAATCAAGAGTTTCAGGCTTTGAAAAGTTCGAAGCACCTGATCCTGCCGAATGGACTGCCCGTGGCTACGCAATTGTGAATGTTGACGCTAGGGGTGTCTATGATTCCGAGGGAGATATTCGGTACGTTTTGGTCTTGCGCAGTTCTTCTAGGTTGAAGTAACCACCCATGCTAAGTAGCACGTAGCTGGTGGGGTTCAGCCGAGGGCAGAGACGGATATGACGTTGTGGAGGAGCTTGCAAAACTGCCTTGGTGCAACGGCAGCGTTGCGCTTGTCGGCAACTCCTGGCTTAGTATCGCACAATGGTTCATTGCAGCTGAGCGTCCGCCACACCTGAAGTGTATCGCTCCTCTAGAGGGGGCCAGCGACATATATCGTGAACTTCTCTGTCGAGGTGGAATACCCACTTGGCCATTTCTTGGCTTTGTAGCTCAGACCATGTGTGGTAAGTTCCCTTTGAAGAACGAATCTTCAGATGCAGATCCACTGATGCTCCGGAAAAAGGTCGAAATGAGCAGGAGGATGTGAAGGGTATGCTCGACCAATATCCTTTGATGAACGAATACTGGGAAGACAAGCGGGCTAAGATGGACAAAATCAATGTTCCTGCTTATGTTCTGGCGAGCTATTCTACGTTCCTACACACAATGGGCTCTTTCAGAGCATTCGAAGAAATCAGTCATGATCAAAAATGGTGAGATTCTTTGTCAAGTTTTCTTTTATGTTGTCACTCGATCTCATGAACATTACAGGCTACGGGTTCATCCATTTCAGGAATGGTATGATCTTTACCAGGAGAGTACCAATGATGAACTTCAGAAGTTCTTCGATAAATACACGAAAGGGCTCGACAATGGCTGGGAATCGACTCCAAAAGTCCGAGTCTCTCTACTTCGTTTCAATCAGGTATGGAAGCCAATACAAGCATCAAGGAGCTGCTGACCAATAGAATAGGATCCTATCATCAATCATGTCCTCGAAAATTGGCCTGCTCCATCTACTACCTTTCAGGAGTTGTATCTTGGCGTAGACGGTCTTTTATCCTCGGCGGTTCCAACCGCTGCGGGTGATATTTCGTACCAGTCAGACGTCAAAAGCCTGCAGATGGCCACCGATACCGAAGAGCTCTCATTCGAGTATACGTTCCCTCAGAAAGGTTGCATTCTAGGCTGCTCGCGAGCAATCCTTTTTGTGTCTTGTGATGATTCGGATGACATGGACGTTTTCGTCCAGCTACGCAAGGCCGACGCAGACGGGAATCTGCTGGAGAATATTAATATCCCTCTAGAAGATCTGAAGATTGAAGCAAAAGACGTCGAATCAATTAATCCATTGAAGTACCTTGGTCCACCCGGGGGTCTTCGTGCTAGCCACGCTGCCCTTGACCAAGCTCTGTCCACCACATCTTGGCCTGAGCATGACTTTTCATCTCGAACTCCTGTGCCAAAGGGAAAGATTGTGAAATTGGATATTGGAATATGGCAGACTGGGATTGTCTTTGATGCAGGCGAGAAGCTTATCCTGAAAGTATCGGGTCACAACATGACTTTGGCTGAGTTCCCCCCACTGAGAGGACAAACACCCAATGCCAACGTGGGACAGCATCACATTCATTGTGGAGGCGCAAACCAGAGCAAATTGATCATTCCCTTGGTGGAAATCTGAGAAGGAAGCCGCTCTTTTATATTTCCACATGTCCAAACCTTGGAAGCTTCTCCAAGTGTCTAAATCTATTATTCATCATCATGATACAGAAACTATGCAAACCAACCCTTGAGATAAGGATTACGAATGCACATACTGAGGTGCTCAATATCATATCATTTCAAATCACACATGTCACTGAATAACATCACTCACTCATATGGTAAATACAACGCGGACTTGCCATTCTCGTAGACTTCTCTAAAGACCGCACGATCAAAGAGCTCGTACAGACCTGCCGGCATCAATGCCGCGCAATCAACACTCTTTTGCTCTAGATCAAACACTAAGGCTACATGCCCTTGTCGTCCGGGCCCTATCCAATGTACCAAAAACAAATCCGGACGAATCTGGCGCTGTTGGTAGGGAAGTGCGAGTACTTCAGTTCCATCCGGAAGAGGTGGAACCGTGAAGTAGACTAGTTCCTGGCTGAAACTGATGCGATACTGTGGGCCTGTGGGATATTGGTACTCGAATGTGCGGCCGACCATACCAGTCGTCTTCGGTCCGCCGACTTTATCAGGAAGATGGTTTGGCTTGAACATGATGAGCTATGACACTTGAGATCCATAAATTGGTAATTTGGGGCGGGTCATTACGTCGGGAACATTCACTGCTATATTGTCCGTTGGGGTAGGCATGTTGAGGCAAGGAAGAACCTTGAGATGATATTGAATATGAATAAGTCTGTAAAAGGGTTTCAATTCAGCTTGGCTAGTTGAATGTAGGAATCTGGAATCTGGGCATGCACTTTGCAAACTACTTAGCAATATATATAACAAAACAGTCTGCTGATCAAGAAACTGGATCATGTGCATTTTGTGGGGTAAGCTTCAGTAGGTAAACATAACCGACGGGCATTTCCCCGCGATTTCCTGGGTGCCAAACTTGTCTCATTTACCAATTTCCCCCGCCGGGAAGAACCACATAACGGCATAATACAGCTCAGTAAGCCACCCAAGCCGTCGTAAGGGAAAACCTGAAGCTGGGACTACTTTGAGCTCGTGGGGGGGCGACAGCCTATCGGTAATTATCGGCCCCGCATATTCACCCCGTCATAACTCAATAACGCGGGACTAACGTGTGGCTATCGAGTAGAGAAGCGGGGGTATGTAGCAACTTCGTGGTCGGTACGTTCTCGAACTTGAGCTACAGAGTTTGGAATCCAAACGTTGAAGGACAATTCTTATATATAGCCGGCGGAAATGAGTATCCGAGACGTTGGTCATGCATCGGGTGAAAATAGACAATTGAAAATTCTCCTCGGCATTCTGGGTTTACAATAGCTTGAAAATTTCCCGATTTCGTGATAAAGGAATGGAGAATGAAGACTGGATACATGGAAAGAGCGAGATCTAGGACCTGATGGGTACTAAAAAGATACAACCGGAAGACTTGGCAGCAAGAGACAGCCTACCAATCTTTCAAACCAATGGGCCCGGTACATGTCCAATGCTTGTGGGTCAACTTATTGTTCTCAACCTCGTCCACAATGGCTACCGCCATATCTTCGTTATAGATCCCGTTGTCAATCCCATACTCAGCAGAGCCCATAGTATCATCCACATGTACCTCATACTTTCCAGTTCGAATTCCTATTTGGGCAAGGAGATTAGCATTTGAAAGGCCCAAAGATCGAATGTGTAACTACCTTTATCACGCAACTGCCAAGGGGGTGACAGAAAGCTCCATTTGGTCTCTTGTACGCCTTCCCACATGGTGAGCGCTGCTCGAGAGCAAAAGATAAGCCCAACCGTAGTCCGATGGGTAAGGTTTTTCTTGGCGGACCGCAAGAACCAGCTAGCAAATGGCCTGAACAGCCAAGAGAACCCTGCAGATCATACGATTTCTCAACAAATTTCCTCAGGGACCAGAAACTGAATACTGGGGGAACTTACAGCCAGGATTCTCACGATTTGATCTTGCCCACTTGAACGTACGAATGAATGTACCGAATGCTCGCTGCCCATGATCAAACATGCGTGTAGCCATGTAGTCGAGATGAACATCGGGCCATGCGTACCTATAAGTGGTTGGTGACTGTCTCCAGCAACATAATATTGACATGCGTTTCCTTAAACTCACCAGTGCTTGAATGCAAAGCTTTCATCATCACACAATTGGACACCATTCTTGTAATAGAGCGATCCAGCGCCACCTGTGCGGATAATTAGACTAGCATCAGAATTGCCATAGTATGATCACACTCATACCAATAATGATGAAAGGACCGCGATAGGTCGATCTGAGGATGGCCATCTTGATATTACCATGGCCTTCCACGCCTACAGTATAGACGGCTTCAAAGTCGGACAAGGGAGGAGCAAAGGCGGAGACGACTGCGTCAAAACCGCCATCAGATAAAATCTTGCTCAGACCTTTGATGTCGCTGAAGTCACAGGGAATGCCGCCGTACTCTCCAGACTTGGGCCATGTCTTAGGAGGCGAACGAGAAATTCCGACCACACTGTGACCTCTGGATAGGAGTTCGTCCACAACGCACGATCCACATTGCCCTTTGGGACCCAGAACCGCAACTCTGAGGCTTTTCGACATGATCGTAAGTGACGTCGTTGTTTCTGCTAGTTTGTTTCGACACAAAAGAATGCGAGGGACTGGAAGTGAAGGGCGAGACGGAGATTGAGAAGAAACAAAGTCAGGCCCTCAATTAGTCAAGGTATTAATCGCGCTTTAAGCTCCCTCCCTGGATCGATCATGTCTACATTTGATTGGTGACCATAGTACGACCCACGTACCCGAATGTATCATGCGCCCCTAAAACCACCTCCGTCGGCCTGCCATGTTCCCCGCTTTCCCCGCCATTTTACCCCGTCGGAGCCCCACTTGCACTTGCATCCGAGATCGACAGTGCTGGCTGAGCTCTATTGAGGATTGAGTGGAGACGTGACTTCGACTTTACGAAATGATTCTTTATGGATTGGAGCTCTGATTTGACCTACCTGTTCTCTCGGCTATTTTTTCAGACAATCTCAGCATCCCTAGGTCCTCACGGTCTCCTACTCCTGTTCACAACCACTCTGCCTCGACGGCTCCATACTGTCAAACTTCCCTTTTCCGCCTCATCAGCTACATGATGGTTGAAATCCAACCCCACGCCGATTTCCTGGCGTCATGTCAAAAGAACAGAAAGAAAGCAAAAGACTATATTCAATTTCGTTCTGCCTTGTCTCCAGAAGACCCTAAGGCGCGCTTTCCGGGGTTTCGCCAGGGACTTACTACCTACAAGGCTGGACAGCAAGTGGAAAAAGGCGCGAAGCCCTTGCCCGTTGACATTCTTATGCACGAAAGCATGCCCATGCTTCTTTCTGACGGCACCAAACTGTATTACGATATCTTCTTCCCAGCTGGTTACGAGAACCTTGAAGTCGTTGACAAGCACAAGAAGATCCCCGCGTTAGTTGCCTGGAGTCCATATGGCAAGCAGAAGGGCGGGACACTCTTGGACGACTTTCCGTTCCGTGCCGGAGTACCCAAGCATTGGCTGTCAGGTCTACACAAATGGGAAGGGCCCGATCCTGGATTCTGGTGTGCTGAAGGATACGCAATTGTTAATGTGGATACACGTGGCGCCTACACCTCCGAGGGTGATTTGGAAATAATGGGCTACCAGGAAGCCCAAGATGGAGCAGAATTCATTACTTGGCTTTCGGAGCAGCCCTGGTGCAATGGCAAAGTCGGGCTCACCGGCAATAGTTGGCTAGCGATGTCGCAGTGGAAGATCGGAAGTCTGCGACCCAAAGGCCTTGAAGCGCTCGCGCCATGGGAGGGAATACAGGATATGTATCGTGACAACACGTGTCAAGGCGGAATCCCTGCCGGTGAATTCCATAATTCGGTTGCCGGTCAGAGAATCCTACATCAGCGTCTTTCATGTGGAAACAATGCTGACAACAGACAGATACCCTCGCTAGCTACGGGAAGCTTGAGGACCCACCTAGTGTTCTGGCTAAGTATCCCCTATTCACCGAATACTGGGAAGACAAGAGAGCCAAATGCGAGCAAATTAACGTTCCCACGTACGTGGCTGCCTCCTGGACGAACCCAATTCATACCCCGGGGACGATGAGGGCTTACCGATGCATCCCTGAATCCGTCCCTAAGTGGCTTCGAGTGCACAACTCACAGGAATGGCCAGATTATTATGCAGATTCCAGCTGCCGTGACCTGAAGAGATTCTTTGATTACTTCTTAAAGGGGGTGGAAAACGGCTGGCTTGACACGCCTAAGATCCGACTCAGTGTCCTAAACTTTGGGCTAGATGGTCTGGATGATACCCTGAACAGGGCGGAGACTACTTGGCCACTGGCTCGAACAAAGTACCAGAAAGTTTATCTGAGACCTGACGGAAAGATGAGCCCATCACTTTCAACCGAGTCGGGTCAAGTCACATACGACTCCAAAAATGGAAAAGCCACATTCCGGTATCGCGTACCCCATGACATGGAGACTACAGGACATTTCATTGCTCGCATCGCAGTGTCTTGCCCATCCAGCGATGATATGGACCTTTTCGCTCAGGTGTGCTGTCTTCGTGGTCGCTCTGCATACAAGCAGGGTGTTCTCACCATCCGACCTGACAATATGATGGTGATTAAATTGTTGAAGTTGCTGCATGACTGGCAAGTTGGCCTTCAGGGAGTTGGCATGTTGTTCCATTGGGGACCAGCAGGCCAACTCCGGGTCAGTCATGCCCACCAACTCAGTGAACATGCTACTTCTTTCGAGCCGCTTTATGCCCATGTCGACCGTGTTCCATTAACTAAAGGGGAGGTTCGAGTCGTGGAGATTCCACTCCGTCCTTACGGGATGTATTGGAGGGTACGTACCGCTCTACGCTAAGCCAAACTGTGGCATTTCGTAAACAGACCGCTGACTGCACATTAGAAAGATGACATTATGGAGCTTACGGTTGCAGGCAATCCAGTGCTACCATTTCCAATTCCGGGTGTCAAGCCCTTGCAGGGAACAAATACTGGAACTCATATCATTCATTGCCTTGATAGAGGAGATGACAGCTCTTGCCTTGTTGTACCATGTACTTAGTATAGCGTCACGGCTACCTCAAATCATGGACAGTACCCCAAAATCTCAAGTCTTGTCAATGAGCAAGAAAAATAATCTCGTGGCATGACGACTAAACTCCAGGGGTTGGGAGCCTATTGCCAAGGGCCGGCATGTTACCTTCTATAGAACCGTGTCGCCAATGTGGATGGGAACTTATTAGCCCCTTTTTCACTTCTGCTATTTTTCATGTTCCATGTCTAGTGCATCATACAGGATTCTTTGTTGTGGTCCACTTCTTTCCAGCTATCAATTGGGTAGCTCCCTCTCCTTCGGCTTAAGCAAAATCCGCCCGCTGACAAAGTTTCTGTCCCAATGGCCCCCACACGAGTTGTGCAGTTATGTGGCCCATTCCTAAAATCCTCTAGTATGTGCATATGTTCTCGCTGATTTCACTTTGGATAAATTCGGCATCGGGTATAACGGCAACCCGAGGATGATCCCTTCTCATGGGGCCGACGGGGCCGACGGGGAATCCGAGTCTCCACTCATCACTCGTGTTGATTGGCAGGTTCTGTATTTGTCCCCGTTTAAAGTGACGTATTGGGCCCAAGACCGAAACCTTGGAAGATGTATTGTACCGTACTATTCTGCAGCGGGACAAGTGACCAAAAAAACTCTTCTAATAGGCCGCCAGAATCGATGCCATAAGAGAAGCATAATTTCCGCCATCATGGCTGATCTCTTCAACACAAAACCGTTTCGATACAGGGGATAGTAAGACAAAATGGCCAGTCAGGCAATCTTATCATCTTTATGGGGTGTTTCCGATGTGGGATATACAGGAATGGCCACTGTTGTAGCTGTGGTCATCTTTGTGGCGCTAATTGCTAGGCTTGCGCTTCGGACATACCGCACGCAATTGCATCCTTTGAGTTCCTTCAAGGGACTTCCAGAGGCATGCGTGTCGGAAAATTGGCTGTACAGGGTAACAAAAAGCGGGAGAGCAGAACAAACTTTCGAAGCTCTTCACGAAAAGTACAGTATGTGTTCTGCTAATTTTCTGCCCAAACGGGAAGCTGCTGATCTTTTATTTCAAATTTAGACACAAAAGCGCTTCGGATTGGACCTAACGAGTTGCATATTACCGATATTGAGCTGTACAAAGTGATCTACAACCAATCCAAACCCTTCCTCAAGCATGCCCCATTTTACGATGGGTTCAGCACACCGCACACTGTTTTTGCTGAGCTCGATCCTCTTTTACATAAGGAGCGCCGGCGCATGCTGAATCCTTTGTTCTCGAAAGTTGGTGTTTACAAGTTGGAACCTCTTATCTGCGAGAAGATCTATATGCTATCGGCCAAAATCACTCGGCTTTGCGCGACCAAGGAAATTGACGTCTACAACGCAGTTCGGTGAGTCTCAAACACCCCATGCGAAGTAACAGTACTCTAACTGCGCGTGGCAGCCTCTTAACCACAGAAATCATCACAGAGTTTGCCTTTGCGAAATCGCCTAATCTCATTGAAGAGAGGGGGGATGAAATGGATTCATGGTTCCTTGACGCTTTCGATGTCGGCTCCAAGAGTATCGTCGATCTACAGTACAATGCAGTCCTCCGAAATATCGTTTCGATTCTTCCAGCTAGTGTGGTGAAATTTCTGAATCCCCAACTTCGCTCTATTCTTGATCTTCAGGAGGTATAGTATTGCAACCCCATTATATCTCTATCAGCAATACTGACATACACATGCAAGTTCGCGGGAAGCTGCATGCGATACTGGCAGACATCGTCTGGGACCTCTTCTTTCCCCGTCATCTTTGATAGCCTGAAGTCAATCTCAGATGATGCTAAGATTTCTGAAGCAATGGATATTCTAATCGCCGGCGCTGATACCACTGCATCTACTCTTACGACTGGATTCATTCATATCCTGTCCAATGACAAAATCAAAAGCCGTCTTGTGCAGGCCATTGATGAAGCGATGCCAGACACAGGATCGCTAATTTCTCTTCAAGCCCTGGAGAAAGTAGAATATTTGGTATGTGACGATCTTAGGACAAAGAACCCCAATAAGAACCCTGCTGAGAATTTTCAAGTCGGCATGTGTGAAGGAGTCAATCAGAGTGGGCATGGCCGTACCAGGTCGTCTACCTCGTGTTGTTCCACATGGTGATCCATTCGTTGTTGAGGGCAAAGTTGTTCCTCCGGGCGTAAGTTCAGTCTTGCTTGTAATAGATGTTTATTTACTGCACTGTGAATAATACTGACGAAATATCCCCTGCGAATTATAGACCGTTGTTGGTATTTCAACATATACCATGCACGTTTCTGAGGATGCGTGGGGACCCGATGCCCGTGAGTTCAACCCGGACCGTTGGATCGGGCCCGGATCCAAGGGCTTGGAACAGTGGATGTGCACGTTTTCCAAAGGCGCAAGAATGTGTCTGGGGCAGAAGTAAGTCTATAAAATCTCGAAAAATTGCATAATTATATCCTGTTTCACATCGACTCACATCTTTATCATTGCAGTGTTGCGCCCGCTGAGATTACTCTCGCATTCGCTTATTTGTTCCGTAACTACGAACTAAGTCTTCCCAAGGGATATGTTAAGCCAGATGCCCTTGACCACTTCACCTTGGCGTATCAGAAGCCCGGGTTACCTGTTGTGTTCAAGCCTCGCCAGTAAAAGCATATGGGGCGTGATCATGGAGGCCGCGGGTATTTCGGCCTGTCTTGGAAGGTTAGCCTCTGAGCCCTCGACACAAGCGAGTTACAAAGTTGAGACTTGGAGTGTCTTGGCTTTTTTTCAAAAGAAGAAACCCAATTTCCTTGGATGTATAATATTAGCCCAGGTAGCTTGTCTCCAACTGCGAATTTGAACCCCTACCTACATAACGTTGGAACCTGCTTTTACCCTTGATAAACCCCTTAAGCCACAAATTTCCCCACTGCGCCACGAAGCGGGGTTACCTGTAGGCTACTCTAATATAGGTAATATGAGTGAGAAGCGCAGAGACGTAACTTTTGTAGTGGGGCATTTCCCCGCTTGAAGGTCATGTGACCTCAAGGGCTGCAGTTCCGCGGATCCGCTGAGTACGCATGCCCAGCCGCTCTTCAAGGTGCCTCAACTCGCGCCTAATTACATGGGCACTGCCCTGCTCTTTCACAATGGCAGATTTACCTCAAAGGTCTTCATCAAATTACCAACATGATGCATCATACCTTTACTCACCCCCAAGCGCCAATGATATCCCCTCTCTACCGAGAAGGTACAATTGCAGCGTCTGCTCCACGTCTTTCCATCGCCGTGAGCACTTTGAGCGTCATGTTCAGAGCCACTCTAAAAGAAAAGATTTCAAATGTGATGTTTGCGATAAAAAATTTACGAGGAGGTAATTCGTTTCGCTAGTCCAGGCGCATGCAGATGGACTTACAGTTGTCTCTAGAGATACATTGCAACGCCATACAGCAATCCATGGACAGGTAGCAACAAAAGTCCAGAAGCCTTTGTCAAGGGCACCACGTGCTTGTCTCAATTGTGCCAAGTCTAAACAGCGCTGTTCTGAGTCCCATCCATGTCATCGCTGCAGTCATAAAAATTGGACTTGCCAGTTTCCCAGCAATTCAAAGGAAACGGGACCGCGAGGACAAGAAACCCTTCTGGAGACCACTGAACCAAGGATAAGCATTCCAAATAATCGAAGATTATTGCTGAATGATCTTTGTGAGCCATCGCTTGTATCTGCGATCTCCCCTGCAAGCACAACTTATTCGGATCCCAGAGATCCAGGCAGTGTCGCTTTGCCGGGCGTGGCATATGTAGACCCTGTTGTCCCAAACCAGCCCGAGCAAATAGCGCAATACAATGATGCTCCTTCTTTATTTGAAGCATTCATGCTTTGGCCGATGGATGATGCCTTTGAGAATTACAATATGACTGGTAATCACTCCAGTCTTCAGACGACACCTGGACCCACTGGGACAATCGCACAACCCCAACTACCAGCAATCTCACATGGAACTGGGACGGCCATGGGGTTAAGGAATGTTCTTAAAGAGCCCTCAAGACATCCTGCCGAGGATTCAATGCCCCTCTCCAGTGGCCAGTCGGATACTTTTCTACGAGGAATTGACCTCACAGAGGAGGACCGCGACATTCTAATTTCCGAGGACTATGTACACGTCACTAAACCATCCAACGAAATCTATGAAAGCATGCGTGTTCTGTATGCTGATGTGAGTCGGTCTTCCCCTGAAGCATGTCTGCCAAGCCTCCCCTCGCTGGACATTATCCACGCATGCACGCAGCTGTATTTTGAACATTTTCACCCGTGTTTTCCAATCCTTCACCAAGGTACCTTTGAGGCTCGAAGCTCGTCATGGTTGCTGTACCTTGTCATAGCCGCTGTGGGTAGTCAGTACTCACGACTTTCAATCCGGGCAAAATTATTCGCTGATCTAGTCAAGATCGTTCGAGTAGCCTTGCTTCAAAAGGTATGTTCTCAGCTTATATTCAGTACGATACCATCAGAGTTGTTCTAAAAACAGAACAACAGCTCAACTACGCGTTGACGATGCAAAACAATCTTGAACTAGCCCAAACAACCCTCTTATTCAACATTGCCCTCCTCTTCGGCGGCTCACGCGAAGGCATGATGCATCTGCAATACCAACGAAATGTGCTGGTAACGATGTGTCGGCCTCTTCTTGTTCCCGGAATCCTGTTCGCAAAGAGCTGGATATTATCGAACACAAGCGTACCGAACGTAGATTGGAGTCGATGGGTTGCGACCGAGGCTTGGAAGAGGGTTATTTACTTCACATGGTGTAAGTCAAGTCTTTATTGTGACTCTATCTCCTATGTCCCGTTACATTTAATTGACACAGAACTCGAAAGTGATGGAATGCTTCCAATTGATCTTGTTAGATCTTCCAACTATCATTGCGGTTAGTGACCTGCATATAAGTATGCCATGTCATGATGAACTATGGCGGTGTGAAAGCTTGCATGAGTGGGAGCGGGCCAGAGCCTTTAACAGAGGTAATTTAGAACATCAATGCGGTCGAGAGCAATTTGTAGCTGACTTGGCCCGATCAGATCCCCAGGAATGTCCCGGCGTTCTTTCCTTACTCAAGATGGATGTTATTGACCATGAGCGCATCGACCAACTAAGCGATCCTGCGCTTTTGATATCGACCGTTTCGGTGTACGTTGCCGATAGGCAAGCTTCTCAGCAGCAATCATTGCAATTATTATCCGGCACACACACTATACCGAACCACCAGAATGTGGATTTTACAGAATCAGTCCACGCTGCCAGGCTTGAAGACACCGTCGATACCATTCTTGGTAGCTTGCAATATTCTGCTACCGAATGCCACCACAACTCAGCTATTTGTCCCATTGTCGCAAAATTGTCTCTCATCCTTAGGATGCTCCGCTTCATCAAATACCGCCCATTATATCTCTCTTCGGGGTGGATGGCCCAAGCCGAGGAGGTTCGTGCCGCCAGGCAACATATCGACGAGCTATTGCATGCAGAACCTAGCAAAGCTCGTCAGGGCCTGTTACATGCTGCCCAGCTGTTCCGCATAATTCGTTCCCAGCGTCAATACGACCCCTTCGACTCTTTTATTCTACTTATGGTTGTTCTATACATATGGAATTACGACAAATACGTGGTTTCACATTCCCCTTGGAACGGAGACAACGAGGAAACTCTCCGAATCGATCAAAATATCGACGGAGATTTACAAGAGGAATGGATTGCGGGTACAAAGCGCAAGCAACTTCATATCAGTGGAATAGGGGTCCTCAACGGCCAGGATAGCATGTCCCGCATCATCAAAGAAGCAATGAGGATCTTGAATCACGACAAAGCTTGGTCGCGCCAGGCAGAGGCTATCAAACACTCATTGCATCAAATATTGAAAGGTGGTGCCCCGTCATTTGCCGACGTGGAGGCTGCGACGAATGAGACCGTTACTTAACACTATAATTTGAAACTAAGGCTAATGAGCGGACTTGCTGGCGACCCCTTTCCAATTTCAACCTTCGCATTTAATGAACACTCTTATGCACCGATCTGCCCCACTTTGGCCAGACTGCGTTGTCAATGCCCAGTCGTAGTCCACTTTCTCGTCACTATGCAGACTGCAGCCAGTGGGTCTCCCCTTACACTAGTAGCTGTAACAGGCTACATACTTGGATACAAGCTCGATGATCAGTACCCGTAATAGCAGTTTTGCCTTTCGGTTTCGTGGTTCGGAAGTGAACTCGCGAGTTGTAAGCTCCGCTTAGTCACTGTGAGTTACTTCATTTCTCCAGCGAGGGGCCGACGGGGCCGACGGGGTTCCCCACATAGTATTACGGTTGTAGATCATTACTATAAACGCACTCCAGCTTGGTCATTTGTGTCGCACTATCGAGAAATCATTAAAACAAGAGTAATGTCAAATTCGTTTCACTTAGCGTGAGCTGGTTTCATTAGATTCGTAGCTACATACCATTATTCGTCCTTACAGCATAAATAATAGGGGGTATGTCATCGCGATGCTTCTAATAACGTAATTCCCTAGCGAGCGGAACACCCCAACCAAAACGCGTCAATTAATCAGCCCGTTCTTCTTCAACCAACCACCATACCTCTAATTCGCTCCTAAAATCGTCAAAAATAAGTAGAGTAAGAGGGGCGTATCTTACTTGATATATAAGCTATTAAAAAGTAAGGAAAATTGTTAATTCATAAGGCAGTAGATATATATAATTTGCCATATCTCCATGATTTCTTCGCCAACAGGGCCAATTTGTTGCAACGTTGGCGAGGCCACTTGAGCATTTGTCACGTCCAATGCTGGCATTGTATCATTTTGCCAATTGACAAGCATCCAGAAGATATCCAAGAGTCCCGCAGCAGGAGGCTCACGAAGATCGGCATTTTCGCCTTTAACCAGGAGCTCCATATCTTGTACCCATTCGTCGAGGGCAACCACGCTAGCATCGCATGGTTTAGCCACCAGCCCGGTAAGCGACTGCCACTCAGTGGCTGCAGAGGTTGTGATATTGTAGACTGTCAATCCAGGGTCAGTTCGGTAACGACAATCTCGGACAATCTCCGTCATAATTTGAGCAGCAGCATCCTAGAGAATGTCAGTGATCCTTCCACAGGTGCATTGTCTAGATTGCAGTCATCACGTACGATCCGAAGCCAGTCCACTTTAAATGGGCCCAAGCTATCAGGGAGCTTGCGCATGGTTTGCGACGACCGTACCAGAAACGGAAGCCAATCGCATGTGTTCCACATGCCTACTTCAGAGTGAGACGGCCCACCAAGCTGACCGACACGATGGATTGCGATACGCAACCCGCTACGTTCAGATGCAATTTGGTAGAGATTTTCGCCAACAAATTTCGACTCTCCGTACCCCTCTGCCTAAGTGGGCCTTGTATCCCCGGGAGAGTCTCTGGAACAGTTGAACCCAGAGTCACAGGCTGGGACATGACGGCTGAGACAGAAGAGACGAAATGAAAGTCTGCATTGTGAGAGGATTGTTCAATCAACTTCAATAGTCTTCGCACGCCAACGATGTGACTCGCAAAAACTGGCAATTGGCTGGTTGAAGTTGACAAGCCAGGCATTGTGTATAACAATATCAATGTTCTTCTTGAGAAAACTGTACTTCTCTGGTGTCAGGCCCAAGTTTTCGTCCCTTAGGCTGCTCAGCCAGAACTGCACTCGAGATGTTTCTGTCAACCAGGTGCTAGACATGTTCTTCTTGTCAAAGTTTGCAACTTGTCGCTCTGCTGCATCCGCAGTTGGATTCAGGCAATATATCTGCGTGATTGATGGATCCTGCAATAGCATATTGAGGATATAGCTACCCAACTCACCAGTAGAACCGGTCAAGACAACAGTCAACCCACCAGAGCCAAGGAACTGTGCTTGTTGCCAGTTGATTTTGTTATATTATCCTCCCGTGACCAGACCTGGGCTTGAAGAGAATCGGTTGCAGGGGTGGACCCGTGAATGCGCTGAAAGAGAGTCTGGGCCAGCAATGGGACACTTTCCAGATCGTAGATCATGGCACTAGTCCAATCCTCCCTCTCTGTACTCACATGCAATTTATTTCCAGCTTGTTGCAGAATCTGAGCAAGCCGGACGACTTGAAGCGAATCCATCCCTAGAGCGGCTTGGTCACTCTCTGAGCTGGTAGTGTCCTGAGCAAGAGTTTGCGCAATCTGATCTTGAATCCACTGCTGGATCTCCGAGAGTTGCGATCCTGGGGCCGCTTCAATCTCCCTAGGTTGCATCTCAATTTTCTTGGGAGCATGAAGCTCGGCCAAGTCGATCTCGTATATTTTGGCAATTTCGCGTCTGCGGAGCGTTCCCTTAGGTGATAAAGCAAAGCTTCTTCTCTTGAGAGGCGAAAGCAATGTGACTTGCAAAGACTTTCCCGTGGGCCGGTAAAAGGCTGTTCGCTTGTTCAACTAGAGGCCAGAGTGTCCGCTTCAGATCGTCAAATGTCCAACAAGAATCCCAATGTGAGATCTGATGCCTCTGGGGGATACGCTCCTTAATAGGTACGTAGAGATGTTATTCTATGCCTTGCCCCATAGTTATCTGGATTGATAGAGAATCGGAGCAAACATGACATGCAATTAAAGAGACTTAAGGTACAGATGAAGTTTAAACTAATTGCCACCCTTCAGCAACCATATCATCAAGGTGTGCGGTCAAACAATTGGTTCCATCAAACACATGGAAAAAGCCGCCAACTCCACCTGTATCGCAATTCACAATAGGTGCGCCACAGATACCTTCGCAAATAGCGCTATTAATACCCCCAAACAACGAACTGATAGTATAAGCCTGCCACTTTCTGAAATCAAATGGTGGATGTCCCGGGGGGCGCTTTGGCTTCATATCCATAATTCCATACGCTATCACAGTGATTAGGCCTGAGCTCATTCCATCAATCTCACTCCATGTACCCTGCTCGATCTGGTCACCTCCCAATAGAAACCTAGGAGGCTCGGCTTGGAAATATGAATTGTTCTTGTAGCTTTCAGCTGCCGCTGGTGCTAGACTGACGAGGGAGATGTCAAGCTCAGGCCTTATATCGAAGACTTCACCGATTTTGTCGGCGGTCGCGCGAGGGTGATATACTTTATTTGAAAGTAGGAAACCATGATTTGCAACTGTCAGGGCATACTCACCGTGAGAATTAACCATTCTCACACCCGAAGTTGTCGCAACATTCGCAAATTCGTTCGCGGATCCTGGATCGCCAAACCCACACTCTAAGCGACAGCCTGGTGTGAGGAATGAATCTCTGAGATAGTTTGCGTCGTCTTGGGGCAGAGGCTGACTCGCATCCATGTGCTGTTGAGGATCTATTACTCGCATTCGGCTCTGATCTTTCATCGCCATATAGAATGGCTCTGGTTCATGGTGGTATAGGGTTGTCCGACCTGCGACAACACCCGGCAGTGACATTGGCTTGTAGTTGCGGCCATCTCCGTGTGTCAATTCCACGATTGTCCAGTTGGGCAAATAGAGGATTGCTCGCACATCCGCGAGTGGTGCCAGGGCGACCAACATGGCAATCCTTTGTTCCTTTGTTGGGAATTGCATCTTGGGCCAGCGCAAAGCCGCAGGATATGGGTCCAGGACCCGAGGATTTGGATAAGGGGCGCGAGGAAGGCTTTCAAAGTGGGATTCGCCAGTCCCAACAAAGTACACTGGCATGCAGCCGACAGTAAGAGGTACTGGCTGTGGTGGGCTATTAGTCTCAATCCACATGAACCAGCCGGATGCCCCGCGTCTTCCATCCCCAAATTTGTTGCGGATCCAAGCCGACTCTTCCTGCGTTGGGAGTCGAAATTCTCGATTATGTTCGTCCCAAAGTGTAAACGGCGCTCTATCGTTCATGTGGCGCGCTCCCCAACCGCCAGGATTCTGCCAGCGTTTTGGCTCCGAATGAGAGTGTGTTATCGGCGCTAGGGGCTTCACGGTTGGTCGTGAGCGAAGAGGATTGGGCAAAGCTCTGGTGTAGATATCAACATATGGCGAACTCGTTTGCAGCCGCTGTACCTGCGGCGATAAGCGAACTGAAGTTGCCATGGTTTTCGAAGTCCAGCAAAACAAGACACACAAATCAAGAAGGCAAAAGGACGAAGTGTTTATGAAATCAGTTCCAGAATGATGCTGATCAAGAATATTAATCGATCAATGTGAAATCAGTGGGCTCAGATAAAGGTCAAAGCTGAGTAGATCGAAGAGTTGGGTGAGTTTCCGGATCGACTGGCGGAGGAAAGTATGGTAAGTTTGGGAAGGTGGCGCCGTCGATTCTTATGGAACGGCGGGCTAAATCAAGGATATACGTAAATATGTGTCCTGAACTTGTCACACGCTACTTCCATCTAGATTTCAAACTGAAATAAGCATTGATCACGTTATAAGGGGCTAATCAAACACCTTGTCTTATACAAGGACGCGATAAGGGTTCAGCAATGAGCAGCCTTGACTTTCTGACAGACCCAACGATAGAGAGCACTAGTGTGCTCCCCGGCGTTTGGGCAAACCGAGCCAAGAACTGCCAATAGGATCGCTGCAAACGGCAAAGCAAAATGTTGGGAACACTGCTCAACTCGTTGATAACATTGCCGCTACTACGCGAGCCCACGGTAAAATGCCCGGCCAGCAGAGGCAAGGCCAAATGGTCGTGGACAGGTCCGAAGTTTGATCAATTTATGGAAGACGATATTCTTGGTTTGAAAGTCACCGTGGATGAGAGAAGCACGATTTCTTGGTTGATAATCCCCGTCAGAAAAGAATTGAATCATTTCCCCCACGCCAGGGACCTTTCCAAGAGGCCTGTGGGTGTGGATTTTGACTACCTCTCGCATCGTTTGAGTTCTGAGGATCGCAGTCAGTAAGGGCTTTGTGAGAAATTGCCCAACAAAGCTCTTATGTTACTGTTTCATAATGGGGTATAGGTAGACAGTTTATGGCCATGATCTATGGTCTACTCTATTGCAAGGCTTCAAGAAAACAATCATTCTTCTTTGTTATTTCTCATATTGACTTTAGAAACTTCGAAAGAATCAAATGACCCTTAAGTCTGGCAATCTTGGAACATACAGAGCTGCGGGTATCTCATTGTGTACTTCGCATTCTCAAATAGACACAAAGCCCTTTCTGATTGTAGAAAAACCCAGTGAAGTGTTCCAAAGGCCTTTCTGGATTGATCAACTCCATCTCATACCGGCGGAAGATCTGCGGCAGGACCTTGTTCAACTCGAAAAGGGCTAGATGTCTTCCAATACAGGCATGAGACCCTCCACCAAACTGTATTCGATCCGAATCAGTCAGCATCTAATGGATATGAACGTCTTCCAACCGATCTGGGAAAGGACTGAATCTGAAGAAAAAGATATATCTTACCTGGAACATGCATCTTTCCATTCTTTTCAGCCTGTCCGCATCGGCTTCAAGCCATCTTTCAGGCCTAAAAGACCTGCTGTCGGGCCCAAACACTGTCTCATCTCGGTGCATGACCCAGGCACTAACACCAACGCGCACTGACCCAGGCAAAACTGTATCATTGACGGTAGCACCCCCCTTTGGCACTGTACGCGTAATATTGTAGGGAAGGGCAGGCTGCAATCGCATAGTTTCTTTGAGACAAGCCTGGAAATACGGAAGTGCTATGCCTTCATCGTATTGGACGATAGGCGAGAGCTGCACTTTGAGTAGCTCGGCTGTTAGTTTGCGGTGAACGTCATGATTCGCCAATACGTGCCAGCAAAAACTGTGCATTGTTGATGCAGTAGTATCCGAACCGGCGGCACTATAGGGTTGTTAGTTGATCGGTCTCCGTTTAAGCTACGACTTCAAAGTTTGCATTTAGGTCACCCATACATAGCACCCATAGAAATCGCCATTACATCTTCCATTCCAAACTGGTCTGGGCTGCTGACATGTGCATCTAAAAGTGATTTCAACAAACAAACGGCCGACTTCGCCTTTTCGTTGTCAGTCGGTTGAAATTCTTTCAGGACTGACTCGGCGGTTTCAGGCATCATCCTCAGTTTATTCTTTGGCAAGAAGGGAATGTACTTCCAGATCGGGTTGGACCGTGTCAGGCGTTCAAACATGGGTACTTGAGCGAGAAAGGAACTTTCGTATGTCGATTGGCTGATAGAAGAAATGAACTGATCAACGTCCTTGCCTTGCTTCAAGAACCCGAACGGACGATCGAATGCAAATTGTGCGAGAGCCTAAAATCGTCTCAGCAAATATGCGACTGAAAGAAAGTATTCAATGTACCCACATCAAAGGCGAAGAAGTGTAGCCAGCTACCGAGATCGAAGGTCTCCGCTTGAGTTTTGGCCGCAACAGAGTCCATGATTGAAAGCAAATCCAATGTAACACCTTCAATTTGTTTGTTTTGCTTCTTCACTGATGCGAGGCTGTAAGGGGGGCCGGCATATCTTTTCTTCTTACCATGCACTTTCTCGCGGACCTCTGTGAAGATATCCTTAATACCATCAGGCAGAAAGACTGTGTAGAAATCTGTTTTGTGGAATCCTCGTCCAGTCCGGAAGATATCTATAGCAGCCTCGGGAGATGCGAAAGACAGTTCATTGGGGCCGATTCTCACTATGGGTCCTGTTGTCGCGGTCAGCATTGAACGGCGATACATAATGAGAGATGCTGTGTCGAATACCATATTTTTGATGAACTTTGAGGTAATAATCTTCCACATGACCAGTCCATGCGATATAGACTGCAACAGCACTATTAAATTTCGTCCAAGAATACTAGGTGTATATTCGCAGCCGTACCTAGCCAAAATCTTGTGCAGGAAGCAAGGAAAGGTCCTGGGTATCTGTAAAGTGGTCTGCAATATCGGTTATACAGCATGCGAACAAAGATTCCAACAATGGCGAGCGGAAGCAGACTGAGACTGAAGCCCGGTGCTGCTTGGAAAGTAATCGAGCTCGACAGCATCGTGGTAGGATATATCCATATAACGCTCTCTGGGGCAATATCGCTCAATAGGATAAATGAATATAAAGCAGGAAATAGTATTTCCGAATGCGACCAGTGGATTATCCTTATAAACCCAGCAGAAAGAATAGTCTTCAGGATGCGCCCGTGGACTTTACTCAAGGTAGGACACACTCGTCCCACGTCGAATCCATGTACCAAATATATTTGCGGGGTCTCAACGCCCCTCCCCCCGCACGCCACGTACGGACATCATGAAACATCTCCCACTTGCCTTTATAGCTGGTTGAATGATCGTGCATTATTCCATATTGCCGTGCAGATCAATCTACATGTTTTCTATAGCAACATCTCTCGGAAATATGCGCCTTGGTCCATATTATGTTGACCTGGACCCACGAACACTGAAAGACAACAGACGCCAAATATTGATACCCAATGCAACCTTTCAATTCCGTGTTACAGGACTTCGATTTATCTATGGTTCTCTCAGTCGATGAACAGTAGAGAAAGAAAACCAGAAGAACTCTATTTGCACGTTGAGTAGCTGGCTCTACGGCTGAGAGTGTGGGCTGCGATTAAGTGATGCATTCAGTTGATTACTTCGGTTTTCAATGATACCTGGACACACATGTTTTTGTTTTTCGTGTGCAGCGTTTTGCATAAATAAACTTCTAACACACATGTTCTCCTTCTCTCGCGTCTGTCAACCCCTTCTCCACAGCATCCATTCAACAAGAGCGATTGTTCTGTGGGTACTCTTCTAGGCATGGATACAGCTCATGGGGATCAGGTTAGTTACAAACCATGATTAATTGTAGCTCTTCAGACCCTATGTCGTTCACTTCGGGATAAGAGATCAAAACGCGTCCACTTGTTTCCTTCCTTGCCATCCCCAATCCCATTGTTTCCGTCAATCCACTTGATTTTTCCTGGATCTTGTTCTTCCTGCATTCTTCGTCATTATCAGTACGGTACTGTATCCTGAAGCTTATCCCCACAGCCCAGCCCCACGGATATCTCACACCTGAATAACCTCGTTATGCATAATTTCAACCCAGATACTAATCATGAACTCCAGACTCTGGCCATCACCAAGAAGCAAGACCTAATGGGCGAACCCTTATCAAAACAACGAAGAAAGCGATATCGACAGCGACAGCGACAAAAGGCCAAGATACAGAAAGCCAAGATGGCCGAACAGGGCGGCGTCACTCAAGAAATAATTATTCCTGGACAGGAAGTCGTCACCCAAGATGTATTCAGTTCTGTCGAGGGCGCGAATGAAAATAAATACAGGCCAACTTTCCTACCAGAGCCTCTCATTCCTAGAACCTGTGAGTATAAGTCCTACAACGTTACTTATTTTGCCCTTCTTGCACTGAGAGCTGACATAACGGCAGGCTCTGAGAATGGTCGAAAGCTGGCTGTTTTTGCCAATGTATTAAGATCGATCTACCAGCGCCGTGATTGCGTGGATGTTGAAATAAATATTCTCGGAGCTCAGCTCGCTGCCCTGGAAGTGCGGTTGAACGCCGTTCAAAAAGAAGAAAGGGACCTTTTTGGGTTGTATCTCAGAGAATTTTCTGAAGAAGCACGCTACCTGTGCAGAGCGCCATCAGAACCTGCAAGCGACAAATGACGTGTCACAGAAAGTACTGAGGTAATGGCTTTTATCTTTCGGACCTTGAGGCTATGACAGTAGAACACCCTGTGTGAATCAAAGCGCTTCATCATGAACACCACAGCTCTACCCTAGCAGGCACATGAAGCCTTGTGTTATCATCTGCGTCGAGTAGGGCTTAGAAGGCCTTGGAAATCTTATTTCTTGACAATTCTCTCGCTCTATATTTCTAATTTTTGCTCTTTTCTATTCGTATGAAAAAGCGTCTGAGGCTTTCAGGCTCATCGAAGATTATGATATGATGACTATATGTTGGATAACTCTCTGCAACGCGGCTAGATTCAATTTGCACAGGTGTTCCTCCGTCATAGCGTAAGAAGTCTAGAGCATCTCGATCTTAAGTACAAATAACGCCAAATCGGGATTTTCCTTCTTCGAATCGCTGCCTCGTGGACCGCGCCCTCTCCTGCGAGGCCGATTGGCTGATTCCCGACCGGTAGACGGGGAAGACTTCCAGTCTCGCGACTTCTTTGACAGAGTCCACAGCGCAAATTTCCTTCTTTGAGTCGCTGCCGCGTGGACTGATCTCAGTGCTGCGATACCTTTTTCTTGGTGACCGACCCGTAGACGGGGAGGACTCCCCAGGTCGTGACGCGACTTCCTTGATAAAGCCAATATCCAAGGATTGCTAACTCCAGGTCGGTACTATCATATATATCTTGGTATTTTGACATGTTGTTCAGTCATGCCCATCTGAGGAGATGGGATCCTTGGAATTGCTGAACTCACTGTATGACTCTGTCTGCCGATACTTAGGCATAAATATGGTGCTGCTTCATCATATACAACACAGTAGGAAGTGTGGAGAAAGACGCGTCTCTATCTTGAAGGTTCTTGTATAATATAGGGTCAAGGCATGACAAAGAAGTAGAGGATCATGTTGATGTGATGATATATTGAAGAAAAGAAAAGGAACCAGGTGCAGAAGAGCTTATTTATAGCTGCCAATAAAATTACATCACTCACTGTCACGGGCTTGTTGAAAAGGGTCTTTAGAACTCGTATGCTTAACAGGGCAAGCCCCTATGCCTGGAATATATGGCGCGCTCTATCCTTCGATGGAAAAATCGAACGACATGACCGTGTTTCAGTTCTGAAGCAACCGGCGTCAAAATCAAAATCATTAACAGTAAAGAAATCTGAATCTTCTACTAATCTAACGTTCTTGATGTTTGCTTTTCTTATTAAAACTTTTAGATATCTTATAACATCTATTTTTGATCTCAATGGTAGTTCGAGTGCTGTTGGAACTGCTAGTATTCAACTCACTAAAAAGGCCGTATATTGTCCCATCCTTACAACTGCCTCTCCTTTCCAAAGAGCCACACCAAGCTCCCAGATATTGGTGCAACAGAGGTCTTGATCACAATAATCAGGTTGTTGTGTAGAATATCCGATCGGCTCTGTTGAAGTACACCAACAAGCCATTGAAGCGGGTGATCGATTCTGTTGTGTCCCGCAGAGAGCCTTCGTCGACCATTCTTTGTGAGGCTTGTGTGAGTGACTTGAATGGTGGTTCACCTCGCCGTTCCCTGCTACAAGTGATGCGAAGAACCACTGGAGTGGTACATTTGCCTGTAGAAACGTTGACGTGGACTCAAAATCCCTAATGGACACGGACTAAAGTTCGCAGCGAATCAAGGTATGCAGGATAAAATCGACCAAGCTACCAACTGGGCCATTTCTAAATACGGAAGTAGATACTGCATGCCCAAGGTTGTGGTGGTCAAGGGTGGGGAAGAAAGTATTCGTGCCATGGTCGACTCTGGATCTGGAAAGGCCAGCATGCAAAAGTCTGTTGTTGAGCATCCAATTTGAAATCGCAGGATGGCTGTGGCAATGGATTGGAAATACATGCAAATTTACCGCGGTTCAAATTTCCATTCTATGAAGCTCGCTTGTGTATGACAGCGTGACATTTATCGAGCCACTAATGGTGGGGGAGCGGCGAATGCCGAGCTCTTTTGGATGCGCTGATTGGCTGAGAAAAGTCCGGGGTAAATGCTGCGGGGTAGGTTGATCATGCAACTGGTAAGTAGATATCATGACTTTCCTGCCACTTTTCTCTTCCTTTTTTCTTCCTCTATCTGACCGGAAAAATGACTTCGAAATTTCCCGCCATGTCAAATTCAATTTTCCAGCCCATCGACGTTGCGGCGCTGGAGAAGTATCTCTGCCAAAATTTACCAAGCATCCAAGGTCCCATTTGGGTCACGCAGGTATGTTAATCTCGATGTGGATTCGTGTTACAGGTGCGCTTCTGACCTTTTTTTTATATTGATCCAGGTTGGTGTTTGCCAGTTCAGTCCGACATACTTTATCCATGATCGCGCTGGACACCAACTGGTCATGCGCAAATACCCACCAGGATCGTCTGTGGAAAATACTACCCGTAGACTCGAACGCCAATACCGTGTTCTACGCGCCTTGGAAAATTCGAAGATCCCTGCACCAAAGCCTTACTGCTTATGTGAAGATCCTAGCATTCTTGGAACATCGTTCTCCGTTGTGGAGTTCTTGGATGGCCGAACCTTCCACGATCCGAGCTTACCCGGTGTTTCACCGAGAGAGCGAGATCAAATGTAGGTTTTCATTTTTTTCGACAACTTGCAAGCCCTCGATTTGAAGACGAAGCTTATTCGTTTCGATCAATCTAGGTGGCGTGAAGTGATAACAACATTGGCGAAGCTCCACAATGTCAACATCGATGTAGTGGGATTGGATAGTCTTGGCCGCCGAAGTGGCTTTTACAGACGTCAAATTCAGAACTTGCAGGACTCAGAGGAGTCTCAGCGAGTGGCAGTTGATGTCAACACCCACAGACCTGTTGGAAAGGTCCCTGGCGTGGAGGAAATGATTCAGTTCTTTTCTGACGGGGATTACCAACCAAGAAATCGCGCTTCTCTCATACACGGTGACTTCAAAATCAAGAATATCGTCTTCCATAAAACAGAGCCCAAAGTGGTTGGAATTTTGAAGTACGCACACCCAAGATCCTCACTGATCTCCTTACTCAAGTGCTAACCTTCGCCTAGCTGGGAATCCTCCACAATCGGCCATCCACTCTCAGACCTTGCGAATCTTTTGCAACCTTGGACAGTCTCCGAGATGTCTTCAGCTGCAGCTGAGGTACTATCACTGCCATCGCGGTCCCCGGCTAGTGTTGTGGGTCTGCCTTCGATCTCTGATTGTCTCACTTGGTATAGCAAGGTGGCAGGGTGGAACCCAGAAGCAGAAATGAGGTGGGCAGATGCGTTCGCCTTATTTAGAATGAGTGTTCTACGGCAAGGCATAAGCGCACGTGTTGCTGCTCAGCATAATAGTACTACTGCCGATGTTGAGGCTGGGCGAGGTATATCTGTGTGTGCGGCATTGACCCTGCGAATCATAAGCAAGATGAGGGACATCCATGTTCACTCTCGTGCGAGGCTATAAGTATCCAGTATACCTATTTAGTCAACCCATTTTTTCTACATAGCATAACTCAAGCCTTGTCATACTTTCATCAGGAATGCTGCATAGGGAAGAGTAAATAGTGATTCGTATTTAGACCGCTGCATTACGGCATAATTTGAATGATAGGTTTTTGAGAACACCTATGACTTTTCAAATCACAATGGTTCCAATAGCCCCTCTGGTACAGTAACATATTTATGTTCCGTCATCAAGGCGCAGTCCAAACAAGCTTTTCAGGTCTCACCTGGGCAGCCGGGAACAAGCCCGAACCTTGGAACTTAATTTGGGTTCCCGGCCTTATGCTACTGGATCTCCTGCCACTACGTAGCACCCACTGCTCGCGAATCTCAAGTCTTCACCGCTCATCGATTACTCCAGTCCCATGTATCCCCTTCACTTAATATGACTTTGCACCCATCTCAGTATAATCGGCTGTGATGTTTACGTCAACGCGACCATGATGTACACCATTGCAGCCGATTCCTCTACTGGAGCGGAACATTTGATTAGGTACTCACTATTTGAACACCAAAAGATTGGTTGAACACCGCTTTATCTCTATATCCGGTATGGTGCAGCAATGGTAATTCAGAAAAAACGTTATGTTAAGCATTCAAGGACATCGCATCATCTCGCTTACTTCACATTAATTTACAAGATAAAGCTTCATTAGAGCCATGATATAGGTAAAAAAAGATGGTTTAGTGAGTACCACTCTTGAATCGCCTTGCATTCTAGCGTTGTCTATAGAGTAGCGTGGGCAAGTAGGTACTTGGTTTTGTACTCAATAAAGTTACTCCTTGAATATTGGATACTGCACTAATCTAACATGCGGTTAGTGAGGGGTATTCAACTAATTCTGCTTTTAAAATTCCAACCTATAGTAGCCCGAAATGGTGTTTTACCTTCTGAATTAAGATATCGACGCCATGTCGGATATGAAAATACCGTGGTGTCCAACTAATGTTGTGATGTTCAATTATTGAGCTTCTTGAATTATTCCATACGTGCAAAATCTATCCGGTAAAGGAAGAAGCCAGTCTCTTTTCCCAGTTCCACAGTGGTCTTTTGTATCAGCGCCATTGTTTTGGCGCTGGTTTAATGTAATACCCTGTGCCTTCCAGCCACGAGAGTGCCAAAATCGCCGCTCCATGTATAAATTAAGCCTGATTTCAGCTTGATTCCTCTGCTACGTGCATCCCTCAATAGGTGGCGTTGCTCCGTTGAACATAACCGATTTTTATCTTTGCTGTCTAAGATTGCCTCTGCTATCGATTAGCAGAACCTCTAAGTGTCTTGTGTGCGAAGGGCTAGGCCTAATTGCCATAATAAAAAAAGTAATCAGGGTTGCATTTCAACTGTTAAAATGACAAATTGTCACCATGCCTGCTATCACCTCAAGCACACAACGTCCCTAGCAGATTCCTTCTACTGTGTCTTCCACAGCTGGCTTGACCGCTCGGACTTTCCACTCATGAAAGTCTGTTGCGCTGTCGATCCATCTTCCTCTGCTGTCAATTCGCGCTGTTCGAATCAATGGCGACGTTGATTGTAGCTCGCGAGTCGCAGTTGTTCCGAAAGCAAAGCTTCAAGGCGCGCCCTGAGCTGGTCGCTCTGTGCCTTCAAAGTTTCTCCAGATTCCAGCCCTGTAAGGGCTTGGCGCTCAAGATACTCAAGCTCGGCAGCTGCAGCATTGCGCCGGATTATGACATCCAAGCTTGCATCCATGAATTGTTCACGCGTCAGGGTAGGAAGAACTAATTCACATTAGTATCTGCTGTGGCCAACAAAATGATAATGTCCGTCAAAGTATCGCAAGCGATAGAGAAGGCTATGCATGCTCTTACCTGGCTCCTGCTCTTCCTCCTCAGCCTTGATCTTCTCCTCGCCTCCCTCGCCTTCTCTTATCCCATTCTGGCTAGTCGTGGGCTGGTTGGCTGCTGTCACATTCTGGTGCTCGTTCGCCATCATCTCGGCTGGGCCCTAGGATTCCACGTTGTGCGATTAGCTTTTATCATGAATCATGACCGACTGTTCTAAGGAGCGGAAGTTTTAGAAAGGAGAGGGAGGGACCAGGTGATCATTAAAGACAAAGCTGCTTCGTCGGGGTATCCCGTAACAATATTGATAGAATCATGGGATGTCACCAGCCGCTGAATAGTCTGTCACGGTATCAAACTTACAAGTCTTCCTTCAGTGGGGTCCATTATTGTAGGTAGATCGAAGCTTGTAGTTGGAAAGGTATTGGGGTTGCGAGGTGGGGAGAGAAGATGTGTGTTGTTGGTAGCTTGATCACAATCATGCAGTGGTCGACGTACCATTAAATAATGCCGAATTTCTGGAGTTTGCCGCTGGCGGGATCTCCCACTGAAATATGAAAAGACACATGAGGCCCTCTTCAAGACATTAAATTCTTCAAACTTGACTTTAACATTTACTTAGTACATATTGGTACAAAGGCCTCCAAGGCCTTTAGATTGTCGATTCTGGAAAAAGGTGTATCACGGAAGATCCACAGGACTGAGCTACTCATACCAATATGATCTTTGTGGGCACTCTGCATTACCATTCCTGTATAACCTGGAAGCATGAAAGTCTCTGGGAAGGTTTACGCTCATCAAGGGTGAACTGCAGATGATGGTATTGCTTTGTGTTTCTCTTTTTATGGGTAGTTTGGTAGAAAAAGAAGAAAGCTACAAGCAAGAAGTGCTGTATACAGAAATTATGGTATCACACGTCAGCAAATTATAACTCCCTAGCTACCTCTCTGCGTGCCTTCTGCATCTTGTTCAACCCTGTGTCACCTTTGATCTTCGCGGCTTCCTCGACTTCCAGAAGAGCTCTTTGCGTCTTCAAATTCACTCTCTGCCTCTTTTCCGCAGTGCCCCCTCTCCTTCCCGTTGAACGACTGGCGAATCTTCTCCAGTGGGTGTGAAATAGTCAGTGACCAAATATTCCCAGAAAAGCAGCACTTGGTGAGACTTTTCCCGAGGTTCCTTGGCGTGAAAGCCCCGTAATTCCAATGTAACCCCCTTGTTCACATAATTGGAAGCATTTAGTGCGGGACTTCCGCGTGGGGCACAGAGCCGACATCCCTCTGTTGACGTTACGTATTGGCAGTTGAGTGAATGCTCTCCATGCACCGCCATGTGGGTAGCACAGCAAGCAAATACAGGGCATCAGCTTCGATGGATTTGGGACTGTGAGAACCAGTCTTAAAACCAGTCGGCTAGACTCAACTGCCTAGCAGTGGTCAGAACGAATGGGTAGACCCATATATGTCGGTCCAACGGGACTGCCCAAGCCCCTTCATTCAATTTGCAGTAACTGCCCATCCCCCATTGCAGGTTCTCGAATTGTTCTTTCCTCATCAATCCCTGGTGCCTTATAAATGAAGGAGTTTAGTCGTGGCAGGTAATTGATGAGTACTATAACATTCAGTCTCTTCGTTGAGCATTAAAGGGCTGCCACTGAGTTTCGTATCTCTTTGCGTCTTTCACAAGGCATTGCCTGCTGAGGATTGACTACATCACCGATGCTGCCGATTAGTATCTTTTGGTAGTCTATTTGGATATACAGATTCAACTTACTAGGTGTAGTCACTATCCTCCTCTTGCGAGCTGATGATCGTAATGTATTTGCCACCTGCCATGGGGCTGAGCCATGACTGGATTTGGTTGGCGTACCTATTTAAACAGGTTTGACTGAACTCAGCTATGTATGCTCTAGCCACCATCAACCTATTAGATTTATTTTATCATGGTAATATTTTGCTTGAATTCAAAATTTGCTACTCACCTTGGTGCTTAAAATGACTGGTAGATAGATGCTTCCAATAGGCCCAAGGAATGTTGGAATCCATTTTGAGCTACCCCTTATAACTCCAAAGCTTCTTGAAGATGCTCGGGGTGGTGGTTGAGAAGGATGAAGGAAGAAGGAGAATAATCAAGCTATCGAAAGTTGATGTATACGAGCTGCGGGGTGGAAAAGACCTGTGAGCCAGACATGGTATTAGTTACTTGCCAAACTGGAACCACACCTTCACTTGCACCCGATTGGTATCAGTTGCTAGTGAAGCCATTCCTTCATGCTCATTTCTCAGAACCAGAATATATTGCTTTCATATGCCTTTTTACATACCCAAGCGTCATTTCATGGTAATCAGTCCGTTTTCATGAAGCGTTCTTTTGCTGATACCTATTGCAAGGTATTCTGACACAGATACCTCGGTTGGGAGACATTTTTTGCCGGTGTGCCTTCAAAGCGGTCTTTGCGTGTATCGACATGGAATCCTGTCCACGTGAAGAATAAATAATTATATTATATAGATATAAAGCACAACGAGGGAAGGGATAGAGCAATAAGTAAGATGGCTTTGCATCGTGGAGAGATGGGGGAATCCGTTCAAGTATGGGCGCCCCGGACTTTGTGGGATATGAGATTTGAAATGGAGAAGTATGATGAAGAAGAAAACGTTTTGTCTAGATACAAGCTTACATACTACATGCAAATGGTCACATGATGTAGAGTAACAAACAAGTCCGGATGAGCTATCTTTATTTACCATTTGTCCTTGTCGAGGGTAAAGAATTCCGTTAATCCAACAGGCTTCTCAGACAGGAGGTTCAGACTTGGAGTCAAATCACATCGCGTGTAACACCTCTCATGTGAAACTCTCTGGAAAGGCCTAAGTCGGCAAAAATAGTGCAGATAACAGAGCCACTCTGGTTTCAAGTGGATGCAAAACCGTCATCAACTTGGAATGATTGAAGATGTAGGGCAATTGCTTTTATTAAAGTGAATGATTTGAATGATCTGCTATATACACTCCCAGGAGTGCGATATTATATTCAAATCTTGATTATACTACCCATGGTTCACCAGCTCCACCAAGCTCTAGCTTTGTATAGGCGGGCCAGTATTGGGGCCAATTGCCTAGCTGCCCCGAAGCGGGCTCGATCGGGAGACTGGATGACCGAACAACCGAGCTCATGCTCTTGGTCCTGGGCACATCCCGCTAAGCGCTTCAAGATGAAGGCAGACTTTTATGGTGTCAAATGACTTATTAGGATCCTACGTCATGGGTCGAGGGGTCACATTCTCGTGTTCGTTATTAAACATTGAGCCAGAACCTTGAAGGAACGATAACAAGCTCGGGGATGATTAACCGACTTGCAAGCTGGGCGACGCGACGCGAGTTAGCAGATTACACTTTCCCCTTTTATTCACTCCAGTCAGCCCCCTCGTGTGAGATGATCGGTGGGGCGGAAGATCGAGGAATGGCAACACCTTTCCCAATTGGGTAGGCAAGGAGCAGGAATGAACGGGTTCTTGAACGGCCAATCAGAAGCCAGTATATGCAGGCAACCAATGTTGGGATTGCCAAGCTGCGGCAAGGCTTCTCGATACGGGGAAAATTAAACCATCAAACAGTTGCTGAAATTCCAATACTTTATTGCTGTATGCAGGGCTAAACTTGGACGGAGTTTGTATTTCAACTGCCGATCTCGATATTCCCTTCAAGGATCAGGATTCAAGCCAATTATCACTCTGTTTATTCCCGTGTACTCCGAGGGGGCTTCAAATTTTTGCTGTAGATGTCTCCCTTGATCAAATCGTAGCAGGGTTACCTCGTAGAGTGCCTGAGAAATGTATACTATCCCCAGTACATTTACACAACACGAGTATTAGGCCCCGTGGCGGCGCCTTCAAAATATATGACCTGTCGGGGCGAAAAATTTTGGACTGGATACATAATCAGCTTAAGATTCGATGTCCAAAAAGTGATAATCAGACTAGGAACTCACAATGATTTTTTCAACCTCCTTCTTTATTACGGTTGTCTACGCGCTTTTGATAAGTGGCGCTGAATCGACCCACGACTCTCAAAAAGATCACTCAAAGTCAACATTCACCTACGACCAACTATGGAACCTTGAGAAAACCTTCTGGGATGCTTTTCTTTATCCCGCAAACAAAATCCAGATTCAAGGAAATGCATCCACTATCTTCGCATCCGATGTAAGACTCTACTCAGATGGATGTTAACTTCTCTCATATAATTAATCTAATTCATTAAATAAAGGTACAAGGTCGCGTCGACATTACCCGAACATTCGACGGCGACGAACTAAACCGCGAATACATCTTCGGCCTTTTCGCAGACCCAACCGCAATCAGTCTCGTGGGCATCCCAATTGATTACAGCATCACCCAGTTCTCAGCAAACGACAACATCGCCTCAGCGACAACTGTCGTCACATTCAACGCGACCACATTCGGCGTGACAATCCCCGTCACAATCGACACATGGATGGAATTCAACAAAGATGGCAAAATTGCACAGTACGATGCCGTATTCCGCTGGTTCGACTATCTCTTGAACTACTTGCTGGAATCCACTGCGACTAAATACAACACTACTTCCGCGGGTGCTGTTTCAATCGTTACTGATATCCTTGCCAAGGATATCTGCAAGACTCATGATCAGTATTGCACTGGGGATAACCAGCAATATCCCGCGGATGGCGTCAGTTGCTATGACTATTTGACCCAAAAGATTCGATTCGGGCAGAGTTATGAACTGGGTCGCAACACACTTTTGTGTCGTGAGGTTCACGATCATATGGTGCAGTATAGACCCGATATTCATTGTGCGCATATCGGTCCTACTGGCGGTGGTTATTGTGTTGATGATATGAGCTACACGCAAACTGTTCTTCAGCGGTATTTTAATGATTCGTGGATTCCGTTTGGGTATGGTCAGAAGCAAGATGTGTGGCTTGCGAACTGAAAAGTTCAGTTTGTCACACGTGAGCTGCATAATGCAGCCAGGTGAAGGTACTAGCTGCTCGACTGATTGTCTCGAGCAAATTTGCAGACGATAGTCAGCACTTGAGAGTACTTGCAATTATGCCAGGTGTCCTTGTCATCTGATGCTTAGGTATTTCAAATATTCGAATATCTGTCTGCCTTATTACAAGGATCTTTTTGCTCGCTCCTGTATTTTCTATTTTTACCACATTTTTTCGGTGATCTTTGTTTATCAACTTATGTAGTAGTCATTGATCCATTTCTTCATTATCCGGTACACATAAATTCTCATTACATCAACAGGTCTTCGCATAAAGGCTCCAGGCAATAGTAATCCGATATAATCCCGATATTATAGGTCCAAGTTTTTAGAACTTTGTTCACTCCCATGTGCACAGAGAGCGGAATCAACCGCTTATCTCTTATGGTGCCCATGGTGCCCATAATCATGACTGTGATGACGTCCACTCGATGAATGTTCTCTCTTGCTGCGATGCGCATCATGTGCTCTCTCAATTTCATTGGCAGCCACAGCTCCAAGCGCACCAGCACCCACAGTTCGAATAATATGACCAAATCCAGAGCTCACGTCCTCTCCCTCCTTCTTTCGGTGATGGTGAACGGCCTCGGCAACCGCCGCAGCAACTGCGGCTCCTTCGGCGAGATGGCGATCGTGGTGAGGATTGCGATTATTCTTGGAGCTCTTCCGGTGGTGTGAGCTTTTGCGGTCACCATGGCTGTGGCTATGACTGTGACTATTTGAACCACTATGATGATGGTTGTGGTTCCGGCTGTGCTGAAGCGAGTCCCTCGAGTCACGGTACGGCTCGGGCTGGCTGGGGTAATAGTAATCTCTAGCAGAACCCGAATTCATGATTCTTAATGGTTTGTGAGGGTTGATAAACCCGGGATGCAGTAGAGGCTGTAGGATTTTGCATTTACCTGCAGGCAAGGAGATGCACAAACCGTTAAATAATCCGACACAAAAGTTTTTCAGTAGTGGGGGAGTTTGATTGTGCTTTGGATGATATCATTCCCCACTGACTAGTTGACTAGTGAAACCTTGCCCGTGTGCCCGGGATGATTTCCATGTGAACGAGAAGTCAGCCTCATACTATAGAATGACTTCATGCAGATTTTTACTGTTATTTATTTCTCTTTTCCCCATTTTTCTTCTGTACTTGCATATACTGCCGTCTCATTGAATATTATATGCAATTCATCCATGGGTCGTGCTTGGTCTTCCAAGGTTCGGGACTTTGAATCCAATAACTCAAAATATTTATGCGGTCGCAAGGCCCTCCCGTCCCCCACCTTGGCACGATACAGCCTCATTCTTCGGTGGCAATTTCCACTTTCATACGCAATTATGTCTGGCCCGTGATGGGACTCGAAACTTGTTTTCAGCCTTGGAAATTCAGGCCATACATTCTGCTAGAAGATGCTATTGGCTATCTCTCACCTGCATAAAACATAAAAAGGTAAGAATAAAATCCAATCAAAGTTTACGATAGATTAGCGGCCTCATGTAATCCCATCACAGCCTCGAGAGGTTGGCAAATTCACCCGGTGCATGATAGGCAGGCACCTCCATCTTCAAAGCATCACCGGAGTAGCCCAAATCCTCTGCAACCAACATAGCGCATTTCTCGCCAATAAGCAGCGCAGTCTATTGCCCAAATATGTCAGGTTCAATTTCGATCATAGAGGAGAAGACAGAACACTTACACTGAAGGTATTGCAGCCGACATTGTCTGGACAGATAGATAAATCACAAACCTTGAGTCCTTTGACTCCATGAACATTCAGTCGTTCATCCACAACACCTCCATGCTTGGCTATGTCGCTGCCCTCGCGTGGAGCCATGCTGCACGTTCCAAGAGAATGCCAGGTTGTCTCAACATGGCGTTTAACTGTAATTGTAAGCAAAGTTCCAACAAGGAGATGCAAAATTTTCGAGAAAACATACCCCACGTCTCAACATGCTCAATATCCTCCTTTGTATACTCAAGGGGTTCCCGGGCCTCGTGCCTGCTAGAGTTTAAGCTTGAGGCTGAAGCCGTTTGACCTGGCTTCAAGGGCTCAGACCATGAACCTACATCCTTGGCATCAGTCTAATTTCTTTAATGGGGGAGGATAACGAAGTCATGATTAACTTACCGTGCTGAATACCAGCAGAGATATGATTTGGCCCGGCGTAAGCCTTTGTGGTCGCAAGATCCAGATCGCACGCCCGAGCCGGAGAGTTGTAGGCGAAATGAGGGTGCATTGAGGTGACTTCGCCAGCATATGCTCCCATGCGTCGAGCAGTCTCACGAGATTTAATGTATCCCCAGACCATAGGCGCCATGTCCCGCTTGTCACTCATGAAACCAGTGTCAAAATCAGGTTCCTCATATGGGTCAGCGGATTTGATATGAGTAGACCCGCGCGAGAATGGATATTCCTATAATTCTAGTCAGTATACTCAGGCAGACAAAATTTTCCTTAACGGGGTCTCACCAGGAAATGGAACATGGTGAAGAACTTGCCCGGTGGCATAAGCATATGATCACCGAACCATCCAGAAATGACCGCATAATGCATAACAGGCTTATCAGGCTTGTTCTTGAAGTAAGAATCCCACCCACTTCCAAATTCTGGTGTTGGCCACTTCTTCATCTCGTTCAGCTCGTCCTCTGTGGGACGGATCTTGACACCAGCTTCAATACCATTCGTTGCTAAGGGGCCGGTTCCCTTCAAGTTCCACTCGTCGAATACTTTCTTCTGAACTGCTGGGTCTCCTCGGAGGAAATCATCAAAGGATTCAACATCGGGCTTTGCCCGGTAACCGGAGAAAAACAGGTAGTGATCCTGGAAGTTCTGTCCGACTCCGGGAAGATTCACCAGGGGCTTGACACCCGCTTGGCGCAGCTTTTCTGGGTCACCGACTCCCGATCGCTGAAGCACAAGTGGAGAGCTGAGAGTTCCGCAGCTTAGAATAATTTGCTTTCGTGCTCGGAAGATTCTGCGAACTGGTTCTCCGCCATCCAGAGGCTTGGTAGACATAGTCACAACTCCTACGGCGCGGCCATCTTCGATGATGATTCTGTCCACTTTGGTGTTGCATTTCAGGTGCAAGTTTGAGTGCTTAGCTCTGGTGCTGTGAACGTAAGCGTGCGCTGCATCACTTCGTCGGCCTGTTTTCGGGCGCATTAGAAGGAGATTGATACATTTTTGACAATTTGGGCTTACTTACCTGTGTCACGGTTGATCCATTTTAGCCAATGCTCAGCTCCATGACTGATAGTAGGTTATCCGATTAGCCTTTTGCTCAAATGAGGCGGTGCTTCGTTTACATACCCAGTCGTCAAGTCCTGAAGATCATCAGTGGTTGGAATTCCTTGAGTTTCAGTAGCACGCAAGAAGTCTTGGGCGATGGGATAGGTGTAGTTCCCGAATGACACCTTGATAGGACCCCCAAATCCATGCAGGTCGCGGTTACTAGAGGCACGTTGGTAGGTCTCGTACTTCTTCATCAGCGGAAGTAGCTCCTCAGTCTTCCAGCCTTTGGCTTGAAAGTCATCGTAGTCTGAGGCTGAGGCTCTGGTATACATCTTGGCAAAATTAGCCTGCATCAAGAAACATTCCTGGAATAGATAACATACCATGAAGTTGATAGAGCTACCACCACCAAGGATGTTGGCACATGGCACGATAGCTTTGCGTCCATCCAAATGCTCCGAAGGGCGCGAATTGTAGAACGTTGCCGTTTTGGAGTCAAGCTTCATATTGACCGGGTAGATTCCAGGGCGGTAGACCCTAATCTTGTGAGCAACATTGACACACAAGAACTGATTTTAGGACATACCATGGGTTGTTGAGGTTATCCTCTCCTCCTTCAATCAGAAGAACGGAAAGGTTATGGTCGAGATTGGCGAGGCGGCCAGCAGGAACACATCCTGCACTGCCGCCACCACAAATGATGATATCAACTTCGTCCGGAATAGTCATCGCTGTAGATGATTGGCAGCCCAGTGCCAATTAGCTAGTCATCAAATTGAGCTGGTTTATCGTTTTGACGGGGTGCTCTGGAGCATTTTATATGTTTCGCAGGGATTCTGTCTGTGCTACCTCTTACTGGTACCATCTAGTACTTTTGGCAAAGTAGATCAACCCCGATTTTTACATGGCTTGACCCCGCGCGCGGGGAGGATTTGAAATCATTAATTGAGATATGAGGGATAACTGATGGCCAAAAATATGAGGCGCATTACAGGCATTCTAGATTGCGGCTACTTCCTTGCGTGGCATCCTGATTCTACCGAGGCCAGATATCATTTCGGGAAATGAAAATTGAAAAGTGGCACTACAAGCAGTCCCTATGGTCATCTGGGCAGTCTGCTTTTAAGGAAAGTCCTATTTATCATTTCTGGGGACAAAACGGCCTCACAGGTCATCCCGGTCCCCCGAGGTGTATGTGTTTTGTCCTTTACGTTTTCTGTATCTAAATGCCAATTGGACAAACCAAGCCAAACTTCAACCAGTTCAGTTCAAGGATACAGACAACTAAACAGGTAGGTACCATGATGCTCAATGTGGGGTCTACTTCTGCGCTGGTCATCGAACCCCAGGCTCTCTAAACTCTAATGGACCGGGATTTGCTTTATGTCAGGTTCTATTCCAGGAAATAAGACCAATGCATGATAGGCTCGGAGAGAGCACAATTCATGGTAGAATCTGGAGCGCTCTGTCTTATCTTTGACCAGTTTCCTAGGGCATCGCTCCGGCAACAAAACATCCTCATAGCCTTGGAATACTCTGATACGGGACTCATGTGTGATCGGCATATCACAGGGACTTATTTCAAGCTATAATCACAGGTATTAGTTACCGGTCCCAGTTCTCTAAAGGGTTTTTAACAAAGTAAATTCATTATCAACATGGAATATCATACAAAATGGGTACTCAAAACCGGGCTACTTCTTTGGTAAAATTGAGTTTTCGGCTGCTCACATCCGGGGATGTTGCCGGGCTAAGGGAATAGCTGAAAGCACAATGATGTATTCGACTTTGGTTTGGTTCATTTAGTTGGTGGATAAATACCAACATGGCTGAATTCAGGATGGTACATGCAGGCACTGGTGCAGGGTTCTATTCAGCCAGTGATCTACTATAGCCACCTAGGTGCTATCCAAGCTTCCCCGCCTTCTGTGGGGAGATCTCCCGGTGTGGGGTACGTAACCTTCATTGTGACATTGCGCTTGGTCGGGATTTGAGTAAGATAAGCATGAAGTACGACGGGATACAAAATAAAGACCGCTTTATCTGCGACTTGAAGCACCAGGGCCTATATAGCCAGTGCAAACATGTCCGCCCTTTGTTCAATAGTTGGTTTACGCCAGTATTGTCTTGAATCTTTCTATGCAGCTGCCATCAGCGAGGATTGAACTTGTTTTGCGTGTCTATGTCAATATACACTCCGGCCCCACATAGATTCTAATTTTGTTTTCCCCCACAACGGTGTTCGGCCGAAAATCCAAGGTATTTTCCTGTGCCAATGCACATTTCTCTGGGCAGGATCCAGCTCCAATCCAGTCTGACTTGTCCTAATTGGCAGCTCGAATCTAGCCCTTTCAATGGATTCTAAGCCTAAGGACTATGGGGTTGCCACTCCACTTTCCCCGCCTCACCCCGCAGCTCATACAGGGAGATCCGATCAGTTTGAAACAAAAGGGATCCCCGGGCTTTCTAGTCTGATAGGTCACAAAAAGGACCACGTAGTCTTCTCCATCGGGTCATGGGTATTATTTTGTAATTCTTGAAGGGTTCATGGTCAAGTAGCAAGCACAGACAGGTCTTGGAGAGCCCGCATGTATCGTAAAGCAGCATTTGTCTCGTGAATTTTATGAAGTCTGCAATTCAGATTTCTCAAATACTGCACCATCATATGCATTGCAGGACAAGGTCGATGATTGCAAAGAAGGAATCACGATCGGAGCCCGTCTTGCCCAGTCCTAAGCCAACAACGAGCAAACGCTGCTCGGCGGGCGATTTAGTGGCGATAGCAGTCCCAATTTGACGGGCTAAGAGTTGGCCGATGGTATCTTGGCCTGGCGCATGACCTCCGAGTAGAGATGTTGCTGTCAATGCACTGAGGGGTAAAAGACCGTCGTCTGCGCCCTCGGAAAATGTATGCATGCCGTCAGTCCCGGGATTTGGGTTCCCGAGTGGTACGTGTAGCTGTAATATTATCAGTATTGTGCAGACAATGCCGGTACGTATTGACGAACCCAATGTGCAAGTCGGCCCTCCTGGGAGATGGTAACCATGATCTTATCGCTGAAGTTCATGACCATGACATCAGTTTTGACCCCATCCACCAGTCCCGCCACTTGCTTTGTGGGGGCCGGAAATGGGAGATTGAGGGAATCCTGCAGCACGCTCTCCACTGAAGCCATGGCGATATGATTGATATTGAATGTACAAGGAAGTCGTTGCGTGTTGATGCTTTGCTCCCTCCGAGGCGGTCTGACCCGCCCCACACCTTTGTCCGGCAATATCACACCGCCCTTTGACCGTCCTCAATTTTTTTTCGTGAGAACGAGCAACAGCTTGACCAAACACGTTGCCTGATTGTTGTCTCTTGCTTGGAGACAGGATCGGTAAAGATGCCGCCCAAGTTTGTTCCACGTCTGCGAAAGCAGAAGCACCGGCAGCAAGAACCTGATCAGTCGGTGGACACCAATGTCGCGGAGCTAGCGCCTGTCTCCAAAGATGAGAAAGAGGCAAAGAGGCAGAAATTACGTGCTGAGTTACGAGACCAGCATACCAATGTATCTTCCAAGAAGCAAAAGCGCTTGGATAAATACATTGTAAGTGAAGTTTTTCGAGCCTGTGACCGCATCGCTAACAATCCCATAGGAAAATAAATTGAAGAAAGAAGAGAACCTCGAACTCATCAAAAAACTCGCCAAGGCGAATGCGAATGCGGATACTTCTGGCCTTCAGAGCTCAAGGGAATTGGGACAGCGGAAGCGACCGGATCGAGACAACGTCCCAGTGGTCAAGGTTGGCAAAGCTGGCAAAGCACCAGCGCAAGATTTCTCCGGATACGACAGCGATGATTCCGATGCCGATCTTAAGGCTTCCGATCCTGCGACAGACCCGGCTACTGCGCCAAAGCCTCAACAACCCCTAGCACCCACCGGAAGTGGATTGAAGCGTCCTCTTGATCTTGGACCCGATGGATTCCCAATCATCAAGAAACGGAAGCGTTCTGCTAAATCTGCTCCTGCGCCTGCTCCTGAACCCGCGAAAGAAGTCGAATGGGAAGGTTTTGGCTCTGGTGATGAGGAATCTGAGATGGACGAGGACGACAAGTCGGACGTTTCTGAAGGCGGTCCCGAGGATGACTCTGAAGACGACGATGAGTCCTCTGAAGATTCAGACGATGAGGACGAGGATGAGGATGATGACGAAGATGAAGATGAAGATGAAGACGATGATGAATCAACCGAGAAGAAAATCCGGCCTAGAGAGTCCGCGTTCAAGTCATGGGCTATCCAACAAATTAATGAGGCCGTTGGCTTCCAGCCAACTGACGGCCCAATTATCCACGACCAAGCACAACAAGCATTTGCTCCTCCCAGAAAAGAGCCACGGAATACTGTTGATGACGAAGACCCTCTTCCTGCAGAGCTTGCAATGACTTATAATAACCCTGACCGAAAGGCTTTCAGCGTCGCAGTGGAGCGCTCAGAGGAGATTCAGACTGCACGTATGGGCCTGCCAGTGGTCGGTGAAGAGCAGAAGATCATGGAGGCAATCCACAACAATTCGACCATTGTCATTTGGGGTGCTACTGGTTCCGGAAAGACAACTCAGCTTCCGCAGTTCCTCTTCGAATCTGGCTTCGGTAACCCAGATAGTCCCAACCCGGGCTTGATTGGTGTTACTCAGCCTCGCCGAGTCGCCGCTGTCAGTATGGCAAACCGTGTCGCCCAGGAACTTGGTCAATACTCGGATAAAGTTTCATATCAGATTCGGTTTGAGTCAACCGTTTCTAAAAACACGGCCATCAAGTTCATGACCGATGGTATTCTTCTCCGTGAGATCGCGGATGACTTCTCTCTGCGCAAATATTCCGTGATCATTATTGATGAAGCGCACGAGCGCAGTGTGAACACTGATATCCTCATTGGAATGGTCAGCCGTATTGTGGACTTGCGCAAGTCTATGAGTGAGGAAGATCCGACCATTACACCATTGAAGGTCGTCATCATGTCTGCCACTCTTCGAATTTCGGACTTTACTGAGAACGCCAGCCTCTTCCGCCAAGGGCCTCCTCCCCTTGTTCAGGCCGAAGGTCGGCAATACCCTGTCACTGTGCACTTTGCCCGTCGTACACACCGTGATTATGTTGAAGAGGCTTTCCGCAAAGTCTCGCGAGGTCATCGCAAACTGCCCCCTGGTGGAATGCTCGTGTTCTTGACTGGACAGAACGAGATTCGCCAATTGTCCAAGCGACTGAAGCAGGCTTTCAAGCCTACCGAGCGATTGGATACCACACAAGCCAAGGTGCAATTCACAGCTAATGATGCGCCTTTGGAGGCAGAGGATCTGGAGCTCGGTGGTACCGAAATGCACGATAACGGTTACGACGATGACAGTGATCTAGAGATCACCGGCCTGGACGATCCTGAGGATGACGAGGGTTTTGACCTTGGTGAAGATGCAATGGAGTCGGGTACAAAGGTTCACGTTTTGCCACTATACTCGCAACTTCCGACAAAAGAGCAGATGAGGGTCTTCGAGCCGCCACCAGATGGCTCACGTCTTATCATTCTCGCAACAAACGTTGCCGAGACATCTCTCACAATCCCTGGTATCAAGTATGTCTTCGACTGCGGTAGAGCCAAGGATAAGCAATTCGATTTGTTCACCGGTGTCCAAAGCTTCCAGGTTGGCTGGATCAGCAAAGCCAGTGCAAGCCAAAGATCCGGTCGTGCTGGTCGAACAGGCCCTGGTCACTGCTATCGTCTGTACTCTTCGGCCGTGTACGAAGCCGACTTCGCCGAATACACTGCCCCCGAGATTCTGCGCACTCCTATCGAAGGAGTCGTTCTCCAGATGAAGAGCATGGGTCTACACAATGTGATTAACTTCCCATTCCCCACACCCCCAAGCCGCCAAGGCCTCATTAAGGCAGAGAAGCTCCTCAGAAATCTGGGCGCCCTCACTCCAGATGGCCAAGTCACACAAATCGGTCGCCGTCTCGCGACATACCCTCTCTCCCCCCGATTCGGCAAAATGCTTCACATCGGCCACCAGCATGGCTGCATGCCATACGTCATCGCCTTAGTATCTGCCCTCGCAGTCGGCGATCTATTCATCTCACAAAACGAAGTCGACCCCACGGCCTTCGCCCCGAAACCTAAGCCAAAGGATAACGACAGCGACAGCGACAGTGATGACGACAAAAGACCAGTCTACACAAACCTAGACCGGATAGAGGATACAGAGCGCGAACAACGCGTCAAGAACTACAACCGCGTCCAACGCCTACTCAGCAAACACGACGACACATCCGACGCCCTTAAGTTCCTCTCAGCTATCTGTGCTTACGCCTACGCCTCCGACGGCGAAGCCTTCAGCGAACAAATGTTCCTCCGCGCAAAGGCCTTCAAAGAAGCGACCCAGCTCCGCCGCCAACTAACCGATATCGTGCGCGCCAACAACCCAGGCCTAATCAACGCCTACGAAGCTCGTCTCCCCGAGCCATCCGCGAAGCAAGTCAAGGCCCTGAAACAGATCGTCACAGCCGGTTTCATCGATCACGTCGCTATCCGCGCTGATCTAGCCCCGGTACCACCTGAGAACCCTCGAGCACCCCGTCGCGCAATCGACGTCCCTTACCTGACACTCTTCCGCTCAAGAGAGGGTCCAATGGATGATCTCGCCCAGCGCGCTGTCTTCATTCACCCGTCTTCCATCATGTCGAAGCTTTCGCCTAAGGAGATGCCTCAGTACATCATCTACTCGCATCTGCAGCAGTCCTCTGCAAGTGTGCTCTCGGACCAGGCGCCGAAGATCAGAATGTTCCCGCTTGTTGCGCCGAGCGGACTGCAGCTTTCTGCGCTGGCGCATGATACCCCGCTTATTGATTACGGGAAGCCGATTGGAAAGACTGAGACATTGGAAGGTATTCCGCAACGTAGAGCTTGCTGGGTCATTCCCTCGTTAGTTGGAGATGCGGGTGGCACTGGGTGGCCTCTGCCGGCAAAGAAGGTTGTGCAGAAAAAGGATCCAAAGGAGGGATGGGTTATTGAGAAGTTTGTTGGTTGATAGTTATCACCTGTGATAGTGTTTTGTATAGACGATTATGATATCCAACGCGCATTGGTTGCATCTTGTATCTTCATTGCATTGTACTTGTAAAATGATGCCTTTCAACGTAGATATCCCAGGCTATCAATAACGCCAACACCCATTAATCAATAATAAGACAATAAGATAGAGCGATCAATCAATTCCGCGAATCCCTCGGTCTCCTCTCCCCCCTCGTACTACTAATAGCACCCGTCTCTCTATCTTCCCGAATTCCCAATGCCCTCCGCAACCTCTCACTCTCCTCAATCTTAGCCTCGGCAAGCTCATGAACCTGATAAGACTTAATCCGACGATCCTTCGCGACAGCAGAATCCCATTTTCTGCCAGTCCTTACAGGACCCGGTCGATCCCTCCCAGCAGCATCCTCCTCCATTTCCTTGAGAAGCTTCTGCCGTAAAACCTCACAGCGCTCGTCAATCTCCTCCTCCGAAAGCACGCGCGGAGCATCATCATTTTCAGCATCCTCTTCACCCTCCTCCTTATCCTCATCAGCAACCTTCTTCTTGGCTGTTCCCTTCTTCTTATTGCTAGCCTCTTCCTCCTCGATACGTTCGTTTTCCTCTTCAAGTCGCTCACGCTCTTCCATCACCTTCACCTCGATTGCGCGGCGTCGGTCATGTTCGAGGATCTGCTTGTCTGGTAGACGTTGCTTGAAGCCGTGGTCTGGGCCGCTGCCATTTGCGCCTGAGAGAGGTGGGTAAGGGGCGCCGGTGCTGCGGGGCTTGATGAAGGCGTTGTTACGTTGGACGTAGCCAGATGTGCCGCTTCCGCGGGGTGTGGATAGGCCGACGTTTGAGGACATAATGTAGAACGTCGTTCAGTGAGGTTGTGTTCGGAGATTGGAATATGTAACTGGTAGTTGGGACTGCGTATTAAGGTTTTGTGGTTGGAGAAGTTGAGAGCGGTTGATTTTAGGCTCAGTGGACGGTTTTCTTCGCGCGACAGGCGCTTGGTGATCGAATGATCGTAGTTTGTGTGGTGATTCTTATTGAATCTCTTCAGTCAACCTGACAGCTTTGAGGAGACTTGGAGTTGGGGTCGAGGTACGTGAAGCTCGAGAGAAGATTGCGGTTGGAGCGAATTGATAAAGCTTATCGGTCACGTGATGATATCGCGTCTCCGCTGTATGGAAATAATTGATTTCCAAGATAATCCAGACTGCACTCGACTCTACTCTGTTCTGAACAAGACTGATTGAAAGTGAAGATGGCTGTCAAAATTGTTTATATTGGTTACATCAGCCATAAGCAAGGTATCAACATATCAGTGCAGGCATAAGCAACACTTTCAATTGAAGTGCAGACTGTACGCCTCACGAACATAGATAGATAGCAAATCCCACAACGGATATCTTGTGCATCTCAAATAAAGATGACCCTCGAGCGGGGAGACATAAAATAATAGACCTTGAAAAGAAAAGTAGAAATAAACAAAAGACGACAAAAAACAATAAGGACCGTGCCATGCAAAGAGGTTGTTTCTCTCCCGTATTTCCATTCCGAACCGATTCGATTTTCCCATGTCATATGCTGAAGATCGTTGAAGAGCGAATATCCGATGCCCCCATAAAAACACACAGAACGCCCGAGTTCCCCCTGGGGGTCGATCCTCGGACCCACAATACCCATTGACGGTGACAATGACAATGAGAGATATGTGGGAGGGGAGGGGCAACACCATCACAAGAAAGAAAAAAAATAAACAGTGGAAGCACATGTCAAGGAAACACAAGAAAAAGAGAGAGAAATGAAGGAACAGAAGAATAACTGGTCCGAGATCACCATGAGAAAAGATAAACAATGAGGCCCTATTCTTGCGCCATCAAGCCATGGTAAAGGGTAAACACATAGACGTTTGGTAACTCATATATCCCGCCGGACCCCCTGTATGTATACGCCCATATTAGATAAAGCAGAAATGACTCGGTTCACAGATCGGCATTAAAACAATTATGTGGGCAAGCAAAGTAAATTATGCAACGAATTAGTGAGCACTGGTGACATCGACCGAGACGGGAACACCGGTGTTATCCGTCTCGGGACTGGACACCGAGGTCACAGTGCTCTTAGCAAGCCCCTTTGGCTCGAGAGAACCATCGACGGTAGTCTGGGGGTCCGTCGGAGGAGGGGTTGGCGGGGCGGTACCGACAAAGGCACGAGGCTGCTCCATGGTGGGAATGGAACGCTTGGAGGGCTGAGGGGAGGACTTGTGGGAATGAGGAGGAGTAGCCGAAGTGCTGTGAGACAAGGGGCCAGTGGCTGGGGAGTTGGGGTCGAAGATGAGCTTCTCGATAGCCACGATCTGCTTTCCATAGCTGAACTTCTTGAGCTGGCTCAGGAGAGGCTTAATCTGGTCTATGAGTGCCTCGCGTTCGGCTCCCTTCAGCTGACCGAGGACCTTCTCTGTGAAATGTTAGCAATGATGTAAAGGGGAAGTCAAAGACAGGGAGGGGCGCTTACGGATGACATAGTTGCCATACTGGTCTCGCATCAAGCCAAGAAGGGGGCTCTCCCCGCGGTCATTGGGAGAGATGAGGGTAGAGATAATGTGATGAGCTTGGCTCGGCTCGCCAAACTCAATACTCTTCTCAACAACGTTGCTGGCAAACTTGTGCTTGGAGTAAGCCAAGAGCTGCGACATAACAATGATGATCATGCGGTTACGGTCCTCTTCATCGCCATTTTCAATGACATGTTGGATCACGTAGTTGCCGAATTGATCGGGAATGAGGTTAGAAGTGCAGGCATGCAGCTCAGCAAGAATAGACTGGCGGTCAATCTCTTCACAATGCTCAAGCATCCTCTGGATGACCCGGCATCCGTAGGGGTGCGCAGCAAGTCGGTTCACCTGGCCGCGGAAGGCATTGATGATGAACTGAACGTATTCCGATGGCACACGCTCAATCGCCTTCTGAATAACGTGGTTGCCGTTCTGGTCACGAACGCACTTCAGAACGTGGCTCTCGAGCTCCTTAACCATGGCAGCTTGCTGGTCGGTGAGGATGTGCTCAAGAGCTTTTTGCACAACACGGCAGCCATACATCTGCGTCGACAGGGCAAGGACATGACCCCGCATTTGATTGGCGAGAATCTTCTTTTGAGTCTGATTGCCGTGCTCGAACAGCTTCTGCACAACGTAATTACCGAACACATCGGTCATCAGTTGCAGGCAGTTGGGCTGGATCTCCCGGAAGACTTGCTCCTTCTCATCACTGTTGGCAGTCTCCAGCTTTTGCTGGATGAACCGCGAGCCGTGTTGATCACCACTGAACTCAACGACGTGGTTGTAGATATCCTTCAGCTCGTAACGCTTGTTGCCCTTGCTATTCGCTCGGAACTCCTCCAGCAAGGGGCTGCGAACCACCTGGGTGGGATCCTGCTCGCGTTGCGCGCGCGATGCAGCAGCCGCTGCTCCACCAATACCGCCTAGCTGTGCCATAGGGTAATATCCTTGGAGTGCATTGATTCGGGCAGCATTTTGGTAGTTGGCGTATTCATAGGCGGGCATCTGCATGCGCGGCACAGAGCCTCCCTGGGCTTGAGCGAGTTCCTGCTCTTGGAGCCGCAGGCGGCGCTCAAAAGCGGCAGCCTGGCTATCAGACATGCGGCCACCGGAGTTGCGGTACTGAGTGGCCACATCGAGGCCGGCGTATATGGGGCTATCGATTCGAGCGTAGTCGGAGGGAGAGATAGAGCCATTATCGCCACGGGAGCGTGGGTGGTATTGAAGATGCATGTCTGCACCTTCTCCACTGTAACCAGCCAACGACTGGTAACCATCGTCATTCTGATACTTGCCCCGGGGAAGAGATCCATCGAATGACGCATGGGGCATGAACGGTGGCCGTTGGGCGTTTACCTGTGTGCTGTATCCACCTTCGTTTATCTGGAGCTTGTTAAATCCAGCGGATAGATCGATCGAGCCGCCTCCATAACGACCATCAATGCTGTGGTTGTCGGAGTAGAAAGAAGGGTTGGAGGAGTGCACGGGTCGCTGAGCGTAGGAAGCAGAGTTGTGAGGCATGTGGGAAAGTCCGCTGCGAGTTTGAGGTGGAGAAATGCCGTCCTGGATTCCTGAAGCCAATGACATGCCCATTGAGGCCATGTCTTCGGACCGCTGCCCATCGATCGCGCCGTTGTATCCAGCCTTCACAGGGAATGAAGCTCCCACGGGGCTGCCACCGAGACCGGTGGTGCTCATCTGTCGACGCCCATCACCGTTTCGCAGTGCGGGGAATCCACCGAATGCGATACCTTCTCCAGAGGGAGAAACACCCTCAGATCCAGCATTCAAATACGGTCGGTGGCTGACCGTGTTTGCAGCGTTGGTCATCCCCGAAGTCCGAGGCAGGTTGAAGTATGATCCATCTGACGATTCGTTCATGGGCGGGGCACTGCGATCGTTGGAGCGAGTCTGAATTGGAGATGTCGACATGCCGCGGTTCTGGTTCATGGCCAGCTGCGTGTTAACAGTGCTCCATGGAAGATTAGGGCGACCAGCCCAGCCATCTGACTCTGATGTCGACAAAAGAGAGCCCGAGCCTGACTTTGCCTCAAATCCACCATCACCGATTTGTTGGTCTAGACCCATTATCAGCCCCGATTCAAAGCGCGCATCCGCAAGATAAAGCTCATCGCACATACCATCAAAACCACTGCCGAGATTGGAGTCACCCCAGATGTTGCTGTTCCAGCTTGACTTGCTACCACCAAATCCTTTCCCGACGCCATTGCTGTGAGATCCACGCGAGCGATCGTTGTTCATGCCGGACGAACCCATGTTGGGACCACGGTTTGATCGCACCTGTCGAGCTGTCAATGTCGGTCCAGTGCCATCCATATACTCCCCACCACTCACGTTGTGTACATTGGTTGCATTCGCTGCCATGGTAGAAGCCATTCCAGGATAAACGATCGACTAAGATATGTACTCGAACGGGCGGGGCGATTATTTGCAAGTTCGAGCGAATCGATACTAAATCACAGAAGCCGAGTGATTGTCGGCCGGTATTTGCAGATGGGCACCAGGCACCAGAAACGGCGTACACGAAGGAATATAAAGACTGTTGATGTCGCGTGCCCTTGTTAGTAATGGATCGATATCTGTGGGGAGGGTAGGATCTTGCTTGGGTCCCAGGTCGAACTCCCCAGCTAAGGCATATAGGGTTGCGAGGAGCACTCACGAAAGGAGGGGAAGTGTAGGGATTCCGCGACGAGCGACACGAAAAAAAGAGATAAAGAACGGTTGGTTTTGAAGTCCCTTGTTTCTTTTCTCAAAAACCACGAGCCCTTGACATGTACAGGTAACAGAGGAGTGTGGGGAGGAAAGTGAAGGACTCAAAAGTGAGAGAAGGGGTGGAGGATAAGAAGGGCGAGAGTGTTGAACGTCAAGGAAGAAATGCGGGAACGGCCGAGCAAGAAGATGCAAGGCGACAAAGAATTGAGAGGATGAAAAATCTCAGGTATTCCTTTCTCCCTTCGTTTGTCGCTGCAGCGGGCAGTGTGAGGTCGGTACGCGACGTTACTCTGCTCCGTGCATGCTCCAGGAATCTCCCAGCTTGCCGATCGTCCTCATGTGCCTTGTGGAGAGGCAGATCTCCGGGAATGGAAGAGCGTTTGGGAGGACCCTGGATGGGATTTGCGCAAGGGGTGGAGGAAATAGATGGGAGAGGGATGGGAGGTTTGCGATTTTGCGAGAGGGGGGGCGATTCGACTCGGGGGGAGAAAAGGAATAGACTGGAATGCGCTCGGTTGCGCAAAAGATGGAAAATCCGGGATTTAGTGGGTCGATGGATGGGAATGTGGAAGAGAGACAAAGCACGGCATTAAATGTAGTCTCCAGCTGTCACACAAGCGCCAGCATGACAGCCAAAGCTGGTCGATTTTTTTTTTCTTGCGGTGTGTGAGCCTGTTGGACTGCAAAGAGAGAGGAATGAAGAAGAGAAGAAAAGTAAAGAGAAATGATGCGAGTAACAAGCGTTACACGAACAAGAAAAAAGAAATGATTTCAGGGAAACTTGATAGATAAGAATTAACACTTTTTATGCTTTTTTTAGTTATGGTCAAGAATGAGATGAGCAGATCAGCCGCCTGTACTGTCCCCGTATTACCAGGCCCGATGACGCCTTGAAACGGGGCCAATTGGAGTTGGTACCTACTACGCCACCATCTATGATACGTTCGTGGAGGTACCCTTCTGGCCCCTCAAAAGTTATTTAGACGTTTGTTGTGGGTAACGGTATTGTCACAGTCGATCACTGGATCTTCACCTTTCCGAGCTTCTCCCTCTCCACTACTTTGTATATGCTCATCACACTGATGATAGATTTCGATTCTGATTCGTTCTGTATGTTTCTGGCTTTCTTCTCAATGATGTCCAATCCCTCCTGTTCAAACACAAAAATCAGCCCAAATGAGTTAATGCTGCACGTAGTCCCCACTGACCGCCATCTCCATGGCCTAGATTTGACATGGCCACGGAAAGCAAACTCACTAGATAGGACAGAAACCCTCCATCTATAACTCTACGTGAAAGCCTGATGTCACTCTGCTTCGGGCAACAGTTCCTATCCATTTCCTCTACCCGACCCCTCCAACCATGGTCTATGACGGTCAGGGTCAGAGCATATCGGCCACGTTAGCCTTTGGGCACCCGACAGAGCCGGGTTATGCCTATGCGCCTATTACATACCAGCAGTTGTAAAGAGAGAGGTTCAGTAATATCCTGCATGGGGGCCATACAAATGGATAATAATAGGTTCAGGGTCAATGATCAAATTAATTCCCCGTAAGATACTCCGATCGGATCCACTTGGACCCTAGCCTGGACCTGAGCGTAGGTACACCCACTCTTCAGACTACAGTATATCGGTGTCGGTGTCGGAAGATTCATCCGTTATTTACTAATTCATGATTTTGCCGGTCAATGATGGAACAGAACATTCTTGAGTAGAAAACAAGCTAAAATGCCAACACCCCAAGGACCGCCACCTTTCTAACTGTGAACTCCTTCCCATTCCAGGCCCGGGGTCTCGTTGGCTCCTTTTTGATCTCCACTCGGTCAGAAACTCAATGGGGCCTTGGACATGGATCGACTCCCTTGATGGATCTGAATTCCTCTAAACTAAATAGTCTACTGTATCTAACAACTCAAAACTTGATTGAGAAAAAGAAAAAGAAAAGAAAAGAGAGCAAAGATGCATGTATATGGAAATCCAAAAACCAAGTCAGAAATCAATGACAATGACAACCCTGCGAGTCTCACAATAGTGTGCTCGGTCATCAATACTGCGCTTGGGGCTATGAATGTCGGCTCGCTGTTCCAACCCCTTGCTTCGGCATCACAATTGAATCTAAGATGCCCTGGAGATGGTATCCCCAACATAATTCATCTATACCAAGCTAGTAAATCATAACGAAGTAGTTATCACTCGAGGCATTTTGACCAGGAACCCTAACTACAGGTAGGCAGAACTTGGGTTCTCGCCCATCGTGTAAACACTCACCGTTACAAGTCATCCAGTTCAAACCTCCGCCTCGGCGGGTTTCCAACGAGCCCGAGACATGATCGGAGTCAAAGTAATACAGTCCTCGTCCAGCAAGGAAACGCACATCCGAATCCTTGCACAGGGGTCACACACAAGCCCGTCAGACTATCACTCGCAGAATTGTTCGATTTTCCCCGGATCTAATGTATGTATTGACTCGAGGGGGTCTGATTTTGCCTTGCCCGTACGTTTACGTAGGAGGCTGTTGGGACCCCTCTCTTCTTCTCCGGGGCGACCGTGTGTTTTGGCGACTATCGCGGTAGGGGACTGGTTGGTTGCTCGGCTGGAGATAGATAGTTGAAGTGGGGGGCTGCAGGGCTTCGATTCCTGTAGATCATTTTCAGGTTTCTTGGTTGACATGACAGCTAGTTTCTTTTTTATGGTTTGAGCTTATTGATTTATTGATTTTCTTCCCCGACGGATGATGTATCACATTTAAGGGTTTTGGCCGGTAGAATTGTTTATAAAAGCTGTCCTCTCCCGAACTTGACGAGAGGAGTTCATGCTTGGCTGGGTTGGTGGTGACTGCTGTCCAAGTAACGGAGTTGCCAGGCCATTTTAGTCGTTCCACATTGTATCTAAGCTGTGTTAAATATATCAACCTTCCTTAACCTTGCAAAACAAGGAGTGCATCTTGATCTGATCAATATGTCACATTAATGTTGGGGTCGATAATCAGGTATGGTTTGGGGCCAAACATATATACATGACCGGGCAACCATGTCACTAAACTTCCTTGAACAGCACCTCGCAGTGGTGCTCCTCCAATTCTTTCAGTGAATACATTGACATATAAGCATCTATCAATATTTAATTGGCTAAACAATCGCGAGATATACGGTTGGTCAGATAGATCTATATTGCTAGGTACAGTATATACTTTTCAACATTCTTAGTGTCATGGGCGAGGCCCGAGGTCACTCCACCGTTCCCATATTAACCTGACTCGTTCAATTTGAATGCGTAACAGAGGATATCAAATAATAGATCTTGTAATATCCAGATATTTGAGTTATAACAAGCCTTATGATATTATTCAGAAGTTTGAGTCTTGAAATGATACCATCTGGCTGCGGGTATCCGAGGATCTTGAGACCTCAACAGAACGTCGTGCCGACTTGGCAGATACGTGTCAGAATGTTCTGATCTAGTCTAGTAAATTCCTTAGAGTAAGACCAGGCCTAAATGTATATGTTTGGAAGCTGAGACGCCTTGGCACTGTGGTAAGTCCGGGGTTATGGGTGGGCCACGGAGTTCTCCAGATATATATACTGCGGTGATTACCCTCAGCTCCGACCGTCACTTAAGGCATACAACTATACCAAGTTCCATGGATAGATCAAAAGAAAGAAATTTAGAAGCCATGATATTTAATTTTCTCTATGCACTGGAGTTTAGAAGACTATCATAGACCAGCAGTGGACATGCTAAGAATGGTTCTCTGGGGCCGAATCAGGGATAGGTAGCAACATCTAGAAAATTGATGTAGATGTGGAGTGATTGTACCCCATAATTGACCTTGGCTTTGAAGGCACGTTTTGAATGTATACACATGCAAAGTTAAAATGCTGATTTCAATGGACCTGAGACATGTAATCTCCAATGTTCATTCAGGTTGTTTCAAGTCTTGTTTACTGATGGAGCGATCAGACCCTGAATGTTTATTTTGATTCACTTGTATCTAGGTGACCCACCGCAGACCTCGGGAGGTCTGCAACTTCTAGAACCCTAAGCTAATCAAATGCTCGTGTGCAATAATCTTGTTTTACGGATTGCATCATCAGCTTACATACGTTGAGGCTCCACTAAGTACGTTGTACAGATATTTTTACCAGAGAGGCGCCCGCTATTTGTTCGTATAGCCCTGAGTTGGTGGGATCTTATTGGATTCTATTGATCTCGAAACCAGGTTATGCGCATACCGTCCAATTGATATTCACTAGAAATGCCTGGTGACCGTTCAGGGGCCACAGGAACCAAAACAAAAGGGCATAGTTTGGTGGATCCAATCATTTCCCATTGACGAGTAAGAACGCGCCGCCCGCTGCACCGCTGCCGCCCGCCCAGGAACCGTTGCCCTGCCATTGGATGATCGAGGTAATAATCACGGACAAACACACGCCCCGTTCGAACAGCTAGACCCCGATGAGTCTAGGGCGAACAGGAAAGGTCAAAATCCAAAAATAAAGAGACTTAGACTGGAGAAGCAAAGTCAGGTCTAGGCTTGTGCGCACTAGTGCAACCTAACCGCTCTCCCTTTTCCTTTTTCCCCTTTCCACTCCTCCATTCTCCAACCATCCCTTCCCCTCCATTCTTTTCTTTTGCAGTGTCAGCTTCACTCTTTCAGCTGTGCTGCCATTCATTCTTTTCGGTCAAACTAGGCACTCCCTTTCCTACGACCTCCATTCTTTCCCGACCAGCCTCGACCCCGACTGTCCGCGACTAGCGTTTTCGAGTGCTCATTCCTACAATCTCTATTTTCAACCCCGGATGATATCCGCGACGCTCTTTGCAATCTAACTTGGTCGATCATTGTCGGCACTCCACGACACATCTCGAGTCTCCATCTCGAGCAATCGACAATCAACGACACACCGACATCCGACACAACCCGATCGACAAAATGATCAATATCATCCCCCGAATTGTGGCTCGCGATAACAACAACAACAACGATGGTCTTTCTGGTCCCATGGTTGATCTGCTGATCGCCTTGCTGGTGCTGATACTGATCGCACTCGCTCTGGTTGGTGGACTTCTTCTCATCCGCCGCAAGCGTCAAGCCCAGAAACAGTCCATCCTCCCCGTTCACAACGGCCAAAGCCCCCTCTCACCAACGCCGCTTAACCATTACCACCAATAAGTCCGACTCGGTTTTCGTGTATGATGAGAAGCGCAGCTTGATGGAGAATTCCGACAGCCCCCCACCCAGTCCAGTCCCCGAGATTCGCATCACTTTCCCTGAAGAGGAAGACGCGTCTGGCAAGCGTCAATCCGGCCGGATGGTCGTCGTACGCATCAGCGATGCTGGCAGCATCGGTCTCGAACCTTGCCATGAGGATCTGCCCCCGTACCAAACCACCGATACCGGTCGCTTCCAGTCCCTCGATCTTGAACGGATGGGTGGATTGAAGGAGAAGGGAGAACATTACTCCTAAAGTCAATAATCATCCCGGCGAACTTCCCCTGTGACTAAATGTCCCTGTCTTTCACCGTCCCCAAATGACAATCTCCGCCCGTCACCACTCAACCTTTTCACTTCGACGACCCAAAAGCATGACGAGCATCTTGGCGAACCTCTTTTTCATCTCCATTTCCTTTCCATATACCTATTTTTTTCTCGAACCTGCCCCCCCCGTGGCTTGCACATACTTTGTCCCGTTTCATTGCTTGTTTACATCCAGACAAGCAATTTGCTCTCCGAGGTGAACTCTCATCCTGCAAGATATACTGTTGTTGTTCCTCTGGAGAGATCTGTCGAGAATTGGATTGTGTATAGCGAGGGCCTGCCGCTTATTACTTGGAGAGTTTCAATGTTTTTTTTCGACTTTCATGGCGTTTCACTCTTGCGGTCTATGTTACCCTCATCCCTGTTACGTTCCTAGGGTGTTTGAAAGACGTAAGGCAATCTTCTGATTTATTTGATTTCTTTGATTTTATCTTCTCTTCATCTACACCTTTTCAAGGCGGCGTCTATTTTCTTGTCCTTACGGACCCGCTCATATGTCCCCTTACTTTCTTGTGCCTTATTGGTACCTCCGGCAGCTGGATAATGTATGTATTTAGTCCTCCTAACTTTCTCTACGTCTAGGCAAGTCCATGCAATCTATATTTGACATTTAAATAAAAAAATAGTGCATCTACGTGTAGTTAGAGATTCGTTACTTTGTGTGTAGGTCCACCCGGGCCCAAGTGGCCAATCAGAAATGCCGATCCGCAGCTCTCCCCAACCCGCCGCTTCCGCGACATCAGAAATTCGCATTTCCTCTCGCCTTTGATCCAAAACGTTCCTTACACCAATCCTGTTTAAGCATCGTTGGTTGTACAAGATATGTGCAGCTTTTAGTGTCTTCATCTCGGGAAGCCGCTCGCCAGCAGAGCACAGACAGGGGCAAAGCTTTGCAAAACCGCCTTCCTATTCCTATCCACCACGCTCATTCCCTCGCGCCCCTTTTAAGTGCGACTGTGAAGGCGGGTCAATTGTCTGAACTCGTGTTTGTTTTCGGCTTCCCTACCATCTAGTCGACTTGCGCCCGTGCACACCTTTCCTGCTGCCCCGCGCTTCGCCGGCTGACTGCATTTTGCGCCGCAAACAAAGCACCGAAGCGTGTCATCGCGAGTTGTGGACTGTAGCTAGTCCAGATACCTGTCGGAAATGGCACCGAAATCTACAGGCCCTGCGGGGGGAAGTTCTCCGCTCGGCGGACCCAAAACCTCGCCAAAGGGAAAACAAAGTGGTGTACCAGATTTCAAGGCCCTGCAGCTTGAGTCGGAGTTCAAGAGCAAGCACTTTGGCGTGCTGGGTGTTTTAACATGGGTACTGTGAGTTGTTGTGGAATGCGATGGATATTTTCTGAAGCTCTGTGCTTCAATGTGAACAATGGCTGATGTTAGATCGCTTTCGCCCATAGGTTGTTACATCTTGCTGGTATCTACTTCTTCACCAAGGGTTTCCTCCTTACGCGCATGGTACTGGACAACAAATCCTCATGTGAAATTCTGCCCTTCGACAACTCGAACCATCAAGTCGCTGGAAATACAAATGGAAAAGGGTGCTGGCATGAGAAATCATTCGACAAGGCCGTTGTGATCATTATTGACGCTCTCCGATACGACTTTACTGTGCCCTTCGCCTCTCAAGATGAGAGCGAAGAGGTTCACCTTTTCCATGACAATATTCCGGTTCTCTATGAAACGGCTGTCAAGAATCCCGCCAATGCGTTCTTGTTGCCCTTCATCGCCGATCCACCGACAACAACCCTGCAGCGCCTGAAGGGATTAACCACCGGTACATTGCCTACTTTCATTGATGCAGGTTCCAACTTTGCCGGAACTGCCATCGACGAGGACAATTTGGTTGCCCAATTGCACAACGCCGGGAAGACACTAGTCCAGCTTGGCGACGATACCTGGCAATCCTTGTTTCCAGGGTACTTCGATGAGAACCTCACCCACCCATACGACTCATTTAACGTGTGGGACCTGCACACAGTTGACAATGGTGTCAACGAGCACCTCTTCCCGCTTCTTCGCCCCGAGAACAAGGGTAAGTGGGACGTGATCTTTGGGCATTACCTCGGAGTTGATCACGCTGGTCATCGTTATGGACCGGACCACGCTGCCATGGCTGGCAAGCTCCAGGAGATGGACAAGGTCATTCGCAACATCATCACCTCCTTGGACGATGATACCCTTTTGGTAGTTATGGGTGATCACGGAATGGATATCAAGGGTGACCATGGCGGCGAATCGGACGACGAAGTAGAAGCGGCTCTGTGGATGTACTCCAAACGAGGAATCTTCGGACGTACCAGCAAGGAAAGTCTGCTTCCACCAAAGCACGCTCGTGTGCGTCCAGTTCCCCAGATCGACCTTGTTCCCACTCTGTCTCTTCTCCTTGGCATGCCGGTCCCGTTCAACAATTTGGGTTCTCCTATTGAGGAAGCCTTTGCTGGATCGAGTGGTAATGACTGGTCGAACTTGTTGGCTGTCAACCGGTTGACAGCGGCACAGATTCAGAGATACCAGCATGAATACACTACCACCCATGGAGCAGGTGACGACGAAGAATCGTTGAATCTTTGGTCTGCCGCAGAAGCAGAGTGGAAGTCTGCCTCCAAGGGCTTCACTTCCAAGTCGACTAACATTCGCGCCAGCTATGACCTTTACCGCAAGTACCAGCGACATACCCTGGACATCTGTCGCGGACTTTGGGCCCGCTTCGATGTTCCTAGCATGATTCAAGGTGTTCTGCTGCTCTTCGGTGGCATTGCTTTACTGGTTCTATATGCTCGTGGCATGAAAGCAGACCGGACTGATCTCACTTCCCAACTGCTGTCATTTGTTGGTATTGGGTCTGGCGTGGGTGCCGCGGCCGGTTCCGTCTTGGCGTTGTCTGGACTCACTGACATGGCAGCGATTGATTTAGCCATTTTGGTGGCTGCTGGTGGAAGCATGGTTGGTGGGCTTCTCGCTCTGGCAAGGAAGTCAGCGCAGTTGACTCTGCCCCTTCCCACCGGCATGTGGGGATGGCTTGCCTTCTTCTTCACTGTGTCCCAGTCTCTTGGATTTGCATCGAACTCCTATACCATCTGGGAGGATGAAATCCTGCTTTTCTTCCTCACGACCTTTGGTGTGTGTGCCGGTATCTCGTCCATGCGCCAGAAATCCACGCCGGACCGGGTTTTGGGAGTGTACCATTCGCTTCTCTTTGTTATTTTGGGCCGCGTTGCATCTTTCTCCCGTCTCTGTCGCGAGGAGCAGATGCCTTTTTGCCGCTCGACCTACTACGCCTCTTCGACTTCGTCCACCTCTGCCCCTTGGCAGCTCATCATTCCTTTTGTGGTCATGCTATTCCTTCCTAGTGTCGTGCGGGGTTTCTACATTGGATCCAAGTCCTACGAAGATAACGCTACGCTGTGGATCGGCTTCGCTTTCCGCCTTGGCCTTTTTATTACTTCGGTCTTCTGGATGCTAGAAGGCGCTGACGATGGTGAATGGCTTCCGCTGAGCAAGGAAACCCTCAAGTCACTCCGTGTGTTCTTAGCCCAGTTGGTGCTTGCTCTAGCATTCGCTGCAGGCACAGCTGCATTCCTCTACGCTAAGCCCTGTGTCAGCATCAGCGTGAGCCAACCCCAAGAGGACCCGAACGCGCCGCCGGCTCCCTTCATCCTCGGCCAGGAACAGAAGCCCCGAACCACCGTGACCGTTCTCGGCTTCGGCAACATGTACGGTACTCGCTTCTTCTTCATGGTAATCAACTTCGCCCTCGCCATCATCCTAATGTCAAAGCCTATGGGTCAAGGTGCACTCGCCCTTCTACTCTGGCAAATCCTCTCCCTCCTCGAGATCCTCGACACAAATGCTCTTACTCTCACCAACTCCTCCATCGGCCCCGTTATTCTCGGCGTTCTGGGATCATTCTATTTCTTCAAAACAGGCCACCAAGCCACCCTAAGCAGCATCCAATGGGAAACAGCCTTCATCCCTCTCTCTACAATCCAATACCCCTGGTCCCCATTGCTAGTCGTTCTCAACACCTTCGGCGCCCAGATTCTCGCCGCCCTCGCCGTCCCCCTCACCGTTCTCTGGAAACGGCCCTTACAAACACACGACCGTGTCTCTTCTACCTCTTCTACCGCTAAAACTGCAAACCCTGCTACAAAGCTTCTCTCCGACGTTATTCAGGCTGTCTCTACTCACATCCTCTACTTGGCTACTATCAACCTTGCCACCACCATGTGGGCTGGCCACCTCCGTCGCCACCTGATGCTGTACCGCATCTTCAGCCCTCGTTGGATGATGGGCTCTCTTGTCTTGGGCGTTATTGATGTAGTCCTTTTGGTCTTTGCTGTTCCTGGTGTGCGCTTTAGCACAGTCAGTGTTGGTGAGATCTTTGGCTGGTGATTGAGTTTAGCTTGAACATGAGCTTGAGCCTTAATCTAAATCCTGAATATCGATTTGGAAATCGATTGGGATAGGATATTACAAATCCTTGGAGATGGTAGTTTCTCCCACACTCACCCCGCTGACTACGATGTCTACCTACTATCTTCCCACTTTTACCCTCCTTCTATTTCCTTCCAGTCTTATCCAAAATTTACATGTAATTTACATAAAGAATCAATATATCCTGACATTTTACCTACTCCATCTTTCATTACTCGAAATCAATCATCGTAGTACATGAATCTGTTATTGCTATTGCTATCTGATTCTCAAGAGGCCTAGCCCTCCTTGATGTAAGAATAGAATATACTTCTGTTCTAAAGGAAAGAATAAGAAAGACAGGGCCTTGAGCGCGATTTTCCAAAAGAAAAAACACAAATGAAAACATACAACAGATAAACAAACATAACTTTTGGGGGCAATGGGGGTATTCACAAATGCTGCCGTGCTGCGTTACAAGAAGCAAATTGATGTACATGAAATCGTGACGTGGGGTCGTTCGTAGTGGGATTCTGTCGTTCTTTTCTTCTTGGGAGAGATTGAGTCGGGATGGTGGTGGAGCATAACATAGATATCTGATGAGGGGAAGGATAAAGTAGGGTGTAAAGTGTGTTTTCAAAAGAAAGGGAGAAAAGAGGGAAAGGAGGAAGGATGAAAGGTTCGGTCGGAGGAAGCTAAGCCAATTAACGGCCCCAGCGAGAGAAATCCAGGTTCTGGAGAATATTGCCTTCTGAAGCGGATTCCCATTCCGAGGCGAGATCTGTTCGCGCGGGAGTGTTGCGCGTGGGAAGTTCCTCGGAGAAGATGTTGGGCTTCGTGTTGCGGCGGAGGCCAGGATAAGCGCCCTCAGCAGCTTCGGAGCCTTGGGCTTGTGCGGCTAAGGCACGTTCGCGGACCTTTTTGATCTCGCGGAGACGGGCACGCCAAGACGAGGTATGTTCGCCGCCCTTGTTGTTCCAGACGAGGGAGAAAGAGGAAGCGCTAAGAGCCAGAATACGGACGAACGATGCCAGGTTCTTTCCAGAAATGACCTTGGGTGTTGCTGCGGCCGAGACGTCAGGGAATCCGGGCTTGCTCATCACTCGTACACTGTAGTAGAGTTTCTCCGGGTCTGTTTCTCCCTTGGCGGCACCGGACTCATCATAAGCAATGCGGCTGGAAGGGGTGATCACGATGTTGATGGAATTGAACTCGGACGGGATCGTGTCAAAGTTGAAAGGGAGGTTCGACTTATTGAACACGATGGTGACGAAGTTATTGCCGATGTTTCGCTTTTTGTTAATACACGCAGGGTCGTGCTCGAGGTTCGTAGGCATCATCGTCGCGACATGATAGACAATTTCGGTCACTCGGTCTCGCCAAGCAATAGTAGCTTCGCCATCGGTGTCGGCATACAGGCCCTGAGTATTGAACTGGGCATTCCGAAGCGATACTTTCGTGCCCAGGCCAGACAAGAAGTATTCGTAGTCCGGAGAGCCAACAGTGTTGGCAAGGATTTCGGCTTCCTTGCTTTGACCATTGTCTAGATAAACGACTCCAACCCGATGCCCGTCCACAATATCGGTTCTATCAAAGCTACCGATAGCTCGCCGGGTGATGTCGTCCTCAGGGACAGGAATGGGTTGAATCACCATGGGGGTTGGGAAGGCCGATGTAGTCATCTGAAGCATGATGTGACTGGGGAGAACCGCCGTGCGCATATCGTCAGAGTGCAAATGTGCATCTGGTGTAGGGGGAACTTGGTGTGGCAGAACAGGTGCCGTTCGCTGCTGATACACGATGTAAGTTGTTCCAGAAGCCTGGCGTTTCGATATCTGGGTCAGCCCGGATACGCCTGCAGTCTCAACGGTCACGATACTCAGGCCTACGACCCAAGACTTTTTGGACACCGGGCCGTCTTCAGGAGTGGGAGGGAATGTTTCAAAGGGAACAGTCTCTCCCAAATCCGAGAAGGCAACGCGTTGCATCAAGTCAATGAAGACCTGGCTTTGTTCCTCAACCACTTCTTTGCCTTGCTCGTCACGGAAAACGAGTCGGCTAGTGATCCAGTTGACATGCTTGGCACGGTCTTGCAGCTTCAGAGAGATATACCAGAATATCATCACATGGTACGTGAGACTCATGATGTAACTAGACATGGCATCAGCTGAGAAATTGTCCGCTGCTTCTGCCGCGCCTGTAGCAATTTCTCGTGCACCAGCACTGAGTCTGGAAGGAATTGGCTGAGGAGCACGGGAAGTGGGAGATTCGGCAGCCTTGTAACGCTGTTCCCGCGAGGTCTGCAAAAAGCGAATACAGATACCAAAAACAGTTCGAATTTCTTCTTCGCGCAAATTGATGTAGACGTCAGGCAGACGGGCAAGTAGAGCCAGAAATTCCAATATATGGACAGCTAGGTTTGACATAGTAATGACTTTGGACATTCTGTCGAGAATGCTCATCAAAGACTTTGTCACCGAAGCTGGGATTTCGTGACAGCAAAGGGAGAGCGCCTGAATGCAGCCACGAGATGTGGCTCCCCAAGACCCAATGATCCCAGACATAAATGCTCGGACGAGGTCATCTTCTTCGCTCTTGGCAAAATGCTCATGATAGCTGATAAGCATGCATAACGCATCGAAGATACAAGCAGCCACATCGCTCTTTTTCAGACCAGTAAGTCCGGGGGGCTCATGAAAAGTCTCATTCTTGACTTGGTCGCACAGAATGCTGCGCAGCAGCTTGATTTGTGGACTGGAGCTCTTGAAAAATTCCTTGTTACCAAGCTGAGGGCCGAGGTGGGTGAGTACGTAGCTGTAAACATCCCAGTCGGTTTCCCGTTGGAGCAGTAAAATCACGACCTCAAGCCACATATTGACTTTAAGAACACCCACTTGTGCGGGGACAATCTCAGTAACGGGGCTCTGGGCCTCTGCATCTGCCTGCGTGTGGGCATACACCAGCGGACTAGATTCTCCAGGGGGTTGCTCGGGAAGGACCTGCGGCAACGCGTAGGTCCAGACTGGAGGTGTCAGCTTCAATGAGCGGGAAGAAATCGAGCCTCGACCTGGAGCCGACTTCGACAAAACGGAAGCGGGGAGATCTTTGCCAATAAGTTTGCTGCTGGGAAGGGGCGGCACGTTCTCAGTCTGAGGTTCTCTCAACGGGCTATCGCCGGGACCTCGCGTTTTAGAGCCGACCTCAATGTTACGACCTAAAACATTCATCAAGAAATCACCCTCCGAGGTCGATACCACGGAGACGGAACCAGCAGAGTCGCACCGAAGCCGGAACAGCAGTTTTAGAACACTGAGGCGGGAATCAGTTGGGCGATCTGCGGACTGAGCGATTTGCAAGAGCGATTCGTAGATAATGACGGACTTCGTGGCAGAATGATTCAAAGCACGGAGCATCATTTTCACAAGACCCACGGCACATACATTCGCCAAGGTCAGCTCCAGGACACTTGTTGTAGACGTGCGGCGAGATGAAGGTGCATAGCTCGTACTATGCCGTGGATCATCTTTGATGAGGTCATGTTTCATCGGCGAGCTAATAGTGTCCACTAAGCGTTTGAACACGCCGTCGTCGCTGATTTGCATGGCAGGCTCGGTTAAAAATGAGACGAGAGACTCCAAGAAAAGCAAATCGTGCTCAGCCGAAAAATCCTGCAGCAGGAGATCTAAAAGACCATGCTCCTCGGAGAAAATGAGATGTTCATTTCCAGAAAGTGATTCTTTCAAGGTGTCGAGGGCCATAATACGGATATCAGAAGACTGCTTTCGAGGCTGTATGAAGCGCTCAATCAGGTCCCGACAACGTTTCACCCAAACTGCACCTTCAGCAGGACGGCAAAACTGGTCCTCTCTCATCATGTTGATAATTAGCTCAGACTGGGAAGGCTCAATATGCTGGTGACTTTTTGCTAAGAACCGGACAGCCTGATGTCTTTGTTCTTTGTTAAGTTGTTCCCAAAGAGACTCGATCACAGAAGCGATTCGGATTATGTCTGCCAAAATGCTCGATTTAATATCATCGTGCGTACCCTTGGCAGGTGTCTGCTGCGGGCTTGTTGGCGAGGCGATTGTATCTTCAGCATCTTGGAAGACTGTCCGAGAGCAAAGAACCAGAAGGCTGATGAAGCTTGTCCAGTCACATCTCAAAGCGATGCCGGTGTAATCTCCCTCCAGAATGTTCAGGCATAGGTCCAGGATTTCAGCATCGACCCGACGGTCGTCCTTGTGGGCAACAATCATAAGTGAGTCGACCAATTGATCAAAAGGAATTTGGGGCATGCCGCCCTGCCCATAGGCGTGAACAAGGTCAGAGAAGACGTAAAGTGTGCCCCGAATGACATTCAAATTGCGGGATGCGTCGCCACCAGAGGTCTCTCTCATGAAGCCATGGAGAGTGTTGAGCATCTCTGACTGTCTTCGAGATTTGGCCAAGCTACGCACGGATCGAGAAGTAGGTCCAGAAAGGGATTTGACGGAAGCATGGATGCTGCAAAGAACTTCCAAAAGAGGGGTAAAGCTCTTGTCAGGCACGTCTGCATAAACGATCACGGCATCAAAGACGGACAGGGCATTCTTGATGTCATTTGCGACACTAGTCTTCCTGCAGACGGCGAAGGTTTCTGTGAGGAGTAGTTCGACCTCCTCCTGAGTTGGAGGTTTGCGCTGTAGTGTAACCAAATCTACTGCAAATTGCAAAAGATCTCCGAGAACAATCTCTTCATGTACAAGTCCATTCGGATGGCCTGACTTTCCTTTCTTCGTCTTGGCACGTGCCGTGGCAATGACACCATAAAGAGGCACAATCCAAGAGGAGATGATATGGAGAATGGACGTGGTGGTAAAATCCAATTTCCGGCCATGATCTGACAACGAAATCAGTGACTGAACACGCGAGGCAATAACATCTGCTTCAGTGGGACAAGCAATTGATTCAAATATCAAACGCCTGGCCGATGGGCTTAGATCCTGACGAGCCGCAACTGCTTCCAACAACTTCGCCCCACTTTTCTGGGCATCGGGGGATTCATGATGCAATAGGTACTCCGCCGCTTCCCACAGCCCCACTGATTGCTCCGGAGTGAACCATGAGATGGATTTGGATATAGATTCAGCTTCGTCAATGGCGTGGTGGACATTCTGCTTCTGCGACAAGTTCCGAAAGGAACTGTCAATGTCCGGAGCACTCGGAGTGTCCGAGGAACTGGACACCACACTTGCTCGATGCATGAATTCGAGCCCAAGAACTTGTCGATTATGTGATATCGAGTCGCTATTGCTTTCCGGGATCGATACAGGGGAGTGCGATTTCGGGCGACCAACGGCTAACGTTTTGAACACATCTGCAAAGCTAGTTGAAGAAGGTTTGTGTTCAGGTACTGGTCGGGCATCGTCGGAAGACATCCGCCTTGTGACGGTAGGCGGAGGCTATTTTCGTGGCTGAAGGGTATATCTGTTCATTCGTGTCACACAATCAGCGTCAAAAGTCGCATGACATGGTTGGGTGATGAGCGATCAGGAGAGCTGATACGCGAATGAGTCATTTGGCTAGGCCCTGTGAAAGTTCTTACCTTGATAAAAGAGCTTGAAAAGAGCTATATACCACAAGGGTAGCTCTCAAAGGAATGCGCTGTACATTCAGGGACAAGGGATGACGCAAAATGAGGCGTGACAAAAGTACGATTCGGGAGTCGATATCAGAGCGGGACCCGGGTGGAGCAAGCCACAAGGAATTGAGCAGCTGCGCAGGGGTCACAGATGCAATATGGGCAACACAGCGATGCTCCACGAAGTGTAATATCCTCGAATGTGCAAAGAGGGGCACAAGCACGGTTGGTGTAAAAACTTGTCTTGGGATCACGGGGGATGAGGTTATTCCAGCCCAAGTCACCTGATAGGTCATCAATATATATTCACCGCCCAATAGTTGGGGCAAAAAACTCCACAGCTTAGGTGGGGGGCGGTGAGCACCTGTGATTCGTCGATTCTCATGACGTTTCCCACCATCCAGGCAAGAAGGGAAGCTCTCGCTGGAAGTGTTAAAATGACTTGCAAGATAGTTAAAGCCATTTTGGAACGATATTAAACGCATCAACAAAGATTCCATCAAGGAAACGTCATCAGACAAAAAAAGAGATACATCGACCTCCGCAGAAATCGAACCCGGGATCTTCGATTCTGTCCCCTCACCGAGTACTAAGGCGACAGACTATGAAGAATATCATCAACATCGGCCAGAAACTTGAGCAAAACCTTCTTTCCTCATAACCTGACATTGACACGAGATGTTTTCCGCTTGCAAAAACGTCTTTCAATCGCCTATTTCACCAGAGAAAATAGGTCGTATCAGCAAATGCGGAAGCGAGGACCCTGCATGAGGGTACACGGCGTCTTGTGAGTCGTGCGCTGAGTAAAGTGAGAAGATTGGACTTTCACGGTCCCCAACGGGTAATCATATTGAAGAAAGTCTACAAGTGGACCGATATTGAACAAGCAGAAGTCGGTATAGAGATTAGGGTCCAGCTAACTATATACTCCTCAGTAATGTATACAAGAAATAGTGGGAACAAAGTTTAATCAACGCTCAAAACAATCAAGAAACAATCTAGAGCTCCTCCTCTTCCTCGTAGTAAGTGGGCTGGTGAAGATCAATCTCCCAAGAGATAGTTTCAAGGTTCAAAACATCATCGTTGGCAGAAGACTTGCCAGAGCCGAAGCCCTTCAAGTTCCACTTCTCAACACCCTCAAAGCCCTGGAGCTCAGAGCCAAACTTGGCAAAGAGCTCAGCATTCAGGTTTTCATAGTCGACATACTCCTTGGGCCAGTCACCCAAACGCTGGACAGCAAGCTTGAGGAGGTGGAGATGCTGACGAGCGTGCTCACCCTCACTTATGGTAGAACCATTAGAAGTCTCCTCGATGTTTAAGTCATAGGCAGATCCATCGAGGCTGAAGCTGCTCTCGAGACCACCCTCAATATCGGCAAGAGCAGGGTCGATGAAGATGCGGAGCAAGTTCTCGTGCACGCTAGCGGCCTTCTTGTAGTACTTGTTGGCCATGTTGTGGCCACCCTTGGTGGTCTGGTAGCGCTGGGCAATACCGGTGTACAGCTGCGTCAGCAGAGTGGACATCTCCAGGGTGCTGGAGTGGCGAGGACCGTTGACGCGGCGGCAGTTGTACACAATGTCCTCGGCGAGACGAACAGCCTTGAGGGAATCGCCGACGAGATAACGGGCGAGAATGTAGCGGCGGGCAAGGCTGAGAATGACCTGGGCGGGCCAGGTAGCTTGCTTGTTGCGGCTGGTCCAGAGTCCGCTGAGGAGCCAGACAAGGGTCTTGTAGTCCTGCTGCTCGCCGAGGAGGCCAATCAGGATGTTCAGGTAGTCCAGACTGATCTGGGACAGGTTAATCTGCAGGTCGCTGATGACGCGCAAGACCTCCTTGATGATGACAGAGGAGACGCCGTGCAGCTTCTTCTGGGTAGCAGCGTCGGGCTGGGGAGTGATGGTGCGGCCAGTGATGAAAACACCAAGGGTGAAGACAAACTTGACGATCTCGGCAGTGCGGAACACATCATGAGCAGAGATGTACTGGAAAGCGGCGAGGGCCAGATTGGAGGCATCGTCGTATTTCTTGGACTCGAGCAGCTTGATGACGTGCAGGTTGCTGGCAATACCAACCGAGCGAACGAAGTTCGAGGACTGGTGGGTGTTGAAGTGAGTCAGAATAACAGTCAGGAAGATTTTAACTTGGGCAGCATCAGTCAGCTTCGTGCGCTTGCCCTCGGTGGCCACGAAGTAAGCAACATATTCGTTGAAGACATGAGCGGCCGCGGTCTGGCGGTTGGCACGGAGCAAGAAGTGGTACAGGCGGGTAGCCGACAGGGAGACGCTATGGAAGGTGGCGCTCTTGCTCGAGGTGGAGCTGCGGAACTCCTCAAAGTACACGTACTCAGTAGTCAGAGAAGCAAGGATCTCAGTGACGCTGGTAGTCTGCTGGCGAAGGCTGTGCTCGAGCTGAGCCAGGAAGACCAGACTCTGCCGGCCCTTGGAGGTCAGATCAAACTGAGAGGTCTTGATGTTGGTGGTGTCCTTCATGATGACCTGGCGGTAGAGCTCCTCAGACATCTCAGTAGCCTTGTGGACCTGGTTGGCGGCGATGTAGCTGCTGGCAATGGCGATGGCAGCAGATACAAGGAGAGTGGACGAGGTAGACTCCTTCAGGATATTGATGGTCGACTCCTTGAGCTCCTTGTGAACAGACTCTGCAGAGCTGTGCTTGTAGTTGAACTCGACGATCTCCTTCATCTTAGAGATAGACTCCTCGTGGGCCCAGCCGTGGCTCTCACGAATGGTGGTGACACGCTTGCGCAAGACCTTGGAAGCAGTTTCGATTTGCTGCTTAGACGCACTCTCGGAGTGAAGGCCAATAGCAGTTTGCTCCTCGTAGATACCGTCCAAAGTGGCAGAGATCTCATCGAGGTCAAGCTCCTTGGAGCCAATCTTGAGCAGCTCCTCATAAAGAGCGATGGCCTCAGACTCGTAGCGCTTGGACTCCTGGCACACCTTGGCAAGAGTGAGAGTAGCCTGGATAGTGATCGAAGCAGTGGCAGAGAACACGGTCTTTACCTTGGAGTGGTAGTCAACAGTAACCTTGTGGATCACGTTGTAGTCAGTGCGAACGGAGCGCAGACAGTGGGTATACCGGGTGAAGATCTCCTGAACGAAGGAAGGGTTCTCGAAGCGGGGCTGCTTGGGCTGGTGGAGGAAGGTGGTGAACAGCAAGGTGAAGTAAGGCACGGCATCAGAGTAGCGGCTCTGAGTCCAAAGCTCAGTAGCAACGAGGACCAGGGGCTCTAGAGCCTCAGGCTTGCAGGTAGGGGCATCCTTGTTGAGAGCGCGAATGATACGCTGGTAGTACTCGACGAAGATGGGACGAGGTCGGGTCAGCTCAGCGAGGGTCCACAGAGTCTTGATTACAACGGGGTGGTCACGGCCGTAGTGCTTGATGTAGTCATCCAAGGTCTCCTGGCGGGTTGTGATGACACTGTCAGGCTGGGAATTACGCTCGAAGAAGCGAATCAGAGCCTCGGTGACACGCTCGCGCACCTTGTCATCGACAGGACGTCCAGCACGGACCGCACGGTAAACGCGAATACGGATGTTCTCCTCGCGGGGGAAGCGACGGCGGTAGTGGTAGCACTGGCCAAGGCGCTCGGCATACTCGATAGCCTTGTCGGCGCTTTGTTTGGGGAGAACCACATCCTCAATGGAGGGAGCAAACAGGTCAGGCCAGAGACCCTGAAGGAGAACCTTCTTGATCACGCGAGTAGCATCCTTCCAGCGGTGCTGGGAGGTGAACTGGGTGATCAAAGTCGCAGTAGCAGTGAAGGAGCTCTCGTCGAATTTCTGGGAGGAGAAGGACTCGTAGATAATCTCTTCCAGAGTGGATTCAGAAACGCTCGACTGAGAAGAGTGGCTCGACTTTATGACCTGCTCAGAAGTGCTGGAAATGCTCTTCTGGATCTGTTCAAAGCGGGAAGACTTTGTCTGGCTGGTGCTCTGGAAGTAGTGGGCAACCTGCTTGTAAATGGACAGAGCAGCAGCTGAGAGGCCAACGGAAGCCATAACAGTGGCGATCTCCTCGTAGTGGTGGGAAGACTTCTCAGAGATAGCCAGGCTGGTGTGACGGTGCTCCTCCCAAACGCTGGACAGAATGGATGAGGCCTCTGACTCACGCTTCTCCGTCTTCAAGAACTTGGAGTAGGCGACAACAGCCTTCAACTTGATCTCCTCCCAGAAAGAGGTGGTTTGGATACGACATTCCCGGTTGGCACGCTGCCAGATCTCAACATAGATTCGCTCCGCCTCGGTGATCTTGCCTTCAGCGCGGTACTTCTCGGCCAGTGCAATAAGCGCCTCATAGTCAAAGCTCTCATCGATGGACTCATCCTCCTCGGCATCCAAGATGAAGAGGATACCACCCTCACTCTCCTCACGCTTGTGGCCCTTCAGGTGGAGATGGAGATCACCGCGAGATCCATCGCCAGCCTCATAACCAGTGGTGATGGTGTTGATGGTGGTGGTAATCTCCTGGATCTTCTTCTCCTCCTTGGTCAAGCGGTAGTGCTCGATCAAGGCCTTGAGAGTAGTCACAACCTGCTCAGAAGAATTGCCGTAGTGGATCTTATAGCACTCAACAACAAGCAGAAGAATCTCCTCACGCTTGATCATGATATCAGTGCGGGAGGTAGTGGTGTGCATGGAAGTCAACTCAAGGAAGATGTTGGCAATCTTCATGGTAATGAGGTGCTTGGTGAGGAGCAGATCACGGCTCAGGATGGTGATCTCGTAGAAGAGTGGGATGCAATCGGTAACCTGACTAATATCACGGCGCAGGAAGGCCAAGGTGATGATGGATTGGAGAGTTACCACATGCTTGGGAGACAGAATGTTGCGACACAAGTTGGTGACAGTGGTCTGGTAAGTGACCAGAGTTGGAGTGATGATGGTGTGCCACAGGGTGTTCTGGAGCAGCAGCAAGGTAATAGTAGCCGGGAAGATCTTGGCGAACTCCTTAGCAGTAGGCGCATCACCGCCGGTAGTGTAGACGGTGGTCTGCGTGAGGTGACGAGGCCAGTATCGGACACAGAAGTCGAGGAAGGGGTTCCTCTGCACGAATGAAGTGGTGTCATGGCCATCAAGGGGAGTAAGAGATGGCTCGTGCTGCTCTGGGAGAACGTTCTTGATGTAGATAAAGAGGCGAGTAACAAAGTCAGCATGACGGTCCTTGATGGAAGGCACCAGCTTGCCCTTAGACTGGATCTCCAGGAGGGAGGTGCGAATCAGGCCGTGACGCAGATACACCTGACCATCCTGCACGAAAACCAGGTTGTTCACAGGACGCAGGAAGTCCAGAGGCTTCACAATACCATCGGTGATGGTTTGCTTAGTAACATCAATGGCGGACAGAAGGGTCAGCTCCTTCAAGGTGAAGGGACGGTCAGCAGTGGCAAGCCACAGCAAGATCTGGCGAGCCTCATCCTTGACATCAGGGGCCTGGACGGTGTTGAGGACAAAATCCGTGACGGTGAGCTTGCTGTTCACGATAGTCTCAACGGCCTTGTGGAAAGCCTCCGGGGTCTTCTCCTGACGGACACGCTTAGAGCACAACTTAGCCCAAAGGAAGGAGCGCTGAGCCCCCTCAGTGATCTGGTCAACGATGATCTCCTGCTCCATCTCTGGCAGGTCTAAGAAAATCTGGTACTCCTCGAAGCTGGCGCGAACAACGGTGGAGACATCATCTCCAATGCGATCATCAGTGATCGGCAGGTGTACAAGGCTCTCAGCGGCCTTGGGCTGCTCAGCACCCAGGGTAATGAGCTTAACACCGTTAGCATGGCCGGTCGCAGTAAGCAGCTTCTGGAGCAAAGGAGCCTCGCCACCAGTGGCCTCGTCAACACCGTCAACGACAATGACCAGCTCCTTAGCATTCTGCAGAGCAGCGTCGAGAGCGCGCTCCAATGCGGTCCAGAGAATGGTATCATACTGCGCCGCATCGGTAGTCTTCTTGCTACGCTCATAAGCCTCCTCCATGATCTGCAGAAGCCCAGTGTTACCAATGCGCTTCTCGAAGAGCTGGTACAGGATAGTCTTGACGATAGCAGTAGACGTAGTCTCTGCTGGAACGCGCGCATTGATGGGGATGTAAAGGGTCTTGTAGGAGACACCAGCGATGGGGTCCTGAAGACGGTCGATAATGACGGAAGCAGTGACGGTCTTTCCGGACCCAGGCTTACCAGTGATGGCAAGGGTGCGTTTCTGGCTCTTCAGGAAGTTGGTCAGGTGCTGAGAAACCCAGAGGCAGGTCATCTCCTCGCGCTCATGGGCAAGATGGGAGGTGTTCTCGGCCAGGTGAGCCAGAACACGGTCTTCGGGTGCAAGCCAGGAGCGAACGCCACGAACGACGGAGACGCGCTCAGCACTAAGGTTGTCGCGAACAAGCTGGTGGCGCCACATTGCCTCGGAGATCTTGCTGCAGCGCTCCTTGAATGCAAGGATCTGACCGCGGAAGGTATCGTAGATGTGAACAGAGACAGAAGCCTTGGTCAATCCACTGATAGCCTGGTGGAAGTGGGTAGAAACGCTGGAAACCAGGGTCACCAGATCAGCGAGAGCCAGGATGAGTTGTTCCTTGATCTCCTGCGAGACATCAAACAACTCGGTACGCTCAAGAAGGTTGACCAGGGTAGAGGAAGTGCTGTAGAAGAAGCCAAAAGAGGTCATCAGCGCCTCAGCATTCTCCTTGCCGAGCTATAGAATTTTAATTAGCATTGACTCATGCGATTGGTCTTGGACAAGCCAACTTACATCAAGGAGCATGCCGCAGTATCCGTACGACAGCTGAGTGGCGAGGTAGCTGTCGCCAGCAAATTTATTGATGTTTGAGTCGAAGTGGTGCAAACGCTCAATGAAAAGAAGTGCCCAGGACAGCACCTTATCATAGTTGCTTCCCTCCGGGGGCAGGTGGCTCATACGCTGAACGCGGATCCACTCCTTGAGGGACTCATAGCTGCTGTTCATCAGCCGGGATGATGCATGGCCACCAAGCTCGTTGCCACTGCGCTGGTACAAGGAGTGCACCAGGCTAGTGAGGTTGGAGCCTCCAGCACCACTCATATTGCGGTGGAGGATGCCTGACTCCCGGCGTGTAGAACGACCATTTTGAGAGAAGGTATCACTGTCAAAGTGGGTAGAGAATGCAGAGACATTGCGAGAGTTACCAGGACGCTCGTTGTAGAAGGAAGAGGATAGGTTACCCGGAACGGGTGAAACAAGACCAGGAGCCATGGTATTTGTTTGTTCAATTGGGGAAGGATTCGAAGGCTTGGGTATAGTTATCGGAATCGAGGCTCTTTGTCGAGTGTTGGTATCAATATGGGTTCTTGGGGAGGACGTTTCTCGTGGCGGATAATTAAGATCTGATAGATGTTTTTCTTTTGAGCAGCAGCCCTTGAAGCAACAAAATAGGCGAGACAAACCGGCGATAAGTCTCAGTGCGAGATGCGAGTATAGATGTACAGGGGCATTCAAGCACAATGGAGGGTAAAAGTAAATAGAAAGCTGGACCTGGTCCCATGCAAGAAGGGGGTCTACCGGGCTTTTGTAGCAGCTCCAGCCCGGGTGGCGGTCATCGTCAAACCCTAGTCTTTCCTTTTAGGAAATGGCTCAGTGGAGGTATGTAGCTCTCCAGGGTTGAATTACGTCTTTTACAGATTGTATCATCGAGTGGGGACGAGCTTCAGCTTTGGATAATGTTCTCCACACCCACTAGCCTTCTACAGGTACACAGACCTGCCGAACCATAGCTACGGGTTCCCTATCTTTGGTGTGGCATCAAAGGTGGCAATTGAATCCCCAAAGCAAGCCTGCCCGCATTGTCAATCGCTGTCAATGCGAAAGCCAAAACGTGCATTAGTCGTTAGCTGCATGCTGGTGGTTCTGGGGCTTCAAGAATCCAATGGGCGATTTCTCCACGGATACGAAGTTTTTTCGTAAAGTAATTGTATCGTATTATTCCAAGTCGGTATGTACCGATTACAGATATCCCACGGGGGTGGTCAGCTATGTGGAGCATCAAAATGGCACCTGCAAGGCAAGGCTACCGATGCAGGATGGTTCGAATTGAACTCTCCACATAGGGCACCATGTTGCCCCATAAATCTTCCAAGTATGATGAAAGACGGCACATCCGAATCCACCTAGACTCGGTCTCAGAGTTGACAATCTTGCCAGCTCCAAGAAAAGCTCCGGAGTCACCGGTTAGGAAAGACGGCACTAGCTAACCTCGAAGCGGGCATTTCTGACAAGCTAGTTGCCTTTCTGTTTCATTTGTGATATTTGGCGCCCGCCCGCATGCGCCGTTCAAAGCTGGAGTGACAGGTTGTGCACCGTGCACACATGGCTGGCTGGACATCGGGTCCTAGGGAAAATTTTTCAGTGTGCGGGGGGTCATTTCTGGGGGCTTAGCCTGTGACAATCGCGAAAATGGGGCAGGAAAATGGCCCTTGATCTGTTTCGGACGAACACTTGATCGATTGGCATCCACCCACCTGTCTGCCTTCTATTGGGAGCGGGGGGGTTCGATGACTGGATCCCGCCAGCACCAGCCATCGCCGATCGAAAATGGGTCCTTGATGAACTCATGCAGGATCACTGACGAAATGAGCTCCACTTAGATTCCGTCTGCCCCATAATAATGCTCCCGATCTGCCGAACGATTCACTCGGGCCACTTGTCATCGACTTGGGATGATGGAAGAATGTGGTTCCCCGGGGGAGGCTGGATAAGTGACAGCGGCGCTTATCTTGAGAACCATGGGAACCAATTCGTTCTGGCCCAGGGGCTGAGGATCTAGCTTCCCAACTAACACATCACCCCTGACCCCTGTCCTCCCGTTCCGGTGAACTCCGCGAAAAATCAAACAAAATCAAATTGCGAGCTGAGTCTCACCTTACTCCTCTAATCGACGTGCATTAGCATAATGGGTCTTGTGGGGAGAAAAGGGAAAATGAACAATCGAACTGGTTTCTCACGGAAGGTTAGCGGATCCACCCGCGCTGCACCAAGATTCGCTTCGTCAAGTGCGGGCAAGAAAAGGCGATTTCGGAATGACAAAAGACTGGCGAGCTGAACATCTAGACCCACTACGGTCCCCACTTCATAGTTCTGCCGATACCGAACACCCCCTCATCTTGTGCCAGGAAATTAAAAGCTGCTAAAAAAAAAACAAGCGCCACTGGCTGCTTCCGCTAGATCTATTACCTGGATCAGCTCTCGAACTATGCTCCTTAATGTGAGATCCCCTTAGGTTTGTCTATGATTGAGGCCCCTTTATTTCTACTGAATTGCTTGTCACATAAGCGCATACGTAACACCTATGCATGTATAGAACCCTCTGCATCGGACTTTACAATACCTAGTTTATACGATATTCTTTTCCTCAACCTTGGTAGCTTACCCGCGAATAATGGGTCCTCGGGATACATGCCCTGTACCAAGAATGGTGGCATCAGAACTCGTGCGCCACCCGAATTTCTTACTGTACACGATAGTATATGATCAACATCACGCACGTGTACTCCGTAGAGATGCATACGGAATGGTTCGGTAAGTAGGTTCCATAGTGTAACTCGATGTGTACTGTACGCACACATATCACCGGAAATTTTCATTTTCGTCATTCACACGACATAGGTGGGGAGGAACATCAAAAATAAAAGAAGCAGTATCCTGTGTCAACTCGGAACTTAATTTTGAGACTGTGCTCAAATGCGACTAGGGACTACGTAGTTTCGAATTGATTCCAAGTCTGGGAATTCCAAATCATGAGAATATGAAAATATGGAAATATGCATCGTACTTTGCGTTCGCTCGGCAACTATTTCCTGCCTAGACCCGAGGTGGCTCAGCTGTGCATGCATCCCAGCTGGTTGCCCACTGAACTGTCGGAATATTCCCTCTCTTCTAATTCATCTCCAGATGATTATCGCGTAATTCCTCTCCAGGTGACAAACTTCTAAAATTATAGTTTCATAGCTGCATATCGTGGTCGCCACGGAGGGGAAGATGCAGGTTTTCGATGTCTGGACCGACGATCACGTATTTACCATCTCCAAACACGAACAATTGATTCATGTAACATTCAGTGTAGAAATATTCCACATGACAATCCAACTTACGCATTTTTGACGTGTAGCCAAGACTTGTTGAGAAGATCAAGAAACCCAAGCAGTCCTTGGTTATGTAATATCGAATTGGCCCTTTTGGGAAAAGGGGAGAAGCTTCAATCCCTGAGAAATAGTCCCATATGAGGAAAGAAACTTCAATTGGCCTCTCATATGCATTTTAAACCAATAGAAGGGCTCCCAATTACTCGGATCGATTCATTACATGTAGCCTAAAGCTAGATACCTCACGAGCACCCTCAAGGTCTGATGATATACGTGTTATAGTCCCCGTCCTGCGTATCAATATGCTGCGGGGGAGAGATTCCTGACCCTATATCTTGATAGCTTTAAGCTGAGAGTTCAATGGGGCTTCCTGGATACGAATGACGACCCATCAGTAATTAGCCCCACGATGTGTAACATACACGGTTAGCAGCCGCAAATTCTTCAGCTTGATTATTCGTAGGCAATGCTTCAGGTGGGTCATTAGATGATGCTTTGACAAACAACCTTATTCGAAGAAAATTAGCGTTTCCAAATCAGACTGAGTGCATCTCGAGTCTGGCGCAAGCCCACAACTATTTCTGGCTGTGGGAATCTGTGAGTGACAGCTAGGAAGGAACCTTAGATCTTCAAGATCACCCAACAACGCATTATCGAAGTTGGCTGTCTTTATAACACCCTGTGTCATACCTGCTCGGTGTAATCAAAAGGCATGACATCGGAATAAACATCAAAGCCACTCCATTCATTTCCTGTAAGTGAATCTACACATCCAGCCACTGTCCCCGGATATTACATGGAATTGACTAAAACGAAAGCCTCTAAAAGCCACTCGGGAGGTGGATCTTTCAGCCACGTGTTGAAAAGATGAAATTATCGTACGCAAGTGTTATTACGAAACATTGTTTGGAATCAAGAGGCTATAGCTATGTAAGCGGTCTCCGCTTGGTCCACTTGTGGATATGCATATGTGAATCTGACTCGGTACCAGCAGGGAATTAGTCTTCTCACTAGCATGACAGTGGATCTTTAGGGCCAGTCGGAAACACCTACTGCTAGTATTGAATAGTGTGTGGATTTTCAAAAGGGGGTGGCCATGCAGCTAGGAGTCATAGAGGAGAGAGGGTCTCTTGGAATGACCAGTATATTCATGTACCTCATCAGCGAAAAAGCAACTTCAGCTGAGATGGAAACCCCGGGTCCCGGAGACGCCGAAATGTAACAGTAGGCCACGTGAGTGATCTGCAGTTGAGGTAGTATAGTGACTATTCTTGCTGAACAAATGGGAGATTTTAGATTACCTGCAAGCTGCGAGCTGGAAGCTGCATGGTTATTTGCACTACCGCGAAGGTATGAGGGTTTTACGCACTACTGCAGTATTATAACTGACTCACAACTGCCTTTAAAAAGAAGTGTGTTCTCCTATATGAAAGCATTATCTTTCCTCATAGAAATTTAGCCGACGTCCGTAAGCTGGTCTTGGACCTTTGAAAGACATGAAGTACTACCTACGTCCACCCGAATGGACCTTTGATTACCTTTGGGATCTAGATCTACTTGCATTAACTGCAGGGCCGTGGGCATACTATGATAGCTCTCAAGCTATCCATTCTATCGACAAATCAACATTGTCTTCACGGCTACAGTATATACATATTTAATGCTCAAGCGGCTCCAAAATATTTCCATGAAAGTCACCCTACTTCAAGTCGACTAATGAATTCCAAAATGTGCGATATGATTTTGGAAACTGCCAAGATACCTTCAAAATGAGACTTTGCACATGCACCGTCCCAAGTTCATTCATTCCACTTACCGTGTTAGCCCTAGGATGCATGGATGTGGCCGGTCCCGAGGTCTTAGTCATGACTGAGCTCTCAGGCATCATCAAGGCATGCAGATGTTAAGGCACTAAGGCACTAAGGCAATATATTCCTTCATGCCTGAGGTATGATGTTTCCTAATACGGAATAGTGCTCAACATGTGATGTTCTAACGTTATCGGGACTAGTCTGTTGACGCAGTGGGCTGCCCGTACAATTATCAGCGCCCTCATTATTTGTTATGCTCTTTGTCCTGTGAGCTTTGCTGTGTCCCAACCCTTGCTGTCCCCGTGACATTCCATCTGTATCTTTTGGTGGACCGCATACAACGTTCAACTCTGGAATTCTTCCCAGATTGATTGCTTTCTCTTCCAATCTCTTCTCCCTCGCTTGTGTTGATACCCCACGTACCGGTGAAAATGGCGGAGGCTCTTGGAGCTTTGTTGGAGGCGAGCTTGGATCCCAGACGGAACAAGGAAGGTAAGGCAATTAAGTCACACTGATGATACTGGAATCAGTTGCTCACTCTTTTTTGCCATCTTCCAGCCGAGATCGCCCTTCGTCAGGAAGAACAGAAGCCCGGCTTTTCTCTACAGCTTCTCCAAATTACGGCGTCTGATTCCCAGCCCAACAATCTTCGTCTTGCGAGCGCCTTATGTTTCAAAAACTTCATCAAGCGTAGCTGGACCAACGAGGATGGAGAATACAAGCTGCCTTTGGATGAGGTAACGACCATCAAGCGCGAGCTAATCACCTTGATGATCTCCGTGCCTCCTTCAATCCGGACTCAGCTTGGTGAGGCTGTCAGTGTGATCGCCGACAGTGACTTCTGGGAGCGATGGGATACTCTTGTGGATGTAAGCGATCAGTGGTGTTATGAAGTTTTGATCTCCCTAGCTAAACCGTACTCTTCTCCGTCCAGGACCTTGTGTCGAAATTATCGCCATCCAACCCTGCCGTCAACATCGGTGTCCTCCAGGTTGCGCACTCCATCTTTAAGCGCTGGAGACCGCTCTTCCAATCCAACGAGCTTTACATTGAGATCAACCATGTTCTCAACAAGTTCGGCAACCCATTCTTGGCCCTGATCGAGGGACTGGACAGCTACCTCGAGCAAAATAAGAACAACAAAGAAAACCTGACCCAAGGTTTCACCCAGCTCAACCTTATGGTAAAGCTTTTCTACGACCTCTCCTGCCACGACCTTCCCCCCATGTTTGAAGAAAATATCTCCGCAATTGCGGGCATTCTACACAAATACCTGACATATGACAACCAATTGCTTCACACCGATGACGATACGGAGGCAGGTCTCCTGGAGTATGTCCGGGCTGGGATTTTTGAGGTCTTGACTCTTTACGTCCAGAAGTTCCTGGATGCCTTCGGACCCGAGGTTGGACAATTCATTCAGAGCTCGTGGGGCCTTTTGACTACTATTGGTCAGGAGACCAAGTACGACATCCTTGTGAGCAGAGCCCTGCATTTCTTGACTTCTGTGGCTAGCATGCCCGAGCATGCCGCTGCTTTCCAGGCGGAGGAAACCCTTGGTCAGATCATCGAGAAGGTTATCCTGCCTAATGTGAGCCTGCGCGAATCTGACGAGGAGCTGTTTGAGGATGAGCCTATCGAGTTCATCCGAAGAGATCTTGAGGGGTCTGATAGTGAGACTCGTCGCCGTGCTGCGACAGACTTCCTCCGACGTTTGGCGGAGAAGTTTGAAGCTTCAGTGACGAAGGTCGTCCTCAAGTATACCGAGCACTACCTCGCTGAGTACACCAAGGATCCTTCATCAAACTGGAAGTCGAAGGATACGGCCATCTACCTCTACTCCGCTGTGGCAGCCAAGGGTGTGGCAACTTCGAGTCACGGTGTTACCGCTACCAACAGCCTGGTCAGCATCACCGACTTTTTCCAGCAGCACCTTGCCGCCGACCTGATCTCCGATGATGGCATTCATCCTATCCTCAAGGTCGATGCTATCAAGTACCTGTACACTTTCCGAAGCATCATTACAAAGGAGCAGTGGCAACAGGTGCTGCCTGTTCTTGTGAAGCACCTGGCTTCCCCCAACTACGTCGTATACACCTACGCTGCCATTGCTGTGGAGCGAGCACTGTTCCTCAGTGATGGCCAGGGCCAACCAGTCATTCCCCCGACTGAGATTACTCCTCTCGCAAATGACCTTCTGGAGCACATTTTCCAGCTTATTCAGAGGGATCCGGCTCCCCAGAAGGTGCAGGAGAACGAGTTCTTGATGCGATGCGTTATGCGCGTCTTGGTTGTCATCCGTGAGGGTGTGGTTCCTTACACCGATGTTGTGCTGCAACGCTTCATCACCATTACCCAGATCATCAGCTCCAACCCCAGTAACCCGCGATTCTACTACTTCTTCTTCGAGGCCATGGGTGCCTTCGTTCGTTATGCTGCTCCTGCCAACCCCGACAAGCTCGAACAGGCTCTTTATGCTCCGTTCGCCGCTATTCTTCAGAACGATGTGCAAGGTAAGCTTATTCCAATATGTTCTGCCGTTCCATGCTAACTCGATCCATTTCAAGAATTCATGCCTTATGTTTTCCAGCTGTTTGCTGCCCTGTTGGAGGCAAATTCTGCCGCTAACCTGCCTACCTACTACCAGGAGTTGATTGCTCCTATTTTGATGCCGGTCATGTGGGATTCTCGAGGAAACATTCCTGCCCTTGCTCGTTTGCTTTCCTCGATTATCCCCCGTGGAGCTCAGTATATCGTTGAGCACAACCAGATTGAGCCTATTCTGGGTATTTTCCAGAAACTCGTCTCCACCAAGGCCAATGAGGGCTATGCATTCGATTTGCTGGAGACAGTTGTCGCAGCCTTCCCACCGTATGTCCCACATCCAACGTCATTTTGGGCAAATATACTAACTTGGATTGATAGGGCCGCTCTGGAACAATACTTCATCATGATCATGCAGATCATCCTGCAGCGTCTGCAGAACTCCAAGACCGAGAACTTGTCAATTCGCTTCGTTCGGTTCTTCCACTTCATCACTGCCCACGATGACAAGGGATACAACCCTGACTTTATCATGCAGGTGACAGAGAAGGTGCAACAAAAGTAAGTTCCGCCTGCCCAAGCTTTTCTTGTTTGGTTAGATATTAACCTCTATTTTGCAGCCTGTTCACCCCTGTCTACCTCAACGTCATTCTTCAGGACACACAAAAGCTTGCCCGGCCCTTGGACCGTAAAACTGCCGTCCTTTCCCTTACCAAGACATTGGCCAACTCGGAAGCCTTTGCCACCCGGTACGCCAAGGGATGGGGCTTCACCTGTAATACACTACTCAAGCTCCTTGAGCTTCCTCCTGATGTGACTCACAAGGATGATTTTGCGACGGAAATGGATGTTGAGGAGATGTCTTTCGGCGTGGGCTTCACTCCCCTGAACACCATCAAGCCGCAGCAGAAGGACCCGTGGCCCGAGACTGGCGCTGACCTGAAGAAGTGGGTCGGTGCATACCTGAAGGAGGCGGACAAGAAGCACGGAGGTCGGATCTCGCAATTTGCACAGGAGCGTCTGGACGATCAGGCTAAGACGGTGTTGGGTAGCTACATTGCTTGATCTGGATTTCCCCCATTTATCCTCATTTTACGAACCTTAAAAAAAGTTAGCTGAGAGTGGCGGTTGCCTTTTCCTGTAGGATTGAGCTTCAAGGCCAGTGCAGTTGAAATAACGAATCTACTAGATCAATGTGCCAATTCTCTTACCTTTTATCCTTTTTATATCTCTATCATGACATGAAAACAATCTAATGGTCACTCGCCCTTGGTCTCAGTCTTATATGATCATTCCCAGCCCTGAAGGTAAACATTTCTCAAGGCTCATGGTTTTGTATCTTATTTCATATTTGCACCCTGGTTCCATGAATAATAATCAGGGATTTTGATGGTGATTATCGCTACCTAACCATCGAATTAGGGCAGCCTCGACTTCCCTAATATCAAATACGCCGTTGCTAGCAGCCCAAGCCACGAAGCCATCGGGGCGCACCAGCAGACATTCAACCGCAGCAATAGTCGACCTTCCTCGGATCAACTTCAGACGCCCAGCATATCTCTTAACTAGGCCCGCAGCACTGTCGTTCCCCCCAAGATCGACCAGTAGACTGTGACCTTCATGGGCATGATCTGCAAGGCGACTACCGTCATGCAACTGAATATTAGGCATTGTCATACCAACGAGTGGATGTCCATCACCCAGATCATAATGCTGCCACAATCCAGATACCTGCTTTACATAATGCGTCGCTCCATCCTTCGTTCCCAGAAAATCGCTCACAACACCCCTTAACGCTGAGCCATCAGGATCACCACGCATGACAGCAGTCTGTGCTCGAGTCCAATCCAAGACTCGCACACCAATGGGATGTCGTTCGCTGGTATAGGTATCGAGAAGATCCTCAGTTCCCCACCCTTGCACTACCGCACCAAGCTTCCAGCCCAAATTGACAGCATCCCCAAGACCCAGATTCAATCCTTGTCCACTAAACGGCGCGTGCACATGCGCCGCATCTCCACAGAGAAACACCCTTCCACGCCGGTAGGTACTCGTTTGGCGTGCATTGTCTGTAAACCGCGTGCCTCCATTGACTTTCGAGATGCGAATACCTTCAGAACCAGTAACCCGCCGCAAACTATCCTCCATCTCCTCGGCTGTTACCGGTGCATACTTGTCCGCAGGTGGACCATCAAACTCAATCGTGCGCACTTGCCCCAGTCCCTGTGCGTTGGTGAACACATAAACTCCCTGTGGTGTACACTGCCATCCTTCCCCCAAATGCTCAGCACCCTCAATCTCGACAATAGCTGCCCGGCCCGTGATCTTCGGATCTGTGCCTAGAAAGTCAAAACCTGCTAGACGGCGCACAAGACTATGTCCTCCATCACAGCCGATAAGCCAGTGTCCACGCACTCCGCATGTTCCTTTTGTTCCCTCTCCTTCAATTTCCATAGTCACGCCAGACTCATTTGCCTTGAGTCCCGTAACCTCAACATCTCTCCAAACTTCCACACCCAACTCCCGCCCCCGCTGATACAGAACATTCTCCAGGTCAACTTGCGGCAATGGCGTATACCACCCCTGCTCCCCCCTTCCACGTAACAAAGCATCCTCCTTATCAACAGGACCAGCAGGAACAGGGATGCCACCAAAATGGCCAACAGACCTCGGAAAAGGCAACTTCCATTCCCGAGTACCCTTGTTTTTATCAGCATTGAATGAAGCTCTCGTGGACTGAATGGCAGGGAGAAGACCACGGCGCTCGAGCATTTCAAGCGAAGCAGTGTTGATGCCAGCTGCCTTTATCGCTGTATCGGGTGAAATTCTGCGCTCCAAAACTAGGACCCGAGCATCGGGGGCTTGAAGTTTAAGTTCTGTGGCGAGAAGGAGGCCAACAGGCCCAGCGCCCGATATTATGATGTCGTAGATCGGAATTGAGGAGGTTAAAGACATTTTGTGGCTTTTGGGTGTTTGGCGCGTGCTGAAGGAGCTCCGTATGCTTTGGGTGCGTATGTGCTTTAGATGCGATGAGAGGAAGAAAGACGATGTTTTAATTGAGATGCGACCAATTTGGGGTTTTTGCAAAAGGTAATGGGATTGCATTGCCGCCATTCCAAGGTTGTGAGAGGGGTTCAATGCATCTCTATGTGGCCAGGTTTGCGCTTTATGTATGAATCAAGACGGAGGAACGGAACGGATGGTCTTACTTCAACATTGACTTATTTGACATTTAAAAGTTTTCTATGAACTAGCTCCCGGCGTTTTTATATGCCTACGGGCTGGATGGGGTTTGGTCTATAGTTTGCGGATCCACCACGGATCGTCGGAGCGGAGGGTCGGAGGATGGAGAGCATCAACAAATGTTTATGAGCCCTCCAGGACTTCACAGTTTCAGATATCCCGGCTCCAAGGTTCCCGACAGCAATTATAGTTACTTGAGATAAATCAAGAGATGAAGACAGATAAGTTGAAAATTTCAAACATAAAAATACAAACCTCACCTGGAGGTGCATAGATTATCACATATATATATACAGGCCCAGAAGCAAAAACCATACAACTGTCAGAACGACTCCGACATCTATGAAGCCGGACCTTTCTCTCCAGTCATTTCCCCTGAGCCTCCAACCTTTGGAACAGCCTGGACCTCTTCCGATCCCTCCTCAGCCTCCTCCAGTTCCTCCTCATGCACCTCCCCCTCTTTCCCTTCCAACTCCCGATATTTCCTCCTAGTCTTCTTCATCTTACTAGCCTTCTTCTTCTTCGCAATCTCCGCCTTCAGCGCAACCCGACTCCCACCCCCCTTCTCCTTTTGCTCAATCTTATCAGCAAGCAACGAGCGCGCAGTCTTCGCATTCTGAGACCTGGACCGCGTGGCCTGGCACTTGACGACAATGCCAGAGGGATGATGGATGATTTGGACCGCAGAGTTGGTTTTATTCTGGTTGGTTTAAGTATTAGTACTGTATCTCACAGCATTCTGACCGGGGGAATCACGCACGATCTTTTGTCCGCCGGGCCCGGTGCCCTTGAGGTAGGAGACTGTTAGGTCGGCATCGTTGATCTTGAGGCGGGGTGGTAGGGGTTTTGCGGGAAGATTGGGTGTTATGCTGAAGCTTCGATGTTGGGTGGAGAGTCGTGGTAATCTGGGGAGGGCTTGGAGGGCCCCTAGCCAAGGTCTGGGGCATAGCATTGCGCATTCGTGGTGAAGTTGGTGGTTTCGATGATGTTTTTGGCAATGATAAGATAGCGATAAGCGATAAGGGATATATGTAACATGACTGGTTTTGCGCTACATCATAAGTTGCTATAGTAGAATCTGTCGGGAAGATTGGCATGTTTTCTGGTTATCAGGTATTGAATTACCATTTATCTTCTTGATCTAATGGTTTCTTTACCAAGGTCAGTTTGGTTACTAGCCAGTTTATTCTATAGTGCCCGATGCCAGCGATTAATGCTGCAGCCTGTGTAATATAGTTCCAAAATTCGTCTTCCACTGGGTCCGCAGTCGACAAGCTTTGAGAAAGCCGAAGTGGATTAGTACAAATAAAATGGGGGTTTCGCTCTTTTGAATAAAATGTAAAGACATGTATACATATAGTAGCAAAGGACCTGAGGAGACAGTGGCAAAGCAGAAGGAAAACGGACCCGAACCATGCAATATTTATTTGCTCAAGTCTCATCTTTTGCCTCTTTTGATTTATCAATTGCCAATTGCCAGTTGCCAATTGTCGATACCTGTTAGGGCATTTGGAGAATCAGAAAGAGCAAATCGTGCTTTCTGATTTCTGATCCGGAGCAATCGGGGCTCAAAACGGTTCCCCCAACCAAAAAAAAGTCTCACGCATCCACATCCCCACGATCTCCGCCCCTAGCGATCCCGATCCTAAAACCCTAAGACACTCTTTTCGCCCGTCAACCTTTCTCTTACCTATCCTTCAACCCTCTTATCGCACCAAGCGCACCGGGCGATCCGTCTCTTCCATCCCCACACCCCCCTCAAAGTAACGGCAGTCCCGCAACGCCACAAGAGACCAAGACCCCTGAACTTCTCGATCCTCGCAAGACCGAAGGAAGGAAACGTGCCAAGACATTGTGACAGCTTGCGCCCAAATTTGACTGGCGGAACACGGTGACACTGCATTCGCTCTGTTCAAGGGGCCGATAAAGACGAAAGACGACGCGCCTGAGATTGGACAGCCGCCTTCAGGGACAAAACCTTCCCTACGCCTAAACAGACGTCAACTCTAAGAACAACAGACTCGCAGTCATGGGTTCCATCCTCTGGCTCATCAGCAGCTTCGTCCGCTGGGTTCGTATGAAGATTTACCAGTATGAGGTCACATTCGCCATCTACATGCTTACCCCGACGGAAAAATTCATCTTCAGTACGTGCCCCTGACCCTTGAGCCATGCCATTCTATTACCATGAAACGAAACTAATAATTTCCTCTCTGTACAGACTCTCTCCTCCTCACCCTGATCACTATGATCGCCACCGGAATCTACGTCTACCTCCCTAACCACCTCCGTACGATCTACGGCCACATGTACTACTACGCCGTTGGCGAGCGGCCATTCATCTCTTCCCGACTCACATCCATGAGCGCGGTATTTGGTGAAGCAACGGAGACCCTTGATGTGATGTACCAAACAGCCAAGAACGCGGCTGCGGCGACGACACAGCACATGGGCGAGTTGTAATGTGACCCTGACTCAACATGTCTTCTCATTCAATGGACGCTTGATCGGATTGAGACGGAGTTGAAACAGGTGTGGTATCGGAGTTGTTCGGGCACTTTCATCCATCGCTGGAAGAAAAAGAGTCGGAGCAGGCCTTTGTCATTTATCATTTCCTGCTCCGCTTCCAGTCCCCCAGCAGGTGCATCCTAGGCGTTTCTTTTTGGCTTCCTTCCATCGTTGCTTCAGTTCGGTTGTCATCGACCGTCAAGTCGATCAATCGCCCCCGGTTCTCTGCTATTTGGCGGAACATTGGACATTCCGGGTACCCCGGTTATTTTTTACAGCGTGGCATTGCTTGTTCACTGTGCAAAATATCATTACCTGTGCCTCAGTCACTGCAGAGGGATCGTGGACTCTTTTGAGCTCGAGACCCTTTCTCTGATCCTGGTGTTTGGACAATGCACATAATTTTGACGAAACTTTTTTTTTAATATGGTACAGTTTATCAGATATACTAGTAATAATTAAGGATATGAATACAGACGAGAGATAAGATATATGAGAAAAGAAATGCAAAATTCCAGTCTTGGATACTGTACAATTGAAATAGTTGAGATAGATATTCCCTTCCCCAAACGCCGTAAATGCCCAGAGCAGAGTGTTGTACAAATCATCTTCAAACAGATGCAACCCATGTTGACTCGAGGGATATGACCCTGCACCACGATGCAGGACTCAATCTCCGAGTGCGTCACCACCTCATCGGAGGATGAATATCAAACCACTAGCCGAATCCACATGCCCTTCCATCCCCAGTATATCCGCGTAAATTTGCCAGACGTCAAACACTTTTTCAAAAGGTCTATTGTTGTCCGCTGGACTCCGGTTGCTGAGCCTGAGCCTGGGCCTGCAACAAAGCAACCTCCCGCTCTCTCCGCTCCCGGCGCACAGACTCCGCCATGCGCATACGCGCCAACTCCTTATCAATCTCCTCCTTGTCGATCGGGATCTTGTGCGACTGCTCGGCAGTAGGCCAGAAGTTCTTGACGTTGAAGCGGTCGTCGAGGTTTGTGCCGAAGTAGTACATCCAACCGATGGGGAAGAGGACGTACATGCCAAACTAGAACATAGGAAAGTGGTTAGCGATTGATTGTATTAAACGGACTGCTTTGGATGCAGTAAGCGCCTATGCCCATTGGGTATGGACGAGCTTTGTGACAGAACCCAGTGGGTAGACAGAAGCATATAGGTATGTATCTGCGTCATTTCAAGATCGATTTCTTACCTTGAAGACTTCCAGGTTGCCGCCCTGGAGTCGGCGGAGGGGGTTGGGAAGCATGTTGATGTGTGTAGGTTATATTTCTTGTAATAAGGTATAGAATGGAACCAACAGGTTGCTGGCTCGGTTGTTGGATCTTCGCGATCGACGAATAATGCAGTCTGGAAATAATATGGGCTGATGATTATTTGCTTGGTTTGCATTCATGCGTTACTCAGCTATTAATGCCTTACAAACAAGGCAATACGGCTTAGTGGCTATACATCACCTGACCTGCCGCGGGCCTCGGCTTGCGATTCCCCGCAATGTATTCGGAGAAAGATGTACTAATCTGGGGACCATGCGTGCTGTTATTTGTTTCCCTAACCGCCATCTTGCCCCGGACTGATTAACTATCAGCTAATTTGAGCAGATCAACGTTCCCAAGGCTGCAATTCAAACATTGATCCTATATCTTATCTCTTTTTTCTGAATATATCAAAAATATGTCCAACGAGGAGCTCATCACCCTGACCTATCAGGATCGCATCGCGATCGTCACGCTCAACCGCCCCGACAAGCTCAATGCCCTGAACGCTGGACTCTACTACACTCTCGCCGAGCGACTACGTGAAATCGAGAAGCGAGATGACATCTATATCACCGTCGTGACAGGCACAGGCCGGTTCTTCTCCGCGTAAGCAGACCAATCACCACCCACCCAGTCCACGTAAAGCTGACCGAAATCTCCCAAAACAGTGGCGCAGATGTGAACAGCGCCCGTCCTGGTGCTGGAAATGCCGATAGCGGCGGCCTCGGCTCAACAGTCCGCCAAGAGCTCGTCCGCGGCTTCGTCGCCAACAACGTCGACACAACCCGCGCCTTCTACAACCACTCCAAGATCCTCGTCGTGGCTCTCAACGGTCCCGCCGTTGGTCTTTCCGCTGCATTAATCGCCCACGCAGACTTCATTTACGCAGCTCCGCACGCTTTCGTGCTTACACCCTTCTCCTCGCTCGGACTTGTCGCCGAGGGCGGAGCCAGCCGTGCCTTTGTTGAGCGAATGGGTATCGCGAAGGCAAACGAGGCTCTTATCCTGAGCAAGCGGATACCATGTGAGGATCTTGTGAGGACCGGCTTCGTTAATAAGGTCATCAAGGCGGATTCGGGCAAGACAGATGATTCTGCGGGATTCCTGAAGAATGTCCTTGTGGAGGTTGAGGATTCAATGGGTACTCATTTGAACCAGTCGAGTATGGTGAAGATTAAGGAGCTTGTTAGGCGGCCTGAGCGGGAGATTCTGGATCGTCAGAATGGGCTTGAGGCTTTCATGGGATTGGAGCGCTTCTTGAGTGGAATTCCCCAGGAGGAGTTCCGGAAGTTGGCTTCTGGAGAGAAGAGGCATAAGCTTTAGATCTTTTGAGACTTACACATGGAGATTGGTACACATAAGAAACAATTTTAAGGCATGGGCTTTGAAATTCCCATGGGCATATTTAATCTGAATTGCGGAGTAAATCTTTTGCAGACTTTTATAATAGAAGAAGAAGAAGAAGAAGAAGAAGAAGAAGAAGAAGAAGAAGAAGAAGAAGAGTGAAATGAACACGCAGTGGAACATGAAGCAGAACGAATAGCGGAGCAATTAATGCACCTGCTTTCTGTTCTGTTGTTGTGTTGTGTTGTTGTGTTGTGTTGTTGTGTTGTTTTTGGACCATGGGGATGAAGTGAGCTGGAAGAGTTGATAAAGGCGTATGCAGCAACATGTTGTTGCGTTAATTGGACATGTTCCAAATCTTCTCTGAATTTGTCCTGACACTCAGCCTGGTCATTTTGATTTGTGGTTTGAGGGTTGTAGCTGAGCGATGCCCTTCAGAGAAGACTTGACCAAGACGGAAGGTTGAAGTTGAATGAAGGTTGGAAAGATGAATGGAGGTTGTTGTGTCGATGTGTTATGGCCAAGTCTTGTCTGAATTTGCCCTGACACATAGCTTGAAGACTTGTGCTTAGTGACGTCTATTCAAACAAGACTCGGACCAAGACGAAGAATGGACTCATGAAGGATCGAAACCATAAAGGAAGCCATGAAGGAAGCCTTGAATGTTTTCACGAAAGACCGAAGGCATGAAGGGAATCATAGATATTGAAGTCATCGAGTAACAATAGAAGCGGATGATCAAGGAAGAAGAAATGTAAACACGATGTTGTTGTGTTGGGTGGAGGTCATAAGGGTTGTGAGGGAAATGTGCAACAACATATTGATGAAGGACGAAAGACACAAAAGGGTGTTACAGATAATGTGATCAACATGAGGAGGAAAGAGATCAAGGTCCAAAGGCAAATGGAGAGTTGGAGGAGCAAGAAAGTTGAGCTTGGGGAGAAAAAGTGAGGTTTTCATACCCCAGATAACTCGGTTGTTTCTCAGGCAGGGAAATTTCAACAAATGGCAAAGCAGGAACTGTGCTTATACCTTGGAGCGGCTCGCCAAGACCCTCCTGGGACATTTTATTGGTGAACCCGCAGCATTAAGCTCTCGAACAATATTACTTCCAGACTAGAGAGTATCTTCATACATTTGGCCCCACTTGTCAAATTCTGACCAATGGCAGCGCGAGAGAAAACGATTTATACCTGGGACTCAAACTATAGCCTTATGGGACGTTTTGCTAGTGATTCCCAACATATCCTGGGAAACATGTCGATGTTGAACGCTATATTTAATACCATTGCTGGTCTCATTTTTCGATAGCAATTGTCGGAATACTCGAGGATGCATTGTAAATCTGGTGCATAGTGCTTTTTAAAACATGATGCGCAATACATTCTTCGAAAGAAGTCATTCAGGGTCATATCATCTCAAACAACAAATCACTCCTTTTAAGAGGTCATAGCTAATGTACAATTTATTCTGAGTCACTGCTGCCATCTTGCTGTTGCTGCATGGTCTGCCTGGCCAGAATCTCCTGCCACTTGCCCATAAACTCGCTCATGCCACCCGGGCCCGCCAGAGAAGCATCGACTAGGTCCTTCGGGACCTTGTGAGCCGAGTACTGGGGTGTGGAGAATTGATATGCCTCAGGATCATTCTTCTTCACGAGACGAACCTCCGGCAGGAAGGGTGCAAGATCATCGTCGCCCTCTTCCACATTCTCCTCTTCATCTTCGGAATTTTCCACCTCCTCAACAACACCACTCGTCACCTCGTCGGAAGTCATTATACTACCATCACGAAGCGAGATCCTCACGAATCCACCATTGAGATCATCATCCTCTTCTTCCTGGAAGCCGATGGGATCCTTCATTCGTAAAATCTCCAACCAGCTAAACAGTAATGAATCTGTCCGCTGCGCCCAGGGGTTGATATCAACCAACCAGACACGCTGATGCGGTGCAGGGACATAGACATCGAACACGAAGTTCGAATCCGGGAAGGTGTCGCGCAGCTTCTCATCAAAGAACGACTGAATGCGCGAGCGGAACATATCACGCATGTCGAATAAGAAATCAAAGTAATTCATATCTCGCTGGCACATACAAAGCAATTTTCTATTGCGAACGAAGCACCGGAACTCGAGGGATGGGTTGAAGTTGGCATATTTGCGTAGGACGAGGTGGTAGGGGACGTTCGGGATTGGCGAATCCAGTGCCGGAGCCTCAGGGTCATCACCATTTGTGGTAGAATCTGAAACACAGTCATCAAAAGGATGCTGCAGATCATGAGTGATGAAATCACTGCTTTTCAGGAGGAGGTAGACGTCATTGGGGGTAGCGCATTTGGTATCGTTTGTGGCGGACATGAAAGTTGCGTCTTTGGGGGCGCTCCAGTTTAGTTTTGGGGTGACTTTGCCAAACTCGGCGATTGTGTCCTTGACTTGCGTGTGAATATCGGCCCATTCTGTTGAGGGATCTTCAGCTTCCTCTCCCGAGTCGGAGAATGTGTCTAGGTCGTCGTCATCTCTTGGGCGCACTGGCTCCGGAGGGAGCACGATGCCATCGGCGCGGAGATAGGTGATGAATTGGGGCGATAACGGGATCACCCGAGATTTAGGTGCGAGGGTGCGGTATCTATGCGGCAACGTTAGAATCATATCTTAAAGTCGGTGGTTTAAGGTTGAAATACCGTGGATGCCAGCTATGGTATGAGCAGTTGAGGATGTGGGAATAGGTGATTGGCGGGAATGGTAGACGATCTGGTAGATCATTGGATGGTGCATCAGCTGGCACAGCATCTGGCTCCATTAGGGGCATTTTGAGTATAGTTGATTGTAAGATATAAAAAGAAAAGCGTGGAGAACCATGGCGGGGCTTTTCTTTTTTTGAGTCACGGGCCGATAAGATGATAAGGATATATGACATAAGCGCTTGCACGCCTGAGGCAGCTGGCCAGTCCCATTGGACCAAATGGCCTCCTCACACTTCAACATCATTCACAGCACCATTCACAATGGCGCCGGAGGCTCCAGATCCCCAGAGCCTCAAGTCATGGGCCGATGCCTTCCAGTATCCGATTCCAACGGTTCGCCGTGTGGAGCAGGAACTGCGACGGGATATCGCCAGCAATAAGGAGAAGCTCCGAGCTCTCGTGGGGTAGGCTGCTTGATCTTGGATTGTTGTTGATTTGCTTTGCTAACAGCGCTTTTATCGGATGCAGTACACGATACCGAGAGCTTGTTGGAACTGCTGAGACCATCGTGACAATGAATTCGGAGATACAAGAGATCGAGTCCATTTTGGCCGATGTTGGACGTCGATGCAACCCGCGATTGATGGAGAAGAAGCATATATATGCGCGACAAATGAAAAGCGATGCAGCGGAAAAAGGTTTGGAAATTGCATCTTGCGATTGTGTGTGAATTGGAGTCCAATGGTTAACATTGCGCAGATACCGACAAGCACGCGTTCGGAGCGCAACTTGCTCTTCTTCACCGTTGCACTACATCTATGTCTCGACTTCTTCGCCGACGCGCCTCATTGCTACTTGTTGCAAAGATCCTTGTTGTTTCCAGAGTGTTGCAAAACAATCTATCGCAACACGAATCGACCCCACCGTTCCTCGACGATCTTCGCAAGCAACTTGCCTCTCTTCAGCGCACCCTGTTGAAACGAATCAATAAGCGCCTAGCATCCGCGAATGCTACGGAGGACAGTATAATTGAATCGTTGGCTGCTTACTGTCTCCCAACAAACTCATCTTCTGATGATGCCATTCATCACTTCCAGAAGACACGTCTAGATGTGATTACCAGCCAGCTGGAGGTATCGTGCGAGAATATTCCCAAGGCTCTGCGACTATTTGTTCGTACGCTACAAACATCCAAGACCTTGCGATCGCGCCAATTCCCAGATGTTCTTTCAAAGCTTAAATCTAGGCCGATTCTGTCAGATCCAGAGATCCGCAGCTTGGATGGGCTGGAAATTGATGTACTGGGCCGATGGGTGGCCCCGGAGGTCAATAATTTTACGCCTTGGATCAAGATGAGTGAACTGAGTCGAAGTGAGGGTGTGGAATCGATCAAGGGTTGGTCGCGTCAAGCATTTGAGCGATTCTGTGAAGGCTGCAATAAAAGTTTGGCGCACATCAACGACTTCTCCGAGCTCTTATCTCTACGTGCCGAAACTCTTGAACTTTGGTTATCATCCTGGGGCTCAACAATCACGCATCGGTCCGTTGATGTCCTGGAACGCCTACGCAATATCTTCAACGACCACTTGATACGAGTCCTGACATCGCAGGTTCAAACCATTGATGAAATCAGAACCCAAATTTCATCTACTATTTCCAGCTGGGATAATACAGACCATAGTCAAATCGGATCCCTCTGGGACTCTGATCTGATTGCTGCAGACTACTCAAATGGCGCAACAGCATTTAAGCAAGTTGTAGCAGACCGACTTCTGGGCCGCGACGACGATGTCTCCGCCGTCCTTAGGAAGTATCAGATTTGGCTTTCGGCCATTGAAGAACGAAGCGAGTGTATAGCCTCTTTGCGCCGACTGAAATGGACTGATATTCTCGTTGGAGGTGAAGTAGAAGACGAAGATATCGACATCACGCCTCGCCTGAATGATGACGACCCCAAACTTCTATCTGATGCTCTTCATCTAGCTGTCAAACAAGCATTTGATGTGCTCCAGACATCGGTCACCGACGCTTTCAAGGAATTTGGCAGTAATCATCAAAGCGCAAAAGCCACCTTCCTCCTACGACTCATCCGACTCGTACGCCGAGAAATCCCTTCTGGTTTTGTCGAACAGGACTTCTTGTTATCTCGAGCTGTTGTTCCAGACCTGCAGAAGCTGCTTGCAGCTGATATTGTCGCACAAAGCGGCTCATTGTCTCTTGTACCTTCATCAAGGACCCGGACCGATTCCAATAAGCTGAAGACTGTCCCCGGCCGCTCGTTATGGGAGGGCGAGCCCGTCATACCGGTACAGCCGTCTCCAAGTACATTCAAGTTCTTGCGTCACCTGACTGCGAATATGGATGAGAACGGATTTGACCTGTGGGATCCATCAACCGTTAAAGTTCTGAAGGGCGAGCTGCAAAAGCAATTGGAGAATTCCATCGGATCTACGCTCGATGGCATGGGAACTTGGCAAACTCAAAATCAAACTACGCCAAATTCCGAAAAGAATGTAGAAAAGGGCGAGAAAGACGGCGGGGAGGAAGAAACAGAAAAACAAGATCAACCCACGAATGTCCAGACTGAGGATGCTGCAGCTCATGCTGATACCCTGCGTGACTGGAAGATCCAACTTCTCTTTGATACGATCTACTTAGCAAACATGCTAGGCGACCCGACCCAGCTGGCTGGTGTCGCGGAGCGCATCCGAAACAGTGCGGAGCTAAAAACCGAAGCTGCCAAGAGCATCCACAAGGGTGCAGCAGAGTACTGGAAACGCACTGAGCTGCTATTTGGTCTTCTATGTGATCGTTAGAAGCTTTCCTGTAGATAGATGGAATGACAGTCATGCTTCTTCCATTCTATACCATGTTATAGCATAATAGACCTTGGAAGCGCTTGTTCCACAATTTTCAAATGATCTATGTGCCCACATGATTTATTGTGATCCCCGCCATCAATGTTGAAGCCTGTTAGTAAATCGCCTCTGCATCATCTGCATTGCCTACACCGGATCGCCAGCTTTTTGCCAGCTCTTTGAAATACAACCCGGGAATATCAATCCAAGCACATTGAAGCTTCGTTACTCTTGCCCAACTAGAGAGGTCTTACCTCATCGGTCAAGATATTCGTCGTGATATCCGTATGGTTTTAGTCACTTCTTTCTCAAGGGCAAGCTAAAATGAACCAAAGCAATCCTAAACAATGGTATACAACCGAGGTGTCGCCCCAAAGCCCCACGGAAGGCCTCAGCATGTGCATAATCTCTCAGGCATGACTTTGGGATTGGCGCCTGGACCCCTTCCAAGGTTTCGCAGGATCGCACACCAATCGCTACTGGAAGCCATTCAAATTATGCTTGATTTCCAGCGGGCCGCACAGCATACGCTAGCCAAAAGCTAATGGGGATAGTGCTTGCTTAGTGGCTCAAGCATGCGTTAGATAAATGAAGGTTCCAAGGCTTTAGAATGATATTATCCATACGTGTGCGCTTGACAGTTTGTTAGATACACATAGCTCTTACTACACCATATTCAGGTCATTGCATAACCAATACTTTAAAGTAATTAGCCGAGTCCTAGGATTTCTTGTCTTCAGTTCATGTCTACAAAACACCAGCCATATCCCATAGATGCTCATGTTACAGTTTTTGAACAAGATTGCTGAAAGCACTCATAAGTACTCACGTTTTTGGTTAGCCCTGCTATAAGAGCATCTTAAAAAGGGTGGTAAAGCAAGTTACAAATGTAACAAAAGAGCTATTGTTGCATTAATTCATAAATCCTTTTTTCGTCTGTGATAGTATCGGGTTGACAGTCACTCCTATAGACTAAGTAGAATGTAGTGTGTTTCTTTCGACTGTATATCGGAGCATTTAATAAAGTAATAGCTCTTCGCACAATAATGCTCGTGGTGATAAGACTAAGCACTCTGTAAGGTAGGGTTTTCTCTTTAGTGTCGTTAGATTACTCGAGGCCTAGTTTTCAATATGGTCTTCTGAACCCGATCAAGATAGCCCAAAGAACACACAATCCAAAGGCCACGTGGACCTAAGATAGAAGAATTTAAAAATAGACCAAAACTGGAAGAGCACTGGATTCCATGGAAGCTAAACACGGTTTTAGTGCCTAGCAAGGTGTTGTGGTGTAATGTCGAAGGCGAGAGAGATGCAGTCATGATAGTAGGCCGCTCCTTACTGATTGATAGACACCATTCGAAGTTCCGGGCTAAATTGTTGTAAATCGAGAGGAAAATTGATTAAGTATTCTTAGATCATTCTCCGAGAAAAGAATCTAGAGGTCTTCGATACACCTTTTGATATCTACCAGCCTGTGATTGGTTTCCAATTATTCTATCCTGATTATTTCCGATGCTAGTGTTCTTTCACTGCGCACTCGAACCTTTCCTGCAGTCTGACAAACTTACCGACTCAACTACTTTTACACTTATCACACCGCCCCTGATTCCTTTCCTAGCACCCACTTAACCAGTGGCATATGGGCTGTGGTTTCGCAACTTCTCACCATATTTCCAGAGAAAGATGGGTGCCGGAATCCCTATCCCTAAGGAAATGAATGCAAGTACACTATTACCCCACCCATAGGAGAGATCGTTGTACATATATGGAGCAAATAGGGGAAACCCAAACGCAGCCAGAGATCGTAGAACTGATACCGCGGCCAGCGCACTGGCTGCATATCGCGTATACGTATCCACGATGTAGGTCTGCATGCACTGGAAGGTCATCATATTGCCCACGCTAAACAGACAAGCCCCGATATTGGGGGCTATCCAGTGTTGATGGGTCTGAGCTGTCCAGCCGTAGATGAAGAGACCAGCTGGAACGCAGATCATGGTGATAGCGAGCAAAGGTAGACGGTATTCAGGTTTGCCTGTGTCGTTATTGCGGGCCTTGAGATGGCGATAGGTGCGGTCGTTTAAGAAAACGCAGAGGTATGTGCCAAGCATGGATCCTAGACCAAGAGAGATATAGTTTAATCCTCCAATGCCTGTGGACTCGTTGTACCACTTAGGATCGGTCCACAGAGTAGGGAAAGTTGACATCAAGAGGTACATGAGTCCATAAATATAGGCCATGTACAGGGTAAGGACCTGAACGATAGGTTGTGTGAAAAGAAGGACGAAGGGCCGTACGAGCGATGTTCGCAAAGCCTGGGGCAGTGTCTTGTTCTGTCGCTCCTCTTCGGTCTGGTACGAGGGATCGCCAGTTTCCTTGCGAAGTCTCTGCGCCCGCTTTTTGAGGATTTGTGGAGCATATGTTTCCTGGAGAAAGAATAATCCTGCAACTTGCATGACCCCAGTTGCGATCGAGGTTGCCCAAAAGACCCATCGCCAAGTGGTGTTCTCCGCAATGAAGCCACCCACGATGGGGCCAATAGATGGCCCAAGGAGTGGGGCCAAGCTAAAGATAGCACTGGCTGTTCCGCGCTCTTCAGGGCGGAAGCTATCTCCAAGGACGCCTCCACCGACCTTTGCCGCAGAGTGTCAGTTCGATGATTTCACCTGTAGATGTCTATCCAAACTTACCACCAGCGGAACACTACCACCCAGTCCGGACAGGAATCGGAAAGCGATCAATTGCCCTGTGGTCTGCGCGAATCCACAGCCGATATTGAAAGCAAGATAGAACATATTCGCGAGCTGCAAGACAATGGCTCTACCATAGTTTTCCGAAAACGGCCCAAGGAAAAGAGGACCAATAGCATAGGCGAGGATGAAGATGGACAAAGTGAGCTGAGATACGAATTCTGCTGTGATGTGCAAGTCAGATGCGATGGCATCCAGAGCGGGCGCTACCATCGTCGAAGACACGGGAGAGATCAGTGTGAACATCGAGACGATTCCCATGGTAATCCACTTCCTCTTCTTGGGCCAATTCTTGGGGTTTTCTGGGTCATCAGGACCATCCCACGTTACCTGTGTGGTTGATCAGTTTATTTATCGGAGCATGGGAAACAACATATATATACCAATTTGGGATCTCGTTCGGAAGTGTGAGATTCAGCCGTTCCTGATTTTTCCAGTTCTTGTTGACCGTTCTCCTCCAAGCCCACACCTTGTTCCTTTGCATCATGTCCTCTCTCTTCATTCTCTTTCACATCGTCGCTGGTGAAGCCCGAGTCTGCTTTTTCAAGGTCTTGAGATGAGGATTGATCCTGCTCAGACATGATCGACGAAGTGCCTGATGTCACTCGAGGTGAGAAATACGATTTGGATGAGAAGACTGGTGAATAATTGAATAATATGAACAGATTGAGACACAAATACGACTAAAATGGAGAATTTATGATACTTATGAAGTCACCACGGTATGATGTTTGTGGACTGGAATAGTTCGGCGTTAAGCTTTAACTCCTTAAACCCCCCTAATTCCGACTGGGACATAATTGCTAGGAAACGAACATCAATCTGGGGCGGCGATAGGGGGCCTAAGGGAGTGATCTATACTTTTCCAGGGGTGAAGATGTTATTATGGACTGCATGCATGGTGTTGGTATGGTAGAATGTGACCATCCGATTCGCTGGGCTTGTGGGTACTGTGGGGCATGTCACAACTGATCTCACCCGACTCCACTACTGACAAAGGATTTCGCTACTTGCCCTACGTGTGCTAGCATACAACTACCACGGAACCAGACCGATACGGTACATGCATGACGTATCGTTGCTCCCTGAGTTTCCCTCCAGTCTGCAACATGGCAAACTTAGTGAACTCGGACATTCCACGCCACAGGGAGGCAAAACTATTTTGGAAGTGAGTAAGCCTAACACAGCCAACCTTGAGACTAATCATTGAAAGAAGAGAGAGATTAACTCCAAGGCTATAGCCCGGAGCGCGTCTTGTTTATGCACTTATGTCCAGATTAACAGGGTACCATATGTATTCGTGGACCCGCCCTGGAACATACAAAATCGACCTTCAGCTATTCTATTGGATTATGCAGTGGAAAACCAAAACACTAGTTGATAGATCATCTGAAATTCCCTTTCCGATTTCCCTGTTTTCCAGCTCTACAGAGATAGTCGTAACCATGGAGGCCACGTTGGATCTTGCTGTCGATACTTTGTGTTGAAAAAAGCTACCGAACAAATATATACCACGTGCATTCTCAGCGCCATGCTACTACTCCTTCAGCATATCCGTCATCTTGACAGAAACCTCCACCTCCCCATTCCTGGTGATTCCAAGTCCGAAATCGCGCACAATAGTCAAATCCTCAATTTTCGTCTTGTAAAGTTCCATATTAAACCGACGGACAAAGCTCGCGATCGTCATATATAGCACGATATACGATAGACTGTTTGATTAAAATCAATGTAGCCAGGAAGGGATAGAAGAAAGGACTTACTTCATGCCAAGGCACGCCCGACTCCCTCGAGTGAACGAGACCATGTACTTCGTGAGACGGTCTGACTTCTCTCCGACTTCGATCCAGCGCTCGGGTTTAAAAGAATACGAGTCGGGAAAGATGGTTTCATCGTGGTGAACGAGGTATGACGACATGCTCATTGGTGTCTGTTTTGGTTGTTAGTTTACCAATGTCTCTTGTAAGAGAAAAAGACAGAGGACATACCCCTGGTGGAATAACATAGTCCGCGTATTTCAGTGTCTCCGAAGGGGCGCATCGAGGGAGACGGATGATCAAGCCATACGAGAGACGGAGGCACTCGTAAATAACACCAGTCTGAAATTATTAATCACGCCAGTCGCTGACGAATCTTCGGGTGAAGTGATGCTTACCAAGTACGGCAACTGTTCCAGCTGTGCCCAAGTCGCTGTACTGTCAGGTGTCGGTAGAATGGACCGCAGCTCCTCACGTAGCTTCTCCCGCATTGAAGGCTGATGAGCAAGATGAAAGGCAGCTATAGTCAATGACCGACTGATTGACTCAGTTCCAGCCTGAAGAATAACGCCCGATTCGTCATGTACGCGAGCGAAAGTTCTCTCTTCAGGTGGGAGGGTTGGATCTGTCAACTTTTCGAAAATAGTTCCTTTCTTGGAATCTCGTTTCGCAGGAACACTGGATTCTGCGATCTGCATTGACTGCGCAGTGAATTCATAAATAGTCTTCATGAACGCAAACAAACCTACCTTTCCTGGTTGTATTTTACATACCAACCACTTGGGGATCATACGGAGCGTCCGTGAGAATAGAGGGAAGAAGCGGTTAATGTGAATAACGTTAGCTGTCTCAGTGATCGCGCTCCTAATGTCCCTTCTAAAATCCGCGTCATCCAGGAAGTCCCAGCTTCTGCCGAAGGAGTACTGTGTAATGACATCCGAGGCGAGTGCGGAAAAGGCATCGTCTAGACGCATGATTGACTCTGCTCGATACGCAATTTCAAAGCGCCGCATCAGCTTTAGCACTTTTTCTTCGACAACGGGGGATAATTCATTGACGGAACGCTTGGAGAAAAATCCATTCAGGATGTTTCGACGGTAGCGGTGTTGATCGTGATCCACCGTGGCCACCATGGACCCTGGGACAGAATACGCCTTGAGGAATTGAGCATCCTTATTGCGCTTTCTACCCCCCGAGGCGTAGATCTCGTCATAAAAGGAGGGGTCTTTGATGTGGATCTCACGCGGATTGATGCGAACAATAGGTCCTATCATCTGCATATCAGTCTTGGCATCCTGGGGTCCAATATGGGAAAAGTGTGTACCATATTGTTCGTGCATCTTTTCGATTTTGAAAAGGAACGTTCCGCCTTTGATTACATCGTAGTAAAACTCGTAAATGTGGGATATGGCAGCGAGCTTGGGCCCAGGGATCTTGCTGAGAGGGTGGAAGTAGAGGCGTTTGATGGATCGAAAAAAGAGATAGACAAGTATACCGACAAGGGAGAGTGACAGAAGTGAGTACTTCATTGTAGTAGACCCTTGCGGAGATACAAATTTGCGAGCTTTGTATTGAAGTTGAAAAAGGAGAATAAAGGAGAGATGCTTGAGATGTGTAAATCTTATAAATTGATTACACTAATTGATATTATTATTAATGCAATGATATGATATCAGTCTGACTGGTATCCGGATGATATATCATGTACACTCGCTTGTAAATGGCCCCCGCTTGATAATGGAAGTTGCGCATTGTATAGGTGGGCCGATGTTCATGCTCCCAGATGACCGTGAAGGATTGCGGGGTAAAGAATATCCGCAAGATACGCCGAATTAGGCCTTCTGTGTGATAGTCGCTTACTAGAAGTAGACGGACGTGTAGCTAATGAGATGTGTGCATTGATGGGAAAACGTCATGGGAAGGTGAAGCTATCGGAAGTCTGACATGGTGTTTGCCCCAGCCAAGAAGTACGTGCATATACGAGTGTTGCCGGAGGCCGAAGAAACTACTTTGAGTGTTTCTGCCCACGTGTGGAAGTAAGAAACAAAAGCCCCAGTTTCAAGCCTTAGGACCTGGGGCCGTGGCTTAGGGCCGGGCCGTAAGCCCGTAAGCCTAGGTAACTGTAATAATACAGAACTATAGAGTCTAGACTACCAATGATATTGTAAGCCTAGCAAAGACAATCCAATTTTTGTAGAGAGTGTTCATCATGATAAACCAACGAGCATATGATATTTGGAGTATCAAATTACATATCTGCTGCGCCGGGTTTTAAGAGAAGCCCGGGCCTGTGGCCAGCATATCGTCAGTTCCTGCTCCCATATCCTTTTAGTAAATCTGAAATTAAGACATTCAACAGCCTTGCGCCATTGGGGTGCCCCATTGTATAATGATGACCGCATATTTGCAATGAATAGCATGATCCCCTCTCCCAGCTGACGTGGTTACTATCGTCTCATAGGTCCAGTCGGAAGGATGATATCTCATTGATACGCAACTGCAACATTGGAAACAATCTACTGCATATTGCGCGCCAAGCAAATTTTACACGAGCTTCTTCGGATGGTTACTGGCGACAATCGCAATTATGGAGACCCCAGGAGAAGGATCGACCTACCTACCACCAAGAAGGGGCAATGCATCCTTCATACACGTGGACGCAAGACATTGTACATGTCCTTGGGACACATAAAAGGCATGGAATTCTCAGTAGGAAGCTGTATAGATTCTGGTAATATCATCAGGAAAAAAAGGAATTCTACGCAAAGATTCAAAAACATCCACAAAGTCTCTCTCACAATGTCTACCAACGGAGTCTTCTCCACACCTATAGCCATTGTTGGCTCTGCGTGCAGGTTTCCCGGGGAGTCAAGTACACCATCAAAGTTGGCTGATCTCCTAAGAGAGCCTCGAGATGTGCGTCGAAAGTTTAATCCCGAAATTCTCAATTTGCAACGGTTCTATGACTCCAACCCCGATGCCCCGGGCTCGACCAATGTCAAGAACAAGGGCTACCTACTAGCCGAGGATACTCGAGTCTTCGATGCTTCTTTCTTCAACGTTAGCCCATATGAGGCCGAGAGCATGGATCCTCAGCTACGAGTCATGCTGGAAGCTGTATACGAAGCATTTGAAAGCGCTGGCTACACACTTGACCAGCTGCGAGGGTCAAAGACCTCTGTCCACGTTGGTGTTATGGCAAGCGACTATTACGATATTCAAACCCGAGATACCGAGACACTGCCTTTATATGCCGGTACCGGTGTGGCTCGCAGTATCTTATCAAACCGCATCTCGTATGCCTTTGATCTCCACGGACCATCGGTCACTCTCGACACCGCCTGCTCCAGCTCCTTAGTGGCGTTGCACCAGGCGGTGCAAGGGCTTCAAGCTGGAGATGCAACCTGTGCAGTCGTGGGAGGAGTGAACCTCATCTTCGATGCTATGTTGTATGTCATGCTGTCCAAACTGCATATGCTGTCACCGGACTCTCAGTCACGCATGTGGGACAAGACAGTAAACGGGTACGCGCGAGGTGAAGGTGCAGCAGTAGTGGTGCTGAAGCCTCTTGACCGGGCACTCCGTGACAATGACCACATTGAAGGAATCATCCGAGGAACGGGCGTGAACTCCGATGGACAGAGTCCTGGACTGACCATGCCTACCGTGGAGGCTCAGGCAGCTCTCATTCGAGAAACGTATCGTCGCGCTGGGCTGGATCCCATCAAGGATCGGTGCCAATATTTCGAATGTCATGGTACCGGAACCCCAGCCGGAGATCCAGTAGAATCCCGTGCCATCTACGAGGCTATGATACGGGACAGAGAATCAGAACCAACAACCCCGCTTTATGTCGGATCCATCAAGACGTTGATCGGGCACCTGGAAGGAGGTGCAGGCTTGGCGGGGATTTTGAAAGCTCTGCTCTCTATCAAGCATCGAACGATTTTCCCCAACCTTCTCTTCAACGAATTGAACCCGAAGATCAAGCCATACTATGACGGATTCCAGATACCGACCTCTCCTCTTCCTTGGCCTGAGCTGTTCCCGGGAGAGCCTTTGCGCGTCAGTGTAAATAGCTTTGGCTTTGGAGGCACCAATGCCCATGCCATTATAGAGAGCTATGAACCGCATGGTAGCAATGGAACTGTCGCCGCTACCGAAGCCAAAGGGGCTCACTTGAGTCCTTTCGTTGTCTCGGCTCAGTCTGCATCGTCCCTTCTTGGAAATTCCCAGGCGTTGCTGAAATACCTCAATGATAACCCATCCATCGATCTGACCGATCTCAGCTGGGTTCTCCAGAATAGGCGGACTGCGCATCGCATGAGAACATTTTTCAACTCGCAAACCCGTCATGGGCTGATCCAGGAATTGGAGAAATTTATCTCACAGCACCGTAAATCCACTAGTAAGGACGATGTTGGTATTCGCAGTCGACCTATTGACCCAGAAAACTCGCCGCGCATTTTGGGAGTGTTCACTGGACAGGGTGCTCAGTGGCCTACCATGGGCCGCTGTTTACTGGAAATGTCTCCTTTATTCCGCCGAGTCCTAGAACAATGCGACGAGGTACTCAAAGCCCTGCCAGATGGCCCGGAGTGGTCTCTAGTTGAAGAACTGTCGAAGGATTCTTCGAGCTCACGCGTGGGCGAAGCAGTTATCTCGCAGCCTCTCTGCACAGCTATTCAACTAGCTCTTGCCGAGGTGATCAATGCGATCGGTGTTCGCTTCGATACGGTCCTAGGGCATTCTTCAGGTGAGATTGGTGCAGCTTACGCTTGCGGGATCATTAGCGCTGCTGCTGCTATGCAGATCGCCTACTATCGAGGCATATACGCTCACCTAGCTCATGGCTCCAACGGTCAGAGAGGTGGGATGATGGCAGTCGGGATCGATCAAGATAATGCGCAGACCTTTTGCCAACAGCCTGAGTACCAAGGTCGTATTGGTGTTGCGGCAAGCAATGCGCCGCAGAGCGTAACGCTTTCTGGTGACCTAGAGGCTGTACAGCAGGCCAAGGAGTATTTTGATCAGAAACAAATCTTCGCACGTTTGCTGAAGGTGGACACCGCCTATCACTCCCATCACATGGAGCACTGCGTTTCCAGCTATCTCAAGGCTCTCGAAGCTTGCGATATACAGGTCCAGCCCCCAAAGGATGGTTGTTTGTGGGTTTCTAGCGTTGAGGGCAACATGCAGCTTCTCCAAGGCGACCTGGAGTCACTGAAAGGCCCATACTGGGCTCAGAATATGTTGCAGACAGTTCTTTTCTCCCCTGCAGTGAAGTCCGCAATTGAGCATCGTGGTTCCTTTGACCTGGCCATCGAGATTGGTCCCCACCCGACGCTTCGAGGACCAACGCAGCAGACTATGGAGCTTGCATTAGGTACTGCTTCACCCTATATTGGAACACTGAAGCGCAACTCCAGTGATGTAGATGCAATTGGGGAGACGATTGGCTCTACCTGGTGCCACCTTGGCCCAACTTTCATTAGTTTCGACGGGTTTCGGCGAGTCTTCGTCTCCAACAACGTCTCTGGAACCGCCAAGTTACTAAAAGGCCTTCCGCCCTATGCCTGGGACCATGACCGCATCTACTGGCAGGAGTCTCGGATTTCCCGGAACTTCAGGAAAGGCAACGATACCCGTCACCAGTTGCTTGGACGTCGTGTTCCAGATGATAATGAGCGTGAAATGCGCTGGCGGAACGTTCTCAGGATCAGCGAATTGCCTTGGGCGCAGGGCCATGTTGTTTCAGGAGAGGTGTTACTGCCTGGGGCATCGTATGTTTCATTGTCATGCGAGGCAGCTAGAATCATCGCAAAAGCGAGACCAATTCGGCGGATCGAGGTGGAAGACATTGATATCCGTCGTCCGGTGATTGTTCCTGATACCCGCGAAGGTCTTGAAACCACCTTTACAGTGCGATTGGAGGATTCTAAAGATTCGATTCACATCACCGGGGAGTTTTCTTACTACTATTCCGACACACGTCTTGGGTCCATGATCCATGCCTGTAGCGGCAGGATAATCATACATATTGGTGAGGCAAGCGAGCAGGAGTTGCCCCGTGCGGAGTCCCCAGACCGGACCTACATCCTGTCGATAGCGATGCAGCTTACGACGTGTTCGCCGAGAATGGGTTGATATACTCTGGTGCTTTCCGCCGTCTTCAGGATGTTCAGCGCAAACTTGACTATTCTGTTGCGACGGCTGAGTGGTCTGCTGACGAGTTAGTGGGAGACTACGTTCTACATCCAGCATTGTTGGATGTTTGCTGGCAGAATCTATTCCATGCTCGCGCAGACCCAAGAGCGGGAAAGATTCCTACTGCCATTCTCCCGGTGCGCATCAAGCGGGTAACGGTGAACCCACATGTGGGACTGGCTGAGGCGGAAAATTTCAAACTAAGAACAGAATCGTTCGTTACTGGCCGCAACGGCGCGGCCGTTGCTGGCGATGTGCACATCTACAACTTTTCTTCTGGTCTCGCAGCGGTACAGATGGAGTCGCTGTCCCTCGAGCCTGTTGCGCCACCGACGGAAGAGCAAGATCGTCGAATGTTTTTTGACATAGTGTACAAGCCAGACCCTTCATTAAGTCTGATCGAGCCGATACTCGATCCGAAACGAGGTCAAAGAGTCAAGGAGCTTTCTGCAGATATTGAGAGAGCAGTTCTGTTCTACGTTCAGCGTGTGCTGGAAGGGTTGCCTCCAAGTGAAAGATCGAGCTTGACGTGGTATCATCAGCGGCTGGTTGAGTCCTTTGAGAGCTCCCTACAGCTAATTCAGGAAGGACATCACCCAGTCGCAGAGAAATCTTGGATTGCCGATCAGCCCGAAGTTCTAGACATGATCCTCTCGAAATGGTCAGGAACGGTTGATCTGGAGAGTGTTCGGCTTGTTGGAGAAAACATGCTCGACTTCCTGAAGAGAAGGACGTCATTTTTAGAAGTAATTATGAAGGACGACCTAGCTACCCGGCTATACAGCGAGGGCTGCGGTCTCGCCGAGGTCAATCAAGGCATGTCTGGCATTCTCCAACAGATTTCCCACAAATTTCCGCAGGCAAAATATGTGGAAATTGGAGCCGGTACTGGATCTACAGTAAGTATAAATGCTTTCTTTGTATATTGTGAACCTCAACATGTGCTGACCCGCCTCACAGACTGACTGCATTCTGCGAACTATTGGTAGCGCATTTTACTCATACACTTTCACGGACATCTCCCCGGGGTTTTTCGGTGACGCAGCCGATAGGTTTAGCGACTTCCGCAGCAAGATAATGTTTAAGACTCTCGACGTGGAGAAGGATGTTGGTCCTCAAGGTTTCCAGAAGCATGCTTACGACGTCGTCGTTGCTTCTAACGTACTTCACGCAACGGCCCACATCGCAGAGACTTTGAAAAATGCACGCTCTCTATTGAAGCCAGGTGGCTTCTTGCTTCTTGTCGAAATTACAGGTACTGAGATCATGCGAACTACGTTCTGCGTGGGAGGCCTGCCTGGATGGTGGCTGGGTGCAGGCGAAGGACGAAGATTGCATCCTGGAATGACCACTGAGGAATGGCACAATACACTTCAGGAAACAGGCTTCTCGGGCGTCGACTTGGTATTCCATGATATGCCCGACCCAAGACAGCACTGCATGTCTTTCATGGCCACCCAAGCGGTCAACCATACAGTTCAGCAACTGCGAGAGCCCTTGGAATATCTTGCCGACGTACCCGAAATAAAGTCTCTCCTCGTGGTCGGTGGAAAGACGCTGCCTGTGTCCAAGACAGTGACTGCCATCCAACGACTGGTGGGCCGGGCATGGAGTAGTCGCATCACAATTGCAAGTGATATCGAAGCAATTGACTTCTCCCGCGTCGGAACACAGGCGGACGTCTTGTGCCTGCAGGAGTTGGACACTACTTTGTTCTCAGAAACAATCCCTTTCAGGAGACTGAAAGCCCTTCAAACAATGATCGTGGCAGCCCGCAATGTGCTTTGGTTGACCACCAAGAGAAGAACCGATAACCCCCAGGCTAACATGATGGTGGGCATGGCAAGAGCCATAAGCAAGGAGCTGCCCCACGTTAATATACAGTTTCTGGATTTGGATTCAATCGCCAGTCCATCGCTAGCAGCTCGAAATATATTGGAGACTTTCATCCGATTGAAGACACTTTCGGTTCACGACCACGATGAAACCCCCCTTATGTGGCCACAAGAGCCAGAGCTTGTCCTGGAGGGGTCCGACACGCTCATTCCACGTGTGAGGCCCGACCAGCAGCTCAATGATCGTTACAATGCTAGATTCCGAAATATGAACAAGCTCGCGAGTCCTGACACTTCCATTGCCCTTATTCGTCAGCGAGATAAGCTGGCTTTGGTTGAATCGGCACTGGGATCGTTTGACGGTGTAGAGCGCGTGCGTGTCAGAGTTCAATATTCCCTCTCTTTCCCCGGTCAGAAAGGAGAGGAGCTCTATCTTAGTGTGGGCCAGTTGTTTCACTCTAATAAGCATATCGTGGCTGTTTCGGAGAGGAACACATCCATCATCAGGGTTCTCCCAGAGGATATTGCCTTTATTGATGATAAGCATTGCAACGGGGCCGTTCTTGAGGGAATAGCCGATCAAATCGCGGTGGCCGGACTTCTAAGCTCCGTTCAAGAGGGCGGCTCGGCTCTTATATACAATCCCAGAGCAAACCTAGCCGCGTTCTTCGCTGCTGAAGCGCGTCGGTGTGGACTGGAGTCGTTTTGTGCGTCCTCTCATACTACGGTCCCTCAAGGCTGGGTATATATCCACCCACAAAGTTCTGTCCGTGCTGTCCAGCGTCTGCTACCACAGAATGTTACCGTGTACCTTGACTGTTCAACCTCTTCAAACTTGACAATAAAAACTGTTCAATCCGCACTACCATCGGGCTGCAAGATGTACAGATGGGACAACAGCTTGTTCCGGCGCGGGTTGGGCTCCAGTCCTAGTATCCAGATGTCTCTCGGAGCTGCGTACGCGGGGCTACTAGACCATCTGACCAACTCTGTTGGCAGCAACGCGCTACACTGTGAGATTGATGTGTTGAATATCGCAGAAATTGCCAGACTTAACGCGTCGATCCTTGACCGCGCTCACATTACCTGCTGGGAGACAACTCGGCCACCAACCTTGCTCATCCAACCGCCTGACACGTCGATCCTGTTCGACAGCGCGAAGACTTATCTAATGATTGGTATGGCAGGTGGCCTTGGCCTTTCCGTCTGTGGATGGGCTCTGCAGCACGGTGCCAAGCGGCTTGTTATTACTAGCCGTAAGCCGAACATGGACCCGCAATGGCTAGCAGACGCTCGAAAGCTAGGGGCCGAGATTCAAGTGCGGTCTGTAGATGCAGCTGACCGAGCATCGCTGGAGTCCACTATCTCCGCTATTCGAGAGACCTTACCTCCCCTGGGTGGCGTCTGCAACGCAGCCATGGTCTTGTCAGATAAGCTGTTTGTGGATATGGATGTTGACGCCGTGGTAGACACGTTCAGACCCAAGGTTAACGTCTCCAAGTATCTAAATGAGATATTAGCAGATACCCCTTTGGACTTCTTCATCATGTTCTCCTCTGCCCTTTCCATCACCGGTGGGCAAGGATCGGCAAACTATCACGCAGCTAACCTGTTCATGACCGCATTAGCTGCACAGCGCAGGCAGAGCGGACGTCCAGCCTCAGTGATGCATATCGGATACGTCACTGACGTCGGGTACTTCACCCGTGTCGACAAGAGCTCCAGGGAATATATTGGACGGATGCATTTCGCGCCTCTTTCAGAGACTGATATCCACCACGCCTTTGCAGAAGCCGTTCTTGCAGGCAAGCCTAATAGTGAGCGTTCATGCGAGGTTGGGGTGGGTGTTGAGCCACTTGAAGAAGGACAGGAACCTGCATGGTCATCTGATCCTCTCTTCTCCCACTACCTGCCGACAGCCCATGTTCATGATAAGAAGGACGGTGCCCAATATGGCCGTGATGATATCAAGAAGCAGATTCAGGAAGCCGAGACGGAAGATGAAGTCATCGCGGTCGTGCAGGAAGCCCTGTGTGCCAAGATCGAGACAACGTTGCAACTGCCCACAGGAGGTGTCGATGCCGATGCGCTGCTCACTGAGTTGGGAATTGATTCCCTCGTGGCTGTGGAGATTCGAGGATGGTTTTCGAAAAAGATAGGCATCGATGTCCCAGTCGTGAAGATCCTGGGAAGGAGTTCAGTAGCCCAAATCTGTACGGACGCGTCTAAGGAGATCATGGCAACAAGAGTGGGGATAATCCCAAAGAACGGCGATGCTGAGCCGGAAATTTCCAGTGAATCTCATGCCCTCTCTGACATTGGTGCTTCAGACGTTTCTCAGTCAGGAAAGGCTACTCCACCTAGCACCGATGATGAACAGGCAGCTCCGGGCCCTGAAGATGTCGATGTCACGCAGGAAAAAGACGAGCATAGAAAAATCAACTTTGAACCCGCTACAAAATCTGCTGCAAATATTGATCAGGACATCATTCACACGGAACGAATGTCTGCGGCCCAGTCGCGAATCTATGTGCTGTCCAGTCTCATGAATGACCCAACTGCCTACAGTTTGATGATTCGATACGATATCGAAGACACGCTTAATATTGAGCGGCTGCGCAATGCTCTGACAACCACGATGCAGCACCACGAGTCCCTTCGAACCTGTTATTTCGCTCGCCGGGAAGACAATCAACCCACCCAAGGTGTTCTGTCTTTCCCAGTCCGCCGTTTTAAGTATGTCCCGAATGCCAAAGAAGAGGATATCGCCGCTGAACTGGAGGCTGCGAGAACAAAGGTGTGGGATATCGAAAACGGAGAGACGCTGAGCCTGACCGTTTTATCCCGAGATTCTCAGAGACACACATTGGTCTTGGGTTATCACCACATCATTCTGGACGCGTCTGGCATGCGACGTTTTATTGCAGATCTCAACTGTGCCTACAACGGGCAACCACTAAAGATGACCGGCGGGACTTGCGTCGAGTTCGCTCGCAGAGAGCAGGAGAGTCGGGAATCAGGCGCTTTGGAGAGTCACTTGCAGTACTGGCGGAGCGAATACTCCCCTCTCCACGATGTGCTCCCACTGCTGCCGATGTCGAAGACCACAGTCCGTCCAGATACGCAGCGCGTAGTCAGCGTCCACGCGTCGCGCGTGATAGACGGGGATACCGTTGCAGTGGTCAAACAAGCATGTCAGGCACTTGGCATCACTCCTTTCCAGTTCTATCTGACCGTTGTTCAAATTATGCTGGCGCAATCCCTCGAAATAGACGATTTGTGCATTGGCGTGGCTGACGCAAACCGCCCGGATGCCGAGTTCATGGACACTGTTGGGTTTTTCCTGAATCTGCTGCCGGTCCGCTTTCAAATTCCTGCTGGCATCACGTTTGCTCAGGCTGCTCAAAGCACAGCTCAAAAGATGGGCTCCGCCTTCGAGAAGTCTGTGCCGTTCGACATATTGCTAGACGAGCTGAACATTGCTCGTTCATCATCCCATACACCGTTGTTCCAGGTCCTGGTCAACTATAGATTGGCAATGACAAAGAGCATTCCCTTCGGCAATAGCTCTCTGACCATAACCGATGGGGAAGAGGGTCGGAACCCCTACGATGTCACTTTCAGCTTCCTGGAGTCTCAGTCTGAAGGCCTCGGGGTTACAATGGATTGCTTGGAATCTCTCTACGACTCCGAGGGCACTGAGAGGCTCATTGACATGTACATGAGTCTTCTGAAAGGGCTGGCACGCAACGTGAATATCAAGGTCAACGAGTGTCAGATCTACAATGAAGAAGCAGTCTCCGAGGCTGTGAAAATTGGCCAAGGCAAACAAGCTAACACAAATTGGCCTGCAACGGTTTCGGAAAAATTCCAAGCAGTTTGCCATGACTGCATGGACAGAGTTGCTGTCCAAGATGAATCGTCTGGTCTGACATATCAGCAGCTAGAGGCGCGCGTGAACTCAATCGCAGCAGCAATTCAAGATACGGGTCACGGTACCGGCACTCGCATCGCGGTTCTATGTGAACCGTCAAATGATCTCATAGCATCGCTTCTTGCTATCCTTCACATTGGTGCCATCTATGTTCCGTTAGATGTCAGTCTTCCTGCTTCTCGTCACGCGGAAATCATTTCCAGTTGCCATCCGGGCTTGGTAATCTGTGATGCAGGTACAATCGAATCAGCTGAGCAACTCGCGCATGAATGTCCAGCAATCCTGCCTATCCTCCTCAGAATTGACAAGGTCGAAGATCTCCATGAATCAGTTCCCTGCTTAGCCCAGCCTAGCTCTCCCGCCTTTATTCTCTACACGAGCGGAACAACGGGCAAGCCGAAGGGAGTCGTGTTGTGCCAGGGAAACGTCGTTAATTGGCTTGCGCATGCGATCAAGGCATATAATCTCGATACGGCCCCTGCTTCTGTTCTCCAACAGAGCTCCTTCGGCTTTGACATGTCTCTAATCCAGATATTCTGTGCTTTGTCCTCCGGTGGTACTCTGATTATCGTGCCACCAGAACTGCGACGGGACCCTTCCCAGATCGCACGACTGATTCATCAGCACGATATTGGGTGCACATTTGCTGTACCCTCCGAGTATCTCTTGTGGCTTCGCTATGGTAGAGAATCTCTCAGGCAGTGTACGAGATGGCGCTTGGCATGGATGGGTGGAGAAACATTTCCTCATCAACTCAAACGTGAGCTCCGACGATTGGAACTCCCGGCTTTATCAGTAAGCGACAATTATGGCCCAACGGAGGTTACTTTCACGGCAACTGCCAAACCTGTGTCCCTTGATGCCGAGGACAATACCAACTCCGGAAGCCCGATCGGCAAAGTTCACCCCAATTATTCGATCTGCATTCTAGATGCGAGCCAGCGTCCGGTCCCTATTGGTTTCCGTGGGGAAATCTGCATTGGGGGTGCCGGTGTCGCTTTAGGCTACTGGGAAATGTCTGCTGAGACTGATGGCAAATTCATTCCAGATCCTACCACGGTCTCCCGTAACGAATTATCAACTGCTGGTCGATGGTATCGAACGGGTGACCAGGGATGTTTGGCGTCTGACGGCACCGTAATATTCCTTGGGCGGCTCGGAGGTGACACGCAGGTGAAGCTGCGAGGCCAACGCATCGAACTCGCGGAAGTTGAGGGCGCTCTTTTGAAATCAGGGGTTTATCTGCTATCTACAGCAGTAGTGACTGTCCGAGATGGAGACCTCATCGCCCACGTTATCCAGAATCCTGGAAAGCACATCGACCGCGATACTATCAAGAGGAAACTTCTTACGGGTCTCCGTCTTCCACAGTATATGCATCCAGCGCGAGTCATTGTTGTCGATGACCTCCCCAGAGCGAGCACTGGAAAGATTGATCGCCAGGCCGTTATGAAACTACCACTTCCTGGCAGCGATTTCAGTGCTGACGAATCTACTTCTGAGCTGAGTCTTCGCGAAGTGGAACTGAAACTGCTCTGGAGCCGTGTCTTACCGGATCCATATCAAGTGCTGACTGCCGAATCTGATTTCTTCCTCGAGGGAGGCAATTCACTGCGGTTAACAAAGTTGCAAAACGAGATCAAAGAGACATTAGGAGTTCTGGTGTCTACACGTGAACTCTACTCTGCTCCCACGCTTCGACAGATGGCGGCTCGAATTGGATCCGAATCCACCAATGATGAAGACATAGACTGGAACGTGGAGACAGCTATCCCAGACAGTCTTATTGCTGCTTCGGGGGAAATATCCAGAGGCATAAGAAAGCCGGCAAATAGGAACCTGAAAGTACTGCTGTCTGGTGCCGCGGGCGTCTTGGGTAATTCTGTTCTCGACGCGCTTCTTCAAGATCCTGCTGTCGACAAAGTTCACTGCATCGCAATCTCCCCTGATGACGAGGAAAGGATACCGACCTCTGAGAAAGTCATAAGCTACCCGGGTAGCCTTTCATCCCCAAACCTTGGCCTAAGTCCATCTGAGTGCACGACTCTGCGGTCGGATATGGATGTCGTTATTCACGCCGGAGCTAACGGACATTGTCTGAACAGCTACACATCCATACGACGAGCAAACGTGGAATCCACCCATTTCCTGGCATCCCTCTGCATGCAGCGTTCCATCCCCCTGCTTTATGTTTCTTCCCAACGTGTCCCTGCTCTAGCGGGTATGAAAGTCCTCCCACCAGTCCCAGTACTCGCAGAGCCTGCCAAAACTGGAGACACGGGCTATATGGCGTCGAGATGGGTCAGCGAAAGATTCCTGCACAGATTTTCTGGACACAACCACTTCAAGGTTGAGATTCACCGCCCTTGTTTGTTCTTTGGGGATCACGCCCCGCCCTCGGACGCCTTGAACGGTGTACTGCGCTACACACGCCTCATGCGGTGCATCCCGCGCTTTGCACGCGTTGAAGGATATGTTGACGTCAAGAATGTCGATGACATTGCTCGAGACATTGTCTCGTCGGCAATCTCTTTGGCAGGGCAGACTAACACGGGTATCCGCTACCGCCATCACTCAAGTGGCCGTAAAGTAACACTAGATGAATGGCCTGAATACATGGAAGAGTTGTGTGGAGAGCCATTTGAAGTGCTTGAGCTGCCCGACTGGATTGCCCGAGCAAGGAAAGCAGGGATTCACCCGCTGATAGCAACGTATTTGGAGGGTGTAATTGAAAAAGAGGAGCTCGCTCTCTTCCCGTATCTAGGGGAGTCTATGTAGTGACCAGGGTGTCTGAGGGTCTGGAGTTTGGCGCTATCCTCGCTTCCTGACGTCGGTGATGCAGATTGTTATTAGATATCAGATTCCGGCAATATGATTACCATTTTTGTTTTACATGCTCAGAATCAAAGAACAGATAATCAAGGTCTAAATTGTGTATTTGATGTTTGATGAGATTAGGTTCGCGTCAAGATGAGGAATACGTAAATGGGAAGGCATAAATCAGGCAGGGATTGTTGATTCATCTCTCGCAGAGAATGGTACTTTGAATGACACGAGGCCCTCGTTAAAGTGAGATAGATAACAAATGAAAATGCAAATAAGTAAAGCAACGTGCGAGAACCCTATGTCATCTCTCAACAACCTAATCTCTAGGCTCTGATAATACTTATTCATATCTAGGTGCTTGATACACTAGCACTGGTTATCTCTGCCGGCGTCTTTGGGGGCGTGTACCCCTTGGAAAATATGCAAAGCTAAGGCTGCGGGTTGACACCCCAGCTAATCTATCTGAACTTACTCTTAGTCCTCTCAGAATGTTAATAAAGTTTTCTGGTACTTGGCTGGGCCACTGACCATTGTTTGTCCCTGGTAGATCCATCAAAATCCGGGGGTGGGACATCTCTACCCGAAGTTGTTGGATCCAGGTATCAAATGAAACAGTTGCCCTTTCACCATCGTAACAAGCGGAACCTCTTGAGGTACTATCTGATTCAGGTCTCCCACTCTGACTACCCACAGGATTATTACAGAAGCGCATATGTCTCCCTCGATAGCCCGGATTTTGAACCCGAGAATATTGTAACCTCAGGTTGGTTCCCAACCAATGAAAAATTAGTTGCCAGAATCTCGTGATCTCGGCCGCACTTTTTGAAGAGAAGGAAAGGCCTTCGCTTTCCCCGTCCATGGACCCTGGATCAGGCGCTGAGACGATCAGATCTTTTAAACCTACTGATTTCAGACTGAGTCGCCGTAAAGTGGAGGCTGCACTGTCCAAAAACGCCTTGAGCGTATCCACTGTGACCTCAACCGACTGAAGGCTGGGATCCTGTAGTTGCGTGAATTGTACACCCTGGGATAGACTTTCAAAGTACCAGTACTGTGGGTTCAGTTCATATTTTGGGATCCATTGAGAGAATACTGGCGTCTTGAGCGTTGACGCGGCAGCGACAAGAATATCGAGAAGGGAGCAAAGACTAATCTCATCCTGGTCTCGCTTTTGAGAAAGGCGGAGGCATATATGGAGGGATTCCAATTCCCTTGAAACCAGACACAACAATCTTTTGTAATGCTCTTGTGTCAGGTGAAGGCTCCATAGAGATAGACCACAAAAGTATGTGCCGTTGCATGTAGGGAGTTTTTGGATCTTTCGCTTGGACTTGATGATTATTTCCACAAGAGCAGAGAAGGCCAAAGCATGCGCATTGCCAATGACTTGTGGGAAAGGTATATGAACCCAAGTTGAAGGGCGACCAGTGTAACTGAGTTTATTGGTCAGCTTGGGCAGGCCTAGACAGCGAACATGATTGCCCTCTGCTGAATTGAGCAGTCTCTGTGCTAAGTGAAGAGGGAAACGCTTGAGACAGCACCCTCGTAGATGTGCAAGTCGACTTAGCAGCACAAAACAATTACACGAGCACACGTAGGCTCCACGAAATATCAAGGGCATGAATTTAAATGGATCAGATAAACGAGGTATAGAGGCGTGTTGGTCATAGACTATCTAGACATACTAGATAGACTATTCATTCACGTATAAAAATTCGGCCCTTTTACCCGTTGCGTCTTATCATATGAAGTGCGGTGGTTCCCCACTACAATATATAAGCTAATACATTGTCCAACCACCACTTGCACAAATAACCTGGCCTGATACCCATGAGGCATCAGGGCCTGCCAACCACCCAACAATGCTCGCAATCTCCTCCGTTGTGCCGAGTCGCTGCTCAATAGGCGTCGTCGCCTTCTGCATATCGATAATTTCCTTCGGAATCTTATCCAGCATATCGCTAGGCACAGGTCCTGGCGCCACAGCGTTGACGGTCGTGCCATCTCCGCCTAACTCGCTGGCCCAGGTGCGCGTAAAACCTTCGACAGCGGCCTTGGAAGCGCTATAAAGGCTAATATTCTTGAAGCCAAAGCGTGCTCCCACGGAGCTCAAGTTGATAATTCGGCCCTTGGGTGCTAGATAAGGAACCACAGCCTGCGTCATAAGCATGAGACCACGTACGTTAAGGTTAAACACCTTATCGTAATCTTCAATCGTTAAGCTCTGTATATCGCCCACCGTCTCGATACCAGCACTATTCACTAAAATATGGATTTGAAGTTCATTGCTGCCAACGCAAGTCTTAAGGTGCGAAATGGCCTTCTGTGCTCCTGAAGTTGTTGATAGATCGACCTGGCAGGTCCATGTGATTGGTTTATGGGGGAGTCGGCTAATCTTCGCCCCTAGCTCGTTAACAGCAGATTCACTGTTGTCTGAGACATAGGTGATATACACCTAGCTCTCGTTAGCCTTCAATTTCTCATTTTCCAAAACATGAAAAGGTCCCTTACATTTGCACCACGGCGGGCAAGCTCCCATGCGATACCGGCACCAATTCCACGTGATGATCCCGTCACTATTGCTAGCTTGCCTTGGAGAGGAAGGGCAAAATTAGTTGCGATGCCGTCCATTGTGTCAGTGATTTAGGCCAGTCTGCGAAGAGAAGTGATTCGCACTGTTCCTTCAAAATTGTCCTGTGATTCGACACGGGACCTCAGAGGGTATTTAATTGATAATTCTCAATAGGGCTGCTATCAGGGCCCTCACATTCTTGGACTCAGCTAATCTCTTTGATGACCAATGACATCATACAATTGATTAGTGTTCGGTGATATGGCATTAACGCCGAGACTAATACCGAGAGACAGAAGGTCACCTACTCAAGAGGCCTCACCGCTACCCTGGGATGTGCAATCGGACAATGCAATCGAAACTCAAGCAGGCAATTTGCAGGTTCACATAAGAATGCATCCATAAGCATCGCGCCACCGCGTCTCCAGACCGCTGATAAGGACGCAACAGGGCCACCTTAGCAATATCATCCTGTTCACAGTGACAATAACAGACCCGTATTTCAGGGATTAATGTTCCCGAGGTCATTTTGCGCCCAAGCATTGCGTGTTGCAGTTCAATGGAAGATCCACTGTTCATATTTTTCAGCGGGTATATATGAGGCAATATATGCAGCAAGGTGATCAGATTGATTTCGTTCAACTCGAGTTGTTATATATACATCTCGGGAATTAATTCTGTTGATACAATTAGGTTCCTGATCTGCACTGGCCTGATATACAACAGAAATCAGTGACTATTTGCCTTTTGATTCCGGGCAACCCCTTCATCATAAGCCCCCGCACGCACGAAGAAAGGATACAGAACGTCTTCCCTGGTGCGATTTGGATTTTGCGTTTGGGCGTCTTGCCCAGGTGCCAAGAAAACCTTGAACGCTTCGCCCCTGTGACCCGATCTACGAAGCCTGCAGATGGACATATAGTATGCGGCCAAATAGTTAATGAAACTGTTGCTCTCTTCCATCGCTAGTTAGTCTGTCTTCAAATGATTAAATGCTCACTGTGGCCAATCACAACATAGATCATTGAATTTTGTAACTTTAACAATAGGTGAATTTACGATTACTCGAGTGTATCATTCTATCGCGTGATAGATCCTGTAGATAAACCCTCGGGATATCGGCTCCGAGTACATAAATTCCCGCATACTGGCAGGCTGGAAATCTACAGTCAATTGATCAGATCGCATTTTCAATTGAGTACCTTTGGCACTGCATGTCGACTGAAGCGGGGCTGTAGAAGAAACGTCTTCCCCCTGTGTCACTTTTTCTTACTTTGTACTCCAACATTCGAGACCTTCGACCGCGTATACACATTTTGGCATCATTCATAAATCCGGAGGGGCTATTGCTATCCTCCCCGCGCTAGGTAGTGGTAACATAGCTAATAAGCAGACGGATACTCTTCCATCTCTTCATTCATGCGCAACCCCAACGAATTTGCTAATGCGCCTTTCCCTTTCTTTTCAACCCATCTACTTGATGACGGCTGTGGATGCTTAACCCTCCTGGAAATTAAATTAAATTTTTAGCTGTGAGCCTTGCCCCTCTTCAATAGGCAAGATAAACATCGTGTGGCGGGTGGGGCGCGAACGACTCCGCGCCAACAGTCTCGTGGCGTTCAATACCGGGACCGAGCCCCACCACGTTCCAAAAGTCTTATGCCGACCGAGTCAAACTCATGGAACACCACTGCACATTTGCACATACGAGAAGATCACACAAACCTTAATAGGAAAAAGAAGCTGACATGTATTCTATGATTTGAATGAAGCGCGATTTATCTAGATCCTTAGATTTTTTGCCTTCCATTGAGTCCATAGCGGTTGCTTTGCTCCAATAGTCACAGTTTGCTGCCTCAATAGTTCTCAATTTAGCACATGTAACCACGGTATTATTGATTATTGATTGCAACCCTTTGGATAATATCTGCAACATTCGGCCCCTCTTCCTTCGCACCCCTCTCCCCCTTTGAATCCACAGTCAAGCCTTGTTGTACTTCTCAAAAGCCTTGTAGATCTCGGGGAAATAGATATCAAACCGAGAATTGCCAACTACTCGAAATTCCATCTTGTTCATGATATATGATATAGTCATTCTCCGGCGGCGATCCATGACGACGGCAGATCCACCAAAACCACCCCAGGAGCAAATTCCATCCTCTTCCGGAATATAAGGCAACACACCGTCGGTAGCTGGCAGTGAAAGGCCAAGGGCGAAGCGCGACTTCGTCATGATGTTTGGATCAGCTGATCTGATTTGTTCCTTTAGCATCTCATCAATAGTGTGGGAAGTAAGATACTGTCTATCATTGACGATACCATCAAGGGCAACGATAGAACCGACAGATGCTAGTGCACGTGCATTAGAGAATCCTCCCATAGCACCATTCTGAGACTTTCGGAAAATTGGGTTGTTGGGAGTTGAAGCATCCATTAAAGAGCCTATGAGGGACCGAAGTAGGATACTAGTGGTAGGATCAAGGCCTTCTGCAGAAGGAATAGCATCCGGTGGGAATGGGATAGTATCAGCAGTCCTAGCCTCATCTTTCTCCGAGACACCAAGCTGAAAGTCAGCCCCTAAAGGTGTAGTGATCTCTTCGCTGATGAACTGGGCCAGAGACTTTCCTGTGATACGATGGACAATCGTACCCACGAGAAGACCATAGTTCGTGTATTGGTATGCGCTCTGCGATCATGGAGTAAACCAAGGAGCTTGTTCAGCAATGCTCTGAGCTGATTTTTGTTCATCTTGCATTTCCTCAATAGTAATTCCCCCCATTAAAGGCAACAACTCCAGAGGTATGGCTTAAGACATGAATTACCTTAACATTCTCTTTGCCGTTCGCTGCGAATTCAGGCCAATATTTCGCTACTGGCTCATTGACATCTAAAAGGCCTCGATCAACAAGGAGGTGAGCGGCCAGGATAGTGAGAATCTTGGTGGAGGACCAAATTCCAGTGATAGTGTCTTTTTCCCATGGCTTGCTAGAGCTCGCATCTGCGTAGCCACCCCAGAGATCTACGACATTTTTGCCGTCGATATTGATACAGAGGGAAGCACCCGCTTCGCCACCATCAGCAATCTTTTGCTGCAAAAGGTCCCGCACTGAATTAAAAGCAGAATGACAGGAACCGTGCAGCTCAGCCATAGCGTACCAACTTGTTTAGGTGTTTGATGGAAAAAAGAATAAAAGTTGACTGTGGAGTATGATAGCAACAATAGTGAGAGCTAAGAGAGCAAATTACGAATCTTTGAGAAACGAAAAACGGCTTAGGGCGGGGTTTTCATATGCTGTACAGTATGTGTACGCTATACCTCATACAGCACACAGGACAAAGCCTCCCGGACTAGTAATGTCGATCAGTGGATCCCGGGTGGCCTGGAGTTGTTAGCTAGGTGCCTCCATACAGTATGCCCTAGTATTGTATTCCAAGGACAGTGTCACGTTTCTTGGTCCAATTGCATTATGGTGAATACATTTGCCGAATTCCTGCAAAGTTACAGTTGAGTGATTGACGACGCATCCCTAATCCCGAAGTCATGTAGAAAGAACCTAGGTTCTTCACCAGTGCGGGCAGCAACGTTGGAAATAAAATGCGTACCCCTGTTTGAAACTTTAGTTTGCAGCCTAGTGACGAGGTGATTCAAACAGCGCTAGCGCAATCCACGGCTACACTGTACATAAATCTGTCTTGTCGAGACCCACTGGTTGGTCTACATTGAATCTATAGCCACCCGGCCTAGCCGTAAAAAATAGCCCCCACGCGGACGAAGCGCCTCCCCTCCACTTTTTCCCCTCCTTGATCCGCCCCCAAACCCATATTGTACCTTGAGAATCATTGTGGTGACTCCTGCTGAAGCTAAGCGAGGCCTAGTTAAGATGCCATGCAGGTAGATTAGCGGCCAGGTGGTGTGCTTGCCGAACAATGCGACATGCATATGCTTGCGAGTTGAAAAATGGAGAACAAGACCTACATTTCTTCGGCCATCGTGATTTAGAGCTGCCGCTCTCCATCGAAATATTTTCACTCGAGTAATGAGACTTCGAACGAAGACAATATCCATTGACAGGGGATTTTTGCCAGATTAGATTCATCGTGATTATTGTAGTGAACGTGAGGAAGAGATGTTAGGGCAGAGAAGCAAGGGGAGCAGTAGATGTTGTTATCCACATTGATATACATTCAAAAATAGTTGTTAGCGATATTCCTACCTTGCAGATTGGTACATCTTATTGCGCAGGTACTGTTGGATTTTCCTATTCCTGGATTCTTCAATCAATCGTCACCTCGTCCGTCGCGTCACTTTGTCAAAATCATTGAAAGTTTCATGGGAAATCTCGCTGATCTGCATTTTTCCTTCTCTGCTCCTCGAGGTTCAGCGACTCACACCTACTGCAACAATAGGCAAATCCACAAAGATTTACAGATTTCAAAATTTGTCCATGATTTTTGCTGCAATACCTGAATTTGAATGTTCCAACCAACTTGATTCGACGGAGTTGCCTACAAGTGGGGCGATGGGGTGAAATGACTGGCCCCTGAACGGCTTCTTTTGAGGTTTCCACGCTAAGAAAGTCAGCTTTTTGAATCTCAAAGCTGGTGATATCGAGAATGGCAGTCACCCGATCGGCCGCACGCGCCCTGGGCCAGCTCACGAAGCCAGGGGTCACGAAGAAATCAAAGACTACCAGGAAAAGGATGATGAAGGCAAAGGCTAACCAGGAAAATACCACCAAGAAAAGGTTTTCCGTGGCAAAATCCACCAAGGCGAATGAAAAGAAGGCGATAATCCATGATCCTCCTTATCGCGAGCGACTGATTGAATGGATAACTATGAAAGACCCAATCGACGGTGTTATTCCAAACAAGAGCGAACTATTCTCTATTCTACAAAGAATCCGCGGACGGAAAGGTTGCCAGGTAGTCTCGCGAGCACGTCCGTCGGAGCTTAATGGAATTGAGTGGTTAGTGGTTGGTAAGTGGTCTCAAGCTCAAAAGCTTGTGAAGAACTCCTGGCTCTCATATCTAATCAGCTGATAGAGTGGCAGAATCTCGCAACTAGAGATAAGTTTCTCGAATCGGAACTATCCGAGAGCTTAACGCAGGCCCTTGCACCCCGCTCTCCAAAGAAGGAGTTGATCTGGCCAATCGACTGTTGGGACTTTCACCGAGTAATTCGTGCAGACCCACGTTATCCACCCCAAAAGCTCTATGAGATCTTAACGACGTACTTTCCGGTGGACCTGAATGACACTGCTCTGACAACTTTGAGAAGCCTGGCACCTCAATGCGTGTTCCCAGAAGAATTAGTCCCTAACCCTGGGGGGCAATGGCATGATAAATATGCCGACGCTTCAGAATGGCATTGCGGTCAATCTCCTGTGGAGGCGCCAATCATCGTGGCGGAGAAAATAGAGGTCACAGGCGGATTTATGAACGGATTTCTATATCACGAACGTGCGTGGATGGAAAGGGAAATTGAGTTCCGCGGGCAACCTGCTCGGCGTTTGATTCACATCTTCCGGTTTGAGGACGAAGACGGGGAACGATGTTACAAAGAGGAGATGAAACGCAGGAACACACCCAGGGGACGAACTAGTTCGAATGAATGGGAAAATTTCTTCTTAGACTTGCAAGACCTTGGCATGATAGGATATGAGTCCCAGCATGCACGGTTCTTGGAGGTACTGGAGCGTGTGTCAGAAGACAAAGTTTATTTGCCCGGTCAGTTTCCTATGAAAAGACTGCCTGAATTCTTGGTGGAAAGTTCTCTTGGTCTCTAGAGATAAACTGGTTCGCGCAATTTGTCTTTCTACGTGCTCTGCATTTATGTATCCTCATTGATCTTTATAAACTCAACTATCTCCACAACTGGAGAATTGGATACGAGATAACGTGGTTAAAAAAAATAGTACGAGTATCATTCATCTATGGCTATGCGTCATACTTTGTATAAAAAGATTGATTGGAGGTCTATATGGCTGAATAAGACTGAGTGATGCTAGACAGCAAACTGAGCTGGTCTTTTCACATGTTGACAGCGGACCAAGCAAGAATAGCCTCACGCCACATCTCGAAGATTTTACCGAAACTTTTGGAAACGCACCATCATAGGTTGCTTATCCCAAAACCACCAGATACCTTGGTCTTCCCATTGAGGCAGCTCAACGCCAGGCGGAATGGACAGATTATATCTCCACAGCAACCGTGCCAGGATGATCCGCAGCTCCAACCATGCCAGATTCTGCCCCGGACAGTTGTGTGCGCCCAATGAGAAAGGATTAAACGCAATTTTGCTATCGCCTTGGAATTTTGAACTTTGCACATCTTCACCAAGCCAGCGCTCCGGAGCAAAATCCTCCGCATGTGTGAAATTACGCGATGCGCGATAACTTGCGAACGGGGGAACCGAGACCACCACCCCGCCAGGAATAACTTGGCCAGCAATGGTTGCTCCGCCGACAGGCACATTACGACGCATGCCATCTGGGATTGTAGGGCAGAGTCGCATGCCCTCAGATAACACTGCATCCAAATAGGGGACCGATTTCAAGGCGGACCCGGTTATCTCCTGCTCCGATGGAAATGTGGTCCGGAGGATTTGGACAAGCGTGTTGAGTTTGTCCTGGCTGCGAAGGAGATGATTGATTACTCCGGTCAGGACTGTGGTAATGGATTCACTTCCCGCAGCTACAATCATCATGGAATTTACTTCCATTTCTTCTTGAGTCATGGACTCAGATGCCATCATTGTGCCAACTAAATCGGGACGGCTTGCGCCGCCGGCGACTCGTTCGCGAACATTTTGTTCTGTCAGTTTCCACATATCCATTACAGCCTGTAGTGCTGAGGGTGGTGTGATTGCCATGAGAAAGGAGTAGATGGGCGGGTAGAACTTGAGTGCCCCTACGATGATTGCAACCTTGAACTGCCCAACAGTTTGAACCCACGGGTGGTATGTCAGGCCATCTAAACACCCAAAGGAAGAGCCCCATGTTAAATCTCCAATCACGTCAAAGGCAAGATAGTTGATCCATTCAATGACATCAACAGTTGAGATTTTTTCATTTTGGAGACGATCGTCCAGCCTCTCAAATAACTTATCAACGTAGGACTGAATGAAAGGCTCTTGTTCCATAGCATATTGTTCAGAAAATCCAGGCGCGAGTATTTTTCGCAGCCGAGCGTGTTCTGGTTCTGAGCATGCGATCAGATTGGCGGCTGTTTTGCCAGGCGGTTGATCCTTGTATTCGTCTGGGCGGACAAACTCGCGCCCTTTACTGTAAATATCCCGCCAAGCGTCGGGATTGATGAAAGATAGCTCGTCAGGCGCGACGCGAACGATTTCGCCGTATTGCTCATGAAGACGCTTGATCTTATGAGGAAGATTACCGCGCACCATTGAGATAAGGAAAGGAAATCGAAATGCGCGCCATAGTAGCGGGCCCCGGTACTTCGATAGTGGATGAATCCATAGATTGTTGATTACTTGACAAACAAGGTACTGGGGAGTATTAGTAACCTTGTCTTCAAATTTGGTTTGGTACTTCTTGCATTACCAGGATTGGCAGAAGGATGAGGACAGCGACGATCCCCATGGTTGTTGATGCGGACTGGCAAGAAGGATCGATATGGCGAGTGGGGCGCCGTGGCCGTGGAGAATGGACTCGGGAGCGAATAAGAGGCCAGAGGATAAAGCAGTGATCTACGAGCTTTATTGAGAGCTCTTGGAGGAAGACAAGCAAAGCGAAGAGCAATCAGCCACCTCTTGTTGCTGAGAAAGCGAACTGAATTAGGATTAGTGTCAAGCTTTAGGTAACAACTATTCTTTTGTTTGTCCTATCATTACTGCCACGGGAAGGAAATATGTCTCCACGCATTTCCCCCACTTCTGAACTTGCGGCTTAATTATGACGGTGAGTTACATCGGCCGGGCAAGCAAATAAGCACTAGTCAAGAGCAACAGCACGTCGGCGAGACAAGATGGTTGTAGAAACACCCTAATGCCCAAATCACTCTCTCTACGGCCACATGAGTCAGTCACGTTGTAATCAAACAGGGCTCAGTGGATTTACGATCAGGCACTTCCCGCGTGGGGGCCATTCAACAACCCTCTTGATGGCCAAAAGAAAGGGGTCCAAGTATGTTATTCTTACTAATTGATTCCTGTTGGTGGGGAAGTAAATGGTGAAGAGTAGTGAAGAGTAGAAGACCAGAGATGAGCAACAGAGTTAAGAAAATGGCCCCCAACGCAACCATAGCAGGGGTTCTCCTCTGCCCTCTACCGCTCTATTCTGATGTTTAGTAGATGGGTCTAGCCTGAATTCACTTTTCATATAACATTGACCATGTCTTGTTCCTGGCACACGCCCCCTCTTGACCATAAATTGAGTGTCAAAGTCATAACCATGGCTCTGCAATCTATCAAACTGTACTGGAGAACCGGGATTGATAATTTATATCGGATGAGCGATCCACTGACAGCGCTACCCCAGACCAGGTCCCCAACCCCTCTAAAGTCCTCATCATTCTCTAGGAACTCAATATTCCCTATGAGAGCGCTTGGGTTGAGCTGGAGGGACTCAAGCAGAAGCCATTCACAGACGTGAGCCTCAATGGACGAGTCCCCCGTATTTCGGATTACCACTCTCTTCTGGCTGCGGTGGAAACCGCCTTTCTAATGGTTTCCAACAATCATCGACCCCAACACATGGCTAACTCTCTGGGAGTCCGGTGCTATCGTGCAGGTGAGAGCCCCCGCGTGTTTCGCAAGAAAAGACTTTGCAGCTCACTTACGGCCATGCAGTATCTCATCGACACCTACGATAAAGAGCGTAAAGTCTCTTACGATTATTTCCCGGAGAAGCACCAATCAGTCCAGTGGTCCTACTTCCAAGCCTCGAGGCAAGGCCCCTATTTCGGACTATCAGCATGGTATGTCGAACTCAATTTTCACCAAGACAATATCTCTGTTTAGGTATTTATATTTACCTGCGACTCAACAAGGTTCAACGTCTTCCACGAAAAGATCTACGGCAAATCCCCAGAATCGGCCAAGGTGCGCCATGAAGCGGAAATTAAGCGCGTTGCGGGTGTCCTGGATACGGTTCTGAGCAAGCAAGATTGGCTGGTCGGAGGCAAGTGCACGTATGCAGACTTGTCTTTTGTGATGTGGAACTTCCAAGTACCCTTTCTAATGGCTAGTCGCACGGGTGAGCATGCTTGGCAGCCAGAGGAATTTCAGCATATCACACGGTGGTAGAATGCGATGATGTCGCGGGCATCTGTTCAAAAAGTACTGAAGGTATTGAATGAAACCGAGGTCAAGAGCTCCTAGAAAGAGCCATCCATGAGTGCAAGTTGGGAAACGGAGGTTCCGACGTCCATAATAGTATATATTTCGATATGCTCTAGGGGACAGTTGAAGATAGATATTGTCTCTTGTTGGTGAGGGCTCACGAAAATTTGGAATGGTCAAATAATTGCCACCGGCCACTGCATATTAGAGATTACGCGATAAAAGAAGAAGAATAGTGATAGCGTCCCATGCGAGGTGAGGGAAAACGATCATTTAAGACACGTAGACATTCTCCAAGGCCTCATTTACTCGCTCTTCCACTCCCGCTTGATGAGATCCGCTGCTCTTTCCGCGAATGCGTACACAGTAGCTTGCACATTCGCTGTGCTTACAAGCGGGATAGCACTCGCATCGACAACCCTCGGTCCTTCGATATCATAAGACGAGCCTCAATGTATCTAAAGCTTTGTTTCTTTCATAGTTTATAGCATCAGGCTCCCATTGCAACGTTCTCCGTGACACACTTTATGTTACATAATCAGATGATCTCGCAATCTTAGCCAACTCTCCATCGACTATCAAAATTTGCGTCCAGTCTATCTCATCATATTCCCGTTAGATGTGTTCTCAGAAGCGTAGAGCTCCTCTTTCGTTAGAACATCGTCAAAATATGATCAAACTCAACCAAGAAATCTTTTACACACAAGAGGTATGTATATAGATAGGCCGATTTCAGTGGATCAAGTTCTCAAAAAAGAGAATTGCGTTGCGCCCGTGAGTGATGACATTATAATTGCTGGTGCATCCGAGGTATTGTGCTTCAAGGTCCCGTACATCTTGAAAACCTACATCATGAAGCTTCATATCTCGATCCAAATCAGAGAGGGCGTGTCCGGGCAAGGTCTCAAAATTCATGAATTTTGGACGACGGGTAAAGTTGGCAAACGGATAAAGCGGAGTATCAAGCGTGTGGCTTTCATGCTCAAGACCCATATTCGAATTTAGGCCATGTTGTCTTTTCGTGCAGTATATGGCAATTTTGATGAAAAGATTGAGTAAAACAAATATGAACATCCCGAGGACTAGCCCGATAAGGGAAGATAATATTGACATGGAAAGCGAGCATCCTCTGTCAGCAGCCATATCGAGTTATGTCGCTAGTGAAGGCTGGTGTATTTCTGGAGAGGAGACTTCAACTTGACAGTCATATAAATTGGGTTATTAAATGACTTAAAGAGTTTAAAGTAATTAGATACGTCACCATTATATAGTATACTCTACGTTATTCCCTCATCGCCGCCGCCTGATCCATTAAATACTTGAATGCATCACCCCTGAATATGGTGTATAAGATTTGTGTAATAAGATGGATAGATATTTCAGGGAGTGGGTGTTCTCACATCGTCCTCACCTCTTTCACCCAGTCTGGGATTCTGATCCATAACGCTTCACAATGTACTAAAAATGTTACGCTTTGTCAAAAACAAAAACATACAACAGTCAGGATTCGCATGTGGTCACCCACCATACTACTAACTAACCGGCGTGTGGCTTAAGTACGGCTGAGCGGACGGGAAGCCCTGTTCTCCACACCCTATGGTCGTATGTACTCGAGAATGTACTAGATTACAATATATACCTGATAATGTGCTGTCTGACGCCATGCCACATCGCAATCTTAGGATTCATAGCGTCGAGTCTTTCGATTATCGGTCAAATAGTGATTTCTTTTATTGCAGTACTACCGGGATCTTCCCTTGATTCTATATTGACAATGCCAGTTAAGTAGTGTTGGTGCTAAGGTAAAATAAAGAGCACTGCGTCAATATGCAGCTATAGGGCTACTTTTATACACCGGCTAGAGGCTCTGGCATGGGAATTAAGATGACCAACTTAAGGACCGTGTACCGTGTATCTCATTTTTTAAGACTGATGAAATAGATAACGTCCATAAAAGTCGGTAGATATCTAGAATCTTAGTCCTCGACTCACATAATTTGCAAAATTGAAAGACCGATCATCTCAATGACAGCGACAGAGGCACGCCAAAGCTCGACCCAACTGAGAATTGCCACTGCCACCCAGAATGTATCTCGAGGCAATGAAAAAGAGCTAGGCGATTAAGTGGATCGTCCGTGGCTTCTGCCTTACTCAGCGACTGTGCGAGTCGCTTAGAGAAACAAGCTACACCACCCACCAAGCTATAGGGATCATTTACACCCAGTTCGGACATGACATGCAAATTTTGGGCAATCCAGACAGGCACCTCGACGGGCTCAGTCAACTCCGTGGAACTGTTGGACTGTCGAGCCGGGGCCAGCCCCACTTAGCTAGCGGACAACATCCCGTCGTCGTGAGATCTACAGGGCAGAAATGGCCGATGGATGAAATCTACGTCGCAGACGTTGCACAAATGCGCTGAATGAAGGCAACAAGTCCCTTGGTCGACACCGAACTCTTGGTCATATCTCAAGTCAATGCAATCATCTTTGAGGCTCAGGAGTCAATGAGTAAGCCACCCACATTGTGCCTGAATAGTGGCGTAGTGGGTCCGCCAAAAGTCTGTGCAGCTATACTGTAAGTTAAGCCGTCGCTTGTTTTGTCTTGTTATTGGAGAAAGGCGGATCTTGGCATAAAGAAATGATTGCTCAGGTAACAGCTCCAATGCCTGTAAGGTCTTTCGGTTTCCGGCTGTTGGTTTCCACCGTTAAACCTACTTTTTTACCCTCGAAAGCTGCTGCCCGGGAGCTTGATTGGGCACACGATCACAGAAATTATCCCCTAGAGGCGATTCCATTATGATAAGGCGTCTGGGTTTAATCATCGCTTCGGTCTCCTGGATCCATGCGGCGTTGGTGACATCGCAGACCGTGAGCTGCACCGACGACGTGACTAATCTTGTCACAAATCCGGAGTTTAATTCGGGTCTCACTGGATGGTCTACTTATGGAATCAATTGGGCAGGCGAGCTCATCATCTGATGGACTGGCATATGCTGAGAATGTGATCACTTCAGGGGAGATAGTTGTCCACCCAACTACAAATCAGACCTCACAAGATCAATCTGGCTCTGCTGCCAGTTCTTCAACTTATCCCTACTCTACGCCTGCTGCATCTGCGGGAAGCTCTTCACACTCTTTCCTTACATCGACTTCCACTTCAGGTGCTACCGAGGCTAGCAACCCAGTTTACGGCAATAGTGCTACTACCGTTTCTTCTGTCTCCCAGCTACCTGGCATGGCTACTACTTCTACGGGCTCTGTCTACGCAGGATCTGCATCTGCCACTCGTTCAGAGTGGACCAAGGTTCTTGCCGCTCTTTTCCTTGTCTTATTCGTCTAGGAAAAGTGACCTTAATTTGTATAATACTCCACATCTTCGCATCGAAGGTTGAATCAATAACGTACAACTACTTCCATCATATCGCACGAATTCGAAAAGTTCATGATTTGACTAGGAAGAGCTTAAGTTCTAGTATCTATCTTGCAGTAAATGTTGCCGTGAATACATTTTGACGTCCTTTGAATTGTTTCAAGGGGTCATTGATCGCGACGAAGATCTAGCTCGGTCTCTTTCTTGATATCAGTGGACTGGATGCCGGTCTCTCGATCTCACATTGGATAGCTTAATTGAGTCAAGTCGAACATGTTTAGTTCACGGCGTAGTGACAAAAAGTATTATAATAGGTGGCTGATTGGCTAACAGAAACCAGGCACCAGGCACGCTCGGACTTGTCATTAGGCCAATTTGTAGTTACGCGTATCGACTGAGATCGGCAAAGAGGGGGAGTTGGATTACATCAGTTACTCCGCATCTAGGTCAGCAAAGCTCACCACCGAATTGTTTTACAGGTCTCCCGACCTTCTCACCTTGAAAGAATTCTGTGCTCATCTTTGAATTGCTTCCTCCTGCTAAACAAGACTAGCTCCTCATTCATACCGTGAAAGTCCCCAGAGTGAAACCGGATAAATCCAATAAATATCTTTCTTTGAATTGCTCTACATCTAAGCCAAGCTAGTAATCTTTAGCGTCCGACTACAGCTCTGGTCTCCGTCAGTGGATTCCGGCTTTATGCACGACTTGGAAGGAAGTCTGCCTTAGGGGACAATTTCCACAAAGGAGCGGGTTTCCAGGTTGATGTTTCGAGCCCGTGTTCTTCACCCTCATGACTCCCAACATCACCTTTGCGTCATTTCGTCCTTTACAATGTCCCGGACACAGAATCAGGTCATTTACGCTCCTTCAAACGAAGCTCCGCGCGGCGTGAAGTCCGTCTTTCTCGCTGGCACCACCAACAAAGTTGACAATCGCGACTGGCGTGAGCTTCTATCTACCGCCCTCTCCGACGTGCCTGTCACAATCTACAACCCGTGCCGCTCTGATTGGGATGGCTCATGGCACGAAGACATCGACTTTGCACCTTACCGCGAGCAGGTGGAGTGGGAACTCGAAAAGCAGGAGGAAGCGGACATTATTGTTATTTTTTTCCACCCAGCTACCCAAGCGCCGGTTAGTTTGCTCGAATTGGGGCTCTGTGCTCGGGTACCAGGAAAGGCTATCGTTGTCTGTCCCGAGGGGTATTGGAAAAGGGGGAATGTGCAAATTGTGTGCAAGAAATTTGGTGTTGAAATGGTGGACACTGGTGAGGGGCTGAGAGAGGCGGTTGTGAAGAGGTTGGCTGTTGGTTTGTGACTTTCCAGCCCGAGCATCTGAAGGGCGAGACTGGTCTACTGGCATAGGCGACCAGTTACTTGCACCATTTAGCTTCTTACATTGACTATAATCCTGGTGATTCGTAGCAAACCCTTGAAGGCAAAGCCTCTTATTCTCATATGTCACCTAGTAGAACAGTGGAATAGCCTCGACGTGGTATGAACGTAAATACCCATCGAAAATTTTCGGTTAATAACACGTACTCCATAAGAGTTGAATCTTCGGGCACATCCATTCATTCTGCCAATATACTATGGAAGTCAACATACGGATTGGGCGCTTTAAGTTGGTGGATTCTGATTTTTAATTATTTTCCCCTTTGAACTGATAGTTCTTTTAAATCTTTCTGCCGGTTTAAAAGCTGGGCCACAACTCTAAGCCATCCGACCTCGGGGCAATTAGTTGACGACGTAAAACTAGCTGTGGGATTGTTCGCTAAACCGACTATGATTGCCCTAGCATCCGACTTCAGATGTAGCTGATAGATCACGAACGTTCCAGTGTATGTAACATCAGAAATGAGATTTCCGAAACCTGGTTATCCTTTTCCTATGAGTAGACTTGATAGACTTGAACGATGAGATGCCTAAGCAGGTCAAGCGGCAGGAAGAGTTCTAGTAAGTCGCGTTAAAATGAGTCGGTTACAAAAGAGAATGATTCGACGAGTTCACACTCCTACTAACCGCTGTTTACTAGATGTTCCTTCATCGTCTACCAGGTGTAAAGGGTTGACCGGACTAGTCAGTCGTGGGCCACCATCAACTCTTTACTAGATTGTAGGAGAAGCACAGCCTAGTAAAGGTGTCTAGTCGCGACCAATATAACCAGGATTTAGGGCATATGACGGAGTCTTATCCCACGGCCGAGGGAACTGAGGGTCGAAGGTATGTTCATCGTCTATAACAGAAGCCAACATTCCCTCTAGATAGCAGATGCCACCGAGAAGCCTATTGATAGCATCACAGAATATAATCTAAGAGCAGAATAAGATAGAAATAACGGAGAAGAGAAGTGGCTAACAGGACGAGCAGAGCAACGGGAAGAATTATTGAGGCGTCGACAAAGCCAAAAGAGTATCGTTGATTATATAAAGATCGACAAAGGTTAGTCGCGAGAAACAGAACGAGATAGTAGATTAAGGAGGAGGCGGTTAATAATATGTGCCCAGATGGGCCTATACCCTTACTAGGGATTAATCGGTGGTTTAGTCAGTTTGCTCAAACATCAATGGGTCTAAATAGCGACCCTTCGATGGCCCACAGTATCTATGCCATAAATAGGAACAGAGAATTTACGCGCCTATTATCCACGACTAACTTCACCCGAGGCTATCCCCCGTTCAGAGACTAGATATTAATAGGTATCCATTACTAATGGGGACATATTAAAGTGGGGCTAGGAACAGGTCTTCCAGGTCTTCCTTGAATCTTCCGGAGTAAGGGCCCAAACACTTCACATGCCCAGCATCTTGACCATGGCCTCGATATATTTCAACGGAGTAAATACAGGAACTCAGATTGGTGTTTATAATGGACAGAACTACTTCCTGCAAGGTAGGGTTTCAAGCCCCTACATAAACAACCTTGACGAGTCGAGTGAGCTGACAAGATGGCTCCGCCTTCAGAACGATCGGAACCCCGCCCTGAACCTTTATCGACGGTACCGTTCCCACGAGACCCAGACTTTGTTGGCCGGAATGAAATCCTGGACCAACTTCATGAGAAAGCATCGATAGCGGGATCTAGAGTCGCCCTCTTTGGACTCGGTGGCGTTGGGTATGAGAATCACGGTCAGAGAGAAGGTTCTCAGATACTAACTACGTAGCAGGAAAACGCAGCTTGCCGCTGAATACTGCTTCCAGATTCGACAGCAATCCGCCAACACGTGGGTCTTCTGGGTACATGCTAGTAACGCGGCCCGCTGCGAGAAAAGTCTCCGCAATCTTGCCGATCGAGCCAAAATTCCTGGGCGCCTGGACCGCAACGCCAATATCTTTCAAGTCGTCGGAAACTGGCTAGAAGACGAAAAAATCGGAAAGTGGATTCTCGTTCTGGATAATGTTGACGATGACGAGCTTTTTCGCAACCCTTCTGTGATTGGTACCACCGGCAATATAGACTCGCAGAGCGACTCGCAGAGCGACACGGACCCGCAGAGCGACACGGACCCGCAGAGCGATCCTCCAATGCAACCACCACGACTAAGGTATCTACTTGGCAACTCTAATGGTACAATCATTATCACTAGTCGTCATAAAGGAGTTGTATCGAAAATCGTCAAACATCAGAACATTATCGAAGTACCACCGATGAACCCTACGGAAGCATTAGGTCTTATTCAAAAGAAGCTAAGCACACCGGAAGAGCATACGAGAATGGTGCAGTTAGCTCAGGAGCTTGAGTTTATGCCACTCGCAATCATCCAGGCTACCGCCTACATTGTACAGCGTTGTTCAGTATCAGAGTACATACTAAAAATTCAGAGGAGTGACCGCCAAGCAGTACAGGTGCTTCGCGAAGAGGCTGGCCTCCTTACTCGGGATTGGGAGGCCAAAAACTCCATTCTATTTACGTGGCAAATAACTTTTGACTATATTCGAAGGATAAGGCCGTCTGCAACTGATCTACTCTCTCTCATGAGCTTTTTTGATCGGCAGGGGATCGCACAAAGAATTCTTCGAGTTCCGCTGAATCAGCATATATATAAGGACTCATGTCTGGAGAAATTAGAAGGAAGCTCTAACGACCGGGATTCCAATGACGGATCTAGTTCTAGTACCGATGCCGCTTTTAACATGGATGTTAACATGTTAAGTGACTTTTCATTGATATCGATCAGAGAGGATGGACACACTTTCACAATGCATCGACTAGTGCAGCTAACTGTACGGACATGGCTTAAGGTCAATCACCAACTTGAACAGTGGAAGGGCCGATTCATTTACAATTTATACGCCGAGCTTCCCACCGGTCAATATGAGAATTGGGAAAGACATCGGTCACTTTTTCCACACGTCAAATCTGCGACGTTACACCAACCAGAATCCCAAGCATCTCTTCAGCAATGGGCTACTGTGCTTTATCGAGGCGCGTGGTATGCGCAAGAAAGCGGGCATGTCATAGAATCACGGGAAATGGCGTCTAGGTCAAGAGACTGCAGATTGCAGCTTTTTGGAGAGGAAGACGGGGATACCCTTAATAGCAATGCAATGTTAGCAGCAATATATCGGCTAGAAGGGAGGTGGGAGGAAGCCGAGCGGCTCGAGTTACGGGAAGTGAAGATTCGCAAGACGAAGTTTGGCGCGGATCATCTATCCACGCTCACAAGCATAGGCAACCTCGCGTCGACGTATAGGTACCAGGGCCGGTGGGAGAAGGCCGAGAAGCTCGAAGTGCAGGTGATGGAGACTCGCAAGGCGAAGCTCGGTATGGACGATCCCGATACACTATCAAGTATGGGAAACCTGGCATCGACGTACTGGGAACAAGGCAGGTGCAAGGAGGCCGAGAAGCTCGAAGTGCAGGTGATGGAGACTCGCAAGGCGAAGCTCGGTATGGACCATCCCGATACACTATCGAGTATGGGAAACCTGGCATCGACGTACTGGGAACAAGGCAGGTGGGAGGAGGCCGAGAAGCTCGAAGTGCAGGTGATGGAGACTCGCAAGGCGAAGCTCGGTATGGACCATCCCCATACACTATCAAGCATGGGAAACCTGGCATCGACGTACTGGAAAAAGGGCCGGTTGGAGGAGGCCGAGCAGCTCGAAGTGCAGGTGATGGAGACTCGCAAGGCGAAGCTCGGCTCGGACCATCCCGATACGCTATTAAGTATGGACAGCCTAGCGGTGACATATAGGAAGCAAGGCCGCTTAGTGGAGGCCGAGCAGCTTCAGGTGCAGGTTGTGGACACTCGCAAGGCTCGGCTCGGCACGGATCATCCGAATACACTATCAAGCATGGGAAACCTAGCGGTGACGTACAGGAATCAAGGCCGCCGGGAGGAGGCCGAGCAGCTTCAGGTGCAGGTTATAAACACGAGCAAGATAAAGCTCGGCCCAGATCATTCTGATACGCTATCCGGTATGGATAACCTAGCGGTAACATACAGGAATCAAGGCCGCTGGGTGGAGGCCGAGCAGCTTCAGGTGCAGGTGATAGACACTCGCAAGACAAAGCTCGACCCGGATCATCCCGATATGCTATCCAGTATAAATAACCTAGCGGTGACGTACAGGAACCAAGGCCGCTGGGTGGAGGCCGAGCAGCTTCAGGTTCAGGTGATGGACACGCGCAAGACAAAGTTCGGCGCCGGTCACCCTGATACGCTAAAAAGCATGGTCGGCCTCGCGTCAACCTACAGGAACCAAGGCCGCTTAGAGGAGGCCGAGCAGCTCGAAGTGCAGGTGATGGACACGCGCAAGACAAAGTTCGGCCCCGGCCACCCTGATACGCTAAAAAGCATGGTCGGCCTCGCGTCAACCTACAGGAACCAAGGCCGCTTGGAGGAGGCCGAGCAGCTCGAAGTGCAGGTGAAGGACACACGCAAGAAACGCTCGGTGCGGACCATCCTGCGACTTTAGCTTTTACCTTGCATTATGCCAGTATGCCAACTTAGATAACTATCCATGGGCCCAATTGGACGTACATCTCCATTCCAACAACGATTGACTTTCTGTTTTTTGTACGAGTAAATTACAGCTAGCGTAATAATGTCTTGAAAGAACATGACTCTGTAACCCTGCCGAATAAGCTCCTGCGTCTACGCTAAATATATCTGGCATAGTGTGTCTCGATTCGGCGTTCTAGAAACAATTCCTTTTTATAACACATGGAAGCTAATTTCGAATCTGAGTGTAACTGAGTATCAAAGATATCGCGTCGAAGTATTTTAAATATCACGTTAAGAAATCGTCAAAAAATCATATAGTGCTTAGCTCCTATACTTCCAGGAAATATCTAATTTAGAGCTTGTATACATACCGACATTCTCCATATTCTTTGTGTTGTCAATTCCAACGGCAATGGTGAGAAACTGTGCAGATTTGCTCGTCCTGCGGTTTCTCATGGGATTCTTTGGTGGTCCTTGCTAACCAAACGGAGGAGCATCGGTTGGTGATATCGTGAGTGAAGTAAAAGAGCCAGCAGTGTACTAGAACTGACAGAGAATGTTTTAATCCATTATCCTACACTCCATATTCCGATATATCTCTCCTCGTGGACTGCGGTGTGGTTTTGGGGACCCGCAAAAGGACCAGTCGTTACCGGATTCGCTGTCCAAGCAAAGGGACGGCGCTGGGGACTTTGGGAGATTGTTTGGTTAACCGGACCTTTATCTTTGCTACTGTTCTGCGCCCTGCCCGAAACCTCTTCAGATAACATACTTCAACGCCGCGCGCAAAGGATATAAAAACTCACAGGGCGAAAAACCATTTTGCCCCAAGCAAAATCGCATAAGCTTAACTGACAACTGCGGATGTTGTTTGGGATGCGCTCATGGAGCCGGCAGAAACCATGTTCAAGGATCCCGCGGTTCTTTTCACCAACTTATACGTACGTTAAACACTAAGCGCTAAGTTTCAATGTTGCTGGATTGCAAAATGTATTCTAATCAAGCAACATTTGACAGACCTCCCTGACTTACGTCATATATTACTCCTTTTTTGAAGTATTCCAGCTTGTATATCCTACAATTTATGGATTTAACATAGAGGAAACCTGTCTGTGCTTTCTTACGATTGGAATTTCTTGTGTTATCTTTATCATTTTTTTCACTTATCAATTCTGCTACATACTTCCGGATTTTGAGAGACATGGTCCACGCGCCCCGGAGCATCGACTCGTTCCTGCTCTATTTCCCGTCATAACGCTCTCTGTCGGTTATTTCATTTTCGGGTGGATCCTTCGAAGTGACATTTACTAGATTGTTGGCTTGATTGGAGTTGTGATATTGGTAACTTTCAATTTCATCATCTTCCAAAGCGTCTTTATCTATCTTCCAATGTCATATCCCAAATATTCAGCTTCTCTGTAGGCGGCAAACGATCTCTGCAGATCATTATTTGCTGTTGCATGTATTTTATTTGCAAGGCCGATGTTCAGCAAATTGGGAATAGGGGGAGGTGTTTCCTTGCTTGCGGGCCTGTCGTGCTTGGGAATTTTAGACATGTTTTACTTGTGGGAGTACGGCGCGTGGCTTCAATCGAAGAGCACTTTTGCAGAAAGTTAAAAATTCACATGAGTTTGACAAGAGAAAATAGTGCACTGTCAGAACTCAACATGCTGGATATAACAGATTCTATATCCTGTTCGAAGTCAATTGTATTTGCCAGAATTAAGCCATAGACCGGCATCAGTCTCACCCACTTATTTCTCTTCATCTTTTTTTGTCTAAGAATTCAGTCTGCCAGGCGCTATCTTCTGAATATCTGGGATATATTATCATGGTCACTACATCTTAGACGCCTCGACAGGAGTGCGAAAGCATTCTTGACTGATAAGAGCGGCTCCTCGGTCAAGCCGCCTAATAATATTAACTGGTAAGCCCATACAACGCATCTTTCACGCCAGATAGTCGCTACGCTATTAAGGTAATGGAAGCCAGCAAAATCTGCTAGTGTGGGACCTACAGCAGGAGCGGGAACCAATATCATTGAGTGTAACCCGCGATATAACATGATCGCAGTCCCGACAAGGACGCCGTCTTCTGGCTTCCGCAAGACCTGACAGGAGTGTCCAGCACACAGTCAAAAGGCATTTTTACAACCACTAGGCCCAAACTTTATGCTTGCTCAATTTAATCCTTTGTTATTTCTTAGGGCATATAATATGGTCCTGTTGTTCCCGTCCTTCCTAATACTCACGGGTGAAACTACGGATCATAGCACGTGCTTTTTCCTCGTCAAGCTTTCTTCGTATGGCTTCTGGGAGCATCTTCTTTCGACTTGTAGGGCAGAAAAGAAACCTAGGACAGTAGATCGGACGTCCACCCTCCGGCTGTTTTTTGTCATTGCAGACTGGGTAGAGTGAAAGTAAGAGGCCGGGGTTGGTATTCTTACCTCGTCCTCACCTCTCTCAGCCAACCTCCAGGATTCGATCCATAACGCTTCACATTTCACTAAAAATAATGCACTTCGCCAACAACAAAAACATACAACAGTCAGGATTCGCATGTGGTCACCCACCATACTACTAACTAACCGGCGTGTGGCTTAAGTATGGCTGAGCGGACGGGAAGCCCTGTTTTCCACACCCTATGGTCGTATGTACCAGATACTAAATAATAGTAGAATATATAGATCTGGAGATTTGAGAAATAGTAGATTGTGCAGCTAATAGAATTGGTCAAAATCCTTGAAACAGCCATACCTAATGCACCAGATGTCCCTCAGCCTGTGAATCATACACCATTATAATATATTGGGCAATCTCATTCAAAACGCGCATGCCATCATTGTTTCATATTATTCAACGCTGCTAGTACAAAAGAAAATTTCCGAATTCCAGGCTATCGGCGGAGAAAATACTGCTTCCTGTGCACTGGGTTCATGTGGCCGTTCAACGTTTGGACTTAGGAGCAATGGGTTTTGCTATGCCGGTTTTTAGTGATTATGTACTGATTAGGTGGGGATTATAATGCTTTATTGAAAGGAACTCATGCATATGGACAATTGAGAGGGTATCGGAGTGAATGAACGCTACTAGAACTATGTTCTAAGTTGTGGTAAGGCTAGCCTAGCAACGATTTCGCCTCAAATATCATTTCCCCTGAGCTCAATGAGGAAACGTATTGAAAACACGATGAGTCTTTTTGAATCTATTCAAAATTCATGGATTACGAACAATTTCGACTATAACCTGACACTATCCACTGTACACCGTAGGCTGTCCAGGTGGGATTTGTGTACCCGCCAACCGGCCAATCATGACGCAAGAAGTCCGGGGACTCCATAGTAATCTGCTTAAGTAATCATGTCTTCCCGCGGGGGAATGAAGTCACTCACTTCGCCGACGGAAAAGGTTTCTTTCCTCTTGCAACCCTCTCCTTCAATATGCTCACACCTCGGTTGCCGTTCCTTTACCCTAATTTCATGCGAGCTATCCGACTTTGTGAACCAAGAATACTCCACGCCGTCCCACTCGCTAGGCCCCGAAGGCCATTTCACACTAGTCACCTCCGCAAACAGCAATCCTACCAGCGACGATATGGCCCAGCAGTGGAACCAAGTATACCTCCATCCCTGCATTCACACGAGAACCCCCCGATACAACCCACAGATGTCTCAGGCTCCGGGGCGGCTAGTGAGGACGTAGACAATACAGAGGGAAATCGCTCGGCATCGGAGCAGTCATTATCGGATTCGCAAACACCGCCAGAGCCACAAGCACAAGCGGAGGAACAGGCTTCCGAGTCTCAAAATGACCCATCCGATGCTGCAGCTTCATACTTATCGGAGCAAGTTGCAGCTGACTCTGCCAAAAGTGCTCCCGCTGCCTCGGAGCAACCTCAGGAGCAAGGATCGGATGCGGAGACCACAACAAGCGCGTCAGCTTCATTTCCGTTTGAAGATGTAGGGGAAGGAACGTCTCACATAAGTCCATATGCAAACAGCAACAGCTCATTCGAAGAAGTCTACCACATGCCATCTCCATCGACATATCTCACTCCCACGGATCCATCAAATGCCGAACATAAACCGCCACACATGTCGCCAGCGCCATATGTCCACCATTTCGATACCTACTCCCTCGTGCAAGACCTGTCTAAAGGTGGCTTCACCCATGAGCAATCCACGACAATCATGAAAGCCGTACGGACGATTCTACAAAAGAACCTTGACTTTGCCCAGCAGAGCTTGACTTCCAAATCAGACGAAGAAAACGAGTCGTATCTATTCAAAGCAGCCTGCTCGGAGCTCCAGCAGTCGCTTCAAATGGCCCGCGCATCGGAAGTTCAAAGGCAAAGAGCTTCTCGGGGACAGCTGGAACATGAGACGGATATACTATCTCAACGCCTGAACCAGGAGCTTGCGGGTATGAAGGATGAAATCAAGGGCATGTTCAATGACCACAAGATGAGCACTCGTGAGCAACAACGTGTGATCGACACATCGGATCAAGAATTGAACTACAAGATTACTGTCTCGCTTAACAGCGATGGAAAGAGCGAGATCGAAGGCCTAAGATGGATTTTGACAAGACGTGCTGCTATGGCAGTTGCTACCTGTGCCTGTAAGTTCTGTCATAGACAGCTTTTCATCCTCAATCCTAACAATTTCTGCAGTTATGATGATACTGTTTTTGAAGTACGCCTCTACTCGCAAGCCGCAGGAGCCAGCCAAGCCAGCCGAGGTTGAGAAACCCGTCAAGGAAGTCACGAAAGAAACTCGGGTCATCCAAGAAACCTCAAGCCAGTCTAAGGTGCCTTCTATTGCTGTGGCGCACCTTGGAGAGTCACTGGGCTGATCACCATGATCTAATTCCCTTTCGTTTTCCCTTTTTCTCCACTATAAAACACGCAAACACCCGTCTTATTTACACCATTTCTTTTGTTGCAAAGCGCTCTATGAATGAGCTACCTGTACAGTACCAATAGATTCAGATACCCACACTATACATTACAAACCTACAAATACTATAGACTCTTCAATTGAATGAAAGCTTTCCTTGGCCTGCATTTGGTCTTGGGAAATAACATCAACATGATTAAGCTTCTAACAACTTTCTATATTTGACTACATCGTTCAATTCGCCTTTAACCAGCGAACCTCCTCAGGAAGGTACTTGTAGGCTCTAAAGACCGCGTTACTCTGATTCGAAAACCCAATGCGCTCCATCTCCTTCAACTCCGTATCCGCCATAACTCCCTTATAATCCTGCAACTGAGGCACAACAAACTCCCAAACCATATCCCCACCCACCGTAACTTCAAAAATACGCCCAGTAGCCGCCTCGCAAATCAAGACATTCCCGTTCTTCAATTGCTGTGCAGACCCCATAAATGGCGTGAAAAATCCCAGACCACCAGTTGAGAAATCCTTATATTCCCACTTAACCTCCTTCTCCGGGGAAACAACGACAGCTCTTGAAAACGGCACCGAGATACCTGGTCTGAATACGCCATTATCAAGAACAAGTATATCCCCCTCTTCGTTGATCTGATGCGCACAATGCTGCTGGCATACCGTCGGCGCAGATACGGTCCAAATAACTTTGCCTGTCGCACGCTCGATGACGAAAACAGTGGATGCATTCCGGGTTGAGGCGATGATGTTTCCCTCTGAATTGAAGGCGACACTGTTGATCAACGGCCAGTGATCACGGGTGTAGTGAGCATGCGCAGCGAAAGCAGTCGTATCGAGATGGTCGATTGCCCGCCACGACCATAGGAGCTTTGCACCGCCCTTCCCACCCGAGCCGTCAAAGTCAGAAGATGACGAAGTATTCGAGACAGACCATGGGTCCACGAGCTTGATGCAGTCCGCATAGATAGTACCAGAAGGTGCCTCGCTGCCTTCTATCCCGCCCTGGACGCGTGCCGCTTCTTCGGGTGTGAGAGCCTCGAGTGTTGTGTAGAGAATAGTACCGTCGTCTAGGTGATTCTGATCATGATGCGCGTAGGGATCGGAATACTGCCGCAGGATGTTTCCAGCAGGGTCTACCTGCATCATCACGCCGCCACGGTATTTCGCCCACATAGGGAATAGCGAGGGTGCGTCTGGGTGCACGCCATTGTAGGCGAGATTGCCATCGGGTAGGATACGGGAGTGTCGACCAGCACGGTGGGGTAGAGTCCAGCTGTGGACTTCTTCGCCGGTTGTTGAGACCAGGTGGGCCGTGTTGGAGGTCAAGGGGGAGTAGAGGACGTAGCCGGGTGAGACTCGATGCTCGTCGACCCCGCGGAGACCCAGGCCGCGGCGGCGGAATGTTTGCTGCTCCATTGTAAGCGAGTGTAGAGGATTGAATGAAAGAATGAAGATACTTGGCCAAGAAATGCCGGGTGATTTGCATTTTATCTTCAAAAAGACGCAATGATGAGGGTTTCGTCGCTGAGCTCTACTTAGGGCAAGATGGACCGGCATGCCGCGGGATGCCGCGGCAGATAAGTGGAGGGCCAAGATGGTGCATTGACCCACCGGGCTAAATAAGCAGGAGACTGATAGGCTGTTCTGATACGAGATTGAAACATGATGGCTACCCCTGTTGTCTACTGACTTCTATTGTCATTTTAGTACAAATACAACTATACATACGTGGATACCTACCTGAGTAGTTCCGGGGTATGTACCCGGTGGGTCGTCCGAGTATCAAACCAAGCAATATCATTTGCAGCTACAAAATATAGTTGTGATGGCGTCAGATACGCCTGCGATATGCTTATCATCGAGCCATAGAGATATCATTGTATCATATGGCAGGGGGTAGAGTAGATATAGAAGGGCTTATCCTCCGTGAATAGCGTACAGAAAGTTCCCCAGTACATGACATTTCTCTAGTGTGTTTATGAACCACTTCATCATGTCTACAGATAAAGCCTTCGAGTCAGCTGGGGTGGATGATATTTCAAAGACCCAACCATGGTTTTCAAGGAGAATGTCCATTGAGGAGGGGGGCATTGAACGAGTCACCGATGAGGAGAGAAAGGAGAAAACAACCAAGTTCTGGCATGCTACTACATTCTGGTAGGTGCAGTCTAAAATGTGATATCTGGAAATCCATGTGAGGACTTTCTAATGATCATCATGGATGTTACAGGTTCAGCGCCAACATGGCCATCGCCACACTCAATATTGGATCACTGGGAGGCTCCATGGGTCTTGCATTCTGGGATTGCCTCATCGTGATTGTGGTGGTCAATTTATTCAGTGATCTACTCCCAGCATGGACAGCTACAGCTGGTTTGACAGGCTTGAGAATGACAACATTTTCGTGAGTAGCTAGCAATACATGCATCCCGTTTACCTCGACTTGTTGAGCGGCCACGAGCTTTTGACTCTCACATTCCATCCACTTGAGTACCTACTGACGAACTTTCTACTCCCGCAGGCGATACTCCTTCGGATACTGGGGTAATATGCTCGTCGTGATATTCTCCATGGTCGCAACAACAGGCTGGAACGCCATAAACTCCATCTCAGGAGCTTCCGTCCTCAACGCATTATCGAATGGAAAATGTCCCACCTGGGCCGGTGTAATCATCATATGTGCATTTGTGTGGATTGTCTGTGCACTAGGTATAACATGGATTCATCGCCTAGATACTTTCGTCTGGGTTTTACCATTTATCGTGTGGTGCGTCGCTGCTGGGACAGGCGCATCATCGTTCACGGCTGAAAGTCCGAAACATCTCCAAGGCGCCGATAGAGCGGCTGCTGTCCTCTCATACATGGCAAGCATCTTCTCCTTTTCACTTTCGTGGGTGAATTGTGCTGCGGATTATAATGTTCGTATGCCACATGACACTCCACGCTGGAAGATCTTCGGTGCGACGTATGTGGGTATTTTCGTGCCAAGTGTTTTGGTGCAATCGCTCGGCGCGGCGCTCTATACTGGAACTGTCAAAAGTACCGCGTGGAAAGATGCTTATTCGACTTCTTCAATTGGAGGCTTGCTGCAGATGTCATTAGAGCCAGCTGGGGGATTTGGTAAATTTCTGATGGTTCTTGCAGCATTAAGTTCGATTCCGGTAAGTTTACTCCTGATTGCAAGAATCAAATCCCTTGCTTGGGCTAATGGATAGCAAGAACAATATTCCGAACAATTATTCCTTCGCGTTGCATGCCCAGAATCTTGGCACATGGGCCATCCAGATTCCGCGGGCTGTACTGGTGACTTTTGGATCCGTGGTAGCGGTCATTATTGGTTGCTGTGCAGCAAAGTATTTTGATGACGCTTTAGAGACCTTCCTCAGTGTCATCGGGTATTGGACCGTGATCCACGCAACTGTTGTGATGGAGGAGCACTTCATATTTCGCCGACGGTGGTCAGCGTACGACTTGGATGCCTGGAACAACCCGGCGGCTCTGCCGTTTGGGTGGGCATCAATTGGAGCTTTCTGCTTTGGATTCGTCGGGGCTGCTCTGGGGATGCATGTGACGTGGTACTCTGCGCCGATTGCATCGTTGATAGGCAGTGGTGCGAACATAGGGCATGAGCTGACGTTTGCATTCTCTGCCATCATTTTCCCACTATTGCGCTGGGCTGAGAAAAGACACGGAAGGTATTAGACGTTCAATAACTTGTGTTGAACTATTTCTTGTTTGATTCTCGGTCATTTGGTGCGCCGACTTTCCAACTTGCTAGTTAATTGTTCGAAGGGCTTTGATGGAAGAAACCCAAATCTGACAATAGATCCCAGTTTCCATCGGCGGACGGCCCTATACCCAAGAACTCCGGGAAATAGTAGTTGGTGAAGCTCTCTTCGGGGAAATCCTCCATCGGGTCTGGCAAGACTTCAATGCGAGGGCGTAGTTTCTGGTGTACTTTGGCGATGATACTTCCTAGGGTATGTGCAGCATGGCAGGGTAAGCCAATGCAATGAAGCCAGTCAACCAGACTTTGAATGAGAGAGTCTAATTCTCTGGTGTCACATGCCCTGCTCAACTGGCTCTCATAAATGTTGAGTAGACGACAGATGATAATCGCTGCGAATGTTATCATGTGGTAGATGTGATCAGTCAAATGGCGAGTACGCTCATCCACTGTATCCATGGCTAAATTCAGGATAGCTGTTGAATGGCGGACCATTTCTGACACCACTGACTCTTGGGCACGAGCAGTTTTTGATTTCAGTGCATGCTCGTATAAGAGTAAATTGGAGAAATGGAAACCCATTAGCAGAAACTGAGATCTTGGCTGCTCTGAAATTCCAAGAGTCAGCGTTGCCTCGTATCCGCTGGTTCGGCATAAAATGGGGGTCACGTACCAATCACAAATTCCCATCGTCGCCTCCACGCCTGTATATCCGCGACTGACTTAAGCAGATCTACTGATTCTTCAATGAGGTGCCCGTAGACAGTCCAGTAAAGATGTATCTCGGCAACCATCCGAACTTCAAAGTTAGTCGCATGATCGGAGTCAATTATAGCCCGGCAACGCTCAATCTGCCAAGCCTGTAGCATAGATCTGCGACTTGTGCCAACACAATAGTGCAAATGTGCTAGACAAAGATGGTTCCACAGGCAACACCGATCCAGGGTCTTCTCATCCATCCTGTTTGGTGGTTGGAATTGAGATGTCACCGCAGCAAACAAGGGGCTGGATTGACTGTGTTGTAGGGCAAACCCACTCAAAAGCCAGCTATCAATGCTCAAAGGCACCTGGCCGACAGTTGTAGACCACATGCAAAGAATAAGAGCTGCCTGAAAGAACTCAATAGACTGAGGTGCAACCAGAAGGGTACTCGAAACAGAGGACCGAGCGTACTCGTAAAGTTTGGGAGCCAGACCCGCCGCTAGTTGTTCGGAAGTATGCCGCACGGCGATTAAACAGCAGGCGCAGAAAAGCAAGGGCGATCTCTTCACGCGGGGCAGAAGAGTGACAGGATCACCTTCAGGGTCATAGAGTATCCACCGACCATAGTACTCGACGAAACTGGGCATACGTGTCAGTATGATACCAAAGGCCCGGCTTGGATTAACTTGAGGTCAAACTTCCGAGGCATACATTGTGATTAAAGTTAGAGCCAGGTCAGGCGAGATAAGATCGTCTAGGACCGTCTCGAGAGACCTCGTGTCAGGTACAGACTTGATACCTGTATCCGTAGCCAGGTCTCGGATGACCATGATCGGGGCGGCGGAAGATTCCGTGTCCTTGTACGGAGCTTCCCCAGCTTCCGGGGTCGTCAGTGCGCTTTCCCCATTAGACTCATGGTCGTCGGGATCTGCCGGACCCTCCCCTAGGCGATCGAGAAGAGCTGCCAGCGTTTTCTCGACGCGTTCTAAGCTATATCAAGATGTCAACGATTTCAATCATGTGTGGGAGGGGCAGAAGGAATATATTCATACCGCGCATCTGTATTTGAATAAGGAGTATCTGCTTCCTCATCCTCTCTTGGTTCTATAGCCTGTATTAAAGAGCATTTCTGGCGAAGTCTTTCGCATCGCAAACATGCTTTCCCTGGAACGCTGGGCTCATAGCATCGGGTTTTCTGCTTTCTGCACGAAACGCACGCTCTGGAGGCCCGGCCTCGATCTGGCGGCATGATGGAGCGAATTCTGCCCGCAGTAAATATTCAATTTCGTTACACACAGGAAATTACAAAAAAAATTGATTTCCAGTGCACTAAGAAGTGCGAGCAAGAAGGATGGCGAGGGATATATATTGCGTCACCTGATGCGGATAACATAAGCGTGCCACGACTTGCCTAACATAGAGTTCGATTTATTTAGATCTCGGTCTTGCTCGGGTTCCAGGACACCGTTGATACGATGCTTTTCGATCATTCAAAGCTCAATGAAAACTTTGGAACCTCGGAACGCTTAGACTCTTTGTATGTACTATTAGTTACATCATAGTTACCCAACGAGAACTATTTACTCCAGGTCCCCAAAATTTTGAGAGCTCAATCCTAGCTCCGACCTCCGGACTACATTCTTCGACCAAAGCTCATTAGGTAGGTCAAATTGTCTATCATTTTCAGGAAGGGAAAGGAAAATTGAAAATAGCATTTCGTGGTCTATACATTTCTGCACTATTGCATTCATATCATATCACATCAACACGCGACAACGTTCAGGTCTCTAAAAATCCATGCGCAAAGCAATAGTCGGCGCAGCTTGCGGTACGTATTCATTTGCTTCACCAGCCGTTGAGGAGCTGGCTCCAATACCCGCACTGCGGAGAACCTCCTCCAGAAGCGACTTTTGGTCTGCATTCATATTTGCCACCAATGTTCGGAAACTGACTTGATCTGCTTTGGCCAATTCGAGCAGGTGACCAGCGGATTCCTGGTATACTGACTGTCCCTCGCGCTTGGCACGGGCTAACAGGGCAGACATGATAAGCGAGACTGCGGCCGGGGTCTCGGCAGGGGAGAAGGTCGAGTTGGGCACACAGGACACGAGAGTGCGAGCGAGAACAGCCCGCGAGTTCTCTGGGTCGGTGGGGATTTCGCCCGTGTCAGATGGACAGCCAACAAGGAAGGCGATCAAACGGGGAAGTAGATATCGGGAAACCACATCGTCTGTCATATAACGGGGAGTGGGCTTGAGCATGATTGAACGAAGACAACTAGCGGCAACGGTGGCCAGGCCGACATCCTGGAGACAATCGAGAAGCTCGTCGAGAACGCGATTGATAAGTGGGTCCTGTGGTGGGAGGACATGTCCACCTGCTGTTATCAAGAAAGTAATAGCTAACAACGTATTTTTGGCGCAAGGCATGGAGGTCTCTGACTCCCGACGCTGGGCGATCGTGAGGATGGTCAAGAAGCGGGTTAGACATCCTCGCATCTGGTAGGTTACTACGTCCATGTCGTCTTGATCTTCGGACGAATGGGTAATTCCGTGGATGAATTGTCGGAAAATCGGAAGAGCCTGGGGTACAACTTCGGTCTGGCAGATTCCAGTTGCCAATATAGTGGTGAAAATATGGAGGATGCAAGCGTGAAGGTCGTTGCGAATGATAGAAGGGAAGACTGACGCAACATCGACAAGAGAGCGCAGTGCCAGGCGAATCAGGGCCAGGGAATCGTCCGTGGAAACGTTGAACCGTGCAAGTGGAGTCGATTCACGGAGATTAGGCAGCATGCCCGCGAGAACCAAAATGATGTTTCTAGTCAGTTCAAACAGCTGCTCGATATCATCCGACAAATGATCACTTCGCTCCTGTTCGCTTTGTGCTGCCGGGTGGTCAAGCGAGAGGTTCTGCGCGATGCCCACAATGACTGTCTGTATAGGTGTGCTCTCAGTCAGAACGAGTCGATCAAAGGTATCCATAGTCTCCGAAAAGATGGCATCTTGGTAAATGGCATTACCAGAGATGACAGGTCTCAGGATTCTCTTGAGAGCCTGGAGGATGGCGAGGCGCTGCGAAGGTGAAGTTCCTTGGTCGACCAGAGATTCGAAAGCAAGGCCAAACAGAACGAAGAAGAACGCAACAGGCTCTTCGCGATAGTTGATGTCATGGCCCTTTCCTTGAGACTTGCTAGTGGAAAGTTCCTGGCCTTCTTTCGTCTCATCCTCAGGGCTACTGGGTTTTTCTGGTTGCTGCAGCTTGCCATCCAATGCATCAAAAACAAAGTCAATGTCTCTTTCAACCAGTCCAGCAATCGCATCAACGAGATTGAGCCAGGTATCTTGGTAGAACTTGAGCAATGTCTCTCTGTTCAAAGCAGCGTAAACCTCATCCAAGTCATTGCTCTGAGTGCTTGTACCCAAAGCGCCAGAAATGTCAGGCTCAAAGCGCAATCGAGCATACTCTTGGAGAGAAGCAAGCCATAGTGGTGTGAGTTTGGCAACATATGGCTGAACCACCTGGTTGAGGTACTCTTGGTCAATACTGGCAATCTGAAGCCTGGCCCAAGCGGAAAATAGCGCCAACTTGACCATCACTCGGGCGTTTGAGTTCAAGCCCTTGAGATCGCCAATATCAGTAGTTTCAGGATTTTCTACGTATCGATCAGCATGGTTCACATATACTAAGAGGGTACAACATACTGGCAAAATTCTCAAGGCCAAGTACGAGAAGCTTAAGAATTCTTCCCATGCGATCCACATTTGTCACAATTCCTGTCGCAATGAACGTGGCCGAGACATTGATTGCTTCCGAAGCCAACTCGGGGGACGAGTCGGCCGCAAATGCAGGAGTAAGTGCGGAACCGATTTGAGCTTGGTACTGCTCGAGCAAAGATGCCTCGGCGAAATCTGGGTCTGGAGTCTTGCCAAACATCTGGAATACGGTAAGTTAATGTAATCAAACAGGGACGAAAGATACGTACAGTCAAGACCTGGTCAATGATCTTCAAACCCCATACACGCAGCTCAATAACATTAGCAGTCGATGCTGAGAATGCCATTCTCACGATATCGCCAACTTTAGACTGAAGTGCTAGCTCAGCTGGAATAGTTTGGTCAGGCAGAATGGCTTCTTGCACTGTAGCGAGAAGCTCAGAGAGACAGGACATGGCAAAGTTGCGGGTTTGCCATTTCAGGAATTCCTGACCTGCGATAGCTCCGTTCGTAGGGTCACCTTGACCATCTCCAGCGACCGCGGAGGCAAACCCAGCAACTTCATCGTCTGGAATGTCCGCCGCAGCTGTTTGGACTGCTGTATTTGGTGGGACTTCCACTTTGTTGCGAGTTTTGGTCATGATATTCTGGCAGCGCTGAATCCAAAGCTCGGTTTCTGTGAGCGCTGTTTGCTGCAACCATTCATGAATCATAGTCCTGAGGGGAACGTTATCCGGCGCATCATCGAATGCAAGCCAGACGTCGTCTTCAAGAGTCTCGCTTGCAGTTTGGATCACGGATGTAGCGTCGCGCTTCATCAGATTGCTTAGACCACGAACAGCAACGTCTCGCATAAATGAATTATTTGCGCGAAGCTCTTTCTGCAAACGCTTAACATATCCAGGAATATCCACATAGCTGGATGCATATAGAGAGAAGTGATCCAAGCACTTGGAGCTCTCAGTGACCAAAGCAGTGTTTTCCTCCAGCTGGAATTGGCGTAGAAGAGTAAGAATAAGGTTGCGGGTCTTTGCGATGTCTTGCAAATCTGGCCCAAGAACATTGATCAGCGAATCAACGCATCGACTAATGACAACAGGAGTCAAAAATGCCATCTCAATATTGGATGTCGCCAAGGCTGCGCATTCTTCATTGTGGGTGTCGGCATTGTAGAGCTGAGCCAGCATACCCAATGAGCTGGAGGCAAATGGAGAGAATGTCAGGCCGGCAGAGTTGGCCACTCTTTCCAGCCCACCAAGAGCCCAGAAATGGACAACAGGGTGCGGATCATTGCATAGAGACATCAGGACTCCAACAATCGTCTTGAGATGCAATCCAGCTGCCATACCGCCGACTTGGGAATGAATGCATCCAAGAGCAGCAGCACAGCCAGCTCGAGCGTTTGGCTCTCGGTTTGCAACAATGGTGTCCACAAGCCAATTGACCAGTGTATTAGTGCAGGCGTTTCCAGCACTATCGCACAGACGACCCAGTGCCTCCACGCCAATTGTTCTTATTATAGGGTCGGCGTCGATAGTAAATTTCTGAATGAGCTCCTGCAGGGTCTTTTCTGTCGATGCGTTCAACTTTCCAGCCACGAAGTCGGTTTCCTTAACGGCGACTTTCAGGGCATGCAAAATAGCAACAGCAACGTTGACACCTAAAGCAGCTTTCCGTCCAGGGTTTCTCTGGAGAGCCGGAGATGTCAGGAATGAAGCAATTTGCTCCACACTACTTTCTTGAATCTTAGGTGAGTGAAGAGCAATGGCAACCGAGAACAGATCAATTGCCGAGTTGACAACGCCGGTGGTCGGTGGATCCACCACGAGAGAATCGCCATCTCGCAGGCTGTAGAGAAGCACGGAGTCATGCTCGCTCGCTTGGCATACAGGGAACGTAAGGGCATCATCGACGACTTCATCGACTGAATCAATAGCAGACCAAGCAGGGCTATTTTCACTTCCATGGGTGCCTGACAGTGCAGCATAGATATACTGTCGGGCAAGTCCAGTGACACCAAAGCCGTAGTTATCGCACAGATCCCACAGGCCATCAAATTGGCCAGTTGAAGCTGCAATGGAGCTTTCCACGGGCCTGTACTGCGCATCTGGATCCGCAAATGAAGAAACAGCAAGACTGAGCAGGCTAGACTGGGAAATGATGTCACCATGGCTAGGATGGTGAACATGCACCAATTTTGAGAAACATTGCAAAACTCGACGGCGAACCATCGTGGTGAAGTCGTGTAGCTGAAGGGAGGGATGGAGACGTTGGGAGATATCTTCCATGGACTTGGGTCGTGGCAAGTCATCCAAAAACTCGACAGTGTTCTGCAGCATAGCTGCGATTCTCTTCGCACCATCTGCAGTAATGAGCTTGCTGTTGAACTCCATAAAAACCAGGAGGGCGCTCAAAGCACATTCACGCACATGGGCGAGGAAGCTCGTCTCTAAAGTGCTTGGCTGGGCGGAATTCTCCTTTTTCAAATGTTTTGGCAGAGCATTCTTCCATAGTAACATGAGTTGGGAAAGATGAATTTTGACGAAGCTCGGGCCGAGAGGCATCAGACCTCCAATCAAGATCCATGCAACCTGTATTTGCGTACTTGCAACTCGGAGCTCACACGTGCTGCTAGTCTTGAGAAGATCTGTAGCCTGGGAGAAGATGCGCGCAAATACGTCGACAGCTCCATAAAGTGGTTGTAGGCGGGAAGTACTCAGCATCGCCGAAAGGCCGTTTGCATACCCAACGCATCGACGAGGTGACTGTCGTGGTGTAGCAAGTTGCCCGATCTCCCTGTTTAAACTGTTCATGCAGATGGTCACGCAAGCAAGAAGTTGATAAGGGCATGCAAGCACGAAGCTTCGCAGGCAATGAGCAGTATGAATCTGGACTGTGTAGCTGGGATGGGGTAAAACTTGGAGCAAGGCATCACGACAACTATCGGCATGGACGGCAAAGGCGGATCCGAGAGATGAGATCAAGGACGACAATGTACTGACAGCGCTGGTCAACGTATACTTGCTGGGCTCGCGACGTTCTTGGACCACTTGTGGGTAGTCCTTCAGGATATAGTTGATGATCCATTTCGCAGCATTAAGCTGGCTGCTCTCCTGCAGCATCTCATGGCCAATAGTGTCTTCCAGAATGGTCTTCACAAACTTGCGGGTCATAAGTAGGCGGAATCGGTTGTACGTGACCGTCGGGTGGTTGAGCAGTTCAATAAGCAAGTTGGAGGCAATTTCCCCATATCGCTCCTCGACAATCTTATCTCCCAGGTTTCGTAGTACAAACTTGTAGCACATGCAGATGCCAGCACGCGTGCGGTTAGATGTTGTGCTCTTCAAATACTGCGAAGAAAGCTGGCGCAAGAGATCTGGAAGAAGGAAGAACAATCGAGATTCGGACTTCTTTGGCGCAACAGACGACTCTGACATTTCGGCCTCTTCTTCGTCTCCAGGTCCAAGGCCTGGCTTCTTAGACATCCTCTTCATCTTCTTGGACTTTGGCTTTGGAGCCGCCATGACATGCGTTTCCGTGGCATGAAGCTTTATTAACGCACGGCCAAGACAAGCCGCTGCAGCATGGCGAACCGGCGCAGTGGGGCTATCGATGACCTTCCACATCATGGTCTTCAAGACCTCGAAGTCGTTCACATTATCAAAGAATGGGGTCGTATTTATCAACTGTTCCAAGCAGCGGCATGCATGCACTTGAACGAACGTCGACTTGTCGCCAGTCGCCGCATTGCGCGCCTGCTTCCAAATATCGCGGGCAGTCGTCTCATCGATCGGGACACCGATGCCTACCACAATCTTGCGAAGCACAGAGAATATGACACCCCGCAGGCCCGTATGGTTACTAGCAGACTTGAGCAGCTTCAGCATGCCCGACGTTGCAACGTTGGACTGCATGAATGCGCTGTCACCAGCTGTAGCAAACACCTCACCCAGACAATGCGCCGCAGCGAATTTGACCTTCACATCTGCCTCGCTCTTGCTTGCATTTATAAGCCCAAGTAAATCTGTTATGGTCTCGAAGAGGATGCCGCGATCCCCTTTCGCGAGAATAGTACCGAAGCATCGTCCCAGGTTGTTGCGGAGGACTCTCGTAATCGTGGGGGAGGTAAGGGTCAAGATTTTAAACAATTCCTTTTTCAGTGATTTTTGCTGAGCTGAGAGCTGTGCGAAATCGAGACCACAGATGAACTGCACAAGATCGGAGGTGAATGTAAGCAAGTAGAGGTCCTGTTGTTCTGAGGGGAGAGCATGGAGCTTGGAGACATCCAGCTCCGGAGCCGCATTCTCGGGCGCTGTAGATGCAGGGGCGGATTCGGAGGAAGACATTGAGAGTGTTAAATTGAGGATTTAGCAATCCCCATAAAAGGATTGGAAAGGCAGTAAACACGAAGGTCGATGTATGTATGTGTGCCTCCTGATGCCCGCGGAGCGGAGGGCGGATAATCTGTCGGCCCGGTTTTGGAATGTATGGATTGCGCCGCATTAGTTCTTGATTGAGATTAGGTTAAACACCAAACAAAGGGAGATGGAAATGGCACTGCAATGGAGCAGACTACGACAACCCCGTGCGACTTCGGTCTGCAGCGCCTGTCGCAGGTTCAGCTCAGGCCCGGTCTCGTTCTCCGGACACAGCAAATGGTCAACGATCAAACATGACAAGGCGAAGAATGACAAGTCAAAGAGCAAGGAGCGCCAGATGGTGAGCAAGGAGATCAGCAATGCGACACAATGTACGTTCAATATCAGTCAAAACAAATCTTTTCTAGGTGACTAATCGCTCTTTCTGCGGTAGTATGGGGCCCCGATCCGAAATACAATCCTCGCCTCACCCTCGCCTTGACAAATGCGAAGCGTGCCTCCATTCCCAAAATAATCATTGAAGCAGCAATTGCGCGTGGACAGGGACTCAGTGTAACCGGACAAGCACTGGAGTCATTGACAATTGAAGCAATGCTACCCGGATCAGTGGCAGCAGTAGTCGAATGCCAGACGGACCAGAAGGCGCGCGTGCTACAAGACATCCGACACTCGATCAAAACGTTCGGAGGTACTGTGACACCAACTACATTCTTGTTTGAGAAGAAAGGCCGAGTTATCATGGAGAAGAAGGAAGGCTTGAATGCGGATGACTACTTGGATCAGGCCATCGAGGCTGGAGCAACGGATATTATCACGGATGAAGAGGGCCGCCTAGTCGTGTTCACCGATCCGTCGGAAACTAAGAAAGTCGGAGAGTTGTTCTCGAACCTATCGGGTCTTACAATTGAGGTATTGGAGTTCTTCTGGGATCCGAATCAGGATACCATGGTCCAGGTACAGGATGCAGAGCAGGCCGAGATTACCGGGAACCTTCTTAGTTCCTTGCGTGATGAACCAAGTGTACAAGATATCTATCTGAACACTTTGGACAAGCTTTAGGGTAACTGTTTCAAATTAAGCTTTGAGTCGGGTGTGGGTAGTACATCTCGAGCTTGAAGGTGTATATCTTGTACAATAGCCCTGGGGGCATAATAGAGGTACACATATATGTAGATATCATTGATAGGCCGGGAACACAAACTTGCCATGGCATTATTTGACAAACTGAACTTCAAAGGCTGGAGACCAACATTTGAACGATGTAAATCTGATGCTAGCACATAAGAATATCTCACGTTGAGCTAAGCAAATGCCAATCATTCCTTCCGCAGAGCTTTCATAGTACTTCTCATTAGCTCGCCCGTGCCCGTACTACCAACTGCATCTAGCCAATCCAGCATATGCACCCGGTACTCCTGCCAAGTTATCTTTGCTCCTCCCTCCTTTTCAAGGGCCTGCAATGCCTTCGGGGCAACCGGTTTTCGCAACTTAGGCCGATCCTCCGCAATTTGCTGATCATCTTCCAGATCTGCAAAGCAAGCCGCAGAGAGATTACAGAGCGCGGCATGATGACTGAGAGAGAATATCGAGGGCAATGTGCATTGGAAAGCGCTTTTATGGTCGTAGTGCTTAGCAGTCTCGTTAACATCGCGGATATAGTTTGTGAAGACCGATATGCTGGGCGCAGGTACAAGACAGGCGCGGGCATTGGGGTCCTCTGAGTTGAGCGCACGATTTCGCCATATTAAGTTGCATGCGTCCATAACATAGCCGTTGAACTGGCCCACGACTTTAGGATCGTAGAGCGGGTCCGAAGGATTGGCTGATTTGATGATTTTGGAGGTGAGGGAGTTTTCAAATGATGATTTGTATGCCGCCAGGATGGAGCTGAGGATTGAAATGACGGAGACGATGGGTGTAAAGGTGATTGTGTATATTGACGGGGCAGGGGGGACTGTCAGTCGGATGCCAGCATTCTCGGATGCATGGGAGAAAAGGTCTGCAAGGCACTGGTAGAACTGAAGGATGGACAAGATGGCTGGTCTGGAAGCTATCTGGCCATCATCTGAAACGGAATGAATTTCTTGTATCGCTGATGCTAAAAGCTCGGCATGTCCTATCAATTCTGCCAAAGGAACTGATACCTCTGAGATAGACTGCTGAGTTCGGAGCTTGACACCCCATTCATTGATCAATGCCGAGTAAAACTCAAGCAAATCCGTCCTGGAGGCGCAAGAGTCGTCCAACACAGAAGCCTCCAGCGGCCATAGTATTTTGGTGCGGAGCGAGTGGTATGCTTCAATTGGGAGGTATCGAAGTAGTCGCAGCACTTGTTCGCGATTATCTCGCCCATTCCAAGACTCAAGGTACGACTCCAGAAACGACTGGATCGAAGGTAGGAGTTGCTAGGTTCCGATCAGCTATTTGAATCCATCACACCGAAATCAGCTATCTTACCTTGGTGTATGCAGCATATCCTTCAACAAAGCCCAGCACATAAGATATGAGATCTGGTTCATCATCCTCGTTCCGCTCTTGAATATTCTCTAGCCTATCTTGTAGAAAGGCTTTCAACCACTCATCAAGCCGATGATTTGCAGCTTCAGACTGAATTAGATGGAGATATTTTTGAGCCATGCCATCACCAAGCGTTGAAATGATCTGGTTGGGCAATTCGATCATTTCTATCTTGTCAACAAAATGTTCGATACCGCGTAGTTCCTCTAGGGAAGTGTGTTTATTTGACACACGCGATGTTTGCAAAACAGGGATAGCGACTTCGATTCTGCTTCTTTTCACTGCACCCCGGTGAACAACTTGATAGCTTGAGCCTTGCGCAGCTTCGGCCTTTTCCAAATTTGCATTCTGCAGCACCTTTGCATGATTCGCCCATTCGAGATCGGGGTGCTTGAAGAACAGAGCAGCCCTTCTGGATCCACCTACATCCCCAATAATAATTTCAGGATAGTAATTTTTGAAGATCTTGAGTAGAGTCACCAGCTCTTTGTCTTCTCCACCCGCATTCTGAATCAGCTCCATCAGCGCCTGGATGCGGAATGGCTTTACATGTTTTCTTCTTGTAATCAGCGAGAGAAGATGGCAGAGCGGCTTGCGCAGACTAATCATGTCAAGATGGTTGAATAAGACGGCATAAAGCTTTCCAAGGTGAGTTTTGTCCTCGAGAAAATCGTATGTGAGGATCAGCCAGCGGACAAGCAGAGACTGCGTCGCCGGGCTGGGTTTGGACTTGCTTGGACCCAGAGAGGAGATGACTCGTGTGACATGCTTGGGTACGACACTGGCTTGTGGGTACAGGTTCTTGATGAGAGTGGTAGTGGTACCTTGGTCCAGATTGTTTTTTGTTGTCAGGATCTTCAACAGCCGGCCCAGTGCATCAGATGAAATGCCACCCTCATACCCGTTTGACGCAATCTGTTTAGCCAACTCCCCAGCATCCGCATATCTTTGCTTGGACGGGACAAAAGCAACTGGGAATGCATTAGTTTCCGCTCTGCTGCTTTGAATACTACTTTCCGGATGCCCTACCTGCTTCCAAATGCTTGACAGCATCGAGCAAGCTGCCCCGCTCATTACTTTCTGTAATTTATCAGTGGATGCTCTGATTCACAATATTATTGAATATTGAAAGATACCTGAGTCAAGGTCCATTGAGATTGAATGCCTGTAGTCCCGTTGTAAAAGGTGCTACTCTATTGTGCCTGTCGAGTGGGGGATGCGCGCCAGATCTTCAGCGCGTGCACACGTCGATTGACGCGCTCCAAGTCTGGGTGGCAGAAAAAGGCGCAGAGGGAAATTGAGCCAATAAAAATGATCAACTTAGACATTCATACAGAAACAATCAGACGGCCTTGGACAACGTTGAGTACCGTGGCATAGAAAGTAGAACGTGGGCGCGAAACGTCGAAGCCGCGCTTAAGCCCGATCGGGCAATCCATAACAATGGGCAAAATTTGCAAGTTCATCATCTACGACATCACTAACTTTGTTTTCTACATACGAAGCTATTCAAATTAAAAACAAAATATTATTTCAAATTCTAAAGAATAATTTTGGTCTCAAGAAATTCAAAATAGATAGTATCTTCCTTGGCAAAGGTGATATGCACCAAATGTCAGAAGGAGACTGATAACAGCAATACTCTTTATGGAGTCACTGTGTTTCCGGCTTTCGTAAAGTTGTGGTTCCCTAAGGAAAGACCGCTCATTTACGCTTGCGGGCAGGCTTAGACGACTTTGAGTCGACCTTGGAAGAGGTCTGAGTGGCAATCTCTGGCTGCTTCTCAGACTCGACGACGGGTGCCGTCTCTTCCTCTTCCTCGTCACTATCACCGCCCTGTCCGAACTCGTTGACACGCTTGAAGTCAACCTTGTATTTCCAGCCCTGATAGAGCCAGATAAAGAAGATGACATCGTCACGAAGAGTAGCCAGGCGGTGCAACCAAGGCATTTTGACCGTAAAAGCGAAAAGATCGTCGATGAAAGTGTTGAGGAACTTGTAGGCCATGGCTTTGCCGGGCATGTGCGCAACAGACTAAATATCTTATGTCAGTATATATATTAAACTATTTCAAAGGGCAGGTATCTTACCTTCAGTCGGTAATTGATATACAAGCTGGGAACCATCATGAGGAATCCGTAGGCGTAGACACTACCAACAAGAGTCTCGATGATGTACGAGTACCAGGACTTGTGAGTGTTGTAGACCAGGCTGTAACCAGCGTATGCCAGGAGCAAAGGCACTGCAACGATGTACAAGTAACGGAAAGCGATCTCGTCATACTCCTGGGTCTTCTTCTCAGTCTCGGAGAGCTTGTGCTTGTCCTCGAAGACAATGACGTAAGGCAGGAACGAGAAGAACGAATCAGCCGGCGGGGGACGCAGACGAACGTCAACAGTCTTGGTAACCTTCCAAGCCTCTAAAAGAATACCGAAGCCCTGGCTAGCGAGAATCATCCAAGAGGTGTTTTCACTGTTATCCATGAGGTAGAGAAAGATGACAGCCTGCATGAAAACATTGGCCAAGATCGTGCGAACAGATGTACCGACGTTGTCCTTCTTCTTGCGCCAGTGAGACTAAATTATTCGTGATTAGCAAGACAACAACATCGGTAATACAGTCCATCTTTTGAGTGAGCCCAGATTACTTACAATATCGTTCTTGAACGCCAGAGTCTCGAAGAGCATGTGCAGAATTGTGACCACACCAGTGGTGCACAGGAGATAGATGTTGGTATCGAGCAGGATCTCCTTGACCATCTCCCACTCAGTACCATCACCGCCACCAGGAACGGGACCACCGTGGGCAGCCTGTCGAGCACTCTGCTTGGAGCCCTCATCAACGCTGGTGATAATGCTAAACTTCCAGTTGGCCATGTTGTTGAGAGTGATGCGTAGAGGAACACTCTCAACAGTCGAATTCAACTCCGTCATGTGAGTGCGCAGCTGCCAGAAAGTATTCAGAAACACAATAGGATAGTACCAGCCATTCTTGCCGCTAATATCGCGAGCACTGGTACGTTCCAGCTGGACATACTGGCGGACCGCAGGGTGCATCTGGGCAAATTTCTGGGTGCCAGAATCGGGAATCAAGGAGACGGTGAAGTTAGGGTGGTAGTAGGAAGAGATTGAAACTTTGGGGGTATTGTCTTCCTCCTCCTCTACCTCACCGTCATCGGACAAGAGGTTCTTGAGCTTCTTGACCTTCTTCTTGGCCAGGTACTGGTTCAGGGGTCGCTGGAAGTGAACAGCATTGTCGCTACTGTAGCCCTTGGCCGCAGGATCAAGTTCATGTCCCGTGCGGGCCACAAAGAAATGCGCCCAGAGTGTACCGTTCTGCTGAACCTGCTTCGGTACCTGGATGGTGGTATCAATCTCACGGGTATCAGTGTAGTTTCCAAGGGTGAAATTCTTCTCCTGCAGAACGAGGACAGTTTCCGGGGACTTGAGTGAGGGCAGCGAGAGATAAGGTGTCACATAGATGCTAATGTCGAGGGCAGTATCGGCAGCCCAGATAGGAGCAATGATTTCCGGGAGAATGCTAGGATCGGCGACTTCGCTGGGGTCCGGGCGATGCTCAAAGGTAGGCATCTTGCCCGAGGCTGGGCTGACGCTGACATCGGATGATGCATTGTCCTTGTTGAAGAATCGACCAATCACGAATTGCACAAGGAGGAAAATTCCCAGGCCTTGCAAAGCGCCCTTAAAGCCAGACTAGATAGCATTGTCAATAAACCGAGACCCTCGGATCCACCTCGATAATCAAGACCACGTACGCTGGACGACGCCGCCTCCTCTCTTCGTTGCCTCTGTTCAGGCATGATGGGATGATTAAGGGAGAGATGGCAAAAGAGAAAGGGAAGAGGCCAAATCGGCCGGAATGGAAGTTAGCGGGCACGTCTTACCCGTCAGTCTGGGCCTGAGAGCTAGAAACCCAGGGAAAGTTGACGCGGGGGCTTGGCATTGGCGGTGGCTCAGTCATCTGTTCCCCTCCAACTCCAACTCTCCAACTCCACAATTGTCCAATCCTACCTCGGCAACGCCTATATACTTGTCGCGAACTCTTTGCGATCGCGCAATGGGTATCGCACTCCAGTGCTGGCGCTGACCCGATGGACAACCACCCTTCTCCCGACTTTCGCGCGCAGCAGTTCCCATCGCATAGTGAGCCAAGAGTATGGCTAATCACCGCCGGAGACTCGCCGATTGGCATCTCGGTCGCGCGGCAGGTCCTTGCGCATGGTGATTCCGTTCTGCTGGGGCTCGCGCATACAGTTCTGGATCGAGATCATCGCCGTCGGGATGGATTCGAAGCTTTTTTGGCTGAAATCGAGGAGCACAGCGACGAAGGATGGAAGGACCGGATGAAAGCGGTCCCTTTGGATATAAGGTGCGCGCGCAGACATGCCGGAGCTTTTACTAGTCCATGAAGAGCTTGAAAGCATACTAATTGCCTTCGTTCTATAGAATGATGGGTGAATGCCAAGCAGTTGTCGCAGAAGCGGCGGCGACATTCGGCCGGGTAGACATGCTTCTATGCTGCACCAGTCAAGGTAAAAACACCATGGAGTACATTCATGATAAATGAGAGTATCATTGACAACCTTCTAGCTTTGATTGGCACTGTTGAAGAGCTGTCGGCTTCAGCGCAAACCCTGAACCTTGTGCGCGACCAATTCGAGATCAACTATTTCGGTCCTTTGAACATAATCAAGGCTGCATTGCCACACATGAGGAGAGAGAGCAACGGCCATGTGATGATCCTTTCAGGAATCAGTAAGCTCCTCCCGCTCCCTTACAAGACAACTATATATCTGATAAATCACAGCGGCGCACATAGGCACCCCAGGCCTTGGAATGTACTGCGCAGCCGGTTGGGCTCTAGAAGGATTCTGCGATGTAAGCTTACGCTTTTCAGTCGCCAATGAGGTATTAGCTAATAATATATCAGAGCCTTGCCTTTGAGGTCGCACCCTTCAACATCAAAGTCACCATTTTCCAGTGCAGCATCGAAATCGGCATTCTCACCAATCTCGTCACCAGTGTGCCGCCGATCTTCCCAGCCTATTCACCATCAAACAACAGTGCACCCCTATTCCGCGGGATACTCAACCACCTCGTTCCTCGACTTCCGGACGCCCATTCCGAGGGCGTACAAAACCAGCCCACGTCATCCAGGAAAGACGATCCAGAGAACACGAGAGTCAGCTCAATTGAGAATGGCCCATTCTCTGTGCCAGAAGTCGTCTCTATGCACCCGCCGTTGAGTTCGGCGCACCTGGAGGTTCTGGTGGCTGAAACCGTATATGCCATCACATCCATTGGCGGCCATGAAAATCCGCCATCTCGTCACATCGTGGGACAGGAAGGTGTTGCCAGTGTGAAGGAGAAATTGAAGACAGTTAGCGAAGAGTTAGAAGATTTTATTCAGGCTAGTTTTGCGGTTGATGTTGCAGCAGACTCGGATCCTATGCCCCCAATCGTTTAAACTAGAGACCCTATTCGGGTCATAATCATACGGCTAAAATCTACGCAGAAGCAAAAATTTTTCTCCCATTTCATCTATACTGGCAATCAAGAGAAAGGAGATAAACGGCACTTCAGGCCGAAAAAGAAAGATATCGATAGGGTGCAAATGAACTACAACTTGATCAATCCACAGAGGCTCGGATTCAAAGTAATGTACATCGCGCGCTAAATCAGCCACACCAGTGTCAACGCCCCCAGAAAAAAAAAGCCAATGCGAGAGCATTTCCGCTAATTTAGAAGCGATACTCATTTATTTCGGGAGTACCATCTCTGGCGTACGTCCCAGAGTGAACCCATATCTTGGTTTCTGCGGTAGCAACGAAACTCTTGCCATGCATTCGCGGTGCGCTTGCCTTTTGCTCTTCCATCAACAGCCAAGATATGGCCGATTAGTGTCTGTGGTACTGTGATATCGTGAACGATGACCTCGTCTGGTATGCAGATCGGATCTTGAGATTGGGTATGAGCTAGGGGGTTGGTCGTTTGTACTTCAGCTTCAGGGTTAGGATCAAGTGTAGGATCAGAACTCGACTTCATGGTGAGGGGTGTAAAGTCGGTTGTAGTTGAATCCTCGGCTGCATTTGCCGCACTGGGAGATCCAGCGACAAGTGGAGGTTTTGGTGTTTCCACTGTCATGTAATCTGGGTCTGGTACAACTGTGCTGTCGAGGTTATGCATATCTGACGTAGGTTCTAGCCTGGGCTCGAGGTCTGGTGACCGAATTACAACCTGCACTGTTGACCGAGTTGTCCGAGTTGTCCGAGTTGACCGAGTTGACCGACGTGCGGGTATATCCATCGATTCAGTCTTGGGCTGTTCTTCGAATTTGGGTTCAACGATGGGGACTTTGGGTGGTCGGCCCGGTTTCCGCTTGACAGGAGGCCGTGCTGCAGGCTGGGGAACTGGGCGCTTCAGGCTGTTGCATGATGCTTTAACGGGGCTCATGATCACAACCTGTACCGTTGGTGTCTTTTCTTGTGGCTTGAAAACTGGCTCGCCCGGTGGACTAGATGGTGGTCGGCTCGAAATTGGACTATATGGCGGAGTGGAAAGCGGAGAGGACATGATAAGATCATTCTTGGTTTGGTCGATGCTGTGCGCTTCTTCGCGTGACACCTTGTCCCACTTTTGGCTCTGCTTGTGGTCGTTGTCCATTTGAGTCTCAGACCGGGCGATCTGTGCATCAAGGATGATATCTTCCTTGTTGTTGTCGATGACTTGAGCCTCATTTTCTTTCTGAGCTGAATCAGTTGATGCCTCCTCGGACTTGTTACTCAGGCTATTCGGCTCCTTGCTCGGACTTATCTGCGGTCCACCCCCTTGGCTTGACGATTCGGCTTTGGGGGATTGGGTGAAAGCACTTTGCAGAAAGACACGCTCTCCAGCCGGCAGTACGAATGACAGTTTAGAGCCATTGATCTTATGGACCTGTATAATAGTTAGTATAACGTTTTCCGACCACCCACCGCTCCGGGTAAACCATACTCTAGCCTCCTTGTCAATTACTATTCGATCGGCTCCTTTGCCGTAAACATAGTTGAATCTCCAAACGTCCCCGACTTGAATCACTCCTTCATTGACCAAAGTGACCAGCTTCACTCTGCTCGCTTCGCCCGAAGCAAGACTCTTATCCAATTTCTGTTTCTGGCCCCAGAACTCCTCATATTCCCGTTCCTTGAACGAGTCGAAGTCGCCATTCTCCCGCTCTTGTCGTGCCTGGTCTGCTTGCCGCAACCATTCGGGGTCATAGCGGCCATTGTGTAGGTCAATCTGGAACTGGCGGATGCAATCCCGCCAGTTGTTTGAATACCGAACAAAGGACTCAGGGAGTAGTGGAATCTTTGCACTTGGGTCATCTGCTGGTGGATCTGGGTTTGGGTGGGTATCGGCGGGAAGAAGATCTAGAATTTGGCGTTTCTCATCCTCATCCAAGGCATGCCACGCTGCAGAGCTGGCGAGGAGTTTCTGAACATGAAAAAAAAAAAAATTTAGCTCATGAATTGCAATCTGATGGCCTCCCCTGGGCATATTGGGACATACCACTAGGTCTGCATCGATCAAAACCGACTTCTCACTTGTCATTACCTGCTCCTCGCTCCACTTTCCCCGAGCTGCGGCTTTGCGGGGTGTTTTCTTGGTAGGGGACCCCGCTCCTGATCGTTTCTGAGGAGGCATTGTGTTGGAAAGACCCTCCGCTGCATCTGCAGAGCTGGGTGCGGTTTGTCTATAGCATGATCGTAGTTAGAAGTCAATACGCTCGTACACAACACCCAAAGCGGAGAGGTTGATAGCTTTACCCCGAGGGCTTGGTTCTGCCTCCCTTCACCGCCCTCTTGCGGGCCATTCTGGCCGATTGCGCAGTGATTCCTGAGCTAAACAAAGAGGGTTCCTAGCGTTCTTTCACAATTCACAGCCGGCAATATGGTGAAATCAACTCAGATTGCAAGGATTGACAGTATGTCAGGCCCTGGAAGAGAAGTAAAAGATGTTATTGCTAACGACTGGACGTGATTAGGCTTGATGCTGGCCGCCTCGGTGGATGATGAGCAGGTACGAAAGAGTGAACGGATGTTTGTGACTCTGGATGTTCACTGACAGCTTTTAAAGGCCGAGAGTGATCTGGCAGAGATTAAGAACCAAGCTAAAATGATATTTCGGCGCCTAAATCGCAATGCTGCGCCACAAGCAAGCATTGAGTCGGGCCAATACAACCTCCAGTAAGTCAACGCGATGTCTCAGCACAATGTACTTGGGTCTCATAATATTACAGCTATTTGATCAAGGATGACATTTGCTTCCTGTGCATTTGTGACCGCTCCTATCCTCGCAAGCTCGCATTCACCTATCTCGCTGATCTGGCCTCCGAATTCACGACCACCTACTCCCCCTCACAATACCAATCCCCCAACCTCCGCCCCTATGCATTTGTCGAATTCGACACCTTCATCCAGCGCACAAAAAAGCTTTATCAGGATAGCCGTGCCTCAGGGAATCTCGATAAGCTGAACGACGAGCTGCGTGATGTCACCCAGGTTATGACCAAGAATATCGAAGACTTGCTGTACCGAGGAGATAGTCTGGAGCGTATGGGCGAGCTGTCCGGCCGTTTGCGGGAGGACAGCAAGAAGTACCGGAAAGCAGCAGTCCGCATCAACTGGGAGTTGTTGGTGAAGCAGGTAAGACGATCCACTCTGGAATTCCTGATCTATCCAGTTCTCTGACCATATGACAGTACGGACCTTTCATTGGCCTCGGACTTGTGATTTTCATCTTCCTTTTCTGGCGATTCTTCTGATGCCCTATCTCTGGAGACCTTCCGTCGCCGGCGCTCCCTTGTATGATTGTATGCATAGTTAATAAACCCCTGGTGGTTGCAGGACACAATCCACCCAGAATTCACACATGAAGCACATGCAAACTGCAAAGCAGATACAAGAAGCTTTGTAGTCCAAAAAAAAACAATCTAGATTTCATCTTCTTCCTCATCAAAGTCATCCTCCTCGCCCATGTCGTAAAGGATTCGACCTCCTTCGCCAGGTCCATCTCCATGCTGCGCATCAAAGTAGGGCAGGACAACACCCTCTCTGTCACGCCTCTGTCGATCGGTAAGACCCAGCTCGAAGGTCGATTGGGGCTCCTCGTCGGCACCGTAGGCGGAATCCATGGGAGGATTATACAGAATATTGTCATCAAGAAGAGTGACAATCTCCTTCACATGGTTTGCAGAGTACCGTGAAGCAGGAGGCAGGAGGTACCATTCCAAGACACCTCTTCCGCTCTTGCGGCGGTGCTCCAGCTCGAGAACGATTCCTTCAGCAGCACCAGTTCCAATAAGCTTGTCCAGTCTACCTAGCAGAACACCATCTTGTTCCTCTTCAAGCCCAAAGACCGGAGCAGCCAGACTACGATCGCGCGCAGCCTTTTGGGCCAAGATGTGAGAGAATGAATGAAGCGTGATGATACTCGTGGCGAGATAAGTGAGAACAGAAAATGGAGATGGCAAGTAGGGATTTTGTGGCGGGAATCCTGGAATATCTTGGTGGTAGGTCACCACCAGTGATGCGTCGGATTTGAGTGCCGCCGGGTTGGTCGGGGCAATGAAAGCACCCAAGAATGATGGCAAGTGGAAGTAAGGGTCCACGGTCCTTGAGCTTAAGAGAGGGTTGATAGCGTCAATGACAATGAGTCGTCCTTTAGCATCGGTTAGCCTGGGTTACTGACATATAACGGGATGGGCAACAGTGATACATGACTACTCACTCTTTGTGGGGCCAGCCGATGTGACGGGCTGATATGCCGCAGTCACTTCTTTGATAATTTCAGCCGGGGTTTTGCGACGAGTGTATACAATTGCGTCACAATCGTCAGGTCGCTTTAACGTCTCAAAAGCGACAAGGGTGACATGAACTTTGGAGAGCTGCGCAAACGGTTAGCATTACAAGCCTATGTTCAAGGATGAGATTTGTTTCGAATGATATTGATATATGTCGTGGATTGAAACATATACTTGCCTTGGCGCGTCTGATATACTCTTGAATGAGGGGTGTGGCGGGTTGCTCCAATGAGTCCAAGAGCAGTGTTAGCGGGGACGCGGTGTCTCTGAGACTCAAGAGTTTAGATATGAGGAGCAAATTATGAGTTCTCCGGTGAGACAGATTGACTGGAGCCATTTTGATCGGCGAATTAGACTTGAGTTGGCTGCTGTTGGAAGATGAGGAGGTTGAAGTGGGGTTAAGCTTCGTAGCAAAAATTTCGTGCAATTTTACAGTTGAGGCTCGACGGGCCGAACCGCGAGCTACATACGCATCAAATTTAGGCCATGCGAGATGGCGTTCACTTTCCTTTTAGTGCCTACCCCTTGACGCTTTTGGATGACCGACTAAAGCTAAGCGCGACAGGGGCAGCTAAGTCGGCGATTACCTCGATTTAAATGCACCACGCCAAATACAGTCTTCCACCCGGCACTCTCGCGTCTTGACCCTCCGACAAAAGGCTGGCGATTTCAATATGGCCGTCAAGCCTTGCTGTTTGACCACCGGCTGGATCCGAGTTAAATTCTGCGCCCGGGATAAAGAAAGGCTGAGTCGTGGCTCCGGCAAGAGTTATGAGAAACAAAGAGCTAAGGCGGGGGCGGTAACTCATCGTGCGATGCGACTTTACTGGTTGGTTTGTTCAATAATGAATGAAAAAGTTTTCTCCAAGCAACTATAGCGTTTCTGCATGAATTAAGCCTTGTTTGCGGTGGAGTCAACGAGCAGTCCTCGCAAAGTAGATAAAGCGAGGTAGGTCAAAGGCTTACTGTATCCAGGCACGCTACTTATCAGGACTTCCCTGCTGTCTCCACCGGCATACATAGACCCAGTGCACCAAAAAGGCCATTCTCATTCATATCAGGAGAGCCTAGGTTGTCACGAATTACAAAGCAAATCAGCCCAAGGTCTTCGATGTTCAGACCGCAGGCGAAGCCAAACGTCTATCATGCAGTTTCCAAAATTACAGATGGGACTAGCCGGAAGGGAAGACCGGTACAGTCCATATCCGACGCAATAGTGTGAAGCTGCGACCAATCTCACCCTCGAATTCGTCAACGAGGCCAATTTAATTGACTTTGACTTTGATGCTCGGTTTTCCCTAATCGGATACGTCCGAGGCCATTGCAAACATGGTTCATCCTTTCAGCTGCGTATTATTCCAGAAGACAGCTCATTCAGCCCAACAAAGCCACTACCGAGAGGGTCTCTACAAGGGTCTTACGTGGCTCGTCCACATTCTTCCAAGGTCTATAGGTACCATACTCTCCAGCACCAATTCTAATAACATAAAACTGGGCATTTGAGAGATGAAAAATAATCTGAGTGATAAATTGCTTTGAAAAACTCCCTATGTTTTTCGCTAAAACTGTTTTACAGTGATGAACATTTGAACAAAACTTTGGAAAAACTGCAAGGCAATTATATAGAAACATAGTACTACAGGGCTATTGCAACCATTATAAGTCCGAGAGATTGAAAATATTGATGTTGAATGCCTTTTTTCGAAGCTGAATGAGGACGTCCTGAGGTTGAAGCAACATCTGAACGTTAACTAGTTTGTATGCCCATGAGCCCACTAGTGATCTGAAAGAGCTTAAAATTTGTATCCGTTGCAGCCATAAAGTTGAGGGGCTCATAAAAATGGCAGAACCAATATGTCCTGTTGAGTTTCTGGACAGAGCAAGACAGTATATAAAACTGCATTGTAGGTTTATACCCGCAACCGAAATAATCTGGCAGCCAGAATAAACTCAGAGCCGGCACCTGGACAATGGACAATCTCCATTACAGCCACTTGATACCCCACTCTTGAACTTCACAAGAAGGATGCCTAACTGAAAGTCTGAATTGTTCTCCATTAAAATTTCTGGAAACGCCCAACGTCCACTTCGATCCCTCCTGACTTCACTACACAACCACTCGCGCGAGACAGCTTCTTGTCTTGGGCACCAACCATGACTGAGCCTCCAGCAAAGCGACCCCGTCGCGTCGACAGCAATGCAATGTGGGAAATGAATGACTCCCAGACTCGTCCCACAAACTCAGGTGCAGAGGCGGACCAAAGGCGCTCACCTGCGCCCCGAGGCTCGCGTGAAGATCGTCGATACAGGTCGCGCTCTCGAGACCGAACAATCACAAGGCGAGAACGGAGCTGGTCTCGAGATCGCCGCGACCGTGACAGAAGGGACAATCGAGATCGGGATGGCCGGGGGCCTAGGGAACGAAAGAGGAGTACTAGCCGAGACCGTGGCCATGATCGTGGCCAAGATCGAAGAGGTAGGCTCGGCTCTAACCAATGCAGCAACCGCTGTGTATATTCCAAGTAACTCTAGCTGACAGTAATCTCTAGGATATGCACCCAAACACGATAAGTTCCGCGAACGTTCTCGCTCACGATCACCCGCTGGAAACGGTTCCCGCCCAACCCGATCACCTCCGCCTCGAGGAAACAAAGATGACCGTCGGCCTGGTCGCCGAGAGCCCCGGGCCCAAGGAGATGGACGGAAGGCCAATGGCGCCAATGCCAAAGAGGAGGAGATGGATATTGACTTCAAGGAGGATGCGGATGAAGACGAGATGGAAGCGATGATGAGAAAGGCTATGGGATTCAGTAGGTTCCGAAGCACCAAAAACACCAAAGTACCTGGGAATGATATCTACGGTGTGCGCAAGGAGAAGAAGACGGAATACCGCCAGTACATGAACCGTACAGGCGGTTTTAACCGGCCACTCAGCCCGTCACGATAGATGCTGTTTCCCAACATATGCTCATAATTGTTTCATTATTGGTTCGAAGGTTTTGCCTGTGCACCAAATCGACTGGAGTTCCATTCCTTCAATGTCTTCATGTTTTCCTAGCACAATGCATTCTCGGAGCATAGCAGCCAGAAGTTATTTATCAAATGTGTGGCAAATACTTGTGATTTCAATTCTTCCTATGTATCGAGTATTGAATATCGAATATCGAATATCGAATTAATATGCAGTATGCATTGTCTTTTTTCTCCACCTATCAGAATTCTTACAGGTTATTGACATGATTACAGTACAGTATGAGCGCTGCACATGACTGGACATGCCCCAACAGAAGTGACGTAGCCGTCGTTCACTGAAACCGGTGCTCCAACTCCCTCTTCCTACTACCCGTCAAAGTGACTTTGATCCGTCCTCTGGCTTGCAAAATTGCGCCGATATTTAAGATGTCAGCATCTGGAGACCGTCGAGAAATTGTCATTGTTGGTAAGTATAGACCGTTTGCGCCAAACTGGTACCCCGCACCCCAAAGCATGCTGATCAAAGGCTTTTCAAATTAGGGGGTGGCATAATTGGATGCTGTTCCGCCTACTTCCTTACAAGACACCCTTCTTATGACCCAGCTAGACACAAAATTACAATCCTCGAAGCCTCCGATATTGCCGGTGGAGCGTCAGGAAAAGCTGGAGGGCTGCTTGCACAATGGGCATACCCGGACAACCTAGTGGGCCTTAGCTACCCACTCCACCAGCAGCTTGCAAAAGAACATGATGGCAAAAATAGATGGGGGTATAGAGAAACCAATTGTGGCCAGCTGGTCGTCCGAGGTCGCACCATGGCAGAAATGACCGAGAAAGACACCGGAGATGAAAAGCATGAGTCTCTGCAAAAGCGTAGCGCAGCCGCCATGTCCAAGCTAAAGGCCGCAAGGATCCCACAGGATCTGGACTGGATTGAGCCTGATCTCCTACGAGCTTACGAGAAAATGAGCGGACCAGGCGAGACGGCCCAGGTGCACCCCTACCTGTTTACTACATCAATGGCGAAGCTAGCCGAAGAAAAGGGCGCAGAGATCATCCTTGGACATGTCACAAGCATTGCGCGTCCAAACGACCAAATCGAATCAGTCTCATATACTGACAAAGCAACCGGAGAATCGCACACAATTCCCGCTACAGATGTGATTGTCGCGGCCGGTCCGTGGACTCAAGCTGTACTTCCAGAAGCACCTATCACAGCGATGCGCGCACACAGTGTTGTCATTCGACCAACAAGACCGATCAGTGCATATGCCTTGTTCACCAACATTGAAATTCCGGCCAACTTCAATCCAGCCAAGAAGTCCCGGCCAACTGTAGGCGCGCCGGAGATCTACACACGTCCCGATGACACAGTGTACGCCTGCGGCGATGGAGACAAGACTGTGCCGCTGCCACCGACATCTGCTGAAGTTGAGGTGGATTTGGAACGTTGCCAGGAGATCATTGACCACGTGAGTAGCATTTCGGATGAACTGCGGGGTGGTGAGGTCAGTGTACGCCAGGCTTGTTATCTGCCCAACTGTGCTGGCCCCGGAGGACCATTGGTGGGCCTCACTCATACTAAAGGTCTCTACTTGGCAGCGGGTCACACATGTTGGGGTATTCAGAATGGCCCTGGAACTGGGAAGTTGATGAGTGAATTTGTATTCGATGGTCAAGCTAAGAGTGCGAAGATCGCGTCTCTTGATCCTCGCGATCAGCTCTAATCTGGTCTTGCCTGATCCATGAATACTGCGCATACTGGGTTCGCATACAGTACCTTCATATATATATATCAATCTTAGTACCGAATACACATTTAGACAACTGCACTTCCAAAACAACAATGACTGTTCTTTTAAGCTGAATTGATTGATTAAATAGGATGACCACTCAAAAGTTTAAATCTTGGAACCACCTACCTGTCACTCCTAGAAAAATATCTATTAATACTCTATTTCGTTGTTCTGGTCCATATTAATGGCCGAATCACAAGCAACGGCAAGGAAGCTCGGGCCACGTCATTGCGGAGAGAACAGCTAATCCCCGAGAACTGTCCACATCTTCAATGTCCCCTCAATCGGATCGATGTTACTGAAAAATGCACCTCCGGATCACAACTCTCCTCACATCGCTTCTCTATGCGACGGGGACTCTTGCAACCCAAGACCCCAACGATGTGTCCGTCTTGATTAAAGAGGCCGCGCGTGCTAATAACGAGTCGCTGCTATGGGGTCCCTACAAGCCAAACTTGTATTTCGGCGTGCGTCCCCGAATTGCAAACAGTCTTGCTGCGGGATTGATGTGGGCAAAGGTGGATAACTTTGCTACCGCACAAGGAAGTATGCTTTTGGTTCTATCCTCCTCTCCAGACTCAAAGCCAAATCGCTTTCAAGGGTTCGTTCTGCGCATGTTTACTGACTTCAATTGCACTGTTCAGACTTCCGACACACTTGCGAGCAAAATGAAGGGATGGCTGGGTACGGATGGGACGAGTACGATATCCGCAAGGGAGGACACCAGACTATTCACGATGCTGGAAATAACTTGGACCTTACTATCGACTTTGTCAAAGTCCCCGGTGGCCAGAATGGTGGCAGCTGGGGATTCCGGGTGAAGGGCACTCCACGTGAAGACGGTGAACCGGACCAGCCTATCTCGATGCTGTTCTATACTACTCTGGAGGGATTAGGTCAACTGGGCGTGGACATGGATAGCGTGGGCGATGCTCCTGCGCTCGAGGGCGACGTCAGGTTGAATGGTTTCTCTTCCGAGCTTGGAGACTTCTCTATTGATGTTACCACTGGCCCAGATACCAATGATTATTTCGAGCATAACCACCCGAGCTATGAGGCGAAGCCTTTGGGCAAGGGTATTGTGTCTAGTCAGACCGTGCGTCAGGAGGACCTTTGGCAGACTAAGGGTAAGATGCGGTGAATGTCCTTTGTATGAGCTATACTGACCAAAAGTAGGACTTATGTTCTTGCAAATGAAAGAGGAGATTGAACCGACCATCAAGGAATATGGAACGGACAATCCCCCACCTCCTGCTCAGCTGTTTACTGTTAAGCATCAACCCGGCGATGGAAACGTTCATTTTGTCCAGAAGGTTTTCACGGGTCCTTTCGAGGTATTTTGAATCGGCGCTGTTCGGCAAAATTCCAGTGGCTAATGGACCTAGTTCGATGTTCTTTTCTCATCTGGCTCTGCTGGTGAGCCCCTCACATGTAAGTCCTGATATTCTTATTTGAATTCCCTCTCGAGATTACTTCTGACAAGCTTTCTAGCGGAGACGATTACCAAGGAAATCAAGGAATCCTCGCTATCTTTCTCCGAGAGATTCAAGCAGGTGCTAGCACCGCAGGTCCCCTTCGACTCGGCCAAGTACTTGGAATTTTCCAAGGCCATGCTTTCCAATCTGGTCGGCGGCATTGGCTTCTTCCACGGCGACAGTGTCGTCGATCGGTCCGCGCACCCTGCCTATGAGGAGGAGAACGAGGGCTTCTGGGAGGAAACTGCAGAGGCTCGCGCAATGGCCAAGCCTGTCATCGAGGCCCCCAAGGATCTCTTCACCTGTGTGCCCTCTCGTCCATTCTTTCCTAGAGGTTTCCTCTGGGACGAAGGCTTCCACCTGTTGCCCGTAATGGAATACGATTCTGACCTTGCGTACGTTCCTCACTGCACCTTCGAATACGTTCTTTACTGACACTCCCAGCCTTGAAATTATTAAGAGCTGGTTCCACCTGATGGATGACGAGGGATGGATTGCCCGCGAACAAATTCTCGGCATGGAAGCTCGCAGCAAGGTGCCACCTGAGTTCACTGTACAGTACCCCCATTACGCCAACCCGCCGACTCTCTTCATGGCCCTAGAAGCGTTCATGGACAAGGCACTGGGCAACAAGAGCCTCCAGTCCGAGAGTCTCGATACGAGCGATGTCGCTGAAAGCCTCCGGACTGCAACTCTGCGCAACCCCGAGCTGGCCGATGCCTACCTTCGTTCCTTCTACCCCCTGATGAAGAGACATTACAACTGGTTCCGTAACACTCAGCGTGGAGACATCAAGAGCTACGATCGTGAGGCATATTCCACCAAGGAAGCCTACCGCTGGCGCGGACGTTCCGTTCAGCACATTCTGACCTCCGGTATTGATGACTACCCTCGTCCTCAGCCACCGCACCCCGGTGAGCTGCACGTAGATCTAATCAGCTGGATGGGCATGATGACCCGCACATTGCGCCGCATTGCAGAGACGCTGGGTGAGCAGGAGGATGCCGAGGAATTTGCGTACCACGAGAATGCCATCTCGCGCAACATTGATGATTTGCACTGGAACGAAAAGGAGCAGACTTTCTGCGATGCTACCATTGATGAGTTCGAGGAGAGCGTGCATGTCTGCCACAAGGGTTATATCTCCATCTTCCCGTTCCTGACGGGTATGGTTGGTCCTGAGAGTCCCCGCCTGAAGGCTATCTTGGACCTGATCAATGATCCCGAGGAGTTGTGGAGTGACTATGGTATTCGCAGCTTGAGCAAAAAGGATAAGCTCTACGGCACAGAAGAAAATTACTGGCGCAGCCCTATCTGGGTTCCTATCAACTACTTGACAGTGAAGAGTCTTTATGTGAGTATTATTCCCTTGAGTATTCAATTTATGTCAAAGGCTAATTCTTCTATCCAAGGCTATCGCAACCACTGATGGTCCCCACCAGGAACAGGCCCGTGAGATGTATTCCAACCTGCGCAAGAACCTGGTGGAGAATGTGTTCCGTGAGTGGGAGAAAACAGGATTTGCCTGGGAGCAGTACAACCCGGAGAGCGGCGCTGGCCAGCGGACACAGCACTTTACCGGCTGGACCAGTATGGTGGTGAACATTATGTCCATGCCAGATCTGGTCGTGTCGGCCAAAGCCCATCACGATGAGCTATAGTCAATTCGTGGAGATGGATGTAAAATAGGGGGCATAGATTAGACCGAAGATTATGTCATTCGCATGAGCATATAGGCAAATCATTGAAGTCGAATGAGTCACTTGACTTTGGAAAGAGTTATTTCATTATCATAGCGTCGTATATTAGTGTCGCCGGTCAGAGTTATCACGATCCTTACGTCGCTCGAGATCACGTCTGCGGTTGGCTGGTGAATAGCTTCGATCAGACCGACGTGAGTAGCTGCCCTCGACTCGACGGGGTCTAACATTCTCCTCAGCCTTGTGACCATGACGGCTCCGAGATCGCGAAGGGGCCCGTCTCTTCTCGCGATGGTGTTCTCTGGCACTTGATCGGGAACGTGATCGAGACCGGTGCCGGTTGCTGCGGCGATGATCACGATCGCGGTCCCGCTCATCATGATGATTGTGATGTCTGCGATGTCTTCGTTCTCTGTCGCGATCACGACCACGGTCATCACTGCGTTCGTAGCGCTTCTCTCGGCGTGGACTCCGACTGCGTCTGCGTCGTCGGCTCCCGCGCGATTCTCCTTCCGGCTTCTCAACGCCCGTCATGTCCTTGTCTTCGTCTTTCTCTACCATTTTCCCTACTCCTCCCAGTGGCACCATGTTCGCATTTGCGTCGCCCTTCGATGGTACCGGTAGTCCGAGTGCAAGGGCCATCGCTTCCTCTTCCGCATCCTTGACTCTTTGTCGTTCTTCGCGCTCCTGGCGGATTCTTTCTTCCTCATCATCAATATCGCCTTTCGCATACCATTGGAGATCTCGACCTTGCTGCCAGCGGCCTACCGGGGCCATCACCGAGTGGCCCAGGTAGTTCTCGCGATGGGTGGAGCCTTGAACATCCGACCATTTAAACTCGGTGCGGCCGCCACTAAAGTAAAGTTAGCAATGGGGAAGGGTCTCAAGATCAGAAGGAAAACCTACCGGCTGCCTTCCTTGCGTACACCTGCAACCAAATCCATGATGATTGAGCGGATGGAGGCAGTTCAAAGAAGGTTAAGCTATGGACCTCAAACGCGAAGGCGGTGACGGTGCGGAGCTAGCCCGTTACAATTGGAATTAGCTAATGGAGCTAGTCCAGACGCGGGAATGATTTGTCAAACTGCTCTTCTTTTGTGGAGCTTATGAGGGGTGGATAGCCTCACCGATGATAATGCTTCTGTGTTGCCGGGCATGACCATGTGTACTCCTGCACCTCACCCCTTTTCGCTTTTCTTCACGTCCCAGAGGCTCCCCGGCAATGATCACGTTAATTCCACGTTCCCCCTCCGCCCTCACCCCCACGCACGAAGTACCTTTGTCGCCTGTCCCCCACTGCTTGCATCCACCAGCCCCAGCTTGAGGACCACACGATGTCTAGCCGCGAGGGCTCCGATGAGGAGCTCTTATTTGATGGCAGAGAAATTATCAGGCCCCAGGTTCTTGCGCTGAACGTTGAGACGCAAAATGACAGGGTAAGTCTACCAAAATTCCTCACGTGGGGTCAAGATACTAATGAAAGCAGTTCTCCCTGTAGGTCTTGCGATGTACAGCTAGTTCGGACGTGCCAATACTGACGAAATCAAAGAAAAAATGACCAGATTGCGCCGACGATTGCGACATGGAGGTCTAATTTGGTAAGGCTACCCCGGCCGGATCTCCAAGCTCTCCTCCGTTCTAGACTGACTGTTGATAAGGCAGCTTCCTCACAGAGACGAAACATATTGTTTGCGGCATATGGCTCTGATATCTACGTCTGGGTACCGACGGGGCCTTTCCAGCTTTTGGGCACTGACCCCGAGATGATCATCCGTCCTGTAATGGAAAATCCGGTCGCAAGCGGATATATTGATCGATCAAATCCACATACTATCAATAATATTTTGGTGGACGACCTTGGCCGGGATGAGATATTATTGCTTGTCACCGACTCCGGCAATGTCTGCGCGTACCATGTGGAATCGATATACTTCGCAATTACCCGATGCGCCAGTCGGGGAGACAAGCGACCTTTCGACGGCTCAGAGGTAACACCATTCTTTGTGGAAAATGTCGGCATGAGTGCCTGGGGGCTGGCAACGCACAAATATGCTCGTCTTATTGCTGTCAGCGCCAATACCGGCCAAATCACGATATTCGCATTCGCACTTGTTGATTCTACGTTGGCCGACGATAAAAATGGACCACAATCTTCCTCGGATCAAGATCTTGATCACCTGGATCGGACATGGGTCCACATACACAGCCTGAAACAGTTCCGGGAACTGCGGGAGTTCATGCCGGTTAATCATCGATCTCGAAATTTGCGGCTTACTTACAGGGGCCACTTTGACAACATCCCATCCATTTCATTTGCGAACTTTGATCTGGATCCCAATGGAGAGTGGATGGTCAGCACGGATATAAGCAATAGAGTTATAGTCTGGCGAGTCTGGGACAGCTTATACCCAAACCAGGTATATTACCCTGGTCACCCTGAGAACAATCCTCCTCAAAGGGGCTGGACTGTGCTACCGCTGGATCCACGAACCTTCAAACGCCACCAATCGAGAGAAGAGGCATGTGGCTGTGAACCAAAATTTGAGATCATTGGGGAACGAACAATCCTCGATTTGTCAAGAGCAATTGAGGAGATCAATGATGCGTCCCAGGTCTTCATTTTCGGTGAAAGCGAGCCGAGGGCTCCAGAGGATTATACACTTCCCAATGAAATATTTTCCGAAAACCCACCTATCGGACAGGATCCGAAAACCTCTGAACAAAGCAACACCGAACAGGGTGCTACGCGCCACGATAATTCAGACACAGATGCCGACTCAGAAGACGAATCCAAATTACCTCATGCTATCCGCGATAACAGTCGATTATCAGGTTTGTTCGAAGATGACAATGAACACTACCGGATTGCACCACACCTGCATTATTCCTGTGTCAATGACCAGCTCTCTGACTCTGATTTCGATCTTCTAAAAGATCAAGCTGTTCACCGTAAGGACGCTCTAGTAAATAACGCACCGCAACATGACCTAACTAATACGATTCATAGCACGCTCCCCATCTTTTTTCCCAGTCATCCACTTTTCCGAGCATCACATTAGCCTGGCATCATACCCTTTGGATTCCGAATATCACTTGTTGTGCAAAAATCCCCTTGCTCAACGATCATCCCCCTCTATCGACATCCACTCCGCCTGTGACCGCTTCAACATGGTCAAGTACATTCCAGAAGCCGGTATTGTGGTTGCCGCGTCGCAAAAGGGCCGTGTTGCCGTCATCTCCTTAACCTGGCAACAGGAAATTGGCTTCGCCTTCCGAGTTGATTGGATCGTACCTTTTCTCACCCAAGAATTCCATAATCAACGCCCTGTGATTCCTTTACTCGGCCTTGCCGTGAGTCCCATGCCAGGTTTTGAAAACCCACCGGACGTCCCCTGTGTCCCCCAGGGAATCGATCCGGCCGACTGGCTTTCTTTCAACTATCGATCCCTTGACGCGAACGAAGACGACGAAGCTCCATCCCAGCCATCTTCATCCAGCACCTCATATAATCAAAAGTCAGATCTTGTATCACGTCCCAATCCAACAGACCAGAGCATGTCAAGCTCGGACTCTGGTCCTGAATCAAAATCAAAATCGGTGTCCGAGTCCGAACCTGGATCTGAATCGGAGGCAGATAAATCATCTGATGATATTTCAATCTCCGACCGCTTCAGCCATGAACATACCCTGCCCGAGCTTCACGCCCAAGCTTCGTCGGGCTACCGCCCCGATGAGCCCTGGCATGGCTCGCATCCCTCCCGACACTACCGCCTTCTATTATTGTATGCTGATCATACCGTGATGAGCTACGAGTTCTGGCGCGACTGGAATAGTTGAACAAAAAAAAGTATGGACATTGATCTGCCGGGCTTATCTAAGGACTATTATATACGAGTATGATCCTGAATAGCCTATCAAACCTTGCCCCCCTCCCCTCTATGCTGCTTCTGCATCTGGAATGTATGAATATGAGAATTACTGTTACACCAAGCTGTGATCTCGAAACTAGATTTCAAACTGGAGGACGCTGTCGACTTAAGACAGCGTGCCTTGTTTTTATGGGTTGAACCTACAGAAAGGAATTCTGACCATACGCTCGTAAGTTCTTAAATCAGAGTCTTGGTCTGTCAAGGTAAAAAAAAAAAAAAAAGCAAAAGAAGCATAATGAGACATGAAGAGTGGAAATTATGGATAACAGAACACTGAACCAGTCGCTCCATCACCTAGACTCTAGGATTGAAAAAGACAGAAACTGTTAACCGCCAAGAATCTTAAAATGGAAGACAGGTGAACTGTGGTCAAGAAAACAAATGCGAAAGATAGGAAAGCGAGAAAAGGCTAATAGAAAGGACGAACAAATCTGGAAAGAGACAATCTTTGTACATTAAAACAAAAAAATCCATGTACCGGTATCAGTGTCATTGGATTCATTTCTCATGCAAACATCAAGGCTTGAAAACGGCCTGCACCCGCTAGTAGTAAAAATAAGGACAAGAAGCAAAACATGGAAATAAGAGATCGGGTATCAATTAGAGCGAAAGCACCACCAGCCAGACCTCAAAGGTCAGCTTCATCCAGCTCGTCGCTATCCCATTCATCTTCGCGATCGTCTTGTACGAGCGCTAGGAAATGCTGTAGACCAGCTTGCCATTCCAGATCAGGACGAGCACCGGGAGCAAGACGAACAGGACGGCCAGGAAGAGGACCAGGACGACCTGGGAAAGGATGGCGGCCAGCAAGAAGAGGGCGAACGCGGCGTCGGGGCCGTTCGCCTGCTTGCCTGATACGTACTTCGGCGATGGCCCGAGCTTGGGCTTGTCGCTCTAGTGCTGCGGCACGGGCAGCTCGGCCTTGGTCATCGCCGGGGCCTCGTGCTGCGGCATGAGGGGGACGAGGTGGAACAGGTGCTGGGGGTGGAGGGCGACGACGGAGATCAGCTTCATCGTCGCTGAAGTCGAAGTCCCAGACTGGAAGTTCATTTTCGTCATCGTCGTCATCATCATCGTTATCATCATCGTGTAAACTGTTATTGTCGTCGTCTTCATCGTCGAAGTGTAGTAGGTGTTCAGGGATACGGTGCAGAGCCTCCGCACCCACTGGGTTGAGGCCATCGCCGCCCTCCAGATCCCAGAGACGATTAAAACAGCCGTTGTTGCCATTGTTAAAATGTTTATATGGATTGTCCACTGGGAGCCAGCTGGAGCAGAGATAGCAGAAGTGGGTATCGCATTGGCGGCAGCGCATGTGGTTGCAGCCCATAAGCTTCTGACAGGGCACGTTGCAGGTCGGACAAGGAGATGTGTAGAGTCTAAGGTATTCGTCGGTGGCCTTTTCTTCCTCGGTCCTTTCTGCGACGCGGCGGGGGTAACAACGGACTAGCACACCGTGCCAATTACCTCTGCAGACGGAACAGAAGGCATAATTGCAGTCTTCACAGATAGCAACACGGTCAGCAGGAGGAGGAAGCTGAGCCTCATCCCCTGTAGGATCGAATGTGAGATCTTCTTCTTCATCAGACGATTCAAGGTCGTCTGCCATCGGGTCCAATGGTTTTGGATGCCGTTTTGAACGCGCTGCACCTTGACACCATTGTCGTGGACAATAAATGGTGGTCTTGTCGGCTTCAATCTTCTTTTTACGCTTGAGCAAGACGTATCGTTGCACGGTTTCTGGTGCTAGTGGGATCTGGAGAAGTTCATTGGGTCCAAGGGTTGTATCGTGCTTCTTGCGCCGTGGGGTCTGGCCTTGACTACCAGGCGCAGGAATGGGAGTCATGTTCTTATCGCAGTCTGGTGCCATACATTTAACGTTGTCGACATCGCCCTCTGTGATGGACGTGTTGTAAAAGTCTTGCAGACATGGGACGCAGAAGACGTGGGAGCAGCGCAAGAGCCGGTGGCAATTCACACCTTTCTTTGGTTCAAGACAAACCCCGCATTCAAATGTCTGCTGCTCAAAGTGCTCGCGCTCCGCCTTATTGTTGAAGTCTAGTAACGCAACTTTCAAGTCTCGCGATAGAGAAAGCTCACCATCCGAGGCGTCTTGGATTCCAAATGCTGTTTCAGCTAGTTGATGTAAATGGTCGATATATGTGTATACAACCATATCCTGACCGCATTCATTCCATAATCGTTCACAATCTTCCACCAATTTTGTGAGGGTCGAAGGAGAAAGCCATCGCGGGTGGGTAGTGAGATTCACCCGCGGGGGTTTTTCGGAGGGGTATCCATCAGGTAGTTCGATTTCAAGATTAAGCGGTGGTAGATGCGATAGTATATGCACATCTCTGACGGCGGCCTGTTCGAGATCGGCTTTGGAGACGTCAACGGAAGTCGGTGGTGTCAGCGCTGCGGGGAGGCCGCCGTCAAGCGGTTGCTGGAAGATGACACGGGTTGGCGACGGTAATGTGACTGGTAGGTCCAACACAGCCTTGAACGGGAAATCCGGATCAATTTTCGTCTCTGGAAAGATTGCGACGATCGAAGAGAGTTCGACGGAACGATCGTCTTCGGCGGGGTCTTCGGCTTCGGTCATGGTTGCAGAGTCCGGGAAACTGAGGATCCCGGGCCCGGGTTGATGGAGATCTGATAATAGTAGAGTTGAGTCGCGGTCGCAATGTCGATAGGAACGACCTTGACCAGATGTGCTAGTCCTGGATGGTCATACCTTGCGACGTGGTCGGAGACTTGTAGGTTTTGGAAGATTTTTTGGATTGCGAGCGTGGGATGGGTGGTCGTGGCCACCAAAAAAAAAAAGTGGCGACCCTCGGGATCGGGCAGAAATGGGATTTACCTGCAGGACAAACTCTTCAGCGAAACAGAACGGAAGAAATTACTCCAATCATATACCACTCACCAGTCGATCAAGGAACTCTGGAGCAGAGTAGCCGGAGGTGCTCCCGAGTGTTGAGTACTGAGGGGTCTATCAAATGATGTAACAGGAAAGCGGGAGTATATAGAGATAGCGACTGCGTCATTGTTTGCTAGCAAAAGAGTTCACGTAAAGGCAATTTGGGTGTAAACAGACAAACAGTAGCAGTGAACGCACAGAGAAATGAAGAGAAAGAGAAAGGAAAGACAAGCGAAAGAAAAAGGAATGCCACAAATGCAGCCCAGTCTTTGGTGCCTAATGAGGGTATTTTGATCTGGACTTAAATGTGTGTCGCAGTTTTCTTTGTATATTGTGTATTTTCCTGGTATGTATTCAGGGCTAACAACCATTTCTTCCCAAGTCAATGCCTAGTTACCTACAATAAATGGATACCTATAGTAAGTAACAATACTCTGTGTACGAAGTATTGTACTCTATACATGTTTGTCATGTTTGTTACCTTTATCTTATCATGAGCCTGTGTAACAAGTGGCCCGTGCTTTCCTTGATTCTTATTGTTGTTCACTTCGCAAGTTTCCAAGCTACGTTCGCTCTCCAGGTCCTCACCATGTCTGATACACCTCTGGCTTCCTTGTCTCTCACACATGTCCACTATGTGAATATCCCCGCGGTCTCAAATATAGCGAATAAAAGCTAAACATCAATACAGAACCCGGAGGATCCCCTGTCGTTTGCATCGGCATGGCTCGCCCTCCTGCCTCAGGCGCTCTGCGTCTCATATACCACTTTAATCTGGGCAACCAGGGAAATCGAGGTCATTTTGATGTTTGCAGGGCAGCTGGGCTGTGAAGCATTGAACTTTGTGCTAAAGCGTCTCATCAAGGAAGAACGACCAAAGGGTATGTTGGAATGGCTAGCTTGAATTTTGGCACCACAGCATCGTACATATACTAACACCAATCTCTTCAGAAATGTTTGGCAAGGGCTATGGAATGCCCTCCTCACATGCCCAGTTCATGACCTTCTTTTCCGTCTACCTTACCCTCTTCCTCCTCTTCCGACACACTCCTGCCTATGCAACCTCCTATCCTTTCTTGGGCACTTTGCTGAGAGCCGCTGTGACCATGATTCTCCTTGCTGTCGCAGGTGCGGTTGCTGCTAGCCGTATCTACCTGAACTATCACACTACCCGTCAAGTGCTAGCGGGCTGCGGAGCTGGTGTGGTGTGCGCCTTTGGCTGGTTTATCATCACTGGCTTGCTCCGTCGCTGGGGATGGATCGACTGGTTTGTTGAAATGACAGTTGCACGTCTGCTACGTGTGCGTGACCTGGTGGTAAGCGAAGACCTAGCTGAGGCCGGCTGGCAGCGATGGGAATTATTGAGATTGAAGCGCCGCAGTGATGTCCGCAAGTCGGAGTAGTCTCCGCAACATTTTTGCTTTTAGCTAGAGGTGATATTTTTGACTGTGAATAGTAGAACATACAAGGACATATGAACAAGTGCATTGCGCTTGCAATCATCGTGAACCTAAAAATCGATTTACATTGTAAAGTTAGTTGACGTGATACTATATCGGGTATAGCGTCAATCACGTGAGATACGCCTATCTCCCCAACTCCGCAATCGACTTTCGGTATACCATTGGCTCTGGCTGCACCATGACCCAGCCCCTTGAGGCTTTCTTGATCAAAAGTGTTCTATCCAATTCCCTCATTATCTCCTAATGTCTCTCGTTCTGTGACCAGCCAGCCAGCCTCTCCTTTCTGGCGATCCCAAAGGTATTGACGTAAAGAACGGCCCCCGCGTCAACACAAGATAACCCTTCCAAGATGGAAATCTCACCAGAATCACGCGACGCGACAATGCCAGAAGAGCACCATATTGTCAAGGCCGATGAAGTCGACCAGACGGGAACCGATATCTCGCCAGTCTCCGATGACCAACTGATGGAGGAAGTGGCAGAGGAATTGCGACAAGAGCAGGTACAAGAGCAAGCTGCTGAAGCTATGCATACCATTGGATCGGATGATGCACCGCCAGAAAAGAACATGAAACGACCTGAGTTGCGTCGAGACAACCCAGTAGCTCCTCCACCGCCGCTCCAACCACCTCCACCAGCCCCGGTACAGCAGAATGCGGAACAAGCCACGGACTCTCTCAGCTTGGCACAGTTGCGACGACTTGTCCAGGAGATGCCGAAGGTGGAACAACCGGCGTATGCGTTTGAGTATGCGGACTCACAGGCATTCCCCGAGGAATTGGACGAGTGGTTCCAATACAACGATTTCGACCGTGTCATGTTGAAGGGTATGAAAATGACTTTTGATCGCCAGTGGAGCATCTTCTGCCGGAATCAAGAATCACAGGCCCTAGATCTATCTTGGGTGGATGCCTCAGACAATCAGCGTCGAAAATTCATGGTACAGTCTCTCGATAAGCTACAATACCCTGAGATATCGGTACGGATAGAGGCTTTGGAGAATATCTGTTATGCTGTGACAGGTGTCTGGGGCCTCACTGCTGGAAGGCCTATGCCAGACTATCCCACAAATCCAGACACTAAGACCGCTGCAGAAACACCGCGGTCAAAATCGCTACAGATTGAATGGATCGAAAAGAACGTTTCACTCATTCAGCAGTGCGCAGGAATTCCGTTGCTGGTTAAGAGGCTGTCAGAATTATTTGGTCGCGCTCGTCACTCACAGACTGATCAAGATGGATCGGAGTTTGAGCGACTCCACCCTGGCGATATCCCCGCACCTGAACGTGAAGCCAACCTGGTGCTGACATTACTGTATTTCTCGATTGAGATCGGCCGTAGACAAGAGGCCCGAGATCCCCAATTCACTTTAATCCGTGATGCATTAAGCGAGTCGGACCCTTGCTTGCTGGTTACCATTGTGGAAATAATTGCACGACTTCGATGGGACGAGACCGCCAATATTCCTCTCACTCGCATTATCCTTCTGCTATGGAAATCTTTGCTTCTGGTGTTTGGTGGCAGTGCTCAATTGAAGAAAGCCAAGGAGTTGTTGGAGCCATCTATGTCTCCTGATGAGAATTCCATCAGCCGCAGAGGGCCATTTTTGCATGCATCGCCCCTCGACTACCACCTTTTCCGCCAGGAAATTACGTCCAAATACCCTGCCTATAACCCTCCACCCCCCATTGTTCCTCTAGAATTAGAGAACAATTCTATCTTACCGCCTTTTCCACACCATCCTGCCAGGGGTAACACCTCTAGCGGTCTGTTTTGTGGAGTCGGACCATCCATTGCCGGCGGAAATGGTTCTATTCTTCAACAAGCTGTTCATATTGCAACCCCGGCACCATCTCCGCCTCCATCACCGGGTGGCCCTGGAGGCAAAGGTGGCAAGAAACAAAATTACCAGACCAACCAGAACTTTCCCCTAATGTACCCTCCCTTAGATGACACTAGCAACAAGATTGGTGGCAAAGGTACGACTGAACGCCAGGATGTTTTGGTTGGAAAACGATGGGAAGGAAGCGATGTTCCCGCTTCAATTATCGAGGCTGGCCGACTGTTCTCTACTCATGTCAAAATGGCCCGGGCGATGAGACAGCTGTGGGAGGAGCGTGAAAACTTCATGAAGTACGACCGAGGCTGGAATCTATCGCCCGAGGATCTACGTGACGAATTGGATCAATTGAATATGTCCTCCGACCCTGAAGCTTCCCAGACCAGGAAATCGACAAAGCAAACAGATGATCCCGATACGCAACGACGACTGGATGCCGTGGAGAGCTTCTATGTAAGCTCACTGCTCGCGCATTGATCTGTCATATACTGATAGTTTATTCGCAGGCTCAAACACTGGTCCACCTCCAATCGATTACGATTGTCTTTTTGAAGATCATTCTGACCAATGTCAGTGCCGTGGTCAACCAGGCAGCTTCCCAGACTATGAGGTATGTCTGTCGGTACTCTGAAAAACACAATAAGATGGCTTCTGACATTTCTTACAGCAACGGGCACGGTCTTGATGGATCTTCGACGGAGCTTTTCTCTGACGCCTCTGTCGACGAGCTTGATAACATCCGGCTGCGGGAAATCACCTCCAAAGCCGTTTCTGGCACTTTACTTCTTCTCGTAAAATGGTTCAAGCGGTCTCGTAAGTTTACCTCGCGTGTTCAGTCTATATATGGTTACTAATGCAAAGTAGACGTTTTAAAGTTCGAGTATATGACCCAGCTCTTGCTAGACTCGAACTACCTGCCATTGATCCTGAAGATGTTTGCTCATCAAGATGTGGATCAAACGGTGGCGCAGAAAAACGACCGTGATGACCTGTCGTATGTTTTTCTGCTCACATAATATCCGATTAACCCTGCTGACATATAGCCAGCTTCTTCCATTTTTGCCGCGACAATACCGATCATGCATCAGGTATCGATGAGCCTGATTGTGGAGACACCGAAAGCGAGGATGAAGCCGCGCCGCCACCGATCTCCCGAAATCGCCCTAATCTGTTTCGCGCAAACACCTCGGTGCGTAACCTTTCGCCCGAGGAAACTGCCGCCGGGTCAAATGGCCCTGCTAGGCCCGAAGTCGATGAACTAGGCTACCCCACAGCCCCTCTCCCCAAGGAGCCAATAACGGTCTTCTCATTCCGCAATTTCTTCTCCGCCATTAATTACCTCCACATTATGCAAAAGATCACGCGCGACAAGGCACATCGCTGTCTGCTTCTTGTGCAGTATAAATCTAGCACAATTCTACGAAAGGGCCTTAAGATTCCTGACCCCCACCTCCGATTCTACACACTCAAGCTCTTCAAATCACAGGTGCCGTACTGCGGCCGAAAATGGCGACAAAGTAACATGCGCGTTATCACCGCCATTTACTTGTACTGCAAACCCGAACTGCGGGATGACTGGCTCGCAGGTTCGGATGTCGAAGGTGACGTCGAGGTGGCTTTGCCACTGGAACAGGCTCTTCGGGGACTGACGCACTGGTGGCATTTGCGTCAGTACAAGGGTGTGATGGGTGGCCCTGAAGGTACCGCCATTATGGAAGAGGAGCGTGATTTCTTCGTTCGTGAGCTGGAGTCGATGGGCTGGGGTTTTACTGATGACATGGTTGGGGATGAATCGGATATGAGTAATCCCGTGATGAATGGAACGGAGTGGGATGGTGGATTGCAGACGGAAGGCTGGTCATGATGTGCAGCAGTGGAACATAAATGAAATGCATATACCCAGTTATGATGAGCATTACCTAGTTTCTTCTGTCATGAGAATCATCAAGACATTTGGTCCACGTGGCATGTCGGCTGGTAGTTCCCATGACCCTTTCCTCTGCTGCGTCTCTCCTCTCATTTCCCCAAATTTCAATTTTTTTGATTCTTCCGTCCTCCCATCAGACTCGGTATTTCCCCACGCTCTTTAGCGGAACCAGCGATTGATCAACAGTTCAACGCCCTGTCGCCAACCAAGAGGAAGAAGCATGATTCCTTGCTATATTCTTCCTGGATCTGGTCAACGATATCTGATGCTCAGTGAGTATGCTCCTCTTGACAAACATGGACATCCTCTGGGCGCAAGCATTTCATGGGAGCTCATGGGCAGAGATGAAGACAATTGAAATACGATTTGAGATTAGGAATATCAATAAAATCATTGCATGATGCTAAATACATACTAGAAGGTAAATCAAGATGGTACTGAGGCTCGAATATACGTTCTCAATTTGGTGCCATAAAAGTACTTGATCATATCTGCTGCTAGCTACGTTTGATTCAGGATCATTGCACGTAAATCTTTTTTGTAACTGTATGTACACGTATTAAAACATACTGAAATGGACCGTGCGCACCTGGCCTGGCCCCTGGAGGTAGGCATGCGAATAATTTCATCCCTCTAGTGGACCATTATAATATTCTTTTCTGTGGTAATTCTCCAAAAAATACATCTTTCTGCTATTGATGGGTATATTACATAAGCATATACATGACGAGTGGACCACTCACCGCACGCCTATCGATAAGCATTTCACGTGACCATCAACTTTTTTTTTCATCTCGATCAACACCTGGGTAACGGCTCTTCAGTGTACACTTCACCACCTTAGCCCACCATGTCCGACGAAATTGTCTGGCAGGTTATTAACCAGCAGTTTTGCTCCTACAAACTCAAGTGAGTCACACTTACACGTTAATCCTACCCTTCGAATCTTCTACAATCTATCACTATCTTTGTCCCAACTCGCAAGCATCTCAAATTTTCGAGTCTATTCAAAAAGTCCCCGACTAACCACTCTATCACAGAACAACCAAAGGTCAAAACTTCTGTCGCAATGAATACAACGTCACCGGTCTCTGCAACCGGCAATCATGCCCTCTCGCCAACTCGCGGTACGCAACCGTCCGCTCCGACCCCGAGACAGGCGTTATGTACCTGTACATGAAGACAATCGAGCGCTCCCACATGCCCAGCAAATGGTGGGAGCGAGTTCGCCTTTCTTCCAACTATGCCAAGGCCCTCGAACAGCTCGATGAGCGCCTGATCTACTGGCCTAAATTCCTCACCCACAAGTGCAAGCAGCGTCTCACACGCCTGACGCAGGTGAACATCCGCATGAGGAACATAGCCAAGGAAGAAGACCGCCTGGGCGAGAAGATCGTGCCGAAGCTTGCGCCGAAGGTGCGGAGACGAGAGGAGACACGTGAGCGCAAGGCTCTTTCGGCTGCCAAGGTTGAGAGGGCGATTGAGCGGGAACTGATTGATCGATTGCGATCCGGTGCCTACGGCGACCGACCGCTTAATGTTGAGGAGGGTATTTGGAAGAAGGTCTTGCGTGGACTTGAGCGCGCGGGTGATGGTGAGCGGGATGAGGATCTGGATGATGGAGAGCTCGAGGAGGAAGAGGAAGAGGAGGAGGGTGTTGGTGAGGTAGAGTACGTTAGTGACTTGGATGAGGAGGAGGATCTCGAGGATATTGAGGACTGGCTGGGTGAGAACTCGGCTGATGACTCGAGTGACTTGGACGAGGACAGTGATGATTCCAGTGATGAGGATGAGGAGAGTGATGATGAGCAGAAGAAGCCCAAGCCCAGTGCTAAGCGGAAGTATGCTGCTCCTCAGCAGAAGCCGAGGAAGAAGGGCCCCCGTATCGAGATCGAGTACGAGACCGAGGGTGCTGACCGTGATACTATTATGGCTTAAGCTTGACTTTCTCTGGGCAATTGGGAAAAGTTTGATTGCATGGCGTTGTCGGTTTGAAGGTTTTCCTGTCTTGTGTGTTCTACTGTGATCGGGCATCATACCCAGCTATCGCATTTACTGCTCGATGAATCTTGTCAATACGGGTTAAGACACTTTATGGGCCTGTTATTTTATCTTTAAAAATTTATTATTTTCCAACTTCATTCAAGCCAACCGTACTCAGTCCCAACTTTCTGGACGGATTCCCGCGTGTTGTCCACGATGCATATGCGTGAATACTAGCCTCCAGGGCTTCTTTTTTTGAATTATATATCTTTGGTGGAAGCGTGTGTACCTTTTGAAGCATCGAAGCCACTGAGTACATCTTACAAAGAGCCCGCCGCGAACTTGGAATTAAATGACAAATACCCCTGCACGGGCATATAGATGGTCATCAATCAATAAAAACACATAATGCAGGACGAGCGTGCAGGTGCAGAGTGCAGGCGTAGGTTTATGGTGCCAGAAATGAGAGCAAAGGCTAAAGAATGATCCATTTTCATCGGATTTTCAAATATAAGTCCTGCTGGCCGAGTGGTTCAAGTCCCTCAGGCATTCATTTACCTTAATTTGGTTGATACTTGAAGGCGGCTGGAGAAGGTTCCCTGTTTTCTTTCAATGTTTTTTTGAATTCCTAGGCGTTCCAACAGGTAATACTCTGCATCCTGTCGGTCAAACACCGAGATGAATGGAGAATGACACAGCTTAACAATGTGTATATCTTACCAGTTCAAGTTCCATGATATCCCACACCTATGCGGGAAGCTCTCGACCATTATTGCCCATTTTAGCCCATCTTTATGCTCGGAACGAACTGATTCGGACTGGCCACCTGGCTTGTGATCGGCGAAAAAGCCTGTGGAGGACCGAGTGCCTAAGGCGAGTAGAGGCGGAAAGGGACATTGAAAGTGGTATATCCCATTCTAATCAATAGCTCAGAGAATGAATTATTTATCAGGCAGAGTATATTCTTCTCCGCCAACCCAGACTTTCAAAACATTTCTAGTCGCAGTGATATTCTCCAATGGGTTGTCTGCCACCAGCACAAGGTCAGCCCGAAGACCTGACTCAATGCGTCCTCGATCCTCCAACCCAAACACCCTTGCAGGCAAACTGGTAGCAGATCGAAGAGCCTCTGTAGTCGACAAGCCACATTCAACAAGAAGCTCGAGCTCCTCATGCAAGCTGGCACCATGCGCAACTTGCATAGGAACACCCGGCGCCCGATTAGCATCCGTGCCAGCTAAAACCGGAACCCCAGCTTCATGAAGAGCAGCCACGGTCTTGCGACAATTATCATACTCTGCTCCCCGTCTCTCACAAGCCCCCTTCATCTTGACTAGCGTCGGGACACTAACACGACCACTCTCCACCATCTGCGCGATCTCTTCACGGGTCATTACTCCATCCACAGGCGCGTGCGTAACAATATCCACACCGGCACTTTGCGCCATCCGTGTAGCAATCGTTGTAGCCGCATGCGCAACAACGAGCTTCTCATGCTGATGCGCATTTGCCACTATAACGTCCATTGTCTCTTGGCTTAAGCCCGGAAGATCAACAATGACCTTGATGTAGTCAGCGCCCTCGGCGATGCGCGAGAGCACAAACTGCTTTCCTTCAGCCGGGCTCGCCACAACGGCTTCAGCAGGCATACTGGGGATCTTGCTATGGGCGCTTCCAGGACCGCATGCTGGGATACCACAAGCCCGAATGTTGGTCACGCCTTTCTGATTGCGAGAAGAGTTTAGGCGCTCGATCGGCCAGGTAGCCATATCAAGCGCAGTGGTGACGCCGTATTGGGCCATAGTGGCGAGATCATCAGGACCCATCATATGGATATGAGAGTCGATGAGCCCAGGCAATAAGAAAGCACCTTTTGCGTCAAATATACGACTTGCGACAACATCCGAGGAACCAATTACTTCACCATCGATATTGACAGTGGTTGGATCTTAAATTTCTCGCCTTCAAATACACGGGCATTGATAATAGCGGAGATGGTGGTGGAATTCGGCATTATGATATTAATAGGTATGATGTTGAAGGAAGAAAATCAAAGGATCTAGTCAGCCTGCATGGAGGTGATCACTAATTTATTTTAAAGCCAGAGAAGGCGGGTGAAGCGTTACATTTTAAAGGTTATTGATCCTCATTTGTGTAGGTATGTCGCTATGCCGGATTGGTAGCCATAGTGCGGGGAAGAAGGGACCCAGCAGAATCCACCAGTTTGCTATCTAAGCTTGGGAAGGGATCGTGGTTATATATATATTTACACATGTTCTTTGCAGCCTTCAAAGGTACAATTACGGGGTGCTTCACCTCCGAGATCGCACATGTGCATGCATGGGTGATAATAAGGCTCGGAAATCACAGTACCTACCTATGTGGTCCCCGATTTTGATGAAATTAAGGAGAATTGTTAGTGTAAAACAGATCGTCGGATCTGTTGATAGTGTACCGTGCGCGACATCGGGAGTTGAACAGACCTGCATATTAGCTTGTATAGGATAAAGACATACAGAAAGTTAAAATACCAAGCCGGGCTAATGGAGATACCAATAGATATGACACAGTTTGAGACTTCCGAGTGTGAAAAGACAACGAGAAAATGCGAGTTGGCGCTATGTATAGAATCACGTGCTCCGGAGCCGCCTCTCCTGTTTCACTTCGGGTTTCGTCTTTACCTCCGCCACTCAACTTGCAGGAGCCGGCTCTTGTGCGAAATACCTACTTAATTATCTGTGATTCACCAGCTTCTTAGTTGGACAATTCTTACAATTCTTTGGCCCTCGCACCGAAACCACGACAACTACTGCACTACATTCCCGCAGAAAGCAGCTCCGCATCCATTGACCCCACCCCTCATTCAAGCTGTTCTTTCACATTAGCGTATAGCTGGGCAATCAACCACCCCAGACTGCGGAACCAACATGAGCTCGTACTTCTCTTCCCTAACATCCTCATCCTCCATATCCAATGTCATCGGTTCGCGGCTTAACAGCCTCCGCCGCGCCATCACCGTAGGCGACGAAGCGGACGACCCGGAAAACGAAGACTGCTCTCATATTTCCAACGCACTCCGCGCCTACTACATCGAAAAGGGACGTCCATTCCCTGCATGGCTTCCTCCGGACCCAAAGGCGTCATCGGCCTCATCCTCCCGTGTCGTCGCGACCAGCCAGGGCCAGGTCCCCGCTGGTGCTAACTACGGCCGTGGAGGCGGTCTGGGTGATCTGTGGGGTGACTCGGGTTCACCTCAACCTCCACCTGCACAAACAGCCAGTCTGCGCCGAGGTCGAGGCGCGGCCAGTGTTCCTCCACTTACGTCCAACAACAGCTCGTCCTCAGGCCCCGTGGGTTCGACTGGGTCGCCGCTCACACACGCCCAGACAACGCCTGTCATTCCAGGCTCTCTTCAACCTGCTGGAGCTCGGCCCTTGCCTAGCCAGCGAGCTGGATCATATCAGTCAAATCAGACACGGATGAACTCTGGTGGATCAGGTGGTTCCGCGCAAGAACGGCTGCGGGCACGGTTGCAGGGAGGGCGGTCTCCTAGTCCTGCCAATCTTGATCCTAGTGTACGAAAGCCTGTGGGAGAACGCCGATGGTAATGTGGTAAGACAGAAGGGGAAGCTTGCATTGGATTGATTGCATAGTCATGAGCATGGTGTCGGGAGTTTTCATTCTTTTATCTGACCGTTGTACATACAATCCAATTGACCAGACTTGACTTTTGACCCACTTCCAATTTCGCGTCGGAAAAAACAGGAATAATGCCCGTATTTTCATTACTACACAAGATATATGCAGGTGTCAGGTGATTCCTGTTCTAGAATCACTTTCAGCCTCGCTCATTCTTTCCTTAACAATGATATCATGGATTCTGCGACGATCTGACCATACTGAGACGCCAACAAGTTCCTGGCCATGATACGCGAGCGCCGGAATGACGATGATTGGATCTGCAATTTTGATTTTTCCACGGACTCGTATATAGGCTAATTTCAAGTCTTAGATCCCGCTTGGCCAAGCCACCAACCCCACGCCCCCATGCTTTTGGCCAGCGAATGACGCCCTCGGCTTGCGAACGGGAAAATCCCGCAATTTCCACACGGTCAAGTCGCCAAGGGGGCGTAGACTAAAAGCCATGGGCAGAGATCCCGTAAGCTCTATCCCGACCATTTAAGAAAACAACCCGGGAACATCTCGGGATCCGGTTCCCACGTCTCCACTTCACCCCGAGATTTCTCTCCCCGGCCCGGAGATACCTGTGCGCTGAGTGGAGGGGAATTTCACCGAGAAGTCACCGACGCTGGAGTCTCCATGGGGAACCCCAAGGTACTGCGTAACGCCCCATACCCTGAAATCGGACACTCTCCGAGACTTCACCTCATGTGACGCGCCTAGTTTTCTCATTAATCGGCAAGATGACATCGCCGACTTGTCTCGGGACGTAGTCGGCTTTGTCTTCACCCGCACGAAGAGCTCCACTTGCCAGGCCGACTTCTGCCCAAATTAACGGGAAGCCGGGAATCTTCGAGAAGTGCGATGCCGATCGTGGATGCGTGGTGACATCCAATACAGCATTCTAAGGATCAGGGCGAGAATCGCCGCCACGCCGTGTGCCCTGGACTGCAACCTTGGAACTTAAACCAATTAAGCTTCCGTGGGCTGCGATTCGTCCAAACGCCCGATGAACGAATTCCCCGGCCTGTTTTCCCCTCTCCACATTCTCCCACCCTTGTCAAGCACGCAGATGGATACTGATACGGACAGTCTTGACCAGGTTTGTGCGCCGGTGAGCCCGCATTCTGTTTCCCCTCCAAGTTTCAATCCGTTTCTCGTGGCCCCCGGATCCCGTTTCTCCACAGCCGAAAAACTTGGAGTACATACTCCAGACACGAATCAGAAACACGGGACGGATCCCCAGCCGGCTTTTAGACTTTTAGTTTCGCCGTGAATTGGTTGTTTCCCCACTTTGTTTTTTCTCTCTCTCTCGTGCGTCAGTCGTCGCCAAAGCGTATTTCCGCCGTACGGGGTTGATGTGGTCTGAGAACTGACGGGCTTCAAATACTCCCTATTCCCCATTCCTGGGTTTCAATTTTTCTCTAGACGTCCTTTCTTCTCCCTTCTATTCATATACCCACTGTGTGGGACCCGGCTGAGACGCCCGGTTTAATTATTATCTATACACTTAGTTCCGTCTTTATACAATCTCTTGCCCTAGAAGGGCTTTATTTCCATCATGTCTGAGCTCAAGGATATTGAGGCTCCTTCGGACATGCACAAGGAGGCTCCTATGGCCCTCGAGATGGACCATGTGACCGATAAGGTCGACACTGAAGTCAGCGAGGCGGTGATGGATTCCGAGCTACAACTGCTCGAGGAGCGACTGCAGGCATTGCCCAAGCCCAAATGGGAGGTGACATTCTCTAATCCGGCTGTGTATACCTACATGCTGGTGGCGTTCGCTTCCATGGGAGGTCTTCTCTCTGGTCTCGATCAATCGTTGATCAGTGGTGCGAATCTGTCCCTCCCCACTGCTCTCAACCTTAGCTCCGGCGAGGCTAGTCTGGTGAATGGTGGTATGCCGCTTGGTGCTGTTGCTGGTGCCATCTTGCTGTCTCCTTGCAACGAATACCTCGGCCGTCGCATGTCTATCATTGTCTCTTGTGTCCTGTACACCATTGGTGCGGGCCTGGAGGCCGGTGCCATCAACTTTGGTATGATGTTCGCTGGTCGTATGGTTCTGGGTGCTGGTGTTGGTCTGGAGGGTGGTACTGTGCCCGTCTATGTTGCGGAGTCTGGTAAGTCTTTTTGCTTTCTTTTTCTGTCGTCCCAAGGTACTCTATACTAACGTTTTTCTACAACATAGTTCCTAGCAAGATCCGTGGTAACCTCGTTTCGCTCTATCAGCTCAACATTGCCCTTGGTGAAGTTCTTGGATATGCCGTCGCCGCCATGTTTATCGGCGTTGAAGGTTCCTGGCGCTACATTCTTGGCTCTTCGCTCGTCTTCTCGACTATCCTTTTCGTCGGCATGCTCTTCCTCCCCGAGAGCCCCCGTTACTTGATGCACAAGGGACGCGAAATCGAGGCATACGGAGTTTGGAAGCGGATTCGTGGTTTCAACGACTACGATGCCAAGGACGAGTTCCTTGGTATGCGCCAGGCCGTCCAACAAGAGTGCGAGGAGCAGGCCCAGACCAAGAAGTACGCCTGGATGGACTTCTTCACCAATCCTCGTGCTCGCCGCGCTCTTGTCTACGCCAACATGATGATCTTCCTCGGCCAGTTCACCGGTGTCAACGCTGTCATGTACTACATGTCAACCCTCATGGAGGCCATCGGCTTCGACGCAAAGACCTCTGTCTTCATGTCCCTCGTCGGTGGTGGTTCTTTGCTGATCGGCGCCATCCCCGCTGTCATGTACATGGAGCGCTTTGGCCGTCGTTACTGGGCTAATGCCATGCTTCCCGGCTTCTTCATTGGTCTCGTTCTCGTCGGTGTGGGTTACACCATCGACTATAGCAAGTACCCCGCCGCTGCTCAGGGTATTTACCTTACCGGTATCATCCTGTACATGGGCTTCTTTGGTTCCTACGCCTGCCTGACCTGGGTCATTCCTTCTGAGGTCTTCCCCACCTACCTGCGTCACTACGGTATGACCACCGCTGATGCCAACCTCTTCCTCTGCTCCTTCATCGTCACCTACAACTTCACCCGCATGATGGACTCCATGAGCCGTATCGGTTTGACCCTCGGTTTCTACGGTGGTATTGCCGTGCTCGGCTGGTTCTACCAGATCATCTTCATGCCCGAGACCAAGAACAAGTCTCTCGAAGAGATCGACGAGCTCTTCTCGCAGCCTACTTCTGTTATCGTTAAGCAGAACATGAAGCAGACTGCCCAGGTCATCCGTGATCTGTCTCACTTCCGTCTGCGGAAGGTTTTCTCTCCTGAGCCTTACGTGAAATAGGTTCTTGTTGATATGATGACATCTTAAATCTCACTACTTGTGGCGATTGAGACTGTTTTGGATTTCCTTTTTTGGTTCTTTTTATGCTCTTCATGACTCGACATGAGCATGTGCTACGACGCACTGCAATATACCCCAATCAATTGTATAACAATGAAGCTTGATCATAAAGTTTACTGCTTTCCTGCTTAAGTGCTATATGCTTTCTTCGTATCGTATTATGAAATCTGTAAGCTATGGAGTAACGATGTGAAAGGGTATAAATAAAATGTAGCAAATCTCCAATTGCTTTAATCATGGCCGTCAGTGTGCGAGTCCTTTGGAGGTTCCAGCTCACCATCAGCCTTCTCACTTATCTTTCCTCCCGTCGTCGGACTCCCTGCTTTGCTCACAGCCCCAATCCCATTTACATCTCCCGCCAACTCCTGCGGCGAGGTAGGACTCTGCTGTGCCGGTAGCTCCACCGGCGCAACTTCGGGCAGCTCAGCAAGACCAGGATCTTTCCAAACACCTTGTTCCCCCGCATCCATCTCCAGCTTCTCCTGCGACCTCCTCATAGTAGTGACACCACCATCCAACTCCGGTTTCCCATGATAGGGGTCCGGTTCTGTAGGATTTTGCAGCACGCTCTCAGAGCCCGCACCAGCCCCCCTGGCACGCTTCCGACGTCGATGCCATAGTACAAACGCAATCGCAGCAGCGATGATAATTGCAACGGGAACGCAGACTCCAATAGCAATTTTGGCGCCTGTGGATAATCCGCCACTACCACTGTTGTCTGAGGAGCTGCTGCTTGTTGAGGAAGGAATAGCATCAGATATGGTGTTGCGGATTAGGATTACGGGCATTGCTTGGAAGGTCGCGTCACCGGATTTGCCTTTTGTCCCAATTCCGCCGTTGTAATCGGCTGCTGTCATTGTGGTGCATTGGCTGTTCGTGACTGTGAGGATAGGGCGGGCAGCTAGGGTGTAGGCATTGCTGGTGCAGAGATCGCCGTTGAAGCTATAATTTCTGTTTTGATTAAATAGATATTAACACCAAACCACTGTCCACCAACCGGGCTGACACTTACGAAGGGCAGCAGACACTAGCAATATCATCTTTCCCAAGACTAGTCAAATATTCCGAAAGAAGAAAAGACTTCGTTTGATGGATATGGCTTGCGGAAAACGACGCTGTAAATCCATACGGACAGATCAGCCCCGGTGAAAACCCCTTGTAGTTGAGGTTACTGTCGTCAGATTTGGAGCCTGACCACCCGGTAGGATAGCAAGATGATGCGTATCCAATCTTTCCGCCATCACAGGTCGGACCCCATGCTAGGACGGTCGAATTGGTATTGTGTCTAATCCATTGTTCGGTGAAACAATCAGGCAGGGGCGTAAATGTAGTCGTTAAAGGACCGAAGTTGGCAGAAGCGGCCGTCATTTTCGATATATGTGCATTTCTAGTAGAGAAAAACGCAGGCAAGAGATGAGTTGGAAGACCGAGAGGAAAAAGAAAAGGAAAGTTCATGAAAACGAGAAAAGCACCGCCATCACATCACAGCGCCCTGAGCTTGAATCTGACCAAGTTGCAAGGCTGGCTCGTATGCGAAAGGGGGCCGTTTGGCTGCACCGCCATGTTGAAAGACTGGCGATCAAGCACAATAACATGATTCAAGGCCCACGATTTCAATCAGGCCAATGGGGCCCCCTGTTAAGCTTTTGAGTTTTCCTAATCAAGTCACTGCCCTGCAGTTTTTCCGACCCCCGGTGCGTCAGTGGCTTTAGGGGTCGTATAGGGCCCACTCAGGTGGGGCGTGGTGCGGGGATGGTGGCCTTATTTAGAGAAGAGGATGCAGCTGGAGGGGCCGTGAACATTCAGCATGACAATTTTATTGGGTTATGTACATTAGCATAGAAGGGCCGTGAATTGTTTCCAAAACTGCAAGAATGCCTGAAAATGAATTTGATAGTCTGAAATACTCGTTACTTATCTACATCCATTTACTACTGTTCACTGTCATCCTACAGCCACTCTGAGTACCTAATACTATCAAAGGTACCCATTGCCATCCTATGCAACTATCACTGTATAAAGTTCGAGTATCTTGAGCAAGTATGACTTGTACTAAATTTAAGTCATATTCTTCGAAACGAGCCGTAGTATCTATATGCCAGCTTAACGTATTAGAACAACCGCCTGTTTATTATTGGAAATAAAATTGGCAAACACCGATGACAGATGATATAAGTGCTACAAAAGAAAGATGTGCGAACGATCCACCACTCCGTCGCAAGCAATCAGTATCTCCTGTCAAATTCAAAACCTCCTCTCTCAGAATTTTGCAAGCGGATTCGTTTTTGGCGCCAGCTTCGATGTGCGATTGCTTGCACCTTTGCTTCAAGGCTTGATTTTGCTGTACAATTTTCGACATGTAAATCCCCTTGCTGGTAATTCTGGTCACGCTAGCAAATCCATCCCTTGCAATGCATTGTCCATCATTAGATTCAACCATGTTGTTGCCCCAGACCCAGTCCATGATCGCATCTGAACAGACAGCTCAATTTAATCTGACTGCGAGGCAGAATTTTGAGTAGTCCAAATTTGAGAGAAGAAGAAATCACTGAAGAGTTTTTCATAGTATGGAAATCTCGTGGAAGTCTTCCAAGGTTGGGATCTATGTAGACAGCGGACTGAAACCTCAGCGCTCTTTGAAAACACCATACCGCGTTATTGATAATGTTGGGGAGTATTTACACCATAAGCCAGAATCTCTCGTATCAATGGCGCTGGCTTTCATCTTTGGCAGTTCTGTTTTCTTACTAGGTATGATGGGGAAACTTTTGAAGGGTGAAACCTGCCGTCGCCTCCACTATCTGGATCATCGTTCGTTCTCAAATGGTGTCCTATCATCTTGGCCCAAGTTGCTGGTAGAGCAATGGCTGGTGAGGCATTCATAAAATGATTTCCAATCACTGACCTCCAGACTACACTTGCTGCAACGAGGAGGACAGGCGAGAGGTTGTGTGTGCCGGCTAAGCTCCTCGTTGGTTGGCTTCCACATGTGCTTAATCAAACAGTGATCTCTAGCCTTGTCTCTTCTGCGTGAAGTCTCTTCACAACCCGGCTCAGGGCAGAAAATTTTGATGCACGGGTGGTGCTGATCCTCAATGTGCCGCGTGAGGGCTCCTACAGTACCGAATTCAATGCCACATGTGATGCATTGCAATGGCTTCTTCTTGGCACTTTCCGTTCTCACATGGACAGTGTTGGGTACAGAGGCATGGGAGCTCGGTACCAGCTGGCCATAATGGTCAGGCAGAATGCTTCCTGTATCAGATTGAATAATCTGACTGGTGGTGGGTCTCTGGTGGGTTGGAGTGACCCCAAAAAGTTGCCTATTACTGACTTTGTTGGCGTCTTGTCCCTGATTTGGCTTTTCGAAAGCATCAAAACTACCGAGGTCAGGAAGAGCAGCCAATGCTAAATCATGATGATTGTTGGTCGTTGACCGTATTGGAGGCAAGCTGTCCTTCGTCGCATTGCTCGATGTATCAATCTTTAAGTCAACGTCGCTATCACAATCCTGGTTCATTGGCAGACAGGCCAGTGATATCTCCTCCAAATGCCGTCCGACATGAGTTGCATACTCTTTCGAACCTTTCCAGTCGGATTGAGAGCACAACGGGCACTTATGATCCTCCAAGTCAGGCTTGAAGACAATCTCCTCAGCTTCTGTGAGCGTCGCTCTCAACGGATGCCCAGACAGCCCGATGGTGTGGGCCATAGTGAGATGCTTGGCAAAGTCCTCCTGGGTGGTAGTAGTGATTTTGCACTTGTAGCAACGCCATTGTGATTGAGAAAGATGTTCTTTGATCTCATGGCGTGCCCACGTGTCACGGCTCGTGAATGTTTCCAGCGCATCTTTGCACTCTGCATGCGTGCATACATACGACTGTAGATCTGCGAAGACATGGATTCTGTTTAGTTAGCTCTGCTTATATTCATACCAGAATTCTAATATACCTACTTCCAGTCGATCCTGTTCCGCATGGTTATGACATCCTGACAATAATCGCATTGGAAAGGCAGCCCGTACTCATGTAGTAGATTAGGTACGCGAGGGCGGCCGTGACCCTGCTCTTCAGCATTTGAGAGGAATGACTTATGGGAGACTGCAGTAGCGGCATATTGCGACCCTCTAAAGATGGATGTTCCAATGCCAGAATCGTGAAAAATGGAGTAGGGCTTGAATCGAGTAGTAATATCTCCCCAATCGTCCTCTTCTTCTTGCTTTCTGATACGGACGAACCTTTCCCAGTTAGCTTCTGCTAGCTTCTCTACAAGAGAAGTTGGTGCAGTGGTAAATCTGTCATAACCGTCAGTCTAGGACCAAACATCCAGAGTAACTTACAAACCTATCACTAATGCGTGTAGCAAAAGGTAGCGCCCTTTTGGACAAATAGAACACATTGTCGTTGAGATGGGGTAGATGGGTTACCCTTTGCTGCAAGCAGAGAGCATGCCGCTCAATTGCTGGTACGAGGTCCATCAAGCAGACGATGTAAGAGTGGAGTCGTCCATAGCGATACAGGTCACGGTCGGGCCCGGTGGTTGAAGATGAGTCGTCAGATGTGTCTTCATCTGAGGATGAGTTTGACTCTTCGGCTGAAAGAAAGATTGCTGCATTATCTAACAGGCTCCTGAGTTCTTTCACGAGATCCCGAATAGAGCTCCTCTCGACCTGGGGCTTGAGAATAGTTTCATTGGATCCCAAAAGATAGCATATCAGGATCTCACCGATACCTTTCAAATTTTCCACCATGTTGATCTTCAAACGGTTGGACTGCCCAAGAATAATATCAAGGCGGCCAGTGAGAAAGTTCTCTTCCCATAGCCGCATGTTTGCTACATCTTTCTTCATGGTATTCAGGCGTGGACCGTGCGACATGAACTGGAGACGAGAATGCCATAGGTGGATTAAAGAGACTAAACATGCTTGGTATAGAGTTTCAACGAAGCCAACATTGGGGTCATCAGCGCTGTGTTCGATCTGGGAGTCGATCCAGTCATCAAGTAATTCTGCCGATTCATTTATCGTCTTCATATTTATAGCATCGTAAAAGCTAAACAAAGTCAACTATAAAAAGATGTCAGATATATCAAGATTAAGAGGGGGTAAAAAGCAAATACAGTCTTCGAGAATTCTCCTAGGTGAGAGAGGGGGGGGGGGGGGGACGTGGTCGGCATAGTCAGCTGAGCTCCAAGTCCAGACCCCGCAACTTCCAAATCGTGGGACATCCTGTTTATAAGTATCTCGCCTTTTTAAACTATGCGCCTTGGTTTATCAAATCATTGAAAATGACCATGTCTCTACCACCTAATACCCGGAAGGACTTTGATATCGCGATCATCTGCGCATTACAGGTAGAAGCAGACGCTGTAGAGGCACTCTTCGATCATTTCTGGGAAGAGGATGGCGATCGATACGGAAAGTCACGCGGAGACCAGAATGCATATCGAACCGGAGTTATCGGCAATCATAACGTCGTTTTAGCATATATGCCAGGCATTGGAAAGGCCCATGCAGCAAGCGTCGCGTCGAGTTTTCGATCGAGCTTCCAAGGTATCCGACTTGCGTTGATTGTTGGCATCTGCGGAGGAGTACCAGACGGGACCAGCAGCAGAATCTTTCTTGGTGATATAATTATCAGCGATGAGATCGTGATATATGATTTGGGCAGGATATACCCAGGGGGGTTTCGGCGCAAAGAGGGAATAACCAACTCTACCGTGAACATCGAAGTCAGGACCTTTCTGCAGAAATTGAAAAGCCAAAAAGGTCGGGAGCACTTACTAAAGCAAACCACCCATCACTTTACGAGGTTGCAAAAACGAGTCAGCGGCTATAGTTGCCCTGGAATAACGAGAGATCGACTTTTTGAGAACACATATCATCATAAGCATCAACGGCCCTTAAGATGCGAGGAGTGCGAAAAGGGTGAGCTATGTGAAAAAGCTCAGGAGGCCACATGTGAGGCGTTGAAATGTGATCAGAAGAAATTGGTTGCTCGTCCCATATCTTGCCCCGATAGGCCCGATATTCACTTTGGACGAATGGCTTCAGGGGACAAAGTCATGAAATCTGGCCTGGAGCGAGACAAAATTGCTCAAGCAGAGGAAGTGGTTGCGTTCGAAATGGAGGGCGCGGGAGTTTGCCATGCCCTTCCCTTCGTTTTGGTAAAGGGAGTATGCGACTACGCTGATAGTCATAAGGATAAGCATTGGCAGAAGTACACAGCCGGAAGAGCTGCTGCATGTATGAGGTCACTTTTAGAACAATGGGCAATTGTCGATTCAGCAGAAGAAAGTACCGAACGGTACAAAGAACCCTCACAAGAACATTACTATAACCTTGACACTCGTTCTGAGATGACATCTCCTCGGCCACCGCCCATTGATGAAGGCAATTCGTCGCCAAGAAGCCATGATACCACCTATGGGGACTTGTTGCAATGTATGGACTCATATGTTCTAAAAATCTTACTCGTTTCTAATATTCACAGTCTTGCCAGCGGTTAAGTTTGGTTTTAAGAGTGCACTTGCATGTTTCAAAGTAAACCGCAAGCATTTGCCTCGCGATGCTGATCTCCGGAGCCTACTGAAGACGCAGCGCGTTATTTTTCTAGAGATTCTTGAAGATATATCCTCCAACACTTCGGAATACGCAGTCCATGAACGGATTTTGTCGAATAAGCTCCACTTGGATGGGGCTCAAGCGATTCGAACAAAGCTCGAGGAGATTGAAGACATAACCAACAGCCTCCCTGTTGCCAAAAAGGAGGAATCGCAATCTAGAAGTGATGTGGACAATCTTAAAGTAAGAAGAAACTCATCAAAATACTTACTACTGGAGATACATTAACCCGCTTTCTAGAACGCAGTCGAAGATCTAGCCTCTTTGGTTCACGTTTTTGTATCTTTGATGCCTCAACCCAAAAAGCCTCGGTCAATCGAGAATTCAAAAGTATTCATGTCTTCCAGGAGTTGTCGCGAGTTTCAGCATTTTCAAATTGTCCAACAAGCTGCCTGCAGCCTCTATGATGCTTTTGGAACGGCTTGTAATGCACATACTGTCCATAATGTGCATCTATCCCTCCAACCAGATCTTGATCAAACACTATCCCGGGTGCAGTTCAATGTGGCCTATTCTCAGATTTCCATGACTTCGGGAAAGGCAATCTGGATCAAAGTCGAATCGAAGATTAAATCTCCCGAAGTCAATCCCGAAGTCAATCCCGAATCGACGTCTCTATTGATACAAGGGGAAATACGATCTCTCAAAAGATCAGTGCACTTTGAAGATAGTCCATCGGAAGTTCGCAAAGAAGTACGTTCGCAAACCTCAGGTGAATCTATTCGGTCATTATGTCCAAAAGAATCATTCAGTGGCGTCCCGAATCTTCACCTACAGCGTAATCTTTGTACTCTGATGGAGAGGTTTTCACATCAACGAGAATGCAATAGGTGTATTGGTTTACTTGGGGACAATGTTATCTGTACCCATTTGGCATACATGCACAACCAACCCGATGACAAGAGCACCTCCACCTCACTCTCCCAGCTTATATCCTTATCAAGAACCGAGCTGACCGAATGCATGAGTCTCTATGAGCAAATTCGACTATGCAGGTATCTCGCCACTGCCGTTCTATACTACCATGCCACACCGTGGCTCACCAAAGCATGGCGCAGTGAGGACATTCACTTCTTCGGTCACGGTTCCTCTCTTCGGCAGATGCCACACAACCTATTATATATCGCCATGGCTACTTCCGTTCAAGTACCAGAACCTCCCAACAACACCCAGCCCCCATCTTTGCATTACCACCATGTTGTCCGCAACCCCGTCCTCTTTGGTCTGGGTGTCATGTTCCTCGAAATCGCATACGAGGCTCCTCTCGAGGTCCTTCAACAACCAGTCGACATCGATAAAGACGGCCTGCAGGGATTTGCAGATTACTTCACAGCCCACAGGGTAGCAGAGAGCGGTAGGAAAGTCACCGGGAATTTCAAAGCAATAATAGAAAAAATGCCTAAACTGCGACTTTGGCCACGACAGTGACTTTATGAGCCCTGGACTCCAGCAAGCTTTTTATCGTGAGGTCATTGGCGGCCTCGAGAAATTAGAAGCCAAGTTACAAGAAATTTGAGCTTGATGAGGTGGAAGTCTCTAGCTTGATAGATACCTTTGTTGCGCGAGTAGATACTCTGCCGAGAAAGCCAAGTGCATAATCCTGTGGATATTTACTTTTCCTTTTGAACTTCCGATTCCCAAGAATTATGTTCTCCATGTTGGTACAAGAAATTTTCAAAGGACCGAGGTGTGGTGTGAGCAAGTTTATTCGAAGCAAGGCTCATGTGTCACACGTCTAATCAAAAATGTCATGATTGTACAACTTCCTTTTTTTATTGGAGAACGTTATGACCCCGCAAGGGTGTCACCAAATCGTCAAAGCTTTTTCTACTTTTGGCTTGCATCCAAGCAGCCTGTAGCTGAGTTGGGACCCGGTGCTTTGGCTGTTGATCGGTCCACATAGGCCCGCGTTGCGGTTACGAACTATTCGTGTTTGTTGATGGATGTGCCGAAGCCTTTGCTCAGAAAGAGTATACGTATGCCTACTACTGCCATTTTCTTGTTGTCAGCTAGCTCAGGCCTAAACATCTACGAGGGAAAAAAGGAGCGGAAAAAACAGTATGTCGTGGGGATTGGACTGGAACGAGAAAGGCCAAGGTCTCACTGTACGAAACATATGTGCTTGGAGATCACGTGACCCACAAACACCATCGATTTGTTGACAATTTCTGCAATGACCCACTTGGGCAGAGCGTTGGATTTCTTAGTTCAAGTTGATATTGGAAATGAAGGGTCCATCGAATTGTATTTGCGCTTCCCTTAGTGGGAATTATCGAGTCATCCCCCCATGTCCCTCTGGTCCTTATATCACTATCGAAGATAGACTTCATAATGAATTTGTCAACCTCAATAGAAGAGACGGACCGAATAGTGTAATCGGCTATCACATATACTTGATAACCTGTGAATCACGACATTGGGCTTAGCAGCTTGTTGTTGTCGTCAGCGAATTCTCGTTATGTTCCGCACTGAATTGTAGGACGTTTATGAGCCTCAGAATATCAATCGGCCGGATGGTGTAGTTGGTTATCACGTATCGTTAACACCGATAAGGTCCTGGGATCGAGCCCCAGTCTGGTCATTTCTTTTTGCTCTCTTTTCATTGAGAGCTTCAATTCGTTGGCAGGTTAATCAGCCTATATCCTTGAAATTGGTATGTTTTTATCTGACGGAATATGCAGAAACACCCAGAGTGCACTTTCTCCAGTTTCGAGGTTGTCTACTTTGACTGCTTTTCATGCATTGGGGAGTATCGCAGTGCTTGCACATGAATATGAACGCCAGCACTGTACTTACTGGTAGGTAGAAGATGTCTAGCTGACGCGTTTTCTTTGGTGGCAGCTCTTCCAACACTTCCGATACTGCCAAAGCGGACCATCGGAACAATAATGAGATCATCAATGGCTGTTTATAGAAAGTCTTAGCGGAGGGCAATGGTAAATGTCTTTTTTCTTTTTCTTTTTTTTTGCTGTCAACTCCGTTGAGAAGAAGCTGGTGGTGGCGAGAACAATCTAGCTGATATCCACAGTACCAATGAAAAGATAACCCAAAATACTCGAAAGAGCCTTCAATATGTTACTGGTTGAGGTCCTTTGGTATTCCGACTCTTTTCTCGCTCCACAGGACATATGTCCTAAAGAACCGCAATCTAGCGACGTTGAAATTCTTGGGCCTTCCTTTGCTGCTCTTAGATAATATGAGAATAAACATAAACTGGAAGGTGAATTGGCATCATATACAAGCCAAATAAAGATGTGTTAAGCAAGAGTCTTGAGCGCCGGGTGAATAGTTGTGAAAAAGTGAGCGAATGATATTAATGCCCAAGCTTTTGTCTCGTCCTATACGCGGACCGCCTGCGCTTTCATACAAAATCTAGTACCAGACACCACCTTGAAACAAATTTCCCCGGCTCAACGACGCATCTTTATTGCCGGAGCGCGTATAGTAATCCTTCAAGACCCGGCTCACCCCCTCGGTGGCCCGTGAACATCGCGTTCCTACAGCAGAATTAAAGCTCATAACTGATACTTTTATATTCCACTGTAGCTCTGACCGGCCAGATATGCGATAGGAAGCAAGAATGCACTCGGAATATTCCTGGGCGAGGCCGTACTCCTCGGCAGTAAGTTGGAGATCACAAAGCATCTCTAAGAGTGAGTTGTTTAACCATGTGTACCTCGCCGAGGCTCAAACCACCTCACGGAACTTTCAAAGAATTGTTGGGATGACTCATAGTCATAAGCAGAGCATCAAGGGTACATAAGCCCCTGATATCTCTCACAATCTCGATAGTATTAGAGTTATATAACAACAAGAACAGCTCAATAGATAGACCAGCGCTTCTCCCTCTACTTCATCCGTTCCCAGATAATCCTGCACAGTAAATCACATTGTGCTGTTTGTCCATCTCATCCTGCCCATCAAGTAGCCAGTATCTACGTAGGCTTTTTCGGTGTTATATTCTCTGATTTCCGTTCTGATTAGCACATGGTGCCAATGAATTGCAATGTTGATAGCAATTAATGAGAGAAGCTAGAAAAAAAGGTTCAAAGTAAATAAAAAAGAGACAGAAAACGAGGGCTTAGATAGTATTTCACCCATTTTCAACGGCTCATAAAGTTGAACACACCAAGGTCTTTGATTGAAGGGTATCTTTCAAGGTACTCTACTCTAGAATTAGTTCTATATTTTATTTATAATCCAGAAAAATAAGGCAGAGAGCTTTAGTGGGCAGTATGTTGGGAAGTTGATAGCGAATTGGAGACCATCAACGAAAGTTAAATCATTCAAAACAATAGCACTCAATTAAACAGCTGGCTCTACTGAAATTTACCATATCAGCCAGATGTAGATTCTGATTCATGGTCAGCACCACCAGCCTAGGGATACCAGCATTGTCCCTTGACCGACTGGTCAAAACAAGTCTCAATCTCAAAACCCCCGATACGCTTTACCGAGAGCGCCTCGTTGCGAAGGGTGAAAGCACTGTCCTCTCGGTGATCTCCCGTCCACAAAACTAGATCTATGGATACCCTTGAAAGGGGATCTTATAGGTAGGCGGATATGAGGTCTAGTTATGCTTGTATAAGTAACTTTTAGGGGGGCACCTAGATTAGATAGTTCTATTTCTTACGCTTTATGCGTTACAACTGTAATACTTTTCTAGCGCTAGCCTGTTATACTATAGATAGGCTATATATCTGAATCAAAGATTCTATCTATACTTGTACAAATGCGACATCAAGGTGTATGTCACTTAGCTAATCAATACTTATTCTAAATAAGCTATCTTACTTTGCTATTAATGTTCCAGAAAATAAAACGAAACCTTAATTTCATGTGGGATTTTTAACAAAAACTACTCATTCTAAATTCATATGGCCAGACCCGTATTCAATTATAATATGGTCATAAGCACTTCCTGCAAGGTTTTTGGGGCACCGATATCTTGATTAGCTTCTTAGCCAGGCTAACGAAACCGGGTGTCCCAGACTGGCCCGCATTTAAGGCCCCCCGTGGTCTTTCTCTACGGTTCGTGCCGGAGCTACCACTTCTCCACAACTTAGAGCTTCCCAGCGATGTAACCCTGGAAGTAGACATTCTATACGGGGCTTCAGCGATGAAACCTAGAAAAGTAGACATTCCCATATCCGGGATTCCCACGACAAGTAGAGTGACCAGGACTGTGGTTGAGTCTGGAGCAGCTTCCCGACGGTATCCCTTGCATTTGATTGCTTGTTCCAGTTTTCGTAGACATCATGCAAATCATTCCACGGGGCGGTGCCAACGGTGGGTCCAGTCCCATAACGTACAAGTAGCAGGAATGTCCGTAAGAAAGAGGAATCGCTCAGTGATCAGCCCATTCTCCTACCTTCTAATAACCCTCCTAGCTGTAATTGCATCTAAATAGCCCTTTTCCACTCGACAGACATATTATTATCATCACTGCCATTCTACGAAATGACCGTATCCAAAATCGTCGAACTAGCTACCCGGATCAGTGAAAACACGGCCAAGGTTGACGCCTACCTGCGCGAAAATGATCTTCCATCGCCTTCTTTCCACGAAGATGGGCCTGTGGATTTTGGAATTCGCTGCGAACAGACCAAGAAAGCCCAAGAACAGGCAATCAACCTCAGCTTCGAGCTTCAGCGCTTGCTTCTAGGTCCATTGCAATTCATGAACCCGGTTGTAAGTATACCAATTTGGTGCCCAATTCCCATATAATACACTGATTGCTATATTGACCCAAGATACCTCTTTAGCCCAACGGCTTGAGCCTTCAAGCGATTTCTAAATACAACATGGCGACCAAAGTTCCCATTCACGGGGAAATTTCCTTTGGCGACCTCGCCCGTGAATGCGGACTCAGTGAGATCAACACTCGTCGATTCGTCCGCTACGCCATAGTCTTCCATCGCGTCTTCCAGGAGCCTCGACCTGGCTATGTGGGCCACACAGCTGCGTCTCGAGTGTTAGCCGAAGACCCTGTTATGCGTGATGTGTTGTCTCATTATTTGGAGGAGTGCTTTCCTTCCTTCGCAATGGTAATGTCCTTTTCTCTCCTTGCGTCATCCCTGAGGTCGCTGACCAGGCTTTCCCCAGACTCTCAATGCAATAGATAAATTCAATGGCGGAACTGAGCCGAACCAAACCGTACGTTTTGTCAACACTAGCCCCTCATCTCCAGCCAAGCTACCTGCTAAATACTACCAGGGGTGGAATCTCTACCACGAGACAAATTTGAGCCCGTGGGACTACTATGATGCCAATCCGGAATCGGGTCGTCGATTCTTCAGCACCATGGCTTATGAGACTGAGCGCGAAGGCCGATCGAACACCGTTCTCGTGAACAATTATCCGTGGTCTTCTCTCGCCAGTACCAGCAAAGCTAACAGCAGAGAGGAGGATAAAGGACCCGCCATAATCGTCGATGTCGGCGGTTCCAGGGGCTTGACCGCGATTCAGATTGCGCAAGCTGCCCCCGAGCTCAAGATCATCGTCCAGGATCTTCCGGCCATGATCAAAGGCGCTAGTGCGAGCATCCCGGCCACAATCAAAGATCGGGTAGAGTTCATGGCCCATAATTTCTTCCAGGTGCAGGACGTGCAGGCAGACATGTACATTTATCGACATGTATTTCATAATTGGTCGCATGCAAATGCGGTCAAGATTCTGCGGGCATTAGTTCCCGCGTTGAAGACTGGGGCGAAGGTGCTGGTCAATGATTACATTGCCCCTGCTCCGGGGACCTTGAGTCCTTTGAAGGAGCAGAGGTTGCGGTTAGTACTACCTTTTCCTCTGATTGACACTTTGAATGGATAATAATTCAACACGTAATGCAGAGAGATGGATATGATCATGCTCACCCTCTGTAACGCGTACGAGCGGGAAGATCACGACTGGAAACGATTGTTCCGAGACGCGGATCCACGGTTTGAGATACTGACCATGTTTGCACCAAAGGGAGCTACGGAAGGAATTATTGAGGTTGTCTGGAGTGGATGAGTTCATTTAAATTTCAACGAATTTTTAGTCTCGTGGTGTTACTGGAAATTATTAGCAAAATATGATTGTTGAATATTGTCCGAATTTTGTGGGCTTCGGTATGAATGATCTGAAAGCTTCTGAGTCCAACAAATGGAATAGAATCGAACAGCCAAAGACACGCAACAATTAAGTTTCGGATTTGTTCTCCCAACATACTACTCACTAACCAGCGTGAGGCCTAAGTGTAGCTGAGCGGGCGGCACGCTCTGTTCTCCATACCTTGTGGCCGTGGGCATTAATAATACTAACAAAAGGAGCTATAGATGGATGAAAATGATCTTCACTCACTCAAAAATATGTCATGATAAGCCCCAAAGGCTTCAGGGCTGGAAGGAGACAAAAATAGTTGGCGAATAGAAGCATGATAGTGAATTTTGATTGTTGGTGGCTACATTTTCCCAGTAACAACAGCCTCCTAACGTTTACAAACTACATGTAACAAGAAATTTGGGTAGAAGAGCCATGATGACAGACATTTGTCAAGGCGCTATGAACCTAGGTCCAGAAGAGAAGATCTTCGTGAGTCGAGAAGCTCTTATCTCCGACGTTGGAGTACTCAACACATACACACGCACGCGAATCAAGGCCGCAATCAATCAGGCTGAGCGAATTTGCTTCGTTTCCGCAACGCCGGCCCAAGGAAATACAACATGAACATGCCTGCCACACAGCCTACAGTAAGGCCTGCCAACAAGGTCGTTCCCCTAGCCACACCCAGTGTATCATACAAGGGCCCAGACCACATAATGGCTGCAAAGGCAAGATATGCACGACACAAATCATTCATCGCAAACAAACTCGCGCTATAGCGCGTATAGGCGACGGCAATATAACTGAATATGCACTGGAGGACCAGCGTCATACCGGCTACTTCTATGAGCAGACCTATAGTCGGCACTATCCAGTGGATCGATTGACGCGAGGTCCACGCAAACATAAATAGCCCAGCAGGCACAATCAAACTCCCAAAAAGGGCGGGGATGAGTCGCTTTTCGGGCCGAGGGAATATCCCCCGGCGAAAGTCCGCGTTCAGACAGTAGTGAATGAACAGATAGTAGCAGGGGGAGAACCAAGGCGGTGGCCACAACCGAAGCCAGGAAGATCAGACCCAGCTCCCCGAGATTCATCTTGTAGACGTCAATGTACACGATCGGAAGAACTTCGAAGTAAGAGTAGAAAATAGCATAGACTAGCCCGATGTATACCGTGGAAAAGAGGATGGCGGGGTCCAGCGCATGAATCTTCCAGGGAATGATCAGAGCATCGTACACGACCTGCATAGGGGAGACATTCTTGACCTTGATCTCAGACTGAGACTGGAAGGATGGGTTTCCTGTGAGTTCTCTGAGGTGTTTCGCACGCAGGTGCAGGATGGCTGGACCGGAGGTTTCGGGCAAGAAGATGAGAAACACGAAACAGCCAGCCGCGGCCCAGAGGACCTCCCACATGGACCAGTGCCAGCCTTTCACGGGGACACTGAACCCAGAAATTACCGGGGCTATGGCTGGTCCTGCGATGGAGCACAAGCCCCAAACATATAGACCATAGGGCAGTTGCACTAGCCCGGTCACATCAGCGATGGAGGCGCCTCCAGTGGCCAGCCCGGGAGAACCAAAGAAGCCCTGGAGAAACCGGAGGACCATAAATCCTGGTACATTGTTGACAAGCGCAGTCGGGATGCCGAGGATAAGGAAGATCGTGATGGAGATCACATAGGGAGGGTTGCGACCGATAGACGGAATCTCGGACAGGGGACTCCAGATCATGGGTCCCGTGCCATACCCTAACACATACGTCGACATGCCCAGTACACTCACGGATCGCGACACGCCAAATACGGTCATGAATTCCCCCTCTGCAGCTGCAAAGATAGCGACTGACATGTAGACTATGAAGGTAAAGAGATTCACTTCTATGTATACCAGAAGCTTCGCGGCAAACGACCAATTATGCGGATTGTCCGGGTCTTGGTCGGAGTACCAATCGACTTGAATTGCCCCGTCGGGCGTGATAGCTGGCTCGATCCATGGAGACTGCGATCCTTGTTGTTCCAGTTCTGGCTGGCTTGACGGAGAGTGTGTCTGGGAGCCTATTCTTACCATCAGTTGTGTTGTCTCTTACCAGAAGTTGAGATACATCAACCTACTATCAGCGGATATGGAGTCACCCTGGGCGCGTATCTCCTTTTTAGCCTCTGAGGAGTCCGAATAGTCGAGTGGGGTATTTCTACCACCTGCAGCGTCTTTATATGGCGGTGGAAGCTCGAAGCCTGATCTTTTTTCGGTGGGTTGGAATAAGCGTCCTCCCGAAAGCCAGCGGCCGATCAGGCCGATTGGCGAATTTGTTAGGATGTGAGCCATCACGCTTCATGAAGGCAGGGGGAAGGAAGAGAGTGAGTAGTCAGATTCATTTCAATAATACTTTTTTTTTTTTCTGGACATGAAAGCTAGAGACAGACAGATGCTGACATTCCTGGGCAACACCAAAACCCTTACAGCTACAGAGTAGACATTGAAAAGACGCTACCCTGGTTGAGGGTGAACCTGCATTGCCCTCCTGGGCGAACTCCACATTGGTACCCCCAATGGGCACATTAGTCTGATTACGACGCATTCTATATGCAGTCATTTTCCTCCAAAGATTTTCTCGGGGGGGAAGGGGAGGGGCAGGTCTTCCTACAGCTACCTACCATATCGCTAGATGCAAGGGGGCTACACCATTTCAATAGCCAAAACGGGCTGAAATCCTATGTGCATGACTCATAACTAGATAACGGAAAAATCAGTGAATCATGACAATCCATGACAATAAAAAAAGAAAAAGAAAAAAGATTAGTTCTAGGACGCGTATTAGAACAAAGCAAAACCTAATCTCTGTGTAAATAACGGCAAGTATACAGCAATACGCAAGGTTGCAATCTTGGAAGGTTGCGCAAGCGAAATATGTGCGTACTTTTGTACAGAGCATTCCTGGTGACCCGACTACTGATTATCCTACTGACCAATATGCTCCGGGCCGCCTTCGGCCCGCCAGGATCCACATATGTGAACTAAGACGTCGATCATTGCTTCATATGTCTAGACTCTGTTTACCCCGTCCCCACCTTCACCTTCACCGTCACCGTCACCGTCACCGTCAATGAGAACACTGTAAGTATGCAATCGGTTTCCAGTCCGTTGCTTAGTTTGGTTCCCTAACGTAAATTTTGATCAGCAGGCAGCAGCTTTCTATTGGATTGTAGCGAAAACGGAAGTAGTCTCTTAGGGTTGCCTGTGGTGACGACCACACTGCGCTTACTAAGGGGGCCTTACCTCCTCTGACTGCCTCAAGGGAGTCAGTTGCTCGATTTTGCAGGTAGCTCGTCATCTCCCTCATTCAAGACTCAATTTTTCTCAAACCTCTCCTCTGTATAGGGAAACCTTGCAGTGTATAGACAAATTGCCACCTGACAGTGGAACGTATAGGGACTTTTTGATTTTCACGTTAGAATCCGTTTGTGTGTAAGATCCAAGCGACAGGCTACCTGTGACGGTCCAACTCTACACGTATTATCCTTCCTTCCTGCTTAAGCAATACACTATCCTTGAGGGGTGGCTACGCATTTTTCAATATATTCATCCATGAAATTTATGTATTTAAGAAGTCTCCACTACATATAATATCACGAATACAATATCACCAGCACCGACAAGGGGAGTTGAGGACCGACTTGCCTTCTCGATCTTTCAGCTTACGGGAGACGTAAGCTGTATTCTCACCTCCGTATTATTCACAACTCGGAATGCTGCTGTCTACGAGCGTGCTTGATATCGTCGGCGATCTTTTCAGCGACCATGTCTAAAACACACCAGTCAACCCAATATCCTGCTTGCATGACAGACATCAATTTAAAGGATGACTTACAGACAACGCCCAGAGGAAGACCAGGAGGCAAGAACCGGAAGGTCGATGCATCTGCGATTCGCACTTTTCGTTCCTTAGTTAGCAAGCTCTTCCAAGTCCAGTGGAAAGGAAGAGTAAACAGAATTGAGGCAGAAAGAAATGAAAATGAGAAGGAAGGAATGAGTAAGAAAAGAACGTACAGTGATCAAGACCTTGAACGCGACCCTTGGAATCCACCACTGCATTCTTGTCCCCATCTTTGCCCATTCGACAGGTAGACGCCGGATGGGACATGGAGGCAAAATTCTGCTTCAAGTAATGATGAATCTCATCGTAAGACCTCACGTCGGATCCCGGTGTGATCTCGGACCCGACGATAATGTTTTGTTGGAGGATAGGCATCTGCAGAATTTGTCGGACACGTCGGAATGCTGCGACAGCTATTTCAACGTCGGTATTGGAGGTGAGCCACCGCGGGTTGATCACTGGGCTGTCTTTCATTGAGGCTGATTTGATACTGATAGTTCCTCGAGACATGGGGGTCATGAGAGTGCAAAATAACATTGCATAGTTGTATCCATCGGTCGGGAAGCCCATGTCGATAGGGAAAGAGATGAAGAATGCTTCCGGCCAGTCCTTGGGGAAGCTAGCCAGATCTGTTAACGAGCAGTCAGTAAGGACGTTATGGGTGTGCATAATGGAGTGAAAATAGGCTAACCTGATTTGGTGCTCGCAGAGAAGTTACGCAGATCCAGCGGAATGTCGGCGAAACCGCCGAAGTCTGGCCCGGGGCTGGAAAGGAGTCCATCTTGTTGTCCTTGAAACTCCTTCACAGCCTCGTCATATTGGTCCTTGTATTTCAGGGCCGAGTTGGTCTGCACATCGACCTTGTGGCCGATTCCAAAGCTGATATGATCTTCCATGTTCTGCCCTACACTCGGCGCATCGAGGACGACAGGAATATTGTACTTCTTGAGAAGATTTGCGTCGCCGACACCCGAGACTTGGAGCAGCTGTGGGGTCATCAATCCACCAGCTGTGATTATTACCTCATGTGCAGCAGACAAGGTAAAAGTAGTCTTTCCTCGGGATACTTGCACACCGGTCGCGGTCTTGTCATTGAACAAGACCTTCTCTGCCAAAGTGACATTATACAAGAACAGATTCTTTCGTTGCCCCAAGATGGGCTGCAGAAAGGCCTTTGACGACGACGCCCGCTTACCATCAGTGTGATTGATTGTGTCCAAGACCCAGCTGCTCCCGAACATATCCCCAGACATGAAACCTCCGACGGGTAACATACCCGCTAGGTCAAATGCCTTCTTAATCCAGGTGCTGAACGGCTGGCCGTAATTAGCGTATGTGACGTCCAGGGGACCACCATGTCCCACATGGCTGGTATCCAGTTCCGGGGTTGCGTTGAGTCGTCGCTTGCTGGGATCAATGCCTGTGAAGTTCAAGCTCTTCTGGAAGTACTTGGCTACATTTGAATAAGTCCAGGAATCATCGCCAACCTCATCTGCCCACTTCTGCAATGCACCCGTGCTGGTGGCCATGTAGGCCATCAGATTAAAGGCAGAGTTGCCGCCCAGCTGTGAAGGTCCGTTAGTATCCATTACATCCATTTCTCGTCTCAAGCCCTTGTCAACTTACGGTCTTTGCATTTGTGAAATGTTTCACGCGGCCATCGGCACCTTCCTGTGGAGTGGTATTGAATCCCCAATCCAGGGCAGGGGGGATATTTCCTTTCAAGAAGTCCGCAGCGTATCCTGGGACTTCACTGTGGTTGCCAGTTTGTTCATAAAATGAACCCGCCTCAACAATTGCCACAGTGACTGAAGGATCTTCGGACAGGCGAGCGGCCACAGTGAGACCCGATGCACCACCGCCCACGACGACATAATCCACGTGTTTGTCGTCGGCAGTAGGGTATCTTGTGGGATCTCCCAGGACATTTTCGCCCAATGGAACCTGGTACCATGGACCGTTTGGATAGGCGCGGACAGCAGAGGTAAAGGTCCATAGAGACAGGAAAGCCTTAGTAAACACAGATGGAGCCATGATTGATGTTGTTTTCTTTCTTGCTCTTGATCATGCTCACCGCCAGTTGCCCTGGGTGTGACGCCCTCTAATTATAGGACTACTTGAATAGAGTACACTAGTAATTTTGATTCGAATTTCAGCCGTCCAAAAAGCAGTCGTCATTCATGCAACTACGCTTCCAATTCTTGGGTCATGACGACTTCCTTTAGATGTTAAGTTGGCTGCCTAAAACACCCTGCAGTACCATCTTTTTAACCCAATCGATGACTTTGACGTAGTACAAGCTGACTGCCTCAGCTAGGTTGAGCAGATAGCAGTCTAGACTCGCCCTAACAGAATCCTCTATCCGGCGATCGTCGCACGTTTCACCTGACTTACGTTTCATTCAGTCTCTTTCTAAGGTCCTCTGCTTTCGACAACATCAGCATGAATGCTACCTTCCCGCAAAGTTCTCCATTGATGTACGCAGCCTCTCAGTCCATAGTCTATGGAGTGATCATTTCTGAGATTAGCTTAAACGTGCCTTGAAATAAACGGAGGCTAGAAAGCTATTGGGTTGATGTTCAGATTTCGTTTCCAAAAGTGTCCGCTTCAGGTAATTTCTACCAGCTTAGTTGACCACGAAAATAATTTGTGTTCTGGTCGAGCATGAGATACAGTAGAGAGAGTCTATCCATGATACCCCCAGCAATCAGAAGGTGCGTAGGTGGGTCATTGTGGCTGACTAAAAGATCCACAGCGCCCCGTCTTGGCATCAGATGTGCATATAATATCTGCAATATGTGTCACAATTTAATCCACTGGAACGCATTCTTGCACGAACAAGAAAAAAAAGAAAAAATGGTGACCGAAAAATGACTCTTGCAGTTGAAGCCAATTATGTATCTAAAAGTCCACACGTGAAGGAACCTTGGAGAATTGAAATGAGACCCCACCGTTTCCATCCCTTGCGGCAATCCCCGGGTCCACAGCATTATCTCGGGATCTTCCGCTTCAGTCCTTTTTTAAGTTGCCAAGATTCGCGTACCGTTCCGAAACTCTGAAACCTAAATGCTTCCTCATAACCGGAAAGGCTAATCAGCAGTCGACGCCGATTATTTTCAGCAGGGTCTTGATGTAAGGGCTTCCCAATCAATTCGGTAGTAGATTTAACCACTTTTTGAACACATTGTGCGGGTCATATTCCTGCTTCAGCATTTGCAATTTCGGCAAGTTCTCGCCGTAGACCTCCCCAGCCCGGCCGTCATGTGAGTAATTCGCGTACGCCCGGGCATGGGCACCCGCACCAGCACGCTTACCGACCTTCCGCATCATGTCGCGCTGGATTATGCGCATGGTCTGGTCAAGGGCAGGGTTATCCCACCGAAAGACACACCCGACGTTGTAGTAGGGCCCCCGAGTAGCAAAGGCCGTGGCATTCTTGGGGACACGCAGAACCTGTTGTTGAGAGACAAGCTCGAATAAAACCGCCGTCCGAGCTGATTCTGGGTAGGTTTTGAGCATTTCTGTATAGTCGGCCCATAGTTCCTGGAAGAAGGACACCTCGAGTGGGAGTTTGACGAAGGCTCCGCTGAAGGATTTCCGACCACCGTACGTGGCCAGAGGGTTTTGAATCGAGTTTAGCTCGCAGTAAGGCATCATATCACAGCTGTTTGAGGTGGGTTCGATGGAGAGGATGGGTTCGAAGTAGCTCTCTGCTTCGGAGCGAGGGCCGTTGTAGAAGATCGCTGCGACAATGCTGGTACCGCAGAAACCGAAAAATATGCCTTGATCCCCTGTATTACTGGCTTCTTCGAATTTATTGACAAATTGAATGATCTGGGGGAGGCGATCGGGAGTCCAGCTCAATATGCCTGCGTACACCTCGTTGATTTGATCGTAGCCCTGGAAGACGAACTCGGTGACGACTCCGAAGTTCTGGCCCGCACCGCGGAGAGCCCAGAATAGGTCTGGGTTGTTTTTTTCAGAGGCTTCCAGGATGTTGCCATTGGCGAGGACTATAGTAGCTGCGAGGAGGTTGTCGATTGTGAGACCGTATTTTCCCGTGAGCCATCCATAACCCCCGCCGAGCGTCAGTCCGCCCACCCCGGTGTGATTCACGGTGCCTCCAACGGTCGCTAATCCATGAACTGCCGCAGCCTTGTCGACATCTTCCCAGATGGTGCCACCTTGTGCCGTAATCGTCTTTCGAGTGGGATCGATCACCACGTGCCGCATGCGTACGAGACTAATCACGATCCCGCCCTCCGTCGCAGAGGACCCGCTGGTTGAGTGACCTCCGTTGTGCACCACCATGGGAATACGATGAGTGCTTGCAAAATTGACTGACAATGATACTTCCTCTGTAGTAGTCGGTAAGACCACGGCGGCCTGTTGCTGATCAGCGAGGGTTGTTGTCTTCCATTAAGCGGTGTTCTTACAGCTTTTTTTTCACATGTGTCACTCCAGCGTCTGATACTCTCCAAATACCCGTCAGACCCAGGCGTCAAGACGACGGCATTAGTGCCTTCGAGGTGTTTGCGCAGCTCTTCCATTGTGCTGATTAAATCTAGGGGCCACAGACAAAGGTATGGGGGAACCGCGGTTTGTATGGTGATGGCATATGCGGATAATGGGAGGCCTAATAAATATGTGTAAACTGCCAGGACGCGTACTTTTTCTGGTCGATATGAGCGATATTCTACCGAAGAATATGTGCCAAGGTCTCTCTGTTCTTCCCCCTTCTTCCTTCTCGTAATATTCCGCTTGCAGTTTACAGTTCATTGTGACCCAAGGCAAGCTCCTCGGGAGAAAATAATCAAGGAGTCACATATCATACCTCTTTCGAAAATTGCTGTCATGGGAGTCTTCTGACCCACCACAAACTCAAAAAAAAAAAAAAAAAAAAAAAAAAAAAGAAAAAGGAAAAGAAGGGATACGCATTCATCGTTAGTAGAGTAAGCTCCCAACAATTGCTTATCGCTTGTAATACGTATCACTTGCCCGAAGGTGGGAATGGACTCAGAATGCCACTGTAATGAAAGGAATGTCTCCACTTAAAGCAACCATCTATTCGTTGAACGAGTTTTCACGTACGATGTTCGCCCGAAGAGCAAATCGTTCCTAGTAATAAACAACTAGAAAAAGAACAAGGAGAAAAAGCGAGTAGCCACTTATCCCAACAGGTTCAGGCTGCAAGGCAGATGGCTGGTTTGGAAGAGACTTGTTGGGTCTTCCCTGGTACTAAAGCCTACATTGTCATTCCATAGAATACTACTTTAGTCTATAGGTTTTGTGAGATAGACAAAAGTTTTCATTCATTGTAAACATCAATACTTTCAACTCCTCCACGCAGCATGGGAGCTCATTTACTGAGGTAATGGTTCAGCCATGCCACCGCTTGGGTGAAGGCTTGTTCTTTGGCGAATTTGTGCCGGCTCTTGTTCATATCACAACGAACCGCGAAACCGTGCTCCACCTCTGAGAAGATGCTAAGCTGATAGGGCACATCCAGTGTGGCCAAAATCTCTTCGCTTTCATGACGTTTCTCAGGCGGAAAAAGGTAGTCATCGGCTAGACCATATAGATCAGCAATTAGACATGATGGCGAGGGGAATATGAACAGAGAAAAACTGCAACTAGTAGATAATACTTACCGGCTGCCGCAATACTCAGCGGCCCTTGTATCGCCTTCAACTCGTCCGGCTCAATAAAGGTTGGATGGGCAATGAAACCGGCATCAATCTGGCCTGCACGTAAATAGCGGCAGACAAACTTTCCTCCATAACAGTAGCCCACGCCTCCGATCCGCTCACAGCCAAAAGAATCTCGCATCTCCTTGAGCACTTCAGTGATAATCGGATCAGTGTGTTGAGGGAGGTGGCCTTGAAGCCAGTCCATGACGCTGAAACTTTCCGGGTGGTCCACGGGGACCGGGTCCCCCTTGAAGAGATCCGGCATCACGACAAAATACCCATTGGCTGCGAATTGGTCTGCAATCAACTTGGAGTTGACAAGGTCAAGACCGAAAATATCAGATAAGAATAAGATTGCATTGCCAGTCTGTTTGTCCGGGGGGTATGAAAGATATGCCTGGGCTGATGCGATTCAGTTAGGAGGAAGATTAGGGGATGGTGACAGGAAGGGAACAAAAACCGGCATACTGTTCCCAACGGTCTTGATCTCGCCTTTACTTTGACCCTCGTGCAGTGAGCCGCTAGCACAGCACTGGGAGGGTGGTAGGGAAGTCATGATGAATTAAACAGTGATTCAAGCGGGCTTACTATGGATGGAGGCAAGGAATGATTGACGAAAAAACACTTACGACCTTGAGCTTTATTCTTATGTGTTTTCGTAAGGAATATTTGGTATTACAAAGAGCTATTCTCCCCAAATGCGGCGTATTTTCAGGTGACCAAACAGTACCAATGCATTACTCTCGAATTAGATTGTCCCGTGGTTTAAGAATTAGCCCTATGCGTAGATCCTTTCCCTCTCCATTTATTCTAACCCGAATCCTCCGCCAGTGCCTCGACGTGAGGCTGGTAGCCATACAAGGGGGTGAGTGCACGATCCCAGCACCATAATGGGGCCCAGGTAAATGCAACCCTGCGAAGCAGCGGCCCCAATCCATAAGCCATTTTGCCGGTGTGCAGGGAGGCAAAAGTACTGGAGAATTCGAACACGTAGCGGGCCCTCTCTTCCCTGCGTTGGCGGTATTCTTTCAGACGCATCTGCAGCGCCTGCGGGTGGCCTGAACGATCACGGAAGTACGAGTTGAGCACATTGGCTAACTCGCCTGCGTCTTCAATTGCTTGGCATGCGCCCTGGTAATGCATCATTGAGTCAATGGGAACTGCAGCAGAAGTGGGGGTGTGACAAATACCTGGCCGATAAAGGACGTCATGGAATGCGCGGCTAAATGAAATTAGCCTTGGGGGCCGAGAAGGTAAGGGATGGTACAGATCATACCGTCGCCCACAAGGGCTACCCGTCCAGTAGCCATGGGGGGAAATGCCGTCTCTTCGAACACGTCACTAGCTGTCACGCGTTCGGCCATATCCACCACTAAATGATACCAGATTAGGGTGTTTACTCAGATACATTCTGGGTAAGAGGAAAATTACCATCGCGCACCTTATGGTGCTTACCAAACGGATGAAATCGGTCGCCATAGATATCATTGATCATTTCCTTCGAGGCTCCTTTCCAGCTTGACCGACTAGGATCTTTCAGTTTTGATGACTATACACTATCAGCTGGGGTATTTCATGCATGATGTAAGGGAAATATGATACCTTGACTCCTACAAACCATTGTCTGTTTTCAATGCATGGCCACGAAGTTAGAATGGCATCATCGTAAAAAACCCAAGTAGCCACTCCCAGGTCCTGCGAGCTCAAATGTTGCAAGGGATGGGTGTAACCAGTCATGTGTGTACGACCAGTAAAGCGGATGGTGTGGGTGCCATCCAGTCCGTCTTTCTCAGCCAAAATGCGTCTGGTTGCTGATCTAATGCCATCTGCGCCCACCACTACTTCACCAGTTATTATTCGACCATCGGCCAGGCGCACCTTGACCGTAGGCTCAGTGGGCAGATCTTCAATATCGACAACCTCTGCATTGAGTAGAACATTCTCTGGCCCTGCGCCCTGATAGAGGGCTTTGTGCATTGAATGTCTTTCAATAGAGTAGACGCTGTACCCAAATTTGCCCTCAATCCATTCCCAGTCAACGACACTCCACAAGGTATTGTCGCGGAATATTTGGATCTTGCGAAGAGGCTGTCCTTTGCGTCTGATTGCGCTCATGTGTCCAAGCTGGTCCAGGATACGTAGGCAATTTGGTGCAAGGGAGATCCCTGCGCCGACGGGGGTGATTTCGGCACTGCGTTCGAGCACCTTGTAGCTGATTCCAAGCTTTTTACAGATACCTGCCAATGTCAGGCCTCCAATACCTCCACCTACAATGAGGACCTGGGCATCTGTGCTTGGAGCGACTCGGGTCATGATATTTAATGTAGGAAGTGAGTAGGATTTCTTCGATGTAAAAGGTCTCAGGAGAGAAAAGAAAGATTGGTTGGATTTAAGGGGCATTTAGAGCATACCTGCTATATATACATGTATTCACGTATTATTTGCCGGCACGGAACCACTGAGATTACCTGGCTAGGCAAGTATGGATGCCATCCAATGTGGAGCATGAGTATAGGGATGTATAAATAGGTATCCATGGGTCCAGTCGAATTGCGTTGCGCTTCGGAAGAGTCTACATACCTATATGGATTGGGGTCCAGAATCCAGAACCATAAGTTCAAAAGAATGATGTCAGCACGGAGAAGAGTAGTAAATTTTTAAATATTTAGAATTTCTGGTTTAGTATCCGGTAACGCCTGTCATTCCAGGAGTAACTTCATTCCGTACTGTGAGATACGATTTTGTAACATTATTTATTGAGTGATGTAACTATAATTAACAATGCACGGAAGTGATCTCGCATTAAGCGATCCATAGGTGGCTTCATTCAAGCATTATCCACACAATTTTTGAAGATTTTCTTTGACACTGGCGCATAAAAAGATCAACAGACTGATAACCTCACTACTCCTCTCTGCGATTGAGTCTAATATATGCATCCCCTAAAAGCCAAGGGCTCCCCACTTTACTGAAATCCAACATAGAAAGGTCCTGAGATGGGTCGTCGTTCCCCAAGGCAACATCATAATTCTTGAGGAGATGAGAAACCAGCTGTTGAGCGATAATTCCGGCCAGTGCCTCCCCTGGGCATCGATGACAGCCAGCGCCAAATTGCAGAAATGCGACCTCCTGCGGGTTGTTTAGATTCCGCATGCCAGAATCGTGCTCTAACCAACGCTCAGGAAGCCACTTCTGTGGATCGTGGTAGATCTCAGGGTCATGGTGTGTAAGGTAAGGGGATATGCAGACAATCCAATTTGGAGGGACCGTATACTTGCCTTCATCTAGGTCCACAGGGCGATGCGTGGTGCGAAACATGTGGACACCTGAGTAATGACGACCAGTCTCTTTGATACATGCTAGAAGCGCGGGAGTGTGGCGCGCATCCATATCATGTGCATCCAAAGCCTTGCGCACCTCAGATATGTACTCTGGATTGCGAAGTAACTAGAAACAAGGCATATATTCATCAATGATTCGAGCAGCACTTCAAGTAGAGATTTGGGTAACTAACCTCTATGATTGTCCATGCAATGCTGGCCACTGTGCTTGTATGGGCAGCAAACATCATTACTGTATGATGGGAAGGGAGCCAGTCTTCGAGATGGGCGGTTCGTGGATCCTCCAGGGTAAATGAAATATAGTCCAAGGAGTCCTTCCATGCTTGAGGATCCTTGCGCCGCTCTGCAAGCTGCTGTTGGAAAATTCGCCCAAACCGGTCTCTATGCTGTTTCAGTCGACGCGATGGTGGATGGGGGATCCAGTCGGGTAGAAGCATGTTAAGAGGATGACCTATATCTGTCTCCATGTGGTGCAAGATATCGTAGAGCTCGTCCACATGATTATCATAAAAGTCTTGACCCATTAAACACCGAACAATTACTCGATGCACAAAACGGGAGGTTTCTTCGAAGACTTGGACCCTATCTTGCTTGCTCCAGATCTCAAGCACCCTGTCAGCTTCCTCCCCGGCCAACTGGGTGTAGTGATCCAAAGCGACCTTGCGATTTACGCCACGGTTCAAAGAGGAAACCAGAGTGCGGAGGTGGTCAAAATATCCCGGTTGAGCAATCTTTTTAAGAAACAAGCCCTGGAAAGCATCATTAGCCTGGTGAAACTTGGTTCAGTCATGATAAAGATCCTACAATGCCACCACCGAATGACCAGGTGTCCTCCTTCACGTCGGTATACATGCGGTTATATCTGGTTCCACGTAGGTAGATGAGGTTTGCAAAGAGTAGCTTAACCTGAAATATAGATCCACATTTTTTACTTGCTTTCTGTATGAACCTCACAGGATCTTTCAGAAATGCAGCTGCGTCGCCGATGCGCGGTATTCCAAAATTTGGGGCAGGAGGACTTTTCTTTCCAGCTTCAGAACTCAACGAAAGAAAAACGAGTGACAACACAAGTGCACCGATCAGAACAAATGCGCAGCCAAGCTGCTTCTCCGAAAGTACGGATGAAGATAAAATGTGTGTGATCATTTTAGCTGTTTGTGAAGGGACTGGTATTCACGATAAGGGTTGGGTGGAGGAGAAGAAAAACAGGCCAGACAAGGGAACAACCCACGCTGTCGTTCTATGTGAGAATTGTAATTAGACAGCCCAGTCCTCTCGAGCACCACATCCACATGTGTGGAAAAAGGAACATTCTCGAGGCTAGGATATTCCCTACACCCTATGATGTGTTATACTTAGGCGTTCCACGGATCAGAAATTCAACAAATATCCGTGGGCCGATCAGCCGTGTTCGGTCCTGAAGAGAACCAAGGGCGTATGATATAGATCAGGGTGGAATGATTCATCCTCGGGGAGATATCCGCAGATCCACCAGATGCATTCTTGGGTTGATCCCGAATGACGTGGACTATGCAGCGCTCCATTGCCCATTCTTCAGGTTGCCTAATCGTTCGATATAAGTGAGCCAAGGTTTGCTGAACTAGAATAGAACCCGAGGTTGTATCGGAGTATTTGCCAATGAGACATAGCGGGGCGGAGATAACGGTCCGTCCCATAACATTCTCAAAACTGGGAGGCCTTAATTCTGCCATTATTTGGAATGATATGAAGTACTACCTGAATAGGGCACGAGATCCATGGACCCAAAATTACAAGCTGTGCACTTCGATGGTAAATTATGAATGGAGACATGGTATCGAATTATAGTGGGACGAAGGATTCTTCACTTGAGCATCGCCTAGGCCATTCCATATTGACCGAATTTGAACGAGACATTTTGCCCCCTTCATGCGCATACGTACCAAACTATACATTCATAGATCATGATATGTAATGTGTCCGTTTTCAACCCTGACGTGGTATAGATCAAGATCTTGGCATTTTTATGTGCTCTCAAGCATGACTAGCACAGTAGATAAGGCCTGAAATCTGTATTGCCGCGAATGAATGAGAGTTCTATCACCTTAAACATTCCCAAAAAAAAACCTCTTCTCAAGTGGACGACTTGACTTTGCCCCGATTTACAACCGCCCACTATGGCATCAATCCCTGCGAGAGGTCTTCGAGGATCCGAAGACTCGGGGACAACAAGTAAAAATGTCTCGCCGCCGTTCTCTTCTCGTCCATCACAATCGTCGATGTCCTCGGTCGATGGGCCCAACCACGCTGCTATCATAGGCTATGCCTGTCGCGTTGCTGGTGCAGATCGTCCAAGTAAACTCTGGGACAACATTGTCGAGCAGAGAGATCTGCGGCAAAAGATGCCCTCTAATCGATTTAATATTGAGAACTTCTACCATCCTAAAGGAACAAACAAGGGAACGGTAATATAACAACTCTGGAAGATGTTGATAAGAGCACTGCTAACTGTCGAATTATCATGTCAGACGAATGCCAAGCATGGGTACTTTCTTGATCAAGATCTAGGGGTGTTTGACCGTAGCTTTTTCCGCATTTCCGGCAAGGAAGCCGAGGCTATGGACCCCCAGCAGCGCCTCCTTCTTGAAGTGGTGTATGAGGCGCTCGAAGACGCCGGCCTTACTTTGGATGAGATAGATGGATCAAACACCTCGGTCCTGTGTGGCTCATTTACAAATGACTACAATTCCATGGTCACCAAGGATTTGGAGTACTACCCCAAATACACTGTCACGGGAACAGGAAATGCAATCCTCGCCAATCGTGTGTCATATGCATTCAACCTTAAAGGGATGAGTCTCACAATTGATACTGCATGCTCTTCCTCTCTGGTCTCTTTCCACCTCGGCGCCCAAGCCATCCAGAATGGAGAATGTGACATGTCCATTATTGTGGGCTCAGCGCTCCATTTTGATCCGAATATCTTCATTACCATGACAGACTTGGGCATGCTGTCCGAAGAAGGACGCTGTCGGGCATTTGATGCCGATGGCAAAGGTTACGCGCGAGGAGATGGAATATGCGCCGTCATCCTACGCGGACAGAACCAGGCGCAACTGCATGAAGACCGGATTCGCGCTGTTGTGAAAGCCACCGGCTCTAATCACGATGGAATGACACAGGGGATCACTCTGCCTTCCTCGGAAGCACAGGTGGCCCTGATCCAACGAACTTATCAATCCTGCGGCTTAGATCCCGCCGACACACAATATGTAGAAGCTCATGGCACCGGCACCGCTCGTGGGGATCCCCTGGAGATGCGAGCCATCGGTACGTGCTTTGCCTCCAAGCAGCGCAGTCAGCCCCTATACGTTGGATCTGTCAAGACCAATATAGGACATGCTGAAGGAGCGTCTGGACTCGCCGGCCTGATCAAAGCCACAATTGCCCTCGAAAAAGGCAAAATCCCACCAAATATGCATTTCAAGAGACCGAACAAAGAAATCGCTTTTGACGACTGGGGGATTCAAGTGCCCACGGATTTGATCGATTTCCCCACCAACAGTCAGGGTACAAAGAGAGTCAGTATTAATTCTTTTGGCTATGGTGGTTCCAATGCACATGTGATCCTCGAAGCATATGATACATTTCCCAACAATATCGACCAACCAGTCTCGATGCTTCCAAAAGCCTTTGAGGCTGATGTCATTGGTCGTCCGTTCCTGGTGCCATTAACCTCGCACTCGGAGAAAGCAGGGAAGGTGTGGACTGACAGCCTGACGGCTTATCTGCAAGAAAAGCCGGAGACTCTCGTGTCCGATTTGGCTTACAGTCTGATCAATCGTCGGACCCTTCATGAAAAACGATCCTTCGTCATTGGAACAAGCGCAGGGGACGTCGCGAACAAGCTGGAAAACGTGCCCCCATGGACAAGGGCCAAAAAAGAGCCGCTACGACTAGGATTTGTTTTCACCGGCCAGGGTGCCCAATGGCATTCAATGGGCCGCGAATTGATTGCCAAGGCTTTGATATTCAGGCAGACGTTGGAAAGAGCCGATCGCGTTCTATCCGGTCTACCGGATGGTCCAAATTGGTTGATTGTGGAGGAGCTCTCCAGAACAAAAGAAGAGTCAAGGCTCGCAGAGACCGAGTTATCTCAGCCTGTCTGCACAGCTGTGCAATTGGCTCTTTTGGAGCTCCTAAAGAGTTGGGGGGTCGTTCCCACAGCATGTGCTGGACATTCGTCAGGGGAGGTAGCAAGTGCGTATGCGGCAGGGATTTTATCTTTCGACAGCGCAATGTGTGTGGCATATTATCGCGGTCTGCACATGTCAAAGAAAGCGCTACAGTCAGGAACGGATGAAATCTCAGGGGCGATGTTAGCTGTGGGATTAGGGGAAGCTGAAGCTGCCTTGGAGATCAAGGCCTATCCAGGTCGAGTGGTCATCGCCGCAGTGAATAGCCCATCTAGTGTCACTCTGTCCGGAGACGAAGATGCAATCATCGCTGTCAATGAAGACTTGCAAGCACGAAATGTTTTTGCCCGTCGCTTGCAGGTAAAACAGGCGTTCCACTCCCACCACATGAGCCCCCTCGCGCCGGCGTACGAGAAAGCGCTAGTCGAATGCCCTAAATTTGCGGTAAAACCCTCTGAAACTCGAATGTTCTCTAGTGTTACTGGCCGAGTGGCCAAATCAGACAAAATGGGACCAGAATACTGGGCTGCCAACATGACTGGCACTGTCCGATTCTCTGATGCCTTGATCGGAATCCTCCTCGACGATATGGAAAATGAAAACCTCGATGTCTTGATCGAAATTGGACCTCATCCAGCACTTAAGGGCCCATCTAAGCAGGTGATGAAGAGCTTAAACATGGACCTGCCGTACCTTGCATCTTTGACCCGAGGAGCCCCAGACTTCGAGGGAATGCTGGCTTTGGCTGGCCAGCTCTTTCAACTGGGCTACCCAGTCGACCTGTCAGCACTTAATAGTGACATTTATCTTACCGAAAACAATTTTGCACGTCAAGTATTCTCTCCACAAAAGCTGTCCGACCTGCCAACGTATGCATGGGATCATTCCGAGCGGTTTTGGGCGGAGACCCGAATCATCCACGAGCATCGGCTACGTCCCCATCGGCATTCAATTTTGGGCGCCATCATGCCCGGCTCAATTGAGAAACATACTCGTTGGCGGAATTACTTGAGGATTCGAGAGTTACCCTGGCTTGGCGACCATGTGGTGGATGGGAAGGTCGTCTTTCCAGCAGCAGGTTATATGAGCCTTGCCATTGAAGCTGCAATCCGAGCGAAGGGAATGGTCGGTGATTTCAGTGGTCTAGCTCTACGCGACATATCGATAAAAGCCGCGTTGGTTCTTGACGACTCTGATATGGGTACCGAGATGATCCTGGATATCCGCCCTCAAACCACTTCCGCCAAGTCTAAGTCCACTACATGGCTTGAGTTCTCCATTTTCTCATATGCCGCTGGTGGTGAGACTTGCACGGAGCACTGCACAGGTCTGGTTTCAGTTGGAGATTATGCGAGTGGCCAGATGTCACGAGAGGAACATGAACAACGACAGAAGCAAAGCACCTCATGTTCCTCCGCGCGGGGCTTCTACCGTCATTTGCATGACCTTGGACTGCAGTACGGGGCAGGTTTCCAGCTCCTTACTGGGAATATAGAGTGTGGTTCTGGTTTCGCTTCCTCGACACTCACTTTCAATCCTGAGCAATATGCAAGTCAACCTGCAGATGTGACTGTTCTTCACCCGACCATGTTAGATGCCACATTTCACACCATATTTGCTGCTCTCGAGGGTCTTGTGGGAAGGGACCTGGATGTAGCCTTTGTGCCCACCTTCCTCCAATCATTGGACATTTTGCCCGAGATGATACCGATCAAGGATGCCAAGGGGCCGCAGGAGGTATGGGTGGCATCATCGGCTCATTTCTCTGGCCCTCGAGCTGCAGTCAGTGACTTGGTAGTCTACAATCAAGACACCGGTCGGGCATTGGTGTCTGTCGCTGGCCTTCGGCTTACTTCATTGAGTAATGGGGACGATGTCAATGACCGCTCTTTATTCTTCCGTACACGGTGGCAACCAGCCTTTGATCATCTGATGACTTCGCCTTCACCAGCTCTGCACCAGGCAAGCCTAGAACACATGCTCCATCTCTTCGTGCATCAGCACCCGAACACAAGGATGCTCCATTTCACCCCTGATATTAAGCATACGAAGGATATTGTACACTTGCTGACTGAAAAGACCAACGAACGGCGAGTCTTCCAGTCTATCACAGCCGTTGCAAGTAACACATCATTCGATGATCAATTTCAAGATGAGCTAGCGGTGTTGCAAAAAGAGTGGCCGGGTCTTGTTCTTTCTGAAGAACCAGAAGAGCAGAGTTTTGACTTGGTGCTTGTAAGCAATGCCAGAGATCAAGACGTTTTACCCTACATCAAAGATGACGGCTATGTTCTCACCGACGGCTGCCGCATTGATCATTCGAACTTGAAGATGGTATTCGATGGGCAAAACTTCAATGTGTGGCAGAAGAACACGGAGACTCTATGCCACCAGAAACCAATCCTCTTATGTCTGGCACCCAAGCCATCCCGCCGTACGCTAGATCTGGTATCGCATATCAAAGCTGGAAACAAGCAGCGGTCCATCTCTTCTGTCTCGATCACTGAGCTACCAAGCAAACTGAGCGAGAACTCCGACTTGGTCATTTTGGCTAGCTTAGACCAAGATCTATTTGCGCAGATGAACCAGGAGGATGAGCTCGTTTTCAATGCCACCAGGGAAGTGCTCACTCGCCCAGACATGAATGTCCTATGGCTGCTTCACGGAGCCACCTCTAACGTGACCAGCCCTATGGGTGCTTTGATCATCGGGTTGAGTCGGAGCGCGCGGTCCGAAAATGACAGCTTGCGGCTGCTAACTTTGGATCTTCCTGATGAATGGTCTCACGAGTCGGTTGTGCCGTTGATTCCTCAACTTTTGGATCCCGCAACCCAAGAAGAGGAGTTCTCTTTTAGGGAAAATGTACTTTCCATTCCTCGCGTTGTGAACGATGACGGCCTTAATTCAATGGTTCCAGGAGGCGTGGCTTCAGGAGCCAAGGCCGAGCCTTTCAGTTCCGAACATCCCATCAGGCTTGCTATTGACCAAGTTGGTTTACTGGAAACGCTTGTCTGGGAGGAAGATCCTGAGATTATAAACGAGGATCTCGCGGGAGATGATATTGAAATTGATGTCCGCGCTTCCGCCATAAACTTCCGAGACATTGCTGCCGCTGTGGGTATTATCGATGACTATATGTTAGGCGACGAGTGTGCTGGCATTGTCCGGAAGGTGGGAAAAAATGTCGATCCTGCAGATTTCCAGCCTGGAGATCGTGTGGTGGCTCTGCGACCCGGGAGAGGAGCTCATCGCTCCGTCGTCCGAAACCCTGCCTGCCACTGCTACCGGCTGGGTCAAATTCCCTTCGAACAGGCAGCCGCCCTGCCTTTGATTCTGACCACCGCTTACTACTCCCTTGTTGATACCGCCAGACTACAACCAGGCGAAACTGTTTTGATTCATGCTGCAGCTGGAGGAGTCGGTCAGATAGCAATTCAGATTGCGCAAATGATCGGTGCCAATATCATCGCCACCGTTGGCTCTCCCGCAAAACGGGATCTATTGAAATCTCAGTATGGTCTGGCTGACGAGGCTATTCTGAACTCTCGAGACGATAGCTTTGTCGCTGGAGTGATGAAGCTGACGGGCGGCAGGGGCGTGGATGTGGTCCTGAACAGTCTGGCTGGGAAGCTTCTTCACGCGTCTTGGAACAGCTTAGCCACATTTGGCCGCTTTGTCGAGATTGGAAAACGTGACATCCATGAGAACTCGACTATTGGGATGGAGCCATTTCGACGAAACGTTTCGTTTTCATCAGTTGATTTGGTAACCATCTACAAACAGAATCGTCAGTTAGGTGCCAGGCTGCTCAGCCACTGCTGCAATCTAGTCCACGAAGGTAAGATTAAATTACCCGAGACTATCTTCACACTTCCGTATTCAGAGGCTGTGAAGGGGTTTAGAATGTTGCAGATGGGTCAGCACACTGGAAAAGTGGTTCTGGTGGCCAACAGTGACAAGGTCGAAGTTGCGGTCCGCCCGTCGACTTGGAATACCTCAAAAAATCAACTCAGCCCAGACAAGACATACCTGATCGTTGGTGGCTTGGGGGGTTTGGGACGCACCTTGGTTGAGTGGATGATGCAGCGACAAGCTAAAAGCCTCGCCATCCTCTCGCGATCTGGTGAAGATCGTGAGGAGGCAAGATCTACAGTTTCATGGCTACGAACACGCGGTGTGAAGGTCACCGTGTACAAAGGAGATGTCGCCAATCACACCGATGTACAAAACTGCATCAGCAAGATTCAGAATCTGGGGGGCGTGATTCATGCTGCCATGATTTTGGCCGACGCTCCGCTGCAGAGCATGACTTATTCTCAATGGCACAAATGCGTTCAACCCAAAGTGCATGGAGCGTATAACCTGCATAACGCGACAATGGGTATCCCGCTCGATTTCTTTGTATGCTTCTCCTCTATTTCCGCATTTTTCGGCGGTAAGGCGCAGGCGAATTATGCTGGTGCGAATGCCTGTCTAGACAGCCTGATGGGCTATCGCCGACAGCTTGGCCTACCTGCTTCCACTATGAACTGTGGGCGCATAACTGGGCATGGCGTTGCAGCTGAAGATGCGGCGCTGGAACGATTCATGGAGGATCAAGGCTATGAAGGGGTTAACCGTCAGGAGCTACTCTACCAAGTAGAGAATGCCATCTTCCCACATGTCCCCTCGCAAGTCTCTCCAAGTGGACTTGACTTGTACCAGACCCTGACAGGTGTCACTCTTGCGCGTGACGATGTCTTTTGGGCCAAAAGATCCATCTTCAAAAATCTATATCGCAACCATGACTTCAACGCGCAATCCGGCCAGCGAGGAGCTGGGGGAGAAATCAGTCTGTTGGCTGTATTTAAGCAGGTCACAGATCCTCAGGAGCGGTTCGATCTCATTCTGGAGCGATTTGTCAACAAGCTCTCCGTTCTACTTGGTCTGTCGCCCGAATCACTCAAGCCGGCAGATCCAGTTTATGGACTAGACTCATTAGTGGCCATCGAGCTGCGCAACTGGTTCACTAAGGCCTTGGGAGTCGACATAGCTTTGTTTGATGTGCTTGCAGCCCCATCTATCAGAGCCTTGGTAGAGAAATGCGTGACTTTGTTTGGTACGCAAGAACTTAAGGCTCCTCGGTCAGGGCCACAGAATACCAATGCTTCCTCACCACAAGTTAGCGCTACGCCGCAAGATAGAGCATCTCTGAACTTCCCGAAAGCCGACTTGTCGCAGCCACTCCCCCTTGTCCACCTTTCAGACCCGCTTATGGTTCTCTCACATGCTCGCTGCAGACAAGTCGCTACTGAATCTTCCAATTGTTATGCACCTTCATGGGCAGCCTGATCATAGTATCCTTGAGAAATCACTTTCGGAGCTGATTTCCAGAAATCCCATTTTGCGGACCGCATATCAGGAGGGAGAGGAGTATGCCGAGCAGAGAGTAATGCACGACCGAGAATTCATTCTCAAGTTTCAAGATATATCTCCAATCGAAGAGGCAACCCAAGCCCTGAAGCCTCTTGTTGCGGCTCTGAAGATGAAGCAGATGAAAATTGAAGAGGGAGAGGTGATTGATGGAACTTTGGTCAAGATCAGTGAAGATGACTTTGCTTTGGTGCTCATAATGCACCACATCTGCACGGACCGAAGTAATACACAATCATTCATAACGCAGCTATCCGCGATTTATGACACCTTCCATCAGAGAGGGAACATCAGCACAATCCCGAGTCCCAAGTTGAACTACGGAGACTTCACCCTGTGGCATAATGACTTACTGTCAACCAGCTCCATGAGTTCGGAAATCGAATTTTGGAAGAATCAGCTATCTGGAATGCCTTCTAGCTGTGAGCTGCTACCCTTTGCCAAGTCGAAACGGCCTTCATGGGATGATTATGGCCGGGCAACCACCACGGCAGAGGTAAACCCAAGTCAACTCAAACGTATGAAGCGGATTTGCTTGCAATCCAAAACAAGTCCCTTCCAGTTCCTTTTCGCCGCTTTCCGGGCATTTCTATACCGTTACACCGCAGACAAAGATCTGACGATCTTGATGGTGGATGGAAATCGACCCCACGCGGACTTGAGCGACGTGCTGGGATTCTTTGTCAACATGACACCGATTCGCTGCCAAACCACGTGTGAGAGCAGCTTCGAAGCTCTTTTGTTATCTACGAGAGACCGTATCTTAGAGTCCATGTCCCACAGTACCGTGCCATTTGACGTGATTGTCACCCAAACCCAACAAGAACGAAGTACTGGTCACTTCCCATTGGGCCAGGTTATGATCAATTATCAGCAACCCGATGGCCAAGACGTTTATCAGACTAAAGATTTTGTAATCCAGAAGACGGAAGCACAAGATATGGTTTCTGGTTGTGAATTGAATCTGCGAGCTCGAGAGGACCCGGATAACGCCCTTCAACTGCAGCTGGAATACTCCACCGCGTTGTATGGAGACACCGACATGCAAGTCTTTTTTGAGAACTTCGAGACTTTCCTCTCCAGCCTTATTCAAGACCACCGACAGCCGATCGATGAAGTCATCATGTCCGGTCCCAAGGAGATTGAACGACTGGCAAACAAATTCTGGAATGGCCATTCAGGATCTCATTCTCGAGAGCATCCGAGCCTAACTGGACAAATCCTCCGTGTCGCAGAGATGCAACCGAATGCCATTGCCATTACGACGTCACAGAGCCAGACCATTACTTATGGTTGCCTGGTTGACTCCGCTCGTCGACTAGCCTTTTCGCTACAGAGTGCAGGTATCGGGCCCAGGCAACGCATTGGAATCCTCGCAACCCCGGGTATTGACATGGTGACGGCCATGCTGGGAGTCTTGTTCAACCGATGTGGCTATGTTCCAATGGATCCCACCATGGCTGTTGGACGCTTAGCATTCATCACTGACGATTCCGGCATGGATTTACTGCTCTTCGATGAGGCGTGCAGCGACTTAGCATATAATATTCGATCCCAGGCTCAAGGTCATTACGATACTATGAGCGTCAAGAAAGCCACTAGCTCGCAATGGCCGGCAGACCTTCATCAGTCTTTGCCTGGTGATCCTTTCTATATGATGTATACTTCGGTAAGTTGACCCCACACGGTAAGCTAGAGAATGAGCAAAAGCGCTAACCATTGGCTGTCCGATGATTTAGGGTAGTACTGGTACACCCAAGGGTGTTCCACTTTCCCAACAAAATGTTCACGAAATGCTGGCAGCGATGCAGGAACAGTTCAAATTCTGCCCCGACGACCGGTTTCTGCACCAGATTTCACCTTCTTTCGACCTTTCTGTGGTGGAGCTTTGGTCATCGCTGGCCATCGGTGCTAAGCTTTGCATTGCCAGCATGGGAATACGGCATGATCCTGTGCTTCTCGGCGAATATATGCGCCAGGAGTCTGTAACCGTCACGTACTTTACCCCAACTCAATTTGCTCTGGTGATAGAGCACAACGGTGCTGCCTTGACGGCATGTCCGGACTATCGCATTGCGTTGCTGTGTGGAGAGCGATTGCCCTCACGCCTCGCAGATGCATTCTACCGATTAGGATGCCCGGCGGCTCTGTATAATGCCTGGGGCCCAACTGAGGCAGTAGTCCAGACTACTCTCCATCCGGTCCGCTGGCCCGAGGATGATGTTATCAACATTCCTATTGGCAAAGCCCTTGGAAATTGCCGACATTATATCGTGGATGGGTGCATAAATCCCCTACCAGCGGGGTTCGTCGGAGAAATCTGCATTGGAGGCCCCCAGGTAGCGACCGGGTACTGGAATCGTCTCGAGGTCAATCGTAAGCAGTTCGTGGATAACTCATTTGCCTCCGCGCACGACAAGGACTGTGGATGGACGACTCTCTTCCGAACAGGAGACTTAGGCCGTTTCCTGCCCAATGGAAACCTAGAGTTCCTGGGTCGCATTTCTGGTGACAAACAAATCAAATTGCGTGGATATCGAATTGATCTTGGTGAGATTGAACATGTCCTGCACCGGTCTGTATCACCGGATGAGGCCCAAGGCGTTGTCGATCTTGCAGTCGTGGCCTATTCAACGGGCGATGACTCAAGCTCACTGACAGACGACCGTTGGCTTGTCGCCTTCATTGTTCCCAAGCAGCCTATGGCCACTATGGCTGACAAGACCAAATTCGCCACGCTTCTGTACTCACGCGCCAAGTCTTCACTCAGTCATTACATGCTTCCCAACGTGTATCAATTTATTGAAAAACTACCAACCACCGCCAGTGGCAAGACAGATCGACGAGCCCTTCTCGGACTTGACATGGATTTCATTCGTCCAGATTTGGATGGCACAGCCTCGATTAATTCAAGCCAGAAGTCCTCTTTGCATGATAGCCAAGCGCCGGCTGAGCAGGTTAGTGAAAGCACTATCAAGACGGTCAATCAAGTCTGGCAAGAAGTGCTCAAGCTGGACACCCCCGTACAATCGACGGCCAATTTCTTTGAAACGGGGGGCTCGAGCATTCTTCTTCTCCGTCTCCAATCCAAGCTTCGAGCAGCAATGAATGTCTCTCTCAGCTTGCAGGACATGATTCGGGGACCAACGCCAATCCAACTAGCCAACCTGCTGCATGGAAGGGTTCTTGGATCCACTACCTCCCAAGAAGAAAATACAGATCACGTCGACTGGATCATGGAGACTACCCTGCCCAACCATACTCGTTATTATCCTTCGGCTTCCGGGGTAAAGTCAGCTATGACTGATATACTCTTAACTGGCGCAGACACATTCCAGGGGATTCATCTGTTGGCCCATCTCCTTGTTCAGCATCCTGGTGTGATCATCCACGTCTTGGGCACGCATTCCCCCCTCGACCACGCCCGCATATTTACGTTGCTATTGGAGAGCAAATTGATCAACGAAACGCTAACGGGTGAGCAAATTCTCACTCGTGTTCGGGTAATCCCTGGATTCTTGGGTCAAGAATCCAATTTTGGGCTCTCGCCTTCTGAGTTTGAGAATCTTGGAAGGTCGATATCGACCATCTATCATCTTGCCTCAGAGGTCTCCTTGCTCAAAACCTTCCACGACCTAAGACACATTAACACTACCTCCATTCTTTCCCTCGTTGAGCTGTCTCATTTTGGAGGGAGCGACATCCACTACCTGTCGACCTGGAGTGTTCCCCACCTCCAATCCTGGTCTGACACTCAAAGCTCCCTTCCCTCCATGAATATTCTGGAAGACAACGCAGGTCACTTTACTCCCCAGCCCACAAGCCAGCATGGCTACTTCAAGTCTCGCTGGGCAGCTGAAATGCTTCTCACACGAGCCGCAGATCGAGGCTTCCCGGTCACCATCTACCGGGCCTCCAGCAGCACCGGCAACACTAGCACGGGCGTCGCGTCCTCTCAAAGTGATTTCGTCCGAGGCCTGATCCTGGATATGATTCGCCACAACGTCATTCCAAAGGCCGGAACAACGGATCATCCTTTTGTAGTCGATTTCGTTCCCGTGAACTACCTCGTCGACGTTCTCATCCGGCTTTCGATGCGACGGAGGAATGCTCAGGAGGCCTTTTCCTCAACTGCAGACCTTCAAATTTTCCACATCACCAACCCTAGGCCCCTACCTCTGAAGCAACTTCCAGCTCTGACAGGGCTCATTCGTGGCGATGACAATCCAGATCAGATCGGGCAACATGTCAGTGTGGATGACTGGCTTGCACACTCAACTCAAGGCAATGCTGGTGAGGACGAGCAATTACGCCGAGAGGTTTTGGGTGATTACTTCCGGCAAGGTCATAATATGTTTGCGTTGGATCGAAGCTGCACTGATGCTGCACTGGCCGGTGTGGAAGATTTGACGATTTGCCCGTCGGTAGATGAGACATATCTACGGGCCTTGTGGAGGGAGTGACTCACATGAGTATGCTGGTTGATTTTTGATTTTCTAAAACTGTCTGTAATGCTCATCTTCTACTTTGTTTGAAGAACAGTCGTTCCCTTCGCTACATTAATATGATGATCATTTACTTTTATTCGATCTCAAAGTTTTGGCCTTTATGTTACCAACTCCCCTTGTATGTACGTGTGTTCTGCAAGTTCTTCACACTGAGTAGAAAATCCATAGGCAGATCCAGGTATAACTTGGCTGAGGAAGGTTTGGTAAATTTAGGATTTTGTTTCAATAGTATGATGGGTATAGAAGCCGTATATGGAAACAACGTCTCAATCCATATCGTTCTCTCTGGCGGTCCTTTTCTTACATGAACGCTGAATGATTAACAATCCATGGAGCTTTCGCTATTTGTGCCTTTCTCTATATAGGCAATAAGTTACTTATTCAAGGATCTTCACTACCCCCAGCCTAGACCAGATCTTGGATAATGTAGAAACGCACCTAAAGAGAAGATACCAGCATGGAAGGGGAAGGACACGTCAGTGCTTCAGGGGTGTGCGGGATAATCTGGTGCAAAATAGTAGTTTCAGGGCCGTTCAGGCAAAAAGCCAAAAGTGGCTGAAGGCTAAAGCGGCAAAAGAAAGCTGTCGAGCGAATCAAAAAAGACAGATGAACTAAATCATACAACAGTTGGTATTCGTTGGTGGTCACCGACCCAACTACTAATCTATGTATGGCAGAGCGTACGGGATGCCCAGTTCCCTTAAGTCTATGGTCGTATGTGGGATGATGTGATTGCATCTGTGTTCCTGTTTCAATCACTACTTTGCGGTCATTACGAGTGCAGAAATCTTCAGCCAAAAAGGGAGCCGATCCGGCCTAACATGGTAATTGTTGCTGCCGTTCCCACGGCTCTGCGACTAATGTAATGACTGACTGGGTTAACGTTCCATGCTACCATCTCTTCCCCAATGGCCTAGCTATATTCAAACAACCGAAAAAGGAGCCGGTCCGGCCTTAACATGGTAATTGTTGATGCCGTTTCCACGACTCTGCGACTAACCCAATGGCCTAGTCATATTCAAATGACTTCTCAGAGTCCATCAGGAAGTTCGCATCGTTGTTCCTCTCACCATTTGTTGAAGGCATTGATATCAAAGCCCTCCCACAAAAGCCTTCCATACTCAAGTTCGCGGACAACTTTTCCATCACCATCCCACCAAATCGCCGATAGCATGATCATACCCGAGGATTCGCCCGCCTTGATTCCAGGGGGGAAGGTTAGGCTTGGCTGCCTCGGGGGGATCAATTTTCAATGTGAACCGTGTCACGCTTTCCAAGACCGCACACGAGCCGGGCTCGGAACTGCCGTGGAGCGAAATGGCCTCAACTGAGATATCCTTCATAAGACCGCCAAATCCCTTGTTCTGTTGGAACCAAGTCTCTTTAGGTGACCTCACAATACCGAGGGCTGTATAGAAATAGAGTGTTAGAATGGTATTTGAGAAGGGAAAAGGGAATTAGCTCTTACGGATATCGGACATGTGATAATCATCAGCCACCATATTATCCATTTTCGTGGCATCGGCATTGGCGAAAGCTTCGAAGTACTCAGTAATGCGCGTCAGCAATACCTTGTCCTCGTGGTTTCGGATACGGGCATTGTTAAATGCGGGTGAGGTCGAAGCCATATTGTATGATATGTGATGTAGTAGGTGTTATAAAATGACTATGGTTGTTGAAAGGATAGGCAAAGGATGGAAGCCGTATTTATACTTCTATACCTCAATTCGAGTAAAAACTAAATCAAAGGGTCCCCAAGTTCTCTTCACCTACATCAAATCCCGACGCGTAGTTCGTCACACTTCAGCTGCAAGCTAGAACCAGTTTTCGCCACCTGGGCTTGCCGGCTTTCGAGAGAATTAAGTCATTGCCAATTGAAAAATATTTAAGAGTTACACCATAGTGCATATTGTCTGTAATAATCTACATCACCGCCACCTGCGGCTTTTGTTCCACAGCGCATAACAACTGGACAAGGTTAAGGACGGTGTTTTACATAATAAGAATTCATCGTACTTTCCTCTTGAGGCAAAAGTCGTCTTGAGACAGGCTACACCATAATTTCTTTAGTATTTAATCACCGCTACCTATAGCTTTTATTCCATAGCGCATAATAACTGGACGAGGTTAAGGACAATGTTTTACGCAAACAAGAATTCATTATACTTTCCTTTTAAGGCAAAGAGTGTCTTGAGACAGAGATTGATGTAAGACAACCATTGGTAAAAGACAATGGATTCAAGTAATGATCAGTGGGGAAAAAGCAATTGAAGAGGCCTGGTCAAAATGAGATTACTCTACAGTATATTGCAATAATAAATGCTTGGCTACTCAACAAGCCCTTCTCCGCCAATTTTGCAGGTCCGTGCATTTTTCAATACCTCTACACCCCCCACATCTTTGACAAAAGATATTATTTCAACCTACTTGTCACAACCAACTTATTACATAACATAGCGCACGCGGAAAACGAATGACATTGGCACCAATAACCACTTTATGCCAGACCTCGAGAACGCAGGGAAATCGACCATATCTACCGGGGCATGAGCTGGACCCTAACAGCTCCCTGAGAGGTATTTTGTCGAAGGTTCTCTGCGCGAACTTCGGTCATGGTGATTATTGGTACGTTCGTAGGTACGTTCGTACTTCGAATATGCCTCAATTGAAAGACCCCAAAATCAGCCAATCAGAACGAAGGATCAACGGCAACTCCCGCTCGCCGGCCAGAGATCGCCGAGATCGAGCCTTACCAATTAGCGCCCAGCATCACATCGCCCCGGTTACACACCCCACTGAGTTATTTCTGGTACTGCAATTGACGTAGCAATTAGTGCAGCAATAATTGACGCGTGAATTACGCCACACTCAGCAAGCAAGGAATACGACCCGCCCCCACAATCACACCAACTCGCGTTACACGAGGATGATTTACATGCCCCACCTGGTCGTACACCAGCACGCACCTAAAACACGACCCCTTGCCTATAGCATATGGGCCTCATGACCTATAGCGTTCAACAATTGGTGTGATATAGAAATACCATAGTGCTGGCTTGGCGGGACCCTGCGTAGGCTAGTGGGTAGATAAAAATCCATGAGGACACTAATAAGGTGGTGCTACCCTTAACCAAACATTCTTACATAAGATTTCTCTTCGTGGCTTACTACGGTCCTAGTAACTCTAGGCTTTAGCGAGTTAACTAATTATAGAGATAAATATATAGAGGATTTTCGCGAGGTTTGATGCACCATAAAGGTGTATTAGAGTCTACCTATAGTTAGGTGACCTATAGCCTCCGTACATAGATGGCGCTTCTTCCTCTGTCCCTTCTTCTCTCCTCTATATACCTCAATACTATATTATTCTATCAATTCGTTTCTTCTTGTAGCAGTAAGCTATACTACTTTAGCTTTCTCTCTTTCTTTCTTTCTTTCTTTCTTTCTTTCTTTCTTTCTTTCTTTCTCCTCTGATCCTCGACCAGCGTGTAGCGCTGACAAGAACCGTTTTTTCCTAAGAAGTTATCTGTGGGATCTAATAGAAACGTGCCCGAGCCTGCGATCTCGATAAGTTAGGAAGAACACCACAATTTCAGAAGAACACTACTGCTAGCCACATTAGGGAAAGCGTAGTAAATGTAATTCAGAGAGTAACATTATTGAGTACATACCCAAGTACCTACTTGCTCACGTTATTTTGTAGACTACGCTGGAATTTGAAGGTGATCAAAGACTGATACCCACTAAGCTTACTTATATGATGACTCCAATGAAGCGTCATCTCGCATATTGAAGTGAATTAAGCGAGGGTGATGCGATGTCCTTCCATAATTGAGATAATTCTTTTACTGAATTACAACTACTGCGCCATACCAGATATAGAAATGATGTGGTGTCCAACTGATTTTGTGGTGTTCAAATAGTGAGCTCCATTTGGAAGCTTTGCAGGAACACATAACAAGTTGAAGCCTTCTCATCCAACCACACCTCCAGCCACCATGCTCGTGAAACAATATTTCTTGGACTATTTGATAACTGGGGGTTGATTTTTAGGGCAAGAAGGGCACTGAATAACAAGAATATGTTGTGTGGCCTCGCAGCCTCTCACACTTTCTCTTTCCATACAATTTCTTTACTTTTTTGGACTGCTTTGGTATGGGTTGGGCCAGAGAGTAAGGGAGTCTCTAATGGTAGCTCATCCAGCATTTGCCTCGAGTTTGTTCTTAAAACCATTCTGGCTGATGCTATTTGTCCCACACGTGAACGTCCTTATTTTCATTAATCATTAATATAGAAATTTGCCTAAAACAAGTTTTGCTTCAAGTACACTTGGTAAGTTTTCTTTGAACTTTACCCATCACCAACGCGCTTATGAACCGCATATCCTCAAAATACTAGCTGGCACGGTTCTCCAATCCGCCACATTCTCAATAGGAGGTTGATTTAATTTGCCCAATACATATGCTTGTCGTATTGAAAATGCCCTTTTGAAATTAGTAGCGAGTCCCTAATCGTAAGTTCAGGTGATGAACGCACAAATAGGATAAGAGGTTGGCCGAAGTTTGGGTGTGACTGGAAGATATATTGATCAGTTTGAACAAAAAGGTCTGAGCCCTGGCACTTACTTCATTGCCCCAACAATATACAAGGAGCCGATCAATCCAGAATCTTTGATATGTTGAATCACCATTGGGTCCTGTAGCAATTCGGGAAAATTCTGGCTTGTCGGAAAAAGGCGATTACCATCCACTGCCGCCCACACACCGCGAATCTCGTCTCTTTGAAAAATATTAGCCCTGAGTTAGTACGGTTCAGCAAATGCTTACATAGGCTGTCCTTGCAGATTGAAATATTGCCATTCGATAAAAAAGAACCCCCGTGGATCAAAGTTCAGCTTGCAAAATGGTTCGTAGACCACATTGACGCACCATGCATGTATACCCGGACTGAATACGGTGTAAGGGGTTCCTACATCACCAATTGACAGCTCCCTCATCTGGAGGTATAGAAGCCCTTGATCTTGCCCGGTGTTCGTCAAATCGAGTAGATCATTGACAACATAAATCAGAGATTTGCTGGCAGAATGCGACTTGGTCAAACTTTCACGAGTTTCTGCATCAAGGGCACCACCTAATGCAATTTCAAGATTGGTGATGATCGAAGTGAGCGGCGTTCGAAACTCATGAGCAGAATTGGCCAGCAAAAAGTGACTTTGCATGGAATTTTGTTTCTGGCGCATAACTTTGATGTATTTACCGTAAACGAAGCACAGTATGGCTGCTATCTCCATGTCGTTTTCGGTCCACTCTCGAGATTGACCTAAAACTGTCTCTCGCCAAGCTTCAAAGCTACTACGAGGTTCCAGATACCGCGCGGTTCCCTTTTGTTTTACGACGTTATAAGGGTCACCACCCCATTTTATCTCCGAAAGATGGCCCTTGCGGAAGAACACAAGGGAGTCACGACCATCAGCCGATAATGGCATGTACAAGAACCCCGAGATGATTTTCAGACCGGGAGGGTAAAAAAAATCGGGAAAGTCTCGAATGATATCGTAGGAGGCGAGCACGGTGTTTGTTTGGCGTATGCGGAGGAATCCTAACAGGGCGAGAATTTCTTGCGAGTTAGTGTTATACATACCGCCAAAGAGATGTGTTTCTTCATGAATCGAGAGAGCTCCGTAGTCTGCATCGAATAGCCGTAGCAAGGTGTCTGCTGACGCAATAATGTAACTCGAAGGATTGGTTTGGGTTGGAAATGTATTGATTAATCTCCGTGCTCGTAGTCGAGACGTATAGGAAAGACGTTTGATATTGCGCGACACCACATCGCCTAATAGGCGGCACATTTTCCGAATGGGGAAGGACACGCGCATGCCTTCATTTCCGTAGGAATGGCAAGAGATCAAGCCCCACAGATCGTTGGAACCGTTAACGCTAATGGACATACATGAACGAACTTTCATATGGGTAAGATATTTGATGTGAATAGGTGATATAGCACGCAAGTATGCATGTGTCATATCTAAAGGTGTTTTTAGGTCTTCCATTGTTCGGCATACAAGCCGTGATGTAACTTGGTCACGATCATAAAGTAGCCGAACTTTATTGATTCTGTACAGTTCACGGGCTTGCTGGGGGATATCGGAAGCTGGGAAGTGGAAGTCTTGGTATAGATCAGCAGAGTGTTGAAGTTGGGGATCAACCAGCTCGGTAACAACTTGGCCGTTCCAGCTGCTATCAAACCGATATATTAAGACTTTGTGGAATCCAGTTAGATCCTTGATGAGGCTTGCAGTGGCATGAAGTAGGGTCTTGAGATCGTTAGCTAGGCCTAACTGCTCTTGGATCTGAGTCAAGGCACCGAAAACCTCCATTGCCGCGGCCTCGCCCCTACTTCGCCGAGCATTACGAAAAGTCCGAAGTGGCTGACTGAGATTGATATGGGTAGTCGTAATCTGCTCGATAGTGGGAGATTCACTCAGGGAGCTGCTGGTTGGGCTTGTTTCGGTTCCACCAACATTAAGTGGGTTGAGCTCATCATCTTCAAGTTCAAGTTCACAGATAATCAAGTCTTTTTGAGTTGGGTTGATATGTGCCGCGCACCAAAATCGACGGATTTGACCAAGACCTGTAATAATTGAGAGGGAGAAAACTTCAGGGCCATCTGCAGTGGTGTCGTGCATATCGTCGCGAAGAGAATCAACATGATACAACAGTGTGTCTGCTTGATCTGCATCGAGGATATCACAAAAGCTCTCCAATTCAAATAGTTGGTTGGGAGAGTATCTCATGAGTTCATATGAATTTTCGCTAACAATCCGAATCGCAAATAGGTTTGGAGACTCCTCTCGCAGTGCGATGATCACACCAAAACTTTGGATGGCACCAGGTATCCTGATCGGTTCGTCCTCACAGTATTGGAAGATGGGCCCATCTCTTCCTGTAATTACGGCGTGTCCATTTTCAATCATGATATGCTTGAATCTAGTTGTCACATGATCATGGGCCTCGCCATATGAATGCCCCGGATACAGTGGTTCTTGGAGGATCGCATTCATTGCAGGCTGGTTTTCGCTTGACAGTGTATCTTCCGTTATTAACCTGGGTATGTTTGTCGCCATGCTTTAAGTGTTTGCATTTTGTTTTCAATCGATGAACAATATATATACGGAATAACTTCAAATAAGTGGTGACGTAGGGTGGCTTTCTACGGCCAAAGGTCGCATCATCTTGTGCTTAGTCATCATTCTGGACCTCATGTTTAACCTGGCAGAACAGCTCAAACCACCGTCATCACGAAGACAAAAATCAACCAAGTCAAGCTCATGCAGTCAGGAACAACCTACTGGATTGCCATACATAGGTATGTAAAGGACAACGTAAAGGCAGTGATTAGAGTCGATGTTCTCCCACAAAATCAGACCAAAACATCCCGATTAGGCATGCGACTATTTTGGCCGCTAAGTAGATGGCGCTTTTTGATCTAGATAGTGTTAGTGGCTTCAAACACTCCATGAGGTAGTGGATGGCATCGAAATTCATGGAATAGCTCTCGTTAGGCAATATAGTTTTGACAATGCCCTATTGGCTGCAAGCCACCTGACTAGCCTGACACCGATGACGCCTGCCCGACGCCAGTGGCTGACCCTGTTTGAAGAACTTTATATACCTTACTTAGAGTTGCTCTTCCCAAGGTTGACACATTTCCATCTCCAGCAATTTCGAGTTATCATCCAACATGGCTTTACCATGGATCTATGCCGTTCGGATCGCCCAAATCATTTTTGGCCTGATCGTATTAGCTTTGACTGCCTATGGTGCGTGGATGCATGAGCCTCTATATTCCCCGCGTTAACCAACTAACCCTCTTTTTTTAGTGGTCAGTACCTTCAACGGGTGGTCGTACTCCAGTACTGTGGATTTCAACCTGTTCCTGGGCTGCTGGACAACATTCCTAGCCACTCCTTATCTGGCAGCCGCGCCGATCTATGCGCCACACCTCGCCCACCACTATGTGATTCCGGCTGTAGAAGTGATCACAATGATCTTTTGGTTCGCGGGCTTTATCGCCATGGGTGCTGAATTACCCCCCGCGGCCGGCTGCACATACAGTACCTGTCGTGCCCTCCAAGCCGTGACGGTGTTTGGATCTTTTGAATGGTAAGTTTTACCAATCTCTTCAACTTCATCAGCAGCTGACCCGGTCGGACACAGGGCCCTTTTCGTGGTAACCACTTATTTCGCCATTGTCGATCTCATGAATCATCGCAATAGCGGCGAGACTGCCCAAAAGACTCATAATGCCCATCTTGGAGTCTGAATGGCCGAGGATATTGATGCGTGTGTGGTGAACAATAAGTGAGAGCGAGTTTGTTTTATTTTGTTTATGTTTAAGCGTTCCCGATACCCAAGCTGTATGTCATACTAATTAGTGGAATGCGCTTATCGCCCCACGGAAGCGGTGGAATCCACGGTTGCGGCCAATTCACGGTTGATTTTTTTTCCTCAAGTCGAGATCCCGAAATCCTCGTAATTGCAGTGGAGTTCATTGGTCGAGGCTATTCTTTTCATTCGTTTCTCTCTCTCAGATCCAGAGAATGGATAATGAAATTAGTATTACATAAATTCCTCACTATTATCTGTAGCATCATGGCATGATGTTATATTTGTAGCGTCACATCGAGATTTTTGAACTCTGACTGATAAGCAATAGTCATACACTTGATCAATAAGTATTGATATGAAAAGTCCACGTAACGCAATATATGCAGGAATTCCTGGAACTCCCAATCAGTCGCCACCAGAGGGAAAATCTCTGTTGGGGACCGTGGCCCACATTGACGGGAAACATTGAAAAAGTTCGTCGTGGAACGGGAAAACTTTGATTGAAAAGAAAAACTTTTCTATAGATAAGATTGAAGTTCCAGCATCGAGATTGATTTTTCTACGGAGTAGAGATCCTTCTCAGGCTTGATCTCTCAATCAATCTCTTAACGTTGCATCGAGTTTCTTTTACCTAAGATTTTGTCCCCCTCTGCCGATCTAGGACGTAGGGTTTGACAGCGTCGCGTGTTTCTCCACATCGGCCTTTCCCTCGGAGGCATCCGCTCCTGTGCAGGTTGCGGTCCTAAGTGGAGACTGGTGCGCGCGACCTCTTGACTCAATTCAGATCCTTCTTTCCTCCACTTCCGATTACCGCTCACCATCGACAACGTCAGGTATGGCTTCTGGCAAGAGCTGGAGTGCGCCGTGGTCTGAGAAGGGAAAGATGGATTACGAGACTCCCATTACATCGTCGCAGGTGCCCGCCGACGATGATCAAGACTATGAGAAATATGGCGCCAACCGGGACTCCAACCCCATGCCCGACTTGAAACGGAAACTGAAGAGCAGACACTTGCAAATGATTGCCATTGGTGAGTTAGACGCTCTATCGACTCAAGATATGTCACGCTCACAATTCCTTTTTTCTCTTCAGGTGGTACAATTGGAACTGGTCTCTTCATCGGTAGCGGTACCGCCATCGCAGATGCTGGCCCCGTGGGCGCTCTCATTGCATACATCTTCGTCGGAACCATCGTTTACTCCGTCATGACAGCCCTTGGAGAAATCGCCACCTATATGCCCATCCCCGGTGCCTTTACTGCGTATGCGACGCGATTCGTTGATCCCAGCTTGGGATTTGCCATGGGCTGGATCTATTGGTTCTCTTGGGCCTCGACTTTCGCTCTCGAACTTACCGCCACCGGTCTGATCATTCAATTCTGGGATAGCACCATCCCCATCGCTATCTTCATCGCAATTTTCTGGGTCGTGATCATTATTTTGAACATGCTTCCTGTTAGCTTCTACGGTGAACTCGAGTTTTGGTTTGCCAGCATCAAAGTGAGTTAAAATCTGCGCCTGCGTTGTTGAAATTCATGCATCTCGCAACTTTTATTCAGCAGAGCTTTCAATGCTGACTGGGAGCTATAGGTTCTTACCGTGATCGGTTTCATGATTTTCGCCATTTGCGTCGATGCGGGTGTTGGAACCCAGGGATACCTCGGTTTCCGTTACTGGGTCCACCCCGGACCCTTCGTTGCTTACATGGTCGATGAAATTGGTGGCCAAGACGCCCTGGCCAAATTTGTCGGCTTCTGGTCCGTTTTGATCCAGGCTGGCTTCTCCTACCAGGGTACTGAGTTGGTCGGTATCGCCGCTGGTGAGACCGAGAACCCTCGCAAGACTGTCCCTGCGGCGATTCGCAAGACATTTTTCCGTATCATTTTCTTCTTCGTCCTGACCATTTTCTTTATTGGCATCGTCGTGCCTTCCAATAACCCTGGTCTTCTGGCGAGTGAGGGCAGCGGAGCCAGTGCTAGTAACGCCAATGCCTCTCCATTTGTGATTGCGGCTCGACTTGCTGGAGTTCAGGCGCTTCCCAGCATTATCAACGCCGTTCTGCTCACAGTGGTGCTTTCCGCCGCCAACTCGAACGTTTACAGCGGTAGTCGTATCATTATTGGTCTGGCGCAGGAGGGTTTCGCGCCGCGCTTCTTCAAGAAGACGACTAAGGGCGGTGTGCCCTATTATGCCGTTGGCTTCACCGCTCTCTTCGGCCTTTTGGGTTTCCTAAATGTGTCGGATGCGGGATCGACCGTTTTTAACTGGTTGCTCCAGATTGCTGGTGTGGCTGGCTTCATCACCTGGGCCTCTTTGAACCTTTGTCATCTTGCCTTCATGCGGGCGCTCAAGGCGCGTAACATCTCCCGGGATGTGCTGCCGTACAAGGCTATGTGGCAACCATATTATTCGTGGTATGGGCTGTTTTTCAACGTCCTGATCATCCTCACTCAAGGATTCACCGCGTTTATCCCGAACTTCCAGGTAAAGGAGTTCTTCATCGACTATCTCAGTTTGATCCTGTTCGTGGTCCTTTACGTGGGCCACAAGCTTATCTTCCGTCCGCCGTTCGTCAAGCCTATTGAAGCCGACCTGGACACGGGCCGAACCACCTTTGACAATGAGACTTGGGAAACGAATGAGCCTACCACTTGGTATGGCAAGGCGTGGCTCTGGATCTCTGGATAATTGATCGAGTAATTTTTAACCCTTTTTACATATACTTACTTTTTGGTTTTGAGCTTCTTGGCATTGGGTGCGGCGTTTCAGTACATACAATCAGTTGTTACCTATATATAGTTTGTCTATATAGTATATCTCCTCTAAGAAGCATACATTTAAATTTTACATATTTATACCGAATTTTGTGCAAACCTAAAATATTAGGTATCATAGGACCGAAAACGTCGGGACATCCCCATGTGAAACGCATGTGGAATCCATGAATGACATCGGCATGCATAAAGTTCGGGACAGGGGTGGCAAGCCACTAGTGCAGGAGTACTTAATAATGTATGGGGCCTCCCACTGTACAACAGGTACCCGCCCCCAAGCCGAGGTTCATCTGCAGGGTCCACTTTGGTCTTGACACGAGATGGAGAAATTGCCTAACATTGTCGCTTTCTCCGGATTTCTCTTCGTACAACTCCGCCCCCTTCTTTCTCCCTCCCCACACTTTCTACTCTCCTGTAAAGGTGGACGTTGTGCTGGGACACTCTTCACTTCTTGTCTCTGTATTTTCTCTCTTTAGAAATCCCTCAAACTTTCACTTGCAGGTCCATTTCAGAACGAGGTAAGTGCTTCCCGAGGTTGCCGTCTATCCGCAATGACAGGGTTCTGACCGTCAGAGTGCAACTCTACCAGATAGATCATCATGTTCTTCTCCCCACCCGCTCACCTCGCCAGGGCCGAGGAACTCAAGAAGGACCCCCCGAATGGTAAACCATACTGTATATCCATTCCCGGAAGCGAACAGCCTGGTCGCAGCCCGGTGTATCGCGCATGGCATTCTGAAAAGGAGTTGTTGAAGACACTGGATCCTCAGGTAGGCGACTACTATTTCGCTACGAGAACAAGGAAGTCGGATCGTTAACGTTACACCGCCTTGTAGGTTGTGACTGCTCATGATATGTTTGAATCGACGGCCAACCGCCAACCTAAGAACCACTGCCTCGGCTGGCGCCCGTTCAACCCCGCAACCAAGACCTTCGATGATTATCAGTGGCTCACATATGAGACTGTACAGAAGCGGCGTGCGGCGTTTGGTGCTGGTCTAGTGGAGCTGCATGTCAAGCACGACTGCCACCGCCCCGGCCAATATGGAATTGGTCTTTGGTGCCAGAACCGACCAGAATGGCAGATCACTGGTAAGCTCTTACTTTAGCCAGTTGATGCTTTTCTCAGCAACTGATTTATCTTTCAGATTTGGCTTGCATGTCCCAGGGCCTCTTCACTGTCTCCATCTATGATGTGTTGGCCTCGGACGCTACAGAATACATTATTAACCACGCGGAGCTGAGTTGTGTCGTCACCTCTCTTCCGCACATCCCCACTCTCCTTAAGCTCAAATCAGTCCTGCCAAACCTCAAGATGATTGTCAGCCTGGATCCTCTTGATGCTGGTGAACAGGATGGTCATTCCAAGCGCGCTCTGCTGGAGTCTATGGCCGCTGACCAGGATCTTGCGATCTACACAATTGACCAGGTCGAGGCTCTGGGAGAAGCCTCAAAGCGTGGATACAACCCGCCCTCCGCTTCGGACACGGTCACCATCAACTACACCTCCGGCACCACTGGACCACCTAAAGGTGTTGTTCTGACCCACCAAAGCGCTGTGGCTGCCACTTCGGCCGGTCTCATCACCATCGGCCAGTCTCGAGGCGACACCATGTGCTCTTACCTTCCGCTAGCTCACATCTATGCCCGTCTAGCGGAGCACGGAGCCCTCTGGGGTGGTGCCCGAATCGGCTATTTCCATGGTAACATTGTGGAGCTGGTTGATGACCTAAAGCAGCTGAGACCTACTGGCTTTATTTCCGTCCCTCGTCTCTACAACCGCTTTGGTACAGCAGTCCGGGCTGCCACTATTGAGGCACCCGGCTTCAAGGGTGCTCTGTCTCGACACATCGTTGCTGCTAAGACAGCCAATCTCAAGAATCCAGATCTATCCAAGGCTACGTTCCGGCACGCACTGTATGACCGGATATGGGCTAAGAAGGTGGCTGCAGCACTTGGGCTGGACCGCGCAAAGTACATGGTGTCGGGTTCGGCGCCTTTGGACCCTTCGTTGCACGACTTCCTACGTATCGCTACTGGTACCCCGGTTATTCAAGGCTACGGTTTGACTGAGTCTTATGCTTGTAGTACTGCCCAAGCAGATGATGATGTGTCATCGGGTAACTGTGGCCGTCTGGCTCCATGTATTGAGGCCTGCCTGGCCTCTCTGCCGGACATGGAGTACTCGGTGGAGGATAAGCCCTTCCCTCGTGGAGAATTACTGCTGCGTGGCCACAGTATGTTCCAAGAATACTTCAAGAACCCCGAAGAGACTGCAAAAGCGGTGACAGAGGATGGCTGGTTCCGCACTGGTGACGTGTGCACTTTGGATGCCATGGGCCGCTTCATCATCATTGACCGTCGCAAGAACGTGCTCAAGCTAGCTCAGGGTGAATATATCTCCCCCGAGCGGCTGGAGGGTCTCGTGCTTTCGGAGCTAGGCTACCTCGCCCAGGGTTACATTCATGGCGACAGCGTTCAGACCTTCCTAGTTGGCATTTTCGGTGTTGCACCTGACTTGTTCGCTCCATTCGCTAGTAAGGTTCTTGGTCGTACAATCGAAGGTACGGATCTGGATGCGATCAAGACTGCTCTAGAAGATGACAAGATTCGCCGTGCCGTAATCCGGGATCTTGAGCGCGTGGCCAAGAAACACAAGCTGGCTGGCTACGAGCGGGTTCGCAATGTTTCTCTGAAGCTGGAACCCTTCACCGTGGAAAACAACCTACTTACTCCCACGTGAGTCTCCTATATGCTATTTCATTTGCCAGATGTTCGTTCTTTACTGACTGTGATTATAGGCTTAAACTGAAGCGCCCTCCTACTGTCAAGCTGTATCGCGGACTTTTGGATCAGCTCTATGCTCAAGCGCTGGAGGAGCAATCTGCCCCTCGGGCCAAGCTGTAGTTTTGGAACTCCCTAGACATATCTTTCTCTTGTCACGGTTCATAATGCCCAGGTGGTTGAACCGACCGGCCCAGCAAGAGTCTGGATCGGGTTTTGTACATAGATCTAACTTTGGCCTTAAGCCGGGCGCATTGTAGTATATTGAGCTTGAATGAACTTTTATCAATTTTTATCATTTGTCCTTCCAAGGTTCCGGAATCCGTCCAATGCTACCTGAGAAGGTACCCGTGAACCAATATTGGAAGTTCAGGTACCTGGAGGATAGATAGCCCTCCAGCGGTAGCCCGGATATATCCTTAGATATATTTACATATTCAGCTGGCTACTTGTATATTTTTGATGGCGGGGAAGATCCCACCCGTGGACCTGAGCAGTTGCTTTGGAGTTACTTTATCTGCATCTATTGTTTTCTAGCACGTTGTAGTCTTTTTTCATCAACCTGAGAATTATCAAGTAAGACTAGGGGAGAGAAAAAAAAGATCAAAAAAAGATATGACAAGAGTGGGATTTGAACCCACGCCTACAAACGTAGATCAGGAAATGATGTCAAGGTGAACCTTAACCTGACGCCTTAGACCAACTCGGCCATCTTGCCAATTGCTTGTGTAGAGGTGAGATATTTTAAATTATGTAGGAAAAATACAAGACACATAAATAAACCCACTTCTGAAGCGTTTTTGAGCCTTTGGAAAAAAGTTATGTACACAGAATCAAAAAAACTTAAACCTGTGGATCATTATGTAAAGATGTTGAAGATAAATATGTACATGACTATATGACCTGCCCGAAATAGAAGACATATCCTAGAAGAAGAGAAAATGAACTAGGTCCCGCACAATAATGTATGGGTGCAAGAAAAACCTTGAGACAAAAAAGAAATGACAAGAGTGGGATTTGAACCCACGCCCCGAAAACGAGATGCGGAAATCTGGATCAGGTGAACCTGAACCGCACGCCTTGGACCAACTCGGCCATCTTGCCTGTTGATGTATTGTGGCCAGAAATAAAACTACATGAAGCGGGCTATTGACCCTTGTACCTTATCGCTATATCTGTGGATCGACACGCACCCACTTACCATACGGGGTATACTCCATAGTTCCATATATTCTTTCTTGGACATGATCCCACTAATTGATCAGAGATCATATGTGTATTTCCATTCGATCATTTAAATAAATTAAATTAACCCATAAACTTTTACCTGTGGCCTACTGTGAGCCTAAATATTACGTTACGATCTACGTTTTGATTATCTTACTTGGGTACCTACTTGGGTATTGTTATCATCACCGCACCGCGTGATGGCTTACATACGCAGCATGACATGATCCCCGCGTTTTATCTGAATGTATTCTTGACACTACATTTACTTTCCCTTTGACCAAAAACTACCTTGTCCTATGTTTCCACCATGCGACCCGTTCCGGATCTACCACCTTACTCTCGAAAATCCTCCTTTGACGCTCCCTCTCCGTCCCTTGATCCCCGCAGCACTGCCCCCGCAACCTTCTTCCTATCACAGAACCCGCATGCCTCCGGGCTAGACCCGGACCTTACTCCACAAGGGGCTGGGGACCTCAAGGAGAGTATGTATGGGGTACAGAGTCTAAACGAAACAATATCTCGGTCGGAGTTAGCTGCAAGCTCATGCGACCACCCGGACCCAGCCTCGAGCAAGTCGTTGCAGGAGGATGATATGGAAGAGTCAAAGAATGCCCGACGACGCTCGACCTTGAAACCCTTTGGTTCTGTGATTCGGGAATCATCGATGCGACCATCGCTCACCGATGCAGCATCTCGTCCGTTAACCCCACTTCACCCTGATGAGCCATCTTCACTTCCCAGTAGCCCAAAATCAATCTCCAACCAATCTCTCCGACCCCTCGACGACATTTCGATCACGGATGAAACCGGTAGTCAAATTATTGAATCGGACGAAGAGTATAGGCCGGGGCCTTCGCCGCGCCTGGGGCCCCATGGAGCGTCGCAACTTATTATGCCAAGTATAAAAATGCCAAGTCGCCGGCCCTTTACAGAGAGGGGAAAGGCCATGGGCCGGTTCAAGATTCTTCTGGCTGGTGCTCCAGGTGGGTTATGGAAAAGTTTAAGTTCATTTAGAGTATTCTATCTCTTACTAACGATGCATCAACAGGCTCCGGTAAAACATCCCTCATCAAATCCATTGTTCAAACCTGCGAAGATATCGTACACGTTGATTCACTTCCTTCGGTGGATTCGTCTTTGGAGAGGCGCCGGTCGTCGCGCCCCCACTCTGATTCAGTCCCCACTCGCGGGGCCGCTATCGCTGAGATATACGCTAGTACCAAGCCCTATCCCTCCTGGTGGTCAGACCTCGAGGACTCACGTGTACTGCGGCGTCGGAAGAGTATTGGAGAAATTGTGTTGGAGCGTAATCTCTGCTTTGTTGATCAACCTGCCACGTCACTGAGCTGGGCGGGTCAAACCGACGTGGTTCTGCAGTACATGCGACAGCAACTCCAGCGCGCAACAGCAGCCCTTGCCGTTCCTGGTATTGATTTCCAGAATCTATTGGCAGGGAATGGTGGTTCCCAGGTGGATGCTATCCTATACCTAATATCAAATGGTATGTATCTGGTCACTCTCACCCTGAAAGAACTTGACGCTAATGAGTTGAATAGATACACTGACGACAGACGTGCAGTGTATTCGCAAGCTCTGCGAGCTAAGCAATGTCATACCGGTTGTGGCCAAAGCGGATACTCTGTCTTTTGATGAAGTCACGTCTTTAAAGACTAAATTCCATCATCAGGCACAGGATGCCGGAATCAAGCCCTTCATGTTTAATGACGTGCTACATGGAGGACTCCATGGGTTGGAGCCTCAGCCACCATACACTGTGTCATCTGAGAAGACTATCGATATGGAAATCATGGATGCTAGCACACTCATGAGTCCTGATTATGTTCAGCCTCTTAGTACATCTGAACTCGATACCTTGGTGGAAAAACTTTTTGACCGAGATAACCTCGCCTGGATGCGGCACTCGGCTGCCAAAAAATTAATGCAGCTACGCGGCGACTTTCCTCCCATCCCGCGGACAACAACTCCGCTTCATAATGCACTCTCTGGTACTACTGCGGGCTGGAGAGCTGCCTCTGGTTCGTCTATGGATACGTCAATCTCATTTGGCGAGTCGGCACCAAGTTATGCAATGGCACGGATTTCAGATTATACGAGACATGAGGAAAACATGGCCCAGGTTCGGCTGGCACATTGGGCAACAGACTTAAACCGAAGTCTGCAAAATGAACGTGACCGATACGCATCACTGGCCAGAGGCGATCGCGCCATATGGCTCACCGAGAAACTGAATGAATGCGTTGTGGATGGTTCGCTTGTGCCCATCTCGAAAACCCCGGGTTTTTGCGGACTCCAAATCCCTACCCACGAAAAGGGATCCGGCACTGCCATGAAAGCTCACCCGGGTACACCTTCAACTTACCGTGTTGCTAGTCTCAGCAGCCATGACCCTCTAGGCGTGGTTGGCTGGATTGACGACCTCGGACGACACAGCTGGGCAATTATGCAAGTCGTGGGCGGCGTTGGGGTTGTTGGTGGACTGGCCTTCTGGTTTGCTCGTGCGTGGGGACTTCCATCACGTACCTTATCTGAACTACAAGTGGAGTACTGGTTTGGAAATCTAGAGCGATGACTTCATACCCAATGATTCTATCATGGCCGACTGTCGGTTATGAAGATTGAGGACATGAACGAGCGACGCAGGTTCCACCAGAGCATGGACTTATGCATATCAGGATCGAGGAAAATCTTTTGCTAGCAGGCTGGCGTTTCGTTTCCCGGTGATCTTTCTTTCCCCTATTCCCCCTAGCATTATCAGTATTTTAACGCTACATTCTTCCCCAACACGTTTCTTGCCCTTTCCACATGCACCAACATGAGTTGTGATAGCTAGAAAGTACTAGCTGGGTTTAATAACACCAAACAATCATCCACGAATTCATCTTCAAACTCGTAGTATTCATAATGTACTACCTCATGCATTTATTTCCATTTTGACCAATTGCATAAATTGTACCCCCACCATCAATCCCACAAAGCACAATCTAAGAGGATGGCTCAACCAACTCCTCAAACCGTCTCAAGTCCATATCCTTCTCCAACAGAGGAATGACATAGGGATCGAAAGTCTTCCAGTACGGGTTGTTAAGGTGGTACTGCTGCGAAGATTCCTGCTCGTAGCGCTCAACGATGGTGAAATCCTGCGGGTCATGCACAGACTGCATCACGAACCAGGAGAGAGTCTCCTTATCCTTCGAGTAAACGGCCGAGGCCTCGAGGAGCTTAGCGTGCAGCTTGGAGATGGACTCCTTGTCTGCCTTGGCGCGCATGTCTGGATGCAGTTAGAAGGGATTCAAAAGAGCTATCTCCACGAAACAAGAGGAATTCAAGGGATCAAGGAATATGAATGCACAAGCTTGACAGAATTGTATACGTACGGACAACGATTGTGTAGACCATTTTGACTGAGGGTGGTGTGTATGTTCAATGGAGGTACCCCTCGAGCGGGGCAGAGGGGCATTTTACCTTTATATCACAGCTCCCGAAATTGCATCGGTGAACCGGGTTCGGGTGGGTTTGGTGGAGTAAAAATCACCGAGAAAGGTCCCGAGGTGAGTCCGACATTGTGGATCATGACAAGGTTGAAACTAGGTTGAGATGGAGAGTGGAGTTTACTGTAACGTACTTCTACTTTGGAGTATACTGCAATTGCTCAGGTGCTGTATTTCTATAGCAAATACATACAAATAAATATTATGGGGAAGATGGAAGAAAGAAATAATTGAGCTTCATTGTAAAGAAAAAAGGTTTAAAAAAAACATCAAGGGTCGTATCCCGTTTCCCATTTCCCATAAGAACTTTGATTTAAGCAAGAATAAGTTGAAGGGGGAGACATTTAGTCAACCTCCTCCATGGCGCTCTCGCCAGTGGCCTCGGCCGGGGCAGCGGCCTCGGTGGCAGTCTCGTCAGCGGTCTCAACATCCTCGTCGATGTTCAGGCCCAGGGAGACGAGCTTGTGAATGCGCTCAGCGAAGCTGGCAGGCTCCTCAATGGTGAAGCCGGAGACCAGCAGGGAGGTCTCGAAGAGCAGCTGGGTGATGGACTTGACGGTACGGTCGTTCTCGCCGTTGGCCTCAACCTTGTTCTTGAGCTCCTTGATAATGGAGGACTTGGGGGAGATCTCGAAAGTCTTCTTGGAAGACATGTAAGAGCTCATGGAGGTGTCACGGAGGGCCTGGGCCTTCATGATACGCTCCATGTTGGCGGACCAACCGAACTGGCCGGTACGGATGGCACAGGGAGCACCCATCAGCTTGTGGGAGACAACAACCTTCTCGACCTTCTCGCCGAGGATGTTCTTGAGGGCCTTGGCAAGCTCCTCGTACTCCTTCTCCTCCTTCTCGCGCTCGGCCTTCTCCTCATCGGTCTCCTCAAGCTCGAAGTCCTTGGTGATGTCAACCAGCTTCTTGCCGTCGAACTCCTTCAGCTGAGTGAAGGCGTACTCGTCAATGGGGTCAACAAGGAACAGAACCTCGAAGTTCTTCTGCTTGAGGGTGTCCAGGAAGGGAGACTGAGCAACGGCCTTGATGGACTCGCCGGTGATGTAGTACATGTTCTTCTGGTGCTCGGGCATGCGAGTAACGTAGTCGGTGAGGGAGGTGACCTCATCACCGGTCTTGGTGGACTGGTAACGGAGCAGCTTGGCGAGGGTGCCACGGTTCTGGGCATCCTCGTGGACACCGAGCTTGATGTTCTTGCTGAAGGCAGCGTAGAACTTGTCGAACTGCTCACGGTCCTCGGAGATCTCAGTGAAGAGCTCAAGAGCCTTCTTGACGATGTTCTTCTTGATGACCTTCATGATCTTGTTCTGCTGGAGGGTCTCACGGGACAGGTTGAGGGGCAGGTCCTCGGAGTCGACAACACCCTTGATGAAGCCCATCCACTCGGGAATGAGGTCGGTGGCATCGTCAGTGATGAAGACACGGCGAACGTACAGCTTGATGTTGTTCTTGGTCTTCTTGGTCTCGAACAGGTCGAAGGGAGCGCGCTTGGGAACGAACAGGATGGCGCGGAACTCAAGCTGACCCTCAACGGAGAAGTGCTTGACACCGAGGTGGTCCTCCCAGTCGTTGGAGAGAGACTTGTAGAAGGAGGCGTACTCCTCAGTGGTGATGTCGGCGGGGTTGCGGGTCCAGATGGGCTTGGTCTTGTTGAGCTCCTCCTCCTCGATCTTGGACTCCTTGACGGTCTTGGTCTTCTTCTCCTGCTTCTTCTCATCCTCGTCATCGACCTCCTCGACCTTAGGCTTCTTCTCGTCACCCTCCTCCTCCTCCTTGGACTCCTCAGCCTCCTCATCGGGGACCTCAGTCTCGGTCTCCTTCAGGACGTGGAGGTAGATGGGGTAGGAGATGAACTCGGAGTGCTTGCGGACAACCTCCTTGATGCGGCTCTCGTTAAGGTAGTCGAGCTGCTCATCCTTCAAGTGGAGGACGATCTTGGAACCACGGCCGAGGGGCTCACCCTCGGTGTCCTGGGTCAAGGTGAAAGTACCACCAGCGGCGGACTCCCAGATGTACTGCTCGTCATCGTTGTGCTTGGAGACGAAGGTAACGCGGTCAGCGACCAGGTAGGCGGAGTAGAAACCAACACCGAACTGGCCAATCATGGAAATATCGGCACCAGCGGACAGGGCCTCCATGAACTGCTTGGTACCAGAGCGGGCGATCGTACCGAGGTTGTTGATGAGGTCCTATGTAGAAGATTAGCAAACTGATTTTTTCCATTCGTTTCGCTTTCCAATGGCTTATTGAATGGATACTTACAGCCTTGGTCATACCAATACCGGTATCACGGATGGTGAGGGTCTTGTTCTCCAAGTCGGGGATGATGTCGATGCGCAAGTCCTTGCACGAGTCGAGCTTGGAGGGGTCCGAGAGGGACTCGTAACGGATCTTGTCCAAGGCATCGGAGGCGTTGGAGATAAGCTCACGAAGGAAAATCTCCTTGTTGGAGTAAACGGTGTTAATGATCAGCCCAAGCAGCTGAGAGATCTCAGCCTGGAACTCGAAGGTCTCAGGCATTGTGGCGGTGTGGGAGGGAGAATTCTGATAATGGAGAAAAAAGAGTTAGAGGGAAGAAAGAGGACGCTGGTGAAGAAAGCGATGAAAGGCAAGAATTGTTTGGGTGGCGACGGGTGGAAGAAATATGGATGACTCCCAAGGTACAATTGAATTTTCGCTCTTGACAAGAGACAAGTAGGATGTAGAGGTGAAGTGAAGAAGTCGGTGAAGGGGGATGCAAACGTACCAATTATAAAGAAGTGAACTACCACAAACCAGATGATGGAAAGGAGAGAGAGTGGAATCGGGGAAGCTTTTTGACTTAAGGAAATCTCTGGTGGGTTTCCACGATGATCCAGGAACTTCCATCACCTCTTCCCGGTCGGTCAGGCAACTCTTAGTTCTAGATTCTTCTGGCCTAGTGCTTTATTTTATTTTGTTATACGTCTAATATTCATTTTTCTTTTTGTTTCTTAGGTATAGCTTCGCATTCCCCCCAATTTCCCCCCATTCATTGGTTGACTAGGAGATTCTATGATAATCGGTGCGAATCGATGTCCCGCAATTGAGGGGAGCTTGGGGTTGGTGCCTTAAGGCATCCACTATCTAGAACCTTCTTATAACGTTTCATATAGTACAAAGAAACATCTTACATCGTACTCGGATGAATCTATTCCGTAGATTCCTGTATTGCATACTCAATATCCTGCAATCTCTCCTTTTTTTTCTTCATTTACATCTCCTCTCACCATGGTCCCCATAGAGCAAAAAAATACATCAAATGAACCGGAAATAAAAATAAGGCAAAACAGAAAGAGAATGGGACCAGATGGTGCAACACTTCAAAATCCGGGAGCTTGCTATGCGAGATAAAATATGCGAGAATAGGTCTTGTGGGACACAAGACAAGAGGAAATATAGGTCAAAAGAATCGTCAAGTCAATATGGCCACGAGACAACCCAGACCAGAAAAGAAAAAAAGAAATAGAGAGATAGAAAATCCAGTAACCAACAAGAAAAGGCAAAACCAAACCAAAACATAATGCCCAGAGGGAAGGAAAGAGACACAACTTTTCCAGCCAACCCGGACCCAACCGCTAATATGCACTGTGACAGGAAAGAAAGGGAAGGGGAGGGGACGTCACATAACACATGTCATTAGGAAAAGAGGGACACCCAAGAGTCAAAAAAGGAAATCAAAATCGGAGTAATACAGATCCTGAAAAAATCATCCAGGGGATGTAAAGACTTAGGCAGCCTGGGTCTGGCTGCGGCCCTTGTTGGCGGCCACGTTGCCACCACGACCACGGGGAGCAAAGCCACCACGGCCCTCACGCTGGAAACCACCGCGACCCTGGCTGCCAGTGCGGTCACCACGGCCACGAGCACCACCACGGCCGGCGAAGCCATTGCCACCAAAGGCATTGCCACGAGGACGGCGCTCCTCAACGACGATCTGCTCACCGCTAACCTGGTGGGGGTTGGCAGCGACGGCAGCAGCGTAGGCGGAAGGCTCAGCAAACTCAACGAAAGCGCAGTTCTAAAATATTATACATTAGCCAGAATTTCACAAAAAAGAGATATGTCAGGGAGGACAATGGACGGACCTTGGGACGGTTGATATCGAAGAACTTCAGCTTGCCAAAGCGAGACAGAGTCTGCTTGAGCAGGGCAAAGTCGACCTTTTCGGTGACGTTCTTCATGTAGCCCAAGACAGTCTGCTCCTCAGCACGAGACTGAGTCTTCTTGTGCTCGCCACCGGCGGTTTGCCAGCCAGCGGCGTCGGTGGAAGGAGCATCCTGAGAGCGGGTCTCGGCAGCGGGGGCGGCGGCGGGGGTAGCGGCAGCAGCGGGCTGGGGAGCATTGGCAGCAGGAGCAGCGGGGGCAGCCTTGGGCGCAGCAGCAGGGATAGCAGGGACGACCGGAGCAGCACCCAGCTTGGTGGAAGAGGCGATGCTAGCCCAGCTCTTGGGGACCGCAGGAGTAGGGGCAGACTCCTTCTCGGCGGGGGCTTCCTTCTGCACAGGGGCAGGAGTGGGCTCCGGAGTGGCAGGCTTCTCATCGTCCACAACCTCAGCCTCAACGGCAGGAATAGGAGTCTCCTTGACTTCCTCCTCGGCAGGGGTGCCATTAGTCTGGGGAACAACTTCCTCGGGCTGCTCGGCCACACCATTGGTCTCGTTCTCGAGCTTCTCGTCAACCTTGGAGGCAGCGACTTCATCAGTCACCTGGGCCTCAGGGGTAGCGACAGGCTCGGGGACCTCGGTGGCCTCAACCTGAGCAGCGGGCTCTTCCAGCAACTCCTCCTCCTCCTCTTCCACCAAGTAACGGAAAATATCGTTGAGGACATAGTAGCCGCTGGGCTGCTCGGCGAGGACAAAGGTCTGTGCGAACTTGCGGGACGGCTCGGACTTGTTGGAGATCTCACCAATGACAGCCACCAGGATGTTGTCAAAGGAGGCCTGAGAGTCGACATTCAGGACGCGCACCTTGCAGTCCTGGAAGTCGAGCTGCTTGATCTTCTCGTTGATAGCCTAATGAAATGAATAGAGGTCAATATGAGATTGTTTTGCGGGAGAATATGATCAGTCCAAAGCTCGCACCTTAGTACCAATGGCAACGGGGACCGACTCGGCCTCGGTGCCAAAGACAAGCTGAGACCGCCGAGAGTAGAACAGAGGCAGCTTGTCGGGGTTACGGCTCATAGTGGTGTAGTACTGCTCAACGAAGAACCAGCCCACCTCATCCTTGGTGATCTCATTCTTCTGTTCGGTGGGAGTGGCGGTCGTAGGAGTGGAAGACTGAGCGGGCTGGAAGTTGGCCGCGGTGTTCATGGTAGGGTGGGCAGGGTTGAAAGCCTCGGGGTAGGCGTGCTGAGCAGGGTAGTTGCCGTTAACAGGAACCTGGGACATATCGGCCATGATGCTGGAGGGGCTTGGGTGTTCCGGAGTTGAAGTGAAAACGGGATCGAAAATTATAGAAGTGGGTCGAAGGTATATCGATAAGCACCCGAGAAAGACGATGAGTAGACCTCTACAACAGATCGAGGTGTGTGAGATCTAGATGAACCTTTTTTGTCGCTCGCTTCACTAAAAGATGGTCAATTCCGATATCTCCCACAATGCTTTGGCCTCGGCTCGCGGGTGACTCACAAATGCGCAAAAGGACGAGGGACCAATGCAATCAATTGAATGACGAAAGTGAAAGAAGAGAGCCGAAAGAACTGAAGAAAATGGTGAATTCTCGATTGAGATGCGGAGTGATCGGGGAAGTATAGCTGTAATGGAATCCACGGGAAAGATTCTGCGAAGGGTGCACGCGGGAGAGATGACCGAGAGAAAATGGGGAGAAAAGACGTGGGGATAAGATCGAGTATACACGGATAGAGAAGAGGAAACGGGGGGAACAAAAGAAGATGAGATGAAGTTCTGAGGGGGGGGGAAATTCGCCTTCGAAGAAAAAGCGACTTCCTCGATTGCGACTCCGTGCGGGTTTCGGTGGGCTTGGCACACATTCACCGCCCGGCAGAACTAGGTATAGAGTCTATATAGAAGTCGCTGAAATGATTAAGAGATGTTCTCTGTACATTTCGTCTTGCTCAAAGCTTTCAATTTCCAATCAATCTCCAAAATCGTTTTGCTGGAGCCGACGCGAGTTGATGTTCGACTGCTAACATCTATGAATTCGACTTTGCCATCAAGCATAAAACGGTCATTCGGTAACTAGTGAAGACGGAGTTTTTCGGTCTTTTGGTCATTTTCATGTATGTATATAGGCGAAGAACGTCAGACAGGGGCTGTGGAGATGAATCATGAATCAGGTCCGGAGAACATATACTAGAGATGAAAGAAGGTTATACAAATATCATTCAGATCAACGCCATGGAAACCGAGAAAAGAAGGAAGGGGGTATGAAAAAAAAAAAAAACATGAGAGCAAAGCAATCAAAAAAAAACAAATACGGAAAAGAAAGAACAAATGTCACAGATGAAAGCGATCGGGGAGCCTCAGTCAAGAAGCGCATAAAGGGTGCTCAAGGAATAAAAAGACATCAGAAGATGAGCCCGAACCATCCAGAGACATCATTGCAGATGATGTCAGCATTTTCAATTCGGCATGCTGTACAGACAATGGTGTCTAAGCGGTGGTGCTCGCAGCAGCCTTCTCACTGAGCGGCTTGCGCATCACAGCATCCTGACCGGTCATTCGTCGTCCGAGGGCGCGTTCCACCTTAGCTCCAAGAGCCAACTTGTTCAAGTTGTCGGACTTCTCCTCAGTGGGCACAAAGCGTTGCGCTTGCAGGGGCTTGTTCTCCAGGCGCTCCAGACCATCACCGAGGTGGGTGATGTCAGCGACTCTAGGGTCTCCACTGGGCAGGCTTCCAATCGTGCGTTCGGAGGCAGCGAGCGAGGGGCTTCCGCTGACGGTAGAGAATCGCTTTGAGGTCCGGTTCTGAAAAAGATGTGTTAGAGGCATAATGCGCTTATCAAAAGCCCTGGTGGGTGCCGGGGTGGCAATGAAGGAGAGGGGTTGTAAAGGGGGGAGCCGGGGTAAAGGTTCCTACCGAGTTCGTCATGATGGGCCGCTCGGAGTCAAGGGACGTTTGGCGAGCCATTTCCGTCGGTCAAGAGGATGAGTTTGAGGGAGTCGTTAGGGGTGGGTTTTTGCGGTGATGAAATGGAGCGAAATACTGCGGAAATAAATAGATTAGCATAAGCGATCTTGTTCGGGGTCGGGGCTCTCGCCCCCAAGGTCAACCCTTGCAAGAAATCGTAAATTTATCACATACCGACGGGCCACGACTCTTTAGGATTTGAAGGGAGGGGAATGGGGTCTGGAAAGAGGAAAAGTTCCAACACGTAGGGCGGGACTGAAACCACCAATGCAGCCACGGAGGAACCCAGTTTCTGCTTGCGACTCAGACGACTCAGGAGGCGCCAAACGGCGTGAGTGGGTCGCAGACCGGCGGTGGGGGTATATGGGAAAACGGAGCGGAGGGATCGACTTAGTGCAAAACTGTACTGGCAAAAGGGTATTGACGATCCCTTCAACACGGAGGAGATAAATGCGATAAAGGGGAAAAGTCAGCAAGGGGATTTTTGATGGATACGATGGAAACGATTAAAATGATTTAACGAGGGGATAAGCAAGGCATTAGGATGAGTTTAGCTATATGCTCCCCTTTCTCTTCAACACTAAAATCCCCTAGTGGAACTTTGCCACGTGCGGATCAGCCAGTATGATTTTAGATTTGGATTTTTGGATTTTTTGGATTTTTTCTTTTCTTTTTCTTTGTTCTTTTCCATTGTGCTTAGTACTTACAGCAAAGGCTAGAGCTCTAGATGGAGCCTAAATACGGAGTACCAGTTACCCCCATGATTTTAGCTTGTTTGCGGTACACGGATCTCGTATATCATTTGAAATGCGAACCTCATCATGACTCAAATGAATATCTGCCGTACGTCCGAGGTTGTGGTAATGTAAAAAGGAGAGTAGTTCCAGCCCGAAGTCTTGGCACCGGCGCAAAAGCTAGCAACTCCACTCACTTCATTCGCCCGAAACTTGTTCAGAACCCCTCCATTGATTGTATTGGGTTCACAACAATACAACTAAAAGATGGGTAAACCCAAGGCCTTGCTCAAGGATTTCAAGCCCAAGAAAAAAGCCGCCAAACAGCAGGTACATCAACCATCATTTTATATGCGGGGGTAAGAAACTAAAAGCAAATTAAATACAGGCAGCAGTCACAGCTGATGATTTTCTTGCTGGTGAGGATATGATCGACCATTCCATGAGCCTGGATCACGCTAACCCACATCTATAGCGGGCGTTGAATTAGAAGAGGCTGGCGAGAAATGGCGCGCCGGCGATGCCGCCAAATCGATGCGCTTCTTTATGCGTGCCATCTCCAACTATGACGAGGGTCTGCAAAAATATCCAGCGGCCTTTGACTTGGCCTACAACAAGTATGTATCTACAAATCGTCCTTTTTCGACTGAGAATTCAAGTTTCATAGTGTCTCCATTGCTAATTCTAGTATAGAGCTCGTGTGCAATATGAAATCACACAGCACCCAAAGCTGGCGGCACAGCTTCCCGCACCCCAGGCAGAGATCCTGCAGGTTGCGCTGCAGTCGCATCGGGATGCACTAAAGCTAGATCAGGACAATCCAGATGTTCTTTTCAACAGCGGACAGGTGCTAAACAGTCTGGCAGAGATATTGTCAGACTCGAAGCACCCCGGGGAGGAGCAACTGATGCAGGCCAGCACCTATCTGCAGGAGGCGATCGAACTATTCCAGCGATGTCTAGTGTTGCAGGAGATGAAGTATACCGAGATGCAAGAGCAGATTGAAGAAATGCAATCAGTTGACCCGGAGACTCAGATTCCGGAGCCGGCACCGCAGCCAGAGCAGCAGCAACCCGGCCAACCGGATTCAAACGATGATCCGCAGGAGCAGTGGGCTGCAATTGTTGAGCCGGTCACCAAGAACACGCTGGTCGACACAGCGGTCGCACAGATCAATACCCTAACCACTCTCTGCAATCTATTGACATTCAATCCCGATGGCGGTGGCGTGGGTTGGGTGCAAGAGTATTCGTCGGGGCTTATTCAAACCCGACTTCCAGCTTATGTGGAAGGCTCAGATAGGCAGTATGAGGCAGGACTGGCGCGCAGCAAATTCATCTGTGCGCTGCATGAGGTACTTTACCGAGGTGGGCACACCGATGTGCAGACCTACCGACAAGAAGTTGGACAGGCCTTTGGGCCGGATTTGGATGTGTCAGACGATCCGGAAGGACTCTGCAGCAAGGCCGAGGCATTGACATCGATGAATGGAGCCTTTGCGGACGTTCCTCCTTACGAACCCGAAGACCTCAAGAATTCCCTCAGTATTCGCTGGCAATCACTATCGGTCGCCCTGGATGCGTTGACAGCGGCAACTAAATTGCCCAGTGCCGAGAACTTGCCGAAAATCCATCTCGCTAGAGGAGATGTCGAAATGCACCGCTGGCGCCTCGGAACAGAACCGTGGAACCACGCGATAGCCCAGCAGAACGGGGCCATGCTTGTGCGAAACGCCCAGACTTACTACCGAGGAGCAGCCGCCTTGGCTCGTCGAGATGGAGCAGCGGAGGAAGAGCGTGATGGATCGTACAAGGAGGCGATCGCAGCTGCACTGGAAGGTGATAAGAGCAAGCTGGACCAGCTGAAGGCCAGGGGCTTGGAGAAATTGATAGGCGTGGCCCAGGAAATGGTGGAGGACGGATTGGTTGAGGGAACTGTATTGAGTACCTTGATCTCATGAACCCAAAAAGTAATGAATGAAAATAAATCCGCGTGCTTCACCAATTTTTAGATGGTTGGTCGGGGGTTGACTTCCTCGTCCATTTGAACCGCATCTTGGCGAATATGGTGCTCCTGACTGAACTCTGTGGCTGCCGTCGCAGCACCTTCGACATCCGCAACAACTGATTCAAGATGAGAAAGGAGCTTCTCAATCTCTAATCTCTGTGCCTGTACGGTTTGTGATAATTCTGCGTTTTGACCGTGTGTAGCCTCAAGCTTATCGTTCAGGGTAGCCTGCGCTTCCTGAAGATAAGGCGTCAAATGTGCCTTGTATAAATCTTCAGCTCCGAGTGTATGAGGGCTGTGTCAGATTGGATAATTAGCGCCAGTGTAGTAGCTTTCACGAATCCGAAGAGAAACATACGCATTGCCCGGTTGTGGTTCATTTCCGCTCTCCCCCTCACTATCCTTCCTGATTCTTGCCTCTGCGACCAAGCGATCCAATTCATTGATATGCTTCACGGCTTCTCTTTCAGCAATGATTTCCTCGAATTCTGCCTTAGCACCCTCTTCCAGCTTTGCGTTCAATTGCCTCCACACGCTTTCTAGGCTAGCAGGAACATGTCGGGCAGGCGTGGGGAAACAGCCCGCAAAATTGGAATATGAGTTCGCACGAAGGGTACGTGCTAAAGCTTGGTCAAAGACCTGAATCAGCCGCGATGCGCGAGGTCCGGGGATTTGCGACTCCGGGGCAGGTGGGGGAGCGGAGGTTGATGCAGGTTGTTGCTGCTGCGTTGGATTGGAGTCTGATTCTGCCATGGTCTTTGTGATAGGTGTGTGGAGATGAACAGTTTCAATATGTACGCGTAAATGCGCCGGACGTGGCTTTAGGAGGATCGTTGTTTGGCGAGGAATTTAAACACTAGATTTGAGATACTTGCAGCGCGACGCGACAGGTCACGTGCGGCCCACCACCTTATCATGGCTCTATAGATTTTGGATGTAGTATTACTAGGAAAACAAAACATTTGAGATATTTGAATGCTTCTCAATAGAATTAATGCTCTCATGTTAGGTATCATAAACATTTCAGCATCATAAGACCGTTGGGACCGAACTGATGATAACTCCAGTTCCTATCCTGAACAGTCATGGATCATGGAGTCGGTTTAAGCATGAAAATTCCACGTCCTAGGACTTGCAAAACCTATGCAATACTGTCTTGCGATAACGCAAGTTTGCCCAGAGAGCTTTGAACGCAGGCCATGAAATGGAGACATATATGAGACTGTTCCAGAATCCTTGTAGTGGGAGAACAAAACTAGAAGCGTAATTTAGACCGAAACAGAAATCGTCCGGACGAGCTAGAGCATATACTCTGTTTGCAGTGGAAGGTACCTAAGCGTTGTGAGCTATTGATTTTTACCGGGCAAGCTGGAGTAGGAAGAATACCCAGGTCACAAGCAAAGCAATGAAAAACAACATTGCATACTTGGTGTACGCCCAAGCTGCAGAATTGTTTTCTGTGCTTCGTCTTTGGGAATTAGAGTCGGCTCCCTCGGAGCGCACCGCCTTGAGAGACATCTCTGTTCGAAGAGGACTGGGTCCAGGCCGTGGGCGGGCGGACTGGGAAAATGCTATGGGTTCGAAAGGACCACCCTCAATTGTCACTGAGTATGGATTGAAGGGTGATGGAAAACTCCGGGTTGTCCTGGCACCGCTGGTCGACACATATCGACTCTCCGGTAAAGAGTACGCAATCTCGCGAGTGACCTGAATACCCGCACACTTGGGAGGTATTCCAGAATTGACTTCGGGATCAAATGATTCAATGGCCCCAAGGTCCCGGAGTTGACGGCGCCTTTGATATATCACTGAACCGGCACGTAGGTAAATGGCGAACGTTAAGGATATGACAAACCAGACAGGGCCATAGAAAACAATAATTCGGAGACAATCCCACGGTAAAGCTACCCAACACCACAACTGTAGAGAAATTAAGTAAGCCTGTAGAGAACTTCATGTCATAGATGAATAATATTACTTACAACGGCAGAGCCATATACACGACCCCGGGCTTGGGTATTGATAAAAAAGTATACAAATGCGGAAATGAATGGTAGACCATAGCAGCACAGAACATACTTCCATTCCAGTCGACGTAGCTGCTCTGAGTTGTATTTATGGAAAAATGTCAAATAGACATTGCAAGCCATGGCCAACGTCCACAGGGCATCTGCTGGCATGAACCTAGAAGAAATCAGATTGTGGGGTAAATTGTCGGACAGACCGAAGCTCACCATTGAATCAGAAAAGCTTGGAGCTGGCACAAAGAGCCCTCAACGCCAGCATGAATACCGTCTTGTGAGATCAACGTCGCAATATTTGCCATGATATTGCCCCAAGAAGCATAGAAGACCAACCGATTGATTGGTTTCCGGAACGAGCATGATCCAATAAAAGTCGTGACAATGACAAAGGTTCCGATAAGGGAGACAGCAGAGCAGACGCGCTCTGTGACCGATATAGCGAACAATTGTTGCTCGGACGGTGACAATGTCATGGTCTATGACATCTGCGAGTTGAAAAAAGCTCTGGCAGCATCAGGATATCACCTTATGATTTAATGCCCACAGAAAGGGTAGCGAAAAAAGCTGATCACGATGTCCTACCCAAGTGGAGACCCATTCCAGAGATGACCAGTTCCGATAATCATTCGAAAGGTACACACCCAATACATTTCCTGTGGGGTATGGCCACCCTGCTTAGTTGCGATCCTTCGATTCTATAGTGGCTACATCTGCATATCAATTGAGGCAAAACATGAAAAAAAATATGTGGGACCAGCCCGGTTCAAATATTGCCGTATCAAGTCCAGCTTCACAGCAGGAGAATTGGCAGTTGTTATTGGTATGCGGTAATACACTGCTATGTAGCCAGGTAAATCGACTGTTCTTAGTTCTACAGACCCGTGAATTGCATCTGAAGTGGATCCATCACCTTATAATAGGATAGGTCTTTCCATATACTAGTAACTCACAGAAGCCACGGCCCCCACTTGCAGGATTAAACGCAGCATATCATGCGCTATATTCTTATTTATAAGCCCCAAAATTGAGTAGTAATTGAGGGTTTGGTAAATACTAATAAGAACTAGTAAGAGCCTGAGTGTCGTGACAGGGAATGTACTGCGTCCGTATGGTGTTCGTCAAACCTCAGAATCTTGCGCCGAGACATCTTGAAACGCACCCATTGTAACCTGCAATGCATACGGCCCACGTAACATCTTAGGTACTTATTCATCCGGGAAAATAAATAGCTCGAAGAGGGTTCCAAGTCTGTTGTCGTAATAGATTACCAAGGAGTCAAGGACTATATAGGGGATATCTCGAGAAAAGAAACGTCTTCTTGGTAGCAGCCTTATAATTCAAGTACAGAGTAAAACGACGGTACTTGAAGAAGGGGAAGTCCGGATGCAACAGTCTCTATTCCATTTGGACCAGGACGAAACACAGCAAACTTCAAATGTTAGCTCTGTATAACATGAGTTTTTGAGCGTCATTGCAGGGCCAAATTGAACCCCACGAATTCTGTGAGTCCGTCGCGACAAGAGAATCTCTGAATTGGGTTAGAATGGTTGACTCTATTCTATTTGCCAAATAAAAGCCGATCCGTGCTTGACTTGGAGCGCCTTCTGGCTCGTGTTTTGAGAGGAAATGAGTGGGCTTAGCTCAAAGCCCGGGCCGTGAAACAAAAATGGTCGGCCCTAATTCAACTCCGCCTACTCTATATTTATAGGTGAGATGGAACGAGAAAACTATGCTATTTTGGGAAATCTCTGTAAGAAGCCGGGTTATGGCGATCAATGTTCGTTTAAAGGTAGGAGATGTTTCGGCTTAGTACTATGCCGAGAGTTGCTATCGCAAAGAGTTGATACACTGGAAAATGCGATTCCAGACCAATCACTCCTTGTCTTTGGTATAATGGACGAGCAAAACGAAAATGGCACAAGAAAGAAAAGAAAACATTTAAAAATCCCAACACTGAGTACCTGGGTGCAACGCCGAGTCCCTTCCATTTCTGATCGTCTAAATCGAGCTCATTATCTCGTCATACGCAGTTGTCAGCTCTTAGTAGGCAGGCTGAGGTGGGACCATGCCCCCGTAACCGGCCATCTGCTGCTGCTGTTGCTGCTGCTGCTGCTGCTGGGCCTGGAGTTGAGTCAAATCATGGAACCACGGGTGCTGCAGCGCATCGCTGGCACTGATACGCATCTCTGGGCGCAGCTGAAGCATGCGGTTCAGGAGATCCAATCCAAGCTGATCGATTTGGGGGAGGATCAAGCCCAGGTCCTGCGTCGCATAAATGTGGAAAGTGGGCTTGTACTCTGGCAGCTGGGAGATGCCGGGCCACGACCGTTCGGATGGTGTTCCCATCAACCGGAAAATCTTCAGCAATTGGTCCTCGTTGGTGGTGCCTGGGAAGAGTGGGCGACCCGTGTACATCTCGGCCATGATACAGCCGGCTGACCAGATGTCAATGCTGGTGTTGTAGGTGCGGCTGCCCAGGAGGACGTCGGGTGCCCGGTACCACAATGTGACGACCTCATTCGAGAAAGTGTTGACTGGAATGCCAAACGCGCGAGCCAAGCCGAAATCTCCCAGCTTCAGCTGACCCTTCTTGTTAATCAGCAGATTCTGTGGCTTCAAGTCTCGGTGGAGAACCCGATTCTCATGGCAAAAAGCGATGCCTTTCAGCAGTTGGTGCATAAAAGACTTGATAGTGACTGGATCCAGCTGTCCCCGATCGCCCCGAGTGTCCATATATTTCTTGAGATCCCGGTCCATGAACTCAAACACCAGCATGAGCTTATTCTCCGTGTGAATGACATCGTAAAGCGACACAATGCTCTCATGCTTAAGCTCCTTCATCAACGAGATTTCACGAATAGCGGTGGATGGGGTCCCTTCTTCTGAGTCGAGGTGAATTTCCTTCAGCGCAACCATCTCGCCCGTTTGGCGATTGCGCCCTTTGAAAACCTGTGAGCATCCTACATCAGCGACAAACTCAGGGTGAAAGGGCGGAATAGTTTCTGAGCGTAGAGTATTGGAATGCGGAGATCATTGAGGAGTCGGAACGTACAGTGGCATAAGTGCCTTCACCGAGCTGCCAGGATAAGATGTCAGTCAGGTTGGGGATTTCACATGGAAGGGCGGCTAACCTTTTCCAGCTGCTGGAAGGAGCTGGGTTGTTGGGACTTGTCCATTTTGAATGTTTGGGACGAGACAGATGATTTCACAGGTTTAATGAAGAGAAAAGAACGGGGAGAGACGAGTGTAGTCTGTAAAGGGCGGCCTGCAGAATCCCTGAGTCGCTCCATGCTGTGATGGGAAGGGACCCCGCGTTGGTGGGCCGCGAGTCAAACCGCCACGGCTTATGTACTCGAACCTTTCCACCGGCTTTTCTGCGCTTTGCACTTTTGACTCTGGACTTAACTTTGATCTTCAAATTTTCTTGTGCATATAGGTTAATTGAATTCCGATTAAAAAAAACTGATGTTATGTTGAATTGCTTTTAGATCACTATTACATGTGCGGTGATTTTGGTTCTAGACTCTACGGAGGCCCGAGAGTACATCTAACTAGAATGTATTCCGAGGCAGTTCAGACACCACGGCCGGGAGAATCGACTGTGTAGGAAGACTGCACCGGACATGAGCACTGGCACTGGCATCCAGGCTTTCAAACAGCATGGCCTCGTTTCGGACCCCACCGACATTGATAATACCAATGGGCATGCCTCGTTTATAGGCCCTTTCAACTAAGCGCCACGCCGAGTAGGTCGCCAGGCTGCTTCCAAGAACCAGTAAGCGCCCAGCATCATCGATCGCTTCCTCAGCAGCTGCTTTGACTGCTGGATTGATGTTCTCACCGAACATAGTCACCGCAGGCTTTAAGATTCCAGCATTGGATGGCAGCATCCAGGCACCGTCGTGTTCAACTTCAACACGAGCTTTCGTCCCATCTTTCAGGGTCGGAGGGTTCTCCAGACAAGTGGGACAGGACGGATAGCGAAATGTAGAATAAGGCGCTTCCGCAAGATCTACATCGCCGTCTGGGTTCAGTTTCAGACCCTTGCGCCGTTGTTCGTCCGGGTTAGTTGTGTCAAGCGCACCCTGCTCAACCATGCGGGCGAGGAACTCGGCCCAGGCGGGGTTCAGCCTTTCCAAGGACGACTGGAAATTAGCCCGAGGGAATTGATTGCGACAACTGGTACATACGACCGATCGTAGGTATCCATGTAGTTCGAGTGTCGACAGCTCTGGATGGGCGAGCGAATGAAAGGAGTCGACATTCTGCGTCACAACTGAGCTGATGTATCCTTTGGTAGCGATGTCTTGGATGGCTTGATGAGTTGAATTTGGTCGTGCCTTCACCAAGCCTGGCCATCCCACGAAGCTACGCGCCCAATACCGTTTGCGGGACTCATGATGTGACAAGAATTCATGGAAGTATATCGGTCGGTAGGACTGATTTCGTCGGTAGGTGCCTTGATCACCCCGATAGTCTGACAGACCTGATGCGACCGAGATTCCGGCACCTGTCAGTAAGACAGTTTGGGAATGCCTTCCAACATCAATGCCTCGCAAGTTCAATGACGGTGGAGCGGTGAAGAAGGCAGCGATGGCTTTGATCGCTCCGTCTATAGTCCTGGCAGACGGAGGAACAATTATAGCCGGCGGTAGTGGGCCCGTGAAGGGAATTCGAATTGCAGTCGTCGTCATTGAGGACGCATCCTCAAGGCTCGTATAGTTCTTGGCAGAGAGTCCGGAGAGGGAACGGAAGCTCTCTGATTGCGTAAGGGTCTTGGCTGCAGCGGGTCACGGTACATGTAACTTTCTGGTATCGGAGTTTCATCAGCATAAACAAGCTATGGAAAATATCAAGTCCGTAAGCCAATGATAACGGCACAAATTATCAGCCTAAAGTAAGTAGAGGGGAACACTATAGAACGAAAAGAGAAAAAGAAAAAATGAGTGGGCCATACGCCAAATAGCCATTCGCTGGAGCAAGAGGTCATTGATGATGGCTACGAAGACGGAGGGAAGAATGGTAATCTAGTATGAGCACATCAGCGCATACTGGAAATCGGTAACTGCCGGATTAGCTGATCTTCATCTTTTTCTCTTTACAACCACCTCTCAACGACTATAGATTTAGAATTTCTCGGTGGGCTATGGACCTTGAGACCCAGAAGAGAACACTCTGTCCCGATTGCCCGTGCTCGCGTGCCTCGAGCTAAAACGATGCCGCTGACACAGCCCCTGCGTTGCAGGCTTCGTCCTTCCCTCCACTCTCGAATCAAGCTCACCCGTGGCTCGGATCAGCGTCGGGTACTTACCTCCTTGCCTTCCCTCCTCATCTCTTTGAAATCTGTTCCCTCCTATGTTCGACGGTCTTCTGTAACATCACTCCCCATGACGCAAACCAGAAGCCACGCCGGCCACGGCCACGGCCACCACCACCACCATCACGACAATGTATATCTGACTTCTACGAACAAAAATGACGCCGGTGTGCGCATTACCCGGATTGGCCTGGTCGCCAACCTGGCAATGGCCATTAGCAAATTTATTGGAGGCTACGTCTTTCACTCCCAAGCTCTGATCGCCGACGCCTACCACGCCCTCACCGACTTGGTCTCCGATTTCTTGACCCTGGGGACGGTCGCATGGTCCCTCAAACCCCCGAGCGAACAATTTCCCCATGGTTATGGAAAGGTGGAGAGCATCGGCGCCCTGGGCGTGAGCGGGCTGTTACTATGCGGTGGTGTGTTCATGGGTCTCAATGCAGGACAGGTCCTGCTAGCCCACTGCTACCCCGAAATGGCAGAAACTCTCGCCCATATTGGAATATTTGGACATGGACACGGACATTCACACAGTCATGGTATTGATGTAATGGGCCCCAGTATTCATGCAGCCTGGATAGCTGGCGGGTCAATTGTGGTCAAGGAATGGCTTTACCGTGCAAGTAAGTACAAGTACAGCCTGTTTTGCGGGGTATAAAAAGCCACATATATTGACTAATGTCGCACTAGCCATGAAAGTAGCCGAGGAACGCAAGTCGTCCGTGCTTGCGTCCAACGCCGTCCACCACCGAATTGATTCTCTCACCAGTATTGTTGCCCTGGCCACCATTGGTGGAAGTTACGTTTTCCAAGACGCCACCTGGCTGGATCCGGTTGGTGGTCTTTTAATTTCCTTGATGGTTATTAAGGCCGGCTGGGGAAACACTATTACCGCTCTGTTGGAGCTGGCTGATACCACGGTTGACGACGAAATCAAGACATCCGTGCAAACCGCTGCTTCGAAGGCACTAAAGGAGATTGAAGACGGAGAGCAGGTGATTATCCGCGATGTCCAGGGTATGAAGTCTGGACAAAACTACTTGATGGATATTGAACTTGCCGTGCCTGGGGCCTGGGCCATCACTCGCTCCCGAGTGGTGGAAGAAGCTGTCCGCCAAACGATCGGCTCAGGCGTTCGTGGGGTGAAACGGGTCAAAGTTCGTTTCATCCCTGTGGAGGAGCAGGAGCTTACGTTCTCCGAGGAATTTGTCTCCCAGGATTCTGGGGCAAACCCCGAGCTTGATCATGACCATGACCATGCCTCCAGTGGTATCACATCCGGGTCTCATGCTCATGAGGATCACACCTCCCACAAGAGGCGCTAAGTGATGGCTGATATATTAAAAGCTTAGAAAACAGACTTTTAAGGTCGGTTTCCACTGTAAGTGGTAGTTAGCGCGGCTGTTATACCCCCGGACATGACAGGTTTGATAGAGATCTGTACTGTGTATAGCCCTGACCATTGAAGATGGAAAATCATATAAGTTAAGAAAGCAAATTTCCATTCTCAGTAAAAGCACCTATGTGAGAACTCTAGGGTTCTAAATCAGACTCCTGCGCTCGAATCCTGGATACCACATCTTCCTAGGCCACCGCACCCTTTTCAGATTATCCAGTCGGCCTTTGCTTGCGCCTTTGGCAACAAGCATGTCTTCCATGGCCTTGTATCGCGGTAGAAGTCTCTTGCACCTCGGAGGAGGGAATTTTGCCCAAACATACGCTGTCCAGCCCTTCTCATCTACTTGGTCGGTATCAATTCCATCGATACCCAGCAATGCCTCGACGACCTGGACATGGTTCCGACTGACCGCCAGCATCAATGGAGTATAGCCTTCCTTGTCATTTTTATTGGGATCAGCACCGAGGCTTATTAAGTCTGTGACAAGTGCATGGTCTCCAGATACAGCCACTTCGGCAAGAAGGGTACGGCCGTTGTGTTCTCTGAGCCGAAGAAGCTCCTTGCCGAGACAATCGAGAACTGCCTTGAACAATACCAAGTTCCCCGCTCGAAATATTTCGAAAACTAGAAGCTTTCCTTCGGCATCTGGTGTTTGGAAGCTTATAGCACAGTGCTTCAAGAAAAGTTTGCAGATGTCCACTCTTTGGCGAGACACAGCCTCAAAGACTGGGAGCTTACCATGTTTGTCTGCTTTGAATGGCATTTCGGGATACCTTTGCAATAGATACTCGCACCACTGAAGATGTCCTTGGCTGGTCATGAGATGCAGAGCCGTGTTGCCTTGATGGTCTGAAGACTCAAAAGAGATACGGGCTCGTTGCTTGAACAGATCAGTGAGTTGATCTAAATAATTTGAAGAGCGCATCTTCATCATAGCCAAAACGATAGGCTCATCTCCTTCACCAGTCCGGAGCGCACAGTTAAGGTTGACACGCTCGTCTTGAATTAGCAGCTTTCGCATACCATACAAGCGAGATCGAACTGTGGTTTCCAACAAAGACCGTCCACCTACTGTTCTGTTTGGATCAACTTCAAAATCCAGTAGAACTTCCATAGGGCGCAAGTTTCGGTTGTTGACAGCAATCCAGAGAGCATCGGAAGCATGCCTGATGTCCATCTTGGCATGACCAAGCAACATCCTCATGATTTCTTCTCTGTTCGTCTCAGTAGCATACTGCAGTGGAGTTCTCTCGCCCAAGTAGAGGCCTCCCTTACAGTGGATATTGATGTCTTCCCTTTCTAGCAATATTTCTACAATACTCCTCTGATTCTTGTATGTAGCACGGGAGAGGGGTGTTTCAAAATCATCTTCGCTTTGATGATTGATATCGATAGACGTCCGGAGGACTTTTCGAAGCAAGTCCTCCCAGACATTTTCGAGGGCGACGTCCAGTAGAGAATGTCGGAAACGAGAGATAAAATAGTTCAAAAGGCAATGATAATGAACCCGGCTTACTCGAGTGAAAGCCCAGATGTCAGTCTTCCGCTTGAGGTGGTCTGCAATACAGAGAATAACTTCCCGAGGTAGATCAGTTAATGCCATAGCTTCCTTCGTGATGAGAAAGTTTTGATGATAGAATATTGATGTCAAAGAAAAAATCCTTGGTTGTATGGAATGGAAGATAGGGGAAGTATGAAGAGTTTTACACAGCGATATCTTTTATACTTCCACTACTTATGATTGTGAATGACATAGCTCAATATTGCACAACGACATGTACGCTACATACCCCCGGGGCTGATAAATAATAAGATCGCATACTGTGCACAGGGGAATTTTTGGAGGCCCAACTAAGTTTCCAAGACTATTCAAAACTGTCTGCGAGCTAGATATACTACCCTTGCGGCCGTGCCTAGTACGCCAACGTACTAGAAAACAGGCATCACAATTACCAGGTCTGAAGATTCATATTCGGTCCAGACCGTATAATCAAGTAATAGGGGGGCTCCTCACTACACTAGGATACTGTCACCTGAATGCTCCCTGAGTACTCGCTGAGTAGACCGGAAAAGTAGGTTAATAATATCACGTGGCTCAATGATGACTCAAATGTTGGTAATAGGGGCGCCAAAAACTCCCAGATAACCATTATTCGGCGCCCAATTTCTCGTCAACTAGCATTGGGATGTAATTTGGCCATTTACATCATGCCAGGAATGACAAGTCTTTAACGAAGCGGAGAAATTGAAGGGAGGTTACATGGATTCGGCCTATAATGACGCTAAGTGATTCATTTGGAATCAAATAACTGATTCTAATGTCATACTTAGTATGTAAACAGTTAGCTCTAATGTGCAAGAATCGGTGCACTTGAATGCCAATTTCGTCACAAAATTACGCCCGGAAAAATAAGAACTTCGGCAAATACGAATCTCAAAGGACTGCTATAAACAGTATTATAGCTCGTGGCTTTAACATAATTATAAAAAACCCGTAAAATCTTCAATCCTCGTGCTCAAGTGCCCAGATGGGGGGATGACATAATGCTTCAGTGACAAGGTTTCGCACCAAAGAGTTATGACTAAATTTCGTGTTTAGGCTACAGGGTGGTATTTAGCTGCAAGAAACCCAACAGGCAAATACCAAAATTGTTCTTTCAAAAGTTGATCACCTTTTCTTTCAGTCAAGTCGGTCAGTTAGCAGTTAGCGAGGGCGGAGCCAGGCACGGGAATCTGATTACCTTACCATGGAAGTGCTCCTCCACCGAAAACAATTTTGAACCCAACACACATCAACCCCCTTCGTGTCACTCCCCTTTCCACGTCTGAAAGGGAGTTTGGCTGGTCGAAGATGGCTGAACAGGTTAGTCTGATGCCCCATACTGGGTCCTTCGAGCCCAAGGGGGTCACCTAAAAAAAAAATACCACAACCCCTCCCCCACTGCCCCAAGTCAGCCCCTCCACGAGGGGTCACCAGATCAACATGAAGCATTGACAACTTCCCTCTCTCAGGTAGCGAATGCTATTCAGATCGCCTGGAACCCGGCCTCCGACCAAACTCTCAAAGCACAAGCTTTCGACTACATCAACCAGCTGCGCTCCGATCCCTCCGGATGGCAGGTCTGCCTTGGCCTCTTCACCGAAACCCCACAACAGCCCGAAGTTGTGCGACATGTGAGCTTGGAAGTCGTCAACAGTGCGGCGCAGGCTGGCTTAATTGATTTCCCATCCCTGGGCGTTGTGCGGAACAGCTTGTTGGCCTACTTGCGGCAGGTTTATGGGCCTGACGGGACCGCCACCCCCGACGCACCGTACATCCAGAACAAAATTGCGCAGACCGTAACCTACCTCTTTTCCGCTCTATACGGAAATGGCTGGGAATCTTGTATCGAAGATCTTCTGAACCTTACATACAAATCTTCCGCTAGCACGACCCGGGACAACCCGCTAGGAATAATTTTCTATCTGCGGGTGGTGAACTCAATTCACGAGGAGATTGGTGATGTGCTGGTTTCTCGGTCTCGTGGAGAGCAGGACAAGGCCAATTCACTGAAGGATTTGATTCGCGAGCGGGATATGCAGAGAATTGCGAACTCCTGGCAGGAGATTCTTTCAGAATGGCGCGACGGAGACGATACAGTGGTGGAGGCTTGCTTGAAGGCGGTTGGCAGCTGGGTCAGCTGGATTGACATTGGTCTGGTGGTGAACCAGCCGATGCTTGATCTTCTTTTCCAGCAGCTTGGACGGGCCGAGAAGCAAGAGTTGCGAGAGGGTGAACAGCGAGTTCGTGATGCAGCTGTGGATGTCTTCACAGAGATCATCGGCAAAAAGATGAAGCCCGCCGATAAAATTGAAATGATTGTCTTCCTGAATCTAAACTCGATTGTCACTCAGCTCTCCAACAGTCCACCCTTACGGGAAAATCGATTCACCTCCAAATATGACACCGATTTGGCGGAAACAATTGCCAAGCTTGTTAACATCACCGTTATGGACATCGTGCGGGTTTTGGAAACTGATACTGGCCCAGTGAAGGATAAGGCGGACGAGCTTTTGCAGGTCTTCTTGCCGCACGTTTTGCGCTACTTTTCGGATGAGTACGACGAGGTCTGCTCGACCGTGATTCCCTGCGTCAACGACCTACTCACCTACTTCCGCAAAGTTTCTAAATCAAACCCAAGCTATGAAGAACGCAACAAAGCTATCCTCCTCCCAGTTTTGAAGGCAATCATTGCGAAGATGCGTTACGATGAGACTTCCAACTGGGGAGATGAAGACGAGCAGACAGACGAGGCTGAGTTCCAGGAATTGCGCAAGAGACTCGGTGTTCTACAGCAAATTGTAGCTTCTGCGGACGAACAGTTATTCATCGACGCCATCTCAGAGCTTGTGGGTACAACATTTGAGAACCTGCGAGTATCCGGAGGCCAAATTGACTGGCGTGACCTGGATTTGGCTTTGCATGAGATGTTCTTGTTTGGTGATCTGGCCGTCACTCGTGGTGGAATCTACCAGAAGAACCAACCCGCCGGCCCTGCTGCAGTTCGTCTCATTGAGATGATGCTCCGAATGGTGGAATCCGGTAGGCTCTTCTCACTATAGCCCGATCCCGAAAATACAAGCTAATTTACAATAGACATTCGGTCGTTCACCCACCCTGCCACGCAACTTCAGTACATGGAAATTTGCGTGCGTTATAGCGCCTTTTTCCAACACCACACACACCTCATCCCTGGTGTTTTGGAAAGTTTCCTTCAGCTCGTCCACCACCCAGTCCGAAGGGTGAAGACTCGGTCGTGGTACCTTTTCCAGCGTCTTGTGAAGCAGCTCCGAACCTTTATTGGCAATGTGGCTCAAACCATGGTGGAGGCACTTGGTGATCTGTTGGTCATTCAAGCTGAGCTTCCATCCGAGGGAGATGACGGCGATGAGATGTCTTCTGAGGACCATGAAGGTTCCGCAGACGCAGTTTTCACCAGCCAACTGTATCTCTTTGAGGCCGTTGGTATCATTTGCTCTACTCATGGAGTGCCGGCTGATCAACAAGTCGTTTACGCTCAGTCGGTGCTAAACCCTATCTTTGCAGACATGGAGCGAAACCTTGAAGCAGCCAAGTCAAATGATGAGCGAGCCTTGCTGCAGATTCATCATGACATTATGGCTCTGGGAACTCTTGCCCGTGGATTCTCAGACTGGATGCCCGGTACAAGCACCCCTTCCAACCTGCCGGCGCCGGAGGTTTCAGAAGCTTTCTGCCAGGTGGCAGAAGCGACTCTAGTTTCCCTCGAGTCTCTCAAGAATTCTTTCAATATTCGCACTGCCGCTAGATTCGCCTTTTCACGTCTTATTGGCGTTCTGGGGGCTCGTATTCTCCCTCAATTGCCGCGTTGGATTGATGGGCTTTTAACTCAGACATCATCACGAGACGAGATGGCTTTGTTCCTGCGTCTTCTCGACCAGGTCATCTTCGGGTTCAAGGGCGAAATTTTCAGCATCTTAGACACCCTCTTGACTCCGTTCTTGCAGCGAGTATTCTCTGGCATCGCGGATCCCACGACTGGTACCGATGACGAAATCCAGCTTGCCGAACTCAAGCGTGAATATCTGAACTTCCTACTCGCCGTTTTCAACAATGATCTCGGTGCTGTCATCATTAGCGAGAGTAAGTTATTCCTATAGAGTTGAATGTGCCCAAAATACTGACCCGAGAAGGAAACCAACCTATGTTCGAAACCGTCATCACCACGATCGAGCACTTTGCCAAGGACATCGAAGACTTTACCACTGCCAAAATGGCATTTTCCGTTCTACACAAAATGGGCAGCTCCTGGGGAGGACCAGACATCGCCCCAGGCGCCACCAATGGAACCACGCCGAACCAGACCACATTGCCTGGATTTGGTGGGTTCATGATCTCGCGATTCTCACCCTTATGCTGGGCGCTCCCAATGACTCCCTCCTTCAACTCTAAAGATGCCCAGGCCAAGCAGGTCCTTGCCGAGGCAGGCGGACTCCAGCGCACGATCTACCTGAAGACAGGTGGGGAGTATCTGGATTATCTACGGAACCAAGAACTGCCGGGCATGGGCATGGGAGGGGATCTCATTGAAGAGTTTTTGACGGCACTGAGCCAGCCGGACGCCAAGGGATTCCGGCATTTCTTCCCGGTAAGTGAATCCTTTCCATTTGCTAACATGTATGATCACGCATACTGACTTTGCATATAGTCATTCATCCAGCGATTGAGCGCATGAGAATCTCTTCTACGACCCTTTCATGTTGATTCTGCTTTTTAGATTCCCCCATGCCATATTTCCCTTTTGACGGAGACGAGGTGATGTCAGTCCTTGTCCCGACTATTGATGTGATTTCTGTCGCCCAGTCGAACATGTCATCTATATCCATTTTCCATTCCTCCCTGCCTCGCCCCTTCAAGGACACCCTATCATGCATTACACGCCATTCAATCTTAAACAAACATAGATTGAATAAATCCCAGGAAGCGAGAGAAAAAAAGCGTTCATGCTCGAGTACATAGTGATTGTTACCTTTTCATCCTGCATTCGCTGCGCGTCGTGGGCGTTCTCTCATCTCACTTGGAACATCTGTTACTCTCCATCATTTCTTTAAAGGAAAGTGAGAAGGATTTCATATCTACTTGAAGTTGAGTTAGTAGGCTTGGTATTCTGGTCAACAGAGGTAGACAATGAATACACTGGTTCTCTTATAAGCCTGAATCCATGTAGATCTAGGAATTACACCTAAACGAGAGCAAGTCTAGGAAAAGTATACAATTGAGACGTAATAGACATTCATTCTTTTAGGCCAACCTTCAAGTCCAATATTAGGTATCCCACTCCGAGCATCCAATCGTTTCAAAGAGCGGACCTCACTGCGGCCTGTCGTTCACTTGAGCAAAAAATCACCCGAATCAGAATCCGTTTCCACGCTATACTTTACTTCATAGCCCATCTATACAGAGATATAAGAAACAAGGAAAAACACACTATGCAAGAAGATACTTCGCCGCATGGTCAATGTGATCATCGGCAAAGGATGCCATCGTGTAGTACGAGTGGTCATAGTCGGGCTGGTAGCGGACGTTCAATCCACTCAGACCGGCTTCCTTAGCGGCGGCTTCAAAGTTCTCGGGGAGGAGTTGACCCTGCTTGAAAAAGTTGTCGCCAGTGCCCTAGGGTTGAAGCGAATTAGACATTGAATCGAAGCATGTATACAGCAATAGTGACCAAAGCAAGTGAAGGCGATGAACTTACCACATCAATCAAGATATCAAGAGGACCACCAGACCACTTCTTAATCAGCTCAGTAGCATCATGCTCCTTCCACTTCGCCTGCTGGTCATCACCGAAGTAACCCTTGAAAGCCTTCTGGCCCCAGGGGCAGTTGATCGGGTTGGTAATAGGAGCGAATGCCGAAACGGACTTATACTTGCCAGGATTGCGGAGGAACTGTGCAAGTTAGCAAATGGCCGAACCAGAGAAGAGAAAGTGAAAGACATACCAAAGTGAGAGCACCGTGTCCACCCATGCTGTGACCAGTAATGCTGACGCGGTTGGAGTCTAGCTGTGGGAAAGCAGCAAAAACGGTCTTGGGCAGCTCCTCGGTGACATAGCTGTACATGTTATAGCCCTGGTCGTAGGGGGGCCTTTGTAGCATCAACATAGAAGCCAGCACCAGAGCCGAAGTCGTAAGCGTCGTTCTCGCCTTCAATGTTAAGACCGCCTATAGATCACAGGAATTAATACAATTTTCTCCTTTATATCTTATGTATATAAATTTTTTCGGAGGACTATGGTTGAGTAAGAACTTACGAGGGCTGGTATCAGGGTAAAGCACGGCAATTCCCTTCTTGCTAGCACCGTGCTGGAAGAAACCCTTCTCGGAGCAGTTGTCCGCCGTGCAGGTTAGACCGGATAGATAGATCAACACGGGGACCTTCTGGGTCTGAGCTTGCGGAGGCAAGTAGAGGTTGAAGGACATCTCGCAGCGAGTGGTAGTGGCATTGTGGCTGAGCTTAAGCAGCTTGCCGCCGAAAGAGGCGATGGTAGCTTTGGTGGTGACGGACATTATGAAGTTTGAAGAATTGGAAACCGGGAAGTTCGCGGGAAGAAATATAAGTTGACGTTTGCGCGGGGTCTTTGGTCCCGCATGAGGGGAAGCTCCACCTGGTTCTTCTCCCGGTTAGGGAATGAATCATGCCGCTTTTGTTTCTTGTTTTGTACTTTTGCTATACTCTATTGCCATTAGAATCAATTTTGCTGACCTCGAAATTGCATATAGAGCATCAATTTGAAGCTTGGAAAGTTTCTGGCATAGCTCTTTTCAGTGGATATCCATGTTAAAGCAGCAACCGGCTATGCATGGAATAGGGAAAAAGGTCCAGATAAGCACCTGTAAAGTAAAAAAGATTGAAACGAATCCAAATGCTGCCCACAGTGGAGAACCCATATCTACAGATAAAAGGGGGAAAGAAACAAAATAATATACATATACTAAGGACTCATTATCAAATGATCTCCTAACCCACCATCCTATCATCCCAAAAACACTGGAACTCCATACACCACGGGTGCTGCCCCGTTCAGGTATTTCAATACACATGACCCCCGTGCTCCTGCAATTGCAGTGTCCAAACCAACATCACTCTGCTGAGTGTCGGGCTTCCCTCTCTCAAACAAGCCCCATGAATCGAAAGTGGACGATGCGAATCGATCAATGTCCCTATCAGTGACATCCCACAGGGTAGCCACGAGTGCAGGACTGCCTGCATGAAGGTAGTTCATAGGTGTACCATATGGTTCATATTCGCCCGCCTCGGTGAGTGTACCACTGCTGCAACCCATGAGGAATGCAACGGCGCATTTGGATAGTCGCTTGATCGTACGTCCGCGAATGTACTGGGCACCACTGCCATGGCCAAAGTACAAGAAAAGATCCTTGGACTCTATGCAGTCACGGAATTCATCCTCTGATGGTTCACGATTGACCACCCCGGTCCAAGACTTCAGCCCCGAAAGATCCCCTTCAAAGGTTGTTTGGGTTGTACGTAGGTCGCCTGTAGGGTTAAGAAGGTAAGCGCCCGATGTACGATCCACGACCGCACCAGATCGATTTTCACCGAATTGAAGCACCCGCTCACGAAGACACTCCAGTGATGAAACTCGGCAGACAGGGTATCCTTGAAGACACGGTAGGGACTCCCATGGAAACAAGTGCAGAGCCTTATCTAGCACGAGCACCGTATGGCTTGGTGGGGTTGACGCAAGCTCTTCCCGCGCGGCTTCGTGATAACCTCGCATGGCATCGAGAGTATCAACAACCATCATGTCGAAGTCAATTTCATCATAAGCATTACGTTCGCCCTGGAATTGCAAGATATCTACCACAAAGTAGAGAAGATCCATCAATGTATCCTCAGGCTCCTCCGACTGTTCGAGGTCTCGAAGCCCAATGAACATTTCCAGAACATTTTGATGAAGAGTAAGGCGAGGCGAAGAAGCCTTGTTACCTTTTTGGCGAGAGGGGAGATGCTTGTCCAGGATTCCTTGGAAGGCACTGGCAAAGCGAGAGAGCGCGGTGGCATCTCGTGCAAGCGGTGAAAAGACGCCACGGAAGCCTCCAAACCAAAGGTTTTCGATGTTTTGAAGCAGGCTTTCTAGTCGACGATCCAGGGTTTCCCGAGTCTTCCACCATTCTTTCTTCATTTTCTTGTCAATCTGAGCCTTGGCAGCATGTGCACTCTCGTTGGCCAGCTTGATAACTTCCTGCATCTCTTCTTTTCCATCTTCAAAAGTGAATTGCTCTTCTTCATCGTCATCGACGTTTCCTCTCCGGAGAGGTAAACGAAGCAGGAAAGGAGAACGATTCTTCTGCAGCCGGGAGACCACAAACTCGGTCCCGTCAGCACTTAGAGATAAAGAAAGAACATTCCAGTTTTCGGGTAGAATATCAACATAAAGCTCAGTGAAACTTGAGCAGATTTTTGCTTCCATTCCGGCAGCTGAGGATGCAGAAGTAGGCCACATGAGTGGATCAGCAAAGTCTGACAATTGTCGATCAAAGTTAATAGCCATACGCTCGCGAGCGAATGCACCAACTCGTCCAATTTCTAAGAAAAATATTGTCAGTATTTAGTAGGGTTCACGAATCGCGCATAAGAACTTACCATTCATGGTCGCCGGGGATTGCGCCCAGATTGCAGGACTCCCTGGGGTAGTGGCATGCGAAAGCATAGAAATGCGACTCATCAATCGAGAGGCTGCATGGCTCTCCAAGGTGGAACCAAGTACAGTAACATCAGTGAAAACCCCAGTAAGACAATCATTTGCTTTGGTGAGCATGATGGAGAAATCTTCACTAGCTTTTTGAGCTTTAGCCCGAGTTCCCTTGGCAGGTGCCCTTGCTCGCTTGGTAGTGGGTTTTGTCATTTGAACATTTGGTTCGTCTGCTGATTTGCTTGGTGTCTTGAGGGAAGGCAGTGAGATTGTAGACTCAGGTAAAACACAGTATACAGCGTGACTTGCAAACTGACGAATGGCCTCGGCCAACAAATGTTCACTTTCGCCAATCTGGAGAGAGACTTTACTTTCTCGTGCCGTAGCAAACTGACGAGCTTCCATGAGAGTGCTTGCAGAACGCTCGTAATCTCGAAGTGCTCGCAAGCAGTCGGCCTGTTGGCGAAGAATATCACTCTTCAGCCTCAAGAGAGACTTTGATTGGACGTCAACTTGGGGGATTTTGGGCGTTGAGACCTTCTTAGCAGTGCTTGCTGTAGCAGAACTAGTTGCACGAGTACGACGGCCAACGGTGGGAGCGGTGGTAGCAGTAGTCGTTGACGGTGTTCGACGACTGCTTCGTACCTTCAACTTCTCCATCTTCTCTTCAAGAAGTGCAACATTCGGGGCCTCTGAGATGCTGATTGCGTCGGAGGAAATAATAGCTGTTATGGCCTTATCAGCCTCCTGTAGCAGATGGAATGCCTTGTCGTATTGCCCCTGCACTTTGTAAAGAGAAGCAAGAGCCATGTGCAGCGAGACAGTCTCCATACTAGCCTGGATCTGCTTTGCCGATTCTGATGCTGCGACGAGGAGTTCTTGTCCTTCGTCCACATGACCGCCGAGAGTCCAGTAGCAACCAAGCTGAGTTTGTGCAGCCACAAGACGAACGTTTGCGTCAAGCGTTTTGTCAATCTTCAATGCCTGCTGTCCGTAGTAGATGGCGTCCTGGAACAAGCCATGGTGGGCCGACAATGTTGCGAGGTTCAACAAGGAGGTATGATGTGAGCCGAGGTGTGGCCAGAATGGCGCACCTTGGGTATAGCTCGCTGAAACCTCCGAAGAAGGTCCGTTTTGGGATAAGTCAAGCTTTGCCACGCCGTCAGCGACCGCGTCAACATCAGAGCTTCCTCCTGTGACCAAAGACTTGTCTTGTTTTCGTTGAGCTAATTTCTCAACCTTAGCCCAAATCCGACAGTTGAGCCTCACAGACAGCTTGGCAAAGAAAAGAGCATTGGTCATTGAACCCTGAGCAGTCGACAGGCGGGATTGAATAAATGTGGCATCCGCAATAAGTCTCTCCCATGATATTTTCGATGAAACAGATAAATTGCTCATCTCGTCTGAGTCCTGGCTTTTTTCATACAGTAATTTTGTGGCAGAAAGAACCGAGGCGGCTTTGTCTGCCTCTCCTGTCTCGAGAAGATATTCAACCCGTGCCAATTTGAACGAAATGGTCGCTAGGGAAGAGATCTTGTGTCGAGTGAGATACTGTTCACCGCGTGAGAGAAGGTCACCTGCTTTCTGACAATGCCCAAGTCGACAATGCTGTAGCACCAAGCGCGAAAGGATGGCGATTGCATCCGAAAGGTCAGTTGACTTCTGAAGCTCAGCCACTCGAAGTATCAGCTCCAGGGCCGAAAGCTGGGATTTCCAAAGGCCGTGGATTTCCGTGTAATCAACCAAGGCCTTCAATTGAAGAACCCAGTAATCGATATCATTGACGCAGAGAAGCAAAGAGCTTTCATCTGCACATTGTCGAATCATTGAGGTCCATGATGCAAGGGTGTTTTCCAAGCCATTCGCATCCATTTGGCCGTGATGGAAGCCAATCATAATTCTTAAAGAGTTCGTGATATGTTGGATAAAAGGTGCCAAATCAGTGTCTTCTCCAACTCCAATTCCGTCTGTGAAAGCTTTTGTGCCTTCCTCCATGATTCTTTCGGAAAGAGTGGGATCCAAACAGCCAGGATGCTCTAGTAAGTATCGAAGAGCAGAAAGAACCACTCGGCCATGGCGAATGGGATGAAGGTCTGTCGAGTAGATATCAATGAGGTCAGATACCACCGAGGTGAAAGTGGACCGGAACTCCTCTTCGCTCGAAGAGTATGCATGCAGCTCAGCAAGAAGGCTCATTTGCCATTCAAGAAGCATGCCTCGTTGTTCAGATCCCAGCTCAACATCATCATAAATGTCGGAAGACTTGGACCCTTTTCGCCGTAAATTCACCTTCAGGAATGTAGAGAGAACCCGGCCCAGCATAAAAGCAGGACTCTGGGAATTCTGGCCGCCTGAGATAGGGTGAGCCCCCATTCCACTGTCAGTTATTTGCTGTAGAGTACCTGAATCAATATACTCAGCGATTGATTGCCGAAATGACTTCTCGGAATCCACGAGCATATTAGCATCCAAGTAAAGATGTGCCATTCTTTCGAATTTCAAGGCAGTAAAAGCAGTGGTGCGGAGAGATGGCGAGCAGGTGGAGGTTATTTGAGTCGATTGCTTTAGAAGAGCGAGTAACTCGCGGTAACCTTGACCAGCTTCCTTTTCCTTGATGTAACGAGACCAGAAAAGATTGGAGACTTTCACTAGTCCTGCACCAATATTTGAAGCATCCGAGCTGGTATCACCAGGGCTTTCGACACAAGTAAGTAGGCGATGGCAGTCCACTAGAATGGGGAGCATGTCATCCCATGGTGGTCTTTGCGACATGATCGATAATTTCCCGACAGCAACAGCCGAATCGACGGCGGCGAGAACGATGCTTTTAGACATAGAGATGCGAGTCTTGAACATTTCGTGCTCTTTCTCATCGCTGTCCTCTGCAGGAGGTCGTCCAATGTAACGTCTGAGAAACCTGAGGAACGCTTGCAGGTATTCCCGAATTTGAAAAGCAATTTCGTTCTTTTGCTCATCACCATCGGATGACTTCGCGATTGACTCACCAAACCAAGAAAGAGCAAGCTTCTTGAGCCGAGCTGCCTCAACAAGTAGTTCATCCAAATCAGTCGCACTGCCTCGGAGTTGTAACCCTAGCGCATTGGTGGCGTCTGATACGGATTTCAATGCTTCATCCAAAAACCTTCCAGATCCTTTCAAGCGTTGAAAGGAGACTGCAGCAATTTTACATTGAACAGTGGCTAAGGAAAGGCTTTGTGAGTTTGAGAGTGGTGTAATGGCTTTGCCGAAAAGCTTTAAGGATTCTTCAATGCACCCAGCATCCAGTGCAAGCTGGCCGAGAAGGGTCATAATTTTGGCAGTTGAATTGATATCCTTGGTTCCTTGTGGTTGTTTCTTGATCTCGGCGGTCGATGATTGAATTCGAGTGATCGCTTTGAAGACTGCACCAAACTCAGCCTTCTCGATTCCTTTGCTGCGGTGAGAGAATCCTCCAAGGTAGCGAAGAAGAGGGTCAAAGACCTCTTTGCTCTCATCACATACGTGGCCCGCTAATTTCCACCCCAGGCTTCGAATTTCCAGGGACAGTAGTTGGAGACCCAAGGCTGTAATTGGCTTCAGAGCATCTTTACTTCTTGGCGACTCATCGCCGGAGGCCTTTCCGGAAGACAAAGACAGCACAGTATTGGATAGTAACTGAAGTTGAAGAGCGGCTTTGTCGTTCGATAAGCTTTTGGACTTTACAGCAGCAATGATAATCTGGGCCGGGCTGCTAGGTTCGGCGAGTTGTAGTAGTGGGTATAGCTTTTGGACCGTCGAAGCCTTGCGTTCCGAGGCAAAGAGCCGCATCGTATTTGCCTGGAAGGGAACAAGTAGACCGTAAAGAGCTTGTGCATTTGAGAGGTTCGAAAAAGTCAGAAGGTCAGACATGCGCTCCTTCGCCGATTCGTCATCCACCACATCATTGGAGCCGGTCGCCTTCTTCCCCGTCTTCTGCAGGTCCAGATGGTGCTGGATTCTGCCTTTCAGGGACCTCAATTCCCTGCATGCCATGTCATTCAGTCCCAGCGATATCAGTTTTCCCGCCAATACGCATACTCCTTGCTCAAGCTGCATGTTCGGGAAGTCTTTGGTACCCTGCTCATTTTTGAGAGCTCTTAATGTCGACAAGGCGAGTCTAGCGCACTCTGCCGCGGAAATCACCCCCGCATCAACCCCGGTGGGATTGGACCTTGCTGTCGACTTGGTGGAGGCTTTCTCGGAAGAGGTTGAACGTTTCGTAGTAGGGGCTTTCAACGCGTCCGTGAGAGTCTTCAATGTTGTATTGAACACCTCCGTGGCGAGCACGAGCTTCTCTTGGGGAGATAGTAGGGGCGCATCTTGATCGACAATTGCTTGCAACGCGTCGTTCGCGCAGGCTGTCTTGGTGGTCCTAGATGTCTTTGCTCGACTTGTTGGCCTGATGGGCTCCTTGACTGATTTTGTTGTGCGCCTCACGGGCTTCTCGGATGGGTTCGACGATGCGCGGAGGAGGGTTTGGAGGGACAACACTGTGGTATCGGAACATGTTGTTGTTGACCGGACGGCCAGCTTGACGGAGTCGGACATGGAGCTGGTAGGTAGAACAGTGACCGCCATGTCGGATATATTAGGCGAGCAGCTGGCCTGCGGTCATCTAATGGGGTAAATTGAGGCTTTAAAGGCCGATATCATCAAAGCCCAAAAGACTCCCAATTGAGCGTGTGTTGTCGTAGCAACATTGTACGCTATACCTGATTGGGTCTGATAACCTTTTAGCCTCAGGCAGCAACCTCACTTCTTGTCGATGCGGGTTCCAGTGCGGGCGAGTTTTATTGCGATCTCACGGCAATTCAACAGTCACGACAATGGCGATGGCACTCAGGTTGAAGCCCTCAGGGCTGAGTCGGCAAATATGTTCCAAACCGATCACATCCAAAGTCCCTAGCCGGTATGCGGCGTCTAATTCCCGGTCATACGCTACTTCCGACCGTCTCCCGAAGATCGCAGACGCCTCAGTATGGACGTCGATGATACCCAGATTTATTCGAGATCGCAAATCGCGCGGAACAAAGAAAACCAAGGAATGGAACCCAGCCACATTTTACATCGTTATGTTTACTCTGATCGGATCACAAGCTATCCGTATGCTGTCCTTGAAGAACAGCTATGCGACATACACCCGCACCACGGATGCGAAGATTGAACTGCTGAAGGAGGTCATCGAACGGATCAAGAATGGGGAGAAGGTCGACGTGGAAAAGCTATTAGGGACAGGAGACAACGCGCAGGAGCGAGAGTGGGAAGAAGGTGTGTCATGATTTTTTGAACTCAAGCCGTTTTTCTGGTAACTGATTTGGATCTTCCCCTCTAGTCTTGAGAGAAATTGAGCAAGAAGACACACTGTGGCAGCAGAGAAAGAACAAGGATACGAAGAATGAAAGCAGCGAGACCAAACTGGAGGTGACACAAAACCCGGAAGCCAAAGAATCACCAGTACCTGCTACCCCAAGTGCAGATGAACAGTCAACGAAGACGCCGCCCAAGCGGAAGTTGAACTTTTTCTAAATGTTTATTCGCCGCGATTGGAGGTCTACACAAGAAAACAGAGCTAGTGAGGGTCTTGTCTAGCTATTGCATTCATGAGAAAAGACCCTCAACGGTAGTTCAAATACCTAAAAACCTCATCCGCATCCGTTCTTTAAAGCCTATTGGCGAAGGCTGCTAAGAACAAATGTATTATAATACGCTTCCTAAAGTATTCCTGTACGGGGAGTCTGATCCCAGGTCAATTATGCTGGGCGAGAGCTTTACTTTGTTTGCATGTACAGTATAAATATTCGTTTCGGGTTAGCGATTTTGAGGAGACTCATGAGATTAAACATCCTGTTCTTCATCTGTAAACAGAAAATGCAATTTATCTGCTCTAGATCTAGGTACTATACAGTGCTCAAAGACAACCACAGTAAAAATAGTACCGTACATGATGGGTTGGCGTAGAAAGAGCAAAACGCACCCTGCAGGGTATGACGATCCGCAAGGGACGATGCGACAACAACAACCCCTTCTATATAGTTCCCACATCTTTTCAAAATCTATGTGCTGGTGGTACAATGCACATCAGCCATCCAACAAAATGAAAGATAAATCGTGCAGAGGCTTTGAAAAAGCCAGGTTAACCCTAGCTCACTTTTGGCAGCAAGATGGAGAAAGGGTCTGGCAGTGGAACCCGAAAGGAGAAAAAAGAAGAAAGTGGTCAAAATCCGATGCTAAATGGAGCACAAAAAAAGTCAAGATGGCAAGGGCCAAATGAAAGTCGTCGCTATATGAAACCAAAGAGAAATTACTGCTTGGAACCCTGGAGGATCTTGGGCCAATTCTCAGGGTGAGGGACCTGCACGCGGCCAATGTTGGGTTCCAAGTCAAGGATGAGCTTCAGAGCGTTCCTTGAACGGAGGTAGGGGAGAGGAGCTGTAGCACCAGTCAAGCCAACACCCGGCTCCACCTTGCCGGTGGGGGTCTCATCCTCATGAGAGCCTGGCAGGGGGAAGCTCTTCTGCAGAACTTCATAAGCGGCGAGAGTGAAACCGAATTGCGGCGATGAACGCATGATACGGGCAGGGCCACCCTTGAAGAAGGCCTTCAGTCCCTCCTCCTTCCACACAGTTGTGGCGCAGTGGCGCAGGCTGGTGTACTTAGTCTCGCCCTTGCGGGCTTCCACCTGCAGACGGGTCTTGATCACATCGCAGGGGGTGGTCAGGTAAGCAGCGGGCATACCAGCAATGGCACCGGCAGTCAGAAGCTGGAGCACACCGAGTTTGTTGGTGGCGGTCTCGCCGAACATCTCGGTCTTCAGGTGTGCATATGTAGGGAAGTAAATGGCCGAGAATGGGACTAATGCCGCGTTAGATCCTTATCACAGATAGTCAAGAGATGTTGTTTCTTACCATCACGAAGGAGACAAGCGCTGGCTCCCTTGTACAGGCCCACGAGACCCAAATTCTTCACAATCCACAGAGCCGAACGGCGAGGAGCGCCCTCGACGTTCTTAGCAACCTCACCCTGCACCTGCAGACGAATCTTGACAATCTCCAAGGGGTTTGTGAAAACCTAACAAAGTAAAAAATTTAGTACATTCTACTTTCATAACGTCATCACCACAACGCTCCAACTTACCACTTGACAAGCACCAGCAGTACCACCGGCCAGAACCTCATAGGGGGTCCAAATCTTACTGGTATCCTTGTCGGTGAGAGCACCTCGGACCAGATCGTTGACTGTGAGCTTGATGGCCTTCTCCGGCGCCACACCAATCAGTTGCGGAATGACACCAGAGTACAGACCGGTGAAACCCTCGTTGCGAATAACCTTCCTGGCGCAGTCAATAGAGTTGTTGTACAAACGCTCACCGGGACGAGTGGATCGCTGGTTCTGCAGACGGGTCTTGACCAAGTCGATAGGGTACACCATGAAAGCGCCAAACGCACCAGCAATGCTACCAAGAGCAAAGTGGTGTGCCGATTCAAGCATGCTGTGGAGGAAGGATGAGGTCTTCTCAACTGCAACTCCCACAGCTTGGCCCGCAACAGCCATGGGGAGACGCCATGAGGCATCAATGACCTTGGCAAAGTCCTTCTGGGCAAGGCGTCCAGACGGAGCATCTAAGCCGGCGAAATGGAACAGAATATCGGCCTCCATGGGGGTGAACAGGGAGAAACGGGTGACCCGAGCGGCCTCGTTAAGGAAGTCGGCGCGAGTGATTTTGCCGTCGGCGCTCTTCTTTGTGGCCTCCCGGACAACGACATCGATGATATCCATCTCACGCATGATGTTTTGGAAGGCACGGACGGTAGCGTAGGAGATCTTGGTGCCGGCCGAGATGTTGCAGAGTGAGGGCAGGTGTTCAAGCACATGGTCGGACAACTTGTGCTTCGAAGTCTCGAGGATGATGCGCTGGAAGTCCTCGGGCTCAATGTAGCCATCTCCGTCCTTGTCGAAGATGTGGAAAGCTTGGCGGATGCGCTCGCCCTGCAGTCCGCGCAACATCTGGGAGAATTGGGGGTAGGTCATGTCATGGCGCGTCTTGGTGCGGCCAGTGTAAAGCGAAGCCCACTCGGAGTTCCAATCAAAAGGAATGCTATCGGCGGTCTTGTTCAAGTTGTAAAGACCCTGGACAGTGTCAAACTTGACACTGCCGGATCCATCGAGATCGAACAGGCGGAAGGCGATTTCGTATTCGGCGTCGGGCTTGGTAAGGAGGTTCTCGAAAGTAGCCCAGTCGGACAGGGAGAGCTTGCCGTGTCTGCGTCGGTCTGCCACCTGGAACAGGATGCCATACTGTTCGCGCTTGATCTTGTGCTGTCATTGTGGAGGCTGAATTAGTTACATCTTTTCTCGGACTTTCAAGGGAACGTGTCTTACATAGTCCTCCTGTTTGGGGGCAACAGCATTGATGAAGTCGTCCTCGGTCATGTATGGCTCCCCATTTTCGTCCTTCTGTGCATGACGAAGGAAATTGGATCGGGCTTGGTGCGACAGCTGAGGTTCCTCTGTGCTGCCCACCAATCTCTCCTTGACGGTTTCCTTAACACTACTCATTGTGGTACAGAGTAGAACAACCAGGTATGAACAGGTACAGAATGTCCCGAATGCGAAAATCCACCGCACAACACTGGGGAAGAAGGAGGTTGAAGGGGGGGGATGATTGAGAGTGGAGAAGGGAGAGGTTTGAGTCAAAAGAGGAATGAGCTAGTGACGGGGCGATAATAATTACAATGTTTCCCCGAGAATGACAATTATTCCACTTTTCTCTGACTTATCTCTCGAGATGGAAAGATCTAAATCTAGATTTTTTATTTTCCGTTTAAATTGATTGGATTTCCACTGTTCGAACGGTACCTGTTCCTTTGTATATTTTGGCCACGCGAGGAGTTTTTCACCGCCAAACCCCAAATCACGGGTATTTATATGTTTTTCAAGGTTAATTTCAAGATTCCTTATGTATGCGCATTACGCGATTTACCCGCAACCGGACTTGGAGCCGAAATCCCTGTTAGACCCCATGAAATCATTTATACTTGTTGTGCTTTTCGAATGCATCGTAAAAGAGCTGTGATTGAAATCCACATAGCTGTTAAGGTTCCTTTTTATTTTCGTGGGTTTTGACGGATTTTGCCACCATGAACCATGGTCGAGAAGTCTCCCAATATAGCCAATGGTAAATTTGACGGAACAGAGTAATCGACGGAACAGATAATGCAGTCAGCGTGATGTGCATCGGAAAGAAAAAAACTAGTATCCCCAGGTGATCACCGGGGATCAGCCATCCCGACATCCCGAAAGGCAGGGGTGAAACCGGGGCCCGGTGTAAGGGCAAAGCAAATCGGGTGCCGTGTGCGGAGTCAAAACTGGAGTAAAAGAAAAAGGCGCACAAAAGTTGGAGATGTAAATTGTGATTGGTCCACTTCCCTTCTCCGCAGTTCCGTCCAATCTCGGCTTAACTCCGCGTGATCACAGCTTCTCCGCAGCTCTCCTCACCGGCTTCCAGGAATTGACTTTGAAGGGTTCAGCTTCCTTTTCGATGTTCTCCATATGTGCCTTTACATAGTGTATTTCCTCTCCTAGATGCCTTTTGTTCAGTCCCGTAAGCTGGGTTCCTATAGCTAGTGTCGGCGCAGGGTATTAAGAGGTCAGAGAAGAGCATTTAAATTGTGTAATCATTTTGACTACTGGCTTTCAATGTTCGTCCGATTCTCCTTCCCTCTTAGTTTGAAGATCAATAATGACAAGCCAGAGGGCGTCTATGAACAGAAATTCAGTTATTACTCAACATGCAAAAGAATTTACAAGTCAAGGACTCCAATATCGTTGACAATTTCACCATGTAAGTGCCGCCACTAAATTGGGATCGGATTTGATACATGCTTTAGTAGCTAGTGCAAAGACCTCAAGAAATCCCTGAAGTCTTCTTTAACACTAGGAACTCCAGGTCGCGAGTCTGAAACGGGTTCGGCTTTGTTGTTGCACCAATTGGGGCAAAACCTGAACATTATGGCGGGATATATTTCGTCAGATATATCGACAAGCTGAATAGGTGCATCACCAAGAAGTCCAAATAACCCTGTCTTCATGGCTTACTCAAAGGTTGTATGCACAACAACAATACGCATCACAACAGCCCCATTTTTCAGTTGTTGCAAGGCCCCAATCCTATCTTCTATTAGGGCCTCTCCGTCAGAAGCATTATCATCATAATCGAACATGAAAGAGCCCCTCCCCTAAATCGAAACCGTATTCGATGCAAGGCAATCAAGTGCACTCCCGCTCTGTTGATATTGAGGCTCATAGCAAGGGGTCCAATTCAAGTGGATTGAATCTCGTGAGGGATCGATCCGTAGCTTCTTAAGCCGAAGGTCAGAGAGCCATTTCGCACGCGGCTCCGTGTCCACATTAAGGCAGTGACTAGCTTCAAAGGCGATCGAGCGGGATTTGCGACATACCCAGCTGATGATTGGTGGTCTCCGATTAATTTTAGTTGTTTTTCTTGATTTGCATGGCGTCGGAGGGATTAATAAATATGCGCCTTCGTCCCACGCATAGTCTAGTTCTACCAAGCGGTGTGGAAGGCATTCACGCCAAACGACCAGTCTCAATTAGGTAGGAAGCTGATCAAAGCGATGAAATTGTGGGTCATCGGTCATTGTTGCTATCCATGGAGTGAAGAGGGCGGGCAGTGAGTGTTAGAGGGGAAGAAACATGCTGAAGTTCAGAGCACAGAACAGCCGAGCTCTGTTTATGTGGGTATGTAATGATAGGGCTTGTAATATGTAACGGGGGCCGTAATAATGAGGTCTTGGAACTAGTAGACGATATGTTTCTAAAAGCATGTAACATAAAATGGTAATGCTAATTAGGGTGACCAAATAGTAGACTCCGTTATGGCGCAATTAAATGCTGCCAGAATGAATGGCTATCTTCATGATGCTAGATCTTTCGTGATGAGGGTCCTTTGAAGAGGAAGTTCACACGTGATGAGGCTACTGTGTTACGTTTCATTGATATAGCTTACACCGTTTCATTGATATAGCTTACACAAGGCGCTTAGTTGCGCGCTCAGTTGCACGCTCAGTTCTACTCGGTGAGAAAAACGCGGCAAAGGGGAGCACTGACTCGAGAAGGAAGGGCTAAGAAAAGGGGAAGAAAATCCGCTACAAAGTTATTTAACAAGGGGAACTGAAAGAGGAACAGGATTTACAACTACATTACTCTAACATCAAGCCAAACGAAGGAATATAGGGAAAAGTTCTGGACGCTTAAACCTGCCTATTGGGGTGTCTCTGGTTCTCGGCGCACGGTCGCCAATGGCAGATCACTTTAGGCTCTATGGGTACTGCATACAATAGAGCCCTAGAGCTCCCGAGGTCTAGACAGTATTAATAATACTATGATTCATGGGTGGGGTTGACACTTGAAATGCGTGGCTGACCGTATGTACTTACCTAACTTACAGCCCCGTGGGATGTACCTGCCACTCTAGCTCGTTTGCTCGCCCTGGGGCTTCTCCAGTCGAAGCAACCTCAGCAATCCTCTTTCCACTGGCAAGAGAATCAACATTGCCCCATTGAAACAAAATGCTAGGATGATGACAGTAACCCCCACCACAGCATCGAGAATAAAATGATTGGCAGTCGCAACAACGGTCACTCCCATCATCACAGGCCAGAGGACCGCCACGCAGCGAAGAAAGAGATGCGGACTATATATCACCAAACAGAATGCGATGAGGACGGAGTTGCCAAAATGTAAAGAGGGCATCGCGGCAATGGTCAGCTGAAATTTATTCTGTGTCCATGCTGAACCTGAGTTGCCTCGATGAAGCACATCAACAAACCCAAACTCGTCAGGGAGGAGACGCGGCGGTTTGCATCGCCACAGCGATAAAATAGCGAATGCGATGACGTTCTCTAGGGCCAGTGTTCGTCGAATAATCTGGTAGCGACCGCGAGGGAGGTATGTATAACAGTAGACAAAGAAAGCGACCCCAAGTACGATGTGGGAGTAATAGATGTCGGCCAAGATATCCATCATCCACGGACACCGATTCAAAACGAATTGTTGAACGGAGAGTTCAACGTCGATAGAAAGACGGTTTTCGAGTGTCAGGATTTGGATCGCATGTCGCTCGGCATTCTGGAAGATTGCTTCATTCCCAGAAATGAGTCGGGCAGAGATAGCTCTGCAGCCTTGGTATATCTATTCCCGAATCTTAGAATCGAGGTCTCAATGAGGCAGCACATCGGAATCGTCGCATACCCAGTAGATAAGTAGCCAGTACCAGATCTCTAGAAGAAACGGAAACCGCTCCAATACTCGAGAATGGATATATTCCCGATTTCTAGCGTTGCGAGCTTCGGCATGGCTGCTAATGTCTCTTTCTTCCGGATTGTCCACTCGCAGCAATGAGCGAGTTTCGCCGTAACCATCAAGTGATTTCTTCTTCCGATTGATCCAGGTCCCGAGGGTAAAGAGGGCAACAATTGCTGCAAAACAATTCAGTATTTATTTAACAGTATCGTGCCTGTGCACAGATGGTGCTCCTTCACTGACCCCCAGGCTCCACTATGTTTTTGAGAGCGCCCATGGTACCGTATATATAAAGACCGAGTAGTAAACGCCTGCAAATGCAAAGTGATATATCCAATCAAAGCATACGGAGAGTGTCGCCGAACCACAGAAGAAAATCTGGCAAGAACTGAAATCGAAAGAGCTTCATAATCGCAATCCGGCTGGGCCGGGTGTGCGGGTCCAAGATGGGTCCTTATTCCTTGACCACGCAATCCCAACCTAGCCGGTGATGATAGTGGCTGGAGTGAATGCCCTGAAAGTGGACACACCCAATATTGGGGCCTAAGTATATTCCAAGGTTTGCATATATTCTTGGATAGCATTAGTCCCCAAGCTGAAGATTTCTCATTTATCGAGACATTATGAGTCCATATCCACCAGTTGACTCGTATCGAGAACAGGGGATTTGGCCTCTTGAGATCCTTCGAACATTTGCTTTCAATTTGAAAGCTTTAATTTAGCTTCCGAAGCTGAATGAGTGGTTTGTTATGAATCAGCTATTGCCGAAGATATAATAGTTTCAATTGATGGCGGGGTAGAGCGGTGTCAGGGCATGAGGTGGATGCGGGAGTCTGGAACATACCTTCTGGCTAGAACAACCTCTGATCTATTCTACCCATTGAGAAGAATCATTTCTATTCCACTCCAAAAGCAGAAGGATGGTTGGTATTGAGATATTTTACTAGGACCGAGATAGTATGGTGGCATATGATTGTCTTCAAGACCAATCGAGACTAAAATATGATTTTCCTTCTGTAGTGCGATATCGTGCATGCTCACTTCATTAACAGTTTTAGGGCCGCAGGGATAAAGTCTGCGTCCCATCCACTTAAATCCAATCATTAGGTTGAAGAAGTGATAGTGTGGAGATAGTGACCATGCTGCAGAAAACACGGGCCAATTCCTCAGTCACACACAGCACGGGAGAGAATGGTGTACGGTTGGTCCTTTTTAGTGGAATAGTGCCTCCGTAGAAACGGCAATTCTTCTTATAAGCTTCAGGACTCGCGACGGATGGTCTTGGCTGCATATTATGCTGGGTTATCACAGCCTGTCACACTTGGTGGTAAAGTTCCACAAGATACCAACTGGATAGGGTATTCTGGTTGGCTGGGTGATAGACACGGAACCCCTACAAGGTTGGGACTAATGTGTGATGGGGAGAGTGATAGTGCGTCAGGGTGCATGGCATAGGCGCTTACAGAAGGATTCGCGATTGGCCCCAAGTGGCACTAAGTGGCCCCTTGGCCCGAACTCCTCAACTCCCCAAAGCTATACTTATATAGCCGCCCACTTCCCCCCACTGAAGTTGTTCTTTTTCTTGCATCCCCGTGTTTGAGATTTTCTATTTTCTCTGCTTCTATTTTCGTTAAGCGCTTCGTTTTGGCTGGTCCAAACGAACTCTTCTTTTTTTATACATTGTATCTTGGTTGACTCTACGTCCAAAATAATCACTTTTTTCTCCACCACTTTCTCTTTGGGTGCCTTTGTTGATCAAAGCTACCCTCTGCAAAAACATTACCATATATCATCATCTGCATATTTTTCAACTTCAAGATCTCTCTGTCACAATGTACGCTGCTCGTGCTGCCGCCCGACCTAAGTTGGGATTGAATATCTCTGCTGCGCAGACTGCTCCCCGACCGTCATTGTCGCTCAAGTCCCCTGGTCCCATTCCTCGAACTCCTCTCTCGCCAGTGGCTACCGCGAGTCCGACAACCCAGAGATTCTCGACCCTCCAGGTGCCGGCATATGGCTACACAAACTCATGCTCGTCGAAGAGCATTCTCAAGAAGCAACAGTCGGCACAATCAGGAGCCCCCGAGAAACGCATTCAATTTAAGGTTGCACCCACAGTCTACTGTGTGACACCTATTGAAAACCCAGATGAATACTACGGCAAACATACGAAGATCTCTCGAGAGGAACGACGATGGGCTGTCCGCGAGTGATTTTGCCCTGAAATTTTGAATTCAAGACATAGCCAGCCCGGCGAGCTAAAGCGCTGTACTAGGAGCCTGTCATGTTGTCATTGCTATCTGCCCCATGATGATAAAGACCTCTAGTCTCTGTGCACTCGGGCTTGTTATAATTTTGACACACAATACTCTAGGCAATCTACAAGGGTTATGGCTTGAGCCCTATTGGTGGTGCAGCAGGACTTCACCTGAGTCGAGCTCCGAGCCACCAAGTTCAGCACGCAGATCGACAAAAGCTTGACGCTGCTCGGGTACTTTGGCGACCTAATCTTGCCATGCGGGTCTTGATTACTATGTTGAGTCGGTCAGAAGATGATGTATAATGTATCGAATGTTGGAAGAGATTATTTTATGACGTTAATGGGCCTCCGATTGATGACTTTGGATGTTAGCATGGATTTTCTTTTTAACTTTATTCAGTCCTTACTGTGAAATATATGCCATTTGGTGTCCAGACACCTCTATATACTCTTTCATACTCTTACTTGGTAAATTATACGGTAATAATTTTAATCAATGCTATTGCAGTAGTAGACCCTGGCGAACGTAGTTGTATAGTTGTTAGGGCCAACTTTAAGGGCTTCCTGGTCCGTGCGGTTCCAATCTTTTTCTCTCCGTCGCCGCCGTGTCCCCGGTTTGTCAACCTCCCAATGTTCTTTTCAATATCTTCAGTTGCGACTTTACGCAAGTCAGCAGCAGGCGCGTCGCGCAGGTTTCTACGGAATCGACGGGGTCTATTGACTCTTGCAATCGAAACGTCATGGTGAGCTTAAATTTACTCCAAAAGGTTCTCAAGCTAATCCGACATCTACGGTAGTGACGACACATCAGTCGCGATCGTCGAGAAAAAGAATGAGAGCCCTGTCGCTAGCAATGCCAAAATTCACTTCCTTGAGAATATAACCTGCGACTCACGAGCGCACCGCGGCATTCATCCGATCTTAGCCCTCGAGTCCCATCAAGAGAATCTCGCGAGCCTCGTCGACAAAGCCCTTAGATACCTGCCGGCCTCAAAAGATGGAGATAAATCGATAAACCTAGCGGATGGATCGAGCCGCCAGCGACCGGATTTCATTTCAGCAACTCGAGGGCCCGGAATGCGTTCCAACCTGTCAGTTGGGCTCGACACTGGGAAAGCTCTCTCGGTTGCTTGGCAAATTCCTATGGTCGGAGTACACCATATGCAAGCACACTTGTTGACCCCTCGGCTGGTATCATGCTTGAATAAAGGCAATGGCGCAGTGACACCAGGGGCCGTGGGACCCCAATTCCCATTCCTGTCCATTCTTGTCTCGGGCGGCCACTCGATCCTCGTACACTCCAAGTCTCTCACAGACCACACCATCATGGCTTCTAGTGATGACATTGCGATGGGCGAAACTTTGGACAAGTCGGCTCGCGAGATCCTCCCTGCGACCTTGCTACAAGAGGCAAAGAATACCATGTATGGCAAAGCTTTGGAACAGTTTGTCTTCCCCAACGGCCCCGCCGATTTTGCGGATTACCGCCCCCCAATGAACCGGGGTGAGGAGGTAATCAAGCGCAAGAGCCCGTGGGGCTGGAGCGTGACTACGCCATTCGCCAACACCCGGACTTTACAACTAAGCTTCTCGTCTGTCTCAAGTATGGTAAACAAGATTGTCAAAGACAGGGAGGGCCAATTATCTCACGATGAGCGCGTCGACCTTGGACGGGAGGCGATGCGTGTCTGCTTTGAGCACCTTGCATCCCGAACTATTATTGCGCTGGAAACTCTTCGAGTGAGGAACCGCGACGAAAATGAGATCAAGACACTCGTTGTGAGTGGTGGCGTTGCGGCGAACAAGTTCCTTATGGCTGTTTTGCGCTCGTTCTTAGACGTGCGCGGATACGAACATATGAAGATTGTTGCGCCACCTCCATATCTGTGTACTGATAATGCTGCTATGATTGGATGGGCAGGTATTGAAATGTTTGAGGCTGGTTGGCGGACGGATCTAAGCTGTCGCGCTCTCCGCAAATGGACCCTTGATCGACAGGCCGATGATGGTGGAGTTCTAGGGCCTGGCGGGTGGATCATGGATGGAACAGCTCTTTGATTGTGTATATTACCGATACCCCTCCCACTAACACTGTAAAATAGATGTATATAGTATGTATAACACCCAAGACTCTATTTGTGATCAACACATTGGAGTTTCCAATCCCATTCAATGCTTTTATGGTATACATAGCGATGCTTTACACTTGACAGCAGACCTATATCTCAAATGAATCAATGACGCCGATGCAATGTTACAGCACTTGAACTGTAAAGGTCCTTTCAATCCGAGTCCTCCCACGTCCCAGAAACCGCCACAGTAGGGTATCGATGATGCGCCGCTCTAATCCGTGCAATTGAACCAAACCCATAACCGGTGCTCTGTGCAGTACAGACATCAAAAATAGAAGAAAGAAAATAATCACAACTTTCGTAGATCAGCCTCCGACGGGAGGACCGCTCTTCTGCAAGGATGCAACTTGTTTCCGTAGTTCGATAAAGAAGTCTTTTCCGTTTGCCATCGTGTTCGCTGGAGATGTCAGTAATCATCTCCAAATGCTGCATGCGTTCGAAATATGGAGCGTACATTTAGCACCCCAAGGGCCGCCCGATCGTTGGTTATTCGAGTCCTTGCCGGTCGGCTTGTAGAAGATTGGCTTGGTTTCTGCGATGACATATCTATTAGAACATGATACATTTGCGATAGTGGGGTAGGCGCTAAAAACTAACCTTCAGGGCCTGTAGAATAAGTTGAAAAACCATTCGTTAGTAATGATTCCCTATGGACATGACTTGTCCCCTTCCTACCTCTCTTCAGAATATTTTTGGCCTCGGCAGCATTGAAGCCCCGGACGGAAACATGCAGGTCCTGAACTGGGCCAGAGCCACTCCAGGCATTGTTTCCACCTTGAGAACCACCTTGAGAAGAACTCTGGGCAACACCTTGTCCACCCGCTGCACGGTCACGGTTTCCATTGCCAGAGTGGCGTTGCGACGACTGGCGACTAGGTCCACGCCATCTAAGCCAAGCGAAGTTAGTGAATCTTTCAGAAACAGAAACGGGAAAAGGCAGAGGATATGGTACCTGTTTTCACCGGAGCCACTCATATCTGAAACCCAACGTAAATCACTCGTAGGTGGGTGATCTGGTGTTCCAGGAGGAATCTATGCGGGGAAAGCTGTGCACGTCCGGAAGCTGTGGCCAGAGTTGAGATCGACACCTAAGGCCACCAAGGCGTCTCCGCCTTGAACCAAAGATAACCTTGGAGAAAGGTCACTTCAGATTGCCTCAGCACGCTCGGATTGTTTACCCCGGGTTCTCCAATTTGTACCATTTGCGGTGGTCTATTTCTTTGAATCCTCACACCTTTTTTAAAATCACCGGTTGTGAACTGCATCTTACAACACCCCTGAACGCGACCCGACGTGTTGATTGTTAATCGCCCCAAACCAAGCGCCGATCAACACACGGGAGCTGCCCCAGCTTCGTGGAAACCATGGCGCCAATGTCCAGACACTCTATTTCAGGCAGATCAGCACAGCCCACCCCGAAATCATCCATGAAGCAGTCGCGTAGAATCGCGGAGTCCCCCGAAGAGCCTCCTTTGAAGAAGCGCAGGTATGTGCCTGGCGGGCCGGGAGGTGGTGGACGATTCATCGATTTCGACGGCGCCGAAGTGGAAGAGATGACTCCCCCAAAGAAGACTAATGGCACACCAAGACGGACCTCCACAAGCGCACGAGGTCGCCCCCCGCGCGATATCGACCATCCAATTCATGCCCCTCCACCGCCGCCTATTGTTCCAACAACACCGCCGTCTGTGACGCGTCCCCGGCGAGACAAGAGCCAGAATCGCGGTCGCTTTACCTCATCAACAGCCGCTGCGCTTGCCCTACAACAGGGCGATGGATACAAACCACGAGAGGAGAGAGGATGGGAGGAGTTTCATCCCGATTTAGACATCGATGGCAGACTCGCTGTCTTCACAGCCGAGGAGGTGGATACAGTTGACCCTGCTGCCAACCAGCTGACATTGGAGGCGCTGACTGGCATTTCTGGCTTTGATGGTTCTGGATCACCTATGCTACTTTCCCCTGACATCGCATCACCCGTTCCATTCAAGCGCAGGCCCGGGCGCCCGCCGCGCCGTCCAGAAGCTATCCTAAATGCTCTTCTCGCACAACAAGGGCCGAAGGTGATCCCACCTCCGGGTCCCAACCCACGGGAAAAATTGACGCTACCTAAGCCGGCGTTCAGGTTACAAGATCCCTTTACATTTTATGAGAAGAAGGGCGTCGGCCAACAGAACTATGTCGATCGAACCATGGCCAGTGTCGGATACCAAGAAAGCGACTTGTTTCTGCGCCATGACCGGCGTTTCATTCGCATGACGGAAGGCGCACAAGAAGATGACATGGATGTCATCCAGCCCGTTGTGTCGGAGGGCGATGTCAACGCGACAAGTGGAAGAGTGGAATACGATATGGACGAACAGGATGAGAAATGGCTGGATGATCATAACTCCAAGCGTAGAGATGATCAGCTTGAGCCCATCAAGCCTGCCATTTTCGAAATAACTATGACCAAAATCGAAAAAGAATGGCATGCACTTGAGAAGCGGATCCCCAAGCCAAACCCCAAACCTCCACAAACACAGCGTCCTCGCTCCAGCTCTGCTGCTGCCGTGAATGGAGAGACTGCTGGCCCTGGGGAAGAGCAAGACAGCAAGTGTGCTATCTGTGATGATGGTGACTGCGAGAACTCTAATGCGATTGTCTTTTGTGATGGTTGTGACCTGGCTGTTCATCAAGAATGTTATGGCGTTCCTTTCATCCCCGAGGGACAGTGGCTTTGTCGCAAGTGCCAGTTGCTGGGGCGAGGCACCACCAACTGTATCTTCTGCCCTAACACCGAGGGTGCATTCAAACAAACTACCTCTTCTAAATGGGCGCATCTGCTGTGTTCAATTTGGATTCCTGAGGTTTCAATTGGAAACCCGTCGCTCATGGAGCCGGTCACAGATGTTGAAAAGGTGCCACGCAGTCGGTGGAAGTTGATGTGTTACATCTGCAAGCAGAAAATGGGTGCTTCGATTCAATGTAGCAACAAAAACTGTTTTGTCGCATTCCATGTGTCCTGTGCACGCCGAGCGCAACTGTACCTGAAGATGAAGATTGGCCATGGACTGATGGACTCACATCTCCTGAAGGCCTTTTGTGACAAGCATGTGCCGCCAGACTGGCGATTAGAGCATGGCACTGATGCCGCCACTGCCGATGCGATCGAATACTACCGCAATACCATGTCAGGTAAACGGTGGGGAGACAGCCAGGCCGCGGCGCTCTCTATGGGACCCGCGCTTGCCGAGGATGCAGAAGGAGAAAGGACCCATACTCCCCGCATTACCTTGACAGTTGGTGGCAACAAGCGAAAACGTGTCCCAAGAACGATCTGGAAGCTACCTTCCGGGGCGCCAGTCATCCCACAGGTTGTTCTGAATTCGGTAGTGGCATGCCTTGGGCGATTCACTGTTCGTGGTCGGAAACAATATGCAGAGGAGGCATGCAAGTACTGGACACTTAAGCGCGAGGCTCGTCGTGGAGCTGCCTTGCTCAAGAGACTCCAGCTTCAACTTGAGACCTTCTCCTCTATGGAAATGACACGACGAGACTATGTGGCGATGGGTGTCACCGGCCACAAACGGTTGCAGCGCCGCATGGAGTTCGGCGAGCGGCTCTATAAGGACCTTGACCACCTTCGAATGCTGTGTGATGAGGTGAAGAAGCGTGAGAGGGAGAAATTGAAAGATGCCGAGATGCTTCGAAGCATTGTCGACATCGTCTACTTCCCTGTATTCCCTTTGCTGTGGCCAATATTCGAGAAGGCACAAGTGTAAGTCATGATTATTTTCGGATTGTCTTTCCCTTTCAACTAACATGAATACAGGCTTGATGGAAAGGGGGTATTTGCGGCGGGGCTGTCATCGATTCGTAAACGGCTCGAAGAGCGTTTCTATCCATCTGTGGCGTCTTTCTCTGCTGATCTGGCGAGCCTTTTCACCTCGGAAATTGGCGTAGGTCCTGCTGGTGATACGGCAGAACTCCAAGCGCAGATTAGTGGCCGTGCTCCTGAGCTTAGTCTGGAGCAACGAGAGAAGAGAAAGCTGGCCAAGCGAATTATTAAGTCCATCCAGCCCCAGCTGGAAGATGCGATTCGCAAAGAGAGCGAGTTGAATCGCAAACCTTATGAGAAAGAGCTAAAGGAGCTGGATGCGATACTTGACCACAGCGTGATGTCTCGCCGAGGGGAGTCCTTCGAGCCTGAAGGGGACCATGACGTTGAGATGGAGGATGATATGAAGCCTGAGGCCATGGAGGGTGGGGAGGAATCAGCTCCCACTGCTTCTGCCGAGGGCCCGACTGCTGATGAAGCTATGTCTACCAAGGAACTTGAACCTGAAGATCCTGCCGCTGAGCCTACAGCTGCTGACGAGGCTAAATCAAATATCAACATAGCCTATCATCGCCACCCCACCCCGATATTGAGCGATGAGGACCAGCAATTGCCTTTGGCTCAGGGTGGAATCCAGTGGTACATGCAGCCTTTTGACCCCATCGGTACCACTGTTCACGAGGAACGGTGGACAGGTCGAGATGTTATGCGTGGGATGAGTGAGGAACTTAGCGAGTTGGACGAGGACGAACTCAAAGACTTAGTGGACGATGAACTGGACCCGGCTACAAAAGCACCTGACACGGTGGACAATCCACAAAATGTCCGTCGCACTCGTCGGTTGCGTGGCTAGTGGTGATTATATATTATTTTGCTTTAATTGTCTCTTGAGCAACGGGCGCAGGCAGGAGTTTTGAGGTCATATTCAGGCAGCCGTAGTTAATCGCTAGGTATGGAAGAAAATTCGTGCAATTTGCCTCTACTTCAGATCAACCGGTCCTTCCAATCTGATGTATTCTGAGCGTAAGATCCTAATGCCAAGAAAGAAAAGTATTTCAGTACCCAATATACCTAGTACATTCAAGGTACATGGTAAAAAGTACTAGGCACATGTATGCTTAGTGCCTTGCATGGTTTGCCTAACTTCCTCATGTGCTGCCAGATCCAAAACCTAGTGAATCACTCGCCCCTTTCCAGCTCTCTCCCTCTTCTTCAATTCTCTCTTCCCTCCTCAAAACTCTCGATTCTCAACTTTGCGGATCTTTTCGTGGTTCTAGACGCGCAACTTTAAAACTTGCACTCGGGGGTGTTGTTCCCTTCCGGAGTCTTAGCGCCCGTCCTCTTATCAGCTCTGATTTCTCATCTCTTTCCTTCCTTCCCTCTTCATCCACGTTCTCTGCAATTCATCATGGCTGATTACGAAAACGACAACGGCCGCTACGCCGGTATGTATTGCGATCTGATAAATGATGTTCGCCATTTTAATCAATCCCTTTTCTGTATGTGCAGATGAGCCCCGGTACGACCGCGACCGCAGCGCCTCGCCTCGCGATGAGCCTCGCTCCGACCGCGACCGCGCCCGTAGCCGTTCCCCCAACGGTCGCTCTGAGGAACGGTATGTCATTCCTTCTCTTTCTTAACGAGATCGACAGCTGATAAGCTTGAAGTCCCCTCCCCATTCGCAAGTCTCTGATCCAGGATGAGGTTGAGGAGGAAGGAGCTAGCAACACTGGTTCCAACCTTTTCGTCACTGGCATTCACCCCCGTCTGACTGAGTCGGACATCTCGCGTCTCTTTGAGAAATACGGTGACGTGGAGAACTGCTCGATCATGCTTGATCCCCACACCAAGGAGTCTCGTGGCTTCGGTTTCGTCAACATGAACACTGCTGAGCAAGCTGATGCTGCTAAGGAGGGCCTCCAGGGTGAGGTCATTGAGGGTCGCACTCTCAGCATTGAGAAGGCTCGCCGTGGCCGTCCCCGTACTCCTACCCCTGGCAAGTACTTTGGACCTCCCAAGCGTGGTAAGTCTTTATTTCGATCGGCTCTCTGCTTCTCAAACTCATTCTTTTTCCACTTTAGATGGTGGTGGCGGTGGTGGTGGTGGTGGTGGCCGTGGCCCTCCCCGCCGTGGTGAGCGCTATGATGACCGCCGTGGTCCTGGTGGTGGTGGTGGTAACTGGCGCCGCCGTGATGATGACTACTACCGTTATGGCCGTTACGACTCTTACAATGACCGCCGCGACTATGGCGGTGGTGGTGGTGGTGGCCGCGACTATGGCCGTGGCGGCGGCAGTGGTGGTGGTGGTGGTGATTACCGTTCCCGCGATTACGGTGACCGTGACTACCGCCGTGGCTCCCGTGATGACTACGGCGGCTACCGTGGTGGTGGTGGCCCTGGTGGTCCTGACCGTTACAACGATCGCTACAGCCGTGATGATCGTCGTGGAGGAGATGACCGCCGTGCCGGTGGTGGTGACGAAGCCCGCGGAGGTAGCGGTGCAGGCAGTGGTGCTCCCGCTGCTGCTGCTGGTGGTGGTGGTGGTGGCGGTGCTGGCTACTACGACCGCGATGCCAACCCTCCCAGCTACGAAGCTGCTCCTCCTCGTGAGCCCCGTGATGCCTACGCTGGTGGAAGTCGCTCTTACGAGGGCCGCAGTGCCGGTGGTGAGGAGCGTTACGGTAGCAGGTAATGTATCTGTGCCCCTTCAAAAAGCAGGAGATACCGGCTCCTGGTGTCTCCCTTCATGGTTGAATGCTCCACTGCCCACCTTTCCTTTGTTCTCCCTTCCCCCTTCACCTTTCCCCCTTTTCCTTTCTCAAATTGTTTTAATGCGGGATTTGACCGACGGGCTACGGGCGTCGTTTCTTTTTTGTGTTCTCTTTTTTCTTTGCTTTTTCACGTCACGTCTCCAAAAAAACGATAATCGGAGCGCCATCGGCCTACTGCGACCGACTCGGCAACATTCTCGATTATTCCTATCGTCATGTCATCTCTGGATCGCTAGATGATGTGCTCCAAATTTTTATCTGTTCGCGACGCAACTTCGGGAATCACTAGCGGCAAGGAGGAAAACAATTATCGCTGTAATTCGGTTATCTGGGATCAGCACTCTCGGTCAAAACAATTCGCCTTATGCACAACACTCCAAGTAACGGCCCGGTTGTATTCGACCAATTTTAATTTCGCCTCTTTTTTCATTCACCATTCGCCTTCGCCACGTCTTCGCGCTGTAGTATTCGCCAAGATCAAAAGTGCTGCAGGGCGAATTAATCTCGATAATGGACGAGCTCAGGCTTCAAAAGGTAAGATATTACCATGGGTTTGACTTGTGGTCCAGATTGAAATTCGGTTGCATTTGTCTCCTTTGTCTTGACTAGGTTGATTCACTACCCCTGGAGATTCTCTGGGGTGCAAGCTATCCACCTCCAGTGTCCTGCTTACTGCCCCCTTCCCATTCCCTAGGAACTTCGATACCCAGCTAGCGATGCATCCCGAACCATCTATTTCGTCAACTTTTCAACTTACGATTCAATCTGGTACTTAATAGCAAATGCTATTTAACTTTCCCTGTACTTCAATTATTGGGCTGTCTAGGCCTGCATGACCTTATGCTCTCTCTAAGCTAGATATCGTTGCATGCGCAGTTTTGGTCATTGTATCTTCATTTCTTGGGTATCACCATGCCCATCTGTAGCTCCATATAGTAGAAGCCTTAATGCCTCTTGACCCGGAGACCGTATTGGGGCGAGACAGAGGGCTTTTAAAATATCAATAACATGTCCGGCATAGAAGCCATAACCCTAACATCCCGAGAGCACCTGAAAACGCCGTAATAATCAAATCCAATCATCCCTTGGAGTTTTCTCTATTCTTCTTTCTCGACATCGCCTTCCACCTCATTGCTCTTCTGGATCAAAAAATCCCCGAGGACGCGCAACGGATTGGCGGGCCTAGAGCAAATTGACACCATCAGCATGACTTCCCAGATTCCAGTGGCCATATCTTCACTCACTGGTCTTTCGCGACAGCTTTCATTCCTTCCAGTAGGTATGGTACAATCTTTTCATTCAGGTATTCCCGGGCTGGGGCCCCCCAGGCCGGACTTGTGAGGAGGCTGCATTGGAGAGCTCCGCCATCGGAGTGTGGGAGCCGTTGGGTTCGCCCATGGTGTTGTAATTGGGTGTGGGTTTTTGCGCTTCGTTGACGGGAGCAGGTGGATCAGATTGATTCGCTGTCGCAAGCGGAGGCTGAGCAGGAGGAAGCAATGAGATCGGGAGAATATTTCTCGTAATTAAGAAGCGAGATGAAGGAATGGGAAGATGAGCTGGGAAAGTAAAGGATTGGGTTTGTCTCCGGATGTTGTGCAGAGCGGAGCTGTGGAGCTTCTGGAAGCTCCCCAACACTGAGTCTAGGGTGGGTATTTGGATCTCAAGGTATAAATTTCACAGAAATTTTTCTTACCACATCGGCCATTATAGGATTGTGGCTACCGAAGCTCACTATTGCATTCTTCTGTTCTTTTCTTTCACACTTTCCCCTCTTCTTTTCAATGATTCAAGTACTGGTTCGATCTTCATGTGCAAACAGAACAAACACCTTGATCGAGTCAAAGTGCACACGTGACTTCGTGTCGCTATCGGGTTTTACTTCAACGCGGTCGCGAGTCGATCTATAGACTGAGCTCCGCTGAATTGACCAGAAAGAGAGCCCCATGGCTCTTTTACAGCATGTCTTTGCTGCACTATTATGAGACGCAGCGATCCACCAAACGCAGGAAAACATCGGACGAGAAGGTTGATCTGGATAGCAATGCGAGCGATAAGCCACCACGAAGCCCCAGTCCGTCCACAGGGGCGGTGGATACGCCTCCAGTCGACGAGGCTGAACACCCGCTTATGAGTAGTCAAACTGAACTGGAGACCTCGTTGCCAGATATTGAGACGGACGAACAGGCAATTCGGGAATATGAGACATCACACGCCGCGGATGATGCGGAGTCAGGCTTGCATGTAAGATTGCGTGATGGCGTCTGGAAGAAGGGTAAGAGCTCCATCTATGTTGATGCTTTCAACTTGGTGCTTGAGACCGTGCTGGAGGAAGAACCGCACCTCTTTAGTGAGGCCGAGATGGAGGTGTTTACGCAGTGGAAGGACTTGTCTTATGAGTCGCAGTATCTGTATGTTCATGAAACTTTTATCAAGTCACTCTTCATATATTAATGGTATCAGATATGTGCGACTTTTCTTGCGCAAGACCTCCGCATGGCATCGAGTCAATCGACTGGGCTACTATTCCGATATATCCGACTTGTCTGCAGTAGCTGTTGATCTTCAGTGCGACCGAACACTACCCAAGGCTGAAGATCAAGACCATAATAAACTGGATTTGGCTGGGAGCTTTCGGTTTGCCGACGGGACATCAGAGATCAAGACTCTGGAAGAGGCATCATCACTTTTATTGCTTGATGAATTGAAAGGTTTTGCCAAGGAAGCCAAGGTGCAGGGCAAGAACAAGAAAGAGCTGCTGGCAGCTCTATGCGAGACCAGCCAGACACAAACAGGCCTCGGGTTCAAGAACGAGGCAGACACCAACTCATCTGAAAACAGAGAAAGTCATTTCTTGGAAAAGATCCTGGATTACACGGGTGATTGCATTCGGCTCTGCTCTGGACCTCGTACTCTATTTGAGCGGGTGCATTTGGTCTTCTATAGATCAACTGAGTGGACTGAGAAATCACTCACGACTATCATTCTAGCGAAGATCTCGCGGAGAAAGTTCCCTGAATATATCGTATGTCGATCAAAGTCCATTTTTCCATCCAGGGCAGTCCTATTGGAATTCGAAGCTGCTCTACGGACCCAATTTGCCATTGACAACATCCTGGAGTTCAATGGCCCTGTGAGCACAGAGTCATTACAAAACATCATTGATCTCGCAGAAAAGTTTTATCCTCGATGGCAGGAACTAGCCAAAGAAGAACAGCAGAAAGAAGATTCCATCTACGACAGCGGCGAGGGTGCTTATCTGCGCCGGTTTTCTCCCGCATGGGTCTACACACGAATCATCCATAAAAGCCTACATCCATTGGGTCGATTCAAAGAACACAAACGGGAGCATGAAGTCATCACTGAGCTCCTCGACCAGCGTCTATTTCACGCTGCCCGTCGTGGCGCCTGGTATCAGCGTAAAGCACTCCTAGAAGAGCACTATATGTGGGCTTTGACACCATCAGAAGAGCGAAATGAAGAAAAGCAACGCAAGTTCTGGAAACGAATTGCGTTGCGAACGTGTGAGGAAGGACTGGAAGATCCACTCTGCCACTTGATATACCACTACGATCTGCAAAAACGTATAACAAAGCTTGAAAGAGCCCTAAAAGTCGTTAAGCGAGAACAGCATGATTTCGGCCATGTGATGCTGAGCAAACCGGCTGAACGGACGATCGAGGGGATCCGTATCGAGCGGGATGAACTCGCGAAGAAGGGGAAAGCTACAATATGGATTGACGAGAGGGAAGGTGGTGAGTGTCGAGTGGAAAGCATGTGCTTAAGCTGGTACCGTGATCACGGCTGGAAAGGATATCATTCCGAAGGAGGCATTGTTCGAACTCTGGTAAGTCAATCCAACCTCCTCTAGAAGTAAATGGAAGTGCTAACGTCTTTGTCCACAGTTCGGAATCCTCTTCTACGATATCCTATTTACTTACGTCCCTAACGTCTTCCAAACACCATTCCAAACCTGTCCCCTCGATCTCCATACAGACGTCTTTTACCCGTCTCGGGCATCAGAGATAAACCACCGACTAGTCGAGATTACAAATGGCGACGCAGAGCGTATCATTCAAGAGGTTCATACTCGTGAAGGAGCTGCCCAGCCCTGTGCTATTGGCATTGACTGGTCATTTGAGCTAGAGGATCTGCTTGAGATTGGGCGGTGTTTTCGAGGTGAGGCACTGGCTACTATCTGTAAGGTCATGGCACAGGAGTACCAACAGCGTGGTGGTGGTATCCCCGATCTCTTTCTGTGGAATCCCGAGACGAAGATTGTCATGTTTGCGGAGGTCAAGTCTGAGAATGATCGCTTGAGTGATACACAGCGGTTATGGATACATATTCTTCTTTCTGCTGGGGTTCAGGTCGAACTGTGCAATGCCGTTGCGAGGGAAGTGAGGACGGAATAGGTGATATGCCTGCATACTATGAATTGTACATAAGGATCAAACTTGATCTTCGCGATGCATATACTTGATGTCTTACCGATGATACACGAATAGATGAATTTTGGCTACAATCTACAGCTTGCTCTTGGCAAGAAAAAGGAATCTTGAAACATGAAAGGGGTATAACTCGTAATAGTCTTCTTTTTATCTGGCGTATCTAGCCCATGAAATCAAAATCCTGGGCACAACCCAGCATTGTTGCTCCACGAACGATCCTCCAAAACCACAAACCAACACACTGTGTCTACGCTTACGCGACAAGGGTGGAGGCGGTGGCGCTCTCGTAACGCCAGGTGGGGGGCAGGACACCGACGGTCTTGTAGTAACGGGACAGACGGTGAATGCGGGACTCGATCAGAATCAGGCGGAACTTGGAGTCCTTGTCCTTGCGGTTGCGCTCAAGGTGCTTGCGGACAGCGACGGCCTAAGGATTACAACAATTAGATCGACCTAAAGTGCAGGGTTTGGGGAAGGGTATGGCATACCTTCTTGATCAGGAAGTAAAGGTCCTCGGGGAGTTCGGGAGCGAGGCCTGTATTCCAAAATCTCTCTGTCAGTCATGTTCTTGACCAAGCAGAGGCTTAGCTGCTGGTGCATTTCTGCGACCAGAGTTATAGGAGAATGAATGGATCGTTGCAGGTATGACACTCAAGGCAAAGAAAATTTCGGTTCTTTGCTCGAGGACATCCCATACAATTTCACACATTCATTTCATCCAATTGAAGGGTATAAAGGGTTGGCGATGGGAGTCGTACCGCTGGACTTCAAGATACGGAGGATCTTGTTACCTATTGACGAAAAATATTAGCGACCGTCGAAATCATCCCAAATCATCGAATTTTCGCGAAATCCGATCGAGAATTCCTTACCAGTAACAATCTTGACCTGGGCAACACCGTGGCTGTCACGGAGGACAACACCGATCTGCGAAGGGGTGGCACCCTTCTTGGCGAGCTTGCAGATGTGGTCGACAATCTGGTCGGGAGTGGTCTTCAACCAGGCGGGGGCGGTGCGGGAGTAGGGGATGGCGGAGGACGAAATGCCCTTGCCCTTGGAGTGAAGGCGACCCATTGTTGCTGAAGTGTCCGGCGAGGAGAGCTGGTCGGAGGTTGTCGAGGTGGATGAGGAAATCGAAGTTCTTCGAGTGGAGATAATTTGGAAAGGTCGCACGACGGATGTGTGTGGATCACGTGGCTCGCTTATTTTGCAGGAATTTTCTCTGAACCTCAGCTCCGCAACTTCTATTTAATGCGTATTGCCCGCCTATGAACTTCTTCAACTGTTCTGGTTTTATGTTTTCCAGACAGTTCGATGTCTTTCAAAGATCACTCTCGCCAATATCATCACTATCGCCACAAATTCTTGATCGGTTCGACTCGCACCTACTAACAGGTCAGTTTTGCCTCCCTCCCTTATCAACACTCTCCCCCTTTTATGATGAAAAACACATTTTTTACTATTTTCTGGTACCTCTTATGTCAGAGGCGTGTCTTTCGGGATGCGTCTCGATGATCTAACTGGACTTCTGATTAAATACAATATACTATGAATTACTTTCATAACACGGAGAAGCTTTCTTACTGACTGCTTTCTAGACAACAGGATTTTCCACAGCACAATACTAGCATAGCAATCAATGGATATACTTTCAACTTTATTTCTTCCGATGATGAGCGACTATGGTATCTCCATACATGCTATAATGCTCTAGTGTACAAAGTAATTCCGACGTAGTGTCGAACTCATGGGTTTCATATGGGTTTGACCATCTCATTAAATCAACGTCGAAGTCTCTTGGATATCCGCCGAGTCTCGCTCGTCGAAGCATGAATGACTTCTTCTGGTGTTGCCTTGCGTTTCTTCCCAGTTTTCTTCATAGGTTTACTCTCAGGCTCTTCCACTTTCACATTGACATCCTCATGCTTAGGGGCTGTCAAAGCCACTGATGTCGTGACTTCAGTCTTAATCTCAACCTCTGAGTCGTCTTCTTTCACAGCTACCTTTACCTTCGTTGCTGCAAGTCGATCTGCAAAGGACCGCAAATTGGCCGTGAAAAGCACACTCTGCGCCCATCCAGCCTCCTGACCCCAGAGCTTGCGGAAGTGATTGGCCACAGCATCATATGTTGCTTTTGTCAATGACTTATGGGATCCCTTGCCGAAGCGGTAATCCCGTTGCGCGATTTGCCATACTGTCAAAATGATTTAGAGCCATGTACAAGTGCCAGAATTTCGAGCAACTTACCATGAGTATCCACAGGCACAGATTCGCCCCATCCCAGACCCATCAAACAGACACAGTCTGCCACTTTGGGCCCGACACCTTGAAGTTCCAGTAAACTCTCATGGGCATTTCGGTATCCTTGTCGACCTTCGGGTTTCATCTCATCGCCCGGCTGTGCCTCAGTACCGAATGCAGGGGACTCGGGGTTAGAAAGACCATCCAACCATCCCTTGTCTCGCTCTTGGGACACCATGACAGCGGTCTTGTAGATATACTTAGCCCGGTATCCAAATCCCAAGGTGCGGAGATTGCTTTCCACATCCTTGCCAGCTAATGCCTCAGGTGTTGGGAAGTCGTGGTAGGCTCGACCTTCAATTGTAGCAACGAATGGTCCATAGTGAAGACACAATTTTTCCACCATCTGAGAGATACGTGAAATATTGTTGTTGCTACTGCAAATGAATGACACTAAGGCCTCCCATGCATCCTGGCGCAATATCCGGATTCCGGTGAATTGCGGAGCCTTTTTCTTGAAATTAGGATCGTCAGAAGACCATTGTGCATATAGATCACCCAGATTGGATGACAGGTTGAGATAATGCTTGATAATGCGGAGAGTGTGGTCGTCTTTAATGTCACTGGATTCTGTATCTGATTGCGCGCGAGAGGGTAATTCCGAGGCAGGTGGGGTTAGGAGAGAAGGAGACGACCGAGACTGGTAGGTTCGATAGTATAGACAGCTTGAATCTTGTTTCAAAGAAATCAGACGTCCATACAGGACACATCGCCATTCTTCACTTTCCGCAATATTATGCCATCTGCATGGAGGTTAGCATTATTGAAGAGAGATACGCAATTGGAAGAAACCGACCGGAAAGATTGACCACAGCGTAGAGTAGTATTAATGCAGAGCTCTGACAAGCTGACCGGCAGCTTGCGCCAATCTGAGAAAGCCATCTTTAGGGGGTTCTTTGTTGCGCTGAAACCTTGACGCGATAGAAAACGATAAGAAAGTCGTTCTGCCGCAAATTGCCGCTAACTCCTGTAATAGAAAGCGGTAAAGGCATTACCGCCCCGTGCAGGAGCTTCCAGTTTTCCCCTTCACTGAAGCCAACAAGAGCTTCCCCAACTTCAAAGCTCAACATGAACGGCGACACTTATTCTTCCAGAGGTGAGTCTACTACAATTGATCTCTAGGAATTAAGCTAACAATTGTAGACTCTGGTCGCCCTCGCGACTACTACGTAGGTGCCAACGTTACAGGTGGCTTGAATGCGACTAACCCATCTCAGCGCGACGAGCGACGTGATCGAGACCGAGGAGATCGGGGTGATCGGGCAGAGAGACCTGAGCGACCTGAGAGACCCGAGAGAGGAGAGCGACGACGATCGCGATCGCCTCACTACGGCCCCCGAGGCGCGCGTCGTGAACCTGAAGCCAACTCGTATTCCTCCAGCCGCGACTACCGTGCCCGTGAGCGTGAAGACCGCTATTCGAGCAGCCGAAGAGACGACCGGGAATGGGACCGTGGGGACCGAGGAGATCGTGGAGGAGACCGTGGAGATCGCCGCCGCCGACCTGACCGACCTGACCGACCCGACTTTGAAGAGAGGGCTCCGAGACGAGACCTCTTTGAGGATCGCCCCCGCCGTGGCGGTGCTGGAGGTGGTGACCGGGACCGTGGAGACCGCGGAGACCGTGGTGGTGATAGAAGAGAGCGCAAGAGATCCGCAACACCCCCACAGAGGAAGGAGCCTACACCAGACTTGACCGATGTCCCGTCAATCTTGGAACGCAAGCGTCGTCTTACCCAATGGGATATCAAGCCTCCAGGTTATGAGAATGTCACTGCAGAGCAAGCCAAGCTCTCTGGTATGTTCCCTCTGCCCGGAGCTCCCCGCCAACAACCAATGGACCCCAGCCGTCTGCAGGCTTTCATGGACCAGCCTGCCGGTGCCACCGAAAATACCGCCCTCAAGCCATCCAACTCCCGCCAATCCAAGCGTCTCTTTGTCTACAATATCCCTCCTGGTACCACCGGAGATGCCATAATCTCGTTCTTCAACCTGCAGTTGAACGGCTTGAACGTGGTTCAGAGCGTCGACCCATGTGTCTCCGCACAGGTGTCTGAAGATCAGAAATTCGCCCTCTTGGAATTCAAAAGTCCTACTGACGCAACTGTTGCTCTGGCATTTGATGGCATTACTATGGCTGAGAGCGGTGACAAGGGTTTGGAGGTCCGGCGACCCAAGGATTACATTGTGCCCAATGGAAGTGCAGACCAGGAATACCAGGAGGGCGTGCTTCTCAGTGAGGTACCAGACTCACCAAACAAGATTTGCGTGTCCAACATCCCATCCTATATTCCCGAAGAGCCTGTCACAATGTTGCTGAAGTCGTTTGGTGAGCTTAAGTCATTCATCTTGGTTAAAGATTCTTCGACTGAGGAATCACGGGTGAGTACATCTTCAATGCCTATTTCTACATTTCATAACTAATCTCGTTTAGGGCATTGCCTTCTGTGAGTATGCCGATCCAGCCGCAACTCCCATCGCTGTGGAAGGTCTCAACGGCATGGAGCTAGGTGACCGTCACCTTAAGGTTGTTCGTGCCAGTATCGGTACTACTCAGGCAGCTGGTCTGGATATGGGTGTCAATGCCATGTCGATGTTCGCAAAGACTACTTCCCAAGATATGGAGACTGGTCGTGTGCTGCAACTTCTGAATATGGTTACTGTTGATGAACTACTTGACAATGACGACTACGAAGAAATCTTGGAGGATGTCACTGAGGAGTGTGGAAAATACGGAAAGGTTTTGAGCCTCAAGATTCCCCGCCCCAGCGGTGGCAGCCGCAGCACATCAGGTGTCGGTAAGATCTTCGTTAAGTTTGACACCGAGCAATCGGCGACCAATGCCTTGAAGGCCTTGGCTGGCCGTAAGTTCTCGGACCGAACTGTCGTTGTGTCTTACTTTGGAGAGGAGAATTTCGATGTTGATGCTTGGTGATTTGGGAGCGGGTTATCTTTTCTAGTTTCATTTCTCTTTGCTTCCTGCGGAAGGAGTCCAAATGTATCATAGCAGGTAGGCAACACAAATAAACCACTTTGTCACGGTTTATTGTTCCGAGTTGCGAATTGTCTAGCATCTACGTTACCCATATCCACGATTTTTAGGGTCATGTTCGCTATGTTCACGGCTATATTTACGTTGCCTATACTCACGTTGCCTAATATTGACGATGGACAAATAAAGTAGATGGGGATGACTCTAACATAGTCCTTCACTTCACCTAAAATGCTTCGTTCTATCACTTAGTACCATTTTCCGGTCTCGCCTTCTTTCCTCTCTTCAGCATTGTTCTCTGCGTATCAGCCCTTTCAACCACGATTTTTCCTCAAAAAACAACTTGAAGCACCTTTCAACAGACTCGCAGCCATGCCTGACTTAGACGACCAGCGCAGCACTGGTGAAGCCTCTTTTGTAAGGTCCCTTTCGCCTACTCTTGAAACTCAATAACAAACTGACAATCCTAAAGTCTGAAAGTGAAAAAGCCAGTCTCCTCAGGAGTGCTGGGGGTCTCGATTACATCCTTACAAAATTGGTTGATCGTTTCCAGTCCGTTGAAGAGCGGATCCAGGCGACTCAAGATAGTTTCATCGTGGCCAGATCAATCCTCGATCAAGTCAAGGAACAGCTGGGCAGCGAGGAGAGGGTTCCGCTGGCCTCCATTCGACTACTTTTCGACCAATTTTTGAAAATTGCTGACCGTGCTTTTGCATTGTTTCCCTTGCTTTACCCAATCCACCCTGAAGATGGGTTCAAGGACCTTGAGGAAGGTGAACATGCTGCTGCTGAGTGAAAGTCCACTATGCCTTACGCTAGCGACGCAACTGTTCAGGGGGATGATGCGCGCACAAGGGAAAGAATCGTGACAGCCGCAAGTGAAGCTAGGGTCTCAATACTGAAGGCCTATAGAATTTCAAAATCTCACAAGCATAGGCTGTCTTTGTCATTATGCGGGTTGGACTGGTCAGGTAGATGGTACAGTCTTGAATATGGAATCCTTCCTCGTGTAGGTACTAGCGACTCGGTAGGCGCCTGATAAAGAAGATGCAGGGAGTTTGATTCTTCTCACCACGTGTAGGGTCTTCAGGTGCATCCAATTTTAGAACCAGTCCCTTATCCATGCAATATAAGGATCTCATCAAAGGTCTTCTTACGAGAGTCTACTATGAACTTTATAACTCCAAGCGGAAAATCAAAATCTTGTCTATAGGAAACAAATATCTCTCATCTATTTTTGAGCAAGAATGCGAGCGGCAGCGGCCTCAGCGATAACCATGATGGTGGTCTGGATATTACCGGTAGGAAGGTCAGGGTGGATGCTGCCATCGACAATGAACTATCAAAGACATTCGTTAGTTTCAAATGATATAGTATCTATCAAGAGAAAGATGTGACTTACTAGGTTATCAGTTCCATAAACCTTGGTGTTGATATCCACAACGGAGGTACCGTTGTCACGGCCATCATCGTTACCAAGCTTAGCAGTAGTAGTGTAGTGCATACCAGGGGACAGAGTGGCAATGATGGAAGACACATTGGTGTAGGTCTCCAACTCAAATCCAGAGTTAGGCTTGTTGAAGTCATCGACGAGCGACTTGATGAACATACGAGCAGCCTTGCGGTCATCAGCGGTCTGCAGGTAAGGAGACTGCTCGAAGACAGTCTTCTGGTTCTCATCAATACCTAGGACACCTGACGAGGTGAGACCGTGAGTCATGTAAGTAGTGATATCGAGAACAGAGTCAGCGTTGGGAGCACAGGATCCCTGGTAGTAGCGAGTCTGGCCGTTGAGCTCGTTAGAGGAGAAGAAAGTCAGACGGTGCTTGCCCTGGGTAAGGATACCATCTCCTTTTTCGTAGAGGTCGATATCCTTGGTATCGCTACCGTTCAGGATGCTCTCGTAGTCAGGGATACCGAAGTCACCCTCGGTCTTGGCCAGGATGGTGAAGATAGGGTGGTCCTTGAGACCGACACCGACGGGCAGGTTGATCCATTCCTCCTGAGGGGGCACGGTGATACCGGCCTTCTTCGCAGTCTCGATCTGCTTTTTGGGGCCAATGCCGGAGTTGAAGAGCAGGCGGGGAGTGGCGAGGGCACCACCAGCGAGAATGACACGGCCGTTGTCGGCAACGCTCACAATCTCAGTCTCGCCAGAAGCAGTCTGCAACTCAACACCAGTAATCTGGCTACCAGAGCGCACAACACGGAGGACCTTGGTGTTAAGGCTCAGGGTGAATTTGTTGCTCTTCTCGGCCAGGGGCAGGTAGGTGCGGACGGGACCAGCGCGCTTCTGATCCTGAACGTTCCATGCTGGGTGACTGTAGACCTGATACTTCTCGTTGGGCTGGGTTATCATGTTGACCGATGTCCAGCCAAGCTTTCTCAGGAACTTAGAGAGGACCTTGTAAAGACCCTGGTCATAGTACTTACCATCCGCCGAGGGCAAGATGGTACCAGGGTTGCGCTTGTACAGTCTCTCAGCAGCAGGCTTGAGATCCTTCCACTTCCATCCTTCGGGCCAGTTGTTGTTGTCGTCGAAGTCGTGCTCTGGTGGGTGAACGAAAACCATGTAGTTGATAGTTACTCCTCCACCAAGCACACAGGCAGCATATCCCACAGTATCGGTGCAAAGGTATTCATCCCACACATCAAGCGAGCCAACATCGGCAGACAGACCGGGCAAGTCGATTGAGGTCAGGTTATCGTTCCAGGAGAGGGTTTCGTTCGCGCCGGTTGCAACTGTTGGGCCGGTACCTTGTTCGAGGAGGAGAACACTCTTGCCGGCCTCGACGAAGCGCTCGGCAGTGATGATACCAGCGGGGCCACCACCGACAACGATGTAGTCATAAGTGCCGTTCTTGAAGGTAGTAGCTGAGGCCAGGGTTCCAGCAGCCGCCAGAAGGGCTGCTTGGCAGCCTACTCGAGAGAATCGCATTGCGGAATGATCAACAAGGTTTGGTCAAATCTGGCATTCATTTTCAGGGGACGTGAATCCTTTTAATAATCTAGACATTCTATATCAAGTGGCCTGTCAACAAAGTTTCTCAGCCCGAAACCGACCTCCGGAGTCTCCCATTGTGTCATAATTCCCGATCGTGTGGCTACCTTCCTGGTCTGGTCTAGATCTGCTTAGAGCAAGATTGAAAATGCTGAGCAAGCGGCATACAAGTTAGAGGTATGGATCCTGTAGTGGATTCTCCAAGCCAGTAACTCTGGAACCATGCCAAATGAAGAATAGTGCACGTCTATTGTTCTCTGTCAGCGTATGTCATCCACTCAAATGCCGTTTATGGCTCCACACGGAGCACCAACGGCTTCCCGAGAGGCCGTTTTGTTGGAAATTTGCTCCGCTGGACCCATGTTTCGGATCGGGAAATATCCTATGAAACGGGTGGCTGGAGTGGAGTTGTTTCCGAAGAGGCAGGGATCATTGAGACAAAGTTTCATTACTTGGACTTTCGTTATCTGATTGAGATCACCGGCTGTTCGTTCACCCGGAATAACTCGACATACTTTGAGACCGCCATCCATGACCCTTGAAACTGCCAAAATAAACCCTGTTTCACACTTTATTCGGAACCTTAAACTATACAATTTGAGATCCTAGTCAAAAGCAGAGGTTTCGGAGGTGGTTCTCTCTGATTCTATGGACAGACCGCTGCAGCCGCGCGATCATACACTGGGGCTGATCGTAATTAACACCAAAGACAGTAATGATCATAGTGATAGACATGGTCTAAATTGATTGAGCTCAAACTTACTCGGTAGAGACGGTCCGGTTTTTTATCTGATCTCATCAGCCCCGCTCTTTTGCACACAGACTACAGGGGCACTTCTTTTCCGATGGCCAAGCAGGTTTTTAGTGAATTTGGTAAAAAAAAATGCTTTCTCGGGGTACTCACTACCATGCAAAGTAGACATGAAAGAAACGCTTGTTGGGGGGGCTTGTCTTGTATTGTTATGAGACACCCCCAATGCTCCCCTACCCGAGAAAATACCACAGTGGGTATGCATAGCTAGCTTCCATGCTGCTATTAGGCCCCACGTATCTGATTCGACTGGATTCCTTATACTTTAAGGTTCGAGGGCAATGTACCATCCAACATTCCTGCCTTGCAATTGTAGTTGAAAATGAGTTACATCTTCACAACCATGATACAGATATCATCCCAGTCCTTTGAAAACCGTATTTTGTCTCTCGCGTAGTTCGCTCAATTCGTCGAGCTCTGGACGAAAATGGAAAATATTGGTTTATTCGATCACGAATATCCGATTCAACTTGAGTGGTATTCTAGATCGGGTAAAAGACGAACCTCCTTACTTCCCAATAATCAAGATCTAGTGCGACATCGTCTCCTAGACGTGCAATGTAGATTATAGGCGCCTTTACGCAAGGGACTTATCGCAAATTTATTCTCGAGGGGGATATTGAATATAAATATATCGGCCTGCTAGATATCTCGAAGCATTAACAGCAAATACGGAACTTTACACAATCTTGTTTGCATCCACTCAGTGACAATCATCACAACCCTCAAAATACGATCACTATGTTTGGAGCTTCCAAGACCCTCATAATCTTGTGCCTGACTGCGTACTGTGTCACCGGTTCCAGTTTTGAACGAGCCAGTAGAGGAGGTACTACACCCTTTTCTCGTGAATTTTGGTTTCAGATTTCCAGCTTACAGACTGATTCCCTTTACAGCCAATGTTGTTACAACTATCGATACTGTCAAATTGAGTCCCGCAAATCCTCTTCAAAATCGAGGTGTTGAAGGTATCATCTGATCCAGTGGTTTTCCTGTCCTTCCCTGTTTTTTCTTTACTAAAAATCGTTAACCTAAATGATATGTATTACATAGACTGTTACATTTGCTCCTATCCATGCGATCAAACATATTGTTGCGATGGCCCGAACCCTCAATGTTCTAACGTCCAGGGAGAATGTGCCTGTGCAGATCGCTAGACTTGTCGGCGTTCAGGGAGGTATAGAGCAGGCATGCGATGTGATATCTCCTCTTAGGCGGAAGGGTGTTTAGCGACATTTGCCCAGTGAAACATGTTCTATCTTCATTTCTGTAAGACTATATACGCCTATCTGCCACATGGGACCATGATGTCTCTTTGTTGGAACATTCGTGTTTTTTGGCCCTGAGTGCTTGTCTTCATAGGAACGTGTCGAGACTAACATACAATCATTTCCTCTCTCATCTCCCACTTTCCCATAGTCGATTGACCCAACTAATCATCAAATCCCTGACAAAAATGACTTCATTACCTAATATTACGTTTATCATGCTGCCCATAGCTATAGAGCTCCTCAGAACATAGGGATCACAAGTCCTGGCCGAACCCCAGATTCTCAACTCTACAGACTGCAATTCCTCAACCCAAAGCATTTTTGAAGAGAATGTAAACACGAGAGCCTGATTTACCTCATATCATGTATGATCCATCCCAATATCAGGATTAAAAGAACAGACTCGCCGTTACCTCACCCAATGACGGTCCCCAGATTTCAACCCCGCACTTTCTCCGCATGGAAATGCTCGGCGACTTTTTCCTTTGTCTCTGATCATCCCATCTACTCTGCTTCTTCATTATTATACGATTTTCATATACGCAATATGCGAAACAAGGTTATTCCTTGGTGAGTGCCCGCATAAATAATGCAGTGACAATTTCTGACTAAATTGGTATAGTCAGGAATGCCGGTGTAAGTGGTATACGTTGAGCTGAGTAATAGCTATTAGCTGACCATATGTTTCAGCCCGTCATTTGAAGTGTGAGTTCATCCAAAGCAGTTCGAATGCAGGGTACTGAAGTCATCTAGGCGATGGGCAGAAGCCTAAATGCCGTCGGTGCGAGCGCACGGGTACTTCTTGCCTCTGGCAGGCTATTTCTTCAAGATTTCGTCATGGATCTAGTGCAAGTGCCCAGTATGACTTTGCAGATGATCAGCCCTGGTTACCGGCCGGTTACGGTGCGAAGATCTGAAATCCCGTTCATCGGGTATGAATTGCCCATTGAAGTTACTAATTAGGACAATAGTGGACTACCAGTATTTCGATGAGACAGCTGATATAGCTCGGCATTATTGTCTAGGTCTAGACGCTACATCTCCCTTGACATCGGAGAGACGCCGAAGCGGGGTCTCTGAACATCGGACTCTTGCCGAGTCGTCTATTCTCAGCGAAACAGTCGAACCGGTTTCAAATGTATGCGATTCACTTATACAGTCGCAGAAGCCCGATTCTACCTTGAGTTACTCGCCATATGCCTTGCAGCTGTCACCGGAAAATCAGCCGCTGTCAGCTTCCCCACAGTTCTCACATTATAGCCATTCCTCCCAAGGGTCCAGGGATTATGTCAATCCAATCAATGGAGAACTACCAAATCTAGATGAACATGAGGCCTGCCTCATGCGATATTTTGTTGTTGAGCTTGCTCCCTGGGTATGTACTCAATGATCTTGGTGATACTCAGCTAATGTCTTACAGTTCGATATTTGCGACGGGGAGCGACATTTTGCTTGCACAGTGCCTTTGCGAGCTCGAACTTGCCCCCCTTTACTCAATGCCATCTTTACTGCCTCTGCCAGACACTTAAGTCGGATTAAAAAATACTGGCGCGGTAATCAGGTATATTACGGGGGCAAGGCCCTTCCAAATCTGACATCGGAGACAGCCATTCACTACCACAACGAATGTATAGCCCATTTCGTTTCAATTTCGGATCACTCACGGGAAGCCCAGGATGAAAGTTTACTTGCCGCGGCTGTGATTTTACGCTTTTATGAAGAAGTAGACTGTGAGTGTTCCTTACATGAATGATATGGTTACCGCTGACTCTGATCAAGTCCCTGCTATGGGCCAAGACACTGAAAGTGCACTGCGGGGTATCCAGATCTTTCTAGAAGCCCAGATCGCACCCGCAGTGTCTGGATACGGGCTGCGTCATGCGGCTTATTGGATTGCACTGCGACAAGAAATCACCACCGCATTTAGCAAACAACGAACCTTCCGACTCCCTCTAGGGCCTTGCGAGCCATATCGATCCTTCGAGCCTGCTGATGACTACGTATGGGCAGACAGACTAGTAATTCACTGCGCCGATGTTCTACAATATTGTTATGGATCTGAAGAAGATCTGCACAGGGATCAACATCCTTCAAGCATGGGGATCCTGCAGACGGGAACCGACATGCGCCTCGCACGCTACGAGGAGCTCGTCACATTTGAAACTCTCTGGGCTGAGCTGGGTCCGCCCAGTTTCAAACCTATCTATTCCCGAGAACCTGATCGCTCATGCGGTGAGGTCTTTCCTGAGCTGTGGTACCTGAACAACTGCCATGTTGCAGGCCTCCAGTTTCTTGAACTCGCCCGGATTTTGCTCATCGTATATAATCCTAACTTGCCCCGTTTGGGTCCTGGTCAACGCACAGCAATGCGATCGGTCGATCAGCAATTGCGGTCGATTGTTGTGCGGTTATGTGGGATTGCGCTCTCCAATGAACATAGTCCACCTGGTCTGGTGACGGCCTCCGCTGCAATTGGAATGTGTGGAGACAGGTTTACCGAAAAACTTGAACAGGAGGCTTTGCTTGGTGTGTTGATCCAGTTGGAGGACAAGCATGCGTATCCCACTTTAAGTGTTCAGGCGTCGTTGAAAGTAGCATGGGGCTGGGAGGGGTATGAGGAGTAATGCAGTAATGACTTAAACCTGTACACGTGATATCTATGAGATTTTAATGTGAGACTTCAATGGAAAGAAAATCCTCCAAATTGAGCATTATTTATTAGTTCGCCGTAGCCTGCTTAATTCAGTAATTTCCCTATGAAAGGACTAATACAATCGTGGAGAGCAAGAGTGCGGGGAAGTGGAGTCGCTGTGAAAGGAAATCGTCGCCGCCGAACTACTCGATCAAGGTATGCAACAGCTTTGATCATTTTTCTCCGATGAGGGGTATACGCTGCGATAGCTGCAAACTTAGCTATATAAGTCTCGTTGAATCTATTCCTTTTCATCCTATACACTTCAACTTCTTATAGAAAGTCCTCTAACCAATTCCTTCACAATGACCGAAAAGCTCCAAGTTGCCGTCGCCGGTATTGGCCGCATGGGTAAGAATTTAATATCCCGTATCAACCATGACTGAGCTAATCAATTAAATAATAGGCATGCGCCATGCCCGTCATTTCGCAACTCTGACTCCCCGCGCCGAGCTCATCGCCGTCTGCTCGCCAGTGCAAGCCGAACTAGATGCCGCAAAGAACGAGTTCAAGGGCGTGCGCACCTACCTTGACTACGAGCAGATGCTGTCTCAGGAGAAGTCTCTACAGGCTGTTGTCGTTGCTAGTGCCACTACCGTGCACGCTGAGCAGGCAATCAAAGCCATTGAGCGGGGATTACACGTTCTCTGCGAGAAGCCCATTAGTACCAGTCCAGAGATTGTAAGTACAGGAAACATCAACTCAAGCCACTTTCTAACACTCAGTCCTTTCAACTAGTCTCAATCAGTGGTCGACACCTACAAAAGATCCATCCAAAAGTTCCCCAACCAAAAAGTAATCTGTGGATTCTCCCGTCGCTTCGATGCCTCATACCGTGATGCACACCGACGCATGGCATCCGGCGACATCGGGACCCCATCCGTCTTCCGCTCGCAGACATGCGACAAGCTCGATCCGAGCGGATTCTTCGTTGCCTACGCCGAGTTCTCGGGTGGTATCTTTGTGGACTGCTCGATTCACGATATCGATCTTGCGCTATGGTTCTTCGGCGAGGATACCAAGGTGAAGAGTGTTACTGCTATCGGTATTACAGCCGTGCAGCCCGATCTGCGGAAGCACAACGATCGTGATAATGCTTTGGGGATTATTGAGTTCTATGTAAGCTTCTTTCCCTTGATCATTCAAGACGAATCAAATTCTCATTGAAAACAGGGAGGCAAAATCGCCCAACTCTACTGCTCACGCATGATGGCCGCTGGTCAAGAAGATTGTACTGAAGTCTTTGGTACAAATGGTAAGATCGCCGTAAATACACAGCCTCAGCTGAACCTCGTGAACCTGTACGAGTCGACTGGTATCCGTCGGGAGATTCCGGCTGATTACTATGGACGATTCCGGGAGGCGTTCATTACTGAGGCGAATGAGTTTACGGCTTCTTGTTTGGATAACACTGCTCCGCCGTTGCGGTTGGATTCGGCTGTTAAAGCTGTTACTATTGGGTGTGCGTTGCAGGAGTCGTTGATCACCGGGAAGAAGATTGAGTTTGGGGAGAATGGGGAGCGGGCGAAGCTGTAGACTGTTTGTTATTGACATGATAAACAGTATTTGTTTATAGACTTGGTTGATATATTTTGATATGAATTTCTGTTGGCATTATGTGCCCCATAAGAGACAAATAGAATGAAGAAATGCAATTCAGCATTGTCATATGGAGCCCAATCTCCCTTGGAGGGAAGATTTAGAACTTTATCAGATTCAAAAGATTTTATCGCTTCTATGATCTGATTTGGAGAATTTAAATTCCAAGATAAGTGATTATCGCTATAAAATCAGGTTAGCCTCTCAGGCTCCACAATGCTTAGTGTCTCACAGCCTTGCGAACCAAAATAGCGCCCTCTAGGCTCCCACTTCTTTTCCTTTGTCTCCTTTTATTCTTCTCGCCGACAATCTTGCATCAAAAAATCCGCAAAATGCAAACCTCCAATTTCCCGACCGAAAAGGTCGACGCCGAGACCGCGCCCAGATCAACAAAAGACACCGACATCCTCCAACCACTACAATTCCTAATGGCCGCCCGTCGCGGCGTTCAAATGGATCCCTCATTCAGTGACATTAACATCCCAGAAGACAGATGTATAAACTACAACGGTGTCTCGGGGTTCACAAAACGTTCTGGCGCACCATTATGGACCCGCTTTGTCGTCTGGCTAGGATATATGAGCACCGCGTAAGATTCGCACACCAAATCAACAACCGAGATACCACAGCGAACGTTCAGCTAATCCGTTATAACATAGCTCCAAGATTGGAATGGTACTTGTGGTATTCATAGAGGCAATGGATATATCTAAAACCTTTCTGCGCGAGAAAAGTCCCAAAGGAGCTGTAAGAGCGGGACTCCGTCAAGATTTTATCTTTTCATCATACTGGACTGTGGGTGTGATTGTACTCCTTTATCTTGCGAGGGTATATGCCAAGCGATATATGGCGGGGCTAGTACCTCCCCATCTGAATCCATTGTCATACCAGTACCAATTCAAGAGTGCCTTGGATGAGCGTGGGTGGCAGTACCGCGAGATTGTGGGTCGATCACTGAAAGATATGGAGCAGATCTGGTCGAAGGATCGGACTCAGGTTGAGAGATTCCGGGTTGAGGGGCTTATGGATTCGGCCAGTAACTGTGCTTATGATGTTGTGGTTATACTGCGCACGGGGGGCAAGGTTCAGATGTCTTTTCGGGCACCAGTAGAGGGTATGCAACCCGCTGGTGGTATTTTGATTTTTGCTGATAAATGAATAGCTAGTTGGTGGAGGATTGTATCTGGGTTTACTTCGCTCGCTTATGTGGCCTTGATAATCTTCTGGCCCTCGGCGCTCCCTTACCTGCTCGCAGTCCATGGTCTGAATGATCTGAGATTCAATGTTATGGGACTATGAATTGAAGCTATTGGATTGTCTATACATTGTATCAAATCTCACTATATCGCGACATCCCACTCCTGCAGATCGTCACTCTTTGAACTAGACCCAACATAAAAAGTATAACTGCCCTTCTCCAAAGTCCACTCCATATTCAAATAATACCCCATCTCTTCCTGCGGGACCACAAAAGTGACAACCTCCGACTGTCCAGCTCCAAGGCCGATCTTAACAAAGCGAATAAGCCTTTTAACAGGCAACTCAATCGTCGATAAACTCTGCCGGAAATAAAGCTGCACAACCTCCTTCCCAGCCACACTCCCCGTATTCGTCACATTAACCGAAACTTGAAATGTCGGATCACCTCCATCCGTGACCTCCTTCACCTCAGCCGTCATGTTGAACGAGGTATAACTAAGCCCAAATCCAAACGCCATAGGCGGCTCAATCGTAATGGCCGGAAACTGCCAACCCGACGACCCATAGATTGGACTGCCTGAAGATCCTCCGTGGTTATCAGATGGTAACCAGTTATACGCAACAGGGAACGCGCCATTCGCCTGCGGAAGACTGATAGGAAGTTTACCGCTGGGATTCACCTGTCCGGATAGAATCTCCACAACCGAGTCGGCAGTATATTCGCCCGCCAAAAATGTGTGTAAGATTGCATTTGCGCGGAGGGTCGAGTTGTTCAGAACGAATGCTTGTCCACCGTTGAGAACTATGACTGTAGGGACGCCTGTGTCGACGACTGCGTCTATCAATTCTTGTTGGAGACCTGGGAAACCTAGGTCGGCGTGTGCGAAAAACTCTCCGTCTGTGCGCTTGTCGTATAGGGGATCGCTTGAGTAGACTGATAGTGAGCCTACAGATAGGATGGCCAAGTCGGCAGATTTGGCTGCAGTAACTGCGCTGGCTATGCCGGTGCGGTTTGATCTGTCGAGGAAATCTACGCCTGGTTCATGAATGATGTTTTCGGAGCCGAGAGCGTTTTGGAGGCTTTGGAGAAGGGAGTTGCCGTGGGTTTCATCCGCTGTACTGTGGGGAGCGTAGGAGCCCGGATCGATGATTGAGGCATATGGTCCTAATACTGCGACGGTGCGGGATGTGTTCTTCAGAGGGAGAAGGCCATCATTCTGAAGCAGTACGATGGATTCGCGGGACATATTGCGAGCTGCTTCGAGATGGGCCGGTGCACGCAGGATCTTGGTAGCATTTTCGACTGAGGGCAGAGGTAAATCAAAAAGTCCAAGTTTGAATTTGAGCTCGAGAATTTTGAATGTAGCATTCGACACCAAGGCTGTGATCTCGGCGTCGTTTGTCACATTGACCAGCGTCTGCGTGGCAGACTCTTCTCCAGGTGAAAGTTCCATCTGCATACCTGCCTTGACAGCCAAGATCGCGGCATCTTGAGAAGTCTGGGCGATTCTAAACTCCCCTGCTAGGTCATTCAGTGCTCCAGCATCAGACATGATAATTCCTTCGAACTCGAGGTCGTCTCGGAGAACCCGTTGAAGCATGAACTTGTTCGCAGACATCGGAACCCGATCAAGACTAGCATAGGAGACCATCAAAGAGGCTGGATTACCTTCGGATATGGCTTTTATGAATGGAGGCAGCATATCGTTGTAGACATGATTGATTCCCCCATACTGATGCGCCGTGTTAACACCTCCAGCCTCCCAGCCATAAACAAAATGCTTGATTGTGGCTGCGACCTTCATAAACCCATTTTTATCTTTCTCTTGTATGGTTTGAACATACTTCAAGCCAAATTCACCATTCAAGTATGGATCTTCACCATATCTAGATCTTAATCAATACCAGCCTAAAAGCATTTGTATATCAGAGACTCACGTTTCGCCCACCCGACCATATCGAGGATCCGTCACAACATCCAATTCTGGTGATAGAACCCAGTTGATACCTATTGCCTTGCACTCTTCTCGGATCGAAGCGATAACCTCTCCATAGAGAGGAACATTGAACGATGATGCCATCGATAATGTACTGGGGAACAAGGTCCCATTAAACAAATAGATCCCATTGATAGAATCTGTCACAAGGACATAGGGAATACCGAGTCCTGACGCAGTCTGATTCTCACGGAGCTCGTTCACCAGCTGTAAGGCCGGGATAGCGGGATTGAATTGATTACCATATCCTGTTGGTATTAGACTGGTAAAATGTGAATAATGGAGGATCAGGATAAGTAACCTATATTCCCATTTTGTGCTTCGTTGAAGATACCAAAATTTGTCTTGTTGAAAGACATGTTTTCACCAAGTACCTGGCGGATACCACCAAGTTGTTTGACCTTCTCTGTCCATGACATTCGCGACAGAAGGTCGTGGGCTCTTTGAGATGGAGTACAGGTAGTAATTTTGTAGATATCTCTATTATTGCCACATGAGGTCGTACTTATGGCATATTGAGGAAGTACTGTTAATAAAACAGCTGCATAGTCGAGTATCCTCATATTGTTCTAAAAATTCAGATCAACCTTGATTCACAGATTTGTAAAATACAGGATTGGACATAATGCCTTTTTTATAAGTAGTATAGTATCCATTTTGGAAACTAGTTGTCCATGACGCGATATGGTGCTATAATGAGGGGGAAAGCTTCAACAGCCTATGGTAATAGCGAAAATCCGACTCCCGCCGACTGCCGTCCCGGGTGTGGAGAAAGGACGGGGAAAGGTTCAAGACTCAAGCCAAGAAAACTATGGAGTACATGCCTAAGTATTCTTACGAAATACATGCCTAGGTATGTTCTTACGGAGTACATGCCTAAGTATGTTCTTACGGAGTATATGCCTAAGTATGTTCTTACGGAGTATATGCCTAAGTATGTTCTTACGAAGTACATGCCTAGGTATGGTCTTATTGGGTAGAGTCTCAGGATCTAAGGTCATTGGGCTCTACATAGATCTCATGTGGACTAAGGAAATGCCGAAGCGCTGCAATTGACTAACACACGGACAGACGGCCAAAAAAGAACCAAATGCCCAAAAGAAATTAACGAGAAAATGAGCGGGTAATAGGGCACACAGAAAGCGGGCAAGAACAAGAGATGGCGTAGCAAAAAGTACATCACAAGAAGTTAATAAAAAGAAAAGGTCTTAAGCAACCCCCGCGGATCGTATTATTCAAAACCATTCTTTTTGCGATGCGTAGGCCCATCCAGTGGAAGATAAAATAGAGCAGCGCGTCAAGGAGATAAGAGGGAGTGTGATGTGAGACAGATAGGAAAAAAATAGAGAGAGTTGAGGGTTTGATGGGGAATCAGCGGGCGTCAATGGCAGGCATGAGAGTCTTAACGAAGGGAGAAGCCCTTGCGCTTGCCTCCCTTTTCTTCGATGGGTCGGCCGCTCTCCAGGCGGGATTTCTTTTCGTCTAGCTCCTGGCGCTGCCGGTCGAGCTGGTCCTTCATCTCGCGGTGTCGGGCATAGAGTTCGTCTTCGCTCTGTTTCAGCTTGCTTTCCTTCTCCGATACCTTTTGCTGGAAGACCATCTTCATTTCGGCTTCCATCTTGGACAGCTTCTGCTCGTGCAGGTTGCGCTCCTCCTCCTGCTTGACGGCCGGGTTGACCTCCTTGAACACGCTCGGGTCCTGGGCGACACCCATCTGGGTGAGCTTGTCCGAGCGGTAGTTCTCGTATAGGAAGTTGTTGGTGTGCTCCTTGAGCTCCTCCATGTGGGTACGGATCAGCATCTGGCGCAGCTTGACAAAATCACAGTGCTCCTCGTTATCGACCTCAATGGTACCCCAGGGGTAGCTACGGCCACGCACGCGACGGCCATCGGCGGCAGTCACCTCCGAGTTGGCACCAACAACGGCGAACGGCACCTTGGACATGATCTCGTTGTTCTCGGCAATGGTCTCCTCGTCATCAAGCTCGTAGCGGGGGCCCTCGAAGATCTGGATGGAGTGGTGGGTGATATCGGCCAGAATCTAGAAAATTGTTAGAACTTTATACTTGTTGGGATCATAGGATTCGTGAGACGTACGCGCTCCTTGAACAGGGCAACCTCCTCGTCGGTCAGGGTATCGGCCTTGGCGATGACCGGGATCAGGTTGACCTTGGTGTGCAGGCGGCGCATCACCTCAATGTCGAGAGGCTTCAGGGAGTGACCAGTGGGCTGGATGAAGTAAACGCAGGCGTGAATACGGTTGTCGACAATGTTGCTGCGGTTGACCTTGTTCTCGGCCTCGAGGTATGTGTCGTAACGCTGCTCGATGTTCTCGACAATGGGGCGCCACGAGTCGTCGTTGTTGACAAAGTCACCGAATCCGGGGGTATCCACCACAGTTAGGCGGAGACGCACGCCGTTCTCCTCGATATCGGCGCTGGTCGACTGGATGGACACGGTCTTGGGGATGATGTCGGCATTGGGGCCGGTGCGCTCCTTAGGGGGGTACAGGGAAGTGTTGAACAAGGTGTTGACAAGGGTGGACTTTCCGAGACCGGATTCACCTTTATGTTGTGTTAGTGGTTGTCTTCCGGTCCGAATTGACTTGGATGTGTTCACGTACCGACCACCATAACATTGAAGTTGAAACCCTTGCGAACACTCTTGCGGTGCCACTGGTTAGGCAGGTTGGCGAATCCAACATAGCCAGTAAGCTTGCGGCGGACAACGTTCTTCATATCGCTTGCGGCCTGGGCGACGGCCTTGGGGTCACGGGAGCTGACAGTCTGGGCGATACCCTGACCCATGGGGTTGCTGCGCTCGACGAACGGCGACTCCTTGCCGCTACTGGGCGTGGGGGAGTCGTGGGACGCGACGGGGGAACCATTTGCAGGCGGTGGCGAAGCTAAACATAATCTATCAGTCTTCGATTCGGTGGATTGAGGAAGCTCGATGGCGCTTTTCCGCCCCGGGGCCGCTTACACATGGTGAACGATTAGACGAGGAATTAGGGGAAAAGGCAACACTAAAAGAACCCCTATCGGTGAATCAAATCATCAGCAGCTGCATTGATATTCTAGTGGGGTCCATTGAGACCGGGGAAGATGGAAAAAATCTCAGGTTGAATCAGAAATGTTTAAGGAGGTCATACCTGGACGAAGAAAAAAAGGGGGGGTATCCTTTTTTTCACAGAATAGTATCAAAAAACAGCAAGCGAGTGAATAGAAGAAACCTTGGAGGCCTTTGAAGAGAAGGAAAAGGAAAGGAGTTGTTGGAGAGAAGGGAAGTGCCAGTCTGGGAAAGAAAGGGGGGGGGACGTGTCGAGGTGTTCGGGCCAGCTATTCTGGAGTGGGTTTGGATCGACCCGCGCCAAAATACACGTTGGAAAAAGATGGAAAAAGAGATGCATCATTTCACTTGTGTATAGTACATATAGGCAATATTAAAAGCACTTTCGGGTTCCAACTGCATCTGCATGGCTCTTTCACCAACCCCCAGTCCTAATTACTATTGCTGATTTTTGCTGAGGAATGTCCGAGGTCGCTACTGGGAGTATACTGAATGGTCTAGAACGAATCAAGTGAATTCAAGCCTACACTGGTATAAACCCGTCAAAATAGAATCCCCTCAAGCTTTCTTGCCCTTCCCATGTCTTCTATAGGGCTGTCGTACAGCTATCAATCTCCGGGAACAACGAGATTTCCTAGAATACGGGAGCTGGTAAATAAATGGATCAGGGGTTAAACGGGGGGGAACTCTCACGTGAGACTCCACTCTATAACTGTGGGTCCCCAAAGATCAGCCCAATCGTATGACTGGGATACTAGATGGCCTTAAAATCTTGGTTCGTTTCTAGTTAAAGTAAAAGGTATTCATATTCAAACGCCATGTACAAAGCATAGATCCAGATGGGAGTAAAGCATAAAAGAAACTAGCTGTACAATTATCAGCCGGTCTTGGTCTTCTTCTTCGGCCGTGATTCTCCGTCCGATCCAGCTGCTTCATCACCGGACGCATCGCCCATCTCCTCGTCGCTGTCGCCGCTGCTCTCGTGGTCCTCATCAAACTCTTCGGCCACATCGGACTCTGACGATGCGTTGAAGTCCTCATCAGGGGAATCCGAATCCTCATCGGCCGAGCCACGATCAGGTCGAGCGCCTTCATCATCACTGGATTCCATCATCTCATCGGGGTCAAGGGCTGCCTTCAGGAGGCTAGAAGTCTCTTCGGTCATCTCGTTCTTGATACGAATGCCCTTGGCCTTGAAGAAGACCTCCAGAGGTTGTTGCTCCTCACTGGAAGATAGCAATGTTAGACTTGACACCAAAAAAAAAAAAAGAAAAAAAAAAAAAACATGACTGAATCACTTACCGGTTGATATTGCTGAACTGGTGTTCACCCAGACCGCCCTTCAGAGCCACAGTGATGTCAAAGGTACGGCTGGCTGAGACCGCACCGCCAACACGCGACATCGTCACCACCGCCACATTCTCCATTTGAATGTAGGTTGCCGGTTTGGGCACAAAGATCAGGCTCTTATCCAGGAAGTACAAGAGGCCTTCATTGGCCTTGATGGAACACTTAACTCCATGATGGCCGTGGTGGCTGACGAAATCTTTGGACGGCATGATGACCTTCTTACCGGACAGACCCCGGAAGATTTTGGTCACCACCTGGTGAATGGGCTCCTCGTAGTGTGGTTGCAACTTATCCTTGTATTGCGTGTTCAGCAGATCCTCGGTCATGTTGAGCTCAAGGCTGATCTCTTCATCCAGCTTCAACTGCATAACCAGGAAGGGGTAGCGGGTTTGACCCTGGCGCAGTGGAGGGTCAAGACCCAGGACAATGAGTGTGTGAGTGTCGTCATTCTTAGGGAGCAAGAAGAACTTTTTGATGGCGGTGTATTGGATTTTGTAGTCGTAGGTCTTTCCGCGGAGTCGGAAGGACGATTCATACATGTCAATATCGAAACGACCACTGAGCAACAGTTAGTAGGAATCTCGCGATATTGGAGGAAAGGACCGACCGAGGCGTAAGATGCAGAACATCCAAGAAGGTCGCAAATGTGTCACCAGCCACATCACCGATCTCAGCCTTGTCCATGAGGGTCTCATAAAAGAGGTTTGCAGCGTTCTGTTCCTCCACCTCTTCGTCGTTTTCTTCATCGCCCTCGGCATCCTCAGCCTTCTCCTTCTTCGAGACGGTGCCGGGGATGTAGAACCGCATTTCAACCAACTCGTCCGGGCCTGCGGCAGCCTTGCGACCGCGGTTCTTGGTGCTTCCAGCAGGCTGGGAGTTGGTGCCATTCGCGTCCGTAGCGGAGAGCGCAAATTCCACCGCAACCTCGTTCTTTCCAGCCAGGTTGGTGTTGGAAATTTCGGAGTATGGGACCTCGAAGGCGGGCCGGTTCTGTACGTTGAAGGAAAGCTCTGCTTTGGTAAACTCTGCTTTACCCCAGTTCCATCCTCGCAGGGCGTGTTCGCGGTTTTCAACGTTAATACCGTACCAGATCTTGAAAGCCTTGGACAATCGTTCGAAGTCCTAGTGAGACCAATGCGTCAGTCCGACTCTTTCATCACAGTATATTTGTCCATACCTCTTGATCAAAGCCATCCAGCTGGATCACACCCGATGATCGCGACAGAATCCTCAGCTCAAACCCTTTTGCCGCGCGACTCCACTGAGCGCCACCAATGTTGCTACTATCCAGAGTGAAGGTGTCGCCTCCGCCAGCAGGGCGCCATCCTAGACCGCTCTCTGCCAGCTTGCACTTGCCGGCATTGTTGGAGAGGTCTAGGTAGATATTGTCAAAGCTCTCCCTGGGAGATAGTCAGCGCTGAAGTTCCCGGGGTGCTACAGGGGGTATATGTACATGACGGAGATGCTCTCGGAGTGTTAGTGTCTGTATGGGATTGAAACACGAAAATTGAGGTTAAATGGAACGGATGAGAAGCGGGGGAGGTTGGGAGGGAGATTGGGTGTGGGGAGGAGGTTAGATAGCTCTCAGAATTTCTCAGTCTCGCGTTGTCGCGCGCCGCAGAAAGGACCACTTCATCCCAATTATGGACTAGTGTCGGTGCCTGAGGCTTCAACTGTTTGAATAACAAATCCCCAGAAAACAGCCCGCAATCAAAACATCCTCACAGTTCATGCTTTTTCAAACAAGGTTTCAAACATAAGCATGTTCCTTCAAGCTGTGTACTGCAGATATATGTTCTGCCACTCACTTGCGATATGTAGAGTTTCTTTGATCTTTCCAAGACCTCTGGGGTTGAACGGCCGAAGAATGTGCAAATATATATACCTGCCGTACACGAAGAAACTTCAATGTGCAAAGGGCATCAATTTCATGATCGCAAATGACAAACAAGATGCTTGAGTTTTCAGAAACTGAAATCCATGGATGATAGTTTTTATGTAGGGTTTACTTTCATACTCCAGGCAGGATAACCATGGAGACAGTTTCAATACAAGCGGCAGGCCGCATTGCAAACAGTAGTCGACCATAAGCGGTCCGAAGATTACACAGCCAGAATGACCGTTGACTTTATCCCTAGATAAGATGACTTACTAATGAGTGTAAGGGGTATGATTCCAGAATCCATACATAGAATATAACCCAAGTCCTTGCCTGGTATGTCCAAGTCACATGGTATGATATAATATGATTGGCTAACTCTATTATCCTGCAGAGCAGAAAAAGAATCCCAAGTTCAGGAACCAATGACCAGTGATATCCGGGTATGTTCTCCAACCGCACAGGCCCACATTGATCAAACAATGCAAACCCGCCATTTTTATCACAAAATAATATCCGACGAGCCTCAAGTCAAGCTATGAATTGAAAATAAGATAAAGTACAGACCTTCGAGACCCGAAAATCCTAGGATTTAAATCTACTACAAGCTCAAAATTACGCCATAAAATTTACCCCAGACCTCGGGAAGCAACATGCTTCAATCGCGCTTGCAAGCACTGCCCCGCCGCAATCCCACCACACCAGCTGCCCCGGCACCTGATCTCGAAGACCAGAACACGGAGCATGAGCTGGATGAATCCCCAGAGGACATACTTGAAAGCTTTCTCGCCCACCTCTGCCCCGATGATGCCACTGCTTGGCACGGAGACCCCGGGCAGCACCTCCTCTACTCCTCCCCGCACTATGGCGACCTAGAGATCGCTGTTCCTTCCTATCCAGAGCAAAGCAATAAACCATCGGAGACGACTATTCAAGCAAAAGAGAATGACGCAAACGATGTCGATGATAGTCGCAAACTATTTGCGCATTTCGTCTGGAACTCGGGTTTAGTGGTCGCTGAAGGCGTGGAGAATGCAGACATTCTTCAGACCGAGGGTACAGCAGTGACAGAGACCCAAATAGAGTCTATCGATATCTGGAACGTGAAGGGAGAAAGTGTTTTGGAACTCGGCGCTGGTAAGTCAAGTGTCTACATGCCCGTTAAAGACGCAGAGTCCTGCCTGTAGACGGGAAGGACAACACGCACCAGAAAAAAGCTTCATGGACTGATAATATACACCTAGGCGCCGCTCTTCCCTCAGTCATCTGTGCTCTCGCGAACGCATCTAAGGTTACAGCCACCGATCACCCATCTTCGCCCGCACTCACTGGTACAATTGCCTTCAATATGGAATATAATTTGAGCAAGCGCACGCCGCGGCCATCAACAGAGGTCTCGATCCACCCACATGAATGGGGAGTGCTGACAGACACCTTCGCCAAACAAAACAAAGGTGGATACAGTCGCATCATCGCCGCAGACTGTTTTTGGATGGCCTCACAGCACGAGAACCTTACCCGTACCATGCAATGGTTTTTGGCGCCTGGGGGCAAAGTATGGATTGTGGCCGGATTCCATACGGGCCGCCCAATTGTAGCTGGATTCTTTGAGAAAGCGCTCAACAATGGATTTGAGATTGAGACGATCTTTGAGCGGGACCAGGTTGAGCGTGGTGAGAATGGTGAGGAGATTCGGAGGGAGTGGCTGCCTGTGCGGGATGATGAGAGTATTGAGCGTCGGAGGAGGTGGTGTGTAGTTGCGGTTTTGAAGCGGAGCGAGTAGACACTATATGGATATTGCATAAATAGACTAGCACTTGGCTTCTGACGGACCATAACGAGAACTACGATTATGATTGAAGCCTTTTGATTTGACTGTAGATGATTTATGCATTTCGGTTGCTATCTTCATGCGAAATTCAGCTCCAAGGGCTCATCTAAGGCCTCTCCATCTATGCTGGTGAAATGATTAACAAATTATACAATGCAAAAATAAATATCCTCGGTGGGTCTCAGTCTGAAACTCGAATAACCGGCTTCAACAGCTTTTCGATGCCCCGGTCACGCTATGCAGGCATAAATATGTATAGAATAGAACCGAGGAATTTAAGCTGGGAAAACCCGGACCCAGGATCTGAGACGCCACAGAAGCCTGCGTGTGCACTGCGTATACCGTTTGATCCACCCGTGGGCCTGGCTTTTCTATATTTAAAGACATTGGCGTATGTTTCGATCTTGTTCTGCGACGGGTGGTTTCGACCCACTTCGTATCGGGGCTAGAGGGCTGTGCCGATGGGAACTCGATAATCATAATGCGACTGAGGGTTCGTCCGACCTGTTTCATCAAAATGAATTCAAGACTTGATATGTATGTAGTCGCGATACTTTATAGTTTAATAGTCCACGGTAGGAATACCGGGCAGATCCCAGTCTGGGGGCCAACCAGAACGGCAGATTGGCTGCAGATCCTCATATCAATCACGAACCCGCCGTCATCCCGACGTAATTGGAATTGGAGCAAAGCTTTTCTCTCTGTGATCATTCATTCTGCTTACTTACACCATTGTATTGATGCGGCCAAGGAACAAGACCTGTTAGATCAGGCAATTGGGCTTGTATGCTCGAATTGTTGCTTGGGGCTTTCTTACATGACCAGTGATAACATCACCCACGGGCGGAGACCCGCAGCTTGGGACGGGAGGTTGGGATTCCGGGATCGTGATTGGCTGAAAAGCTAAGATTGGTGGATCCACTCCTTACTAGTTTGTTTCCCCCTTGAGTAGCACGCGTATGAAAAGTTTGTATGTATTATCAGTATTATGGTAAATCCCCGTATCCATTTCCATCGTTTCCCCTGCTCAAGTTCTTCCTTCCCCTATCAACCTTCAGTCATTCGTTGAATTCTTTCTTTCTGCAAGAGACTTCGGTCTCAATATGCATCCCACATTCTTTTGCTTCTAAATTGGCCTTTTTTCGCCCCTCTCATGCCACATTCCTTTCCTTCATTTTCTACGCGTTGCTCCTGAATTGCTGCCTTACACCTTTTCGGTCTTCCCACATTCGCTTTTCCCCTTCCCCCTCCATTGGAAGATCCAACTCCCCGTCCGTCGTCGCAACCCTAAACAATGAGATCCTCATTGTTTGGGCCCGCGGCGGCTGGCTTGTCGACATTATTGACACTATTGCCGACCGTCAACGCTTTGTCATTCGACGCTATCTCGCTCCCCGATCTGGACCTGTCTACTTTAGGCCGGGTCTCCATCAGCGGTAATTTCGATGGCGTGTCCCTATACGAATATGAGGGCCAAACCGAGATCACCCAAACCAACGGCTCCTCATCGATCCTAACGCCCCTGCCAAATGGCATCCTTACGAACCTTTCTACCGCCGACGCCCAAATTCAGGCCATGTGCTCCTTTACGAAGAAAGACGGAACGTTCGCCGGAATTTTTGTTGGTGGAAACTTTACGACGCTAGGTGGTGTGGAATCGCGTGGTGCGGCCTTGTTCAACCCGAACTCCAGTACCGTGACAGCCTTGCCAGGATTGAACGGCTCGGTGTCAGCTGTGGCGTGCGATCAGAGTACAAATCGCGTCTACGTTGGCGGAACCTTCGACCACAAGAACAGTTCTAACGCAATCGCCTGGAGTCCCGACAATGGCTGGACCGATCTTGACTTTGAAGGTCTCAACGGCCCCGTGAAATCGATCCTGAAGGCAGAAAATGGCCATATTATCTTTGGAGGAACGTTTGATGGAACCGGCAACTCGTCGAGTTCGTCGTCGAATTCTACATCTGGCCTACAGGTTCTCAATTTGCAGAATGCGACCATCACTTCCGATGCCAATTCTTCTCTCAGCGGCTACGAAAGTCCTCGAAACATTATCTGCTCCACAAGCGGCGAGGCAGCCGAGGGTAAAACCTGGTTGCTTTACGACTACTCCCCTGGATATTGGCGCGCAGAGCTTGGCTTTGAGGTCAAGCCAACCAAGGTTCGCCTTTACAACACCCATCTGGATGGACGTGGTACCAAGACCTTTTTATTCCGCGCCTTGCCCGACGATGGAATCATGAACATGACTTATACGGACACCTCGGGAAACAAGGCTTACTGCGACCAATACTGTCCGCTCTCTAACAGCACCAGCGAAAAGTACCGTGACTTTACCCTAATAAACTCAGTGGGCATGTCTGGACTCCAGATTGAAGTTTTGGATTGGTATGGCGAAGGTGCTGGATTGAATGGAATCGAGATTTTCCAAGAGAACATATTCTCCTACGCCATCGACAAGTTTAACGAGCCCACCTGCGCCGACATAGATTACCCTTCCAAGTCAATCGTGACCGGCACCTGGGATGTTGCTTCGACTCATCTGTCTGCCCAAGTGACCGATGCCAACGACACTGACGTCTCTGTTGTCTTCCAGCCTGACGTGAAAGAATCCGGAAAATACGAGATTTACCTCTACACCCCTGGATGCTCTTCCAGTGACACCTGCTCCTCTCGTGGTATGGTCAATGTCACGGCCACCGTCGCCAATGGCACCGACGCCTCTAACCCATCTCCCACCACCATTTACCAGACAAACGAGGACGATAAGTATGACGTCTTGTATACTGGACATGTCGACAAGGCAAGCGATTCTTTCCGCCCCAGCGTTACTCTCCGACCCATCTCTGGTCAAGGAGACATCAATGTTGTAGCATGGCGCACTAAATTCATCCCGCTATTCAACACGACCAAGGCATCAGGATCAAGCTCGGATTCAGACTCGGACTCGGACTCGGACTCCGTAGATTTGAATGGATTGTACGATTATAATCCTTCTTCGACGACTTCGACTGATACCGATAAATCTGACATCAACACGGCCGGAACCTCGCTTAACAAAGATGCTTCGATCCTGAGCTTGGCCGAGTACGATGGTATTATTTACGCCGGTGGTAACTTTTCCGACACCAGCACCAGTTACATCATGTCCATCACTGATGGTAATGTCACTGCAATGCCAGGAGGTGGCCTGAACGCCGGAGTTCAGACAATGGCTACCCTGGACAAGTTTTTGTACGTTGGGGGTAACTTCACAGATACTTCCGACGGTGGCGTTGACGGCTTATACCATGTCGCCGCTTACTCCTTCTCGACGAAGAAGTGGTCTGCTCTGGGAGCAGGGTTGAATGGCCCCGTTTCGACAATTTATTCCATCGACCTGAATGTGTCCTCTTCCGTCAACGAGACAACCCTTGCTGTCAGCGGTGATTTCAATGAGATCCGTGCATTCGATGATAATTCGGCAGTCAGTGTCCCTGGCTTTGCCATCTGGCTTCCCTCGAACCAGACCTGGCTTCAGAGCCTCAATGTCACCCAGATGGAATTTGGAGGGCAGCTGTCTGCGGTTGCCTCTGTGAACGAGACATCTATTCTTGCTGGCAGTCTGGCCACTGATGGTTACACTGCCTCTGACGCTGTGTGGCTGCAAAACTCCGACGATCTCAGCCTGCTTCCTTTGACAATGGACATTGACCAAACTGGCAACAGTGTTGGATTGGTTACCGGCGTCTATGATACTGGGTCTAGTCGTAACCAGACCATTTTTGGTGGTCAATTCAACGCCACCGGCACCAACGGCTCCAACATGTCTGCCGTTGCGATCGTAAACGGTACCAACAACATCTATGGTCTGCCGCAAGGCTTGGACAGTAACTCGACTGTACTGTCCATGGTTGTGTACAATGATACCCTCTTCGCTGGTGGTAATATCACTGGTACTATCAGTGATTCGTCTGTGACTGGTTTCTTCACCTATGACTTGACTAACAACAAATTCCCGTCCCAACCATGGGAGCTCCATGGGTCTAATGTCTCTGTCAACTCGATTGCTGTTCGACCGGGCACATCTGACGTCTACATTGGCGGCAACTTCGATACAGCCGGCTCATTGCCTTGCAAAACTGTCTGTGCCTTGCATTCCTCGAGTAACTCTTGGAGTTGGCCTGGTGTGAGCATCACTGGTACTGCTCTTGCCCTTAGCTGGGCCAGTTCCAAGACCCTGTACGCTGCAGGCAACTTGACAGTCTCGGGCAATCAGACCCTCGTCGCTACATTTGATGTGAAGACCGAGGCCTGGACTTCCGTTTCTGGTGCAACTGTGTCCGAGATCCCGGGTGTCCTCACTGCATTCGCTCCTGCCACGACAGATGTTTCAAAATTCTGGATTGCCGGCACACTCACCAACGGTTCTACATTTTTCATGAACTACGACGGTTCCAAGTTCCAGTCCCCCCGGCAGCCTGTTCTCCAAGGGCACTGTCATCCGTGGCATGGAAGTTCTTCCCCTCAACCAAAATCACAAATCGGTTTCGCTTCTCAATGACGATCAAACACTTTTACTGATGGGCGAGCTCATCATTCCCGACTTCGGCAACGCGTCGGCCGCTCTATACAACGGAACTACAGTCACCCCGTTCATTCTTTCCTCGAAATATGATGGCCAACCTGGTAGCATGTCACAATTGTTCACTGAGAACGAGAACCCCTATGACACTACTTGTGAGTAACCTCGTGTAATCTTTCAATCCGATCTTTACTAATTCGACCCTAGCGAGCCATCACTCCAATGGCATTGTGGTTCTGGTGGCATTCTGCTGTGCCCTCGGCTGCGTCTTCCTTATCGTCGCCGCCGGTGTGATCATGAACAAGATCCAGCGTCGCCGCCAGGGCTATTCTGCCGCCCCGCAATCGTTTGGCACTGACCGGCCAAGCGATATGCAGCGCGTACCACCCGAGTACCTCTTCAATTCCATCGGGCAGGCGAACCCGACTGCCCCGGCCATTTAATGTCCCCTTTCTCTGCACAAAATCTACTCGCCGTATTGTGTGAACGTAGTGTTGTTTTTTTTTATTGCTCACTTCTTCGGAAGCAACGTTGCTATACCCATCCTTCCTTAATGTTTGATTTGCTAGCGCCCCTATTCTTCTTCTTTCGCGCTGGTTTCTTCCCGCGATATCTCGTTTGGCTTTTTGTGGTTGATTGTGACCTCATATCTGTCGACTTCTCGATTTACCTGTGCATATGTGTCACACCTGTATGTAACTTAGCGTTTCCGTCCTGGGGGCGTGGATAATACAATGATCTACCAGTGCATGCTTAGCTCCATAAAATTGTCGTTCACGTAGCTTCGAGGTCATTTTAGGGTCAGCCATAATTGGGATTTCGAGTTGGAAATCGAGCTTGAAATGGATCGGACAAATTGTGAACTCAGTTGCCCAGCAATCTGTGTACCACCTGGGTACCTTTTTTAACTCTGTAGTCACCCTGTAGGCTGTACTGTCAGCTGGGTTTTAGCTGAGCTGAACTTCATATTGCTTTTGGTACTTGGACGACCGAGTTATCTTTGGCCCAGTGACCAATTTCCTTTTTTTAATTCCCCTTTTTTCTTAGTCGTGGACCCCAACCTATAATTGATTTCCATTAAGACAATGCTCGTATAAGTCTCCGACTGGCGGGAAAGGATCTTCCGGATTAGGCCCCAGCCCCGCGCCGCTTTAGCATATCCGGAAGCAGAAGTCAGCACTGCAAACAGCCGAGCGCATAACCTGCCCTAATAAGCCTCACCACATGCTCTGTGTCGCATCCCGTCTTACGCTTATTTCAGAGACAACCATTCGCCATGTGACTGTCCCGATAGACCTGCTCTTTGTATGCACGCGAGTCAACTAATTAAATCGTAGGCGCTCGGAGAATCTCTTGTGCATGGGGCTCTTTGTACTTGACCGTTGATTTGTTCGACACTAGGGTCGGGGTTTGTTTACGCGGACATTCCGTGTTCTTTAAAAGCTATGACCCTATGACATACTGCTGTCTGTTTGATGAAGGTGTTCCGGAGATGACGCGCGACAGTCTAAGATGGCATCCCAGTTGGGACATGGAGATCCCCGCGCGTTCTTAGAGTTTGGCGATTGCATAGCAGATATCTCCGAGACCTATCAAGACAAGGGACTTATTATCCGGAAATCTAGATTTTGATAAGTTGGATTGAAATTGGCTACATAACGGGGAACTGCAGTGAAATGCATAGTAAACGCATAGTAAACGCATAGTAAACGCATAGTAAATGCATAGTAGACTTAGCAAACACAGTACTCGGACTCAGACTAAGGCTGAGACTCAGTCAGACTCGGTACTTCTTGCAATGCATGCCGGTCTTGATAATCACTCTTCCATCCAACGTGTCGCCAAGAGCGCAAACAAATCCCTCTGCGAGTCCTCGTGTTGCCAAGAGGCCAAAGACCGGTATTTTCTATTGCGGTCCACATCGCTAGACTCTAGATGGGGCGGTTCATGAACTTCAAAATCTCCATCCCGGTCCCAGCCGAAGTACTGAACGTTAGCAAAGTGCTTTGTTAGATGAATGTATTGTCATTAATAATGCACCCCGTTTGGGCCGTGGTTAGGCGCTCAGGGTTTTTTCACCTACGTCGTGCCTCGGCGGTACCTATTAAATTTACCGTGGAATATAGTCTGCCACAACCGTAATTTCTATCTCGTGTCAAACTCTACATACGCCACCCGTCAAAGTGGCGGTTAAGCACTCGGTGCGCCTTGCCCGATTGCTTCGGGATTCTTGTTCTGTCTTGGAAGTCTTATTTTCAAATTAAAATTTTTTACTTTTATTTAAATTTGAATTTTTATCGAATTTTTCTCACGGAACTTCAATGTATCCACGGCTGACACGTTAATTAAGCGAACGGCTAATAAGACGAGAGCATCGGGATCAAGGTTCCGCTCCACCGACCAATGGCCAGTTAGCATCACGTAACACTACAAAAGTGGATTTTGATGCGGGATGTGACCCATGTGCATATTAGGGGTACATTCCTGCAGTAGGTGAGATTGGAGAAAAAAATCTCAGGGGAGGAGAAAAGAATAAAATCCCACGTTTTTGTTTCGTGGGGATGGATACCGAGATGTGATCAGGTCAAAACGCCCCCAACGTAATCCCGTACCTACAGGGAATCCCCGCGGGGGAATGAACTTGGGGAAAAGGAGGAGTTCGGGACCTATAAGATGGACCCGAGTGGACCGTGACCATGACCCGGCCGTCGGCTTCGGTGGTCATCGGGGGGCCAAGAGTAGATTAGGCAACTGAAACGAGTTTCATGAGAGATATATGCTATTCGGTTGTTCTTGTGTAGAAAGAGGAAGTTCATCGGTGATTGGGAGCAAATAGAAAACTCAGACCCTGGGACCCACTACTGCATTCATGGTCGGAGCAGCTTCTCTTTGGGGCAATTTTAAGGTTGATCACCCCAGCTAATCCTACCGCCCCTCATACTCTCTCCCCCACAAAAAAGTAAGAGGCTCAGGGTCTCTTGTGCCTGATTCTTTTCTAGATTTATCCGATGGCAAACACCACTTTGCACTTTGCCCCTGTGGCGCCAATATGAACCACAGGAGAATCTCAAATTCTATATTCTATCTTGACCTTGGCAAACCATCCAACCCCAGGGTAGCGCCACTGTTCCTTATGTTCCCCGAATGCGGCATCACACGTATGTGGCGCCCCCAATCCGAAAACTCAAAGACACTAGCCGCTTGGCCCCCTCTTGGCAAATCGCTGCACATAGGGAATCCCGCAATCTGAGCCGCTTATGCTTCTGATCCTTCCCGGGCTCGCGCGACTTGCCTAGGGAGCCCCCCCTACGACGTCACCCTCTTAGACCATTTCCCCTCTTGGCGCTACGGTACCAGCGTACCCATGTACCAACGGTGGGCCGCGTGGGAATGGGCCCGACCTCTCGAGTCAATATCCGGAGTACATAAGGCTCCAAATGCCCATCCCCAGAGTCCGAGCTTTCCTTCTGTGTCGTTTTTGTCTCTCTCATCCCTCCCTATAGTACGCAACTCTAGGTAGAGGTTATTCAATATGTGGACAAGAACATCAGGCCTGCGAGGCCGTTACCTCCACTGGGCTATCACCTTCACTTCCGTCGTTGGTTTCTCCCTCTTCGGTTATGATCAGGGTTTGATGTCCGGTATTATCTCCGGTACTGAATTCGACAATGAGTTCCCTCCTCTCGCCGGTGATGACATCCACACCCAGGTCCTCCGTGGTGGTGTGACCTCTTGTTACGAACTTGGTTGTTTCTTCGGTGCCATCTTCACCCTCATGTACGGTGAGCGCATCGGTCGTACTCCTATCCTGGTTGGCGGTGGTCTCCTTATGATCCTGGGTACTGTCATCTCCGTTGCTTCGTTCGGTCCTCACTGGGGTCTCGGCCAGTTCGTCATTGGTCGTGTCATCTCCGGTCTTGGAAACGGTGCGGACACTGCGACTATCCCCGTCTGGCAATCTGAGTGTTCCCAGGCTCACAACCGTGGTTTCCTCGTCTGCTTCGAGGGTGCCATTATTGCCGTTGGTACTTTCATCGCCTACTGGCTCGACTTCGGTCTCTCCTACGTCGATTCCTCCGTTGCCTGGCGATTCCCCGTTGCATTCCAGATCCTATTCGCTATCTTGGTCAGCGTTGGTGGTCTGTTGCTACCGGAGTCTCCTCGTTGGTTCATTATCCAGGGCAAGGAGAACGAGGCCCGCGAGGTTCTGGCCGCTCTTCACGGTAGCACCCCCGATGGAGAGGATGTGATTACCGATATTGCGCTCATGCAGGCCGATCTCAAGGCCATGGAGGGCGCCAAGGCCGGCTGGAAGACGCTCTTCACCTTTGGCAAGACTCAGGAGTTCCAGCGTATGATGATTGGTTGCTCCGGCCAGTTCTTCCAGCAGTTCACTGGTTGTAACGCTGCTATCTACTACTCCACCCTGCTCTTCCAGACGAGCTTGCACATGACTGGCAAACTCCCCTTGATTCTGGGTGGTGTCTTCGCTACCGTCTACGCCCTGGCTACCATCCCCTCCTTCTTCATGATCGAGCGCGTTGGTCGTCGTAAGCTGTTCTTGATTGGTTTCGCCGGCCAGGGTCTCTCCTTCATCATCACCATGGGCTGTCTGATCAAAGACAACGAGCAGAACGCAAAGGGTGCCGTCGTCGGTATCTTCCTGTTCATCTGCTTCTTCGCCTTTACTACGCTGCCTCTGCCCTGGATCTACCCTCCCGAGATCAACCCTCTCCGTACCCGTACCATGGCTGCCTCGGCCTCGACCTGCACCAACTGGATTTGCAACTTCGCCGTCGTCATGTTCACCCCGGTCTTCTCTGCCAGCAGTGGCTGGGGTATCTACCTCTTCTTTGCCTTGGTCAACTTCATCGCTTTCCCCTTCGCCTACTTCTTCTACCCCGAGACCGCCGGTCGTGATCTGGAGGAGATTGACATTATCTTCGCCAAGGCTCACATCGAGGGCAAATGGCCTTTCCAGGTTGCCAACGAGCTGCCCAAGCTCACCGTGCAGCAGATCGGCGAGTACCAGCGCGAGCTCGGTCTTGACGTCCCTGGCCACCACGTTGAGCGTGATAGCGAGAAGGGCGACATTGGCATGAGCAGCGAGAGTGAGAAGGAGAAGAACAACCACTCCGAGTAATTATTCCATTTATGGACGGGGCATGTATATTCGGGCCCATTTGCTTCCTGCATTTCCATCCTGGAGACGGAAAGCAAGAGGTCACGACCGTTCTGATGATTTATAGAGTGCACTGGTGCTCATTATTTCCTTTCTTGTCTTCAATGTGTTAGTGGTTAATCGCCACTACTGTCGGATATTTCATTTTATTTCCTTTCTAGATATCATCTCTTGTCTCTTGCTAGATAGTCACATTTTTTCACATTTTTAAGAGAATAAAATTGGCCCCACAGCCATTTTCACTTAATCTCCTCTTTCATCTCCACATCGGATAGATTCCGTAGCCACCACATTTATCCATTTTACCGACCATAACCCCTGGGGCAAACGGGGCAAACCATGGTTTGCCTAAGGGAAAGCCAACGGCAGAACCAGAACCTCAATGGCCACCAATGACTAAGACTTGCCCTCAAGCCACTGCCGTCAGTCAAGAGCTTACCATAACGGCAAGGCTAAAATGCCATGTGTTTGGCCCCATTCAAGATGGATCTTATCCCACGCGACTTGGCTGGGCATACGTATGCATGCGTTGGGAAAATCAAAAATGTTCAAGATCGACGGAAAACCTCCGAGAATCTGCGGTAGAATATGTCGGCAGCCGTCATTCCAGGAGGGGCATGTGGGAGGATTATCATCGGGATTTAACTACGGAGTACGGTAGTACACCGTGTACTCCGCTTGTATTTGTCGATCTTTAGTTGACTGAGATGCCATTTCTGGTGAGTTCATTTCTGGTTTAGTTTAGTATGTATGTTCTCCGTAGTCCTGGGGCGTAAGCCTGCATGTAATCCATTTCGTTTTCGGATTTTAAGAAAGTCGGTAAGGCCGTGAACGCGACACCTTCCAAGCCTAACGACGATCTTTTCTTGGGCTTATTCCGTCCCAAAACACTGGAATCAACCTTTAATCGGAACATGCATTTCCTTTTAATGAGGAGTGAGACAAGAGTTAGTCAGGCAGCAGTGCTCCAATAATATCAAATCTCCTGTCTTGTACAACGCCGACTACACCCGAGCAACTGTGAAATCTGAAAATACTGATGGATGCCTCAACGCCACAGGAATAAACCTACATGCACCTTAGACCCTAGCCTCTAGCCACCGCGTCATCCAAATTGTTTAAACTCAAGCTAAGAGTGCGTGTGGGGAGAAGACGGAGAAGAGGAACGGGGGGGGGGGACAGACGAGATGCACGAGTAAGTTGCCAAAATCAAAGGAAGAACACTAAGAAGAACACTAAGGCTCTTGGAGGCTAGTTTGGGCTGAATTCTGACTAAGTTTTACGCTGGAAGTTGTGGGAGTAAAGCGGCGACTGGCCCCACTAATAAGCTTTGCTTATGCTTCGTGAGCTACCCTAATAAAACGTATCTCACTACGCTACCCTAAAGTCACACTCGCTCAAATTGAGAACTTCATCATCCCATCTGCATAAAATGGTCAAAGGTAGTACTTTCAGGCCTGGAATGTACTTTTCTTATCCGCATCCTTATCATGAATATAGAGGACATTAAGTCTCGGGAGTACACTTCCTCTGTAGTATTATTCGAATATTGGTGATATATTATCTGCGGTAAATTGATTTCTTCGAAGAGTCAGGAGGTATCAACTACTGTAAACATACACAACGGAATTGGACACGGCCACGGTAGATTACAGCCGGTCATGTGTCTAAGCCTATCCTCTTTATTCTTTGAAGATAATCCTCATATATACATCGTTTCACTCGCATCTCATCCCGACACCCAATTATAATATCATACATAAGGAGAAACATATTAGATTACAAGAGAGAACATAAGGGCAGCCAAGGTGTACACAACACCCGTGGAGACCAGAATAGAAGAGGCAGCGCCGGTGAAAAGGGAGTTGTCGGCGCTAGTAGTAGAAGATGATGATGAACCGGAATGAGCGTCAACGCCAGAGGTGTTATGCGCAGTGGGGGAGGAAGCACTGTATGTGTAAAAACCCGATACTGATGCCGAGGCCTTAGCATATGTGCCGTTCAAGGAGCCAGAGGAGCCAGAGCCAGTCTCAACAGCACCAGAAGTGTATGATTCAGCTGTTGGAGCAACAAAAGCGTGACTATTTGGAGATCATAGAGCATTAAAACTTGAAGGTCATCCAATCATTGAATTTCTTTTCTTAGCAATCTAGACAGTAATTCAATCATGACCGCAGACGCTGCGGGTACGAACGGAGGCGTAGGGATGACAATGACTTATGGATACAATTGTCGCAGGAGTCATAGCCTCGGCTGGGGTTTTGGGTGGTCAATAATCACCTGAGTAATCGACGGGCTATATGAGCAACCAATCATAATAACTGCTCATTGAATACTCACTAAGCGTGCCTCTTACAGTGGTGCTGCATTAGTTTGAAACCAGGCCTTAGGACGCCTACTATGTATAGCTTAAGGTCTACTAATACGCAGTGCGCTTACAAAAACTGAACAACCGGTCAACACACGATTCAGGATACACAGAGCCTTGCCGGCCCTGACATAGATGAGAAAGATGACATGAACGTGGCAACATTTTCGATAATATCGTCCATCGGGAGCGAGACCGATGAAATTAAAGAACCTGACCAACCTAATCCGGTAGATCAAAGAATCCGCAACGGTGACTTCGGTCACAAAGTTCTGTGTGGCAAGAAGAGGCTTTCTACCACCGCATTTAGCGTTGGCAGCGACCAGCTCTGCCTGCCCGGGGAGGAGGCCATTTGGTGCGACGACCATGGGTTTATTATAAGTGAAGTCGCGCAAGAATGTTACAAAGGAGATTGGCTTCAATCGCCCGCCGTACACAGGTGATGGCTACGACATAAAAAAGGTCAAGAACGAGCAACTGCCACTGTAGACGATAGTTGAGTTCGACCACGTCGGTAAGTTTGTCCCACCACCGCGGTATGTCGCGCTTTCGGACGAGCTAGTCTACCATATAATTAAGTTTATTTCACAGAAAGAGCGCTACGCGAGCTGGCCCGCCGACTTTGATGGGTCGGGAAACATTCAGGCCGATCCGTGCCCTCAGGACCCTGCCCCAATCGGGCGACTACACGGGTTGACATCGGCCCCCGTCTACTGCCGTTACTATGCATTGGTAGGCAATCGCGTTGCATCAGTAAACGGCTACATGATCGCACCAAAGGTTGAAATCAAAGAAGCTGCTTCAGACTTCGCCTGGGGCTTGGTTATTCTCCATGATACTTTCGTCCTGAACCAACCGGTGGCTTTAAATCGCCAAATCTACAGCCACAGCGGTAAGATTTTTGACGAACCCATCGGGAGTGAACTGGCCTGCCTGAAGAGAAAGGCAAAGGCCGATGACAAGGCGGAACATACTCGTCTCCTAGACACCGCAGTCGGTGACCATCGTGCCTGCGCGCTGTACTTTATACCTACTGGCCCCTATCTCGCACCACTGTGGCACTTCCATGGCTACCACATAGCCTGCAGTCCGGACACTCATAAGCAGCCGAGTTCAATGATTATTGCTTCCTAAGGAGCACAAAATTCCTATCGCCCCAAGTAGAGACACTCCATACGCCAACGTGGATGTCACTGGCATCCGGGCTGTCACCGACTTTGATGGCATGGGAGCCGCAGCTAAAGAAACAACGCGTCAAAACAGGAGAAGAAGAGGAGTAGTTTTTAGTTTAGGCTCAGGCCTACTGAGTTCCAAGTTGCTCATCATCATGAGATATACAGTGGCGTTACATGAGTTTGAAACCCCCTTCACTCCTTACATAATATTCTGCCCTGTTTTCTGCCAGCTAAAACCTGACATTTTAGTTGATTAAGCTCAACATGTAGGACTTACAAACTGAACATTACTGAGAACATTCCTAACAGCGTACCACATATGATGTATGTACAAGAATATGTCCTGCATCACCCCACTAGAGTGAGGCCTAAGTGAAACTGAAATTGTTGCACTCGGGTTGGCAGCTTGTTCAGTAAATGAATGATCTGAGTTCGACGATCTGAAAAACAACTAAAATAGAAGTGAGATGCAGTATTGGATTTTAGCAAATGGAATCATGAGAGTGGGGAAGAAGAAAGGAAGTGAAGAATAGGGAGAGGAAAAGAAGGGGGCTTATATAGTGTAGGAAATTGAACATAGATCATGCGTGTTGAAGTTCAATAGAAGACGGTATATTAGGGTAGAGGAGAAACTAAGAGAAGAAAAGACGAAGGAAAATGATGAGACTCTTAAAGTTCGGGAAAATAGAGCATTACGCGTATAATATAAGAGTATTGATATAAGACCTTTAGGAGCACCAATATCAGGCCGTCGATCAACCGAAATTTAATCCCCTTAACCAATAGACCACCATGAAGCTAAGAAGCCTGTGGAAAGATCAGTGCGCTCCACGAGAGGCCGCCTACGCAACGGCGGAGCTAGAAGGCCGATCACCCGCTATCTAGTCCGCTACGTAGGCCAACCTAATAATTAATAGGAACCAGTTCTAGATGGGCGACAATAATCGCTTTATGGATTCACCAGTAGACATGGAACTCTAGCTAGTACCCGAGTCGGCCTAGGTAGAGGTGGACTTTAAGCTAACCAATATAGGGTTGGTAGCTAGAGGTTTGCGGGGACGCTCTTCAGGATGTCGTACCGATGTCGTACCAGAAAAAAATGAATAGGGGTTCTGGACCCCCATAATATTAAATCTTAGATCATTCAGACCATAGACTGCGAGCAGGAAAGGGACGCCGAGGGCCAGAAGAGTATCAAGGCCAGATAGACAAGCGAAGCCAACCTAGACACAATCCTCCACCAACTAGCTACAGTAGTGTTGCATGAGTTTGAAATCAGTCTTTTAGACCGCCTACTATACACTAGTACCAGACTAAGCTATAGTCAAATAAAAAATCCAACAGTCCTAACCACTAGATCCCCTTCTTAAGCTTAGGATTGATAAACTCTACGATATCGACCCTATGTGGGTACTAGGGCCATCGTACATGAAGTTTAAATGAAGAGGTCCGGTGGGGTCAGATCGATCGGCCAGATATGCCACTATAGTGAACTAGCCAACTAGGCATGCATGATAGTCTGTGGCTTGTAACAAAGCGTAGCCCGCATATACAAGCTGACAGAAATGGATATAATCCAAATCTCCACACCGGTCGCGTGGCTTTGGCCCCGGGGGCTGTGCTGTGTCTGTGCGGTCGCAGAGAAGACCGACATGAAGATTCAATCATCAATCCATCAATATAGGGAGGCATTAAAGTAGGTAGATTGGAATTACAGAAATAAATATGACGAAATCCTTCTTGTAAAAGGGTTCGTAGATACGGGGGAAAAAAAACCTGAAGTTCGAAATGTGTGGGGGCCGTCATCCCCGGTCACCTGGTCTCCCCGCAAGTGAACTCCAGGTTTCGTTTTTCCTCCGGGGTTAAGAAATCATTCTGGTAATGGCCTAATCTCCCCCACACATGCGCCTGCTACGCCCGGCATGCGCTCTAGAACTGGCTGGTTAGTCTCACCTGCTATATTTGCTGCATCCTACTAACATAGCCAGCTTGACATGCCGAACTCGAAAGCTCAAATGTACCCCATCCCTTCGCGCCGCCCTGACCTTCCCCGGCTAACTGGCTCGCAGGCGACGAACAAAAGCCCAAATGCTCACAATGTCGTAAGGGTGGTCGAGAATGCCGACCTAGTGAAGGTATCGTCTTTCGCCATCAGCAGAACGCGTCTATGAACAATGAGTCTGGAGCGTCCCCCGAAGGCCGTGGCAATCTTAATGGGTTCTATTCGTACAAGAACACTTTCGACAAGGATAGTGTTTGGCTGGATGTTCCGAAGCACGGTAGGATTCGAATGGATCTCACCGGAGGGATCTTTTTGTTAATTTTCTCCAGTCATCTTCGTCGACAACTCCGACCCGTACGCCGATGATCTCGAGACCTCGTTAGCCGAATCCAGTGCCCTGGCCCTGGCCCAGTCGCGCAACCAACAATGGGCCAGTGGGTCAAGAGCAAGTGACGCTGAACAACATGGTCTGGAGGCTTTATCCGCCGTCGCAAGTCATGATCGTTTCTCATATTCTCCCTTGGACCATCCGTCCGTCTCCGACAGTGTCTCCTACCCTTCCCCAAGCCAATCACGAAGCAGTGCGATGCCCCCTCCTACATCACCGTCCATGTCCTTGTCGGTCAGCAGTAATAATACCAACATCAACTTCCTCCTCAACCCATCCCACTCTATGTCACCATCGATCGACTCCACAACCCTTCATGCAATTGATCAGAGAAGCGCCTCACTCCCCTCGAGGCCTGCTGTATCACGAGTAATAACAGAGCACCGGGTAGAAAGCAATGCCGAAACCGACTTCGAGGTGGCTTTCCTTCTGCGTCATTTTACAGAAGGACCAGGATTGTGGTATGATTACTTGAAACCTTGGCCTGTTGCCCCCGTTAATATTCCCTAGGATGGACTTGTTTGACCTGGGGACATATTTTGCATCTTATGTTCCAGTACGAGCAAAATCGAACCCGCTTCTTAAATATGCCGCCTGTGCATACGCCGCAAAACAACTAGGTCGTGTCAAAGGTTCCAAGGCAAAGATGGGTGGAGTCTGCTCGAGACAGGCTGCTATGGAGCTATGGCCCGGCAAAGACGACGATTTTACCTGGCACGGTGCCAAATATTATGAAAAGGCCATTCAATTGCTCATGAAAGAGCTCCAGCCTGATGCAGAGGGTCCACCGCCACTGAGCACCCCTGAAGCTTTTGGACAATGGCAGGCTGCCGAACTGTGCGAAGATGGGCAGAGTTCTCGTAAACGTCGCAGGCGAATGTCAAATAGTCGGCTGTCACGCGGTGTTCATTCAGATGAGGTACTGGCAGCGACGGCCATCTTGTCGGTATATGAATTTCTGGATGCGACCGGTCCGGCATGGAATCGCCATTTAAGCGGCGTGAAATCGTTGCTTGACGTAGCGGAGGTGGGGATCATGCCTCTAGAGTCGCGATCATCGGATGGAGACAGCCCATACCATACAATGAGGAAGTCTGGCCTATCGAAGGCTCGAAAGGCAGCATTTTGGAATTTTGCGCGACAGGATTACCTAGCTGCATGTGAGTCACTTGTTGTCATTTGCTGCTTGCACTTCACTGACCACCATAGTCATTAATGAGTGCCACACAAGGCTGAACACCGAAGATTTGGTGCTTTGGACTGAGGCTGGTCTGCAACTCGACCACATGGGATTTGTGCGCCCGAGCAACATGGCAGCTACAGCATACCCCGATGGAGACGATTTCATGAAAGAAGATTTTATTTGCAATGCCCTGGTATGGATTCTGTCAAAGATCGTCAACTTCATTAGTTCCGGTGACAATTTGGGCCTGAACGACAGCAACTCTGTCGAAAGTGGACCGCTTGGAGTTTCCCAGCAGGCACTGCTTGAGCGGTGGTACCGGCTTGAAGCTGAATTGGATGCTTGGTATAGAGGCCTGCCGGATACCTTTGGAGCGTCTGCGAGAGTTGAACCCTCCAAGCTGCCGCACTGCTACCCAACTGCGGAAGCCAAAGACCTGGTCACTTTGCAAGAAGTCTGGCATAGTATTCCCATGTGCGCCTCAAGCATGCAGCATTACCACATGGCCCGTATCCTGCTATTGATCAATAAGCCACACGAGTCCACTAGTCGACGGAGCACAATCACTCTGCGACTCCAGTCATATCGATCCATTGAAGCCGAGATCGGCTTTCACAGTCGGGAGATTGTCGGAATCGGCCTTAGTCGTCCGGACGGGAGTGTGCGCATCAATTCGCTGCAGCCTCTCTTTGTTAGCGGCCAGTGTCTGACCGACCCGCGCGAACGTCGAGTCAATATTCGGTTGCTGCGAGCCATCGAGGCGGACTTGGGCTGGGCCACCGAGTATCGAGTCCAGCAGCTACTCAAAGAATGGAACTGGGACGAGAGCTCTCTTCAGCCGGCAGGGTCCTGAAAGGTGTGCATTGCATATACCTAACCAATACCTCCACCACCATCGCATCTGCGACTCAAGGTGTAGAATCACCTCAAGCCGACACCCGAACTTTGTCTCCATCAAATGAATGCCAACCATATAAACCGCTTCAGACGGACGTTGACTTCGCCTCGTGGATAGCGACCATCCACCACCACCTCGGGCCCTCAAAGCGAGAGCTAGTTGCAGGAGGGGCTACAGGGATCATAGCCCACATAACGATTCTGTGAAGAAAATTCCCATGCAGGGTCACAGAACCGAACGAAACATCACGATATACCACCTATTCATATCCCCTGGAATTTCTCCAGGACCGCCATAATCATATAATAAGAGAAATGAGAATGTACAAGTATAGCCTTCAATAATTTTTTTCCATGATTTTTGCCCACATTTGAGACTGCAGTAGTGCTCGGACTAGTTTCCTTCTGCAAGACCAATGTTGCATCACTTTCCGTGTTTACTCGGCAGGTTTGATTCAGAACCCGAAAATCATACGTCATTATTCACAAGCTTCAAGCTACCAAACTCATTATTCTATATGATCTTCCCCTTTTCCATTTCCCCTTTCCGGTTTCCTGGTTACCCTCCCTTAATTAGCTACGGGTAAGTAGCCCCATATTATCGAATCAAATACATCCTCCACTCTGCACTTTGTCACGCCCCCACTGATTTACATTAACACCCCCACACATTGGAAGGTTTCCCGAACGGCTTTCCCTCCGCACTTTTCACTGATCGGATCTAGCTTATGCCAAGACACACTCCGAAATACCCCCGGGATGCCATTACCAGGCAAGCCGAGCCATGAACCCGGTAGGCATCGCGATAAGTTCTGAGATGTTCTAGGCGCGGGGTATCGTGGGGGATGTTGGAGATGTTAGCATAAATAATGAAAGACTGGTACCCGTCCCGGTCGATCTTGGTGACTTAGACTGGACTTGACTCAGGTACCTGAACAATTCTGGCAGTTGTAGAATACCAGGCACTATGTCTGTTGATTCCGATATCCTGATTATAGGTGCAGGATTTTCGGGTATTGGCTTCGCAGTTCAGTTACAAAAGCTGTATCCGCAAGCTACATACGAGATCTTGGAGAAGGCAGATAATATTGGAGGGACGTGGTGGGTTAACACTTATCCAGGATGTGGATGCGACGTAAGAATCTGAATAGCTCACCCTGACAAGTGAATTTGACTCGTAGAACTAACCTACTATTTAGGTGGCATCGCACTTCTATTCCTTTTCCTTTGAGCTGAATCCGGACTGGAGCTGCAAGTTTGCTCCGCAGCGTGAGATTGCAGACTATTTACTCGGTGTTGCTCGAAAACATGACATTCCTCGACATGTGCGCTTCGGATCCACCGTGCAGAGTGCGGTCTTTGATGAAATCACGGGTACATGGGTGGTAACTTTTGTCGATGAAACGGGCACATTGCATCAGAAACGATCAAGGATTCTTATTTCGGCTGTTGGGGCGCTTTCTGTGCCACGCGAGTGTGAGATTAAAGGCGCAGAGCGATACCAGGGGAAATTGTTCCACTCAGCAAAGTGGGATCATTCGTTTGACTGGGCTGGGAAAGAAGTAGTGGTTGTTGGTAAGTCTGCGATTCTTTGCAGAGGGACGAGCTAACAGGCCAAGGAAACGGATGCAGTGCAACCCAGTTTGTGCCTGTCATGAGCGAAGGGCCTGACAAAGCCAAGAACCTTGTTCAATTCAGTCGCCAGCCTCACTGGCTAGCAGAACGGCCTAATCCGGCCTACTCACGTACATTCCAATTGATGATGCGTTATACACCCCTGGCCATGCGTCTCTACCGGTTCTACTTGTACGCCATGATGGAGAAAGACTTCTTCGGATTCTATCAGGAAAGTGGAGGCCGCATCCGTGAGAACCTCAAGCGCACGCAGATCGAGTATTTAAAGCGAACAGCACCGGAAAAGTACCATGAAGCGCTTATCCCGCGCACTGAGATCGGATGTAAACGTAAAGTCCAGGACACAGGGTACCTGGCATGTTTACACCGGGATAATGTGGAGTTAGTTCACTCGGATGGGATTGAAGAAATCACGGAGACAGGCGTGCGAACTCAATCTGGACGCGAAGTGCATGCTGATGCTATCATCCTTGCAACGGGATTCCAGACGCAGCAGGTGTTGTATCCCATGGAGATTGTTGGTGAAAAGGGTGTCACTTTGAATGAACATGTATGTTTTTCTTGATTGTGTTAATGTATGGTGCTAACCTTCCACAGTGGGAGAAGTTCTCATCTGGGTCTGCCCAGGCATACTATGGAACGTGTGTCTCCGAGTTCCCCAACTTCTTCATTCTAATGGGTCCCAATACTACCACCGGCCATTTGTCTGTGATATACTCCACCGAATGTGAGATTAATTTCTCCCTGCGAATCCTGCGCCCGATCCTCCGTTCACTCTACCCATCCAAAATCTGGTCAGCACTCACCTATCCATTCTCGGGACTCTTCAATCCAGCGCCAAACACAGTCGCCGTCACACCCACCGCGGAGCAGGCAGACAATAACTGGATCCAGAAAGCTGCCAGTCAACTCGTATGGGCCACAGGATGTAGCAGCTGGTATGTCGACGCGCGAACGGGACGGAACACGATGCTCTACCCGGATTGGCAGTTCAATTATTGGCTGCGAAGTGTATTTATCCCGTCACGAGATTTGATGTATGGGCGCAGTCTTGTGCGGTTACCCGCCGAAGGAAAAGAATCCCGGGATCAGCGTCGGGATCGCCGACTCGTGGGTGCTGGACTGGGCTTGGTGGCGATTGTTGTTGGACTGATGGTGCATGGATCGCAGATAGATCTTGACCTGAATGGTGAGCTTGGCAAGGGATTTAAAGAGGGGTTAAATCGAGTACGCAATGAGTGTCTGGCCAGGCTGTGTAGTCCGGGGATTGGGTGGAAGGCATAGCCATTTGGAGTGTGATTCTATATGTGACCGGTTCTATTTCGAATCTAATGGGTGCTTATTGGTTGATAGACCAACGTAAATTCCGAGTAGCGGGGTGTGACTATTGGAGTTGTTCCCTATCGTATCCCACTTTTCTGTCTCACTCGGCACGGGCCTAGATTCGGGGATTGGTAGGAAAAGAGGGGTCCAAAGATCGACAAATGTAGAAAGAAGACTAGACTGATCCAATGTCATGTGAGAACAGTCAGCCGTCGACTGTCAGAAAAGGCCCGCATGAGACATTATTGGTCGTAGGTACAACGAATGTTGGGGTCAATCACGGTCGCAGATGGGTTGTCGACAGCGATTGGCTGGTTTGGCGCGATGGGTCACCTGAAAGAAGACTAGGGCAGCTGGGGTTGTGTATAGCGAAAATCGAATATGCGAATCAGAACGTTAGAAACGTGTTGGTGATAGAAGAATCAGATATAAGTAACTTTTCCAGAGGTACACAGCAGATGTCGTACCTGGAAATTGTATTATGTCCCCGTACTATTAATATCGGCGCATTGGGGGCGTACAATCACCGATTGGAGGTGGGCCTGTACTGTGGGTATGTTGGTACTGATACACAGAGCTAACTGCACTAGGCAGTAAGCAACCCCTGGATCTAGACTTGACGCGACAACTAGACCCCAGTGGCTTGGGGCTAAACATGGCCATTATGACGATTTATGGGGACATGGTGGGATCTGAGGGTTGCGCGTTGATGACATAGACATGAATACCAAGTGCGTACGAATTTAAGACACAACTGAACAATTACGCAGTCATCTGCAACCCCTGAAGTGTTGCATTTTAACTCATTTTACCCGAACGTGGTCAAAACGTGGTTCTTCCATGATCAACATGAGCTAAACCGATTGAACCATGGTTATTGGGTTCGGTGGCTCTTCTTCCAGAACTATTCCGTACGGTGACCGTGGTTACGTACCAAACACCGTCGTTATTGATCCTGTTACAATGCTGATCATGTACCAGATGCAGCTGCAGGTTCCTAACTGTACGCTTGGCTTCTGTATTTTTCGTTTTGTTCACGCCACGACCAGGGTTTATCATTGACTTTTTCGAAGGGCCCCGTGTGTACCCTAGTCCAATAATGGCTCTGCGGCGACCATGGCCGCTCGTGTGCTTGGAGGACCAACCTATTATAGCCCTGTCCCCATTCAAAAATCAGACCCACCTCTACTTGGGACTCTGATTCCCCCTCGAGGTTCCACTTTCAGTCCGCTGGGATTTTTGGTATGTATATCGGGGTGGTGCCCACTTGGTCTGCATTTCCTCAATCGCCTCTTCCAGATCACACTCCTTATCTGCGCGAAGCGCGGTCTCTCGTCGCGCTGGCGCGTTGAATTCCTTCTAGGCCCTATGCCGCTGGGCGTCACGACTTCATAATGGTGGACTTGAACGGATACTGCCCTAGCATCTTTTTGCAGGAGAGCCTATTTCCCACAACTGGTGGATGTATGTATCCCCCAATGAGATGATGTGATCATAAACTTACTCTTCTACAGTCATCGAAGGCCGTTATTGCGAAGATGTATCCGCCGGTAATGAGACCATATCATGCTGTTTACCATGCCCTCTCGCCAATTGGCGATATGCCGATAGTCAGTCATACCATGCCTTCTGTTGTAGTTCGGACAGGTTTCTAACAACACCCAGATATTGCGCAACGAGTTCAAGTAGCTAGTTGGATCAGCGTCGCCATTCTTCCTCTCTGTGTCTTCATCCTTGTCTCATACGCCGTTCTTGCACCCAAATGGACCAATCGTCACTACCTGAGTATATGCTTTACTCTTGGCATCTGCTGCATGGAGGTAAGTCGGGATGGCAGGATATAGTTGAAACCATGCTAACAGAGTGGTAGATCGCCTTCATTGTTCCCCTCGGCTCCAAACCCAACCAATGCTACAATGATATCACACCTAATGACATGTACTCCGATCTTTCTTGCGCCTTTTCCGGTTCACTGTTACTCTTTGGGGGCTGGATGGTGGTAATGTGGAGTATGCATGCCAACATATTAACAAATAAGAGCGACCGCTAACTGCTGACAGGTTTTATCCGCACCATTGCGTTTCATGTGCAAGTATGCTGGGAGGTGGTGTTGGGGCCAAAATTCATGTGGGGGGCCTTCGTGTGCGGGTTTGGCATTCCTGCCATTGGACTCGCCATTATGCTGAAGCTTACGGGGGTTTCTTATCGGTTCGGCGATATTTGTCACATCAATATCGACAATGGGTTGAAGGATTACTGGATTCCAATCATGTCCTTCGCCGCCACCTCCCTGGTGCTGCAGGTGTCAACCATGGCCTACTGTATGCATATCTACTTGCGCTCGCTCTTCGACAAATCCGCATCGACCACCGATAACAGCTCCGGTCTCCCCTCCTACTCCTCCAGTGTCCGGACCGTCTCCGCCCGCCAGGCCTGGCGTCGCCTCCAACGCGTCATCCAGTTACAATGGCGCGGAGTCGCATTAGTGATGATCATCCTCGGCAACGTGATTTTCTTCGCCATCGTCTTCATCAAATTGGACCGAGATGTCAACCCCACCGCGGCCAATATCAAGAAAGCCGCGCCTTGGCTTCTCTGTCTAGCGGCTGGAGGCAGCAAAGAGGAATGCAAGAGCGATGCATCGGGCATGGGACCTAACGAAGCCACATTACTGGCCATGGTCTACCTACTATCCCTAGTAGGATTCTGGAACTTTATCCTATTCGCCCGCCCCCTAATGTTCGCCGGTTGGCTCGACCTTTTCAGGCGCGGTTTTGCAAGGCGTCACGAGTTCATTTCCGTCGACGCCAGTGATCGCTACGCTAACAAGGAAGGATTCGAGATGCTGACCACCACCGCCAAGACCCCGGAGCCTTACCCAACATACAATATGCGATCGCCTAGCCCCGCCCAAATGGCCGGTCAGAGTCGGAGCCCGATGGCTAGCCCCAGCCCAACCTTCGATCGAAACGTCCATTTCGGCCAAGAGGCGCAATACGTCCCTCCTTCTACGAGTTTCTCGGGCCCGCGGGCCCCTGGCTCGTCACACACTAGTCGCGACTGGGATCCTTCATCAACATTTGCCCAGGGTCGTGTTAGCCGTTGAAACCCAATTCGCGACTAAGGTTTTGGGGTCATGTCTCGGGGGGTTAAGGGCGGGGGCTAAAAGGCCAAGCGAAGTTACAAGGAATGATTCCAAAAAAGGTGTACTTTTGCCCTACTTTTCTGATTTTATGACCAATGGCGTTGATGTTTCTTTCGTGTATCACCATGTACTAGTTGTATAATCTGAACCAAAATATTCAACAAACTCTGTGCCATGTATCCCGTCCCGCGAACACGGCATGAAGGTCCCACTGTGGGTTCCAAAATTCGTCAACGCCCAGAATCAAGATGATCTCTTACTTAGATTGTCACATTAACGCACACTAACAATTAGCACAAAGTATACTGAAAAAAGAACAAAAACGTCACAAACCCATTGGAACTAAGACAAACCCCCCACCGATCTAGAGCATCGGGAACCTCGTAAAAAACCCCCCACTTAGGTCCCATCTCATGTTTCAAACAGGCTCGAGCCGACCATCCCAAAAAGGTTAAACCGCCCGTTCCTGCATATTCCCGGCCTTAACATTACGCATTCGCGCAGCCACAGTGTGATAAGCGATACATAGAATTCTCCTATTGATCGGCGGTTGTCGTGAGTGGGACCTGAGATGGTACCGTAAGCCTCCTGGCATGGGCATTATACTCTGGGATCTCTATTCTCCAGAATGTTGCTGGTTACGGTTAGTCTGGAGAGGGTCCAGGGTCAGAGTATATTAAATTAAGTAGATTAAATCCTTTGCCACGCGATGGGGAGATGGGGTTCAATGCCGAGGAGATATTTGGTGTGGAATGGTAATAGAAAATTGCAATATCGATTTCTCTATGCCTGTACTCCGTATATAATACGCAGTGAAAGTGTTGGGTAATTATTACCCGTCCCCGCATCCCATTGATAGTCTGGCTCAACCAAATTCTATGTGGTCCCGAACCATCACTCGAACAGCCGATGTTTCCAACGGTCCATCTGCCGAGGACCCCAAAATGAGACACTGAGCGGGGTGATCGAGATGAACAATATATCGTCGGCATCTGATTTCCACATGGTAGGACGATCCCGCGGCATCTGGGTATGGAGAACCCCGCGCGATCGCTGAGGCATTTCTGGGGCATTGATGCTTTAACTTTTCCCCCCTTTTCTCTAGATGCTACGGAGTACCACGGTAACCATGGAGCCTCGGTTGAGGCTAACTTGAATAGGTCTATGGTAGCAATCGCTGGGACTTGCCACTTTGCTTGTAATTAAGCTTTACCGGCACGCGCCGAGGTTCTCCGCACATGTGATTCCTTTAAGCGTTTGTGTCTTCACTTTGACTTTGTTCTAGGAAACTATGCTTACACTTTGACCACCTCTAATGCGCATGGAACAATCCAAAACATTCCATTGTTCTATTCATGTAATGACAGTAAGCCCTGTAACGACTGTATTCAAACTAAACAGTGTAACTTCCGGTCATCAAGGCTTGCCACTCCAAGCCTTAGTCAAGAACGCACTGACAGATGTGAATTGATAATCCGGCAGCAAGCGATTCCACGAATCAGAAACGTGGAGTTCATTAGCATTAACAGCTAACAGAACTCCAGCGAGAACAATCCTTCCCATAGCCTCAAGATTCTCTCGTGGAATAGAAGGGTGCTCGAGTGTCGGCATCCATGGGGTCGTCCAGTCCCCGCTCGCAAAGTCCTCCGCTTTGACTTTGTCGATTTTAAAGGGCTTACCACCTAATATACACATGGTCAGATCACATCCAAAAGTTCAGTTTCATTGAGAATGTTGGATGTACCGCGGCATCTCTCTCCGAGAGCAACGACTTCACCTATTGTCGTGTCATTTCCACTAATACCGCCATCAACCGGCCATTCACCTTCAAAGTCAATGGCTCGGGCTACCACGTTGGCTAGATCTTCCACAGTAGTCAAGGTGATACGCGCATTGTTGCCTCCGTCAACTGCAATCACTCGGCGATTTTGGAAGTCCCAGGGGAGGTCAATAAGTTGGAGGTGTTTGGCGGATGGGTAGGGGCGGGTCAAGTAGTTGATGAAGTATCCGGGTTGGAATAGGCTGTACTCGAGAAGCTAATGATATCAAGCTCGTTAATTCCTGCTATATGTTGACCTTGCATCGAATCTTACCTTCTTGTCTTTGTTTACTTCCTTGAGATACTGACGCGTTGTATCCTTGTATGCATACCAACTCATGTGCGCCATGGTAGCTGAGCACCATTCACTGGGTGCAAAGCGCTTGACGCCAGCTTGGATCGCAGCGTCGATGAGATTTCTCTGGATCGGGCTAGTGGGATCTTCCTCGATCACAAAGGAAAGTACAGTGTGTACACCATGCAAGATCTGCGCAAGCTGCTGCACATCTGAATAATCTGGCTGGATCCAGGTGACACCCTCGGCGGTCCCGTCCACTGGAGCGCTCTATAGGCCGATTAGTTGTATACGGGGGATGATCATGCCATCTTTGTTTGCGAACCTTTCTAGATAGCAGCAGTATTTCATGCTTTTTAGTAGCAAGGAGAACATCGATGATTTCCTGTCCAACATCTGGTAGGCATTAGCGATAGAAGACGGATACATTCGATGGTAGTAGACTTACTGCCGGAGCCTCCAGCAACTGCAATTTTGACCATTTTGCTTGATCTATTAGGTGATCAGAGAGTTGGTTCAGCTGGTTTTAGCGTTTTTTATATGTCGAAGCGAAGTTCAGATTGAAATGGCTGTTTGGAATGACCATAGCAATTGATGGCGGAGACGTTATATATGTTATAATCCAGGACCGAGCCCTCGGTCGAAACAATAGAGTACAATTCGTCATATTCTTCTTTTCATTGAAATGCGACTAGATTCCACGGGCGTGACTAGATTGGAAAGCCAGAGATTGTCTTATTCGACTAATGTTGGAAGGATGCGAAGTTGTTCATCCGCCGAGCTCGGTCGGAGCACGTCTCACGTCACCACATTTCGACCGAGATAGCTCGGTGATACGTCCTCATCCCCCAACATCACTCATCGCCAAAATTAATAGTTTAAGTCAAGCATATTATTGCTTACCAAACTCGGAAAAGACAGTCACTGTTCAGTGCAGCCGAACTATGTCCGAAGAGCTCCGAGATGACTGCGCCGAACCCAAGCGGAGAAAGGTCCGTAAAGGCACCCAAAGCTGCTGGGAGTGCAAGCGAAGGAAAGTCCGATGCAATATTGCTTCACGCGAAAACGCCATCTGCAGTAACTGTCGACGACGGGGAACTGCCTGTATTAGCCAGGAGCTTCCAGATACACCGGTGCCACCCGTTGACAACCAGGTATACTCACGGCTTGGTCGGGTGGAAGAACTTATCGAATTATTAGCCCAAAATGCTGGCACAAACACCGCTCAGAAAAACTCCACGGATGGCAATCCGACCCATCAGAATTTTGTAGCGCAAGGGAATGAAGAAAGGTTCCAGCGAAAGACAGTACCGCCAACAGTAATTGCCCCAGTAGGTTTCTTTCGTCGGTCTCTCGTTGAATTAAGCACTGATACTTTGAAGAGTCCTCAAGAAAGGACATATGGCCACAAAGAACCTCCCTTGGCTGCCCCTCGAATTTGGGACAGACGACTCGCAGGCAAATATGAGGCAGTTAATCGGGATCTCATCGCGGCATGGCCTAGCCAAGACGATCTTGAAGTCATCTGCACCCTTCCAGGCGGCCCCACAATGCGTTTAAATGGGGACATACTCACCCAATGCCCCAGTATACCGGGCCGCAAAATTTCGCCTAAAGAGATGTTACAACTGCCTCCACCAGGCTGTCATCCGATCCTGATCGCGCGCAAGCTTCTCATGCTTGGAACATTCCTCCGTGGTGTTCCCCCGTCTAAGATGCAAGAGCTGGGAAGCATCGGTACCCTCTATACTGGTATCATGTTTCGAGCAATTGATACGGCCATCAGACTTGTGACTACCAATGACGAGCTCATTTGCTCCGTCGAGGGAGTAGAGTGCATAATGATGGAGGCTTTATACCAAAACCACTCCGGAAATCTCCATCGATCATGGATGGCTGTGCATCGAGCCACTGCAGTTGCACAAATGATGGCGATACATCGCGGTCTCGAGTCACCGTCACTGAAATTTGTCGAGCCTACCACCAAAGAAAATTTCAACGAAGACCAAATATGCTTTCGATTAGTACAGATGGATCGGTACCTCTCGCTTATGCTCGGTCTGCCTCCAACATCTCTTGAAGTCACTTTTGCTACACCCAAGGCCCTGGAGGGATGCAAACCCATGGAACGCCTGGAACGCATCCACTGCATCGTTGCTGAACACATTTTGCGGCGGACCGAGGCTGATCTGAACGACCTCGCCAAAACCCACGAAGACGACAAGCTCTTGCAAGAGATTGCCGCTGACATGCCCGCCCAGTGGTGGTTAACACCTAGCTTCATACCTAGCATTGAAGATCCCGAGCTGCTGGATGATACAGTTCGCCTCATGAACCAATTCTCTCATTTCCACCTGTTGATCCGACTACATCTGCCCTATATGCTCCGCGTCTCGCCCGAAAACAGATATGATCACAGCAAAATTACAGCTATCACCGCCAGTCGAGACATTCTATCGCGATACCTAGCCTTCCGCACTTCAAGCCCTGTCTACTTCTACTGCCGCGGCGACGAATGTCTTTCTTGCATTGCCGTCATTGTATTGTGCATCGCGCACATGAACTCTCGTAGACAGTGTCCGCAGCTCTTTAAGGCTGACGGAGATGACACTGTCTTCAACTTTCTCGCGCACAGTCGCCCTAGTGACCGCGCCATGATGGAGCGCACGTTTGAAATCATGAATTCTACTTCCAGCCGTAATCATGATGGCATCACCTCTAAGCTTGCCCAGATCATTCACCACCTGCTTATCATTGAGAAGAGTGCTGCCAGTGGCAACTTATACAGTACAAGCTCCTCTAAGGGTGATCTGGGGGAGCTTGAATTCTTCGGCACATTGGCGGACGAGGGCAAGGCCTTACATATCCATATCCCTTACTTTGGCAAAATCAATTTCGAACGCCGTACCCTCCCACGAGATTCCACGGCTGTATCATTCCCCGAGCATATTGGGCAAAGCCATAGATCACCGGTAGGCCCAAATGGCCCGTCCGCACTTCGAAATCCGGATCAGTTCGGCTTTGCCAATCCACTCTCAGGGATATCGCAATACGAACAGCTGCAGCCCCCTGAACCAAATAAAGGGCTCGAGGATAACCGCGATATTTCACACGAGCAAATGCATACCACGATGGATCCTGGGGTTGATGATTGGAATCTACAGGGCATCGATTTAGCCCTCTTTGATAGCCTTTTCCATGGCACAAATATTTTCAACCTAGACGAACAGACATGGTAATCATCGGAGGAAGTACCAAAAGGATCTCTACTTTATCCGCACATCAAATAGCTCAATTAATGGTCATTTTTAGAGGGCAATTACTGGCGTAATATACTACAAATGATGCAAGGGTGAAGTTGCAAAATGTCAACTGGTGGGTCTCGGACCCGACAGATACGAACAATCTCCGAAAAGCAAAATAATGACCGATGAAACTGTTTTAATGAGCACGAGGCCCTCAATTTCGATCTGATCTGGTCACGAGTACGGATCGGACTTCTTACCGAGTTAGAGTTATTCAGCCCTTGAAAAGCTGAGTTCTACCCCCTTTTGCCCCCCAAAATATAAAAACCATCACATCCCTTAGGCTCTCGTACTCGTTCGGTGCTTTTAATGTCATAGCCCCCCAATTAGTCCAATCCTTCACAATATCGTGAGTCTAACCACTTTAGAACTCTTCAAGACCTAAGGAATATTACTAACCTCTGAAAATAGTTCACCATGCTGATCACGCGCGGAATCTCACTCGTCAATTTTGCAGTCGCCTCATCGGCGTTGGCATTCCAGGTCTTCGTCTTATATCCGTGGCATAATCAGCTGGACCATGAGTTCAAGTCTTTGAAGAAAGAGCATCTAAAAGTGTTGCGCCAACTTGATTTACACATGGCTGTCAAATCATAACAGTCACCTGGAAAGATGGACGAACATGGTCGATGAAGACAATTAGAAGTGTTTGATAGAATGGGACGGATAATACTGGTGGCATTGAAGGAGCCAACGGAGCGAAAGGGATCCGATCAGGCAGCAAAATTATGTACACGAAGCCTGAGGGATATAAAGAATATACAGCAATAGAATTTGGTGGATCCATGAGAGAATAGAGCTTTTATCTCCAATGACGAGGTGACCTACAATCCCTCCCACAATTTTGTTCTTGCCATGTCATACTCCGTCGCACCAGGATAGTATTCAAAGGCACGTCATCTCCCAAATCATCTTGCGGCTGTGTCACTACCAACTGAATCATTGGTTTCCCCACGAACTCGTCTTGAGGCCGGAAAGCCGGTTTAGTAGATTCCGCTCTACCCGAGATCATCACATCTGCCCTTTTCGTTTGGGATCTTGTGGGGAATTTTGACGAGATCCTTTCAATGAACGGATAGAAGGTGGGTATGCAGGCTGTGATTATGCCACTGGAACACTCAATCACACTCCAGGTGCACGCATTGCCGAGTGTCCAGGATTTATCTGAAGCTTTGAACGCAAAGAGAGTACTGAAACGATAAGAACTAGTGAAAAGGACGCTAAAGCATAGCTCCGTTAGTTTAGTGTCTTAGAAGATCATGCTGTGGAACTTACAAGCAACACAGAAGAAGAAGTGCAATGACAGACAGACGGTGGGTGACTGTGGCGTTTGTTTTCCACACAGCTCGCATTGGTAGTATTATAATGGCGATATCGGTCACAATATTCGGAATGCTGTTTGCGATAAACAAGTCTCTTGCATCGATACATGCTCCTGGTATCGACGTATCCCACGCCCTTTCTATAGGTGCACATTGTATAACATTCACGCAGGTGATAACGACGATCCATGCGACGGTAATTACTCCCAAGACAATGACGGCAACGCGGAATTCTCGGTTGGGAAAGATGCGAGTATACATGAATAGCACCGACAGCTTGATCATGCCAACTGTGGCGCAGTAGACACAGTCGTAAGCTATTAACAACTATGAACGTGTTAGTTGGATAGGCTAGTCAGTCGATCATTGCAAACCCACCTTCGCAATCTTCACGAGACTATTTGTTGACAAAATGCTGGCATGTAGTCCCATGCCGAACTGAATAACTATTTACTGTTAGATCTGGGACCATGATATGACAGGCAGTGATAGTCTTACGGGTCAAATTGAGACCTGCAACTGTAAATAAAAGAAACTGCAACCCGTTAGATGAACTCGCCAAGTAGCGGTGACGACACCTACCAAAGATACCAGCATGGCAAAGTCATCCATCCCAAGCCCCATTCCTCTCTTCAGGGACAAGAATCGCAAAGTAACAAAAACCGCGGCCAGCGCACTCATGGCAATAGTAACAGCCCGAAACTCCCCCTGTCGACTTTCATGCTTGTCCGACATTATACCCAAGTCCGTCCAACGACGTATAACAGAATCAAAGCATCGTCGAAGAAAGAACGTCTCGAAAGAAGAAAGCGAAGACGAAACCGTAAATCAAAATAAAGATGACCTGCAAAGAGAAGGATCAAAAGAGCGAGACGAAGCTCACCGCATCACAGTAGGATCGGACCTTTGAACACATTGGACTCCAGCAGATCCCACTTTAAAATCCTAGCATCCGTCAGAAAGGGCGTATTGCCGAGCCTAGAAGCAAGGAAAGGAACAGTGAGCAAATAGGAAACCATGGAAGACCACAAGCCGTTGCCCAGAGTGGAGCTGGTGGGTACAAGGGAACAGCCGTTGGCTACGGACGGTTTTCCGCGTGGGGACAACCATACCGCTAGATCCTTCTGTTGCCCTGGTGGATGTCTCTAGAACGAATCCCGTCCGTATTCGCCCTTGAATTGATGGGATTGGACCATGGTCTATTCTACAAGAGTTGTGAGTGGTGGTCATTTAGAAATTTAGGAAATATAAACGAAATGAGCTCGATAGCCCTTTTGATCCCCACGGGATAGGGGCATGTGGGGCGAATCGCAGTTTTCCTTAGTATGACATCTTCTCTGCCCCTTTTAATTTGTCTTGTTCTTGAAAATCTTGCTTTCTGGCTGGATTGGACTCGATCATCTTTGCCACATCCGTTAGAGAACAGTGATGGAAGTAACATCGTAGGGCTGACCACAAAGCCGTTAATAGTCGGCTCTTCGCGGTTTCAGATAAATAGGTATCATGGTTTCCCGAAGAACTCAGTTCATGTTGTTTCGAAAGCTTATTCCAATCTAGGATTGGTTAATATATTGCACCCCCACACTGTGCTTAATTCCTCCTTTACGCGAACTAGTTCATCCATCTTTGTACAATGCCAGGGACCTCTCTTGCACTCCTTCACTATAGTTCATTAGTCGGTCGATGCCAACACGGATGTCCATGATGCCTCTCCACTATGGTTCAGCTTGGCCATTAAGCCTATGTTCAGGCCCACAAGACGAACTCGGATTCTACCTATCGATTTGGGTGCTCCGAAGGTCTCCATGCGAACGATATCACATTGGATATTGCAACCCAAGTTTATCCTATCACACTTCATGACGGGCTCTAAGTTGGAAGTGCTGGGTTGGTTTGCATTTCAGACAAAGTCAATTTGAAATTGCATTTGGCAGCATCGTATTGGGAAGGCACGATTGATTCGTTTTTGGAAGGCGCGATGCAGCTGACTATAAACCCCCCCCCCCTCTTTCTCGAATCCCAAACCTTCTCTTCTATTTCGTCATTCCAAGGTTGATGCTTCCACTCATTCTCCCCTCGTCTTTTCTGCCTAACGACTTGGGTGAAACCTGACATTGATGAGGTCCGTTCTGTCAGTATCTGATCTCATCTGCTTCTCGTTCTTGGCACCCAATCGCCCCATCACGTTGTAATCCGACTATCTAAAGTTCGACCTATACCCCCAGCGCTCATTCAATGTCGACCTTTGCGAATACGCCTTCTAAGATGTTCAGTGTCCTGTCTTCTTTGATGTGACAGAAACTTCTTTTGGCTGGCATCAAATGGATCCTCGCACTCTCTTGCTGGTATTCTAGCTGAACAAGACATCGTTGCCTTCAGTGGATCCATTATGTGGCATGCTGGCCACTCTAACAATAGATGCGCTGTACACGTGGCTGTATTCCTGCCGAGTTAGCGCATATTTACCAGAAGTATACAATATTTTGATGCGGACATCAGATTGTGGCCGATGTTGATCTGATGACCATGTCCAAAGTACTATTCAGCCGGTCTGATCATGCATTCTGTCTTTGGCTCCCAGGTCCGAATCTCACATGCCCCTCAGGGTGATACCCTAATGCGGGGAATGTGACAAATCACCGCAGTCTGCGTACTCCATGGATGAGGCTGCGAGACTTTCCGAGGTGGCAAAGTTTCAGGAATAAACTCTGTACGCATCGAGTTTCAAGTTTGAGATGATACCTATAGGTGGTTTTGTTACTATTATTGGAAAAATCACGATCCATGGATAGGTGGAGATCTGGGCAGATGCGACCTGTTCCGACTGGTTTGATACGTGTACTCTGGATGTGTATTTACATCAGCCACAGCAATGTTCAAGTATTTTTTGTTCAGAAAAGGCCATTTCAAGCAAGAGAATATCTAGAGTCAACATAAACTATTATTCTATTTCGTCATGTTGAAGCAAATTAATCACAGTAGCCCGGAGATTGGATAGCCGATCATCGTATTTGCGGTCTTTGGCCTGCGCCTTAGCCACCCGCATCACCACCTTCCAGTAATTCCCACTGGTTCGGGGCTAGAACCCGGGCCTGATCTCGAAATGCGCAATACGGCACGAACTCGGGCTAGCTTGCCTCGACATGTGGAGAATAAATGGGGATCGTCATTCTGAAACCCGGAACTGGAGAGGACAGGCACAGTTCACAGCGCACGCGTGGGTTTCCCACGAGTGCGTTGTAGGATGTACCGTGATCGTCGCTTTGTTCTTCTAATTTTGAATCGGGTTCCGAGCCCGCGCTGGTCATTTGTCAAAGGTTGTGTCCATGGAACGAAGTCGGTGACAGGGGGCTCCACTTGAAAGGGGGAAATTTGTTGAAGACACAAAATTTCCACATGAATTGCAATTAAAGAAAAAACTCATCTAACCTGCGAATGGCATTTTCTCCGCTTTCTAATCTGTTCCAAAACTTTTAATCTTACTGGGTCAAAACTGAAATCCCTTTAACCTTTAAACGATCGCGAAACTGCATTTTTGTTTTCGATTTGTTTTCGAAGCCTTGAAACTGGATATCCGTGGTTCGACCGTCTGACCCAGAAGGCTGGTTTAGTGGCGCATTCTGTTTCGGATCTGTATGTTTCCAACCCGCTTTGTCTAGAAACATTACTGATATCAACCAGGACCCCTTCGACCTTGAATGATTCATACTCCAGCCTTTCTCCCAGCCTGACGAGTATGAACACCCCTTAGCTCCGATCACAATTTTATATCCAACGGTCCTCGATGGATGCTAGCATGCGCTTTAATTAGCTGTAGCACATAAGTGCGGATCCAATTTACCGTCAAATCTGTTCGAAGTCTGGACTTTTCGCATTTCTCTATGTTATACTTGAATTGGGAGAATTCGAGTTCGCATCGCCATCGCTTTGACGTTCGCAACATTTCACTATGATTATTCCCGGCTATTTGGGCATGGCCGGTGAGCGCAGTCCTGTTAGTCCCATCACTCCCATTTCAGAGGAGGACTCGACAGATGGTACGGAGGATCAACTAGAACCCTCGCCGGAGCATCCAATTGCTCAACTTCAAGGTCCATTTGAGGAGTCGATTCGCGAAACAAAGCACCAATCTGCGAGTCAATGGGTGGTCAATATTGATGCGCAGTCCCGTCGTCGGGACTTGTTGGAAAATGATGAATATGAACGGCTCTGTGGTCGTAAATGGCGCCAACGCGCCTCTGAACAGTGAGGAGTCAGATCAATAGGAATGAGTTAAGCTTCAAAGCTGACATGCTCAGGTATCATCCTTTCTGGAAGCTCATCTCACAGATGGTGTTTGGAGTCCATCTGCTGGCCAGGCGACTTGCTATATCAGAACCACAGGTTATGAAGATCCTGCAAACCCATGTCGATGAAATGGATGGTTTTTTGCAAAGAACGACAGAGGATTTCATGATTATCCACATGGATGTTCGGACTAGGATCCAATATCTAAGTCTTCCCCTCCAGAACCTGCATGTCTTCGATCAGATGCTCGAAGATCGCAGTTTTCGCCTTTCCCTGGTGGCTTACCACGACCAAATCGAGCATGCCGTGAGCCGGTTCACGCTCTCCATCACAGATGCCATTAGGGATTTGCGCAAGGGCAAAGAGGCAATCAGTGTCCTATGGCACTACCTCCTGGAGATGTCGGGGGAAGGCAGTTTCGAAACCCACAGCCTCAAAGCTTTCTATCAAGCGATGATGGACAATCTAGAAGGCTGGCTCGAAGCCTTCTCCAAGCTCCGTCGACGTGGTACATCCCTCCAAAAGGCCCTTGCCCAACTTGCCCTAGCAGTCACAGAGATGCAACGACGAGTGGGCGTAGCAAGCAGGAAAGACGTGCGCTCATTCATCAAAACCCCCAAAACTGCAACTCGCACACGATCAGTCAGGAAACTGTTCTCCCCCTTACCCTCCGAGAAACCCCTTCCCCGTGACCCCCTACTGAAACCAAAGAACTCAACCAAGTCGGGCGAGGAGGGAATAGGTACAGAAAAGGGCAATGTGGGTCGCACTACCAATGCTACAAAACGGGAAAGTAACATACCCAGGGCCCTAAGCCGCGCAAAATCGTGTAGTGCCCTGGCCATGGACTCCAGTTCCACCTCCACTACCCCCCAACCACCAATCCCCCGTCCCAAGACAGCAGGCAGGCTGAGCAGAAAATTATCAAAGCCCTTCCTCCCAAAAAGATCACTCAGTGATGGCGAAAAGGCTGATACTGCACAGAATCGCCCCGCCTCGGCCCCAGCCCGTACCCTAAAGACACGCAGCGTCTCCATGGAACAACTGAAAGCGTTATGGGCGAATACAGGTCGTCCCCGAACACAGCAGTCCATGGCTAAGCACCCCATCCCACCCCCACCCCCAATCCCAGAATCTCATCGGGTCTCGAAACAGGATCCCACTGAAAAGGAAACCTACGAGTCCATGAAAGAGCAAGTCTCCCAATTCCTGAAGACAGATCGCGTCGTCGAGGCTTGGGATACCATGACTGCTAAAACGGGGACATGCGGCCGGACATTAAGCAAGACCGCAAAGGACTGGCCTTGCAGTATCTTCCGGGCGAAATCACCGAATGCCTGGCGTGCTCGCTCGAATGGGACGAATATGGGTGATGCGCCGGACTTTGAGAGACAGATGTCTTGGGTGCAGGATGCGCCGGAGGTGCTGAATACATATACGTTCAAACAGCGGCCTGAGACGTCGCCGCGGATTCATGTGCTTTCGGTGCAGATGACGCTGGACGAGGAGATGAATGATGATGAGCTGGGTGGTGGACACAGGGCTAGTGTGGATGAGATTCCTGATGGTGATTCGGGGTCTATTATTACTGCGCTTCCGGCTGTGCCACCTCCTACTCCTGCTACTATTCCTTCTATTGCGCAGGAGTGTCGGCCAAGGACTGTTGAGTGTGCGCGAGGTTGAGATCTGCATGCTATGTGATATCATTACACTCAGCTTGGGCTTGGTTCGAACTTGCGAGTTCAAGTTGAAATGGGAATGACGGCTGGTTTCGTCTATGCCCATATCTATACTATGTTTGCAATCCTTGGTGATTGCCTTTTATTACCGTTGTTTATACCCACATTGCTTGGCTTGGCATACCTTTTCTTTGATATCAACTTACAAAAACAAATCAATTCCGGTTTCGAAGGACAATGGCATTAGTCGTATAAAATAGAATCAGAATAGAGAACCCGGGACCAAAAGAATATCTAGCATTCATTTTTTCAGACCCGAGGGCCGAGCCTAAATCCGCATACTCGAGCCCCGGCAAGCGCCTAAGCAGTAAACGCCCAAAATGACCAAAACACAGGATGGACACAGTTCATAACGCGTGAGCCCATGGTAACGCACAAACAGGAAAGAGGTGAGGTGGATTATTTGCAGCGCTTCTCTACAATGTTGGCACCGTGCTCCTCGTATTCCTTCTTGGAGATCCACATCTGGTGGAAAGTACCCAGACTGGCCAAGATACTTCCACCGATCCAGGAACCAAAGCGGCGCTCGGCAGTGTTACCGGGGGCCGAGATACGAACGCGCGGACCGGGGAACTGGGCCATCAATTCTTGGCTCAAACGGTCAGTGAAACCGTAAAGCAGACTGGAGGCGCCGGTGACGACGACGTTGGCGAGCAGGTGGGGGCGAATGTCGACGTCCACACCGGCCAGGGATGCCTTGATCAACTCGGGAAGAGTCTGAGCGGGGGTAGGAACAGGGAAGGGAGAGTCGGGATCGGGGATGGCAGCTTTAGCATCGAACAAAGACTCCACAACGCGGAAGCGATCGGCACCAAAGACCTGATTGTATCCATCCGGGAACTCGAAGGGTCGGCCGGGAGATGAGCGTGCGGCATCTTCGTTGGAAATGCCGTTGGGACCGGTGGCAGAGAGCTTGTTCGGGCCGGGCCAGACCTGAACGACACACTCCTTGAACTCGGAGAGGGTGCGCTCCTCAAGGAGCGCGCGGTAAGAAGCATCGGGCGCCTTGTCGGCGGCGAAAGTCTTGAACTTGACCTGGGGTTCTTGGCCAGCTTCGACAGCGTTCTTAGAGCTGATCAAGTAGTGGGGCGTGATGGTGATAGGTTGCGGGGAGTTCTTCTTGAACAATGCGCGAATTTGGGAGGATATATAATCGCCTCCTAGTGGTGAGTGCTGCACACCTCGCTTGAGGATCATGCCATCGTGAACCGGGGTGATGGAGATATTAGAGGCGCCGATGTCCACCACGAGAGCGGAGGCTTTACCAGAAGCGAAACTGTATCAATGGAGATTAGCAGAATGCAGGCTTTAAAGATAAAGAAACCAAAGGGCCTCAGTCGGGGATACATACGCAGCAAGCACACCACTCCGTGCCAGGTAGAAAGCTGGGGTACCCCATTTTTCCATAGCAATCTCAATGGTCTTCTCGCGTGCCTTGGCCGGGTTCCATCCGGGCTCGGTCATCAACAATGGGCTGTCCGCCAAAGGCTTCTCTTCCGATTCAACCTCCATCTCTGTTGGGAGTTCCTCGCTGGGGATATCGTTCAATCCATTCTGGAATGGGTTGCCTGGTTTCGCGCCCGTGAGTCGGGAAGTGAACGAATGCTCCCACACCTTCTCTGCCATGTCCCAATCCTCAACAATGCCATCCCTGCCGATCGGGTTGTGGATGGAAAGACCAGGGCGCGGCGTCACAAAAATATCATCTCCGTAGACGAATTTCTCCTGGCCATCGGCGTTGTACTTGCCGTAATATGTTGGGATTAACGACTTGGGGGCATCTTCGCCAGCGAAGCCAGCGCGGGTGGTCGAATAGCCCGGGTCAAGGACAATGGCTGAGACTTCATCTATACGCGACGTTGGTTAGCAGCTGCTTGAGAATTTGTCTGAATCTATGTCCATTTGGGTCGGAGCTGGGCCTGTGAGGGACGACGAGCGGGCGCATCGCGAGACACGTACCTCCGCCATATTCGGCAGTTTGGGGTGGATTAGAAGGGTTCATGGCGATATGGCAGGAAGACAAAGCAGCCCAAAAGAAATAATTCAGACCGAGGTGTTAAACGGCCTGCGAAACCACGCGCGTAGTAGACAAGGGAGGGTAGGGAGACGAAGCGGTCTTTTCGGTGCGGGAGCAGCTTTGGCGGAGAGAGAACTGATTGGGTCCGCTTGGCACTAAATGACCTCACCTGTCAACTTTCAACCTTTTCTTTAACCACCTCTATTCACCGCTTAAGAACATAATGGATACTGAAGTTGATGTTGCACCTGAAGTATTATTTCGCCCTGCAAAGCGACGCAAGTTCATCCCACGACGCATAAATGATACAGACTCCAGCGCCGCAAGCGAAGCCGCCACTCCCAGCAGAAATGACAACCAAACTCCTGAAGTCCTATCCACAGGGGACGAAGACCAGAGTGAACAGCCTACAAATGTGGTTCGTCTACGGCGCCCGCAGCAATCTCGAAAAGGGGGCATAGGGTTCTCAACCACTTCGCGATCAAAGGACGGCAATCGAAAGACGGCGTCGGCATCTGCGGACGAAATGGAGATGGACAGAATTCAGGCAATGGGTGATCGGTTCACGACATATACAGGGCAGTCAGAGGATGTGGATAAGCACATGTATGAGGCCTTATTTTGCGCGATGCTGCCCGTTCAATACCCGACTAACAAGATAAGGATGGCCTTTATAGATTCCGAGATGGCTAAGCGATCTCAACGCAGCCCACTACCAGACAATGCCGAAGCCCATAACTTGGCTAAGTCACAAAATACTAGCGAAGAGTTGAAACAAGAACAGCAGCGCGCGCCCGCCTCGCTAGGCAAGTTGCATGAAATCGACCTTGGCCAGGAGACGACGATGCAGAATATTGCGCGCACCGAAGCTGCCCGGAGACGAATGGCTGGTGACGAAGACTTTCCAAATCCCGGCGAGGTTCAACCCCACGCAGGCCGTTCTGGCCCCGATAAACCATGGCGCAACCGCAAGCGACGTACCAGCGCTGACATCGAACGCGACCGCCTTGTGGACGAGGTCATGCGTGAAAGCAGACGTAAGATCGTGGAAACTCCTTATATTCTCTGGAGACCAACGCTAACTGTCGCAGTGGATATCTATGACGAACCGGAGGAAGAAGGGCTACCGGATGATCAAGCGGCGGATGACCGAATTGCCGAGAAGTTCCGTCAAGACTTCATGGATGCTATTCAATCCCGGCGACGGCTTCGAACAACCCGCCCCACAGCGGAAAAGACAGAAGCACCTAAGGGACCGAAGCTGGGTGGAAGCCGCAGCGCGCGAGCTGCAATGCGAGAGATGCAGAGCAAGACCGGACAGAAATGATCCGTAAATTGATGTCATGTTCGGCCTACAGAGTTTGAGACATCTCACACAATTAGATTGTCTTTGGATGGATCGCACAGGGCAGAGAGTTCCCGAGGTCTATGTACTTAATAATATTGCTCGGTGGTACCCTACGGCACAGGGCTCTTATTTGGAACTAATATATTGCCTGATCCACATCTGCCGCGGTGTGTACAGAGGACTGAGTATTTTTGGACGATCTGCAGTGATCTCACACGCCACATACCAGTCCCAGCATGGGATACGAGTGATCCAATCGGATGTCCTTGTTGATTGTACAGTATGAACACACAACCTCAGGTAGAGCCATTGCTGTTGAAAGGACAATTGAGTTAATATATCGTAAGCCGGCCAGCCCCGGCTTACTATATAGCGGCAGGGCTGAAAAACTAGGAATAAATGCTACAAATTTCTATACTATGGCGTTTAGGGAATAGAAGGATGGGGATTTTGCTTCTAGCTTCGAAATAGTGCGATATAAGCGATATTATTCATATGAAATTCTCGTTAATTGCTATAATTATGAAGATTAGCATCCACAATGACAGCGCCACCACATCAGTTTAAGTATGAGGCTGGCGCTTGGCCCATGTCTCAGATTAATGACGAGCGGAGATAGGGTACCGGAATCCCGTAAAAAAAAATTCTCTCAGGTACGAAGTACAGAGTGCAGCAGGTATGTACGCACATTTAGAGACGAGACTTCTGTGGAACCAGAAGGGTTTTCATTATGGATTCTACATTCGTGTACCATTCTGGACCTGAAATCCAGATGCAAGATCCACAGTGTCTAGAACCGAGTCGATGCAGGGGATCGACACGTAAGTGTGGCGAGGCCTGGTCTGTTTTTATTTTGGATCCTTCTGATGTATAGGGCACACAAACGTGTAATGAAGAATGCAACCGTGGATGGGACCGTTTCAAAAGGGGAGGCACCTTGCGTGGAGCTTGGTGTGGCGCTGGGCTTGAGCCCAACTTAGACTCTTTTAACTCTTTGGTAATGGGAGTCTAACCATGGTTGGAAAAATTATCCACTTATCTATTAGCTTTAGCTTCATTTTATCACACGAGGTCATCACACTACCTAATTATAATAACGGTGTCAGGCTAACGAATGGTCAAAATGCTAAAATGTAGAATCTCAAATCCATCTTGCAGAAGTGATTCGATCGAGAAAATGAACGGCGTTTAAAAAAGAACGAATCAAAAGGAAGAAGAGGAGCGGAGTCTAGACTCTGAAACGGGCTAGAGCCAATCAAGGTCAGGGGGTTGATCCCAGCACCTCCTTGTACCTGCTCCAGGAGAACTTCGAGTCCTTCCCCCATTCCAGAGAGGGGTTCTGTTCACTCACTTCCTGAATCTCTCATTCTTCAGGTTCTTCAGGTAACCACGCCAATCTTTAATCGTCACTCTCTTGCCCCCTATATTTCGACTCGCGCGTCTCGTCAGGTTGATCCTACGATATCTTGCGCCTTAATTGATCGTCATTCTCTAATTATCCACCTGCGATCGCTCCCTTGATGACTTCGTTTTAACACGATCTTTCGCGATATACTATCTGGTTCTGGGACCATGAGATCTCTCCTTTGGGCCCTGTTGGGCCTCAGCGTTGTACCTCACGCGCTGGCTTCCGACACCCTCAGCACCAAGGACTTTGACCTGTGCATGACTGACTCGAGCATCGACATCACCGACCTGGACATCACCTACACTCGCTCAACGAGAGAACTTGTCTTCAACCTGGCTGGTACCAGTTCGAAGGAACAAAAAGTCAAAGCGACACTGACCGTGACGGCCTATGGCAGTCAAATCTACAGCGACTCTTTTGAACCTTGTGGCTCCAAAGTCCACGTGGCCGAGCTCTGCCCAGGTGAGTATCGCTAAACTTCCCTAAATAGATGACTGGTGGACCGGAGAATCTAACGCGTGTGCTAGTGGCATCTGGCGACTTCTCGGCTGAAGGTACTATCACCGTCCCCGAAGACTACGCAAGCGAAATCCCCTCCCTCGCGTTCAGCATCCCCGATCTTGACGGCCAGGCCAAACTCGTCTTGACATCGCTCGACGGAGCCGAAAATCTCGCGTGCGTGCAGTCTGATTTAACAAATGGAAAAACAACAAGCCTCAAGGCCGTTTCGTGGGCATCGGCGGGTATTGCAGCAGGCGCGCTAGCTTTCAGTGGTGTCTCTGCGCTGAGTGCGGTTGGCGCCCATCCAGGTGCCTCATCTTCCAGCCCGGGATTCGGAGACGTGATGGGTTGGTTCAATTGCATGGCCACCAACGGCATGCTGAGTGTCAGTTATCCCACCGTCTACACGAGCTTTACCAAGAACTTTGCCTGGAGTACTGGCCTTGTCTCGTGGGATGGTTTGCAGAATTCGATTGACAGCTTCCGAAAAGCTACAGGCGGCAACCTCACCGACAACAGCTTGTCTTACCTGGGGAGCATCGACGGAACCTCGAACACCTCAACAACGAAGCGCAGCCTGGACATGATGCGCCGCTCGGTGAAGCTGGTAGCTCGATCAGACTCCAACAGCACCACCTCCGACGACATGGACAAGATCAAAGCCCTTGCCGAGGATCTGATGATCCCTTCCGCGAACGTTTTCATGACGGTGCTTTTGATCTTTGCAATTGTGATTGGTGTTGTTATTGTTGGAATTCTGCTCTTCAAGGTCATCTTGGAGCTGTGGGCCCTTTACGGCAATTTTCCCCAGAAGCTCACCAATTTCCGAAAGGACTATTGGGGAATCATGGCCCGGACCATCACCAACATGATTCTTATTCTATACAGTATTTGGGTTATGTATTGTGTCTACCAGCTCAAGAATGGTGACTCATGGGCAGCCAAATTGCTGGCTGCTGTGACTTTGGTCGTTTTCACCGGTATTTTGGCCTTTTTTGCCGTTCGCATTTTCGTGATGGCCCGCAAGTACAAGCAGACGGAAGGAGATACCTCGGGTCTCTATGACGACAGAGACACTTGGCGTAAGTACAGTCTCTTCTACGACAACCTCAAGAAAGACTGCTGGTGGCTCTTTGTGCCGGTCATTGTCTACGCTTTGGTTAAGGGTTGCATTATTGCCGGTGCACAGGGCCATGGAATGTTCCAAAGTGTCGGTCAATTGGTTTGTGAGGTCCTGTTGTTGGGCCTTGTGGTATGGAACCGTCCCTACGCCCGGAAATCAACCATGGGAATCAACATTACCATCCAAATTGTACGTGTCTTGTCAGTTGCTTGCGTGTTGGTCTTCGTCGATGAGCTGGGACTCTCTCAGACCACCAAGACTGTGACTGGAATCGTTCTTATCGTTATCCAGTCACTGCTGACTGGCCTTCTCGCCATTCTTATTGTCGTCAATGCGATCATCGGTATGTTCCGTGAGAACATCCACGAGAAGCGGAGAAAGGAGGCCGAGAAGGCCAACCGTGACCTCGATGACCTGACCCCCTTGGATGCCCGCGACTCGCTTCTGATTGATCACCCCCCACGAAAAGACTACTCCGAAGTCAGCAAGTTCAACTTCAACCGTCCGTATGAGTCTTACCGTGACTACCCGTCACGACCTGACTCCGCTGGCAGCAAGGAGCGATTGGTGTATGCCGATTACGGTGTTGCACACAACCGTAGTTCCAGCCAAGAATCCCGACATGGTCGCCGAAGCCCATCTCTTGAGGGCCGTCATCCGACCACTGCCGGTTATGGCATGGCATTGTAGGCCTGCGCTCCGAAGTCATGATTCAGAAGCCTTTCTTTTCTCTCTCTCTCTCTCTCTCCTTCGACCCTTATAACGCCTGACGGGCCTTTTGTTTCTCCCAGACGGTTTTTTGACATTTTTTTCTCGCTTAGCGTGTTCGAATGGGGGATGATTATTCTCGCCCTTGGATGTTTGTGGCATACCACTTCTCCGTCTACATATCCACGTCCTTCTCTTGTCCCTTATACTCCACATTGGACTTTCACCTTCCTTATATCCAGCATGTCTTTCCTTCCATTTCCCAATCTTCTTGTCCTTACTACAGCCTGGTGAAAAATTTGCGATTATTTCTTGTATATTTTCATAGATATTGCTTTCAAGACTTTCAGATTATCCAGCGCCTGATTCAACTCGTAGGTCAACCGCTACCTAGATTGTGTATCCGGCGGGGGATCAAATAGAAAGATTAGCTTACGAGGCCAGGTGAATAACAGCCATTTCGCTGATATAGTTATAATAAGGGTTTAGCCTAATCTTACGAAAAATATCCGTGTCCAGGTGGTTCCTGCATATAGGAGATAGTCTAGCTTCACTGATGACTTGACCAACTGCCATGCATAGTGATGCACCCCGCCTAAAGACGCAGCTACTATCTCGCAAGCTTGACAGTAAGCTCGAGTTCTGTTTCTCGCCCAAGGGCAGACCTTGGCACTTGCGACGGCCTTTTGAATGGATTTACAGTCCAAAAATACAGTCTTCAGTTACCAAGTCCTCATTCCGTGGCCGACTTCTTCTTACCATGGGATTTTTAGGAATTTTTTTGTATTCAAGTGCTCGCAGACATGAACAAGATTGAGAACACCACCATGTCTTAATGAAGAATCGATCATTTTGAAGAAAGAACATAGAAGAAAAGAAGAAAGAAAAAGAAAGAACCTCCACAAAGCCACATCCCATATACTCCGCCATAAGAGAGACGGAGCAGAAAAGAGCCATCGATTCCGAATAGGTAGTTGGTAGAGATTCACGAGATGGTAGAGAAGAGGAACAACAGAGAATAGAAGAGACCGGTCATCCACCACCATTAAAAGTTGTATTAACGGGAATAGGGGTGGAAGCCGCGATGTCCTTGGCCTCCTCGGCCACCGCCGCGGTAGTTTGCACCGGGCTTGCCGGCGTTTCGCGGTCCTGTGGGAGCATTGGCTGGAGCAGCGCTCTGGATCTGAGAAGCTCCTGCATCTAGAGTCCGTTAGTACAAAAAGAAAGGAGAAAAAAGTTCGGTGATGCATACCTTGCCCACCGGGATTGTTGGGTTGGGGCACTTCGTCGTACATGCCCTCCCACGAGGTTGGGCCACCCTGCTGGTAGGGGGAGAAAGCGCGGCCCTCCATATGGCGGCGAACCTGCTGTTGCTCGTACTTCTGCTGCTCAAAGGCGATCTGCTCCTGGGCGTTGTAACCGGGGCCACCAGGCTGGCGGTTGTATGCTGCATTGGGGCCGGGGCTGGCGCTTCCGTTACCACTAGCGGGTGCGGCTGCTTGTCCTTGGCCCTGGTTTTGCATCTGTTGCATCATGGCGGGGTTCATCATGTTGGGCATAGGGGACTGGGAGGATCCAGGGCTCTGAGGGTTGGGGTTGGGGCTCATGCTGCCCTGTGGCTGCTGGGGGTTGCCACCCATACCCTTCATCTGTTGCATCTGCTGCATCTGCTGGAGCATGGCCGGGTTCATACCACCCATACCCATGCCACCGGCCATTCCCTGGGGCTGGCCCTGGCCTGCCATAGCCATCTGTTGCTGCATCATGGCGAAGTATTGCTGCATGCGTTGCCAGTACTGTGCCATCATCTGCGGGGTCATTCCACCGGCCATGCCTTGCTGGCCACCCTGCTGGGGGGCACTTTCGCCTCCCTGGTTCATGTCTCGATAACCTCCTCCATCTCGGCCACCTCGACGACCTCCTCGGTCCTCGTCACGCAGATTGCCGCGGGGCTGGGCTTTCTTCACTTCGATGGGCTTGCCCAAGATTTCAAGGGGTCGGGAGAGGGCATTGTCTACAGCGGTCTCGCTGTCAAAGGTGACGAAGCCGAAGCCACGGGGACGGCCAGTATCCTTGTCAATCATCAGGGTCGCATCCACGACACGGCCAAATTGCATAAAGAATTGCTTGAAGTCCTGATCTGTCGCCTCTTGACTGACACCACCGACGAAGATCTTGCTGGTCTTTTCTTGCTCATCACGTGGGATGGCGCGCTTGGGGTCAATCTAGAAAATCTTGTAAGCGACTGATTTATGTATATGTTCCTGTCAGAATATCTTACAATCTTGCCATCCAGGTAATGCTCCTTCACCATGACAGTGTTCACAGTCTTAGGGTCACGGAAAGTCAGGAAGCCGAAGCCACGAGAGCGGCCTGTGGCGCTGTCCCGCATTACAGTGCACTCTTGGACCTCTCCAAACTGCGAAAAATAATCCCGAAGAGATTCTGTGGAAAGTTAGACATGATTATTTCATGTATTTTTTGTTGATGAACAAGATACATACGATCTGTAGTCTCCCAGTTCAAACCACCGATAAACATTTTCCTAGCCATCATGAATTAGTATCAACCGAAGTAATTAATCAGGTCAGTGGTATCAAGGCCACATATGAACACTCTGCACAAGTCAAAGCAAAGAATATTGGATATGGGCTCTGGCTAAAGAGCTGGGGGCGCCTCAGCTGCTATTCAAGAATACAGCTAAATGCGGAACTGGCTGGACCCATGGGTTTGAGTGGTTGTTGATGTGTTGGTATACGATGACCGCAGACACGCATAACCCATGTTTCCACCTGGTTTACACGAGCCTGGATATCGACCTCAAAAATTCCCTCCTCTTTCTGTTTTTGGGCTTCACGTTTTGGAGCGCAAAATAGAAGACTCGAAGGGCGAGAAATTCAGGCGAAATAAGTGAATTGTCACTGTCTCTCCTTTCTCCCTGGGAGAAGGTCTGTCTGTCTAACAGTCCCAAGCTAGCTCAGGGTTGATAAACTTCCATCAGACAGCGTTGCTACTTCTTGCTCTGCTCTATCAACGTATATCGACAAGAAGCTATATAGTATCCGCTGTACTATATATAGTCGCTGGCAATAAAGCTTGGTGGAGACCGATTTTTGTCAAAGTCTTGCAGATGCGCCCAGATTTCCTCAATTCAAGGGATCCCGGATCTGTTTCTTCCTCTTTCTGAGTTTACTTCTGTCTGATCCCTCGAGTTCACAAGGATGACGCGGAAAAGGCCGCAGAGACGAGAGCGGCAAAATATGGAGTTCTTCGCGAGATATTCATCTTCGCATGCTGAATCATGGGTTGTTTCCTTGTCCCGTGATGGTGATTGTACTCTCCACTCCTTTCTCGCAGGGCTTGCATCCAAGCCCAATAAGATCACACCCCAGGTCTCCAGAACCGCATTTGCGTGAATAGCAACAGGCGCCAACCAGGCACCTGAAAGTTATAGCCAGATACCCCAAAGCCAAGAAACTCGATATGGAATGAAATGAAAACAGGGGTAATATCCACTTACCCATCTTCCTTGATTCCCGTTCCGTGAGACTCATTCTCTGCGGGGGCGGGGGCTGAGGGGGTGGCGTAAGCGCTCTCAGAGCCATTCTGGTGGTAACCACCGCCATAGCTCTGCTGTGGTTGAGACTGTGTCGCGTATGTGTCTACTGGCGAAGGGTCATAGCTCTGTGGGGTTGACTCCATGGCAGGCTGTGCAGGGACTGCTGGTGTTGGTTCTGCGGGCTTGGGTGCCTCTACTGCAGAAGTCGTGCGGTTTGTCGATTCATCGGCGTCGTAGCTGAGAATCAAAAGACCGTCAGTTCCGTCTCAAAAAAAAAAATAAGGTTCGAAGAGCAGACTCCATACAGATCAGCGAAGAGATCATCTTCCAGTCCCTCTGGGTCGGCCATGGCGCAGAGAGGTCACGGGTATCAAATGAATTGCAGAGGTGGCAATGGGGAAAGCAATGGTACAATATCCAATCGCAGGATTAGAAGAAGAAGAAGCTCCACTGAAAAATGGTGACGAAGTGGTGGAGAAAAGAGAAATACTGAAGAAAGTTGAACCTTGGAAGGGAGGAAAGCGGAGGACGTGGCTTACATACGCACGGCCCGTTATGAAACTAAACGTCTCACTTAAACCTACGAGGCAAGACCTACACACCTCAGATCTTGGGTTTTCCTCCCTTCCTTTATTGGTATCATTGTATCAGATACATCCTTCCTTATCGGGCCCTTGAATGAAGCGCAATGCCTTACTGATTTGGTATAACGCTGTGGGAGGAGACAACAACGCTATCACTGGGCCGCCCCGCATTCAACTCTCCGCTACAGAGCGCGCGCACTGTTCATCACCTTTGTGGAAGCCATGACAAACAAGAAGGGGCAGCAGGTAAGTCTCCCAAACTCTAAAATCACGCGATAATATCAATGGGTGAAATACTTATAATCTTTGCGATAGGAAATGGTCCAGGTCGGTGCGTAGTTCCCCGCCGCAGCTTTCTTCAGGGTCCATAGCTAACATAGCTTCCCCGATGGTTAACAGACAACTCCGAGTATGTCCAAACCCCCCTTACTTCCTTTACTATCGCGAACATTTACTGACGGCCATTGAAGACGTGCAGATTCCCCTTTCTGGCCTGGCCGAACCGCATCCCTGAATCAGTCGTCCCCGAAGATCTATGGTCAGAACACTGTGGTTGGCGCTTCCTACTCCCACGCCAATATCTTACAGTCAGCCTCCCCATTTAATTCCTCGGAAGTCCCAATGGATCGGCACTGGAGTTATGCTGACATATCATGGATAGAGGCACATCATCCCACTCTCGCCCCAGGACGCCCCCCAAACCCTCCGCCACCAATGCGCCCTCGAATTTGGCTCACCGACCTGGAAACGTCGCCTCCTCTCCAAAAGAACCATATGCCATCATGACTGACGGAGTAGACGAATGGAGTCGAGATCCAACTGAAGAAGGTGACGATGACGATGATGATGATGAAATTGTATATGATGACGATGAAGATGAATTTGGGCTTCCTAGTCTTGCGAGTATGAGAAGGAAGAAGACGCCTTACATGAAAACCAAGAAATTTGATTCCGGGGGAGTTATGGGAGGCAAACCTGGCTCCCTTGGCTTCGGACTTTCCGCCAACAATCGTCAACGAGCAAACAGCTCGGACATCGCTGAAGAACGCGGCACTCCCATGTATCCAACGGCGCGCAAGGGCGATGAGAAAATCCTTCGCCCACAGTACAAGGATATTTTGCAAGGTTTGAAAAATTGTCCCCGATCATGAGCAAAGTATACTAACTTGAGAGCCAGATCCTGCAAATGCTTTGAATCTCATCAGTCATACCGCACCGCCCGCCAATGCCTCTCCCAAAGAGAGGGAGATTCATTCAAGCCGTATCTCCCGAATCAATAAGTTCAAACGCATCCTTCAAGCTAGCACCGTTTCTCTTACTGAACTCCGAGATTTGGCATGGTCTGGAGTGCCCGAAGAGGTTCGGCCGATGACGTGGCAACTTGTGCTTGGTTATCTACCCCCAAATAGTGAACGACGTATCTCGACCCTGGAGAGAAAACGCAAAGAATACCTGGATGGGGTTCGACAGGCCTTTGAACGGGGCAGTGGCGCCACCTCCAATCCCCCCGCCTCAAGCACCGGACGAGGTAGGGGACTGGATGAGGCGGTCTGGCACCAGATCAGTATCGATGTCCCGCGTACGAGTCCTCACATTCCACTCTATGGGTACGAAGCGACACAGAGATCCTTGGAACGTATCCTATATGTCTGGGCGATTCGACACCCGGCCAGTGGTTATGTACAGGGCATCAACGACTTGGTGACACCTTTTTTCCAGGTCTTCCTAGGAGTATACATTACGGATCTTAACGTCGAAGAGGGCATGGATCCTGGCCAATTACCCCGGAGTGTGCTAGATGCTGTGGAGGCCGATACGTTCTGGTGTCTGACAAAACTTCTGGACGGGATTCAAGATAACTATATCTATGCTCAGCCAGGTATCCACAGACAAGTTCGAGCGCTGCGGGACCTGACAAAGCGGATAGATTCGGCCCTTGCCAAACATCTTGAGCAAGAGGGTGTGGAATTTATGCAATTTAGTTTCCGATGGATGAACTGTTTGCTCATGCGGGAAATGAGCATCAAGAACACGATACGCATGTGGGATACGTATATGGTACGTCGCTTGAGTATTCGTTATCTCTTCACGATTCTGACGAACATTTTAGGCCGAGGAGCAGGGCTTCTCACGATTTCATCTTTATGTCTGTGCCGCATTCTTAGTCAAATGGACGGACCAATTGGTGAAGATGGACTTTCAGGTATGTTTTGTAGTTTTACAATTGATGGGATTAGGGATGACTCTAATTATCTTATAGGAGGTTATGATGTTCCTTCAAGCTCTGCCCACAAAAGGCTGGACTGAGAAAGATATCGAGCTTTTATTGAGCGAGGCATTCATCTGGCAGAGCCTTTTCCAGGATTCTGCCGCTCATCTTCGGCCTTCTGGTGATGCGCCTTCTGAAAATGGTATCTTTTATTGATAGTAATCATAATTCATCATTCTATTCGGGACTGCCCCAAGGGAGACTTAGTCCTGATTAGTTGAAGTGGATTCCCTTCTGGTTGAAGGCCCACAGCATTTTCAAAAATTCGTTCTCATCACACATTCTTGCGCGCTTGTCCGCCAGACCAGTGTCATCCTCCAGAACCTGGCGCACCTTCTCGCGCACCAACTCCGAAACCTTTCCTCGCTTCTTCCGCGAGGCCTTGCTCTTGAGTGCTTGTTGGAGACGAGCGTTAGTTTCCTCTTTGAAGAAATCCGGCACATCGTCGTCATCGTCCATTTCCATGACCTCCTCCGCTTCCTCCACATCTGCCCCCTCTTCTTCACCCATATCCATTGTATCGCCGTCGGCATCCTCGGCGGGACCATCCTCCACCGGGATATCATTCTGAGCACACCAGGTCCGGTAGTTCGCTTCCAGCATGTTTACGATGCTAGTAGTTCCCAGGAAACTGGCGCGCAATGTCTTGTTCTTTCGGACGAATGCAATGCGCAACATTCCATCCCACTCCTCATAGTTGACCTGTGGCCGCGGAACCTTGGGGACCATACGAATGACGCTGGACTCGACCAGTGGCGGGGGTTTGAAGTTGTTCTTTCCAACCTTCATAATGTGATCGATCTTGGCCCACATTTGTGCGTTTACGGAAAGTCGACTGTAGAGCTTGTCGCCAGGCTTGGCGAACAGACGCAGAGCGAATTCACGCTGGAACCTAAACTCAGGAAGAGTACATTAGCATATAGTAATGAAAGAACAGTCTGATTGGCAAAGAATGATTGCCACAGCAATAAAACATACATGAGAATGCAAACACGAGGAGCCGGCAGTGTAGCCAAAAGCTTGAATGTAAGAGGGGAAGAAATCTTTACAAACAGTCAGCCATGTGCCATAAATACTTGGGTGCGAAAGTGTATATACCTGGTAGGGTGTGTTGCTGATGCAGACATCAAAGTATGGAAGCTCGGTCTTCATGACATCTCCAAGAATCACATCCAGACGCTTCTGCGCCGGAGTGCCCTGAAAACGCTTGGTAACTTCGGCCGCCATGCGAGGATCTAATTCCACTGCAATAACCTTCTTGGCATGGTCTAAAATCTTCGTGGTCAAGTTTCCAGTACCGGGACCGATTTCAAGAACAACATCGCTCTGCTTGAGCTCGGCTTTGAGGACGATCCTAGAGAGGAAGACATTCGGTCAGCGCAGATTAATACGACTTCATATCGATTTCACTTACTGCTCAGCAATACCCGGGTTTTTCAACACGTGCTGACCGATATCTGTGTTCATCTTGAAGATACTGTGGGCCGCCGAGGTCTTTGCAGCTGCGTCGCTTTGCGCATTGTTGCGCTTCTTTGGTTTGATAGCCTTCGGCATTTTGTGATAATGGCAGATCTATGCTGCCTGTGAATTGTTTCTGGTTTGGATTGTATTCAAATCTCCAAACGCGAGACTTAGTACTTTTGGGGGAACTCAACAAGGTGGGCAACTTTTTTCTTTGCGATAAGATTATCGGGATCGGATCTACTTTTCTACGGAACCCGCTCTACTGCTCTTTAGTCTCAAACACACCTCAAGCTTGCTGTGTCCATTATGGCGTCCGGACGCAAAGATTTTCTTAGCCAGCAGGCACCGGAGAACTATGTCGCCGGTCTGGGTCGTGGTGCGACAGGTTTCACCACGCGCTCTGACTTAGGACCTGCGCGCGAAGGCCCGACACCCGAACAGATCCAGGCTGCTCTGACGAAACGAGCTCAGCTTTTAGGAGCTGCTGCACCCACTGCATATGGCAATCAATCACGCGAAAAGGGAGGAAAGGATGACAAAGAAGAGGAGGAAGATGAACGTTTCCAGGATCCCGAAAACGATACCGGTCTGTTTGCCTACGGACAATTTGACCAGGAAGACGACGAGGCAGATCGCATCTATCAAGAAGTAGATGAGAAAATGGACAGACGTCGGAGAATTCGAAGGTTAGTTGCATTCCCCATGCCCTTTTTACAAGAAACATCTTGTTCATCGGGCCAAGCCCCGGTTGTTTGGATAGATTACCGACTTGAATCGTTCGCCACCTACAGGGAAGCTCGAGAGCAACAAGAACGCGAAGACTACGAACGAAAGAACCCTAAAATTCAGCAACAGTTTGCCGACCTGAAGCGATCGCTTGCTGCAGTTTCCGAAGAGGACTGGTCCAATCTGCCCGAGGTTGGTGATCTGACGGGCAAGAACCGACGAGCCAAACAGAACCTACGACAGCGGTTCTACGCCGTTCCTGATAGTGTCATCGCAGGCGCTCGGGACTCAGCGCAATTCGATACGACGATTGCCGAAGACGGCGCGCAACCCGGCACTGAGGACAGCGGGGACGGGACTATGACGAATTTCGCAGACATCGGCGCTGCGCGTGATAAGGTCTTGAAAGTGAGACTGGATCAGGCTGCACTTGGATCTACCGCCGAAAGTTCTGGAAGTGCGACCAGTATCGACCCCAAGGGCTATCTTACCAGCCTGACTCAGTCAGAAATGAAATCTGGAGAGCTTGAGGTTGGCGATATCAAGCGAGTGCGTGTACTACTGGAATCTGTCACCAAGACGAATCCCAAGCATGCCCCTGGATGGATTGCGCTTGCGCGTCTCGAGGAGCTTGCAGGCCGGATTGTTGCGGCCAGGAATATTATCGCAAAGGGTTGTGAGCTTTGTCCGAAGAGCGAAGACGCTTGGCTGGAAAACATTCGAATCAATGAAGGACACAATGCCAAGGTCATTGCAGCAAACGCCATTAAGAACAACGACCATTCTACTAAGTTGTGGACTGAGGCCATGAAACTTGAAACAGATACCCGGGCCAAGAAGAATGTGCTGAGACAAGCTATTCTTCACATTCCCCAGTCAGTTCAGATCTGGAAAGAGGCTGTCAACCTGGAGGAAGATCCTGCGGATGCACGGCTTCTTTTAGCCAAGGCCGTGGAAATGATTCCGCTGTCAGTGGAGTTATGGCTGGCTCTTGCTCGACTCGAGACGCCAGAAAATGCGCAGAAGGTTTTGAATGCGGCTCGTAAGGCTGTTCCCACAAGTCACGAGATTTGGATTGCAGCAGCTCGTCTTCAAGAACAAATGGGCACTTTCGAGAAGGTCAATGTTATGAAGCGTGCCATTCAATCTCTTGCTCGCGAGAACGCAATGTTGAAGCGAGAGGAATGGATCGCAGAGGCTGAGCGCTGTGAAGAAGAAGGTGCCATCCTTACCTGTGGCGCCATTATCCTCGAGACTCTTGGATGGGGTCTGGACGAAGATGATGACCGAAAGGACATCTGGATGGACGATGCGAAGTCTAGCATTGCGCGCGGCAAGTATGAAACAGCGCGGGCTATTTACGCATATGCATTGCGAGTGTTTATCAACCGCCGATCAATTTGGATTGCGGCGGCTGATCTGGAACGCAATCACGGTGATAAAGAGGCTCTCTGGCAGGTCCTCGAGAAAGCTGTCGAGGCGTGCCCCCAGAGCGAAGAACTCTGGTTGCAGCTTGCTAAAGAAAAGTGGCAGTCTGGAGAGATCGATGATGCGCGCCGAGTACTCGGCCGTGCCTTCAACCAGAATCCCAACAATGAAGACATTTGGCTTGCGGCTGTCAAGCTCGAAGCAGATGCCAAGCAAACCGACCAAGCAAGAGAATTACTGGCCACTGCTCGCCGCGAGGCCGGCACAGATCGCGTGTGGATCAAGAGTGTTGCTTTCGAGCGGCAATTAGGCAACATCGACGATGCCCTGGATCTCGTCAACCAAGGCTTGCAGCTCTACCCCAAGGCCGATAAGCTCTGGATGATGAAAGGCCAGATCTACGAGGTTCAAAACAAGTTCCCACAAGCCCGAGAAGCATATGGTACAGGTACCCGTGCTTGCTCTAAGTCTGTGGCGCTGTGGCTTCTAGCCTCGCGACTAGAGGAAAAGGCCGGCGCCGTTGTCCGTGCTCGATCTGTTCTGGATCGCGCTCGCTTAGCCGTGCCCAAGAGTGCCGAACTCTGGACAGAAAGTGTTCGCGTGGAACGACGTGCAAACAATATTGGTCAGGCCAAGGTTCTCATGGCGAAGGCGCTGCAAGAGGTCCCGGCTTCTGGCCTGCTCTGGAGCGAGAGTATCTGGCATCTTGAGCCCCGTGCTCAACGCAAGGCTCGCAGTTTGGAGGCTATTAAGAAGGTGGATAATGACCCGATCTTGTTTATCACTGTGGCACGCATTTTCTGGGGTGAGCGACGACTGGAGAAGGCGATGACCTGGTTCGAAAAGGCCATTGTCTCTGATAGTGACTATGGTGATGGTTGGGCTTGGTACTACAAGTTCTTGATGCAGCACGGTACAGAGGTTAGTTCAAGGCTGGCATTATCCTATGATTTATCATTAACTAATCTATCCTCATTACAGGAAAAACGATCCGACGTCGTTTCCAAATGTGTCTCGACCGAACCCAAACACGGCGAGGTGTGGCAGTCGATTTCCAAAGACCCAGCTAATGCGCACACGCCAACGGACGAGATATTAAAAATCGTTGCTAATACGATCAATTGAACCTGCGTTTATGATGTACCACCATGCGGCGTTTCTGGAACACACCTAGGGAGAAATGCATATTTCAATCGTGAATCAAATTCATATTTGGGTATAGAACAAGCTTGACTTCCCCCACAGTAGAGGCCATCGCCATCATGTCTGCTTTTTATACTATAATGAAATAATCCCCTCCTGCCCGATTGCGTCCACCTTACTCGTAGAAAAGGCTACTATACATCGCAAGTTCGGCACCGCCCGCAGGGGGTGAAGAACGAAAAGAAACGCAAAAGAACGAAATAGTCGAGGCTGGCGTCACGACAAATCTTCAAATAACTCCGGAACCATATGCAAATAAAAAGGGGAGCCACACGGTGGCTCACGGTAATTCCCAGACGCCATGATCCTCCCACCACCCAAGACCGAGAATCGACAAGAAAAGAAGGAAAGCAGCATGGTATCAAACCTAGAAGGATAAGAACTAACGTAGGTGGGTCGGGGGTATCATCTTCATGCAGCCATAGACAAGCACTCGTCGAGTAAAGAGCCTAATTGGCCTCTATCCGCGGCAGTGCCTCCTTCCCAGTCCGATAGCGCATCGTCATCATCAATGTCCATTTCATCCTCATCGGCAGTCTTCACCTCAATGACCTGACCCACCCCATTCTCCACTCGATCTTGCTTCTCAGTCTCAAGCTCATCTTCAAAGTACCCACCCTTGATCTGGTCAATGATCAGCGGCATATGACCAAGAACCCCACTGCTGAGCTCAAGTGTAAGTCGCAGATCTCTAACTCCAAGAGGTCGGCGAAGGGCAGCTTCTCGAGCCTCAACTGGAAGCAATCCGGTAGCAGTATCCTTGGCTATTTCGCCGCGGGTGAAAGCCAGCTCTTCCCATTCCAGTTGTTGCCGGTACTTGCGCATCATCATGCCATTACTTGTACCAGACGGACCGTTCGACCGCGTGCGTGCGAAGACGGAAGATAGGACTTCTTTCACAAATGTTTCTGTTGCAATTGCCATGAACTCGGCACATGGAAGGCCGGCGCCGCCGGGAAGGGACTCTTCGTAGCACATGGGGACCATGCGGGCATAGATAGATTCCGCGTCGGGGAACTCGCCAGTCTCGGCGGCAAGTGGTTGCGCATATCGTTTTCGGATTTCTAATTCCCAATCTGCAAAGGTTGAACATACCGGTTAGATCACCCTGATTATAGTAGGAAAGTGGGCAATGCGACAACGCATATTGATCTGGAGCTGTGAGTGGAATGGCCTCTTACTGGTCTTATTTAATCCACCGGCACTTGCTGGGACCTGACTTGGGAGCTTGATTTGTTTCGCAAGGTGGTATTCCTCTAGTTCACTGGGTTTCACTTCGTTGGGGTCGCGCTGAAATTTGGCCCATTAGTATCATCCTCGGCATAGAACTATCCATCTCCCGAGGAGTCATTTTTTGTAACATACCTCTGGAATTGCCTTGATACGTCGTCGGTCTCTTGGTGGCAGCTGCATCACCTCCGTCTTGAGTCTCTGCTCCGCAGCATCGCCCGAGATCGGCTTCGACACCATTGACGGCTTATCATTGGCCGAAACCCAGTTCGCGACGCCATGATCGGGGAGGTCTCGCGTGAGATTTCCGAGAATCGCGCAGACGAAATTATTATGTAGATGTTCGATTTTCGAATCGGCGCAAAGGATATAGTCGACTCGCGACGCGTATTCACTTTGGTTGTAGTGACCTAGAAGGCAGGAGCCAAGGAGGTTAACACAGGCGGCTCAATTCAGGGCCAGGGAGTTAGAGATTTATCTCCAATAGAACATGTATGCACCGGAGCTAGAGAATCGTATGCGCAGGGATTGTCATACCTAGTAAGAACAGGGCGGTGGATTCCTTGTACTCGGCCCACTGGTCCCCGATGGCGGCTTTTAGATCCGTGTAGGCATGCTCCAGGTCGAGGCGCGGAACGGAGTTTAGGGCCCTAGAGGATTTCACTGTTGCTGCAGCATTTGGTGTCGCACTCTTTGCTGGATTTGACGCCGAGTCAGACCGACTCAGAGCGGCCGGGTCGATCTGCATGGCTGGAGGACTCGCAGGAGTGCGACGAGGCGAGGCCGAAGGGCGGCAAGTAGGGAGAGGGACTACGCATTCATCAGACTCGGGCTGAGAATGAGAAGAGAAGGAAGTTGATGATGAGTTGGGATGGAGATGATGGATGATGAGGATGGAAGGGTTGAAGGTGTAGGTTTCCGCCTTGTCTCTCCCCGCCAGAATCGGATACCACCTTCAGTCCCGAAACCAGCGATGATTTTATACTAGATCAAAGAATCAAAGAACCGTCATTCACGAGACAATGCCTTCATTCAATAATATACTGCTGGATTTTTTACACTAGCTGTACTACATCTTCACTTAAGACTCCGAATAACTGCCCGATATCCGCGATGATCTCCATGATCTCCTTCGACAACTGGCCAGTCACCAAGACTTGAGGTTCTAGTCAGCAATGGAGCTTATCTCAATAAATTAAACTTGGATCAGATACTTACTGTATGCATACAGCAGAGCACAATCTTCGTCTGTGGTCAGTTGAGAAACCTCATGATCTTGGCGGTAGCGATAGATGCGAGCCAGCAGTCGGTCGCGTGCATGGTCGATACTAGGTAGAACATCGCTCAACGGGTATTCGAGCTTCATGGAAGACGCCATCACTAGGACAGATTCAAATGTTAGCCCCAAGACACAAAGGTTGGCTTTCAAAAACAGAAAACATGAAACAAGCCTTACCTGTTAGGAGGTGACTGATGCGAGCAGAGAGCTGCTGCCGCTCAACAGCTGTATACTGAAGAAGGCAGATCTCCCCCGCCGTGGCAGTGTCACTCTTCATCAGCTCCAGGTTCATGGCATGGAATGCATTCACCATGTTGCGAGTGCGCCGAATAATACTGGCATACGGGACATCATCAAATGCACACCTCAGCTCATACTCGGAGCGTGCGGCAGCCAGAAGGGATTCAAGCCGAGTGAGATATCGCTCAAGCTCAAGTCTCTCCCGTGCAGTCATATACACCATGGACCGGCCATTCCTGGCCATGGCCGACAGCGGGTCACGCTTCCACACAAGACCCAGCCTCAACCAGAGAATACTAAGGCCATCCTTCAACCGGGTTCTCGCACGGATGGGCCAAATAAAGCGGGTAATGATGATACCCCAAATGCAGCCAGACAACACTGCCACGACTCGGTGAAGGGCAATCTCAGGAATGATTGGGTTCTGGCCTCCTTCGTCGTCGCGGCCATCCGCATCCTTCTGTGAAAGCGAGTATGCATAAAGTACAGACAGGTTATAGGTCAACATTATAAACCGTCCCATGGGCCCATTGCCTCGAACGATGGTGATCCAGGCTGTCCAGGTGGCCATTAACCACCCGAGAAATGCAAGGCCAAAGACATTGCCACCGGTGGAATACCAGGCCAGCATGGCACACAAGGCTCCAAGACAAGTACCGAGAAAACGAGCATAGCCTGTCGTATTGGAAGCACCAATTGTCATGGAACAAACCAGCATGTACGACAGCAAACCCCATTCTCCTCTCCAGTGCTGGTAGAATGGCCGAGCAGAAGGAAGAAAGGCAGGCAAAGCGTAAAGAGCAGCACCTGCACCAACCTTGATCGCATATTTGGTGTCATCCCTTCGGAAGATTCCGAGTGACTTCCAAAGCCGGTAGCCCATTCTCTCCTTCACAGTGCTTTCTCTGCTTGGTCGTATACGAGCCCTCAATGCGGCCGTTAATCTATCCTCTGAGCCCATACTGCGTGAGAGCTGCAGGTGTCGGTAACTCTCTGCACCACTAGATAGTTCTGGAAAGATGCGTTAGTGTTCAAATTCACAGAGGCAGAAGATGAAGTACTCAAATACACACCTGAATCCGCGCTTTTGTTGTCTGTACGCCAGAACTTCATCCAAGACCAAGATCTACCATTGGGTCTTTCTTCGGTTTCTAACTGCAGCTCGTCTAGGATAGCTAACAGCTCGTGGAGCTGCTCTCCAAACTCCAGAAGCGAGAAACTAAAATGACCGCAGCTAGCTGATACTTCTTCCAAGTCCGCCTCGGCTTCGGGGCTCCTCATCTTCATCGCTTCTGTTTGTTCGTAGAGCGACTTGAGTGTCTTTCGTCGTGACTCCCGGTAGAGATCAAGAGCACGATCTAGACTGGTATGAAGCCGATTATCCACCGAGACCTTGTAGTTTGGAGCTGGGCCAAATGGGATCTCGTTGAAGATTTCTTTCATGGTGAACGTCAATGACCGCTGTTTCAAATGGTTAGCGATAATCAGGTCGTGTTTCCTAGTTCGTAAAGGCTTACCATAGAAGGGCCAAGGTGGGATATAAAGATAGTAAACACGTCCGCAGGAAGAAGAGATGCATCCTTGTCTTGCTGTGCTGCAGCGTTATAGCTTCCACCTGGCGATAATTCCGCCTCGGGACGTTCATCTATCGGTTCCAGGAAAGAGCCATCGGGAAAAGACCATGAGCGCTCAAGAGATGCAACATAGTCGGCATAAGGAGTAGGGAGTCCGCTTGAGCCAGATTCCCGAGAAATTGTTTCCCGAATCAGACTAAACTGGAGCTCTGCGGCACTGCGCAATCCTCCCATGTTATGGGTGATGTCCTGCACCCAGCGAACAAGCTTCTTCTCAAGTCGATATTCCTTTTCGGTGCCTCCGAAGAAATGCTCTAGTTTGGCTTCTCGGATTAATTTATCCAGTTGGGAGTAGGCCTTGCGATGCTTTGCTTCCGCATCAACGAATTCTGCCACTGTCAATTCTTCTTCGGATCCGCTTAAGAAAGCATCTGTCATGATAGCTAGCATGGTCGCCAGGGTGTCCGTGGCTATGACCAGATTGGATCGAAGCTTCTTTCGTGCTGAGATGGGGACTATCAAAAAAGATACCGCCATAGCCACGACAACACCCATGATGACCATCTTCAGAACCTGTGAGATCTTCTCCAGGGAGAGGTCACCACTCTGCACGGCGCCTTCTTTGGTCAAAACAGTGATGGTTGACAGTGCCGTAAGCGAGCAGGCGACATTTACCAATGGATCACCGAGTCGCTGTTTAGTCCACCCGACAAACCCGAGTCCTCCACCGACGAAAACAACCAGGACCAAGGCATGGCCAAGCACCGGTAAATCCAGTGTATCCTGAAAGAGGTTTTCAAGCAGCATACTCGTGATTGAAATGAAGGCGGAGTAACAAAACGCAAGCAGTGCGCAGATTAAGGCCCGGTACATGCTTCCTATGGTTCTCGCCGGGTGGAAATATACTGTCACAGTAGCCACCATATGCTTTCCATCCTGATGGCCAAGGTACGTAGAAATGATCGGAATGAAAGTCGCCATCGAGCCGATCAAATATGCCAGACCGCATTTTAGTATGCCAATGCCTTGCTCGGAGATAATGAACTCATAAAGTCCCGCCCACAGCTCTCGTGCCCGCGCGGAGATCCGTGTAGCGAATCCATCATGATGTGTCTCAATTTCGCCAGAGAGTAATCCGCGCAGCTCCTCATGATTATTTTCGTCGGGCACTGTTGGTCTCTCGGTGGGATTGCGCAGGTTCACGAGGCCTTTGAGGCGCTGACCGGTTCTTGGGAGGACAAAGGTTGCCTGGCGCAGCTACACAAGCTGTCAGCTGCGGTTCTGGTTCGATTTGTGGGAATTCTGCCTGTGGACAAGGTACCTTGGGCCGCAAGAAGCGGCGGGAGCTACTGGGAGCTCCAGATGGTGACATATTAAGCTTCGCCTTGCGCTCCGACTCGGCGCGACTTACTTCACGGTGAAGATCCCCATGGAATCAATAAATGCCGCTGTCGCTTCTTTAAATCGACGAAGTTGTACAGGTTTTTTTGTGGGGGAAAAGCTGAGTTGGCAGACGCACGGATTTGTTTGGTTAATCAATGCGGGTTACGGCCACGTCCTTCTTGCTGGGCCAACGCACCTCTACAAAACTCCGCAAAAAGAATGAGAAGTGGGTATTCCCTAGTAATGCAAGGTTTGGCCTAGTATAAGTGTACGTCTGGGTTTATGGCCCTTCAATAACTCTCCCCCAAGTTCACTTGGGACTTGGCGATGGCTTAGTTCCAGTTCAAAGACGTTAAGATCATATCATCCAGGGCCTTGCATCTCCAGCATACATAAGGCAGTTTCTCATGTCTAAACCGCCGTCTCTCAATATTTCGGTAGCCCGTTGCACTTCCCTTTTGATTCGCTCTTCAGATCCCTCAAGAGGCTACAAGAGGTTACCTGATGCTTGGAAAAAGTCTTCAACTTAGGAATTTGAAGGTGGGGATGACACGACAGATATCATTCTTGGCTACCTACCGGTGTGGATAGAATGCATGGGTACTCGTGATGCTAGTAGCCTTGAAATATGGCTATGAATACCTGCACACTCTATAGACTCCTAAATATTTGACAAGGAACACATGAATTTCACTCAATTCGTCTATAGCAAACGCTCAACATCCTGCTATTCATTTCAGTCCCTCAACTTTCCAGACCTTCACCGCGGCATCAGCACCAGCCGAGGCGATCTTCGAGCTTCCCTCGACCCAGGTCACGCCGTTGACACCCTCCTTATGAGCGTTCTTCAGCTCAATCCAGTCACCCTGGTTGGCCAAGCTCCACACAAAGATATTGGTGTCCAACGAGCCACTGACCAGATGCGATCCAGCCTGGTTCCAGGCAAGTGATGTGATCCGAGCGGTGTGTGCGGTCCACCGGTCAGTGACTAGGCTGCCATCTGCAACCTTGTAGACCAGAACGCGGCCTCGCAGGTCTCCCACTGCGAGAAGCGAGGCATCAGGGGAGAATGCAAGAATGGAGATTTGGTTGCGGGAGGCCTTGATATCAGTCTGGCCTGAGAGGCTAGAATTCGAGACCTTGCAGATCTCGACAGATCCATCTTCGCCTCCAACGGCAGCAACAGCTCCATGAGCGGCCACGGTAGTGACAGGAAACTTAGGTTTGTATTCGCCGGACTTCTTGCCATCTTGGAAGATCTCAACAGCCTCTGCGGTACCAACCAAGACAGTGGAATCGCCAGCGGCGACACCCTTCGGCTGTCCAGTCAGCTTGGAGGCGCTACCAGTGTAGGTCTTCGCGGCAACATCGATGGAGCGAATGGTGTCGTCCCAGCCGACACTGTAGATTCGCCCAGAGCCCTCTGGTGTGGGAGTGAGACCAGCAACGTAGCCGGGGTGGCTTTCACCCTCAATCTCTGCCGCTGTGCCCGAAGACACGTCCCAGCTGCAGACCCGTCCATCGAAGCTGCCGGTCCACAGAGTCTCCTTGTTATCCAAGGTCGTCTGGTTCAGGGATGTGATACTCTTCTGGTGGCCTGAGATCACCTGTCGGAGCTCAGGAGTTCCCTCGACCAAGTAATTCAAGTCTCCACTGAGAGACAAACTGATAAGCAGGTTGTCGCTTCGTCCAGGAGGCCAGACAACGCCAACTTGCTGGTCACGAACAGCCATTGCGCCCTCCTCTCCAAGAGTCCAGCTCTGGGTAGACTTGCCCGCTTCCACATCCCAGATCTTGACCGTCCGATCAGCACTGGCAGTGACGAACTTCCGGGAATCCTTGCTCCAAGAGAGACCAAAAATACTACCCTTGTGCTCTCCCTCGCCAATCTGGCCCTTGGTCTCCCCAGTCTTGCCATCGTACAGCCAGATCTTGCGGTCTCCGCCCACAGTGGCCAAGTTCGAGCCATCAGGGCTGAAGCCGACCCCATAGATGTAATTGGAGTGCTTATCTCCAACTCCCATATTAAACTTGAAGGGCGCTCCATGATAGAAGACCAGCTTTTTGTCATCACCTGCAGCCGCTGCACGCAGAGGCCTCTGCTGCCTGATTGAGACGGAGTTGATCTGTTGCGTGTGACCATAGATTTCTCCGACGGTATTTCCACTATCCCAGGTAATAAAGTGGCCGTATCGCTGCTTGCCGTCACCTACGGCGGCGATCCGCTGCGAATCACCATCCCAGGCCAGATCGTTGATTCGACCACTGACGATGTTGTACTCGCCCTTAGTGATACCGTCTCCAACGCAATCCCATACTCTCACTGTGCCGGAGGCATCACCACTTGCAACATAGAATCCAGAGGGAGAGAACCGAGCGACGGTGGTCTGGGCCTTGTGTTCTGTGTATTGACGGGCTACTGCGGGGTCGTCGATCGATCGCAGAAAGATGGATTTATTGGACTGCAATCGTTTCGGTCAGGTGCTATACAAGGAAGGAGGGATTTTGAGTGTAGGACCGTACAGCATAGGCTAGTCGCTCACCCTTGGGGTCTGAGGAGAGCTGGGTGGGTTGCCCACGAGTGGTGGAGGGGCTAGGAGCCCAGATGGACTCTTTAAAAGTGTCAGTTGCATAAATGGAGTAATTTCAAACAAAGAGAGCTAACCGTTTGTAATTGACATTGAGGGTATACCGGAATGTATGGGGGAGGGGAAGTGTTTCAGGAAAGTTGGAGGGGAGATTGTTTATGGACTGACGTACTCGGCCCAGCTTTGGCGGGGGCTTAACTCTATTCAGCAACATCCACATTGCCGCATTGCAGGCTACTTACCCCAAAAGTATGTCAATTTGATGATCAAGTTCGGAAATGAAAAATCCTTTGTAGTCAAGAAATTGATTTCGATCGCGCTAGAACTAATAATACATGAGAATGTGGCTCCTTGCCAGGCCTCGTTGATCTGTACAGTGGTATAATGCCATGATTGGTCTCAGATATGAATCTCCCCCAAAATGAACATATCCTAGTAAAAAGAGCTCATCTTTGATCTGGCCTCTGATGCCAGGATTTCAGGGTGTCGGTGGACAGAGGGCAAAAGACCAAGTCCCATAGCCCTCCGAATGGCCTTTGCGATCTTCCGCTGGTTGACAGGGCGCAAACCAGTCTGGTTTCGGTGCTTGATACGACCCAGAGGCGACACGTATTCGGACATGATGGCGAAGTTCTATTAAGGTAAAGGACGTCAGTAACCAAGCAAGCAAGCAAAGCACAGCAGTGCTGGCTATTGAGATCAAGTATACGTACCTTGTGCAGGTCCAATGGATTCAGGTTCAAGGCGTCAAAGGCATCGAATGAAGGAGCCTTGCGCTTAGACCATTTCTTCATCTCTGCCGGGCTAAGATCATGAGGAGCATAGATATCACCGGCCTTCCACTCGCGAGACTGGAATTTCTCCATAGCCTTGCTCTCGCCCTGGGACTTTTGGTCTTCGAGGAAACGCTTGCGGTAGTTGGGGTGCATGCGTTGGTTTGAGTTTGATTCTGGCATCAACTGGTTAGCAAAAGACTTGAAACAATTGCAAGCCTCAAAAACCGGAGGAGCCGCATACTGAATGTTGACGGGGATCGCTGGGAAGTGAAGGCGCTCATGGCGGCGGTCGAACTCCAGCGACATGCTGAAGGCACTGTAGTAGTAGCGCTGCGAAGCGATGAGAATAGATTCAACGACATGGCGAAAAGATCTCGATTAAGGTGGTATTGGGATCGTGAAGTCAGGTCGGGAAAGAAGAGATCAACGCGGAGCGTTTTTTCGCAAGTAGCGCCAAGACCGCCTTCCCGCCTAAGACCAGCTTTCTCCGCGTGTCGCGAACTTTTTGATCTGAGTTCACCCCCAACCATTAGTGTACCAACCTTTCCCTTCGATTTTGACCAGGTCAGTCCAATTGGAGTTGGAGGACTTGTTCATCTCAACCATGCAGTCTCATCTCTCGAAACGGGTCTTCCGGGCCATCATCAACAACGAGCCGCTACACTTTTCTCGATGTCGCCGAAACCAACTGCTGCATACCATTTCCCCCGCCCGAGTACGGCCTTGCATCTACAGCCTTGCCTATGTCCCGCGGCGAACTCTTTTGCATTCAGCGTGAACCCGGCGAATACCGGCGAGGATCAACCAGCGACGTTGCCAACGGAGAAGGGTCTGAAGCCCATGACCGACTTGAAGCGGTCACTAGGGGACAAGAGCAGAGCACCTCCGAATCACACACTGGTGAAGGCTTTTCAGCTGTTCTTCACGTCACGCGTTGAAACCCCAGGTGTCATCAATCTATTCCAGGCCCGCTTGCTGTCCATGACATGGAAGCACCTAAAAGCTCAACAGAGCGAGCTCGAGGAGAGCGAATGGCAGGATGTTTTCTCAGTGGAGAACCTGGAGAGAATGCTATTTGTGCTCTCTGAGGCGCAGTGCCTTCCCGAGGCACGCGACACCATCCTTAAGATAGCACGATTTGCCTATCTCGAGCTCTGTGCTGACCATGGTTTTGGTCCGAACTCCATTAGTCGGCCCGCACTTTTAATCTACATTAACTTGATGGCCTCGAATGGCAATCCTGAAGAAGCCCGTCATGTCATCATGAAGTTTGGAGGTCAATTTCGCGGAGCAAAGCCATCGCCCTGGCTCAGTGTTCTGAAGGGCTTTGCTTTAAAGGATGACCGACGCCAGCTGCGAAAAGTCAGCCAAGAACTGGAGAAATATGGTGTCAAATTTGATCAAGCGTCACACGAAGAACTTACCAAGCTTTTGATTGAACAAGACCTCCCCACGGCAGTTCAAACGGTATATGAGTGTCCGATCTCTGGAAATTTGGAACCTTCTGTTGCCGCGAAGAGTGCTGTCATTCAATATGCGATTCTCAACGATGAGATTGCCTGGGCCAAGCCCATTTACGAGTCTCTTCCTCGGGAACCCAGCCCGGAGACCGTCGGCACCACTCTTCTTTGGGATGCAGCCCAGGGCAGTAGTATGTCGTCACTTGCAGAGAAAGTCAAGTCCTGGACCGGGGCAAACTCACTAAAGGAGGCCCTTACTATTGCCCATGTAAACAGTCTTATCCAATATGCAAACTCCGTGTCAAGCCCCCAGCTGGCTACCGATTATGCTAGATTGGCGGAGCACTGGGGTCTCATCCCTGATGAAAAGACACATCTGCTGCAGTTGGAGTCGTTCATACAGGCTGGCAATGTGGAACAGGCACTTGCAATTTTGGAGGATGAGATTGATCCCAGCATCCTAGCCAGTGACCATTTACCCCTGGCTAACAGACTCATCACAATGCTTTGCTTGTCGGAACAGAAAGACGAGTTATTTCAACAAATCTCATCCCTCCTTGACCCACTTTTCCAGGAGAATGTGACGCTCAATGCAGAGACCATTGCTGCATTGACGCGCATGCTGCTTTATCGCCACGACTGGGATGCCGTATCTGAGCTCCTTCGTCCCCGACTAGGAAGCCTGGATGGTGAAGGCAAAGGAATGATCCGTACCGCGCTGACAGACTATATCATGGATATGGGTGAGACAGATGACAATGTGTGGGAGGTTTATCAGCTTCTCAAACTCGCCTTCTCCGAGACAGGTGTCAGCGTGCGCACCGAGATTATGTGCTCTTTCTTCGAACGAAAGCGTAGTGACTTGGCTTTCTTGGTCTTTGGACACATGCGCCAGGCCGAGGACCTGAGTCGCCGACCCAAGCCAGACACCTATGCTCGATGCTTCCAGGGGTTGGCCCGCACGGCTGACGCAGCTAACCTGGAGCTTGTCCACAACATGCTCAAGCTTGATCTGGAGGTGGAACTCAACACGCGAATCTTCAACGGGCTGATGCTCGCCTACGCGGCTTGTGAGATGCCGGATAAGAGTATGGAGATCTTTAAACAGATCTTGCAATCGGATGAAGGGCCTTCACAGAAGACCATCGCGATCTTCTTCAAGGTGTGTGAGAAGCACCACAATGGTGTACAGGAGGCGATCAAAATGATGGCGAAGGTGAAGAAGCTGGAGATTACGATCGACCGCCGACTCTATACCGCATACATGGAAGCAGTCGCTTCCCAATGCGAGTTCGATATGGCGACAGAGGCTATCAACAATATGCAAGCGGAGATTGGAGTGGCCCCTACAAGTACTACGTGAGTGTTCCGATATCAAAATCTAGATCATGCATATGCTGACTTTTGTAGTATTGGACTGTTCTATAATGCAATCCCGTATCAGTACTGGAAGGATGAGGTCGAGAAGTGGGCATCTGAGAAATACCCAGAACAGTGGAAGCACTTGGCTGAAACACCCCGAAGCGAGCATGAGGAAGGACTGAAATTTGATAGCATCACGAATGAGGTGTGGGTTTAGTATAAATACTTTACGCTTGACGAGGATGACAGTGTACACTACCTATATTACCAGTGTCGCAGTGGCGAAAACTACATAATTGTATAACACGGATTACCAGGTCTGTTCCCAAGGTTGTTTCAAGACTTCTAATAATGAATATAAAGTTGTGCCGTTTGACCAGATTAATCTCTGCGTGATCTGATTTCAAAATTCCTTCGGGATAAACAAACTATACCACGACAACAAATCAACAGGAACATCCCATCAAAGGTTCAAATCATCGACCGAAAAGCACAGATACCGCTTGCGAGAGCCCAAATTCGAGCTTTTTAGGCTTACGCTGCTTCTTCCATCTTGGCCTCATCATACGTGGGGGAAGAAAGCCATAACCATAAATTCTTGCACGCTCCTGCACGGCCATTTGCCACATTGACATCGCCCAGGTATCAGGCAATCGATTCACCAACTGCTGACATTTCTCCTTGGCAAGGAACATAATCAGAAATCGATCATTCGGCCACGGCTTGGTGGGATTCAACTCCCGGGGATTAAACCGGAAAGACCAGAGTCCATCAATAATCCAACCAAATACATTACTAACAAGCGGGAAATTGCGGAAGAACTCATCCGGCATCTCATCAAGGATTACCTCAAACATCTCATCGCTGTGGAAGGTTTGATTGAATGCGGCGGCTCGCAGTGCATATGGCTCACGGCTATTAGGTCTCGAGTGCAAGGGTGCAGCCGGGTCGCCGTGTTTCGCTAGGTATTTGAATGCAGCGATGTTCTCGCCGAGTGCAGCGTACATCAAGGGGGTATAGCCTTGCTTGTTGATATTGGTTGGTTTAGATCTGGCATTCTTCTCGAGCCATTCCATGAAGGCTTCACCGTCGGGATTGTGGCGGGCTGCTTCGTGCCATGAACTCGTGTCCGCTCCCGTTAACCAGGGTGTGAAACGCCCGAGATTCGGTTCATCTACTACTGCGGGTATAGGTCGTTTATGGGCCTTTTCTTGATCCATCACGACATCGCCGATGTTGACTTTGAGCTTTTGCAAGAGCATATCCGCATGTTTGGCGGATAGAAAGGCGCACATTTTGAGCTTAAGTCGACGATGCTTCAATGACCAGCCGAGATCCCACTTTTCGACATCCCTGCTCTCCGCCAACTTGTCGATAAGCTTCTCGAGTCCCTTCTGGTTGCCGCTTTCAAGAAGAGTAGCGAGAGGATGTTTATCTTCCTGATATCCAATGCGGAGGGCAGTGGAATAGAAGAAGTCCTCGACAGGCATCACGTCAAGCATGTAGTCCACGACGGGCTGACAATTCTCCAAGATTGCCCAAGTCAAAAAACTTACTCCATTCATATCATATCCGCCTATTGGAATCAACTTCGTTTCCACGAGGAAGTGAAAGCATTCGACACAAGAAGTTGCGGCTTGAATGGCGACATTCGATTTTTCGAGTCCTGGGACCCGGAATATTTGCATATTCCATGGACTATTGGCATCAGCTCTGACCTCGGCTCGAGAGGGATAGCATTGTAATTCATGAGTCTGAAACTTCTTCCATTTGGACATGGAACTCTTTACCCAATTATCCACTACATTCCGCATGTAGTCACTCATCAAACGGAGGCCATGCAATGTATGGATAATGTCAATCTCGAGTGTTTCTTCGTCGTCCTCTTGGAAATTGAGGAGTCTGTCTAGCATTTCGAACAGAATATCCACTGGTAAGGTTTCCAGGCGCGTTTGATTGACGTATATGACAATTTCTGGAGGCGCAACCTCTCTACCAGGGTCAAGCAGGAATTCCTGCAGTTCCTGAAACTCCTCCTCAGAGAGCATTGCCGACGCATCGGTCGAGCCAAACTCGCCGTAAACGTAGCGCCGGAGCTTATCGACAAGAAAATTGAGGAATTGTTCCCAGGGACTCAAGATTACAAGGTCATCTGGATACCCTTCAAGCGATGCATCCGCTGAATCCGAATCATGCATAAAGGCATTGTCAACCTCGAGGCTACCAGTTCCCTCGTACTCAAGGTTCTGGGGCTCAGACATCTTCTCTCAGGTGTGGATGGAAACGAAGACAACAGTGGGGTCAAGAGAAGGAGCATGAGCAGATAGCATACAAGCTGAAGCGTGTCTTTGCGGAAGCAGAAGCTCTCTTAAGAAATAACAATCTGAAGTTTCTTTGAGACGAAAGCCGAGCCATTTTCAGCCATGAAAGAGCTCTCGGTATTATGAAAGAGACCGTTGATAAAGTTACCCAGGACTGGACTCGATTCACAAATCAGAACGATTCCAAGCATTAAACTAACGCAGTGAGTCTGGCTTTTATATTAATGGGAGTCCTGACTACGGAAGCTCTGGTACTCAAGGGACAGCCGCTTTATGTTCAGGGCAGGGTGCTTATCATTCTACATGATTCAGCATTATTGGAGGCCGAGCTTCGAGGTTTTCTTTGATGCTTAATCAGAGAAGAACAAAGAGCGAATTTGATGAAATCGTGGGTATCTTTGATTTTATTTCAAAAAATTTTAAAAGTATATTATTATTTTATTATCATAAAATTTGGGGTTCAAAGTTGCAATTCAATTATAAATCTCATGTCAAGCTGATCTTGTGCCTTGCTATTGATCCTACGAACGCTGGCTAGAGAGCTCCTTTGTAGACAGCGCTGAGGTAAGACCACGGAGATATAGCTGAAGATAGGATGCCGAAGTAACATGGATCCGGGTTGACATCTAACATAGCGAAAAAATATCATCAACCCAGGAATTGTAGAGAGACTTGGGTGTTTTGAGGCAAAAGGGAGCCGTGTAAGGTTTGCAGGCTTTCCTTCAGGTGGTCTCTCGCCAACTGGCGAGTAGCTGACCTACAGAGATACGATTTTCATACTTGGGCACCTGGACATATTTCTGCGCACATTTCACACATGGCATGGGATCCATTGTAAAACTCTGTCTCTACAATCCAATTCATAGTCACATCTGGAAAGTCAAGACATCGATCGGCCGAAGGATTTATTTACGCCGGCAATGCTGCCGGCTCAAGTGGCCCACGAAGAGTATGATGCATTCATTTTGGGGACTTCGCAAACCTCACACTTTGAAAGCTACCTGGTCGATGGCCTTTTCAGTTAATCCGCTTCATAGACCAACTTTGATAAATAGTAGGCTGAGATATATATGACAATAACATGAATACTCGCTATAAGTCAAGCAGTCCAAAATGCGATGATAGGTATAATATGTACAGATATGTAAAATCGGACTCTCCGAAAATAATGCAAGGTTTGTAGATAGCCATTATAGACTAAAAATGGCACTGCGCTTCTTTCCTTGCGGATACACGATTAGTGCAGCAACGAATAGACCGACTGAAATGCCGATGGCTGTTTGGATCATTCCGTAACCTAGGGAAAGGAGCGAGGTTTCATTACTGGAACTGGTCGTGCTGGAGGCAGTTCCATTAGCGACCTCCTCGGCATACTCCAACCCGGAAATAATCGATCCGGAAGATGCTAGACCGGATGGCACCAGAGTGAAGATACCCGGGATGATAGCGGCGGCAGCGTGACCATGCCAAATACGACTGTACAAATTGGCTAGCAAGCCAATAGTGAAAGCACCGACCGTGTTGGCAACTTGATTGGAGCCGAGCTTCTTCGTACTGAAGTAATTGGTCACATAGCCGCAGACACCCAAGAAGACTGTCGCAGGCAGCTGTTTGAGCTTGGCCTGGTTGAGGAGGGCGGCGAACAGACAGAAGAGTGCGACGAAGGGGAAGTGCTGGATGTATTCGTTGCCCCAGTCGTTAACCGCACCAGAACAGGTTTGCTGAGTTGTAGCATTGCTATCCATCAGTCCGTAGATCGTGGTGCCGACTGTGACACCGTATCCCAGGAAGAGGGAGTAGATGATGGTGTAGACCAAGCGAATTGAGCCAGCGTTCATCTGATGTGATTGCAGTTCCAGACTACTACTCAGCACAGCGAAGCCGGGAAGAAGCATGGCGATGGAGGATTCCGCCATCGCGGCAAAACAGAATACCCGTTCGCCGTTATGCTGGATACTTCCGAATGCACGCGAGAGGAACGAAGTCAAGATGGCTGCGGACACCTCCAGCACATTTGAATAGGTAGCTGATGATGGAGCCAAGATATGCTGCATAACTCCCACAATGCAGCCCAGAAGGAAGATGATGGGAAGATCGATTGGGCGGGCAGAGAATGAGTATGGACCAACCGCAACACTAGCCAGGCCAGTTAGGAGAACGCGCGTCCACGGTCCATATCGTGGCTTGCGCTGCATAATCGCGTCAAGGTCTTGTGTGGCTTGGTCCACGCTGACAATATCGTGCACCACATTTTTGTACACGTTATGTGTTTCGGCTAGGCGAGAGAGATCCAGTCCCTGGGTGACGCGAATAATCTTCACCTCAGCAGTGCGGGTGAGCGGATCATCGAAAGACATGAACATACAACCAGGAATGTACATAAACTGAGCATTGACTTCCAGCACGTTGGAAGTCATCATCATATACTCCTCCAATCGATGAGTCGGCGCACCATATTTCATCAACGCACGGCACAGCTGCATAATATACTGTTGCCGCGCCAAGATAGCAGCAATATGTACCGTCAGCTTAACATTCTTATGGCTCTTCCGCTTCTGCTTCTTTCTCTCCTTAGGGTTCATAGGTGCCGGCCCTTCGGCCCCGGGTACTCCAACCCGACCCATACCCATCGAAGCCGAGATCAGCGAGGATGTATAAGCATGACTCGATTCCCTCTTCTTCATCGGAGGCTTCAACGGCAGATTGGGCAGATTGAATTTGCTGCCATTCTTGCTACCTGCTTCACCCGCCTCTCCGTTGTTATACCACTTGATCTTTTCTTTCTTTCCCGGCGGCGGCGTCCCACCGGGTGTCCCACCGGGTGTAGACGTACCCGGCGTTTTCGACGGAAGAGTCTCCGTCTCAGGATCTGTTTCAAACGAAGTTGTCGCAACACTCATCCTGCTGGCACTCTCCAGATTATTGGCATAGACGCGCAGCAAATGCGAAAGCACACTCCCGTTCAATGGAGTCGATTCACCCATATCTCCGGGGGTTGTCGTGCCCGACGGGACTTCCGATGATGCATTTCGTCGATGATGGTGACTCCCCGGTAAACCGAGATGCCGGACCAATAGTTGAGCCTGGGCATCGTGATCATGAGAATGTAATCGTTCCTCCTCGTCGTTGGCTTGGCGAGCAGCGAAACTTCGGAGGTCGTCAGTTGCTCCGAAGTACTCCGTGGAGAAGCCTGCGCCTTCCAACCCATCTTCCTCTCGTTCATGAGGGCGGCCCAGCCGCTCGGCTATTGTTTGGCTTCGATTTCTGATGCGTTGACTGGCGGTTCTCCATCGTTGACTGAAGCTCGATGTACTTGGTTGTTCACTAACTTCATCGCGAATGGCGATTTGGGGGATATCGGCGTGGGTTGTAGAACTTTCCTCATCGCCTTGTGTGGAGTCCAAGGAAGGTTGGTGAGGGGACGAAGGAGCTTTCTCCTGGGGATCGGATAGCTCGGGCATGTTGAACTTATTTTCACTGGGTCTGCGGATATCCTCGGAAAAGTCGAATGTCTGGGGTAAACCCGATTTCTCAATAACTATGCTCAGGTACCACGAAGTACGTATGTTGTCAAATGACAAAGGCGAGTTGATGAAGAATAGAAATACAGCCGCGAGGACTAAAACCCCACAGACTAGCCAGCTTCATATCCTGGGGTGAAAAAAAGACAAGAGAACAAACTTCATAAAAGGGGGCTAAGTGGGGAAAGCGCTGTATTTAATTGAAGCCGGGCTAGGACCAGACTGTCTAAATTTCCAGACCCACGTCGCTAACGCAGGTTGAAGTCATAAGGGAACGCGTCAGTCAAACACCCGTGGCGCCTTTTCCCTCTGGGGCGTTTTTTGAAAATCTTCTAGTGGTTTTAGAATTTTTGTTCCCTTGTTCCTGGTTTAGATCCATGGTTATACTCGGCCATGATATTGGAGAGGGGATACCATAGAATCACATAGAAATTCGGAGATGTCAGTACTTCATGAACCTCGGTTTATGCAGTCTTATGCTCACATAAAGAAACAAGCTTCAACTGCCACTAACGTTCCGGCCAATACTGTGTACTATTCTAATATTGGACTTTCTGTGGCCAATTTGCGCGTTTCATTCTGTGCGGTGGGACCAACGTCGCCCCACCCAATCCATGGGCCCAGAACCATTTATGCAATATTGGATATTTGTACTGTGAAGCCTACTTTAGGAATAATCGATGGTCCATCTTTCACGTCATTGAAATCAATGGAAACCGGGTAGTTCCCGTGTCGATCAGGAGAGAGATACTTATCCGGATTTTATAGTTCCTAGTTCATGGGGTACATGAACTACAGTAAACTTCAGCCACCATGTCAGAAATCTCTTAGTATTAAATGGCTGTTCCTGCGGCTCTAGAGCCGAGGATCCTTCCGATAAGAGAGTTCTAGAACTTATGTGTATATATAATTAGATCCCTAGCGTCGTGGCGCCCATGCCCGGATGTACGGAATTACCGACCCGTTACAATCCCGACGACATCCAAACCTAGAGTGGGACTCTTCAGCGCTGAATATACTTCCGACTATATATACGAGTCCGCGGGCCCCGTTATCATGATTTCATTTGTACGGACTTGCCAAGATCTAATAACTCAAAAACCAAGCAGAGTACTGTAGCACCGCCTCAAATCGTGGCTGCCTGCTCACGCGCTATTAATCTCCTCCAGTAATAATCCTGATAGCAAGCTCTTGGCAGGTTACCAGCCCCTCTTCCACCCCCGCGCGCACCTAGGCAAATGCTCGAACCTGTCCGATATCACACCACACCATAGCTAGCATAGTATGGAAGAAAAAAAGATCACATAATACTACATTCTTCCCCCCTTTCTCACCCCTACCCCCATAATCTCCCCCCCAAACTTGACCATAACAATCCCAACTATGCTATCATGCCAAACCCACCACTCCAAGCCCCAGACCACCCCATCGCGCTCCGCCGCTCGCACCTCCTTGCCCCCGCTCCAGACAGATTAACCAACACTCCCACGATTCTCCGCATAACCCGCGAGAACACCGTCTCTGGTCGCGACTTCAGCGTACACCAACTACGCACACATGAAGAAATCAACAGCCCAAGGCGCCACGCCCTCCTCTTTACCGTCTCCGGTCGCTTCTGGAGTAACTCCCAGTTACGCGAGATCCGCGATACTAGCGGGCGCCCCTTACTTGAACTCCGCCGCCTCTGGTGGAAAGGCCAGTGGTCCGTTCGACGGGCAGGCGGATCCGGAGGGGACCTACTCCTCGCAGAGATGCGGTGGGGAATAGGAATGAAGATGGGAGTGAGATTTGAGAATGCGCTGCTGCGCGGCGCATGGGATCGAGAAGAAATTGCCGAGATGAATATGAATCTAAATCGCAGTGGTCATAATCGCAGCCTCAGTCTCGGTAGTCCTTATAGTCGACGGGGTGAACATCGTCAATTAAGGGCTAGCCGTGCTCGTCGGCAACCGCAACCGGATCCTGTATCGGGTGGTACTTCTAATTTGCCGAGCTATGATCATGCGGATCACGGGTCGCCTCCGCCGTATAGTATTGTTATGGCCGAGGACCATGCGCAGCAGAGTAGTAGTGGGAGTGGCGGTGGCGGGGGGAGCGGTGGAAGTGGGACTGAGAGTGATGATTCTCTGTCAGATGATGATGAGAAGGCGGGTATACGCGATTGCCCGCTTCCTTCGTATGACTCTGTGCGACGCATGCGCCGATTTTCGAGTCACTCGTTGCGCGATCTGCTTGATGCCATTGAGCCACCCGGTGAACCGGCCCCCGCCTCTTCGTCTTCTTTGTCATCGCCCAGACCGCGCTCCGAAGGTGCGATCGATACCAAGGTGGAGCTTAAGCTCGTTCAGCAGAGTAGTAGCTTTGCAGCCGTGATGATGGGGGAGAAAAAGATTATCCATGTCCGGCGAGAGAAGGTCATGGATTATAACTTGTCAGGGCCGGTCCCGAAATGGGAGGTGGAGGTTGCCGAGGGAGTCGATCTGTTACTGGTGAGTTGTGACCTAGACTATTCCCTTACTTCCAAGGTTTTATATGGTACTGATTCATGTGCAGGCGACAAGTATTGTCCTCATTTTGGCAGAGTCTGTGAAGCATGAATATCGAATGAGGACGAACTAGTAACATAGTCACATATGGGGACGATGATTCTTGATGACTTCTAACGACTACGAGACGATGCATTTACATTACGAGAGTTACAGCGAATTTCAAATGTGGCTGCCCCCATCGGGGACACCACGCCAATGCTCAATTGGAATATCCAATAAACTTTTCCAAACCATACATTCGTCATAGAGATACAGTCTGTTCGACTGCCCCGTGTATTAGGTATATTCGTTTTTTGCATCAAGTCCCATCAATAATGACGGACATGGAAAGTTGAGCTGAACAAGAGAGCCAACGGAAATTGAAACAAAAACAACAGTGATCGTAGATATTCTACGACTGGATCTTTTGCAAGCGCTTGGTCATGCTGTGGCGGTCCGTTAGCATACGTTAAGAAGAAGGGAAGGGATGAACTTACAAGTCAAAGAAGGAGAACTGGCTGGGGTGGTTGCCATACTCGTACACGAAACGGCTAGCCAGGTAGCTACCGAAGATAGCACGCAGGTAGTTTTCGGGAACCTGTAAAAGACACAGTTAGAATTGATGGTCGTGAATTGAAATTGGGGGGGAAGCATACCCGTTCCAAGATGGTCTGCAGGCCGATCTTGTTCAGCAGCAGGTGAGGCAAGGCATCGCTCAGGACGGATTCGCGGAGAGCAATATTGTCCCAAAGCTCGGTCTGCTGGAGTTCCTCATCAAGCTTGGTGATGGCCAAGCTGAGACGGTCACTCAAAACACTGCGCAGCACACCAGTCTGCTCGTGCTCGCGCCAGATTGCCTCAAACTCGAGGGTGGCGTTAGACTTGATGATCTCCTGAACCTGCTTGACGTAGGCCTGGTAGAACTCAGGGACAGTACCGTCCTCACCGACACACATGTTGGCGACAAACTCGGGATCGTTGAACGACAACGAGGCAAGAACCTCCAGGGATGAGGAAGTCACACCACCCTTGTTGGCGGAAGCATCCTTGAACAGAATGCAGTTGGCCTTCTCCAAGCGCAGCTTGCTGTCCTGGGTGATGAACAGGTTGGCACCCTCAACAATGTAAGGAAGAATACACTTGTTGTCCTGGATAAGCTTGCCGACAGTGGACAGGTCGATAGACTCGGGCCGGCCACCGCAGGGCACGAAGACGTCGAATTTCTCCTCTGAACGCAAGTGGAAGGTGTTGCGGAAGATCATACCATTGTGCACCACCTCACCACTAGGCAGCCTGACGTTCTTCTCGTCGACCAGAACCCGGTATCCGACAGGAGAAAGCTTTGACACGTCAAACTCGGAGATCATCGCACGTTTCTTGGCGAGACGGATCAGCTCCTGGGGATCAAGACCCTGCATATCGACAATGACACCAGATCCATCAACAATCGCACCATACTTCTCGTTGGAGAGCAAGATCTCGTTGGATCCGAGATCACCATCGGGGCCACCGGTCTGCAGCTTGAGCATAGTGGAGGGGTCGATGTTAAGCTTGCGGTAGATTCCAAGAACGTACTGGCGCACTGAGAGGGTAGTCATGCCGTAGGCATCGTGGGGGATACCACCCAGCTTGGGGCTCTTGCCGGTGAAGAAAGACTTCCACCAGGGGGCACCTCGGGCACGAGCGTGCTCGGTAGCCCAGTCGACCAATTCGGCGGTGTTCTCATCGGGACCCATGAAAAGGATCTCGTCTTTGCCGTGCAAGTCCACAATGGGGTCTTTGATACCGGGGCTAACGGGTGGCAACAACAAATCCAAAACACTGTCAATGTACTTCTCGAAGGCGACCCGCGCCTTGTCCTGGTGAGCCACATCCAAGAGGATGACACCCTTGGCACCTCCCTCAGGAATATCCTTGTTCTTGCGCTGCTGTGTGTTGGCCAAATTGTAGTTCTCGTCGAAGAGCGAGCGAGCATTGATGCTGTATGCCTCCTTGTTCCGGCTCTTCACAATACGAATACCACCACGGGCGATGTCTCGGAATCGCAAGTGGAAGCCGCGGAACTCAGAGCTAATGACCAAGAACATGCCGTAGAGGGGTTGAGGGTACTCGTGCTCCGGCAGGAAGTCCGGCTTCAGGCGGAAACTCAAGGCAACCTTGGTGGGGGTGAAGAAGTTGGTCTTGAGAATGGATGAGTTGAAGACACGGAAGGAGGTCATAACCATCTCGTCGTGCTCGTTCATAGTAGTGCTGCGGATCAGCTGCTTCAGCTTGGCTCCGTCCAGCACCTCGTCAACCTGGAGACGCAGGTAACTGAGGGTGGGTAGGAAGTCATCTCCAGTGGGGCCCTGGGTCTGTACATAGTGGGTGTTGGCGAAATCCAAGTAGAGCTTGTGGATCAACTCCGGGTAG